AGTAGTAGGCTTCTTTACGGCATATAAGCTTAGTTTATATAGGCGAGGAGTTCGTCTACTTTATTAAGAGCCCTTTAGTCCTTGTTAATGACGCTATATAGTAGTGGCTTAAACTAACGTAGCAACTTAACTACCCGAACCTCGCTTAGATGGCTATTAATATCCTCTTAATTAATCTAATGTCTATAGAGTTAGAGAGGGTATTTAGTGGCTATAGAAGGACGCTATCATAGGACCGAGTAAGCCTCTCTACTACTAATCTTAGCTATATCGAGTGCCTTAAGAACTAGTAGAAGAACCTCTGCTTCGAGAGGGTTAATCTACCTATAGAGGAAGGAGAGGAGACCGTAAAGGAGGAATAGGACGAACAAGAAGAATAAGGGAACTATGTGGATAGACAGGGTGACCCCTCAGAAGGACAGGGTCGCAGTGATGACGACGACGACGTTGGCATTGGAATTATTCCACTAGATAATTGACATGGAATGTTGTATTAGCTAGAAGTAGTGGCATGGCATGGCATGGAGCCGAAATTCCACCGATTCCATGTAACGTCCGCTCTGGTATAGACGGAGTTAGGAGTTTAGGCGCGCCAAACGTCACCCACGTCTTGGACAATAGCATCTTCCACACCTTCATCACAGACTACAAGACATGGCGGCACCATTGAGACCTGAGCAGGGAAATTCCCGGCATCCCTCTAGCGATACTAGGCGTGGTATGCGACCCTCGACTCTGCTATCGCGAAAGCAATCAAGCTAACACTGCTCCAGTCGCAATGCCGCGGCGTAGCACAAAGGGTCCATTGGACGAGGATATATCGTCAGTCACTGTACGCATGTCTCTGTAGAGCATCGCATTCCTGACAGACAAGCTAGAGCTGTTTCGACCTACCAACCACCAACGCCAGCCCTCCAAACCGCATTACCACCTTCACCAGCACCCACAAACATGCCAATACGAACAGCTTCACCTGCCTCGTCTCTACTATCTCCAGCCCAAGCGAACAACCAATCAATAAGAACGCGATCGAAAAGTCCAGGGTCCCGGACCATGCAACTCGATCTCTCGCTTCTACTTCGCCCTTCACTCTACGCTCCAGTACCCACAGCCCACATCGCAGCACCATTTCTAGATGCTTCACACCAACCAGCCCCCGACACCGATCTAGAAGTTCTGCTCTCACATCGACGATTCATCCACGCCGCCGACAAAGCAACCGATATCCTAACCTCTGGCTCCGTTTCCCCCTCCTCCACTCCAAAAATCCTCGAATTGCTCTACACACGCTTCTCCTGTCTAGTCATCTGCAACCAGACCGCCCTAGCCGCCAAAGAAGCAAAACCCCTGATCGAGTTGCTAGCAAGAGAAAGCGCCACCTACACACGCCCGTATCGAGAAGTATTTCTCTCGCAGGTTCCTTGGTCATTGCGTCTTTTGCTGCTTAAATTGCAGGGACAAGGTGCAGATGTGCATAGACGAACAATCATGGGATTGTATGCGTTATCAACCGAATGCCGCACTCTAGCCGCAAAAGCAAAAGCCGAGTCCGACGATGCAAGTTTTGCAATGTGGAAAGCGAGGTTACATGACCTAGGTCTCCGTGTCGCTGGCGAATTACTCGAAATGGGGGAATTGGAAACCGCAAAGAGGCATTTGGATACTTTGTCCTCCGACACCTCCAACATCGACGCAGAAGAAGAAAAAGTCAAAATGTGTATCCGCAAAACTCTGCTCTTGCTCAAACTCGGCGATACAAGAGCAGCTGAGCAATGTCTCGCCTCTGCTTCTTCTGCAGCAGCAAGAACAGACGCAGATCTGGATATCCAACTTCAAGTCCTCACCGCGCTATCTTCCCTCTATTCCTCTTCTCCCACCACCGCCCTATCCTCCCTTTCTTCCTTGGCAGCCACTCACCCTTCTCATCCCCTAATCTCCCACAACCTAGCCATTACGCATCTCTACACCAACAACGTCGTCCTCGCCTCGGAAATGCTAGAAGCGCTGGTCTCACGAGATGAGATTGTTTTTCCAACGCTGCTGTTCAATCTGTGCACGATGCATGAACTGAGGAGCGACAAGGCCAGAGACAGGAAATTGGATTTGGTGGATGCGGTGGTGGGGTTGGGTGATGATGGGGCAAGAGAAGGAAAAGGTGTTGGTGGGTTTGAGAAGGCGATGGCGGAGTTCAAATTGACTTGACATTGGATGAACTGACATTGGACGTGAAACGAGAATGCATGGATCTTTGTGACGAATCTGAGAGCTCAATCCGTACAAGGCAACATCTTGTTCACAGCCAGAAAGAAAAAAATCTCATATTCTGATCTTCATATATCTTGTTCTCTCTCAAAGATTGCAAAGAGCACTTTCCCATGAGTATATACGAAACTTGACATGTAGTTGATATATCAACATCTCGTACAGTATATAGCCTACATGGAGTTTCTGTGTTACACATTCCAACTGAGCAGTATCATCCCTGGACCTTCTGTCGTGCATGCCTTATCCTCCAAGCCCATGTCCATAACTCTCCCTCATTTTCAACGCCTTGTATACCAACGCCATCCATGCCGATCGTAAAACACCAAACAGCAAAGTCGAGATATATGGTACTATGCATTCACAGTCTCCTTGATCAGAGCAGCCAATCGCTGATACTCCCTCAACAACTCCTCCACATCGCCGATCCTCAATTCCTGAGCACTCTTTGCATCGACAAACCTTTGTAGCGGTGGCGGCGCCTTCTTCAGCTGTGCCAATGCTTCCATGGAATCCAAATCAGCTTCTGTCTGCACGTTACCGTTTTGAGCAGGAGATTTCTCAGATTCGGGGATATATCCCAACTGCTTGGTCTTTTCAGCCATGGCAGCTGACGAAGCGGCGGGTGTGTTGGGAGTGGAAGAACCACTGGCAGATGCAGAGCGCCCGAACTTGCCAAAACCCCCGAAGCGTGACAAAGGGTTGATGGAATTCATGAGGTTGCCCATGGACTCGACGGCTGATTGGGTGGGCAGAGAAGATGAAATGGCGTTATTGCTGAGTGTGGTGGCGGAGCCATTTGGTTTCTCGGCAAAGATCACGCGCTTGCCGCTGCCTGTGCTGCGACTGCTGTCTACACTGCGGTCGCGCAGACGACCACCGACTAGATTGAGCATAGTGTTGTCGGCTCGAGGCGCTGACGGTGGGTCCTGTGTAGGGCTCGAAGAAAGTGATTCGGCAAAGTTCGGATGACTGTCCATAGGTACAAGAGGTGGTGAGCTGACAAGCTTGCGAGCGTCTTCGAGGGTTCGAGGCATAACGATGCCGGAATCTTGAGTTCCGGCGCCTTGCTCCTTCATACGGCCGAACAAAAATTTAAAGCTGTTTTCGAGGGTCGAGTTGATGGCGTCAAAGGCCTGGTCAGCAGAATTCATAAGTTCATCTCGACCAGCTTCAATGCGTTCAGCTTGTGCTTGAATCAGTGACGAGAAGCGTCGTTGTGTAAAGCCAGGTCGTTGGGGATTACTGAGAGCAGCTTGAGACGGCAAGGGCTTCATGGAAGTGTCTCCTGGACTGAGATCGGCGGAGATGGCTGATGTCGTTGTCAAGTCAGGGGCCAAAGATTTGGGGCTAGATGGGCGTGCGATGTTGGTGGATTTCTCAGATTGAGACGTCAGATGAATACCGCCTTGTGGAGCTTCATCAGCCCTTAGAGAAGATAGATCGACAGTTTCGAGGAAGGATATGGCAGCTTCGAGATTGACCAGACAGTAAGCAGCTTCGCCGTCAACCTTTGCGCGAGCGCGGAAGAGTTGGACAAAGTGCAGGTTGCTGATGACGTTGATGGTGTCTGGAGACGAGGTCATCAGAGTGTAAATGAGGGTAGGGAGAACCTCGTCAGCAGATGAAGTTGACGGGAAGATGCGAGATAATGTTTCGACGATGCTCTTGTGAGCCTCGGTCAGCATTTGCAGCTTCCCGAGGGGGTAACGATGATCATCCATGCGTTGAAGATGTTCTCTTGCTGGTGCAAGCAGCTTGAATATCTCCTCATGTAGCTCTTGTTCGTCGGTCGGTAGACCATTACCCTTTGCTGGTTCAATGTCGACATGCAGCTCTTTCAAGCCGATGCCGACCAGCGACAGGGCGGCAGTCCTCGAACGAAGCTTTGCGTCTCGTTCCTCATCATCGGCACTTCTGTGTCTGTAGATGCGATCGTAGACCTTTTCACACACAGCTCTTTCAACAGCTTCTTCCAAAGCCAATCTCTTTATTTCCAGATCGCGGCGAGCCTTTCGACGGTCAGCGACCTCGGAGGCTGTCAGCATCTGTTGTTCGCCCTGACCATTTGGAGAGGCGGACAGATCAGCGCTCTGCTTCCTGGCCTTGAGTGCACCGCCCAGGGCCTTTGTCGCAGCGGAGCGCGAGGGGGATTTCTCCCTGGACAGACGGATGGACAGAGTTGCAATATGGGTAGAGATGTGGGACTCGGCTTGTTCGTAAAAGTCTTGGAATAATTCGGAGATGGTATCGATATTTAGGGGGTTCGCGTGGGTCTTTACGGAAAGAGACTTGAGGAAACGCTCGCTCAGGCTTCGGATCTCGATAGGAAGTTGGTCGAAGGTGGCAGGGACGTTGATGGCAGGTTCTTCGGGCTTGTCTTCGTCGACAGCCTCGAAGACATCGCTGTGGGAAAAGGAGGTCATGTCCTTTGCTTCGGGAATGGTCTGGATGGTGCTCGCTCTCGCACGGGATGGAGAGGGCGGGAGGGAAGCCGGGTTCGGCTCGAGACGAGTGAAAGACCTGGATACATGAAGAGGACGTGGCCGTGGGGCCTGTGTTGGGGAGGAGGAATTGGACATGTTGATGATCTGCAGGGTCGAGGGACTTGTCCAAGACGGGTGAGCTCTGGACACTGACGGCAGATGTCGGGCAAGGGAAAGAGCAGTCTAGCTGACGTCGGGGAGTCGGGACAGGTTGATGAATATACAAGTCAGACTGGTGAAGTGGAATTCCAGTCGTGGGCCCTCCTGAAACAAGCGGTTCAGACGTTGTGCACTCTTTTGAAGCAAGTGGTCAGTAGAACAAACCCCACCTTTGCGTCGTCTATCTCCAGCCACACGAAGTCGAACGCGCGGGCATACAAAAGGCTAAAGTGTGGCTAAACAGCAGATCCATGACGGATGCCAAGTACTTCCCCAGATGGTATGCGGTTGCCTTCCACCAATGTATCCGTCGTCCGCATGACACTAGGCAATCACAGAGCCACCAACATTACACTCCCTCCTACCTGATATGTCATAGTCGCCGTCCACCAACACCTCGAGCCCCTCCTCACTCTGCGCCCACACACATACACACAATGAGAAGTAGCTTCGACTTCTTCGTCCACCTACTCGCCCTCTCTCCGCTTGCTGTCGCGCCCGCCGCAGCTGCCCGCCGCCAGTCTCCCCAAGACGCACTGCTGCTACCTCCCATCTCCATACCCGACGCCCCAAGCTTATCAGAACAACATGACTTCACCTTGAGGCACATTGTGCACAAGGGCTCGCACCAATACCCGAATCTCCTCCGCAAGGTCGACATCACTCCTGCCCTGTCCCTCCAACACATTCAAGATGGCGACGACGACCCCGACTATGCTATCGCCTTCTCACCCACCGACTCCTACCGTACCAACTCGGCTCCCATGACGATAGAGCGTCTCGCCGATCGCCGCCGCTCAACAATCGATCGCTTGCTGGAAGCTGGTCGCATGCGTGGAGAGGCTGTCTCTCTGCCCTCCTCTGCCTGGTCCATGGATCCTGTACATGCCCCCAACATCACTGACAAGGAGACTGTTCTCAGTCTTGCTCGTATGGCTTACAATGCCTACGTCACCAAGCCCTACACTGGTGACTGGGTCGACGTCGGAGGAGGCTTCAACTACACTGAAGACTTTGGATGGGAGGCCGATGGTCTACGCGGCCACATCTTTGCCGATACCAACAACAAGACTGTCGTCATTGGTCTCAAAGGAACCTCTCTCGCTGTCTTCGATGGAGCAGATACCACTGGAAACGACAAGCTCAACGATAATCTGTTTGGAAGCTGTTGCTGCGGCCAAGGTGGCTGGGCTACCTGGAAGCAAGTCTGCGATTGTCAGACCTCAGCCTATACTTGCAATTCGACCTGTCTGGTTAAGAATCTGCGGAACAAAGCCCACTACTATCAAGCTGCTCAAGACCTATACCACAATGTCACCGAACTCTATCCTAATGCTGATATCTGGTTGACCGGTCATTCCCTCGGCGGTGTCGTCACATCGCTCCTTGGTCTAACCTTTGGGTTACCTACCGTCACATTTGAGACATTCCCCGAAGCACTTGCTGCCAGTCGCCTGGGTCTTCCTACACCTCCGGGTTACCACATTGGCAACCACAAGGAACGTCCTCATACCGGTATCTATCACTTCGGTCATACTGCAGATCCCGTTTACGACGGGACTTGCAACACTGCCTTTTCTGGTTGCACAATCGCCGGTTACGCTTTTCAAGGAAAATGTCACACTGGTAGCGAATGTACCTATGACACAGTCAAAGACTTTGGATGGAGACAGGGCGTTGGCAATCATAAACTTGGCAATGTCATTCACAGTGTGATTGAGAAGTACGACGAGGTCCCCAAATGCGAACAACAGGAAGACTGCATGGATTGCTTCGAGTGGAAGTTCTTCGAAAGCAATGGCACCGAAACCACAACTAGCTCTTCCTCTACTTCGACGTCGACCACACGTACCAGGACGGAAACGTGCAAGACGCCTGGCTGGTGGGGTTGTCTAGATGAGACTAGCAGTATCACCGTACCTGTGACTACAACAGAGACCATTACCACGACGACCTGTCTCTCACCCGGCTGGTTCGGATGTAAAGACGAAGTTACGACAACCGAGACAACCACCATCACCAGTAGCATCGCCACACCCGCTCCCGCGCCTACTGTCACCACAACTTCGACGGTCGCATCCTCATCTTCGTCTTCCCCGACTGCGACAAGCACGACTTCCAGTACCACGTGTAAAACACCAGGTTGGTTCGGCTGCCATGACTCGACCACCTCGATCAAGCAATCTGCAACAAGCACTTCATCAGCAGACACTTCTACTGCTTCGCATGAGTGCACGTCCAAAGAGTTCTTTGGCTTGATCTGTGTTGACCCATCAGCCACACAGTCGAAGCCCAAGCCCACATCATCACACAAGAAGTGTCTAAGAAGGAACTATGTGGGCAAATGCAAAGAGTGGAACTATGGCGATGGAGGCAACGTAAAGACTGATTTATGAGCTTACGCATGACCTGATTTCTTGCTGGCGCTATGGGGGGGTTGGGCAGGGGTGACTATATGCATGCGGGGTTTAGACTTATTCTTGTAATTTATGTGGTAGCATTTTATATCCAGCTCGTCCATCACCTTATTTGGACCACTCCTTCTGAAGACTGATTACATGGAGTTGATCCTTGATCTACCCACCCCGCTCTTCCTGAGGACGATCTGGTTCTGTCAGGAGCGATCGGCAAGTCGTGTAACAAGTGGTCTTCTAAGACGATAGAAACTGTATCGAGGAAGGCGTGGCCGCGACATCGTTGCTTAGATGACCATTAGTACATTTAGGCACTCTGACAAAAGTTGCCATGCCGGTTGATTTTCAGAAAGCATCTCACAGACTAGTAATGACGCTACAACGTCCAGTCGACATCTCGATCCAGTCACGAGTTACTACGACTTTTGGCATATCATCGTCTTCGTTGAGCCGAGTGATGGCGAACAAGCGTTAGGGTGCGACTGCATCAGTAGCATATACAACTCAAGCGAAGGAGAGAGACGAGTATAAATCCATCATAGAATTCGTAAGATACATAGACAATGCATAGCCTCTAACAGCTCTTTCGAAAGTAGCAACCATTTCTACCATTCCAAACGATCGTCACAAACAAGCTCAACATCGTATCTTTCCTCACCACGCCATACTTTTGCGCCATCATTGCATTTCGCAACAATGCTTCTCAGATCTGAGATCATGCCTCCAGGACCACTGGCGTACACGGTTGTTCTGCCAAAGACGGTGTTGTCGATGAATTCGTTGACGATGAGGTTCAGCTCGGGGTGTCTGTGCTCTGGTTCGGCATGCGGGTTTGATGCTGGGATGGCTGTCTTTTGGATGGTGAAGGAGTCGGTGGGTGGGCCGCAGCAGGGGTATGCGGCAGAAGTGGAAGCAACGGATGACGACGAATCCGATAGTTGAGGCATCTCAGTGGCTGTTGTCTCTGCTCCCGACTTTGACTCGGGATCTGTGATCTTTGACTTGGAGGAGTTCATGCTCAACTGACCCTCTGCTTCTCTCGTAACGAAGATGCGGATGGTGATGTCGATTGACTTGGCAAGTTGTCTGATGATAGCCATCTCAGGTTCCACCCAGGCCAGATCTGCCTTTTGACGGACGGCCCATACAAGAGTGACTTTTCTGTCAATAGATCTGGGTTGTTGGGCGAGGTTCAAGAGGACGGGGAGCACGTAGGTGATACCAGTACCGCCAGCGATGCAGAGGATATTCACTTCCTGGGTCAAGTGGGTAGTGGTGGACTCGCCGTACGGTCCTGTCAGTATGACCGATGTCAACGGCAGAGCGTCCTTCTCGGCCGCATTGAGTTTGGCGGCTGCTAGCTGCGCGATCTTCTTCGTCTCGCCTGACTTGGCGCGGAAGATGTACGAGTGCTGGACACCACAAGACTTCTCGTCATGGATAGGAAGGCTCAAAGGGGTGAACGGATGAGACTGCCAGATGCTTCCTTGAGGGAAGCATAAGTAGAAGTGTTGACCAATGGCCCATGCGTCATGAGGATGGGTGAAGTCTAGACGGACAACATCGCCATTGACAGAATCTGGGAAGAGTTTTGTGGTAGCTTGGGAAGGTCCAAAACTGGTCTCGCCGTTCGGCAAAATGGTGTGGTGCAGAATAGCAGTACGTATGAGGCGGGCGCCACGGTCAAGGATCCAAACAATCAGGGAAGGGATCAAGAAGGAAGACAACTTCTTCCAGTGCGCAATGCAAGCTCCTACATACAGCATAGCCAGAACGTAGTGAGTTTTTCGGAAGAACTCATATCCAGTTCTGCGAATTGCCCAAGGCGTGCTGAGAACGAACAGGAGTATGATGAGCAGCATAGCGACAATACCCCACACGATATACGTCTGCGGGAAGAAGCCTTTGGCTACAGCTGGCTGAGGCTGGTAGAGCTTGCCTTCAATGAGACACCAGCCAAAGGTGTGGATAGCGCCTTGGATAAGGATGATATAGCCAAGCCATCGATGGAGGAAGTTGAAGCTCTGGTAGGGTACACCTGTCATGACAGAAAGCATAGATTCCCGGCTAGAGAGTAGGATGGACAGAGGTGTGAGAGCGTAAGCCATTACACCGATACGATCCGAGAACGGACCCAAGGCCGAACGTGTGTTGAAAAGGCCAGGAAACTTCTTTACAGGCGTTTTCCAGATCTGATACGTGATGCCAACGAAGGTAAAGATTGTGACATAACTGAAGAGGGAGAATAGCACAAAGACTTGGTACCGTGTGGTGCGTCCGAAGATGGGTCTCGCACAGTCTGGTAGAAGGCAGCGACGTGAGTACGCCAGGGTGGCATGCTTGAATCGAGTCAATGCGCTTGGAGACGAGACTTGTCGCCTTGAGACGAGAAACTCTTCGTCGGCGCGTCTGGAGGGTAGCAGGCGGCGAGCTAACGTCCAGACGAACAAAATGCCAGCGATAGTCAGCCAGATGACACCAGAGAATATCATTGACAGATCGTGACTGTGGTAGATATCTGCGAGATATTCACAAGAACCCTTGTCGTTGGTGCAAGGAACGACCCGGCCACCAAACCCCCAATGGGGTTCCAAGTTGCTCGCATCGGTAAAGTTCTGGATGTGGACTACCATGGTCTCGACGTGTGGCAGGTATATGTCGATGAGTGTACAAAGAAGAGAGGATGAGAGAGGCGAAGCACAATGCCAGTGCGATACGCCGAGTTCAAAATATGCGAAAAGGATGAAGAAGGAAACACAATACCATAGGTTCAATTGCTTCTGGTGAAAGACAGCGAAGACGGCAATATACATGTTAGAGCAGGAGGTCATCGGCAAAATCATACCTTCTTGGCAGGCATGGTACATCGTGAGGCCAATGCTGTTGAAACGTGGTTCCGACGATAATGAACTCTAGGCTCATGCCCGGTATAGCGTTGGAGACCAGATTTCGGTACATTTGGGTGGTTACAGCCAATATCTGGAGCGTTCTCGATACAAAGTGGAGTCGATTGAGCAAGTATTCGGAGCAGTCGGGAGGACTTGTCACATTGATGAGACGTGGAGCGACAGAATGTACCAATTCCAAGCAATCATCTCCGGTCTAGAAGCACATTGGGATGAAGTCGAGACGGATGTGCAGATAGAGCTGAACGACCCATGCACGCTTCGCGAGATGCTGAGGCACGTTCAACAAGCGTGGCATGGTGCTCATGGAGTTCCGGAGATCTTGGCATGATCTGACCAATCGTAGCAATCCTCCGCTCGGATCGCCAAGAGAATGGCGTTCCCAACCCCAGATATAGCGTCTTAGTGCGAGCGGCTTTGAGCAAGTTTGAGAAAGATGAAAGATCCAAACGACGAGTCGCGACTCTGTTGATGTTACATACCGAATTGGCTAACATGTGAACGGGTTCGAGTAGGCCCCTTTAACAGGATGGCTCTTCTCGCATTCTCTGCTCTTCGAAGTGTAGTACATATCTAAGTCAAACAACATTCGTATCTTCCTATACACAACTCCATTCAATTGCAATTTCGAACAAAATCCCGTTGTCCTTCCAAACACAACTCTGCTTCAGACATTCTTCAGACGACATTCACCAATATCGCACAAGATGTCGCACGGCGGTATGGATATGGGTGGCGGCTCAGGAGCAACATGCAAGATATCCGTAAGTTCAATCCGACTCACTCCTCCTATTCAAGTCAGCAACCACTAACACAACCCAGATGCTCTGGAACTGGTACACCATCGATGCCTGTTTCCTCGCTTCATCCTGGCACATCAAGACAAAGGGCATGTTCGCCGCGTCATGCATTGGTGTCATCCTCCTAGTCGTTGCCCTCGAGTTCTTCAGACGCATGGGCAAAGAATACGACGTCTATATACTTCGCCAATATACACGTCGAGCAGCCAGTCTCCGACACGTGGCTCGCGACTCGTACAACAACTCCAAGACAAACAGTGCGTATGAGTATAGCGAGGGTGGATGTGGTCCAGATGCTGCTTGTGCTCCTACATTGCCGAGACAGCAGTACATCACTTTCCGCGCCTCGCCTGCTCAACAGCTCACTAGAGGTGCGATTCATGCTGTTACGTTCGGACTGGGATATATCATCATGTTGTTGGCCATGTACTTCAACGGCTTCATCATTATTTCGATCGTTATTGGTGCTTTCATTGGGAAGGTGCTGTGCGATTGGATGGTTGTCAGGCTGCCACTGGTGGGAGATGGAGTTGAAGGACCAAGCAATGAGGCAGAGGGTATCTCGGAGCCCACTGTCTGTTGCGGATGATCAGGGGGAAATGCATGCAGCTCTACCGAGCTTACAATGATTAACGACTTACTTGCTTTCGGGGGTGTGTGTCGAGAATATCGATGCCCGCATGTTGGAGTCTGTCGTGCAAGGGGACCCATCTTCTTCTACTCAAAGTTCTCCTTCGAACATACTTGCACTTGGAGCCCCATGTGCACCTGGATCAAAGAGTTAGGGTAACGGAATTTCATAGATAATCGCTATTGATCCTCTACACCGCACGCCAAAACCCCTATGCATGCTTTGAATCACAATCTAACCTCTATTTTCTATTCCATACGCTATAATCCAAATGCATCCCCCCCCCGACTCACGAACCACCACTCAAAACCCTCTTGACCTCCGCCGCCAAGATCTCATGAGTATGCGTCGTCAAATGCGCCGTGTTGAACCAGAAATACTGATCCATAGGCAGACACCCATATTGCGTCGCATCAGCCACAACATTAGGTTGATTCCACGCCGCACAAAAGTCCTTGGTATTCTTGATTCCATAAGGCGCAGGGTTCTTCAGTATCTCATTCAAGAAAGTGTTGGAGTCAAACACCACGACATTGGAGTCAGAGTTGCGTGTTCGGAAGTCGGCGGCTTGAGAGGCGAGGATGGTGTTCCAGCGATTCACCATGCTTTTGCTAGGTAAAGGACGTATACTGCGAACATTCTTTGGCGTTTTGTCCAATGGTGCGAGATTCATGATCAGAAAGTTGCGATAGCCTGCATCGTGGATGGTTTGGATGGATTGGTAAAGGGTGGTTATCATATCTGTGTAGAGAGTGTCGATGGGAACCTTTGAGGTAGAGGTGTCGAATATGTCGTTTGTGCCTATCCAGAAGGTGGCGAGGGTGGTTTCTGGAGTTGTGATGTTGTGGAGCGCTGGTTGGGCGTAGGTGAGGAATTGCTGCGTTTGGTTCACGAGGGGCACTGTGTAGGCTTTGTGTCTGGGTGTACTGAGAGGGCGTGTTAGCAGAGTGTTTACGGAAAGCGAAGCCAGGAGGGAGCAAACTTACTATTGTGTTCCAATATCTGCGCCTGCAAAAGCAAAGTCCCACAGCTGGATGTTACAATCCAACGGTGAGGTGGTTCCAGGATTGACTCCGCAGCCAGTCAAATGCTCAAGCCAGTTTGGGCCACCTTCTGCTGTGCTGGTCTGTATCTATCAGTGAGGGGATGTGGTAAGTTGTCGAGAACAAGAACATACCTGACTCTGCACGATCTTGTTGTTCAAAAGCTTCTGTGCAGAAAAGGCAAACCTATTATAGTCTCCGATGAAGCTGTAATTCTGGCGTCCTGCTGTGCCCAGGACATATGAATAAGAGTCTCCGAACGCGATGCTATCATAGTTAGTCTCTGAAGAGCGGAAGACTACTAAGATGTTGTTGTCTTACATGTTCGATGTATTTGCCCAGATGTCCAAGGATGATGAGGGTGCTGATGGTGCTGTCGCTCCGAGGCCGGCCAAACCCAAGACAGGCTTGATGAGCATGATTATCTGGTTATAGGTTGGAAAGCTAGGTTTCTTGGGTAAGCTATACTCCGAGGTAAAATTGGTCTGACTATGAGAGGCACCTTTCGACCAGCAAAGGCCTCCATCTTATATATGCCTGATCCATCTTGATTTGACAACACGGCCAGTCCGAGTGAGTTCATTGAGTGACGCAGACAAGAACTTTGCACAGAACTCTAGAAGGTTTACACAAATGAGCGATATACACCTCAGACATCTGAGCTCTAAAGCCAGAAAAAGTCCTCCGCGGTGATAGGGAATTCAAAATGATGTGAGACCGCCGACGGGAACTGTAGGGCCAAGGAAGAAGAGAAGGTAAGAAGACCGCAAGCTGAAGGGCCGGAGTTATGGTCCTGAAACTCTCAGCCCCATGCTGTTGGCACATCGTCTGAGACACGGAAAGACATACCGTTTATGTACAAGGTACCTTCACGTCCATTGGGCAGCGTGAGGCTAGTATACACAGCAGGCCAGGAGAACGATGGCTTTGATTTGTCGTAATGACGACGATCAAGTCGTTTGATTCACACACGTGTAGACGTTCGTGTGCTAGGCTTCGGATATTTCAATCGATCAGCGTCGGTATGCCACGAGTGGTTGGCGTTACGGCTAGAAGGAAACGGTGGAACAACTGTAGAATATTCGGCACCTCGCATGGCCGACGGCCACATAACAAAGTTCCCCATGCGATACAGAAATTTGTGTGATGCGCAACAATTCGAAGCTTCCACACAAGTTGGCTGTTTGACAACGAAGAGCATGTCGAGCAGTCGTAATTAACGGTTGGGTTGTCTCACTTGCAACCTTGGCAATCTCGAGATGCTGATCCTCCAAGGTAGAAAATAACATCTTGTGCCTCTAGGACCAGTTCAAGACAGGATAACTCTCTCTACTCTGCCACCCATGATCAAAGGCACACCTCAAACCTGTACCCTGTCTAGCAGCAATGATACCTCTCGCCACTGTCCTCGCCTCAGCCTCTCTTTCCAACCATCTAGCCATCAGACCGACAAACAAATCATGGTAGGAGTTGCAATCCCCACATTCTGCCCAACAATCTCCTAGATCAGCAGAAGCATGGCAATCGCCACAATGTTGGACTTGAAACTCTCTTTTCTCTGGATGTAGAGATATGTAATCGCGCAAGTCATCGATGATCTGTTGATGCTTGACACCAATGCGAAAATAAGTCTTTGCCATCTTCTGGCGGAACGAAGAGGTTTTGAGAAATTTCGTGTTGGCGGGAAACCATGTGTTGGCGTCTTGAGCGAGATTTAGGTAGGTGAGGTGGCGCCAAGCTCCGTTCCAATCTGGACCTTTGAGTCGCTGAGTTTGTTGTGACCAGTCGTTGTCACTATCGTCTGAATCTGTCGGTTGAGGAAGGGCATATGAGCGATACGTCAAGGCGGATAGCCAGGAGTGACAACCTTGGAGGTCGAGCCAGCGAAGGCAGTAGGTATTCTCGGCTAGCATGCGAAGGACTAGAGCTGGCTCTTCGAAGTCACGATCGAGAGAAGCGTAAGGCGAGGTGGAATTTGGAGTCCGTGTCGGGAAGGGCCAGTTACTGAGACTGAGATGCGTTATTGTGTTAAGGTCCTTGGATAGAAGTAGAAGGTCTGTCCAAGAGGCCGAGGAGGGAGGTTGAGCCAGGGAAAGCTTGGTCAAGTGTCGGAGATCGTTGTTAAGTGATGTAGGAATGAAGAAGTCGCTGTCGTCCGAGGATGTGTCCTGGTCCCATGAATCCGCGACATCGCTTTTCTCCCTTTTGGACTTTTCCGCCATGTCTCTGGCATCTCCAGCCGACTTATGAAGCCATTTCCTGAGTTCTTTGAGACTGAAACCCCAGCCTACTAATCCCGATAGGTCCAGGGAAGAAGCTTCGGAAGGATTTGGGAACAGAGCTTGAAGGCCTGTCATTGATACTCCTTCCGGAGGTCCCATGGTGGTTATGTAACTGAGCAAGACAACACGTAGATGTGGTGGAATCACGTCGAGCCATTCGCCGCAGTCTTCCACGATATCTGTCCAGTTTTGTGCAGCTACCTTCAACGACATGTCCAATAAACTACCAGGTACAACAGGGTTATCGTTTGCCATATTCAAGAAGCGGGCCAGTCCATGTGGTAGATTCCTCGTCGGGGCACCATTCTGGCCAAAAGTCCTTGGTTGTCGTTTTGCCGGATAATAGCGGTTTTCCAATGCTTGTCTATGACTTGTTAGTCTCGACACCCAACTAGGCGGAGGGGCAGGGCCAGGCGTTCTCAGCCGAACTCTCGATCTCAGAGAAGCACTGTTTCTTGGAGCCGGCGCTGCTACAGCAGCTTGGCCCAGAATGCCCTGCCCCAGACTCGGTGGTAATGACCTTTGATTCGAAAGTTCAGCAAGCTGACGCTTTCTTTCGGTTGAGGCTGCGGATCTTTGGGCGAGCCTCAGGTTTGAGAGACGTTCGTTGACGGATAGCACAGGTTTTTCCTGAGCACTCTCGTTTGGGCGAGGACTGCCCCCGAGGGAGGGATGAACATAGTTCGAGCCTGGTTTGGGTTGGTATGTCTGCCTGTGCTTTTTGGGCATTACAGAGAAAGTTTACAAAGAGAGGGTTGCCGCGTGGACTCCTCCTGCGTCCGGTCCCAGTATATGTACAGCTCCTGGATCCTGTTGTTGTATCCTGACGCCTGCTCTCCTCCAATAGTATCCGCGTAGATATTATTGACTGATCCTTCTAATCTGATGTGTTACTCATAAAGCAATGCGGTCTTCTCATAGGCTGTAGGAGAGTTGACTCAGTCGAGCAAGGACAAGGAGACGCCACCTGCGCGTCTCCATCGCAGCTTTCCCCACGCTCACTCAGCGACGTCATTACCTTCGACGTTGAATCGGCCACGACAGCAACCAACTTAGCCTTGAAACCTTGTGTACCGAGGACGATTTATAAACAGCATGTGCTGACCTTTTTCGCTAACTCAACAGACAAAACCATGGCTTCCTACCTCAAAGAGAAGATCACTGGTGCTCAATCGGACGTCGACAGCGCTGATGCCGACAAATACTTTATTCAAGTAACATCAGGAACCTCATTTGAAGATTCAAAAGCCAAACAAGTCATCATTAATGGCGCTCCCACACAGTTGAGCAAGAATGCGAAAGTCGCTGTCCGGATCAAGGAATACCAAGGCCTGCCCGAGGGTTCACCAGCAACTTCTCCATACTTTGACGACCAAGCACATGCCCATGATACTTATAGCATAGCTGTTTCTTGGATCCCCGAGGAAGATATCAATGCAAACGACCTGGTCTGGGGTATCGAACTCATAAACCCGATTCGCGATCGCATTCCTGGTCGTTTCATCACCACTGCCTTCAACATCGTCAAACGCTTTGTAGACGCGAGTCTGCAGTGCGACCCTGATGCAGATCAACCCTGGGTAAACGGACCCATCCTCTGCTCATCAGCCATAACCTTCAGCATTGGCTCCAAAGGCAGTTGCGAGCTTCCGGCTATCCTCGCTGAAGGTGGTCTCTCAGACGACACTGCAGTACGCCAGGACCTCAGCGTCCCAACCGCAGAAACTCAACGCCGTAAACATTTTCTAGACGAGCAAAAACGCAAGGACTTCAAGTTCGAAAAAGGACGCTGCTATGCCTTTGACTTTCACAACGGCTACATCGACTGGAAGAATTACGCCCTGAAACTCCCTGGTTTCTCGTTTGGAGTGCTGAAATATATCAATGACCGTACGCATACCGTGAGATTTGTGCTCAAGAGCCGTAAAACCGGAAAAGTGTTTGTGGCGACGACGTTCCGATTACTGTATGGCGAGGAACTGGAAAAGGCAAAGAAAACGAGTGCTGCCGCTGCTGGTGCTGCTGCTACTGCGCAAACAGGTGAGATTAAGGAGGTGACATCTCAGCATGTGAACACAGCTGAGGACCACCAAAAGGAGCCAATGTCGCAAAACGGAAGCCCAGGAAACTCGAACGGCGAACAGGAGACACTGGAACCACTAAAAGGACCTGAGGCGGGAAATGTCGACCCAGAGGAACTGTTACAGCAGCCGATCCAAGGACCTCAGACGGACATGGTGCACCGGAGTGAGGTAGAGCAACAGCCACTCCAGGGACCTGGGGAGCCGAATGGCACGAGGTTGGACGAGTCTGAGAGGTCAGAGGACGTTCCCACTGGCGGAGCTGAAGCACGATCTCAGCATGACGATGAACATCCCGCGGAACATGCTGTCGAAGAGGTGATCGCGGCATCTGAAGAGAGAAGAAAGAGCGAGCAGAACAAGTAGGAGATCGAGTGGTGAGGATATCATGACATGCATTATGATGTTTATATACAAAGGGGTGACGAGTAATGAGTGATGATGGTACAGAAACGGGTGTTACAGAGCAAGATTACAGCATACCTCTCCTCCACGCACGAGTAGCGAGCTCTTTAATCTCCTTGACCTCGACAGGGCCCTTGAGCTGCTCGTCAGCCAAAGCCTCGACCACAGCCTCAGCAACCAGATCTGCCTTCAGCGGCTCCACGCCACCAGCACCCATCAACCAAGTCAAGCGACCACCAACCAGCGAATTGGCCATGGCACCCATAAACGTCAATCCAGCCATGGGCACGGTAAACGTGCGCGACGAATCATACAAGAACCCAGGACGAATAAACACACTTCGCAGCGTCGGGAAGTTTGAAGTAATGGATGCTTCGGCCTCACGCTTGGTTTTGATGTACCTCGCCGGCAAGATTGGTGCGCCTCCAGCAGCAGAAATGTAAGCCATGGATGAAGCGCCAGCAGCACTTGCCTCCTTGGCGAGCAGAATCGCCGAATCCCTGTTCATAACCTCATAGGTGATTTGACCTCCCTCGTGTTGTGGGCTAACATCTTCACCTTCTTTTCTCTCCAACGGATTCTGTGTTCCTTGCTTTGTACTGCTGAATGCCTTTTGCAAACCCCCGATGATTGGTTCTTTGCCGGTGAGGACGCCTTTGTAATCGGCTTCTAGCAAGATTCCCATGGTGTGGACGACGGAGTCGGCGTTTTGGAGGTGTTGGGAGTAGGTGGAGGGTTGGAGGATGTTGGCGCTGACCCAGTTGACGTCTGAAGACCAGGTGGGTGCGACGGGCGAGGAGGTTACGGAGGACCAGGTGGGTTCGCCAGAGCGCGAGATAGAGGTGACTTGCCAGCCTCGCGCGGCGGCTGCTTTGCAGATGCGGCTACCTAAGATGGGATGTGTTAGCTTGAGTGATAGCCGGGTGGAATTGTGTAAGATGTACCGAGGAAGCCATTGCCGCCGGCAACAACGATTTTCTTTGTGGCTGCTTTTGTCGACATGATCGATTGTGTGTATAGAGAAACGATTGGGTGATCTCAGGATTGGAAGAGAGTGGAAGCTCTGCAAGCTCTCTTGGTCTCGAGATTCACATGCAAAAGCGATGGTCATGGCATGATTGATGACGTGCACCCGCGTCTAGCGCCATCGATCGGCTAGGAACCAACCCGATTGGTTGTGTAGCTGTCTTCTCCTCCGGCCCTCCAACCCTGTCATTTCCATCTCTGTACAATCTACCTTCGCATCAGCAAACTCCCTCTTGTCGCATCGCATCAACGCAACCGCACCATGCCAGCCGCAGCAAGCAACAAACGCGTCAAAAACACGCGCGTCTCGCGTCCCTTCAGTACCATCCCCTGCCCCTCCCTCTCCACCCACATCCTCACTAACACCTCACACAGTAATCGGCTCGCAAGCCTGGAACCTCGACCCCACCACAACCCCCACCACCCCGATCCCAGAGGGCCACACAAAAGGCTGGCGCGTCTACGTAAAAGCTCTCGACTCCGGCCCTTCCCTCGACACCTGGCTCAAAAAAGTCCAATTCAAACTCCACATGACCTACGCCGACCCCTCGCGCACAATCGAAGCCCCTCCCTTTCAAATCCAAGAAACAGGCTACGGAGAATTCGATATCGAAATGCGACTCTACTTTGACAGCAGCAGCGGAGAAAAAGCACAGTATAGAAGTCATAGACTGAGATTGGAGCCGTATGGCAGTGAAGAGCAGCAGAAATTGCAGAGGGATGCTAATATGGTGACATCTGAGACGTGTGAGATTGTAGAGTTTAACGAGCCGTCGCACGAGTTTTTCGCAAAGATGACGGCTGAGGATCAGTTTGCGCATTTGCAGAAAAAGGGCGGTGGCGCCAAGGGTGGGAGAGGTGCGAAGGGGAGGGGCGCGAGGATCGAGTATGAAGGTGGCAGGGAACCCACTGCAAACCTGCCCGACAGAAGTTCGGAGGCTTTGCCTTGGAGCAGAGAGCTGGAGAAGAAGATGTTGGACATGTTGGGTACGGCGCAGACCGACATGGATGCTGAGATTGAGAGGGAGAAAAAGAGAGCCGAGGATAGGCAGAAGAGGTTGCAGGAGATCGCTTGATCTTTCGTTCTGTCACCTCTTGTCTCTTTTGCTTCATTCCCAAAACTATGATACCCCTTTTTGCTGAAACACGGCATCTTCTGGTTTTCTTCTCTGAACATTCAACTTGAACACTTCTTTTGCTGGAGAGGACGTGTCATTATACTAGTACTCTTTTCATTCACAGCAACGGCAAGAAAGCCATGCAACCTCATCTGATAGACTATAGAATACCCTCAAGCAAATGATATAAAACGCCACGCTCCACACCTTCCCTACCACTTCGTTTCCTTACTTGCCGCTAATCTGTCCCTCCACAAAATCCAATGCTTGTTCCTTGGACACAACATCGATACTACTGGTCTTGTTGATATAACTCACACCGTAGCACTTTTCGGCCACGAGCAACATCTCCGGTCTGAACGTCGTGCAGATAAACTGCCCCTTCTCGGAACTCTCAGACAGCATTTGAGCGACTGCAGTACGGTACTGGGCGTCGAGGTTTGCATCGATTTCGTCAAAGAGGTAGAAGGGTGCAGGATCCGAAGCTTGGATGGCGAAGACGAGGGCAAGAGCGCACAAACCTGTGGTTATCATGTCAGTATAAGGCAAGAGAGGCGGCAAGGGGGGGAAAGAACTTACTCTTCTGTCCGCCGGAAAGTTGTTGGATACGCTGCTGTTCGTCGTGCTTGCTGTTGAAACTCACACTGATGCCGACACCAGTGTAGTTTTCGACGCCATCTTTTCTGCCTTCACCATCTTCGCCACTGTCTTCCTCATCATTCTCGCCTCGAGCGATGCGATCGGTACGGCGCTGGATCACCAGGCGACCCTTACCGGCCGGGACCAGTTTCTCAAAGATACGAGCAAACTCCTTGCTGACTTGGCGGAAGGTGCGCTCGATGGCTTCGTCTTTACGTTGATCCAACACATCGATGAGCTCTTGAATACTTGACAGCGAGTTTTCGAGTTCTTTGCGACGAGTTTCGAGACTTTCGCGTTGGCGAGTGAATGAGTTGTACTGTTCGAAAGCCTTTTTGTTGACGTGGCCGTAGCCCTTGAGGGCATTCTTGACCTTGTTCAATCTCTTGGCTGCTTTATCCCAGTTCATGCTGATATAAGGCTCTTGGAAGGCAGATTCAGGTAGCACACCGAGGTTACGGATGCTGATGCCCACAGCCTCTTCCTTCTCCTTGAGTGTAGCACGCTTGGCAGTATTCTTCTCCATCGATCTCTTCTTCTTAGAGATGGAGCGAGCAAGCTCTTCTTGTTGACGTTGCTTTTCCTCGCGCGATGTGTTGGCTTCTGAAAGTTTAGATTGTGCTTGTTCGAGCGTTGCCTCTGCTTCTTCGAGTTTGTTCATAACGCTCGACAAAGCCCCGTCTGCACGTTCGAGCTCCCTCTGCTTCTCTCCGAGGCGTGCGTTGCCACCCGCGACACCGCCAGCACCAAGTTCAGCATCTTGAGCTTGGAGTTGGTCAAGTCTCAGACGAAGATTCTCACGAAGCTCCACTTCCAAGCTGGCCTTGCGACCTTCAAGCTCTGAGCGTGTAGAACTCAGGTCCGAGAATTGCTTTCGGAGGGTTTGCACAGTTGTGCTCAGGGTCTCGAGCTGACGTTCTTCATCTGCCGAGAGCGCTTTCCTGTACTCGGTGCTCAACTCTGTCTCATAGGCACTGCCTTGTTCTCCGAGTTGTCTTGCTGCAAGCTCAACATTGTCACGAGAGCGCTTCTTTTTGTCGAGCTCTTCGTGTTTAGATTGCAAACCGTTCGTTTTGCTCCTCAGCTCTTGACGAAGGGGACCATAACTGTTCTCCGCTTGTAGACGCTTTTGATCAATCTTCTGCAAATTGCTGACAGCCCTGGTAACTTGCTGGTCCAGCGCCTCGAGTTCGCGGCGAATCTCATCACCACGGTTGCGATGTTCCTCGTACTTGGCTCGCCATGCTTGAACATTGCGTATACCATCAAGGCGTGATGATCTCGGATCGTGGAAACCACCAGTGAGAGCACCCTTCTTGTCTGCACGGTCACCCTCTGGCGTAATGGCAGACACACCGTGACTACGAGCGTATTGTGAAGCAGTTGCGAGGTTGGGGCAGACAATAGTCTTTCCGAAAACTTGTTCGAATGCTTTCTCGTACTTCTTGTCGTACGTAATCTTGGTGAGAAGGTGCACCGCATCAGCAGCATTTGGTATGTTGACGGGTCTTGGTCGGAGGCGATTGAGCGGCATGAATGTTACACGCCCTGACTTCTCTCGTTGAAGGATTTCGAGAACTCTTGTGGCGGTGTCGTCAGAATCCACCACGTAGTGGAACAGGCTGTTTCCGGCGGTAACCTCAATGGCAGTCTTGTATCGTTCTGATGAGGGCTCGAATAGCTCAGCAAGAGTGCCGTATACACCTGGAATATTGTGTTGACGAGCGATGCGACGAACAGCAGCAATCCCTCGGCTCGTATTGTGGTCCGTCATATGGGAAAGAAAACGTTCGGCCTTTTCGAGCTCTTGCTGAGCATTTGTGATGACTGAATCGAGCCTTGCTTCTTCGCGCCACAACTCTTTGCGCTGGTCCATCAAGCGGTCTCGCTCGTCCTTGGCTTTTTGTACATCGGCAGCCATGGTCTGCGTCTCGTCGCCGCGGTTATCGATGCGACTTCTCAACTCTGCAATCTCGGATTCGAGAGTCGAGATTTCCTCCTCAAGCTCTGCAACATCGTCTGATGCTTGCATAGCAATGGCCTTTCTTGTGGCCAATGCGACGTTGATTTCTGCAATTTCTTTGCGTAGCCAGGCATCTCTGTCACGCTTGCTCTTAAATTGCGTTTGACGTCCTTGTTTGGCGTACAATCTCTGGCGTTGGCCTTCTGCTTCGACAAGCTGGTTCTTGATGGTGGCCTCCTGCTCCTTTTGTGCGTTGTATTGGGGGAGAATCTGGGCCAACTCGGCCTCACGCTGCTCGATCTGGGCACGAACTTGTTGCAGATCATTGGCATGACGAGTTCTTGCCGATTGTGCTGCAGACTGGCCATCCGTAAGTGCCTTGACGTCCAGTTCGACCTTTGCCTTTTCACGAGAAGCCTCCTTGCGCTCGTCTTCGAGTTGTTGTCTGTCGAGGACCAGGAACTCGATTTGCTGCTTGAGTCGACCGATCTGACTGTCCATCTCTTTCAAGTCTTCCTCCCCTTGGAGGAAGTCCTGGCTGTGTTCATCCGCTCCGACAACATCGTTCTGGCGTTCCTCATCGATGCGGGCCAGCCAGTCTGCAACTTCCTCTTGCTCGTTGCGGTAGATGGCATATTCGAGACAACGTCGTTCGCGGTCCTTCTCCTGGTATGCTCTGAGCTCCTCCTTTTCCTCTTCCAGCTCGCCCAACCGCTCGCGGATGTATGCTAGGAGGTCGTCGATCTTTGCGCGCTTGTTGTCTGTGTCGGTGACGATTTTGAGGGATTCTGCTCTGCGCGATTCGTAGACCTGAGTACCAGCAACTTCCTTGAGCAGGTTCAAACGCTCGCCGTCCTTCATGTTGGTGAGGGTCGTGACGCGTCCTTGGGGAACGATATAGTAGGGGTTTGAGCGTGAGAAACCAGCAGATTCGAGCAAGTTCATGACGTCGGCCTTTGTGGCATTCCTGCGATCGAGCGAGTATTCATCCTTCTTCTGACCGATAGTTCTGCGCAGGACAAGTTCTTCTCTGCCGGTCGGGAAACGGCCGTCGGTGTTGTCGAAGATGACCTCTACATAGGCTGACATGACTGCTGAGCCTGAGCCTTCCTATACATGTGTCAAACCAACAGGTTGTGAAGTAAATGCTGGCGGCGCAAACGTACGTGTAGAAGAGCTTGTCGCTCCTCACGGCCCATTTGTGTATAGGCATCACTCAAGACGAATCTGATAGCAGCGAAGAAGTTACTCTTGCCAGAACCGTTGCGACCGACGATAACATTGTGCTTTGGCGAGAAGGGCTCGATGACGGTTTGGTCCTTGTAGCTGCAGGGGCATCGCGTCAGAACATACGCATGCTCGAAAGAAGCACGGGAAGGCATACCTTTTGAAGCCCTGGATGATGATCTGTTTGATATGCATCGTCGCCAATTAAGCAATGCCCGGCATGTACGTACGAGCGGGCGGTAATGGTATGCAAGATTGGTGACACGCTCCGGAGAGTACGCGTTGGACGCGTTTAGTTTAGCCGGACTTTGGCCGTTGATAGACTGGCGCCGTGGGCCGCGGGCGGCCAGTGGGTCGTGCCTTGTTGCCTTGTACAATCCATATCTCCGCCATTGACTTTGTAGAATGCTACTAGACTATCGTATCGGCAATCAATGTGGGTTATCATATCATACTTCTGCATGCTACCTCGACTGGGGTCATCTCGAATGCTACCTTGACATTTATGCCTCCGTCCTCGCATCCATCTGTTTCTATTCCCTACCCCGCCCCCCACTCGACTATGCTACCTCAATTATGCTTCATGCCCGACGATCAACTCATTCGAGACATGATACCCGATGCATTTAGCCATGCTTTGCTCATCAAGACCATCTTCAAGATAAGTTACAAGTATATAGTCCTGCGGCTGCTTTCTTTCCATATGTGATACAACACACACACACCATGTCTGCTTCAACTCCCTTGAAGCTTGCTTTGCTTGGCCTCGTCCCTCTGGCTCTTGGTCAAGGAGGCCTGGTTATCAATCCCAAAAATGCAGGTCTACAAGTCGGCAGTCATGCTACATCTGTACCAATCGATCTCTCACCCTTGGTCAATAATCGTGCCTTTGCCATGACGCCTGGCGATGCCGACTTCGACGGCATCCACTCCGGCTACCCTGCCCAGTACTTGCCCGATAGCAACTTCACCTATGGAGGTGTCAACTACATATTCCCGCAGTACAACGAGTCCGGTCATGACAATGTGCTTGCTCAAGGACAAGTCATCACTCCGCCTCAGGGTCGTTACTCCAGTATCTCTATGCTGGTAGCTGCGGAATCTGCCGTGGCTACTGGTTACGTTAACGTGACCTACACGGACAACACCACTAGTTCTGGACCCATCCTCGTAGACCCTTTCTGGTCATGGCCTTATCCTTACGGCGGCGATGTAGTCTTCCCGTACTATCTCACTAACAGCACCATCGACTATAATCGTTCAATGGTGTACCAGTCCGTCAACTGGCTCGACTCTACGAAACAAGTCTCTAGTGTCACACTTCCAAATGTCACCTCTGGCGCCGCAACTGGACCGGGCGGTGCTGCACAAAACACTCGCTTGCACATATTCTCAGTTTCGCTCGTCACGGCAAATGGTGCCGGAATCAGTCTTGAGATTCAGCAAGCACGATCGACACAACTTTGGATGGAAGGAACGAACAAGACTCAGATATTCGAGGCCATCGTGGTGAACACAGGAGATGACTGGATTCTTGCAAACAACAGTGTCAAAGTTGCAGTCGAAGCCCCAGGCATAACAACTGTACAACCTGGGGTGATCAATAGACTTCGTCCTGGAGACAGAGCCACCGTTCGTGTTGGGGTGGTCAATGCCGACGGGACAGAGCCTGGTAGCACTGGCGAAGCCACTTTACGTGTCACGGGTGCCGGTGTGCAGGCGAGTTCGACGTTCAACGCAACCTTTGGCATCGGTTCCTACGAAGCAACATACGAGAGTATCTACGCCCATGAAAGCCCCTCTTGGTACACAGGCGGAAAGTACGGCATCTTTATCCACTGGGGTGTGTACGCTGTCCCCGGTTGGGGCAATTCTGGCGAGAAGGGTAAGAATCTATCCTAAATGGTCACTTGACGATAAGCCTCGCTGACAAATGACAGAACAATATGCCGAGTGGTATTGGTGGTACATGAACCAAGGCCCTGATAGCTCGAACGATGCAGGTTTCTACCAATACAACCTTGACACATACGGTCCGGATCATGTATACGACGACTTTATCCAAAACTTCACGACAGAGTTCTACGATCCCAAAGAATGGGTTGATCTCTTTGCCGATGCCGGTGCTCAGTACTTCGTTCAAGTATCGAAGCATCACGAAGGATATGCTCTCTTCGACATCCCGGCCAACATCACCAAGCGAACCAGCGTGGCTCAAGTTCCACACAAGAATTTGCTGCAGATGCTGTTCGATGCTGCAGATGAATATCAGCCACATCTCCACAAAGCCACCTACTTCTCGGTACCTGAATGGTTCCATCCCGACTACAAGAAGTATGGGTTCGGCGATTCCAAAGGCGCTGCATGGCCTGGCGGCAATGCAACTAATCCTTACACCAACGAGACACTTCCTTACACTGGCTACGTGTATGTAGACGACTTTGTCTCTGATCTCATTCTCCCCGAGATGGAAATCTTGGCTTCGATGGGCACAGAAATCATGTGGTGTGACATCGGAGGCCCCAACCTGACTGCAGAGTTCTCGTCAAAATACTTCAACGACATGGCCGCCCAAGGCAAACAAGTCCTAATCAACAACCGCTGCGGCCTCCCCGGCGACTTCGACACCCCGGAATACGCCAAATACGAAGCCGTGCAAATGAGAAAATGGGAGTCAAACCTCGGCATGGATCCCTTTTCCTACGGCTACAACCGCGCAACACCCATCTCCGCCTACATCACCCCTACTGAAATCGTAACCTCTCTCATCGATATCGTCAGCAAGAACGGCAATTTCCTGCTCGATATTGGCCCTCAGGCTAATGGCACTATTGTGGATATCGAAAAGGAAAATCTCAGGGAGGCGGGTAAGTGGATCAAAGGGCACGGAGAGGCAATTTTCAACACGACGTATTGGTTCATCACTCCTGAGGAGGGAGAGACTGTGAGGTTTACGCAGACGCCGGATGCGTTCTACATCTTGACTTTGTATGCGCCCAACGCTACGCTGGTTCTGGATAGCCCTGTTCCCTACGTTGCTGGCGATCAAGTCACCATTGTGGGCGGCAATATGAGCGGTAGTGTTGTTCCATCGAGGTTGTTGAGTAATGGAAGTCTGGAGTTGACGATCAGCGATGCTGTTGTCGCTGCTGATGAGTACAGTTGGGTCTTCAAGATTGCGTTTGGAGGTGTGCCTTCGAATGGCACCGTCACTGGCAGCGCACCTCCGTTTCAACAGACTACTAACGACGCTGGCAAGTGGTCATCAGATTGGGTCAAGTTGGTTCCGTCTGTTGTGCTTGGAGCTATGCTGTGGCTTATGTAGATAGAGACCAGACTTTATAGCTCATCAATCTAGTTGAATTTGAACAATATCCTGACTCTGGCAGACCTCCCCAGCGTCTTAGGCTCTTCGTTGAGTCCTTCGAGCCGTCCGAGAGAACGTACGATATGGGTACAGTCAGATTATTGATTGCTATCTAGTAACAAAGGAAGAAGAAGCGAGACAAGAGAAGCCACATAAAGATATAATCCTTTCCGAGTCTGTCGTACAACATGAATATAACATTCCGAAGGAGATGCACCACTACTTTATAGTGCTCGATCGCAATACTCGCTTCCTTCAGTGATTTCACTACTGTCAGAGCAGATGTTGCTTTTGTCAAAGTGGGTCAGACTGTGCTTGAACGCATAGGCTCCAGGGTCAGGTCAGGGTCTCTTGGCGGGTTGGGTTATAGATGGCTGCTCAAAGCCGCGTTTGGTCGATGTAAAATGTTTGTGAACATGCTGAAGATGATTTTGGCGGTAGAGACCAACTGTCTCTGACGAACGATGGTGAGAGTTCTGACTGCTGGGAGGATTGGGCGTTGATGGAGAACCGTACTGAAGGGCAGAATGTTTACGCCAGGCTTCAACGTTGGACATTTTTGTCTTGGGCGAGACGCTCTCATTATGAGTAGGAGGGTGGTATCTAAAAGCAGCTTGGTGCTCGAGGCGAAGTTCGTTCCGCCGTCTTTCTGCAAGTCTTCGCACCGCCTCAATTCGAAGCAGAATCACATTGACATTCATGTTGGATGAACGATGGAGGCCTGAGTATATGTGGGTGATGTGTGTTCATCAGGTAAGAGGTTGCATGATAACGACGAGGAACAGGATGATGTTGTGACGGGACAAATGTTTGGATGTGGGATGGAGGAGGACGCGGTCATGAGCAAAAGGTGTCCACGATTGTTAGAGGAAGGCGCAATAAAAAGACTGACACCTTCCTTGGGTGGAGAGAAAAGTGTCAACGTACGAAAACAACCAAAATAAGAAATGGCAAGAACTCCATTCCAAGGGTAACTTTTCCAACGTATTAAAGAATAATCAATGACCCCATTCCACCTTCCCTTGCTGTTTTGCAACCTGATCAACAGGTCTGTGTCGCTTGTATCTCTGGAGTCTATATCTCTATACTCATCGCCAGCCAGCAAAAGGCCCGGCTCCATGTCTCTGCACACAATTCCATTCGTACTGAGGAAGAAAAGTCAGTAATCAAGCTATCCATCTGTGATCAATCTACAAACTTACGACTTTACCATCTTCATCACCAGTATACACAACTTGTGACATGGGCAGAACACAAGTGATTGTCGGAACTTGGACATTTGGCTCACCGCGTGTGGGCTCAACATGCATCAACCTTTTGATGAGTTGAAGATGCCATGCTCCATCACGAAGTGTGACGAGTGACCAGACCTGATGACAATATTAGCTCTGACAAGCCTGTTCGATACATTGCCTGGAGACTTACATTTACAATGCCACGTTTGTGGCCCGTGAAGAGCAACACACGCTCTACCCACTCATTGGCAGCGCCTTCGTAGAAAGCACAGCAGGTGATTTCGTCATCTTCAGCATCGCAGACTTTCTGTTCGACAAGAAGGTGTCCATTCAATGTTAGTACGCGTACGAATGCTCCACTGCACAATACAATGTGTCCAGTCAAGTTATTGACCTGGGCACACTGAATTGTACGACTGCCGTTGTTCGCTTCCTGAAGCACACGCACGCAGTCAAAGCGATTGAGATCCCAGAGAAATACTTGACCGTCAACCGACGCAGATACCAGAGTGCTGAAAGCGCGTGAGGCTGCAAGGACGCTAACAGGCGTGCGATGGCCGAAGAGGTAGGTCCTTGACTGGATGTCTGCCGAGTCTGAGCTGAAGCCGATGGTCCATACGCCAATCGTGCTATCCGCTCCTCCCGTGATAAGTGTCTTTGAGTCTGCGAACAGAGCGGTGCTGATCTGTCCAATGTGTAGGTTCTCATACAGACCGAGCATTCTTCTGTTATCGGCAGTGAAGAATCGAAGACTGTTATCTGCAAAGCCCCATTGGAGATAGCTCTTACAAGCTGGTGGGACGTTGAGCTTGCACGGAGGAGAATGTAACAGACGCTCTTGGCTGGCCGAATACGTCAACGCCGTGACTTTTTCGTGGCTCTCATACAAAGGGAACGGTAGCTTGATCAAGGACTCTGCGATAGTGTCAAGCCTCTCCACTCTGTGCTTATCTTCCTCTGTTCTTGGATGCGCACGCTGGAAGACCTGGTGAGGCGTTTGTCCAAAGTTGTGAATGATACCAATGGTCGCGAGCTTCTCGACTTCATCTTGCATAGAATCCAAATCCTTCGCACCTTGATACGAAAGATGGTGGAACACATTCGTGGCTTCGAGTGCTGCTTCTCCACGCTGTTTGTATCCAAAGATAAGATCAACCCATTCCTGGAGGTGTTGGCTGACATACGGACTTTCGAGTGCCTCTCTATGCTTGGCGATGAAGATGTGTGGGTCACCCTTAGCCCAAGGTGGAAGAACGACATCGTTGATAGTCTGACCGCTGCCTTGCTTTTGGCCAAAGTCATACCCATTTATATTTTGTAAGAACTCGGGCAGACAGAAGAATTCTGGTGTCAATTCACGAACATCAGTCATGTTCTCTTTGGATGCAGATAACCAGGCCTTCTCAATCGAGTCGAATAATCTATCTGCATGATCAAAGTTGCCACCTTGGAGCAACAAGTATGACTGTACGAATGGTGGCAATCGAATGAGATATGATGAAACGATCATGGCCGACGAGTAATGAGTACCATAGTGGAAAGGTGGAGAGTGTTCGTCGCCCATCTCAGCAAAAGCACGGTAACGCTCGCGGAACTCGGACTCGCGTGCAGGGTGTTGACAGCCCATCGGCTTGGAGAGATCTCGGAAACTTCGAGGGTCCGTCAAGTCTAGCTCCTCGCTAGTATAGTCTGCAAGAATCCAAGGGAACACAGGATATTGCGTGAGGTCGTTGAAAGTTCTACCGGCCATGTTGTTGATAAGCATGAGATATTGGAAGTTCGATATCTCGCCACGGGTCCATCGTCGAGTCGCTGCGTTGGTTGATGTTGAGTTGAAGACATTGGCAAACTTGGAGCCGAAGCTCTGTGGCGTTTCTTCCGGATTTCTCAGCGAGTCGAGTCTCCAAGCGTCCTCGGCAGGCAGAGAGGACAGTGAGCCGTATACAAGTGGCGATTTTCCTGCGAGATTCGAGTAAACGTCGTTGCGTGCTGAAGGCGTCATGAATGTCAAGAGGTAGCTGCGACCATCGGTGAAGAAGACTTCCAATGCGACATCTCGGAACAGGAAGCGACGTTTTGAGATGTGTAATAGTTCTTGCCAGGTCCAATGTCTTGCAGGTTCTCTCTCTGCGCGTTGCTTTCGTTTGGTCTTGACCTCTTTTCCTGAGATCAGTTGAACATAAGGATCACGTTCTTCGTCGGGGGCGTGAACAACGCTGACGATCTCTCCATCGGATCTTTGGAACATTTCGTCTTGAAGATATAGGCATTTTTTGCCGATGATCAAGAGACCCTCGAAAGCCTCCAGACCAACCACACGAGAGACGTTACAAATGTTTTGTACACGATCACCGCGCTGTAAGCTCTTGAGGACTTTACGATTCTTGTCTTCGAAACCTTCCTCGCCATCTTTGGGGTCGTCTACCATCTCGAACTCGCCGTCGAGCAGTGCAGAATTCGAGATAGAATCATCCCTTGGTGTCAATGGAGCATTGTCGAAATGTGGCGCGTCGAAATTAGCAGGCGTCCGTGGGGTAGGCTCCGCCGAAACAATGTCTTCTAACAAACTTTGGCGAGACCGTGTGTCAATCTTCAGCTTCGTTTGCGAGATACGCTCAGAACCTTTACGCTTCGGCTGAAAAGTTTCTTGATCCCGTCGTAAATCTGGCACGATTCGTATACGCATTCTATTGCGCGACTCGGTCTGGTCGAGTTGCCATTTGAACGGTTCCCTCTCAGGGAATATACCCGAGGGCTGCTTCAAGAGACTTTCCAGTCTAGCAATAACCGTTTGTATGTGGTTCAAATTCTCTTGCTGGTCTTGAAGCGCGCCCTGATACTTCAGTCGCTCCTGAGAATGGATGTTCGACCGCCAATGCCTGGTGGATACCTCAAATCGATGTGCGACATTATCAAGCTCGGCTTCGGTCGTCTTCCATTGTTTCAGCTTCTCCTTACGCTTAGCAAGGCGGTTCTTGGCAGACTCTTCGGTCTTCTGGTTCTCGGAGCCTACAAACTCATCCCAGAATCTCGACATAGTCTCATGGAAGAACTCGTCGAGGGGTTTTCGATTCTGATCAATCCATTGCAGAAGTTCGTCGTCGTCGTGGGCAGCAAGCTTGATCAATCCTGTGGAGATGTGTCGTTGATTCGGGTCCGCGTTCTGTATGAGAATAGTCGCGGCTTCTGTCGGCTTTTGCACAAGCAGCATTCTCCATAACGAAGCTGCAGCATGCCGCACCGCAGACGACGGCGAGGTCATCTTGATATACAGTAGATAACAAATCAGCCTGATGAAAGGGAGTTCCTGGTTCTGCGGTGAAAACAGGATGGTTTGCCAGTAAGTCATCTTTCTCAGGAAGTCAAGAGCGTCAGTGTCATCCTCAACTTCGTCGAGTTCGGACAGGCGAAGGAGTGTGACGCGAAGAAACACTGAACGAAGTGTTGATACTGCTTGTGAACACAGTCGTACGCCCTTTGTCGACGACACGGCTGGCTGTTGCAGATACTCCAGTGCCTTGCCTGTAAAGTCCAGCAGCGGCTGGGCTCCCTCAATGAACCAGCCTTCAAAAACAGCCTCTGCCATATGCAAGCTGTATCGAGCTAAGTTCGTTAGAGTTCTTGGCTCAACCATTAATTCTTGGTTTAGCTGAAGATGGTTCCATAATTGATGCATGGTGTGAAGCAGAACGTATGATTCAAAGTATGCTTGGTGTTCCTGGAAGCCTGGCGGTACTTTGAGAAACAGACCAAAGCCTGCAAAGTCTTTGCGCTGGGAAACTTGTTCGAGGTATACCATGACTACAAGCTCAAGCAACGATTCGACAACCGCGTTGCCGACGTTGATCTTGACTGGTTTGCTTGTTGTGGGGGACATTATTGCGTTGAAACGTGTGGATACAGTAGACTGTTTGACTTCTGACGCGCCAGGATTGACAAATACGAAAGACGATGTCCTGCGAGGAATCTGAAGTTGGTTCGGGCGATTTTGGGTAGGCAGCGTTCTGCTTGAACCGCTTCTGAGTACAGCCGGTCGCTCACCAAGTGAATTGGAATGAGGTCGTAAAACAACTTCCCGTCCTTGGAAGTTCAGCGGGCTTTCGGAAGCCAGTTCTGCGGATGCACTGAGTCGATCCGCACTTGTTATGAGTGGGAACAGTACAAAAAGCAATTCCTGTACATAGTGGGAGTCGACGGCAAAGTCTCGGAACGACTTACTCCGGGAGTGTACGTCTGTAAGGAACTGGACTATGGTCTTTGGGATCGAGTGCAACTCAGGGAAGTTTTCGTTGTCGTTTGGATTTGCTGAGTCCTTTACTATGGTCCTCAGACTTGCTTCCAACATACCGGCTATCGCTGGGAAGATCTCAGGATGCCTGATCTCGGTTTCTCCTTGCTGCATGAATGCTTCCATGAGGTGGAAGATGGTGAGCTCTCCAGGGTCGTGTTGAGAGACGAATGGACGACCGAATAGGATAGCAAAACATCCCATCCAGACCCTTGGAGATCTCCAGTGGCTCCTAAGTCTGGCTTGTAGTGTCGTGAAGCCATTGTTCTTCTCGGCAAATTTTGACTTGAAGCTTGGTATTTCCACAATTGCTCTTGATATGATTGATAGCGCAGAGCCCACAACGCGAGAATCAGGCTCTGCCAACAGATGGAGGATCCAGCGTGTAGGAACTTGCTGATCAAAACGCTTGATATGTGTGTTGGTCTCGAAACCACAAAGCACCTCTGAATAGGTCTCGACGACACTGACACCAAGACTCAATTGACTGAGCCTAGCTATACCTGGCGACCCCGAATTAGGGCTAAGCGCCTCGGGCGTGATTAATCTAGGAGATGAAAGCTTGATTGATGTCGATCTGTTGCGGGGAGATCTCAGAAATGGGTTGGCTGACTGCAAGGCTCTGTTGTCATGTAACGCATAGGTGATGAAGGTAGCAATATCCCGATGATTGAGATGTGCCGTCTTACATAAGCTAAGAGCTTGCAAAGCATGCAAAATCTCAGGCAATACCTCAGAACTGATTGAATCGACTTTGAGGGCGTCTAGAAACCTGCGCACCACTCTCATCTTGTTGTAACGTTTCATGTTAAAGGTCTGATTGTTGTTCTTCCAGACAAATCCAGCTATTTGTTGGTAGTAGAGCTTTTGAGTTTCGATGCTTATCGTGCGCCAGGTGTCGAAATCCACAAGCAGAACTCGGTAAGCCATGGGGTTGACGAGCAAAGAGTTGTGAGGATTCTTAACGTCGTAGCCGACAAAGGCAAGCACAACTTCAAGGAGCCTTGCTGCCAACTCCTCCCTTTGTTGCATGGTTTTCGCTACCGGGGTACTCCTATTGCTCCCAGGGCCATTGGTATATATACCAAGCTTCTCTCGTAACAAAACTGCCAGGATACCAAAACCATTGTCTTTCTCCATGACTTCGCTGGTTCGCCAGTTGTCCAATACACATTGGAACAGAATCTCAACTGATGTCACAAGCGAGTCGGCAGTTGATGCACTCTGGATGATCTTCATATTGATAGGCAAACAGCCACCGATCTGCCAACTGCCATCATCCAAGCCACGAGTGAGAGTCAGGATAGGGCTACCAGTAACAACAGCTGCTCCGTAAGACCTCGTGATAGCTTCGTTGATGGTAGGTCGGGCCGCGTTGAGCAATAGCGGATTGCCGTTGCGCGTGAGAGACTGCAGATGTGCCGCGGCCTTGTCACTTAGCATATCTACAATGTTTATACCATTGGCGAGAAGACCGTTCATGTCCACAATCATCGAAGCCGACATACTGATCAAGAGTTTGCCTTCAGGGAGGAGTTCACTACCCTGAGATTGCGTAGCCTTGACAATCTGGGACTTATCGTCTTTGTCTGCGTGCAGCATCTCGTTGTACCTATTGAGCTCGGCAGAAGCCCGATAAGTCAAGAAAGGTCCCACGCAGTCTTGGAAATTGCCACAATATCGAGGACCGAGTTTTTGATGAACCGCGACCAACTCCGGAGAAAGGGACGCGTCAATCAAGTAAGCACTTGCCAATGACCACTTCAGCCTCAAGACACGGTCGACTGCTTGAGAAGCAAGGTCTTGTGGCGTGCCAAAGAAAGCTTGGACCGGTCTTCGAGTGGTATTAACGACCTGAGAAGGCACAGGAGCACGAACCTCCGGGATCAGCGGAGGCGCTTCTGGGTACGGACAATGCTGCTCTTCTATGCACCGTCCGTTGACATATAGTATAGCTGGATTTGAGCCGCTTGTTCTAGAGGGGCGATGCACTATGGCAATATGGTACCACTCTCTGGCTCCGAATCTAAACTTTTTGAAGCGCACACTGGGTCTCTTCGCAGTGACTGACGTCTGCAATATGAGCTGGTGAGTTTCCTTCTCAATATAGACGAGAACAAAACATGTTTGGCTGGCGTCAAATGCTCCGAATATAGTGGTGTGGCAGTCCGAGTCGAATTGGTCAATCTTGATCCAGGACGAGAACGTATATCCGGTAGTAGGAGGAAAGGGCCGTGGCAATGACGCGAGCTCGATTGAGCAATGTCCAGAATGTGACAAGTCGAATTGGATAGCGGGAGGCTGCTTAGACTGTTGCAAAACTTCCAGCAGTATTTCCTTCGCCGAATCATCTTCGCAAGCTAGTTTGAATATTTGAGCTGTCTCTTCCAGACGACGTGTTCCAAGTGGAAGTAACGATTTGCACAGCTTTCGTAGCAGAGCAGCCTCGTATTTATCCATGTCTTTGCCAGTCAAGTAAGGCAACAGGACCGACAAAGTGCCGGCGTCATGGACTACAACTCTGTTGCTTTCTGCTGTACCAACGAGGCAATCAAGGACAGTCAAGACGGCAATCGGCAAGATAGCTGAATCTTTGCTCGAAGTCCCTTCCCGAGATAGTGCATAGAAGTCTGACATGATGGTCACAGCCTCTGAGTTGAGGAGCCGCTCATTTTCGTCAAAGCAATCACGAACTAGGCTCTGCATTCTCTCTGGCGTTGATGTGTTTGCGGCGGCCTCAGCTGCTTGAGATGCATTTCCATTCAGCTCCGCCTCCATGACGTCCGGCTTGTCGAGCCACAAAGGCTTTAATATGTTGTTGCACGCATTGTCTCCAAGCGCCAATGCCAGTGTAGCACCAAACAGCCTCAGCAAATTGTTAAAACTGTTCTTGTTACAGACAGAGTTGGCGATAATGGAAGAAACGTGTTGAACAAGGTGGCGTAGAGCTTGCCATCCTCCCCCAGAGACTCGCTTGGTAAAGTAGCGAGAGTTGCCATGGTGCCGACGCAGTGCTTGGGTCAAGATATTTAGCACATCGACACCAACTTGGACGAAGTTCTCTTCCGAAGAGATGTTCTTCGGTTCTCCCTGTGCTTCTGCGTATTGGACCGCTGACTCTAGAACTTGAAGAATCGCCTGGAAGCCTCGAATCTGACGAAACTGGTCTTGGACATCATTCTGGTCATTGTCATCAAAGAAGATAGACAGTCTGATGAGATCATCATGGGCACTCCGTAGCGATTCAGCAGTGATGTGCGTGAGGTTCGATAATCTTTGAACAAGTGAAGCGAGAGCACTTGTCCTGACTTGTGTTGGTGGACTGGAGTTGCTGGTAGATGATCTATACCGGCGGGGGGTGGGAGATCGATTGTCCATTTTGGTATTAACGGTCCTGATCGATATATACAGAGTGAACAGCTAACGATGTCATTGCTCCGGAAGTGACTGTGATTGCGCAAGGGGCAGGTAATCCGGAATCCGATGGCGTTCTCTCCGGACTCGATCAAGCAGTCAAGTGACGACCCCGCAAAGTAGAATGGTTGCTTGACTGCGGCTTTGCAGGTGGAGCATACACCAGCCAAGAAGATAGCAAAAGGGATGGGCCGAAGACCTAGGCTGGAAAGGCTCTGAAGATAGCAGCAGTAAGGTTGCCAGGTACAACGACTGCAGTGGAGGCGCACGTGAGCGTTCGATGTTTCGCAGCACCGGATGCCTTAAACAGTGAATCGAGGAAGAGGGCACACGCGCAGACGAATGTGTAGAGTCGTTTGCACTAGCGCCAGATAGCTCCACATTTCCAAGGCGACAGACGGACGATAACGACACCCCCGAGTCACCGATAGCATTGCCTTGTGCGGTCTTTACAAGTTATTTGCTCCTTTGTGTTCTATCTACAAGTAAATTACAATACATAGATTCCAGTTGATTGAGATTATCCCTGCGTCTGCAGTGATTCATGAGCCCAGTACTGAGCGTCCAGTGTGGAAACAATGGTGTGGTAACTGTGGTTAACGTGACCATCAGGTCAAATGACGTTTTCGGCGTAAGCACGGGCCTCCGATAACGACCCCAGATTGGCAAGCTGCCGCCCACTCTGGTGGTCCTCGTCCTTCATCAACTCGACTCATCCTCGACTCCATCCCTCCTTCATCCACCTCCTCTCTATCATCCTCTCTTCTGCATCCACTTCCCAACTACATACACATATCCACTCTTCATCATGAAGGGTATCGCAGGTCTTACACTCCTGCCGCTGCTGGCAGCTGCAAAGCCTGTCATCAAGGCAGACACCTTTGGCCACCAGAGCATCAACAACGATGCTGCTCCTCTCATCTCATCTGTTGATGCCGAGACCATCCCCGACTCGTACCTTATCGCCTTCAAGGACCACGTCGACCACCATGACGCCGCCGCTCACCACAACTGGGTGCAGGACATCCACGAGCAGACCTTGAACTCTAAGCTCGAGCTCCGCAAGAGATCGCAGGCTCCTTTCCTCGAGACTGTCTTTGACGGTCTCAAGCACACATACAACATGGAAGGCCTGAAGGGCTACTCAGGTCACTTTGACGAGTCCGTCATCGACGCCATCCGCAAGCACCCCGATGTAAGTACACATGATCCCACGATCTCTCTTTCATTTTTCCTCAGCTTCGCACGAGACGGCGCGGAAACATGGCCAAACTTGTTTTCGAACTGTTTGCTCCAGTTCTGTGGCGATCTCTAAGCTGCTGCCTACGCTCACCTGACCCCCTTCGGCCCAACAGAGCTTTGCTGACATGTCGTTTCTCAGGTTGCCTTCGTCGAGAAGGACCAGGTCATGCACACACTCGCAAAGTCCGAGGACCCCGCCGTCGAGAAGGGCGCTCCCTGGGGTCTCGCTCGTATTTCTCACCGCGACAGCCTGACCTTCGGCACATTCAACAAGTACCTCTACTCATCCGACGGCGGTGAGGGTGTCGATGTCTACGTTATCGACACCGGAACCAACGTTGACCACGTCGACTTCGAGGGCCGTGCCTCTTGGGGCAAGACCATCCCTTCGGGTGATGAGGACAAGGACGGCAACGGCCACGGCACTCACTGCTCTGGTACCGTCGCTGGCAAGAAGTACGGTGTTGCCAAGAAGGCCCACGTCAAGGCCGTCAAGGTCCTCCGCTCCAACGGCTCAGGCCAAATGTCCGATGTCGTCAAGGGTGTCGAGTACGCCGCCGAGTCTCACATCGAGCAGGTCGAGAAGGCCAAGAAGGGCAAGAGAAAGGGTTTCAAGGGCAGCGCTGCCAACATGAGTCTGGGTGGTGGCAAGTCTGCTCTCCTTGACCAGGCTGTCAACGCTGCTGTCGACGCCGGCATCCACTTCGCTGTTGCCGCGGGTAACGACAACGCCGACTCTTGCAGATACTCCCCTGCTGCTGCTGAGAAGGCTGTCACCGTCGGTGCCTCCACTCTCGCCGACGAGCGTGCCTACTTCTCCAACTTCGGCAAGTGCAACGACATTTTCGCCCCCGGTCTCAACATCCTTTCCACCTGGATCGGCAGCGAGACTGCCACCAACGTTATCTCCGGTACCTCGATGGCCTCTCCCCACATCGCTGGTCTTCTCGCCTACCTCCTGTCCCTTCAGCCCTCCAAGAACTCCGCCTACGCCGTTGCTGAAATCACTCCCAAGAAGCTTAAGGCTGATCTTCTCTCCATCGCCACTGTTGGTGCTCTCGAGGATGTACCCTCAGACACTGCCAACGTAAGTAACTCTATCTTTTCGTGCCTCAGCTCTGTACTAATTCGAACTAGATCCTTGCCTGGAACGGTGGTGGCTCTGCCAACTACACCGAGGTCATCTCCGCCGGAGGCTACAAGGTCAAGAACTCGCAGCGCGAGTACGGTCTTGAGGAGCTCAAGGCTATCACCAAGACCGACTCTGCCCACAAGGCTTACAAGAAGGTCCAGGAGATGGATGCTTCGACCATCCGTGAGGACATGAGAGAGTCGTTCGAGGCTGCTCGCAAGGAGATCAGCAGACTCACTGCCAAGCTCGAGTCCGAGATTGACGAGTTCCTCGCATCTTCGGAGTAGACGCTCAAGGCATGACTGAATGAGCTTGTATGGCGTCCTCGGTGGAGCCACATTGCATTGGAGTACGGCTCGACATATCATCGATTTCTGATGTGTTGCATACTCTTGTTTCTTTTGTCATGGTTTACGGAGGATAATCAGCTGCATATCCCTTATTATTTCATTATGTATACACTTTAATATGGTAACCCCATAGTATTATGGATGGTTCTTCCAGACAACAACTTGTCCTGTCTTTCAAAGTGGCTGGTGGGTATCGAATCGCTAGGGTGATGATGAGGCGTCATGTGCGTCACGAAACCAGCCACCTTCCACTTCGAGCCAGCTTCACGTGCCTCGGCTGGAGAGCTCTTGACGGCTGGCCTGTGCTTCGAGTCATTTTCGGTCATCTCGGCGAAATGTTATCCGGCCATGAATGAATGATTCCACCGCTCCTTGGCACAGGTCGTCCTTCCAGGATTGACCCCACCAACTCGATGTTCAACAAGTTCCATTGCATAGCGCGGATGTGAACCATCCTTGACCTGAGAATGAGGTGCGACAGCAGAATTTCAACATAGTCTTCCTGGCTCTGAAGCCGTTCGAGTGCCCATACTCGTGCAAGGCTCCTAAATATATGAAGAGAACTTCAACTGTCCAATCGTGAGTATATCACACAATCTATACATAGGTATGTGTTTCGAATACGGTATTGTGACTTTGTCGTTGTTGTCAGGAAGTAAGTCCTTGAGGTGTATAGAGCTCCTTGGTGAAAGGGAAGGGGCATCTAAGGACCTCTTGCCTCTTGCAAAGTGCAGGCACGAAAGAATACAGGGTGACCTCTGCCTTCTTCATGACTGATCAAACCAATTACACAAATGCATCTCATACCAAAGCATTGGTATCGCCGCATACGTCTTCCTAGCTTTCTCGTAACCATCACCAACTCATAGCAAACAACCCCGAAGGAAGCTCCGATGCTGTCTCGGGCTAACAGTGATGCTGCTCTACGCCTACGTAGGGCCAAATCATCTTCGAGCAGCCATAGGCCCTTCGAGCCATCGATATCGAATGAGCCCAAGTATGCAGAAGTCGCAGCTGTAGAAGCCTACACACGCGCATACCGTCACTCTCAAGGAGACCGACCTCAACGTCGTCGCTCTCGTCGCTCTGAGGGCAGCCATTTTGATGACAACCGACGCAAATCTACCCAGAAGCCTGAGCGTCTCGAACGTCCTCGTCTTCTCCCTGGACCTGCGACTGCTCCTGCAACTATACCTGTGCGTCCAGCAAACCGGCAGTCTCTCTTACCGGATACACCCTATCGCTTTGCTCTTGAGGCTTCCAACGACCCTACAGTTACCTTGACGGATGTGTCAGAGTCACAACTTAGCACTACCTCCAGACGACAGACTCGTGACCTGCAGACAGATGACGAGATCAAGACTGCTGCTTGGGATGCCTATCTGCAAGGCTTTCACAAAAAGGAGGTTCGCGCGAGAAAGTCTTTCGCCGCTCCCTTAAGAAAACGCTTCTCCAAATCGCCGACTCCAGCACCATCCATTCAGTTTGACACGTCTGTACCACCCTACAATTTCGTCGAAGAATCCAACAATATCTTCTCTACTGCTCTGCCCATCGAGGTCAAGTCCGAGGACAAGTCGGCAGCTCCTGCAAAGCTCAAGAAAGGACGGACTGTCTCGGACTCGCTGAAAGGCAGATTCAAGAAGCTGCTCTCGAGACCCAAGCGAGTCCAGTCACAATTTCCTGCTCAGCATGTAGAAGCCAGGAATCTGCATTTCGATGTGTACAAGACGAATGATGACAGCTTCTCGGCTGGACCCGACGTTGGAGTCTCTCTGCCCAGGTCACCATTCTCCTCCCTAGGTGCCTCTTCCAGTACACAATCACGAATCACGAGTTGGTCCAACTCGACTGTCTCACGTCATGGAAAACGCCTTCCCTCGATTGAGGAGACTACAGCCACACCAGCTCTTGTCTATACTACACAGGAACCATCGACAGGCTCTTTCTTGGGTCGAGCGTTGCGTCTTCCACTTCGCCGACCTAGCCAATCCAACCTCCAACGTAAGTCAGAGGACAGTAAGCGCCTGTATGATGCACTACAGGAACGTATCAATGGCCCTGATATGCCGACCATTGTCGTCGAGGATGTCAAACCTGACATGCCTGCTGTCTTGTTTAACGACTCTCCACCGCTATCGCCAGCCTCCGAGACGATCCGGATCGTCGCCCCAGAACCTGCTGTTCCCGAATCTCCTACGCGTCCAGCTCCCAACCCACCTCATCAAATCGCCCGGAAGTCGTCGTGGTGGAGCATCGCGCCAAGCATCCGTTCGAAGAAGCGCCGCCAAGCAGGTCCGATTGCGCCGTCAGATGAGCAGATTGCTTCTCGTGTGGAGAGATTAGAAAATCGCTGGCAAGCTGCGTTGGAGGAAGGCTCACCCGTTGTTTCACAAGCCCTCAGTTATTGCATCAAGGGAGATAATGCATACGAATTGCGACCGTTGGAGAACGTCAACAGCTCCAGCTTGCCTGTTACTGTCCGACACGAATCCTACGACGCTGCTGCACCGACGTTTGGCAACGGTGCGGATCTTCATGACATTCAACAACAGGTCATTTCGCCCAGTATATACTCGAGGTCCATCACTCCTGATGCTGTTGGCACTTTTGTTACGATTACCGGGCGCGAGGTCAAGCGATATCCTCTTGAATCTCCCCCACGACCTGTGAATGGACCTTCCACCTACGCACCCAAACCAAGTAATGAGTGGAGAGCCTGGTTCAGCAAAGAAATCGAAGACTTTACCATGACACCTGCACCTATTGGGGATACTGTTGCGATCGGACTTGACTACTTCATGAATAACAGCAACTCTCACGATTCAAGCGAAAGCCTGCAACAGAGTTCACCAATGCTCCAAGCCTCGAAGAGCCGTCCTGAGCTACGTTCTCGAGCTTCAAGCATCATGAACGAGAGATATCCTTTGATCGAGACCGGTAGATCATCGAGCAGAGCATCAGGTCGTCGTACCAATCCTTCGAGCACGTCTTCTGGCCAGAGATCTGCTTCAGGTTCTGGGACATCTGTTATGGAAAGGACTTCTAGCAAAGCAAGTCAGCGGCCTGACGCAGACCGGTCCACGCTGTCTTCATCAACGCTCCGAGAACGTCAATCGACAGGCGCGCTTGCACGCGAGAAATCAAGCCTGGCCACACGTTCTGCGCGACATGGTCATGGTCCGGCAGCCAAAGAAATCGACTCTGCTGGCAGAGAAGAACCTGTCAAGGCACCAAAGTCGGCACTAGACCTGCGCGTGATGTATCGGAACAACCGCAGTTTGGAAGCTTCAAGTATCAACATTCGACGTAGAGCCGTGGCACCAACCACATTCGACGACACCTTGCGTCGGATCTCGGAGGGCCCTTACGCTGCTGACAGCAAAGAGAACATCTCACCCCCAAGGCCCACTGGCATGATTGATGGCATAACAATCCCTCCATTCTATACGCCGACGCAGGACACAAAGAAGAGCAAAGGATCTTCGCCTGGACAGCGAATGGTGGACGACTTCCTGAACTCGAGGAAAGCACAGATGGTTGCAAATTCTCCCCCGGCCTTCATATGATCAGCACATTGATTGTGCATTTCTTATTTGTATTCACATTCCCGTATTTCCGATGCTTTGAGAGCTGTTATAGCTACATTGCAGATTAATCAAGATGATATTCTTACGTTCACGATGTGTATGATTCGTCTACTTTGTGATCTGAACTTCGTCTGGGTGCTTCGGTGATAATAGTAGAGTATTCAAGGCGTTTCGCCAGTAGTTCTGAGTTCTGCACATGTTTTATCAACAAGCCTCTACTAACGCTTGCACTCTACTTACCTTCCATCATGGAACATTTGATGTGCCAGTGAGGCGGAGAAGATAGAGAGAAATGGGGAGAAAAGGCAAAATCGTGTTGTCCAGGATGTCACCCTGACCTCAATACATGCCTGCCCAACTGGTACTTTCTGTGCCTGGTACCAATGTATAGCAATACCTTTCGGAGTTTGTTCGCGACTAAAAACGTGGTAATAAACGCCAGTAACATGATGAGAAGTTGAATGTAAGGAATTATGAGGATGTGAATCGAAAACGATTCTCCGAAGAGGAAGCCGTCAACAAGAAACACAAAATGAACACTATAGCTAAGCTCATCGCATATCTACCCATTCGTCTAGAAATCTATAGCAGGCTCCAAAACAAACGTGAACTCCCTCTCTCTACACTCGACCTGATCCACCTCCTTGACACCCGGCCCACAAGCTGCAGTCCCCACGCCAGCGTTATCAGCATCCAACCTCCACAGCGGACTTTCCCTCTTGACCAAATCGCAAGGATGTCTGGCTCTTTCCAACTCCTTAGCATCATGCAAGCAACATGCCCATTGAAAGAACTCCTTTTCCTTTGGTCCTGGGAGATATGTTGCTTTGATTCCCAAGCCTTGCTCGTTGAGGACTTTGACCCAGCGTGTGGAGATGCGGTTGCCGTTTTCCTGGGGAACCTCGTAGGGGGTTTGCAAGGCTGCGATGGTCGAGTTCCAGATGCCTAGTTGTTGGGAGGTTGCTTTATCCGAGTAGGATTCACCGGGACCGGCGCCGTACCAGGTTGCTTGTTGGAAGGAAGAGTCGAGTTGGATGTTCAAGCCTACTCTGGGCAGTGTGCTGGGAGCGTGGCCTTGAGGAGCGAGGTGGACTCTTATGGATAGTTGACCTGCGGAGGAGATCTCGTAGGTAACTTTTGCGAGGAAACCCCAGGCTAGCACTGGAGGGCTGTAGTAGTAGACAGCAGTCAGGCGAGCTTTGTCGGGTCCATTTTCTTCGAGCGTGAGACTACGGAGCTGGGGTGTCATGGCGTCAAGGCCGTAGCGTTTCCATTCTTTGCTCATAGAGGCGGCATCGTTGTCGGTTGGTGCGCGCCAGAAGTCTAGGGCCAGCAGGGGGTCATCTGGTGCTTCGCGCTTCTTGAGCACTGATCTGCCACCGTATATCCACTCGACGAGTGTTCCTCTGGCTCGGGAGAAGTTGAAGTGGAAATCACAGCCAACGAAGCGGTAGTGGAGTTGAGTTTCGTTGGCGGTGATGGCACTCGACATGATGGGCCTCTCGATACCGTAGCTATGGTCGTCGTCCTTGGCAGAGAGCTGTTCCTGTACCCATGTGATCGAGTGACCAGCCTCGGCCCATGGAGTCGCGACACCGAGACGGAAGTCTACAGTCAACCACACCTCTGTTCCATTGGGACGTTGGATTTTGAAAATCTCTTCAGGTAGATCAATCTTGACTTCCGTACCAGGCTCAATGTGAGGTAGCTGGATGGGTCCAGACAGTACACGATCAGGTCTATAATGTGTTAGTCAACCTTCATATATGAGCCAGAGCCAGCATTGAAAGTGATCTTACCGGATGCCAAGCACCTCAACCTTGAAGTCAGAGATCAAGTGGCCCAGGGAGATGAATTCGAACTCGTTCCTGACAACCAACTTCTTATCCTCAATCCAAGCTCGGACAGGAGCAATGACTTTCTTCAGTTCTGTCAGGCCCGGAGTTGGGGTATGATCGCTGAACAAAAGCCCATCCATGACGAAAGTGTCGTCGTTAGGCACGTCACCGAAGTCTCCGCCATAGGCATAGAATTGTTTGTCACCTTCGGTCTTGAGAAGACCATGGTTCGCCCACTCCCAGATGTAGCCACCCTGGAGTCTGCGATATTTGCGGAAGGCTTCTTGGTAATCCTCCAGAAGACCTGGTCCATTGCCCATGGCATGACCGTATTCGCAGAGCACGATGGGCTTCTTGAAGTCATCACCTTCTTCTGTTGCGTGACCGATAAGTTTTTCGATAGGAGGATACATGTAGGAGAACATGTCGGCAGATTTTGCATTGACGTCTCCCTCGTAATGGACCGGACGCTCTGGATCTCGAGATTTGGCCCACTCGTACATGGTAGCGTGATTCTGGCCATAGAAAGCTTCATTGCCGAGAGACCACATGATGATTGACGGATGATTCTTGTCTCTCTCTACCATCTGCACCATGCGGTCAAGATAGGCGATCTTCCAGTCTTCGTTATCGCTGGTGAACTTGGCTGCCTTGTCAAAGGTATACTTTTTGCGTTCCTCATAATCCATGTCTGGAGGCAGATTCTGAGGTCTTTCAACAGCATCGTAGAATCCATGGCATTCCAGATCTGCTTCGTCCATGACCCAGAGACCGAGTTCGTCACAAAGCTCATATAACTTTGGGTTTGCGGGATAGTGAGAAGTGCGGAGAGCGTTGATGTTGTGTTGCTTCATGATCATCAGATCTCTTCTCATGTAAGCCAAAGGTACGGCTCGACCGAACAATGCATGGTGGTCATGACGGTTGACGCCTCTCAGTAGAAGTGGCTTGCCGTTGACACAAATGTTGCCTTTGATGGTCTCAACACATCTGAACCCAACCCGCTGCTTGACCGTTTGGAGGATGGTGTCAGACTTTGGGCCCAGTAGGCTGATCTCGAAAGTGTAGAGATGAGGTGCCTCTGCAGTCCACTTGGCAGGGTTCGACACGTTGAAAACATGCGAGCTAAGCGCTTCATCGGCAGAGAGCTGTATCTTCTCATTGATGATGGAAGAGCCATTCGGGCTCCGCAGAGACAGCATGGCTTCGGTAGCCTCGTGTATCGTGAGGCTCAATTCAACGCGCAGCTTCGCATCTTTGTAGTCACCATCCAGCTCTGTCTTGATGAACACGTCTTCGATGCGTACTTTACTTGGGAAACATTCCAGATGTACATCGCGGAAGATGCCTGAAAGCCACCACTGATCCTGGTCCTCAATATAGGAGCCATCAGACCATTGGTAAACAGTGACAATCAGACGATTAACATCCTCCCCACGGTTTACGAATTCGGTGATGTCAAACTCGGCTGGATTTCTCGAGCCTTGAGAATAGCCAACCTTCTGTCCGTTGAGGTAAACATGGTATGCGCTATCGACACCATCGAAACGAAGTCGAATCTGAGAATCCTCAGACCAGGAGGAAGGAACGAAAAAGTTCCTGCGATAGGTTCCTGTAGGGTTCTCTGTAGGCACAAAAGGTGGGCATACTGGGAAGGGGTAGACTGTGTTGGTGTAATGAGGTTTGCCATAGCCCTGCAAGAATCAGTGTACTGCTTGCTAGGAGTGCATCAACAATCTTACCTGAAGCTGCCAGTGTCCTGGAACAGTGATAGAGGACCATTTGATGTCTGCAGTCTGACCTTCATTCCCATCAACCGTCAGGGCATCCACGAGGCTGCTGAGGCCGTCGGAGTATAAGGTAGGATGAGGCGCATGCTTGGGGGTTGGTGAGTAGACAAAACCCCAAGTGCCATTCAAGAGAAGGGACTTTTCTGGTATCCAGTACGAACGGGCTGGGAGACGATTGCGATGAACGATCTTCGGGTTGCATATGTCGAGGTCCGACGATTGTCCTGAGTGATGGTCTGCGGCTGCTGTCAAGCTTACGGGCAGAGCCATACTGCTGAGCCGAGTAAGGGTCTGCCTTTCTGTAGACATGGTACAAGACTCTGAGTGTTTGATGATAGTTGTGGTGAAGCTCTATGACCAGATATGACAGGCCAGATCATCTGACTTTCACGTTTCCAAGCTATCACCAGTTCACAGGCGCCGAACCCCTCTCGGTAGATTGAGCCCTCTTCGGCATGACACCCAAGACAACCCCGGTGATGATGAACAAGCACATTTCCCAAAACGTCTTGTCGCCGATTGATGCACTTGCAGACAAGCCACCGATCCTCTGCGAAGGAAGCAGCCAAGGCGAGGGGAAGGAAGGCGCAGTGTCGCATCCTATCTATGTGCTAAAAGTTTGTAACTTCCACACTCATCCTACACTCCTCCCGCCAAAGTATATAGCGTAGTCTGCACCATATGATACACGATTGCTTGGAACAGAAAGACTTATCCACAGAGATTCGACGTGATGTCGCTTCTTGATGGAGACCAGTCGTTTCTTCGAGGTCGCTGTGCACTTCCGTAGCTGTACGCGTTACAAACTTCAGCACACGGGGAGGTCCTGGGTGCGGCATTACCTGACCCGAGCTCGGTTCAATCGCGGCCAATCGGAAAAGCCATGGTTAATTAGAGGAACATCTGCGGGGTATCAAGAAATCAATTGTCCAACGGAATCTCGGAGTATCAGTTGACGAGCTCTGGCAATCCAATCTTCTTCAACTGTCAACAACCTCGCCGGCGGGGGCACATGCTACCGTCTCGTATAACATCAATCCTGCGATGCAACCATACCCCAAACTTACCCCGGACATGCAGATCAATCTATCTCCAGATTTTCTCCCCGCGGTATCTAGCAGGTAGGAAGGATCACTCGACGATCAGCAGGTCTTAGACAGTCGCCGGATGAAAGTCCTCAGGTGGAAGTGTATTGCAGTCTATTGAGTACTTGGTGCACGCCATGGCAACGTATAAAAAGCAGGTAGGCGCCTGTATGACCACAAGTTTGATATCTCAATTTCTTCTTCGCCATCTACTTCATCTCCGCTCCAATCCATTATGGACATCAAAAAAGACGGCGTCACGCACGTCGACGACTTGGACCATGAGTTCCGTGATGCAAAGGTCGCTGTTCAGCTGTCAGAAGACGCTGTACACGTCAAGCAAAGTCCTTGGACGTCGAGCATGCTGAAGCTCTATGGCTGTCTAACTATTGCTTACCTTTGCGGCTGCCTCAACGGATACGACGGTAAGGTCCCTCTATAGCGACACCACGAGTTTTGCTGATCGCCCGGCTAGGCAGTCTTATGGGAGGCCTCAATGCTATGGACACTTACCTTAAATATTTCAACATGTCAGCACGCCTCCTCTCAAAAGCATCTTGCAATCATCGATACTAATGTCAACAGGGACTCGGCTGGTAGCAGTACCGGTATCACATTTGCGATCTATAACATTGGAAGCATCCCAGCGGTTCTGTTCAGCGGTCCGGTCAATGATCGTTTCGGACGTCGCGCCGGCATGTTCACGGGTGCAATTATTGTCGTCATCGGGACATGTATTCAAGCTCCGTCTATCAACAGAGGTATGTTTCTGGCTGGTCGCTTCATCTTGGGGTTCGGAGTGTCGTTCGCTTGCGTCAGTGCACCATGCTACGTTGCTGAGGTACGCCATATCTTCAATCTCAGTTGAGTAGGCCGACTGACATACTCGCAGATGGCTCATCCTGCATGGCGAGGCACGTTGACTGGGCTGTACAACTGCACGTGGTGTAAGTCCAAGCTATCTAATAATCATGATTCATGCCTGCTAAGTAGATCCGTCAGATATCGGCTCCATCCTTGCTTCATGGGTGATCTACGCCTGTGCACAGCACGTGAAGACGGACATCAGCTGGCGAATCCCGCTGTGGTGTCAGCTGGTCTCTTCTGTCATCGTGGCCATTGGCGTCTGGTTCATACCAGAGAGCCCGAGGTTCGTTATTGTCTATCAAGGTATTATGACGTATACTAAGTCGTTACAGATGGCTTTGTGCCCAAGACCGTATGGAAGAAGCTACTAAGGTTCTGGCTCGTTACCACGGTGAAGGTGATGAATCGCACCCAATTGTCCTTCTCCAGCTCAGGGAGATGCAAAACCAAATCCGTCAAGATGCTTCCGACAAGAAGGCATGGGACTATTCCGAGCTAGTCAACACACATTCCGCCCGCCGCAGACTTATATGTGTCCTTGGAATGGCTTGTTTCGGCCAACTGAGTGGCAACAGCGTAACCTCCTACTACCTTCCTGTCATGCTTGAAAATGCTGGCATCACGGCTCAGAGCACCAAACTCATGTTGAACGGCATTTACCCTGTCATCTGCTTCTTCGCAGCAATCCTCGGAGCCCGAATGACAGATGTTGTTGGCCGCAGACCGCTGCTGCTCTACTCGATTGTCTTCTGTTCGGCCTGTTTTGCCATAATCTGTGGCACGAGCAAACTCGCACAGGAAAACATTGGCAACAAGTCAGCAGCTAACACTACTATCGCCTTCATTTACCTGTTTGGAATCGTCTTCTCTTTCGGCTGGACGTAAGTCATTGGTGTTCTTTCCAACTCCCGCTATCGCCTCGTGCTAACAATGTCCACCAGACCACTTCAAAGCATGTATATCGCAGAAACGCTCGCCACCTCAACACGCGCAAAGGGTACTGCAGTAGGCAATTTCGCCTCGAACGTCAGCTCGGCCGTCATCCAATACGGCTCAGGTCCTGCTTTTGCCAACATTGGCGCTTACTTCTACCTTGTATTCGTATTCTGGGATCTTGTTGAGTTCGGTGTAATCTATTTCTACTGGCCCGAGACCAAAGACCGTACTCTGGAAGAACTCTCGGAGGTGTTCGAGGCCAAGAACCCTGTCAAGAAGAGTCTGGAAAAGAGAGGAGCTGCTACGGTGCTCAACACGCTTGACGTGGATGCTGCTATCGTCGAGAAGATGGAGCACTGATCGCGAGTTAATTCTGGTCACGGGGTACGCTAACATCATGGCTGTATTATCTCGAAGAGATGAGACCACATCTGCATATCGTGGATGGTTGGTTTTGGATGATTTTACGTATTTCAAGAAGCTACGCAGGGATTGCTGTCCAGTTGCAATCTAGTCGTGAAGAAACTCAGAGACACAAATCATAAATCGCTGTCTGCTTACCTTATCTGACGGTCTTCCTTTTGTGCTTCTGTCTTTAGGGAAACACTACGGCATCGCTGCCTCTTCACGTCTTGTTGCATGTTCACATTTACATTGTATATTATCGTTCCATTTGAAAATCTCGTGTCTAGTCACCCAGACATACATAACTCCTGGCATTCTCTTTCTGCGAAATCCTGATTTAACTTTAGGATGAAGCGAAAAGCCTTGGAATCCGCATGCGCACATGTAGGTGATATACTGCAATCCAAAAGGCCAACAAGATCTTGGATTAGATCCTTTCTGACACTGACTTCATGTTCGCTCAAGAGTTACTTACTGTGCTTTGCAAAAGTACTTGGACCGGCGGGACTAAGAGTTGGTTTGTATGATTCGAGTTGACGACTGTACAATTCTCCAGCCAGATCGAATATTGTCTGTAGCACGCGTTCGAGGAAGGCGCCGGATCTGTAACGAGTCGCTCTGTCCTCAAAATGTCTGTCCTGTTCATTGAACAACAGAGAGCGACATAGCTCGCTACTGCTTGCGGCATATATAGTATGATAACATATACGGAGTTCACATATGATGAACCAGCTCGGCTGATAGTGGATTGAATACGAGAGTCGCGGTTAGACGTCACTCTTCACGCCAGTCAAGCACTGTGGCTTGGAGTTGGCTCAGCATATGTGTTTCAGAGTCGTGCCTCACGGAGCGAGGCTGAGCAAGTGCTATAGCAGAAACTAGTGACTAACGCGTACGAGAGAGTGCTCGAGCCCTGCGACACAAGCACAACCGCAGCACTGACGAACTTCTAGAAAAAACTGTTGAGAGACGGGCGGGATAATCGATCAATGAGACAGGTGTCGTCTGCATGCTGCCGCTTCCTCGCTATGCGAACCAAGGAAGGGCAAGAAAAGTGATGGTTCGAAAGCTTTTGATGACTCGCGGGATTTGGAGCAGCTCCGGAGTCGTCACAGCGACAGACCGTGCGAAGTTGAGAACGCGACGACGACGACGACCGGAATTCAACACATGCCGAGCAAGAAGACGAGGAAGACTCCACGCTCGGCTGCTTCGGCTGCTTGGGTATCCGCATAAACAGAACACCTGCTATATCCTTACGGGTCGCCAGGAGATGCATATACCGCTGTTGTGTTCGTATCGTGCAGGGAGAAGGCTCGTAGATGGAGAAGTTGGTCGAGCCCTACTCGCGACCAAGCCATGTCCAGGCAGTGCAAGAAAACATGCCTTATCTCGCATCTACTTGCGACCAGAATCTTGTTGTTGCTACATATATCTTTATGGGCGTGTGCCTTCTTGAGCTTGGCAACAAAAGAGGCTTGTGATATCAATGCGACGAATCAACAATTCGCTCATGGAACAGGGCATCGTTTGTTTCGTCTGAGCGAAGGTCACGGGAGAAAGACATGCATGCCGGGGAGTGAGCCACTTGCGCTCCAGGTCTTTCTACGCCACACGAAAATCACGTAGGATGATGCGAGATCTACAGCATCGCGTGTACATGTATGCATGAATTTTTTCCCAACTGCCACTGCAGGACGAGATGCAGTCAGCTTGACACTGTTTCGTTGCCTTGTGGATGTTACGTGCGTTGCAACTCCGAAGTGTCCGGCGTGGCTTGGTGGAGCTTCCTCCCATTGACAAGGATTCTCCAGAATCTGTTGTTGTTGTTGTTGTTGTTGTGAGGCATTGAAGGTGGAGAGCCACGAATGACCGAATGGTTGCTATGGGTGAGACAGCGGCACCGCCAAATGCGAACTCTGACTTCTGTTGCTATATCTTGCTACCCATGCATGTTCGTCTGCATGTGAGGCATCCTGCGGGCGGGGATGCTTTGGAGATACCACGGTAACAACAAGTCGCGCAGATCTCTCGGAGAGGGAAGCACAGCAGAATTTTCGTTCGGGCGTCCCAACGCAATTCACAGGGCAGAAATCGAGATTGGAAGCGGCAATGGTTCGGAAGTCAGAGTTGATGTAAAATGTACACTTTTTTTGAGTGTTGTTCCATACAGACTGAACAAAAGAAGAGACAGGAAAAAAACACACGGCTATGTACAGGAATATAATAGTTGTCATGTGATTTTGCATACATGCTTGCGAGCGGGAGGCCCATATCCCAAACTCCAATAGATCCCTATCTCCTTCTAGACAGCATTAATGTAGGCCGTTCCATTGAATCCCAGAGCTTCAGAGGTTATCGAAAAAGAAAATATGCAGAAAAGGTTTGACAAGAGATGCGAAACGCTCCAGGAAAGAAGTTAGACCCAAATAAACAAAATTGTGAGATTGTAGGAAATGCGTTTAGTAGCCATCGATTTGAGAGTCCTTGATGATGAAGGTGATGACGAAAATGAAAATGGCGTAGGCGACGAGGAAGAGAACCTCGAACTCGTGCCAGAAGTGGCTCTTGCCCCAGCGCTGACTCTTCCAGTACTCCTTGGGGTGGGCGACACCGGTCTTCGGGTCTCTGTCGAGGAGCTCCTCGCGATCGGGCATGGTGGGAGGGTGGAGAGCGTAACGAAGAGGAATGGCGAAAGCGGTGCAGCAAATCAACCAGAGCATAGGAGGGAACATGGCGTGGGTCAAGAGGTAGATGAGCCTGTCCTGAGCGGTGTCGTTGTCCATGAAAGCGCGAACAGTGCTGAGAGTGACGGCGGCAATGACGAACAAGATGTAGAGAAGATGCTGGTAAGCCGAACAATCCCAGAGAATGACTTTCAGGCGGCGAATAACACCAGCGCGGTGTGCGCCATCGCGCTCCATGATGTCGCCCTTGATGGATCCGGAAGTGGTGAAAGCCATGGGCTTACCACCGAGCCAGCTGGGAAGAAGGAAAGAGACGAGGACGGTCTTTGCGTGGTAAGGAGCCATCCAAAGCATGGAACCACCGTCACGAAGAGCCAGTCTGTAACCAGAGGGGAGGAAGTTGACGTACTCCTGGAGGCGCATCAAGAAGAAAGAGATGAAGGCGAGGCGAACCTGCCAGCGGAGCTGGTCGTTGTTCGAGTATGCGACCAGTCTACCGCCAGAAACCAAAACGATTGGGATGGCGAGAATCGAGATGATGAGGAAGATCTTGAAGAAAGCGTCGACAGTGAAGACGAAACCGGAGAGACGTTGGTAGAAAGTCATATCTCTGCAGATATCACCGTAAAGACAGAAACGCTGTTGGAAGGCAGACTGAAGCGTACCGAGGGTCCAGCGAGTACGTTGCTTCAAGTGACCAGTGTAGGAGTCAGGGACGGTACCAAATTGGAGACCTTCGTGAACGTAAGCAGTGCGGAAACCTCTACCGAGGAGCTTGGAACTGGTGAAAGTGTCCTCAGCAAGAGTACCGGTAGGCCAGCCACCGATGAATTCAAGAGCAGAACGACGAATAACGTAACCAGATCCAGTGCACCAAGCGACACCCAGAGAATCCTTGATGGGCTCCATAACGTGAACGAAGGGGTCGAGGGATTGCACAAGCATGTCGTTGTCGGGAACGTTGTAGAAAAGCTGGGGAGGGCAGGCAAGAGCGGTCTTGGGGTCGCGGATACAGTGGGGAAGAAGAGCACGGAGCCACTCTCTCTCGGGAATCATATCAGCATCGAGAGCAGCAATGTACTCGCCGGGACCACCGGGAAGCTTGGTAACAAAATCGGTACCACCGATCAAGTTACCGGCCTTTGCGTGATGGGGCTGGCCCTTGACCTTGACACGAGCGAAGTAGTATGCGTTGGGGTATTGGTAGCTCAGATCTTCCATAGCCTTCTTCAGCTCCGGGTCAGCACCGTCGTCGAGAACGACAACGCGGAAACGATCTTGGGGGTAGTCGACGTCGCAAGCGGCGCGAGCGGTGTCGATAACAACGTCAACGTCTTCCTTGCAGCAAGTGATGAAAGCATCAACAGTAGGAACGGCCTCTCCAACGAGTCTGAGTTGAGGTCGCTTGCGACCCTTGAATGCGAGCATAGAGTACATTTGGTGGAAGAATGAGGGAACTGAGATTTTGTAAGAATGTGAGTGTTTTGTGTTTTGAGTGTGTCAACTTACGGGCAACCAAGAACTCGGCAGCAATGAAGAACCAGGCCATGGCGTAGACGGTGCCGTTTGTCCTTTGGGCGTCGACAGTGTAGTAGATACGGAAAGCGTAGTATGTAAAGTAACCACCCATAGCAGCAATGGTGAAAAGAGGAGCCAGGTAGTGCAACTTTCTCTTCCAAGGCTTCATCAGAGCAATATCGTCGTGCTTTGCGATTTCGCGAACGACGTAGTCAGCATCTGTGTACTCTCGGCCGAAAGAGCTGGTGGTTGAGAATCTGTTGTCGAATCCAGACTTGGTCTCAGGGGTCGAACCAGTCACGGTCGAAGCATCCTCCTCGTCTACGTTGTAAGGTGACTTGTCATCTTCGTAAGATCCTCTTTCGGGGATCATGTAATCGTTCTCGGTAGCCAGGTTGGTTGATGAGCCATTGAAGTAAGTGGAGTGATTCTTATCCAGTGTTGGTCGTAGACGTTGGAGTCCACCAGCGGTCTGGCTGTCAGGACGTCCTCCAACGAGACGAGTAGTGCTGGCGGCAGGAGAGGGTTGGTAGTCGTATGACGGCCTCCTGCTCATTGATGGTGTGCCATCGAATGGTGTGCCGTAGGGGCTTGTGGGGTTGACGTGCTCGTAGTCGTAGCTACCTTGGTGAGCCATGTTGCTTAATGCTGGGAGCTAGTGCCCAGTCTCCTTGGTGAGTTGTGGAAAAAAAGGTCGAGCTGCTCAAGTTGTTGGGGTGACTGTGGTAACGACTGGATATCTTGAGAGCACAGCAGGAGCCGGTAGAGGCGTAGGGGGTAGGTTGTAGAAAAATGCAGGAGAAGGTGTCTAAGGGGAACACGAGACGAATAAGAACAACCGGCGAAACGATGCTGTTATTGGGAACAAGAAGAAATCCCGTGATACGAAGCGAAGAGGCTCCACAACTTACGTCGATTCCATTGGGGGAAAAAGCACAAACTATCTTTGGGTACATATCGAGCGGTCTTGTTATCCGCAGGCTTGCAGTAGCGGCCAGTTTAGATTTGACAGCCAGACGATGGGACATGGGGCGGACCGGGCACGGTCAGACATGATACGGGAGAGCGAATTGGAAATTGATTGGGACTGTCTTGGCCTGAACCGTGTGAGGTCGTGTAAAAGTTATGGCCAGGGTTTCATACAACGGGTCGGTCCTGCTTGCAGCAGAAGCGCGCTTCGATTGGCAGAGAGGGCTACACACATGGCAGGGGCGCGTTTACACATTGACGAGCACAGAATAGGAGGAGTCGGGACAGGAGTTCGACAGCCTCCTCCTCAACTGCCAACGAGGTTGTTTTCCAACAGTTGTTAACGCCCGGAGACAACCAACCGCAGGGGGAAGGGCATGGTTTGGAAGGCTTTTGCAAGCGTGAAGGGCCGATGATGAAAGAATGAGTGGAGCCCCTGCAGGAACAAAAGCTTAGGGAGGCGGTGCGCACAACAGCGAGCGCCAACCAACGACCAACGACCAACGACCAACGACCAATGAGGGGGTCAATGCAAGAGTTCGCGACAGCAGGTAGATTGGTGCCGAGAACACCCAGTGTATCTCGTAGATCAGGCGTGCTCCGCCTACGAATGGAAGACTGGTGTTTCTATTTCGAGAGTCCCATGGCAGTTGGCTTTGGTGCCTGGATTTGCAAGCGGGCGTGTGGTGGTTTCAAAGCCCTGGGAAAGTTGGATCAAAATAATACAAGCTCTCGTGTCGGCCAAAGTGTTTTCCCTACCTTGCCAGCGGGCCGCCGCTCCTCTTTCATCATCGACCAGAATTCGGGAAAACGGCCACACTGCGAGTCGCGACGACTCGGCAGCCTGTCTACGTCTCTGCACGCGTTTGCGACGACGCACCAGGCCAAAAGGAGGCAGGGTTACGATTAGCTCAGCCATCTGGACGTTAGCACGAGGGGCAGGTCTCAGTGTCGCATGCCAAACACGCTGCACAGTTGAGAACCAACGCCGCCCGGTTGCTGGTTTGGCCACAGACACAACAAAATCCGTGAACCGGCCTGATCCGGCCCGGGTTCGCACACACGACACCAAGAGGTTGAATGACAAGGTTGGTCGATTCTGGCCTTCGGATCAGGTCTCCCGGCGCCAAGGAGCACTACAGCATGCAGCAGCCCCGTGCACTGTCTGTGGTTGAGGAAAAAAAGAGGGCTGGTCGTGCGGCGCATGGAGATGTGAGCTGGTGCTGGGATGATTTTAGGGTCGATCTCCCTGTGGTTTTTCCTGGACCTTGTCCGTGTTGATTTTTGGTCTGTTTTGTCGCTGTTGCTGCTGCGGCTGCTGCTGCTGCGCTGGGTTACGCGTGCTCCCCCCGCCGTCCGACCGGCACCGTACGGCCTCAAGTTTCCGAGGCATTATTATTCCCAGGACGACAGTTTCACGCTGACAGGTTGCCGAGATGGGTGGCCATCGTCCCTAATAAGAAATACGGTTGACCAGGACTGTCTTAGTCGACCTCAGGGAGGTCTTGCAAATGAAAGGTTCGTACTGGTGCAATCTTAAGTGCTGAGTCAAATGGCAATATTTGTTGCTGGACGTTGGACTCTGGCCCCTACTCGCTCGCCCCTGCCAACCAATTGGCAGACGTGGCGGAAAAGCGGCAGTGCAATGATTTGGCTTTAGATTCATGTTAGATACAGTGCCCGACCTTTTACATTCTCTCTTCGCGCCCTTCGGCATACTTGTGACATACATGCGACAGTAGTCTCTCTCTCTTTCCGCCCTCCCCTCGTTCAACAAAACAAAATCAAGGAATCGCCTACTCTTCTCCACTCGTTTACTCCAGATGTCTTCCTGCAGGGCCCTCCGTCTTCTTGGCCAAGGTTTATCTTTGCTGGCCATCCTATCTCCTCTGCCAGTCGCCGCCGCCTCCTCCAAGAATGAGTACAAGTCCATGTGTGCCGCCTATGGCGCGTCCACTGCAGACCAGTTCGCGGGAGCAACTTCCGACTCTGGCAAATACCTCTACGGCTCGAACCAGTGGGGCTGGGACGACAGTGGTGCCCAGTGTATGACCGTAAGTCCATGGCATGATCTGGTCGTGTGACACGAATCGCGAGACTGACAATTGTGTGCGACAGGTCGGACTGGACGACTCTAACGATGCTGCTTCCTTCAACGTAACGTGGTCCTGGACGGAGCGCGATGTCTGGGTATGCGACACTCCCACCACCAGCCTTTGTTTACATGCAGCACACTGACTCGCGGCTAGGTTCACTCGTACCCCAATGTCGGTCTTCAGTCTGTACAGCTGCCTAGCAGACTGGACAACGTCAAGTCCTTCAACGTCAGCGGTGCCTGGGACATGTACCCTACTGCCGACCCCAATGCCGCCAACAAGACCGAAGCCCTCATGGCCATTGGCGCCAAGGCCGACATTGCTCTCGACATGTTCATTGACGGCAACAACATCACCTCCATGAACGCCTCGGCCGCCGCTTTCGAAGTCATGGTGTGGTCGGCTGTCTGGGGTGGTGTCGCTCCCATTGGATACCAGACCTTCAACGCCGAGTCGCCCAAGCACACCGTTGGCGGTGTCGAATACTCGCTCTACTCGGGCTTCAACCAGCAGTACCAGAAGCAGGCCGTCTTCTCCTGGGTCCCCGCCGAGAACCAGAACGGCATCGACGCCAACCTCTGGGAGCTTGTTGAATACCTTGTCAACAACGGTACCCTTACCTCGGACATGTACATTGGCCTGATTCAATGGGGTACCGAGACCGTCCACGCCACTCAGAACGTCACTTTCGAGATGCAGAAGGCTCAAATGGACCTTTCTGTTATCAAGCAAAAGCCAACCACCACCAAGGGATCCCCTCCCGCTACCGCTGGTGCCTCCAAGGGCGCTGCATTCCACGTCGCACCGACTGGATTTGCTCTCCCCGCGGCTGCCATGGGTCTCGCGGCTGCTGTCCTCCTCTAATTTCCTAATTCTTGTCTTGCCACTCGCTCTACTTCAATTCTCTTCACTTTTTGGCACTTTTTTACAGCTTCTTTGCACTCGTTCACGGCCCTTTTACCATATCTTTTTTTACCTCTTGATGTTTACGATCACTCCCTTTCTTTGTGCATATCTAGGTTAAACGGCTTGGATGACGAAAACTAGGACAATTTGGCCACGGCTTCAGCTCGAATAGCGGGCGTCTTGAATAGGGGGCAATGTTTAATAGATTGCCATCAGAATTACCAGAACCTGTATCAGCATATCTCTCTTTCACTCTCTCTTGTGTTTTCTCCTCACTTGGCATGTCTTGTGTACAGTACCTGAGAAGTGGAACATCTAATTTACTCAGATGTAACCGTCTCGCGAACCTCATCAAAACAATGTGGAGTTAGTGTAGCCCTGGTCGGCCGGCCTGGCCGAAATTGATAGGGAATTGGCTGGAAAAATCCCCAACCCCCGTGCATGAACCCTTACTCGGTTGTCTACTCTAAAAACTTATACAAGGTTTTTTCTACGCGAAAGAGTCTGATGAAAAGCTCTTCGTCTGAATCACTCAATGCAAGCTGCGCGTGGCTGCTCAGTGCTCTACATCGCCACAACGATAATAAATTTGGAATCAATGATTTAAGAGGCAAATAATCGAGATGATTGCCCCGCGGGAATAGAAGGCTTCAAAGCTTACTCACATGATGGAAGATCTTCGGTGATCGACCGCCCTCGTGCTTTGACCATGCTGAATCGTAACTTGGGACCTTGACCGCTTCCCAAAATAGGGCACTCAACTTACTGCATCATTCAATCCTAGACCCGTGACCATCGAAGACAGCGCAGGTCGGCTTGAAACACACCAAAATTGTTACCAAGGACCTAGGAGTCTTCTCGTATAGGAAAGCAAGCCGCTGCGGTCTTGGAAGAACGCCCCCAAGACAGTCTAGGAAACGACGACATTGCGATGGACGCAGAGAATCTTGTTGAATCACAGCCAGTAACGTTAGTGGAGCTCTTGAACAATACTCTCATCTGGCGCCAGACGGCTCCCTACCTTTCGGCCGCAAGTGTTTTGGCACTGTCTGCTACGGCACGTGCTTTTCGACATACCATTTGCGATTCACCAGAGACCTTTCGCCATCTAAATCTCGGCTTGGTCAGATCGGCTACTCTAGCTGACACCAGCCCTATCGACAGTGGTGGTGAGTTGATGCCTATCTCCCTATCCGTAATCATTTCGCTGGTGGATTGTCGTGTATCGTTCACATCGAGAAACTGGGATATTCCTTTCCCGTTGCACTCCTATTCCCTTTCCTTCAACGATGTTTCACTTGATGAAATGAATATCACAACATAATAAACTCAGGTAAAGGGAGTTCCATTGAGTAACATACCGTCATACTCATTTGACGAGTTGTCAACGGCAACGACCTCTGCTTGTTTCAAGTTTGTGCAATGCTACGGCTGTACTGTATCATACCGAAAGATGAAGGAGATAGCATCATCAGGCGACCACTTCACAAGGCTTGATCCGCTACATAAACTGACACGTCGCAAGGCAAATCATGGCGTGCCGAGCGCATGGACGAGTCTTTGACAGAGGATGACTTCTTCTCCGGCCCGTTGCGAGGTATCTTCTCGAAGCTCGAACGTCAACACTTGCTTCAGAATGTCAAAACACTGATCCTGGATGGTCTCAGCGTACCTGCGGAGCTCGTTCGGGAGATTGTTCTGGAAGACCGCTTCAATGTCAAGATCCTCAGCATCCGCGACGTCACTAACATGAATCAAAGAGGCCTACAGTCAGTCCTACGCTACGTCGTAAGGCCTTCTGCTTCAAGGGCGCCTAAGCTAAAGGGCCTCTATCTTTTTGGTCGTAAAGACACGTCAGCAACACTCATACACAGAGCCGAGGCCTTGCCTACAGGTCGTGTATCAACTGGCGTCATGTCGTCGGAGGGTGCTCAGATCGGTGCAGAGTGGAACTCGCGATCCGAGATGGCGCTCTCTGCGTCGCTGGGTCTGAAGCAACCGCTGGATGACTGGTGGAGGACCAAAGGTAGGATTTGGAGTAACGAAGGCAACGCCAATCGTCCTCCTTCGAGTGATTGGGCTGATATAGTATCTGCATGTCAAGGCATCATAGCCTTTGATGCAGTCCTCTGTCGCGGTCCGAGGCATGATCCTAGTAAGACCACGCCAGACCGGCTACTACGGCCTGCCATCGCAAACATCGCTCTTGGTTCAAGAGGCTGCGAATCGTGCGGTTCTTGTCCCGAACAACCAGCGGTCTTCAACCGAGACGCAGACTCCAGTTTCCCTCTACTGTCACCTCCGCCGCTGCATGCCAGTACGGTTAGAGCGGCACAGAGACCCATTGTACAGGATGCTGACTTGCCACTTTTGATTCTTCGGTGCTTTGACTGTCTTCGCGAGCGCTGGTGTGAAAAATGTAACAAGTGGTGGTGTGAGGATTGTTATCAAGAGCCAGTCTCACGAGCGAAGCGACAACATCCCAACTCGCCCGAGAACGGCTTACAGGATGCTGATGGATGGGCTTTGGAAGCTTTGAGCGCGAATGCTCCTGTAAAGGTATACTCTAATCTTTGCATCGAAACCTGCCTTGTTGGCGAGATGTTGCCCGTGGCCGATGGCATGTGGGGATGATAAACAGCTTGCACATCCCAAAAATGTTTCACCGAGACCAAGTCTCCCAGACGATGTACCTGATTGTCCGCTATTCACACCAGGTGAAGCATTATCCGTCAAGTTGAGCTTGAGGGCTTCATCTTCTGAAAGGGTGAACATCCTGTCATCTGATGATTTGGTCAATTTTAGCCGACACATCTAAGGGCTTGGTCTCGGTGCAGTCCTGCATACACCCACATCGTGCCTTAACCGCCAAACTACCACAGATCTGACGCTTCATAGGGTGTACATCAAGACTGCATCGTCTGCAGACGCACATGCGAAGAATGCAAAGCAGAATGCATTCGACGGTGCAAGGATTGTCGAAACGAGTACTGCCTCGAGCACAATGTACCATCCACAGACACAACGGTCTCTTCCTCCAACATTCAAAATCAACCAGGATCTTTGCTGACAACAATCTGCAGTGCGACTGGTGCTTGTACAGTGGTCGACGCACTCGCGAGCTCTACTAGAGATCGACACTGCGATACCTAACGTACCCCGAGCTTTCCCTCCGCTCTGATAACGACCTCACATTGCTACCCCAGATCACGAATGATTATTTTCATCTTTGTGGCTTTGGTCACGAGAGATCGAAGGCACACGGACAGCCAATATTGTGATTGTATCTTTGGCTGATCTGCCTTGATGGTGTTCGAGTCCAACCACATCCTATCGTCATCGCAATTGTTCAATATCCACGATCCTCGACTGTCTAAACCTCCTCGCTGGCGTCTTGTAAGCTGTGAGACGTTGTGTTCCTCGGTAGTCGTTTGGGTGTTCTGATTCAGGAGGTAGATGTAGAGAAAACGTCTGATGCATGACGCGATCTAGACATTCAGCCTCTTGGAGAGTTGGCAACAGGTGATGCCTCCTAACACCCCTGAGTCGCGTTGAAGACCACACCTCCATTCTGTATCGTTGTCGCCAGATCAGAGACAGGAGTAACGGCGTTCGCCGGCCACAGGTGGGAGGCGCAGGTTTATTCTTGTCGATCTGTCGCGGGAGGGAGCGCGTTTTCGCTTTCAACCGTCCTCGAAAAATCGTTCCGAACGTCTTGCGCCCAGCCGAGACAACAACGGTCATCCCTCGTATTTTTCTACTCCTTGAGACTTTATCAACCTTCGCACCAATTTTGTGACGGCTCAGGGCACGATGCGATCTGGAACCTCGTCGCGCTTACAGCACACAAATTCTGCAAGACAAGCCACGCATGCCATTGAATGTTGCGCAAACTTGGCAGCGTAGAACCTGCCAAACTGCGACATCTTCTCTGAAGAACAATGGCGAAGCGCAGCGTTTGACAATATATCCGGGTCGTAACATATAATACCAAGATCGAATTTTGATGCGATAGATCGCGGTAGACTCTTGAAATTGCGAATACATCTTATTATTCCCTTCTCGTATCGAACCAAGGCCATGATCATACTTGGCGTCTTCATCTTCATCTCCCAACGAACACGCAAGGCACGGCATCTTGTGTACAACCTCCGTGCATCAATATTGCGTATCTGCGATGGAAAGCAAGATACCATCCGCACTTGCTTCGCGCTCCGGGTCGGTCGCTCGCACCGCATCGTTGACTTTACAATGATGATCAGTCAATTGCTAACGTGACTTATGTCGACATGTTGTCTTGTCAACACCTGCGAGTATACATACGGCTCCACAGAGCTACACACGCACATCCACTTCTGCTGACCAAACATCCCAACAACTCACCCATTGCTTCCCCAGGTTTCGTACTCCAGTGGAGTCCGCATAGCGGAGCAACGACAGCAAGAAAAGCCTGGACAGAGAACTTGTCACCATCCGTCGCTTTCCGGTTACTCACACAATCGAGATATCTCATCAGTCCTCAACACATTCGAGAGAGAGAGAGAAAACTTGCTCACGAACCAAGCCACTGATGATTGATCTCGTCGACGCTCTTTGAACTTGGGTAGCCAATATCGATTCCTGGACTTGCCCATTGAAAGTATGATGTGATGGCAAAGTTTCTCGTATTCTTTGGTTCTTCTGCCGGCCATCCCGCCCTGTTGCCGCCGGCTCGCTAGCATGCCGTCTTGTGGCCGAACAGAAGTTTGACGGGCCGGCTGCTTTGCCATCTTCTGGTGACGTGCGGTGACTGGTGCTGGTCGTGGTTTCTTATCTTGTGTTCTTGCAATAGTGCAGAGAGCACATCTCGAGACGGTATTTATTCTTAGTATGACTTGAAGCACTTGATCACATCGGTGTCTTGAGCATCTGGATGCTGTATGACTGTTGAGATGGGCTGGTTTTGATCCACGGTCCTTATAGAATTGCAGACTAGGTGGTCTTGCCAGTAGCATCGTTGTATAGTAGCTCAACTTCAAGGTCTGAACACAGTAATCTCTACCTCCAGCTCATATAAAGGCACTATCTTCCAGCAGCATCTGTCTCTCTTCGGCATCCGCGTTGTTCTCATCTCTTTCTCTCCATCTTTTGTATTTCTCACATCTTGATCGTGCTTTCCTTTTCATGTGTTGATCAATGCGCTTTCTTCTTCTTCTTCTTCTTCTTACTCTTCCATCTCTCGTACTTCCATTGCCCTTTCTTTGAAATCTCTATTCCTCTTTCCTTAGATCATCCATTGCTGCTTCCTTGACACATTTATCGCTACTTCTCGTGATCACGCATTGCACGTTGCTTTCCATGTACATATCCTCATCTCGGTATGATCATTGATACTCCATCTCCTTCTAGTACTCTGCTCACTTTTTCTCCTTATATACCCCGACCACCCCTACACTGCTCAATATCCTTCCTCGTCCTCCCTTTGGCTGCATCTCAAGTGATCTTCTCTCGATGCTTGATCATTCATATCTGAGTGTAGTCATCGATCATTCATATCTGAGTGTAGTCATCGATCATTCTTCCTCATTCAAGCGTCTTCGAGGCTTCTTCATTCGCCCTCTGCCCTGACCAATTCCTTACAAGATATACAAGTCTGTCGCCTCTTCCTGTTTCGCTCGCTTGACACCTTTTTCTTCTTGAGAAGTTGTGAGCATGGATTAGTCTTCAAAATGTCCTTGGTGCCTCTTGATCTTTGCCATTTCTCACTCAGTTTAATCTACGGTTCCGTCTTCCTTGATTGTGCATCAGATTTGCTTTTTACTACTGCCTCTCCTCCCGCTTGCTCCCATTTGGGAACCAAATCTGTTTTTCTTCCAGCTATTGACATTTGCAAGAAATGATGACAGGATCGTCCTTTTGGCTAAAGACTTCTAGGCAAACAGAATGAGAAGAATTGCTGTAGTCGTGTTCTTCACTACACTCTTACAATACGTCGGGCAACAGATTCCGATGGTACAACCAAGGCGTCAAAAGCTCAGAGCCAGAAGACCATGCTAATCGTCTCTTATCACACCTAGCACCAGGGAGAGCCTATGTGATTGATAGGGAGAGATAGCGATGACGGAAAGAAAGCAGGAGTATCTGATGAAGACACAATGCTCCATGGGTCTGGCTCATTCTTTTTAAGCACAAGAATAAAAAAACACCTCAAGATGATTCCCAAGCGTTGTTTTGAGCTCGTCGCTCGCACAGAGTCAAAGACCACTTTTCCTCCTTCACTCGAATTTCGGAGGCGATCCGTGACAAACATTGGCTGCAGGAGTTGCATTCACGTTGGATAAGCCGCACCTGGGTATATGTATGCCACTCTTTTCGTGTTAGAAGAGACGCAAGGGCGCAATCGACATCTCGCCTTTGGAAAATATCTTATTGCAGAAAAAGGCATGATCTAGAAATACGGCAACGATAAAACAGCACTTTACGCACAAGAGAGAAGGATGATGGTGTCTTAGTATGAACAAAAATGTGTGATATGTTACAGTACTTATCAAATCCGCTATGCAATATATACAAAATCAACCTCTGGGATATTCTACAAAGGCTCCCAACTCCTCTATACGCCATCGTAATCGACTCAATATTTAAATGTCCGCTGCTTGGGGTATCAGAATGTACAAGTCTAAGCCTTCTGTCTTAAGTACGTGATCTTCGCCTCCTGACTAGGCTTTATATCGCAGGTGCGCGATCAGGAATATCACTGAAATCATCGTCTTCTTCGGGAGGAGGATCCTCAACGTCATCCTCGAATGCTGACTGCCAGGGCCTATTGTCGTGAGGGCTGGGCTCGGGCTGGTCTGCAAGTCCAGCCACACCTCTGAGCTCCTGTTGAATATGCGAATTCGGCAATCCCATCTTCTTCATCATTCGCGATGCCCAGTCGACTTCCTGGCGAACGAGTTCATCTTGACCATCTGCTTCTTTCAGCGCTTGGTCTAGAATGATGCGAACTGTTGCGAGATCCACACAGCGCTGAGAAACGATTACCGCGGCGTGTTTATTGCCTGGACCTTGGATGCGAATCCGGTGTTCGCCACGAACCTCTTCAGCATAGGGAGAAGTTAAGATTGGTGTGTCGTGACGACTTGCAGGCATGCGGGGTACACCACCTGAATCGTTGTCCCTTCTCGATGTCGAAGAAGGCTCCTCTTTAAGCGAGTTAGGCCAGAATTTGCCCAGATACTGCTTGCCTGCAGCAGAACCATAGGTATCGACGACGCCACTGAGGATCTTGTTGAATGTCCTAGGTATGAAGCTGACATGATTGTATCCGGCCATGTTAGGATAAACCTTCCAGGCGTAGGTTCTCCAATCATCGTTGATGAGTGCAAGCAGGCGCCAAACGCGGCTTCCAAGCTCAAAGATATCATGTTTATCGTATCCTCGTTTTCCTCGAATAATACCTCTCATTCGAAAACTGGACATTTTTTGGAAAGCCTTTGCAGATGGTGAATTCTTGAGAGCCGAGAGATCACCAGTACAAGATTTTGCCTCGCGTAAGATCATGCGAACCATGGTCGCAGCAGTGTGTGTACTGATACTGTAACCAGGTAGTCTGGCGAAGCTTTCCAAAGCCTTGTCAACAAGAGGCCAATTCCCTGCCTCTACCTGCTGATCGAGAATCTCATCCAAGACCTTCTCGGAATGGTCTGTTTGCGAATGTTTCTTCTGATACTTGAGAATTTCAGCCATGAGAACCTCGTCAGAAAGACTAGCGGCAAGTCTGATCAGAGGCGCGGCCATGATAGGATCAGTGTACAAGCCCTTGTGGACAAGTGGACCATCCAGATCCTCAGAGTACAGTAGCCATGAGCCCAGTTCGAGGGCTTGAGCGTCAACTACCAGGTGGACGAGATCGGCCAGAATTGGGACTGGTATTTGAGGAAAGAAGCTGGGGTAATGTATACCGCCATAACGGCCATGAAAACCGAATTCAGACGTTTCGTCGTCTTCGTCTTGCGTTATGGCGTCTTGCTGCTTTGCGAAGAACTCTTGTATCGAGTTTTGCTTGTTGAGGTCAGTCAATTTTTGCAAATCTTTGACTACACCCATGGCACCTGGTAGACTTCCAAGCTTGATATGAGCTCTAAGAAGGCGGTGGTAGTAGCCAATGCTGGCTGCAGAACCATCCAGGACATATGCTGGAGTGGGTTGCCAAAGCTGATCACGAGTCGGAGCGTTTGCAGTAGAGATGTCGTCGCCGAAGATAGAAGTCGCTGAGCTAATCTTGCCTGCTAGTTGTGGGTCCTTTTCGAAATCGACACCTCTTGACTCGAAGAAGCGGAGAATGATGGCGTCCCATGAGGTGTAGCCAAGACTCATATTGTTTCTTTCCAAGAATAACTTCATCTGCTTGATGAAGCGTGCTGGGTTCCCGGGAGACATACCTCGCGAGCCAACACCAGCGCTGACATGAGATACAGCGGCATCAACCATCGAAGCAATAACCTCTGCACTTACAGTTCTGCGAACCTTTTTCTTATTGTCGATCTGGTCAGTGTCAGAGGTGCCCGTGTTGAAGATGTATTTGACCTCATCCCAGTTGATAGATTTCTCCTGCCCAGACTGGATGATAGGGTTGGCCAGCTCTCTCCAAGATAATACAGACCATTCGTTGTCATGGGGCAATTGTGACAAACGTGTAAGAGCGATCATGCCCTGCTTGTAAAAACGGCCATACAGCATTGCCCACAAGACCAATTCGAGCCATACTTCGTGACCTAGGCCAGCAACACGGACTTTGTACATGGAACCCGGGATCTCGGGTCTCAGGGACTCGTAAAAGCCACCTCTTTGTTTAGCGTCTTCAACAACGTTGGTCTCGTGAGCCCTCCAAGCGGCGTCTGTCAGGGATGTGATGATCTGGTTGGATAGTAGATGCAAAGTCGGAGGCTGACACAAGGAAACGGGATCGTTTGGGGGTGAATACGAGTAGATGGTCGAAGGCATGGCACCAGAGTGGTGTAGCATGGCAATGATCTCGAGGATTTCGGGTTTGATGGCCTGGTTGACTCTGCCCTTGTTGGCAAGAGTGGCGTCTCTGAGAATCATTGCGGCCAGACTAAGCCAGATCTGACCGAGCGTTTCATGGCGCAAGATTTCGGGAAGCGGCTCGTCGAGAGGATGTAGCTCTGCGGTAAGGTGGTCCAGCGAAGGAGCGGGGGGTGGGTCATTCTGGGGATTGCGTCGAGGCGGGTTCAGTTGCACGGGGTCTTGATGCAGGGTGTATGTGGACAAAGAGGTCGAGGAAGGCAGACAGGTTTTCCACACATTGGTGTCGCGAGGAGAAAGTAGGTCGGGCTTTTGAAGGTGGGTAATGGCGGTCGAGGCCAGCCACACAGCGGCCTTGGGACGGTCTAGAACACAAGCCAAATGATCCAATAGATCCAGGTCGTATGAAGACGAGATGTGGATGAGACGACAGATATCTTGGGCTGAGTATGGGTCGCGTGTCATTCTCCGGGTGCCGGGGTCGCGCAGATGACGAGGCAGAGCAGCCTCAACAGCGGGCATCCAGTTCTTGATCTTGTGCCTGAGTTGAACGGCAGGGAGTTTGGACGGGTCGATGAATGCAAAGCCACCGGGGCGCATTGCATTTCGATGTCGGATGGCGCCTTGGCGCGACCGGCCTCTCAGTGCGTTGTCGAGTGTTTCAAAGGTATCATTGTCGGCGCCGACGAGCGTGTCATGGTCATGGTCTGGGCCTGGGAAGTCGTGTGTCGATGGGGCAGCACTATCATGAGCTTGTCGAGAGTGGAGGAGAGCGGGGCTATGAAGGGCGTGGTGACGGCGAGAGGGCAAGTGGTCGCTGTGTTGGGCGTATTGACGGTGCGCGAGGAAAGGGCGACCTTGAGCGAGACTCGTATGCAGACAATTGTTCCTGGTTACGAGGGCATTGCTGCGGCAGGCAAATGTCCTCAGACCTGCTATCCGGGCGCAGCATCTTTGCATTGGTTTGCTCGGAGCATTCTATGCTGCTGCGTGAACGAGGGCCTGGTGTCTGAACAGTTATACACTATGTCTTTGCCTCTTGCCGTATCGAGTCTTGATGTCGTACATTTTTTGATGGCAACAATCCTAAATCCACTTTCCCCGACTCGCCGACCCTCGCTGTCTTGGCCCACGTCACAGCAACCTCGTCGCGTCTTTCGCGTTGACTGAGCGTCTGCCTTCGCATCACACTCTCTGCCTTCCGAGAGACTTTGTCTTTTCGACTGTCTGCGACACGTCTATCTCGCCTAGCACCTCCATTCTCTTCGTCTTGTCAATAGATCACCGCGCTGTCCGCGATAAGCTCACCTTGTGTCTATTCCAAGCACAATCATTTCCTCTCACACTCCTTCTTTCCATTTCAGAGTCTCTCATCAAAATGCCTTATCGCATTGGTATTTCTGCCCGCTTCCTTTGCCGCTTGTTAAGACTTACATCTCTACAGAAATCAGCCCAAACAACCGCGCCTTCTGCAAGGCTACCGATTGCGTTGGCAAGGTCAAGATCCAGAAGGGCGAGTTCCGCCAGGCTACTATGGTCACCATCAAAGAGCACCAGAGTTGGGCCTACCGTCACTGGTAAGTCTTGTTCTCCTCTTTTGCTGCTCGCGTCGCTTACACGTTCTAGGGGCTGCGTCACTCCCAAGATCCTCGAAAACATGAAGGCCGAGTGCGGCATGGACATGGACTATGTCGATGGCTACGAAGAACTTTCTCAGGATCTCCAGGAAAAGGTCTACCGTGCTCTGGACCAAGGCACTGTCGACATGGAAGACTGGAAGGGTGATCCTGCCTACAATGTTCCTGGAAAGAGCGGCACTGGTCCCAGAAAATCAAAGAAGAAGAAGGCAGAAGAAGAGGTCACTACATCTCGAGTTTTGTTCGTACTCACTCGTTACTGACTGTTCATCTAGGCTGCCGCTGCCGCTGAAGCTGCAGGCGAAAACGCTCCCAGCTCCTCAGCCGCCGAACCGGCTCCCAAGAAGCGCGGTCGCAAGAAGGCCGATGCCGACGATGAAGAAGCTGAGGCTCCCCCACCTAAGAAGGCCAGAGGAAAGAAGGCAGTCAAGCCCGAGGTTTCCGACGCCGATGTCGACACTGAAGAGCCTGACGTCAAGCCTGTTCCTCAGAAGAAGGCCTCCAAGAGCAACAAGGCTGCCAAGGCAGAGACTTCCGACGTCGATGAGACTATGAAGCCCAGAAGAAAGACCGCAGGAGGCAGAAAGGTCAAGGCTGAACAAACATCTGATGTTGACGAGCCCGAAGAATCCGTTGCTGCTCCTGCTCCCAAGAAGGCTGTCAAGGGTAGAGGAAAGAAGGCAGTCAAGTCTGAGGTCGAACAGCCCGAGGAAGCCGACGAATCCAAGGAGCCTACCAGAAAGTCGTCCAGGGCAAAGAAGCCCATCCCGGCTGCTGAATCCGAAGCTGAATCCGACACTGAACCTGCTCCTCAAAAGAAGAAGAAGGCTGCCGCCAAACATCGCAAGACAGCCAAGTCCAAGGAGGTTGTCAAGTCCGAGGACGAACCTACCGAGCCCGCCTCTGAGCCTGCTGAGGAGGCCGCTGAGGAGCCCGAAGCAGCTGTCAAGGAAGACGAGAAGCCTACTCTCGCACCCAAGAAGAAGCGCGCTTCTAAGAAGAAGGCATGAATTCATTGATCTATGCTGCCGAGGTCCCCCGTCTGGACCTTCTCGATTCTGCACGCCGTCGTTACACGCATCTCAGTTGTTTACATGTTTATGTTGGCACGTTTTATACCCTTCCTTTCAGACAGGTTCTGGCACGATGTTGTTTTCTCAGGCTTCGGTTTAGCGATGCAAAGAATGGCGTTATGGGTTCACTGTTAATTTTAATGCACGGCCAACGACATGATGATTTTCTTCTTCGCATCGCTTGTAATGTCTACCATCAATGCAGTGCACGGAAGCATGCTTATATCATCACCGTTAGAGCAATAGCAGCTATTCTGACGTCAACGATGGATAGTACAAACATGAACTTTCCTTTTCCACCATCACCACAACAACACGACCAAATCTCCACAGTGCCCTCGATGATAACAGTGCGATGCATGCAGGAGGCTAGTGAAACAGCATCATCTGTGGAGAAGATCTGGATAGAGATCTCGCAGATCTGCTCGATGCAAGGTACGCCAGATCTGACGCTTTACCTAAACGGGGACATCTATTGGAAAATGACGACAAGATCTCACTTCCTCACGCTCGCAGCACGAACGATCGCGTGTTCGTCACGATGGTTGCTGCTCGCGACAGGAACATGGCAGAAAGTCAATTGGCTCGTCCATCGAATCGTGCATAGAACGATCTGGAGAGGCTGAACTGCGCCCGTTGATCTGTCGTCACTTTGAACCCCAAGGGTCCGATTTTCAAGTTGCACTTTCCCTTTTTCGATACTTGATTGATGTCAGTATTGTTGATTGCTGCTTGGACACGTCTTGCCAAACGCGAAGATGACGGGTGTGACGTGCCTGGGATCGATAATTGAGAGCATCACAACAAACGACGATGAGGTAGTGCTTGTCATCGGTCTGAATCCATGGTAGGTGCTCTCCTGTCCTATAGATGAGCAGCAGCAGGAAGGTATAAATATCTTGGTCTGTCTGGCTGTTTTCCTTCTCCTCTACCATTCCAATCTTCCATCTCATACTTTACACTACACTACAACAACTTCCCAAACTTCAACTTTTCCAAACCACACAATCAACATGTCTGCCGAGTACACCCCCGAGACCTCCACTGGCGTCGCTGCCGACAACGACTACGCCAGCCGTACTGGCCAGAGCGAGATCCCCGTCCAGAAGGATGAGGCTGGCATTGAGGACCCCATTGACCCTGACACTGCCGATTCCGACAAGGTTCTTGGTATGTGACTTGCCTTTTACCACCTTCAGACCAAAGACCAATACTGACACATCTCTCAGAGCAAGACGAGAAGGCCGCCATGAACGAGGACAACATTCTCGACGAGCGCACCCGTGGTGCCGCTAAGCCCAAGGGCTCGTACACCGAGCCTGGCGATGAGGAGGTGAGTTTCATGTTATGATCTGAACATAATTTGTTTGGTTTGCTGATATCAATGAAAGGGTCTTCCTGGCGCCGAGGACGGCACCTCTGCTGGTGCTGCTCAGTAAATGCTTCTCATAGTCATTATACCCATGTTCGACTTTTGAGGCTGTATGAATATATGTATTACTAGATAATCCGCTTTTGAATTGATGCATTATTATTGTCAACCATGCTCACCTTTCTCAATGTATCTCTTCCCATGAACATCATAGGCGCTTTCTAGTCGATTATGCTTGACCCAGCTTTGTGCAACGGTTTTGTGGATGCCTATGAATACACACGAGACGCTCCATCGCACTAAACTTTGACTCCCGTAATAGTTCCAATATCAGGTCGAGCACTATGCTCATGTACTCGACAGCCTTGACATATGGCCCTTGTTTCTACGCTATAATGTGTACAGACAATCGTTCTTAAAACAACTGAGTCGAGTATCGTAAAGTTACACGATGACCATTTCACATGTCTGATGTTGAAGCTTGCTCATAATATCCACAAAATCTCAAATGTCGAATGAGACCACCACCGTACTGGTTTCACGCCATAAAGACCTGGAGAAGTAGAACATATCAGTAAGCTATAGGTAGGGCATATCAAATTTCCAACCGGCCTCGCTGTCGAACATTTATGGATGATGGAAAATTGAGGTCAGGGTGCTGAGAGCCTCCAAAAAGACATGAACATCCAGCGCACGACCCCGCAGTTTCCCCGATCGCGACTGAGCTCTTTGGACAGCTTGACTTTCGGGATAGTAATCAGCACAACCGCAACTGCGCTGCCACCATCTCACTCCCGCATGCAGCAGACCAGAGACACAAGGAGGCTGTAATCAAGGCCCGACAAGATAACGCTGGACTCGTTCAACCCTTGCACTCTCTCGAATCCACCCACATCACGACAAACGCCCAAACACCCAGACCGCTGTCATCTCCGTAGCAGCAACACAACCTCCCGCGAAACCACGCACACCGCACACCTCACATCAAACCTTACACACCGTCAACACCTTCAACAATGTTCTCCTCCCTGACCTCCCTCCAACCCCGCCAACTCTTCACCCAAATCCTAAACTTCGCCCTGGTCCTCAGCACGGCATTCATGCTCTGGAAGGGCCTGTCCATCGCCACCGATTCCTCGTCGCCCATCGTGGTAGTCCTCTCTGGATCGATGGAACCAGCTTTCCAACGCGGCGACTTGCTGTTCCTCTGGAACCGCGGGCAGGATACAAGAGTCGGAGAGGTGGTGGTGTACAATGTCAGGGGCAAGGATATCCCCATCGTGCACAGGGTTGTCAGGAGGTTTGGTGGTGGTAGTGGGTATGTTTGATTCCCCTTCTTTCTCTTCATCTGTCGTTTTTGAGAAGGGGTAAATGCTAATGTGGGTATGCTGCAAAACAGTCCCAAAGCACCTCCCCTCCAACTCCTCACCAAAGGCGACAACAACGCAGCAGACGACACCGAACTCTACGCTCGCGGCCAAGACTTTTTGAACCGCAAGACCGACGTCGTGGGTAGTGTGGTCGGCTACATTCCCTTTGTGGGTTACGTTACTATTCTGTTGGCCGAGTATCCCTGGCTCAAGACCGTGATGCTGGCGTTCATGGGCTTGACGGTCGTCTTCCAGAGGGAATAATATGCCGGGAGAAAACAAGAAGGAGTGGGAAGCAGAAAGCAAGAAAGCGTGTCAGTGCATTTTATAAAGAGGGAGTTCTTGGGTGGCTCACATACTCGAAAGTAATGCCTTTTCTTGAATGGAACAGAGCTGCCATGTCCTACTGCAGCATACGCTATGTCCTACTGCAGAATACCCGATAGTTGCCTTGAAGTCTTTTGTGACATTTACTTTTCGCATACGACTAGACTTAGGACAATGGTGCGAAGAGTTGCAAGCATGCTTCTTCGAGCCAAGCAGGGCGAACAATTGATGAATGGCTACAGGTCGTAGTGTCCTGAACCACCCCTGCAAAGATCACAACACAAGACATCAACTGAGAGAATCTTAAATCATGAGAACAATTGAGCTTTGAATTGCCGCAGGCCTCGTCATCCTCCAATCGAGTGAGGCGCATATAGTAGTAGCTAAACATGAATTGCGCTGAGGGTATTTCCGATAAGAAAGAACACCACAAGTTAGCACCGTCATGAAAATCCGCTTCATTGTCTTTGCTCCAGCTGCAACCCTCCCTTAGCCTTGTCCCCTTGCCCCCCCTTGAAGTTCGTATCCGTTGTAGAAGACATGCGATAAGAAAAAATGATAAAAACTGAAAAGCAATTCCATGTGATAAACAGTAAGACAAGGCCATGAACGAAAAATTAGACGTGACGTTTGATGACTTTGATCATGTCATTGGGATGTGAGGGAAAGTGAGTGGTTTACTCCTCTTCCTCCTCCTCGTCGGCATCGCCGCCCTGGAGTTAAGTCAGCATGATTGTCAAGCATGAACGAGATGCTCAAGAGGAACTTACGGCGGTGTAGGCAGCCTTCTCCTCCTCGTAACGCTTCTTGTCGGCAGCAGCCTTGGCCTCGAAGGGTGCCTTCTGCTTCTCGTTGAGGGCCTTCCACTTCTCACCGAGGATCTTGCCAACATCACCTGTGAATCTTGTTAGTCTTCTGCAAGAGGGTCGAATGAGTAATGCCGAACTTACCGAACTTGATGCCGGGGTTGTCCTCGCGAACCTTCTCGCGGGTCTCGTTGGCGAAGAACATGTAGGCGGAAAGACCACGCTTGGGGGCGTTGGGGTCTGGCGATTGAGTTAGTCACGATGCGCGATCATAAAGTGAAGCGATTGCAGTAGAAACATACCCTTCTTCTTCTTGCCGCCGTCCTTCTTGGCGGTCTTGCGGGTGGTGGCTCTTTCCTTAGGCATGTTGATTTGGTTTAATCTGAGTCGCGAAGTCGAGGTTAGCAAGTTGACGTTTGAATTGGAGTGACGCGACAACTGTGAGGTGATGGGATGGTTGATGTAGTAGTGAGAGACGCGCTTTGGTGAGAGCCGGATGGAAACACCACAACTCCAAAGACGCGTCTCACGGGCGCAATTGAGGACGCCGACGCGTCGATTGGAAGGAAGATTGACATACCGATGTGATTGAAAGAGTTAGATGTGTTGTGGTTGTGTAGAGAACGACTAAAGCGATTGCGTTAGTCTTTGGTGCGAAGAGAGACGACAGCGATGGATGAAGTTGAGAGCGCGTCTGAAGCAAGGAATAGAACGAGACGAGTGACTGAAGGAGCCATCGGATCCTTCTTTCCAGTTGTGTGAAAGAAATGAAGGTGGTTTTTTGATATGGTTGTGAAGCTGTTGATAGTAGAGCCAGCTTGAAGCCGGGAAGACGCGCAGCGCGACACTTACATTTTGTATGAGAGGTCTTTGGTGAGAGAAGCAGTAGAGAGAACTCCAGCGAAGTTGGGTGAGGGGACTCTTAGAGACCCTACAGTTTGGCAGCGCCTCCGCAAGCTGCTGCACGTGACTCCATGAGCCGATCGCGCGCAAGCTTGGTCGCTTGCAACAATGAAACCTTGATACAACCCATTGACACGTCCATCTCACGGCAAACACGTTTGTATGGCATGCGAATTGTCTCTTCACGATGCTATAACATGCAAACACGCGTAAAAATCGTAATCCAGAAGTATTCTTGCCCTTGAATGGTCGCCAAGAAGCAGACATACTGAAGTCTTGGCAGGCAGAGCCCCTCAAATACGCCCGTTGGCAGGGAGAATCGTGGCTGCGAATGGATGGGCAAGTGACGTTTCTCTCCACCTTTCAGCTCTGCATTCCTGAACTGCCAGCCCCCTTCTTGCGTGTTTTTGTTCCGCCTGTGCCTATTCCGTTCACGCGATGTACAGCACATGCGGTGTCACCCAGAAGACCATGTCAGCCAGATTTCTTGTGCAGAAATTATGCAAGATATGCTTGTATGAATTGAATTGACTTTGCCGTTTGATCAAGCTATTGGAAGAGTAGCCTGAGGCCTTCATGGCAACAACAGCCCTAATCTCATGGTGTTCTGGACTCGTTGCTTCCTCTTTCACGCTGCTTGTGGCTTGACATACGCGTTGTTGATACACATGCAACCCATGAAATTGCTCAGCAGAACCTGGGCGTTTTCAAAAAGGTCTGGCAGCGAGGCATTTATCGGCCAGATATCTGATACGCAAGGGCTCGTTGGATAAACATCTTCGTGATCAAGAAATGTCAATAGTGTAGCGACTGAGAAGCACAATGATACCTAAAGTGATCGGTACTTACGGAGAGAACATCATCTTCAGACTTGCATTTTGACGATTAAAACGTTGATTATTGTGATGAAGTCCTTCACTTTCAACATGAAGCGAATTTGAACGAGTGCCTGTAAGAGCGCTGCATTATATGATCATCGCTAGCATACCAGGAACTAAGCTTAGATACTCGCGCGTCTGGGTGCCATGGTTCTTCTCAAGTTCTTTCTCTCCTCCGTCTCCTCCATCACAGGCAACACACCTTCTTCCCTCAACTTGGCCAAGAAGTCTTGACCGTACTTGTAGCCAACCTGGTAGATCTCGTCAAATTTGGCAAACTCAAGCGTACCATAGTTGTCAATTGGAGGACGGAGATACAAGCATCCAGGAGTGGTTTTGGCACGCTCAAGCGCATCAATACTAGACACATATGCCAGACGAGCCTGAATCTCGGAAAGCGTGGGTGGGTTGGGAAATGAGGAAAAAGGGTTCCAACGATTGAAGGAGGCCCAGAACCCGGATAGCGAATCTCCATAGGCCTGCGGGTTATCGTCGTCGAGAGCTCCCACATCAACAGCAAATATGACATCTGCTCCGAGCGACTTCATGTGAGCGACAGTCAGATTGTCGACATAGCCACCGTCAAGCAGCATGTTGCCTTCGTCGCAAAGTGGGGGTAGGAGACCAGCAAGAGACATGGAAGCACGAACGTAGCGCCAAGCGTAGCCACTTGTATGGATCTCAGATCTCGACTTGCTGATGTTCGTGGTGTTGCAGTAGTACTCGAGCCAGAAGTCTTCGATCTGGGAGTCACCAAATGTCTTGAAGATGCCTCGGTTGAATTCGTGGCCGGTTGTGTAAGATGCACTGTAGTCGATTCGTCAGCAGTATTCAACACATCGTAGGTAGGTAAACATACGATGGGTAAGTCAGGTCCAGAGCAAATCGCCACATACTACCCATTCTTCCAGAGAACTTCTTGGCTCGACCATACATCGGGACTACATCGGCATCCCATGCGTAGAGTGCACCGATGAAACTACCAATGGAAGTGCCTCCAACGATATCAATAGGGATGCCAGCTTCTTCCATGGCTTTGATGATACCTACATGAGCAATACCTCTAGCGCCACCACCACCGAGCACAAGACCAACGGACTTGCCGAGAAGACGGCGAGCTAGGCGATGGAAGTCGCCCTTGAACGGAGTCTCGGCCGAGTACAATGGCGTTTGTCGTACCTTCCTGGAAGTGTACTTCTGAATTTCGGCTTGAATGACCTGGACACGCTGTTTGATGGCCGTACTAAGCCTTCTTAGTTGAGGATGAACAGGCTCGACATTGTCACGGAAAGACATGTGAATATGATGATGACTTCCGTTGATCCAGGAACGATCTCTCAGCCATTTGCGTGTAAGTCCAGGATGGCAATACCTCTCGGCGTGTAACAAGACGAGTTCCTTTCTCGCCGTGGTCTTCGTCGTGAGAAGGAAGCGTTCGTATTCACCAATGGCTGGCGAGCCCTCTGCCAGCCCCACAAGCAGGATGCAATCCGCCTGGTTGATACATGTCTGCGTCCAGGGTGACTTGACGTTCGTATCAGCGACATACAGGACCAGCGCAAATTTCTCTTCAAGATCAGCCAGATACTGAGAAAGCTTTAGCTTGCCCATCTTGGTGAATGCGTGTCTACCAAGATGATTCAAGATAGCTGCCTGATTAAGCGAAGTGGTTCTTTGTGGTGTAGCACCAATCTGGTTGAGAGCATTGAGCAAACGGTGACCGAACTCGACTACAGGAACACCCGCAGTGACGGGCAGAATTGCGACGGTGCGCAAGTTCGTAGTCGAAGAAGCCTTAGTACGAGTGGCAATCCTGCTCGTGTCCTTGCCGTGTTCAGAGTTAGGATCCTCAATCAGTGCCCGCATACGAGATGCGATGATTTTTGAGATTTTCATCGTGATGCCAGGGTGTTCATGAGCAAGACTGTTGAAGAGCGACTTGGGGAACTTTGCCAACTCTGTATCACGGATGGCCAACAGTGTACCCGGTCGGGTGGATTCAGTCAGAACTTCAAGCTCTCCCACGCTGTCACCTTGACCGTACTCGCCAATCACTCTCATCTTGTCGTCAGGTCCTTCTTGAATTGCTCTCAATCTGCCATTGAGTACGATGTAGATCGCATCACTTTCCTCTTTCTGGTTGTAAATGACTTGACCGGCATTTACCTGTACCCATTCAAGAGCAAAATCAATATGCAAGATGAGCTTCGGAAGCAGAGTAGTAAGACGCTTAGCTATGGTAAGTAGCACGACCGGGAATCTCTCCACGATTTTCTCTACAGCAGCTCTTGGTAGGAAACCTACATAAACATCTGTCTTAGCGGTGACATCGATGAACGAGCGATATGAGGAGACAGTTCCAAGGTAACCAGCGAGACCGCCAGGCTTAGTCAAGAAAAGACTCTTCTGTCTCCTATTGCGTGTTTTCGGTGGAGGGTTTGGGTTGAGGTTGAGCGAGCTAGGTCTTCGGACAGTGCCCATGTTTCTGCCACCCGCTGATCTGATCGTTTGAGGTTCGTTGTCTAAATCGATACCAGCTGAGGTACCAAAAATATTAGACTCTGCAGCCTCAGACTCCTCGAGAGGTACACTGACGTCAAGGAAACCATCGATGACATAGTAGAGTCCAGGATTACGCTCCCCTTGCTCAACGAGAACAGACCCTTTGGGAAAGAAGACGATCTCGACTTCCTCTTTCATGTCTTCCAAGATGTGCATATTGCCGGCCGCACTGAAGGCCGTCGATGCGACAGAATCAGTCTCGCCATCATTAGGATCAAATGGATCGATGAAGCCGAATGCATTGTTGAAGACAGCCTTTTGTCGTCTGGAATCATAAGACACAAGCTTGGGTGACTGTGGAAGGGAGTCCGTTCTCGAAAGCCCGTCTTTTGCGTTGGTGAGTCCAATGGCCTTATACATGCAATCCAGGATGGATTCTCTGAAGATCATGTCCTCGTCTATGGAGTCTTGACGGCGTAGAGTCTTGATGTGAGCATCGAAAGGATTAAAGTTCTTGCTGGCCAGAGGGCTCATGCCATCCCTTCCGAGTGGTCTTGGGGTCTGGAAGGGCAACGAGTATGGTACCATGTTTCTGCGTCCGCCTTGTCTTGCGACATTGTTGTTATTGGTCAGCAGGTCTCCAGCACTGATACCAGATCTGTCCTTCTCTGGATCAGGCGAACCAGGACTTCGCTCTTGCCCGAGTCTACTGCTGCGCGTCGGCGTGTGGATAGACTCGCTTCTGCCTCCGCCACCACGACGACTGCTAGGCGCAGCCTGTGCATGGAGAACGGCTTCTTTTCGTAGACCGGTTGCTGTCTTCTTTCTTTGACCAGCACGCGGGTTGTGCAGAGCGATACCTTTGGTAATTTCCTCTGGTCCAGTGCGTTCCTTTTCCTTGGTAAATTTACTCTTCAGCCTCTCCATGGCGTCTCCTTTCAAGAAGTCTGGAAGATCATATGCAGTATAGCCATCCATAAGCCTCTCGATACGTAGGACTTCGCCTGTAAGGCCGAGATACTGGTGACCTGTCGCCATTGTAACACGCTGAAGCCGAGTGAGAATGACTTGAACAATATGCGAAGTTGCTTTGGGGTAGACACGGGTAAGTCGCCGAAAAGCAGTCGCAGGAATGATAGCGATTGTGGTATCGACCGAAGCCCTTGCGACGATGTCAGGATGCGCGGATATGTGCTTTGCGGATGGCTTGCGAGAGCCATGGCTGCTAGCTTGTCTCGACTTTGGCTCAGGAGCTGGTTCGTTTGGATCGTTCAATGAGAACGAGGGGACTGCACTTTGAGCAAAGGATGCAGCATCAAGTCCTTGTAGGATAGAACGAGGCTCTGCACTGGCGGCAGTAAGGTTGGGGCTTACAATCGGCGATAGAGGAGTAGCAGCACCGCTATGACGAGTCGAGCGCGGTGTCTGAGGCTGGGCACTATCTCGTACGCTGGAGCTTACATCACCATCCTTCTCATCGTGACGCAGTTTGACATCCTCTGTGAAGAGAGACAGGATAGAAAACAATGAAGACATGGGCGCACCGTTCTTGACTTCGGTCAACAACTGGTATCCTTGATTGCCGTGTATGTGCCCTTCGTCATCAACGCTGGTATCTTCAGGACTAGTCCGGCCAGTAGATGGATCCTCGTCACGGTCCTTGTTCGACTTGACGAAGATTTGCACCAAACCATCCACGACCAGACAGAAGCCGTTCTCCTCTTCCAGTAGTATAGTCTCTCCAGCAATGAGCTTTCTTGTTTGCATAGTGCGAGTGAGCTCGTGGAAGACGGGACGTTCGAGATAACCGAAGACCTTGATAGCACTCAAAAACTCATCGAGATAGTTGGCCAGACCCTGCTTGGAGTCTGTCTCCTGAGTATCTGGAAAGACTTCGACCTGGGGTTCTTTGCGTTGTGGCTCCGGAGGTAGTCGCGAGTACATATTCAGGAAGCGATAGCGGACGACCCAACTAGCGGTCGAGACGAAGAAGATGAGAATGAGTACGACAGTAGTCATGTTGACGGTCAAAGTCAGACTTGTAGACAAAAAAGTAAACAACCATGTCGGCAGAGTGATGGTCAAGAAAGCGATGAACCAGAAAAGAAGGCTGGGCAAGGTGGTAAAGATGGCCAAGATCAAGCCTGCTGCCGAAGTAACAGATGGCGGGTTGGTACCGGGAGGCACAGATGGCACGACAGGTACAGTTGTATTCCGTAAGATGTCCCGCATAGTGTCCGAAGCATTTGAAGCCATTTCAGAAGCCATATATTCTGGGTTGTTGGTAACGAGAGGGGTTGCAGCAATTGATGTACAATTAGAGTGAGTTATTGCCCGACGATGGTGACAAGGAGAGTCAAGACATGACAGTCTGCATTTTGGAGAAAGGATTCGGCACTTTTACAAAGAAGAGTGAGTGACATGGACCCAGGTAGATAGGAGTTGGCCTGTTTGCTCGCAGTATAAGACACGTTGTCTTGGCACCGATCTGGCATGCGCGATTGGCAGAGGGACTTGCAAGCATCCTTGACCTTTGCACTTTTTCTGCAGATATAAACATATAACACAGCCTCGAAGGGCATTGTGATCCTACAAAAAACACATCGGTAGCGACATGTTTCCTATAGAACTAATAAGTTGAGTTGATGTTGTGCATAGCATGTGCATCATAACTTCAGTAGAGCGGGCTGGCGTCGTATAAGATTCACTACATGTTCAATAGAAACTCCTCCAGGTGTCGGCGCATCGCGACTTTATGGCAGTCGCAACCAAGTGAAGTTGATTGCGACTTTCTCAAAGACATCCTCGACGTCTACCACATACATCCACTCCGAGTGTAGATCAGAGTCGTTGCAGTGAAGATGGCCTCTGGACGCACAGAACGCGTCTATCACCAAGACTACATTGCGCGCATCAGATACTCCAACACATTACCACCACCTCCGAATCCGCCAAAGCTTCTCGACATCCCTGGAACTGGCATCGCCTCGAACAACTACACATCAGCTTCCTATGCCTTGAAGCTTGCGCGAGAGCAGCCTCTCAACATCGAGGCCGATGCCGAGCTTGGAATGCCCATTGACCTCGTCGGTCTGCCAGGTGTCTTTGATGGAGATGAGAGCGGTATGTCCATAGTCGAATTTTGCCCGAGCACAAAGACTCAGACTGACGTGCCACAGCTATCATGGCCCAAGATCCTCCGCCGCCGCTTCACCCCAAAGACCGAGCACTTCTCAAGCCCCTGTCAGCACTCGGAAAGCCGACAGCAATGAACTCGGGTGTCAGTTTCCTTCGCAGAACAGAATACATCTCGTCCAACGCTGCCGCCGTCCAACGTTTCGAGTCGAGTACCTCCAAAGATCTCCTGCGTGTGCGCAACGATCCCAAGCGCCGCAAGCCTCCGACCGTCAATCGCGACGACCCCATCAACATCATCAGATCCCTCGTCAAGGGCTTTGACCTTGCCTACCCTGAAGATGCTTACACTGGCCCCGACTCGGAAACAAACATTCGTGGTGCTCCCATTACCGAAGCCGACAGAAGTGCTTGGAAGAAGCCAAAACACCCTACCAACCCCAACTTGACCCTTTTGGATTCATACCCTCTTCTTCCCGACATGGACGCCTTACCCATGACTGGCGAATACCAGATCGTCAAGTTCAGCACCAACCCAGTCGCCCAATCAGATTCCTACGACCACCGCCTCGATACAGCACTATTGCGACCACTTGGCGCAGACCTCGCCTTGCTCGAAGAGCGCATGGATGCCCACAAAGCTGACCCAACTATGCCCAAACCCCTGCCCGAGTGGGACTACGACTTGTTCCTGGCAGAGGACGAAAGCTCAGTCCGTGGCATCAAGCGCAAGTTCGATACAAACGATGCTCAGAACGACGACCCCTCACTCTACGACAACGAGGCAGACGGTGAAAGCTTCTTCCTGTTCCAGCGTATCCGTGAATACGAGACATACCAACAGGCCGGTGACGCCGACAACGCATATGCCGATACGGTCGCTCTCGCTCTGCACGACACTGGCGACCGTCTTGAAAAGGGTGCCTATTTCTATCCCATCAAACAGCGAGCCAACCTCCGTCCGAAGCGTAGGACAGCCGGAGTACTTGAGGAGGGCCGCGTCGAGCACGTTGACGTGCTGCATGTCAACGTCAGAGATTCCAATCCAGATGAAGTCAGCATGCGCGAGGATAACCAGGCTAAACTCGACCCTACCACTGAGAGCGTATAGAGCAATAGTTGTTGCAACATTTAGACCCAAAAAGACGTTTTTTAGCAACCCTTTACCTCTCCACTCTCTCCACATAGGCTAACGCGCAAACTCTGTCCGTACCAAAACCCAGGAAGAAGCCTCTTAAAGGACATGCTGATACGTAACAATCTAGGTCTCGCGGCTATGTAGAATTTATCGATGCACATGCGTTGTACACGGCGAGTATGAGTACCCATATTTACATCTACATCCCATCGTTGAGCGCTTGAGATACCGAAGCAGAATCACAATGCCGTCTCTCCAGCACCCTTGTCACAGCCGTGGCGTGTACAAGATTGAGAAGCTAAGCGTGAGGGATTTGCCACACTCGGTCCGGATGGTGCTGCTACTGAGATGTAGTCTCGAATCGAAATTACCAAGAGAAGAACGGAGATGAGGGGGGCCTCGGGTCCATGGACCACAAAAGTGTGATCATGTATCCACAACAAGCTGAAAATGATAAGTGATTATCTTAGGCGTGAGATACAGGGGTCTCATGAAGGATCACAAAATGTCGAACGAGTCATGGCATTCTTCGACGACACCGAAGATAATGAGCTGCGTTAAAAGAGTTCGCTGTGCGGAATGAATCATGTTCGTGCTTGATCCAGAGCACACTCAAGAACCAGGTACATGGGCCTGCACCGAGGAATATGCTCTCCGGGCTTGCAGAGCTGTATTTATTTCTCAATGATTAGGTACTCACTGGGGAATTCGAGAGACGTGCCCTGCATATCACGGGCCTGATGACTTTCTTGCCTGGCAAGTGTTCTTGTACCATTCTTGCTTTGTGAGAATAGTGACCATGAACATCACCACGGCTATATGACATGTCTGCTTGTGGTCGTCAGCGCGGTGGCAATTTGTTGACGGACGACAAGTCGAAGGTGGATGGTGCAAGAATTGAGAGGTCAAGACTGAGGTCAGCAGCGAAGTTAGTAGCGCAATGCTGTTTGTCGACAGTCATCCTTATGATTAGAGTGTATTGGCGTTGTGTGTTCAAGAAGGTATTTCCATATGGTGAATGAGCCGCGGAATCATTTGTCATCGATCAAGGTAGTGAGAAGACGGACTGTGATTTAGATGTACTCATGCTTTTGACTCCGTCCCACCAAGTGCTGAATTAAATACCCTCTTGACCTAACGCCGACGCTAATGCAAGTGAAAGTGAAACCAACGGACTCAACATCATGGTATCAGACCGACTGCTGCAAGATCCGTTTTTCCTTCCAGGCTCGGTTGAGTTTCTCTTTGCGTGCTTGCTCTGCCGAGTTCTTCTGCTTCTTCCAATCGTCAGATTGCATAAAGTCCTCCCAGTCTTGGTCGATGTCATTCTCGTCCGCAATGTTTTCTTCATCGGCGTGCCATTCGTCGTCTGCAATACCCATCTCGTCCAGTATATCTTCGTCGTCATCAAAGTATGCTCTTCGCTTCTCGGCGCCAGCCATGTTGGCGAAGTAGGTTTGTGTGGCACTGGGGACCTGCTGCTGCCACTCAGTAGGTAAAGTCGACGGGTCCAGTACAGATGATAGTTGTGTAAGATCGTCCCATCTGAGGGGTCTTTTCACCTCTTGTTGCTCCTTGACGGGTGCGTCTTTCATGACGACGTCGGGCACAGGTGCTGTCGGCGTTGGCCGTAGCTGTTGGCTTGCATCGCGTCCAATATCCTTGAACCCCCTCTTGACACCATCTGATCTGTCTTTGTTCAGGTTGAGACTGATCATGTCGGAGTTTTCTGATCGCTTCTTCTCGGAGCGTGAGTTGCGAACAGCGGCGGTGGGGTTTCTGGTGATTTGCTTCATCTCCTTCATACGCTTGCGGTGTTGGTGCTCATAGCTGTTTTCGTGGACTTCGAGTTGTGTGATTCTGTCGTAGCCTTTGCTACACAATTCGCAGTAAAAGTTGCGGCGCAATTCGCGAGCGCTTTCGGTCTGCGACGACGATTAGGGTGGACGAATGCGAGAGGGGACGAGGTGGTGTACCTGCGCGCTGGGCAGGGCGGTTGATCGCTGCGAGTATGTTAGCTACCCGATACATTATGCGACAGATATTAGACATACTGGACCCATGACGAGTGATTGATGTGCTTGTTGTTAGAGATGGAAGAGGATTGTCGTGCACACGAAGCCAAAGCTCAATCGCGAGGCCGAAGCCCAGATAGATCCGCAGATGCAGCTAGAGATAAGATAAGGCGTGCAGCTGGTAAGCAATAACATGTGCAACGCTGATTCGTGGACCATCCTGTTTCACGCAAGATGAACACGCACGTCAACGACCTCGAGCGGGAGCCGTCTCTGCTCGAACTCGAGCCTTCGCCCATCGAGGAAGACTTTCCCTCAAATTCCTACTTTCCTCCAGCCTCGGATGACAAACCGCTCGACCATGACACAATCAAGCCAATCCAACGGACCTCTACCCTAGGTCTGGATGCACATTCGCCTGTCTGGTATCTCACACGCATCCACAAGTACTCGAGTTACGCCTTCTCCGTCTTCACCGCTTTCCATGTCGCCAACACGGCTCTTATCCCCCTTGCCACACGCTCAGTCGCCAGCTCCGAACCCTATCTCCTGCTCACTCGTCCTTACTACCAGTCGCCTATCGCCGAGCCCTTCATTGTTGTCTTGCCCTTGATCGCCCACATTGGTAGCGGTGTAGCCCTCCGCCTGTACCGTCGCAAGCAGAACCTCAGGAGATATGGCGCAGAGAACAGGACAGACAGGCGCATGGTCGCATGGCCAAAACTGTCCGGCACCAGCGCCCTAGGATACGCTTTGGTACCACTGGTCTTTGGCCACGCCTTTGTCAATAGAATCATCCCTCTGTGGTACGAGGGTGGCTCTAGCAGCATCAACTTAGGCTATGTCTCACACGGCTTCGCCAAACACCCCGCCGTGTCTTTTGTCGGCTTTGGCGCTCTTGTCACCATTGGAGTTTTCCACTCTGTCTGGGGTTGGGCTAAGTGGCTCAATTGGTCACCATCACAAGTCACTCAGGGAGGACCAGAGGGTCAACTCCTCAGGAAGAGAAGATGGTATGTCGTCAACGCTGTCAGTGCTGTAGTCAGTGCACTCTGGCTCGCTGGCGGTATGGGCATCGTCGGCCGCGGCGGTGCAGTTGGCGGATGGGTTGGCCGCGAATACGACGCGCTGTACAGCCATATTCCTCTGATTGGCCACTACATGGCTTCTTCGTAGTAGATGTCGGATTCTGTTTTCTTCTCTGTACTCGTCAAATACCCATCTCAGCGCAATTTGATCAACTGGTTTACAAGCAATTCGTTTCTCGTGCTCGCGCCGACCTTCCTTTCAAGGGTAAAAAGATCGAGTAAGATGGTCCCCGGACCCCTCTCTTATCGACGAATGTGGGGCGGGAAACGCACCTGTTCGGCCCGTGTCCCGGCGAACGAGTCGCGCGCCCTGCACATTCAGCCATTAAACTTCGTTATCTGAAGGAGCACCAAGAAAGTAAGGTGGCTCAACCTGCATGTGGTGCCGTTTGGCGAGTCTCGTGAAAAAAATGTTGGCGTAGACAGATCAATGACTCTTTCTTCTGTCTCTCTTGCATCGTCTTACTTCTATTTCTTTGTTCAAACCAACCACTCGGGTGAAGCAAGCTCGAGCCGAGGCCTCGCGTCATACACTCGTTTGCTCCAACACGATTGCTTGTTTGCTATCTGTAATATTCGCAGAGGCGAAAGACAGTAGGTATATCTTCTGGTCGTTCTTCCAACAAGAACGCAGTCTGACAGACATCAGTCCAGTATGCAGCAATCACTGGTCGCTGCCGCAAGGCTACGATCCACCACACTGTGCCGAGGCCAAGTCTCCGCTATTGCGAGCAGGCGATGCCTCAACTTGTCTGCCAGAAGACAAGTACTCCAGTCCAACAAGCATGTCCGCCCTGCGCAGTTTAGACCCTTCTACTCGAGCACCGCCGCCGAAACAAAAATCGACAGCGAAGGCAATGCCCAATCCACTCTCTTTGCGCCTCTAGACACATTCGCTCGTAGACACATCGGTCCCTCGCCTGATGATACTATTGAGATGCTCAAGGTCCTGGATCCTCCAGCAAAGTCCTTGGACGAGTTTGTCACCCAAGTCTTGCCTGGAGACATCCTGTCGTCTCGCGATCTCAAGATTGAAGGGCCCACAAAGTATATCAAGGGTCAAGCTCAAGAGACGAGTACAGAGGGTTTCTCAGAGAGTCAGTTGATCGATAGACTGAGAGAGATTGCTAGTGGAAACAAGGTCGTGAGAAGTTACATTGGTTGCGGCTACGCAGGCACCCGTGTGCCAGAAGTCATCAAGAGAAACGTCCTTGAGAATCCTGCCTGGTACACGAGTTACACTCCTTACCAACCTGAAATCAGTCAGGGAAGATTGGAGTCTCTGCTCAACTACCAAACCATGGTCTCCGATCTGACTGGACTGCCAATTTCCAACGCATCCGTTCTCGATGAGCCGACCGCCGCAGCTGAAGCCATGACACTCTCCATCAACGCCCTTCCTTCAGCACGTCAGAAGCGTCCCAACAAGGTCTACCTTGTCTCGCACCTATGCCACCCTCAGACCATCGCCGTTCTGGCCTCTCGCGCAGAAGGCTTCGGTGTCAAGATCGAGGTTGATGATATTCTCAAGGATGGAAGCAAGAGAGTGGAAGAGATTGGTGAAGACTTGGTTGGTGTTCTAGGACAATACCCTGACACTCTTGGTGGTGTTCAGGACTTCAAGAACCTTTCCGAGAAGGTACACAAGCTCAAGGCAACCTTCGCCGTAGCCACCGATCTGCTGGCTCTGACCGTTCTTACTCCACCAGGAGAGTTCGGTGCAGATGTCGCTTTCGGAAATGCTCAGAGATTCGGCGTACCATTCGGCTTTGGTGGTCCTCACGCTGCTTTCTTTGCCTGCAGCGAACAACACAAGCGCAAGATTCCCGGTCGTCTGATCGGTCTTTCCAAGGACAGACTGGGCGACAAGGCTGCTCGTTTGGCTCTGCAGACCCGTGAACAGCACATTCGTCGTGAAAAGGCTACCAGCAACATCTGCACTGCTCAGGCTTTGTTGGCTAACATGAGTGCCATGTACGCTGTCTACCACGGACCCGAAGGTTTGAAGGCGATCGCCCACAGAGTCATCAACTCTACTCGCGTGGTTGCAGAGGCTGCTTCGAAGAGCGGATATACGATCGAAACTACTGGCCCACTGTTCGACACTGTTGTTCTCTCAGGAGGACCCATCTCTGGAAAGGCTGGCGATTTTGCAAAGCTGGCTGAGCAAGAGTACAAGACAAACCTCAGAGTCATTGACGAGGACCGCATCGGTATCACTCTGGACGAGACCGTCGAGAAGGAAGACCTCCAGGCTATCGTCGATCTGCTCTCGGGTGCTGCTAAGTCGTCCGATATTACTGTCGACAGCCTTGTCGAGGAGATCGGCTTGTCAGCAGCCGATGCTGTCTCTCATGTTCCTACCGAGCTCCGCAGAAAGAGCTCGTTCTTGACGCACCCTGTTTTCAACACACACCATTCTGAGACCAACATCCTCCGCTACATCCACCACTTGCAGTCCAAGGATCTCTCTCTCGTTCACTCCATGATTCCCCTCGGATCTTGCACCATGAAGCTCAACGCTACAACCGAGATGATCCCCATTACCTGGCCTGAGTTTTCGAACATTCACCCTTTCGCCCCTACTGAGCAGACCAAGGGCTACAAGACCCTGATCGATGAGCTCGAGGCTGACCTTGCTGAGGTCACTGGCTTCCACTCGGTCTCATTACAACCCAACTCAGGCGCCCAGGGCGAGTTTACCGGTCTTCGTGTCATTCGCAAGTACCTCGAGCAACAACCAGGCAAGAAGCGTGACATCTGTTTGATTCCGGTTTCTGCTCACGGTACCAACCCTGCTAGTGCAGCCATGGTCGGCATGCGCGTTGTGACCATCAAATGCGAGGCCGGTACCGGAAACTTGGATATGGCAGACCTGAAGGCCAAGTGCGAAAAGCACAAGGAAGAACTTGGAGCCATCATGATCACTTACCCTAGCACTTTCGGTGTGTTCGAGCCCAAGGTCAAGGAGGCTTGCGATTTGGTTCACCAGCACGGCGGCCAAGTTTACATGGATGGCGCGAACATGAATGCACAGATTGGTCTCTGCTCACCTGGTGAGATTGGTGCTGACGTCTGTCATTTGAACCTTCACAAGACCTTCTGTATTCCTCACGGTGGCGGTGGCCCTGGTGTTGGCCCAATTGGTGTCGCAGAGCATCTCGCGCCTTTCTTGCCCGGTCATCCTCTGGTCAAGACCGGTGGCGCTCAGGCCATCGCACCCATCAGTGGTGCACCTTGGGGTAGTGCCAGCATCTTGCCCATCAGTTGGGCTTATGTCAAGATGATGGGCGCTCGCGGTCTCACACATGCCACCAAGATCACCCTGCTCAACGCTAACTACATTCTCTCTCGTCTGCGCCCTCACTACCCCATTCTCTACACTAACGACAACGGCCGTTGCGCCCACGAGTTCATTCTGGATATTCGCAAGTTCAAGGAGTCTGCCGGTATCGAGGCCATTGATGTCGCCAAGCGCCTTCAAGACTACGGTTTCCACGCGCCGACAATGAGCTGGCCCGTTGCAAACACACTCATGATTGAGCCCACAGAATCCGAGAGCAAGGAGGAGCTCGACCGTTTCTGCGACGCATTGATCTCCATCCGCAGGGAAATCACCTTGGTTGAAAAGGGCAAGCAGCCCAGAGACGGCAACGTGCTCAAGATGGCACCTCACACCATGAAGGACATCATCACCTCCGACTGGGAGTCGAGACCATACACTCGTGAGACAGCAGCTTATCCTCTGTCTTGGCTGAAGGAGAAGAAGTTCTGGCCTAGTGTCACCAGACTTGATGATGGTAAGTCAAAACTTGATGTTTTGTGGTTTTGCAAACATGACTGACCAGAAGTAGCATACGGAGACATGAACCTCTTCTGCACCTGCGCACCTGCAGAGACATTCGAAGACATGACCGGTGCCGCTGCACCCATGCCTACCTAATCTTCTCCTTCTTGATCTTTAACTGTTTTGCTTTCCATTTTCAGCGACGGGTCTTCAACGACCTCATATGCCTGGCTCTCGAACGAAGCCATGGCAGATCTTTGCATACGGACGGTGTTTTTCTTTTCTGTTATCACGAACTTTATGGCATCTTCAACGAGGCAGCGTTTGATTTTTTTTTGCGTGGTGGCAGATACGGATGAGGAGCTGTGCTTTCTACAGACGATCGAAATAAGGAATGATTTTACTCTTCGTTTTAGTCTCTTACCTGCATTCCTGAGTTGTGCTGTTGTGGAGTTGACCAAGCATTTGTAGGAGCAGAAAGCGCGAGTCGTCGGCACACTGACTGCGCGGCCTTCTAGAGGTAGGGACGATGCACCTTGTTTACATGCGACTTTCAATATTCCTCGCCGATCGCTGATCACATGCGTGTTTTTTGCTTGTAAGTGCCAGTTCAGCCTTCCTTACCCAAAGCCAATTCCCATCTCAAAAGTTCAACTTCAACTAGCGTCCCTTCCACTTACATTAGCATCTCCATCTCAACTTCCTCTTCTCAACTTTCCTCAACCTCTCTTGAGTTCTCTCTTCCGTCTCGCGTCCTCAGTCAGTACGCTCTTCCGCACATCAAACTTTCCTCTTCCGTCTTGCCCTTTCAGCCTCGATCACACTCTGCAACTGCTGTCCGGCTCGAATCGAATCCACTCCTCGGCATCCTTCGTCCCCAAGCACTGAAAACTCTCTGGACCACAGGAGGCAAGATCTGAAGTCGACATGTCTGCTCCAAAGCCATCTTCCACTGGCACTGTCAATCCTGCTGAGAAATCCGAAGTTGGCGGCACTTCTTTCCTCGACCTGCCACTTGAGCTGCGTGAGATGATATACGATCTATGCGTACCAAAGAAGCGGGGCACACAGTACTTCTGTTTGCCCGTCCAGCCTCAGTCCAAGCCTGTAGTGGTGGGAATCGGCCTGTTGAGATGTTCAAAACAAATCTACAATGAAATCTCTCAGCGCTTGTGGCTCTGGAAAGCGATCTGGCAAGTTTCCTTTGCGCACCCTCCTAAACAAGCGGAACTTAGTACCGTTTTAGACTGTTCACTTGCCATGTCTAGTCTTCACGATCTAGCGATTGCAAAGATTCAGGATCTCCATATTAAATTCAGCATAAACACCAGTACCGATGCGACGCTCAGAGTCTGTGGCTTGGAGGTACTGCTGAAGCTCAAGTCACTTTGGATCCTTTCAATCTTCATCGAGTTGACGACCAGTCCCAATGATCCTCCAATCAGAGGAGCGAGTGATCTTGAGAACCTGCCCTTAGTCACCGGGCTCGTAATTCGTGTCCTTTCACATATTCCCACCTCCATTAAACACGTAGGATGGCACATCTACCATGGGTCCATCCCGAGGAGAAAGTATTGCCCCTTCCTCCAGCACCTCGCCTCACAGTATGAGTCTCTGAGAGGATCGGCCTACGCATCTCAACAAACACAAGCCCAAGCCCAAGGAGATCTTGGTCAGTCATTGCGATTTGAAAAACCATAACAGTTTGTACTGACCATTACAATCATAGTCGACTACGGACGTTGAACTATCAACCCACCAATGCACACACGAAGCAACCTACTCCGATGATGAACTGATGTCGACATTGCTACCGCTCAAAAGTTCCATTAACAGACTTTGCTACAGCCATTGAGGGCCAGAGAAGGCAGTCTGCACTTTGCTCTGAGACGATATCGCCGAGAAGGAATTGAGAAAGATGATGATATGCTCAAGAAGGCGATTGCTACTATGGCTACTTGACAGAGACACATTCATGTATCCTATTTGCTGATTGCTCTTGCCAACTCGTTTCCTTTCTAAGCTCCTTCCACAGACTTTACTGTAGAAGACCATGACGACGCATGTGCACGAGACTCTCCACTCCAGAACATCGGACACAAATTTGATCCGAGTATACATGTCCACTCAATTAAGTGCATCAATAACTTCTCGAATCATCAGCGAAGCTGGCGCACAAAATCATTCCTCAAGTGAGAAAAAGACATGACACGAGAAAACTGTACTTTTCACAGCTATACAAAACCCCCTTCCTCTCCATCTACAACATCTCCACATCCTCCTCCTCATCAGCCATCCCCTCATCCTCAGCATAAACTTCCTCATCTTCATCCTCCATCTCCTGATCCCTATTCTCACTAACCGGCGGCAATTGTCCTTCGCCCCTCTTGATAGCTTCAACCTTTGCTTTCGTCATCTCAAACACATACTGCCCCAAATGCTCCACTCCCTCCATTTCCGCGATATTTCCTTGTTGCTCCACAGCTCGTTGAGTAGGGAACATTTCTCCCGTAGACAGAGTGAGGGCAGCAGGGCGGGAAAGCAGAGAAGCAAAGGCTGTGGAGAGGGAAGGTACAGAGGTAAACACGCTGCGGCGACCCAGGATGTAGAGACCTAAACGTGCGCGGGAGAGTGCGACGGTCAAGCGGCGGATGTCGCGGAGGTAGCCAGGTTGCGTGGTGCGTGTGAGTGAGAGAATGATATCTGTTGTTTTTACTCTGTTAGCACTTTCCCTTCATTCCTTCCTTTTGTTCTGGCAGGGTAAAGGCGAAGGCAACTTACAATCATTCTGCTCGCCCTGATACTTGTCCACCGTGCTAACCTTGCCCGGCAACCCAAACATACGATTACTCTGACAGCGATGCTTAAGCACATCCCTGACCAACGCGCGTTGACCCGCATAAGTCGTCAGTATCGAAATCTTCTCCGCTGGATAACCCAACAACCTCATGTACATGTAAATAGCAACCGCATACTCTGCCTCTCCCAGATTCTGAATGAAGTGAGGAGAAGGTTCAGTTTCACCTTTGCCTTTGTAATCAGGAACATCGATGAATTGATAATCAAACGCAAACCCAGCATTCGCTTGCAAAAATTGCGGTGAGGAGGTTACCAGAGGCAGGTTGCCTAAGCTTGGGTATCGCCATTTATACAACTCAGCAAGCGAAGGTCTCGCACGACCCTGCTGATCGAGAGTTATGGTCGGCACACCCAACCTCACCAGCCTCAAAAACAAACTCTGCTCCAAATTCGCATACTGTCGGAACGCCAGATTCTGCACTACAGGAGAGTTTTGCAGGTGATCTCCCACAAGCACTACACGTTGCAACTTCATCTCTCCATCGCGAGGTTTTTGGAGTGCGAGCGGGATGAAATTCTCAATCTCGGTGACTTGGGCTGCTTCTTCCATGATGATGTTGTCGTAGCGGAATCCCAGGTCTGAGATTTCTTGGCGGCGCATGGCGGCGTGAGTAGATGTCATGGCGATGATGCGGGCTTCTTTGATGAGGAGGTAGTTTGCCTTGTCGCGGGCGGTGCGCAGGATCTCAAAGGGGCGGGTGTCGGCGAGAGAGGCAAAGATGTGGTCGAGATGGTTGTTGCAGCCTGAGGCTACATCGACCAGTTCTTCGCGAGAGGCAGTGGCTGGGAAAAGTGGTTGAGGGGCGTTGGCAAAGTATGCGTGGAAAGGGAAGGTATCGATAATCTGTTGCGGTTCTGCTCCTGCGTTCACGGCGTCCCAGTATTTTGTCCAGGCGGGCTTGACGTAGACTTGGTTGAAGTAGTCGGCAGTCTCGCAGCTGCTGCCGTGAGCACCGGGGGCGCCGATGCTAGCAGCCAGTCGACTGACTTCGTACAAATGCACACCGGCGTTCTCCATGAAAGACTCAACACGGCCATGCTTACTGTAGCTTGCCTCGGTCTTGAGTTCTTCCTCGCCGTGTCCGAGTCTGAGAAGATGACGCTCATCGATATCTAGAGCTGTTATCTTCTGGAAAAGCTGATTGAGCGCTTGATTACTATGTGCAACAAGCAATGTGCGTTGTTCAGGGAAGTTGTGGTAGATGTTGTTGATGATTTGTGTTGCGACATCAGTCTTGCCGGTTCCAGGAGGACCGACAATGACAGTCAGACCCGGTTGAGTTCCTGATGTGATTGCCTCGATCTGTGTAGGTGTGAAGCGTACACTGTTTAACTTAGGTGCATCAACAGGGTATGGACCAGGGTTTGCAGGCTTGTAAGTTCCGACCTTGACAGCTTCCACGGCAGGAGCTGGCGTGGCTTCGACTTGTTCACGCTTGCGCCTTTTACTGGGTCTAGCCTCTGCAGGTGGTACTACTGTGGTCTCGAGCACATATGGCGGAGGAAAGCTCGAGTTCAGCTTTGCATCCGGCTCGACAGTCTTGCCAGGCAATGACTCAACCAAGTGCTGCCAATCCAGGAACGTATCCCGATAGTCGATAGAGCTCAGTCTGTTTGGCAAGCGCTGGTAAGTTGCAGCAGCCGGATCACTGTAACCAAGGAACACTTCCTGCAACCATTGAGGAGCGGGTACATCAGACAAAGCCAAATGCTTGATGGAGTCCAAAATAGACTTGAAGTTATTCTCGCGACCTTGGCGTCGCACAAGAAGGTTGATAGTCTCGAGAACATCCGGCTTGCCCTTGTCTGTGCGTTCTTTGTCTTGCTGATACGCGACAGGATCGAGTTTGAGCAGAAGTCTTCGTTGACGTCCGCCTCTCGAAGCCGCGCCGTTAGTTTGAGCCTGGGATTGTTCGCGCAGCACGCGACCGTTCTCGTCAAGCACATTGATAACTTCGGCAGAACGTACATGCTTGACACCATGTCTGTCTGCTACATCGGCCAATTCAGATCCACCATTACTGAAGACTGATGTTGTGTCTGCAACCTGGACGGACACCAAGAACACCACGTCGCCTGACCGTAGTGTCTCCCACTCCTTACGAATGTTGGGACCCAAGCGGCTTACATCGAGAGTCACCTCCACCTCTACCTTAGAAGGATGAAGTTCCGAAACTTTGGCAGGTGCGACATCAATGAGAGCAGGTTTCGTGATGGGGATAGCCATCTTGGAGAAGCCGTCAAACTTGGTGGTTGGTCCGGCTTTTCTAGGTTGTAACCTCTTGACAGTGTCCTCAATATCCTTGCGGATCTGATAAAAGGCTTCCGCTCTGTACAAGACAAACGATCTCCACAAGAAGTCTCCCATGGTCAGATATTGGAGGTTCAACTTTGGAATAGCCAACGGTCTAGTTCCATTATAGCTCTCGTTGCGAACAAAGGCGGAATCGTAGATTGTACTTTCAGTAGGAACGACAGCCATGTTTTGCATGATCTGCTGATACATGGGCACACTTTCATGGGCAGAAAGAAGGATCTCCATGTAGAAGGTACGGTCGCGCGTGACGAGAGTTGAGCTAGGGTAGTCGGTCCGGGAGCCGAGCAGACGGCATAGCTCAATGACCTCGTCGTCAGACAAAGAAGTCAAATGGCTCTGTAGATCGTCTCTGGTAGCTAACGAGGCAAAGTTGGCCAGAACCAAAATCTTTAGCTTGTTCTGGAAGTGCTTGAACGAGACTCTCTGCAGTTTCGTCAAAGCGGCGTGATGTTGTTGATTGAATTCGAGAGGGGTGTACTGTCGGCCGCTGTGGTCCTCGATGGGGAAGGTAGTGTAATGTTGAAGAAGGTTGTAAAGATCGCGTAAAAGAGCATTGCCCTCATCGGCGTACATGGGTGAGAGCTTGATTACGGACAAGGCATTGAGGTCCTGTAGCAGAGTGTTGACAAAACGTCTGGTTGGCAATTGACTCTGCAGATCGGACAGCAATTCAATAAAGCGCTCACAGTAAAGGATGTTATCTGAACGAGATTTGGAGGTTGTGTCGTACAGGCGGTCGAAGAAGTCGAGGGTCAACGAGTACAGCCATGATCTCTCAAAGCGTAGGCGAGCTTGAGTGGGAGCATCTGAAGCATCATATCTTTTGTTCGCCGCTCTCCACGCCTTTTGTAGTTGTACAGCCTTTTCCAAGTGTGCATCTCTTGCTTGTTCGCTATGCAGATTGTGCCAAACGGCGATATTGACCAGCGGGGCGCACTCCTTCCTGACAATACCACTATCGAGAGATTGGTATGCGATGATGATGAAGGTGAGGAGATGTGTTCGGAGGGTGGTTGGGATGGTCGTGTCGATGGTCATGGACAGTACGCGACGGAACAAGGACGAGAAGTTCTCCGAGTAGATTTGGAAGCAGTCCCATACGGCAAGACCTTCGCGGCGCTTCACATTGACCAGCATAACCAGCAGCAGAACGTGGTGATTCGAGGCATCGTCGGTGTATCCAGGCCAGAGGTATAGGTCCAGCAGCTGCAGTTGTTCCAGCAATAGCAGCGAGCCAAAGTCTTCTTGTTCCAATTGTGTCCACAGCTCTTTCTCAATCACATCGCGCTGGACCTTTGGCTGCTTGGTCTTGTTAAGCCAGTGCTTGCGGGCCAGCTGTGCATAGTGGTTGTCGCCAGTCAGGTCGTCGACGGTCGGGCGGCTGGTTCCTTGTATGTCGGCCATGTTTGTCGCGACTATCTCATTCTGTGTCCTAACGCGACCCTTTCTAGACAGCTGAGAAGACCTGGAAATGTAGATGGGAGTGATTTCGGAGCTGTCGCGTTTGTCGCTATCTAAATTGAAACTTCTTGAATCAAACAGCCCCGGAACACGCCAAGTCCATTGACGTCTTGGTGGCTTTCTCCAGTTGCTTCTTCGTATCTCTGCAACACTCCTCAATAATGGACATTCTTATGCTCTCAGAGACGAATCATGAGTTTTGGTATCTATCTGCTTACTCACAATCATTAGTAGTGTCATCACAGCACAATTATCCCATCCATGGGTCCCGCTTTGCCAGCCTCCTTCACCTCCAGTGCGCTTCGATCAAAAGTGCCCGGCAGTCTACCCATACGGCCCAGACTTGTCTTGAGAACTCCTTTTGCATAAACCAGCGAGTTTTTGTAGACCGCTTCCTCTTCGCCCTTCTCCGAAAACCCTCCCTGCACCCTGTGTTGTGTAGCTCCTGCCAACATTGGCTTCGTGTGCGCATAAACAGTCTCATAGTTCTTCGCCCGGACCTGATACGTTTCATGGAAGATGCCCAGGTGAGGGTACTCAGCTGCGTGCTTGGCCCACCACGCCAACGACTTGCGATGGAGTGGTCCTGTTGCGAATGCCTGGATATGCTCGGATGACTTGAAGTACATGATTGTCATTGTTTCGTTGTTGGTCGCTGACTCGGCTCCAACGAGACTTCTCGATCCTAAGAATCCGTGCTTTTCCTTGTCCGCTGGGCCCTTGTAAGTCTCTTGTTACTCTGGAAGGATCAGGGTCTGCTTACCTTCGATCTCTTTGACCATGCCTGCAAACTGTGAGCCCATCTCTTTGTAGCCAGGTGCGAACAGTCCGAAGGGGCTAGAGAGTGGTCAGCATTACTCATACAATTTATGGGAGATGGATCCAACATACTGGTTGACCTTTGATCCGATGAGGAAGACACAGACATCCGACTCTGCTGGAGATTCTAAACCATCATTGGCCTCTCCAGGGAACTGAGCAGAGTAGTGATCCAGGATGACACCGTCCAGGTAGTGGTTGTGCTTGAGACCGGTCTTGATGGCATATGCATCTGCTATGCGGTACAGCAACAGGAAAGCGGCTGGTAAGAAAGCTGTTCGGCCGAGCAAAGAGAATGCGGCGGATTGAGCTAGCGCTCCAATGGCCAACCACGTTGTGATGGAGAAGTTGTCTCTGACAAGCTGTTCTATATGTTAGTCGAGAAAAGGCTATGCTTGAGAGATGGTCGACCTACAAGCAAGAAGTTGTTTCGGTTGTTTGGGCTCGAAGAGCTCGCTTTGGCGTCCATATCGACTAGATATCCCTGACCGGTTGAAAGTAGCAGAGCAAAGCTATTCTTATCAAAAAGTTCTTTGTTCGCTGTTATTGATGAAGCCTGATGTAGAGTGTTCGGTAGTGATTCTCCAGAGCCTGAATAAATGGCTTGTATCACCGACCTACTTATACATCCTCACCCTATCGCTCCGAACGTGCCGCAAAAAATTCCACAATGAGGCATTCACGTATCACAATCATTTTCTCGTTTCAGCCTTGCGTTTGGCTAGCTCGGAGATTCTGTGGCGTCTGAGTCGGAGGGGGGGGGGGTGGAGGAAGGAGCAAGCCTGACCGTCGGCGTGTCCGTCTCGCCGTTCCCTTTGTTTTTGCACAACCGCGTCAGCAGGGCACATGCGATCAAAGGATTGTGCAGAAAGACATCGATGACTGACTTGCATCGTCATGCTCTTCATCCTTCCACACGCAACACGGGCTATACCAAGCAGCCGTGTCCGTCGGGTTGCTGATCACTCCACCACTCCTTTCGCCTATGAAGCGGAGGAGGACACGGTGAGAACAGGTACGCCGCAGCACACGATATTCCCGGCCTGCTGGTGTTTCTCGAAGAAGGCCCGCTCAAATTGCCGAAGGTGTAATATGTCGGTAACCATGGCATAGTGCTTGTTCCTTGGCCAAGCCGAGAGCCACGAAATTATAATCAATATAAGGCGCTGCTGAAAGCCTCGCACTTTTATCTACACTGGGAAACTGCTCTCCCTTAACCGGTCAAAAGTCCACAAGCCACCGAAAATGAAGTAGAGCAACTTGTTGAGCTGCGAGACAACTCGAGGCTCGAGTTTCCAGAAACACGCGTCTGTTTGGCGGTGGCTGTCGAATCGGTGGTTGTTCCGTGGAGGTTTCTGCATGCAAACGTTGATGGCGCTGTCAGCATGGGCGTTAAATGTTCAGCTCTCTTCCTTCTCGTTTGTCGTATATGAACTGATTACTGATACATTCTTATCGAGGTACTCCGTACTCAACGTCGCATGGTGTTCGATGTCTGTCCCATATGCAGGCAGAGGTCTGCTAAACGTATGGCCATAACAAGTGTACAATACTGTCGAGAACTCGAGAGCTTCTACCAAGAGTCATCGTTCGGTCGGCTTTCTCTGGACATGGCTTGGTTATAATTGCTACTGTGTCTCTTTGCAGTCTACACATCGTTTTGTAGGAGAAAAGTGGAAGTGAATTCAGAAGATAGATTCGCGATCGGGTTTCTACAAGCTAAGAGCTATCATACATCATGCATCAATGTCGCTGTCCCACTACAACTTCTTGGTGAGTCCATCACGCCAGTGCTCATAGCTTTCGGTCATCTCTGGAGTAATTCTGCGTACTGCTGTTGATAGAGCAGTGTCAAAGTCGTCCTTTGACACTTTCATCTGCTCGGCATCTGAATCGTTCGCTTGGCTGTCAGAAGTGACGATTGTGACTCTTCTACGCATGGCAGCACGGCAAGCGTTCAAGCAGATTTCGACAATTTCAGCGCCAGAGAACCCATCTGTACGGACAGACAGGTCGTCGATATCCACGTCGTCGGCCAGAGGTACTTTGTTAGTGCGGATGCGCAGGATCTCCTTGCGGGCGGATTGCGATGGGGGCGAGATGTAGATGAGACTGTCAAAGCGACCGGGACGTAGCAGAGCAGGATCCAGCACTTCGGGCTTGTTGGTAGCAGCTAGGACGAGTACGCCCTTAAGACTCTCAATACCATCCATCTCGTTCAACAGGGTCGTAAGGACATTCAGACCCTTAGTACCTGATGAGTCACGCTCTGAGCCAATAGAATCGATTTCGTCGAAGAAGATGATGCTAGGAGCAGCTGCACGAGCCTTGCGGAACACTTCGCGTACTGAGCGTTCAGACTCGCCCACGTACATGGAAGTCAACTCGGCGCCCTTAACAGCAATGAAGTTGAGACCAGACTCAGTTGCGACAGCTTTGGCGGTCAAAGTCTTGGAACATCCAGGAGGTCCGTAGAACAAGATACCCTTCTGGGGAGTCAGGCTCAAAGCCTCCATATGTTGCTCGAACTTGAGAGGCCATTCAACGACCTCATTGAGCGTCTTCTTGACATCACCCGAGCCTCCAATGTCCGACCACAATACCTTGGGAGTCTCAAGGAAGATCTCGCGCATAGCTGTCGGGCGGACTTCCAACATCGCTTTCTCGTAATCTGCAAGTGTCACTTCGAGTTCGCCATCATCTGTATCATCGGTGTCGGCGGTCCGAGGTCTGTCGGCAATACTGCAGCTCTGCATGCCGTTGACCAAAGTAAGCTGTGATTCGTCGTCGTCGCCGGTGCGCTGAATGGGAAGCCAGTTCGTAGGCTTTTCCTGATATCTGTCGAGAGCATGCTCGAGGGCATTGTTGAAAAGGGCTTCGAGATCCTGTCCGACAAAACCGTGGGTGCGCTCTCCAATCGTCTCGGCCAGCTCAGCAGTACCAGTCTCTCCCTGCATGACCTTGAGAATTTGAATTCTTGCTCTCATATCGGGGATTGGTATCTCGATCTCGTAGCGAAGTCGTCCAGGTGTACGCAGTGATTTGTCGATGTCGTTGGGAGTGTGTGCTGCAGCCACGACCAGGACATGTGTGTTTCGTAGTCTGTCGAGTTCGGCGACCAGAGCAGGTGCGAGATTGTTTGCAGTGTAATCGCGCTGTTGCGTACCAGCGATTGCTTCGAGGTTGTCCATAATGACCAGACTGGGCTGATGGGCCACTGCTTCGGCAAAGAGGTTGCGTACAGACTGTTGGTTCTTGCTAGATGTTCCGGCGAGGGAGCTCTGATCAATTCTGACAACCTTCTTCCATGGAGCTTGAGTAGACAGATGGTTGAGTAACAACGTTTTTCCGGTTCCTTCAGGACCGTAGAGCAGAATACCTCCGTTGCGCTGGACTTGAGGTGGCAGCCTCTTTCCTCTGATGTCACCGATCAAACGTGACAGGCGCTTGTTGAGAATTTCGATTTGCTTGTTCAAACCACCAATGCCTTCTGGAGTCACAGCCATCGAACGAGGCAGGGCAGCCTCAGGCGTGACAGCAGACTCCTCATCCTGAAGAACGATCTGACTTCTGTCATCGAATAGATACAAGGCTGGAGTCTTACTCGCTTCGCTCGATTCGATGTGCTCAATGAGGAAGCGCTTTCTCAGGCCCTTACGGGATGAGGCCTCAAAAGCCACTCCAGTTGTGATTGCCTCGACATTACCAAGAGCCATGCCACAGCGCCATTTCCAGCTCTTGTCGTCCTTGCTAAGGTCAATTTTCTCACTATCGGAAACATCGATAACGACAACGCGATCAGCATGGACAATTTTTGCATTGATTTTTTCGATGGTGATCTGGCTACCAAGCTTAAAACCAAAGGCGTCGCGCATGGCCTCAGATAGCTTGACGGGGTGAAGTTGAGGTTTTACGCTTGTATCCATGGATCTCCAAGCGATGCCGACTGCAGATGAGCCATCTCCTGAATGCAAGATGCAAAGGTCGCCCAGTTTGAGTCCAAGAATATCGAGGTCTTTTGCTGTAAGATGCACGCGGAATGCGCCATCCAAGGAAGTGGTAGGAGGCGTAGGCCTCACAGTGAATAATATGGAGTCTACCATGGTGTCACTCAGCGAGTAGTGCTGTCGTTTCGCGATCTGCGCGGACGAATATTTTTTTTTGTCAAGATTCAAGTGTATAGAAGTCTTGGCTTAGTCAGCCGAGATAGATCGATGAGTGAATCAGAATCAAGGTAGTGACTGCTAAGTCCGAAAATCACATCGCACTTATACTTGAAGAGATGCACAGTTAATTTCTGACTAGGGATGTGCCCCAGGAGGGCCAACATAATGGTGGCCCTTGGTGGACATTGCTCAAATGGTTCCGAATGATCTTGTGCAATTCCGTAGTCTGTCTATCACTCTATGCTTCCAAGTGTGAGATTGTGTACATGGCATAGTAATCTTTACACGCTCACAACAGGACTTGCACCGGGATCAGAACTGTATTGTTGCAGAATCAATCTGGCATGTTTTGGTTGGCATGCTTGTGTATAGACAGCTGCTGAGTCAGCAAAAAGTGCGGGCAGGATGGACATTTCACATGCAAGCGACGCCTGGAGGGAATCAAAGCCAACTCTGCCAAAGATTCGAGGCGCGACAATTCATGCTGGCGGCACAACCAGTCTGTCTACGAGCGTCATGCCTGAGATGGCTCCCTCGTGAAAGCAGACACTGCTCCGAGTCGACCAACGCTGGACTTGCCTTCTTGCGACCTGGACGTCATGCGAGATACACAGCCAACGATCTGAGAGGTCAAAGACACGCGAGTTCCAGGGCCCCGAACGGTACCAAGAGATTCAGCCCCTTCGCCACGGCAAAAGGAAAACAGGAGAAGAAGCCCTCTCTGCTGGAAGAGCTGTTCCCAGAAGAAGCCCAGGCCAAACCTCAATCCTCGACCAAAACCAAGGAACGCGATATTCCGCGACTAGATGTTCAAGCCTCCCTAGCCCAATCTACCACTCGGAGACCAGTGCCAAAGGAAGGTGACGTTGTTAGGACAGTACAATCGAGCGGCAAGAACCGGGGGAATCGGACTGAGCCCGGTGCATCAGAGCAGAGTCCGGCACAAGACATGCCAAAGTCTCGACGAGTCGAAGGTGTACTTATGCTCCGGAACGCAAGCACCACACTGGTCGAAGACGATTTCACAAGACTGATCCCCCAAGGATTGCATATCGAAGGTTGGACATTTGACAAAGCCGATATCATCAAGGTCGTGCCAGGACGCAACACAAGTACTCTGGAGCGTGAAAACTTCTACTTTATCCTCTTCAACTCACGCTCCGCTATGAACGCCTACCGTACACACGTTATGAGTCTACACTCGCTTGCTTCAAGGCATGTCCAATCCAGTCTGACATCGCCTATACCTCCTCCACCAGGGCATCATCTTGAGGGCCAAGATATCGATGCTCAATTGCAGACCTACACCCTTGTCCCACCATCCCGCTTCCTCCATCTTGTGCCTTTACCCATGCAAGTTTCGCCATCAGTAGTCGACATCATACACAATCAGGGCTATCCGGATATTGTCAAAGGCCCTCTCAAGGAGCCGTACGTTGTCTTGGTACGGCTGGAAGGTCCTCAGCTACCCGCCTCCTTGATCAGAGGCGTCTTGATGCAGGTCGAGCGAGCACGAAGGGTACCTTGGAACCGCGAGTTTCGCGAACTGTCGTATCGAACACGTGAGCCAAAACCAAAAAACATCTCGCCGCTAGACAGAAGAAGCCGCTTGGACAAGCCTGAGAAAAAGATTCAAGACAATTCAAAGAATGACTGGTTCAACGAACTCGAAGAAATCTCTGAGCTGAACAACCAATTCGAGGAGGACGAGCCGGAACACGAATCGGAACACGAATCGGGAGACGGGGCGGAAGACAGATCATCGGCTCCTCGCGAGAGACGTGATAGAAGCAAGGCCAAATTGTCCCATCTCTTTGGCTTCGACACGGAGGACGCCGCTCTTAGTTTTGTACAATACTGGCACCGAAGACGGCTCGAGATGATTGGCATGAACTACGACCACGATGACCTAGAGCCCGTGGTGGACGCTGAGCTGTTGTGGTAATATAAGTCAAGTGTCATGAATCGTCTATTCGTCCATCTGCCAAGCGTATTTCAAGTCTTTGATGTTTTGCTGTTGGTTGCGCGCCTCGAACCATCTCTGCTCGAAGCCAATGCTACGATCCACACCGTCCCATCGGTATCCGGGCTTGATGCCGTAACGGTTAGGCTCAAAGGCGCCCGTGTATGTCTTTTTCCTTCCTTTGGCGGTCTTGGTCCCTTTCGTAGTCGCACCTCTGCTGAGGAAAGCTAAGGCTGGATCGTTCCAGCGTTCTTGCTCCTTTTGCTCGTCGTTGAGTTGGCGATCATCTGCGTAGCGACTCAGAGACATTGTCTTTGCCTTTTCCAATTCTCGCATGCGCGCCTCTTTTTCTCTCTTTTGCACATCGCCGCGTCTGTTCTCGGCCTCCTCTGCCTTCTTCCTCTCTTCCTCATCGGCCTGACGTCGTAGCTCGGCGCGTTTCATGGCGACGTTGATGATGCGACCAGACGCATCACGGTATATTGTCTCTTGTGCCTTGCCCGTAGGATCCATGCCCATCTCCTGCATTGCCCTTTTCTCCTCACGCTCTCTTCTCTTCAAAGCCTTTGTGACTTGTTCCGCCGTCTGTAAACCCGCCATTGCGCCTGAGGCCATTGTTGGTCCCGAGTAGTCCATCTCTTCGTCTTCCCCTACGACAGCAGGCGCGTCTTCGTCTTCGGCATTACGGGCTTGAGTCTCGGCGGCGGCATCGGCGAGGATCGCATCAGCTGCAGCTTGCTCGTTGTTGGAGGGAGCGGCTTTGCCAAATGTCCTCCATGTCGTTGTTCGTTTGCTGATGTTTGCGCCTCCAGGGATGAACATGGGTGTGTCTTCGTCATCGTCGCCATTTCGTGGTTTGCTCAGGCCGCTCACATCATCGTCGGCGATGACTAGGCCCGCGTCCTCGGCATGCTTCCTCTTGCGCTTCTTGCCTTTGGATGATTTGTCGGCGGATAGATAGTTCTGTGCTAAGTAGTCGGCAAGACCCATGTCGTAGATGTGAGCTGAACGGATGGCCTTCGGTCAGGTCTGAAAGATGACGGACCAAAGCACTTTCTCGAATCTTGGCGTTGCATAAAACCACATGCCCTCCGAACCACATGTCACCGCTTTATAGCTTTAGCGTGTAAACACATACTACAATGGCCCGATCAGAAGAGGCCGCTGCTTGGACTTATGCTGTATACAATGCAGTGAGAGAAGTCCCGTATGGGAAAGTCACGTCCTATGGCCATATTGCTCGTCTGCTTGGAAAGCGTAAGTATAGCTGCTCCTCCTGCTACCATTATCTGAGTCTAGGTTACTGACACTCTGGACAGCTGAATGCCCAAGGTCAGCATATTGTTTCTGATTTAGATATCAGCGGACTGACTTGAGGTAGACAAGTGGGTGTATCTTTGAAGGCACTTCTATCTGCTACAGCACAGCCAGATGCTCACTACAACAACTCAAATGTACCATGGCAGAGGATCATCAACTCCAAAGGTGCCATCAGTCCAAGGTTGCTCACGTCCTTGATCTCGGATGCATGATGACCAACATCTGACCACATGCAGAGGAGTGAACGGAGCTCGTCAACAGGCAACTGCTCTAGAGGCCGAAGGAGTTCAAGTGACGCGAGGATCACTCGGAGAATACACGATCGACTTTACAACCTACGGATGGTTCCCTGACAGACTTCCAAGCGACCTCAGCGAGGATGATCAAGACGAAGAGGACGAAGAATGATCAACGAGAGCAGCCATGTGCTATCCACGCCGTGCATAATATGCATAACGAGCACAAAGGCACCTGCCACGAATAAAAGCCGAGCTTATCGCCGAGACATGACGTGCGCTTTGTTGCCTGGATGACCACAACAACATCAAACAAGGTGCCCGTTTCCGGCGGCCGCCGCCAACTTGTCCCACAACCAGTCACGAACCCCCCGTGGGCCGTGGATCTTGATCTGTTTGCCGCGCCTGGAAACATGACGCCGCATCAAGGCACGCATGACCTTCGCCAACATACGAACGTGGCTTCTCTTATCGCCCACTCCCCGCAGTCAGCCTGTCTGGAAGGAGCGTCGGTGACCAAAGTCGTCTTCATCAGTAGGCATCAAAGCAACCTTGCAGACTCGTTCTTTGTGATCTATTCGGGACTTCTTTGAACCTCATTCAGTGACTCATTTGCGGTGTCCATCTATTGCGTCTCAGCTGTATTAAACTCTATACTGACGCCGTTGAACCACGGCGCCGCGCGCGGACATAGCCCTTATCTCATCATCGGATTCCACTCGGGTATTCACCAACTCCACACTTTACCCCAGTGAGTCAGGAGCGATCCGGGAGCCATCTGACTGCCACTCCCTCCTCCTTGTTGTTTGCCCGTTTGACTTCCTTTGTTTGAAACATTCCGTCATTGATACCTACTTCCAACACTCACTCACCTACAACACCTCACTCCTGCTTCATCCGTTCACCACCTCTCCAGCCTCTTTGTTTACCATCACTGCGTCGATCACCCTTCCGCCCCAACAACACCCCCTCACTCTATACCGGTACACAACCATCATCAGCCATGTCTTCTGAGCAGACATTCCCTGAATCCGACCTTCGCAGCGCTGCTCAGGACTACAAGCGCGATGCAGACCAGAAAGCCAAGTGGGGCATGGGCGCCGCCTTCACAAAGGGCCATGGCGACAATCCCATACCCGTGAAGAGATCAAAGACGTAGGTCACCCTGCACCATACCGTGTTGCGGACGAGACAGAAACTGATCAGTGAGATGCAGTCAATCCTTCCGTCACGCCGAGAAGAGCGGTCTCTTCTGCCCTGTCTACGTCCCCACCAAAGCAAAGATCGCTCGCAAGCAAGATATGCTCGCCGCCGCCGATGAGTACGCCGTCAGCTCCGAAGATAGCAGCAGTGCCTCGGGTGATGAAACTGTCACCCCATCCGAGATCCTCTACGGCTTTGACTCTCCTCGCGTCCCTTCGCACGGTAGCCAGATCCTGAACACCGCGCTCGCGAAGGCCATCGAGCAATACGAAGACAAGGAAACCATCAAGCTTGTGCGCAACGAGTACGAGATCCTCGATGCTGACGAAGAGGAGGCTCACAACCTTGGCCATGTCTCTGTTAAGCCCAAGCTCATGGACGCTGAAGACGCAGAATACGAGTTTGTCTGAGAGCTGAGTGCTGTTTCTCAACGCTCTCTTATCTCCCACACTCTTTGACCATTCTGGGACTCTTTGCTTCTTCTCCATGGCGCATGGCACGGCAACATTATACGACAGAAACACAATATATCGATATCGACGAGGGAACGTTTGATGCATGGCGTGGGTTTTCTGGTACAAGGGGGGTTTACCTCATTCACACGGCGCTTTTTCATGAGATTGGTTCAGGCTGTTCATTGTCAGCCTCCAACCCTTATCAAGGACTTGATGAGCACACTCTTCTTCTTCTGATGTTTACTTTTACTTCATCACGTCCCCTTTTTATTATACCCACTCCCTGAGATGGGATGTGGATGACCAAGCAGATATAATCATAACTGCATACTCTTCATTCGCTGCTGGTTTGTTTCTCTTGTGCTTGGTGTTAGTGATGTGCTGCTCTCATCAACTCGTGGTTTCTGCATTCTTGATACACTTTGAAACAAACTACACAGACTTTGTGTGCATGAGAAGGTCACAGCAAAATATGTGGACTGACTCGCATGTCCCATTGAATCTGTTGTATAGACTTTGGCACTTTGCTGCTACAGCAAGAAGCAATATTCTGTGCGGTCAGAAGCAAAAGCTGAAGAATCCTCCAATCCATGTTACCACGAAAACGCCGTCCATATGAACCCTTTTTCGGTTTCCCATGTGCTATAGTACTGTTTCTCAAGGCAGATAGGCGCCACTGGCCATGACCAAGTTCATCTGTGTGAATCTGACCTTGTACACCGGACTCTTTTTGGTAGGGAAGGCGCTGATCTGGTCAGGCGAGACAACGACGTCCTTTGCCTTCTTGTTCTTGTTGTTGGCCGCACCTCCAGCTCCTGCGCCTCCGTCCCTGTTGTTCAGACCGCCGTCGGCGAGTGCCTTTGCATCGCTGCCGCTGGACACGGTAGGTGGTTGTACATCCCAGACTCTGACTGTGCAGTCTGCGCCACCGGAGACGAGGACGGTGCTTTCAATGCTCCAGTCGAGAGTCCAGATGCCACCGCGGCCGTGTCCCTTCATGCGCTTGACCAGACGACCGGTTGCCAGGTCCCAGAGTAGGATCTCGCCACGGTCGTCAGCGCTGGCGACAAGTTTACCGTTGGGCGCGCATGCGATGCTCGTCACGTTGCCGGTGTGTCCAGTGAACAAACGCACGGCACTGCCACGCTGCACGTCCCACATGCGGATACTGCGATCTGGACTACCTGCAGCAGTGAAGACGTAGGCTGAGTTGGGGTGCCATGAGATGGCTTCGACGTCGCTATCGTGGCCAACGAATAGTCTCAGAGGCGCGATCTGTGCTGTGCTCCACATACGCGCTGTTCGGTCGGCGCCACTTGAGACGAAGTAATGGCCGAAGGGTGAGAACTTGACATCCCAGACGGGAGAAGTGTGAGAGCGATAGACTACCAAGTTGGTGAAGGTGTCAAGCGACCACAAGCGGATGGTGCTATCAGCGGAGCATGAAAGGAGGTAGCGGGGGTGGGAAGGCGATGTTTGAGAGTCATTGTCGGTACTGCCGTTGGCCTGCGTGGAGCCCGAGGGAACAGCAATCGATGGCGAGAATGAGAGACCGTAGACGGGTCCGGAGTGTCCTATTAGTCGTCGCGAGGAAGAAGGTTGTTGTGTAGGAGGGTCGAGAGGAGAGACGAGAGGTTTGTTGTCAAGCGACCAGACTCGGATGTATGATTCTGCTGTTCCCACTGCTGCAAGCTTCTCGTCTCCCGAAAACTCGACGCAGTTGATACTGGTATACTGTTAGCTCGAAGAACCACCAAAGAGGTAATAACAAACATACCTATCAAAGGTGTTGTGGTAGGTGAACATTGTCACGCTAACGCCCGGACCGACACCGTCTGTTCTGCTTTCGATCTTGAATCTATCACGGTTCTCTTTGATCCTTTGCACCTCCATGGCGACGTCGCGAGCGAGCGAAGGTGGGAATGGAATTTGATCGCGCGATGGCGCGTCGTCGTTGGGTTCTTGCTTGATGCGCTGCTCGAATTCCTCGACGAGCGTATTGCGGCCTGGCGGAGGTGGACGTAGCGAATCGTGTTCTTGTAGCTCTGCTTTGACGTCTTCCATCAAGTCTGCCTCCATGGGCATCGGCGCAAGCGCAAGTTTTGCCAAGACTGGTGGTGCATTGCGGTCTGTGTTTGCCGAACCAGGATTGTGTCCAGGAATGCCCTCGTCCTCAGCAGGCACATCTGAAATGCCTCTTTGCTTTGCGAGAATCCTTGCAAGACTGCGCTCTGCTCCTGAGGCCACTCGGTCCACGTGCTTCAATTCGATGTGATTTGTGAGTAGATTAAGAATGACCGAGCCTCCCTCGGTGTCGTGTGCTTCTAGGAATTGCAACAAGGCCGAGTACGCCAGGTCGGTAATTGTGAGTCTGTAGTGGTTTTCGCGGTAGAGTTTGGCGATGTGATTAGTCTGGACATGCTCTGGCAAGCTGATGGCCTGTAAAGCGCGGATATCGTCCGGATGTTCTTTCTCAAACTGTTCTCGGTATTGTTTGAAGAAGTTGGCGCATTGACGAGGGTAGTAGTTTGCAGCCAGTGCGAGGAAGGAGTGCACAAAGATGGGCCATAGTAACCGACCGAGCTCATCCTTGTAGATGTCCAGAGACTTTTCGACCCATCTCAATAATAGTTCGTAGGCTTTCTCGTACATTTCTCCGCCAGCATCCTCGGCACGGCGGATGATAGGTCGACCATCAGCATCTGCATGAGCGCTCTCCCTTCGCAGCATGGCTTCAGTCTTGTTGTAGCCTTTCTTGGCAAGATACTCGAGTACCTGAGCATCGTCAGTCCTGCGCCTAGCAGAGTTGAAGGATCGCATGATTCGTGATGGGTGATGGTGATGATGGGAAAGTTGCGAGTGGATGCAGTAGATGTATATCAAGTACGAGAAGCGTTCAATGAAAGATTTCAGACAAAAGCTACCGCCACGACAAGACGTCGATAGTTTTCAAACAAGCAAGCAAACTTATATGAAGTAGACGCGAACGCGGTGGTCCCTTCTTTGTTTGATATAGGTATGCAAGAGAGTGACAAGGTAAAGGTCAAAACATCCATGCTTTCAAACCCTCGACAGAACTCATGAATAAACTATACGGTAATGAAATAGAGTACTCACAATTTGATTCAGATTCTGCTGTGACTGCGGTTGCGCAGGTGGTGGTTGATGTGAAGGAGTGGGAGGAACATTTTGCGGTCCAACACTGGCCGTCCTCGGCGGCTGAGGCGGTGGTCCTGACATATTAGGATATTTCGCAAGTGAACAGATGAGCTGAGTGAAGATGCGACAAAGGCGACAATACTCGTACAGATGCGACAGTGAGGGACGACGGAAAGTGGTCGAGGAAAGAGCGACGCGCCAAGATTGGAACGTGAAGCGTGGAGTGAGTGCTTCTGGCCCTCTCAAAACGTTGTTTCCTTGCGACCAACCTCTCTTTCGAGCAGCAATTTCAAACCCTAGATGGGCTGAGAGACCAGTCGCAAGCAGGCCAGCAAGTACGCTCAGTCTGTCATCACAATGTCGCAGTCACAGCCCCCGCCTGTCGTGACTCCCGCCGAGCGCATTCGCGAACTGCTGGCTATCAACGCCGACGTGCCCGCCATGCTGTCTAGCGCCGGAGGAGCAATCAATGCCTTGACCAACCGCCCTCCGACTGCTTCTTCGACCGATGGCCATGACATGGATGATGTGCAAGGCGACAACTCCCCGGCCGCTCACAAGGAGGCCTTTACCAAGAACACAACAGCCTATTTCACGTACATTCAATCAATCATGGCTCGACTGCGGCGTCAGACATATGCTTTGGAGGAGGCAGGTATCATTGCTGCAGAGACACCGACACTGAGCACCACGGGAGCAGCGCCTGAGGGAGCAGGTCTGGCAAGAAGAGGACCGGCTGGACAAGCACAGAGACAAGCTGGCGAAGACGGTGATCGCATCATCAATGGCGGTCTCGGAGCCTTGGATGTTGGCCTGCTGAACTCGAGAGGCAACAGTGTCGGTCTTGACAAGGAAGCCGAGCTCATTGCAGAAGCCAAGCAGATGGTTGCTCAAATGCTGAAGGAGCGCGAGAAGGATGCTTAAATGGCACCCATGAGGAAGGTGGTTACACAAAGCATAGCAAGGCGTTCAGGCAATTTCATCTCTACACAATCACAATGATGAATACCCAACACGAATTGCAGCATCTCCAATAGCATGTGACAGTGAAATGTCGGAGTAGATCGCCGAGCCAGCCCAAAGTTTCATGACGCAGGTCGTTCAGCGACTGGGGAAATTTTTCTCAAAGACAACCAACACGACCACTAGACAAGATGGCTACATACGACAGCGACTCGGACTTTGACGACGAGAACTTTACCGAGACCAATGTCTTGCTCGGCTATGCGACAAAGGATGTAGCCGACGACACAACCAGCCAGTTGGGCGGCCACCCAGTATGCTGCTGAACCCAATCAACCAGACAAACCGCCCACTGACACACACTGCGCAGACATGGCTAGACGAAAAGACAGCACCACCAGGCGACCTGGCCAAATGCAAGAACTGCAACAATCTCCTGACTCTGCTATTGCAACTCAACGGCGACCTGCCCGACCGCTTCCCCGGCCACGAACGACGACTCTACCTATGGGCATGCAAGAGAAAGGCCTGCAGAAGGAAAGCTGGCAGCGTAAGGGCTTTCAGAGCCATTCGCGCCTCTGCCATCCATGCCGAGTCCGAGAAGCCCAAACAACCCAAGCAAGAGGAAACACAACGAGAAACACCAGCCCCCGCTGCGCCAAAGACCAATCTAGGCGAATCTCTCTTCGGCGTCAAACCGCCTACCGCTTCCTCCGCTGCCATCAATCCATTCGCCACAGGCGGCGCATCATCACGCCCTGCAAACCCCTTCTCTTCATCTCCAGCTCCAGCTCCCACACCAGCACCCACACAACCCACCCCATCTCTCTCCGAGACCTTCGCCTCAAAAGCCCGCATCTCAAGTCCAGAGCCCACTCTCGCCTCTGCACCCACCGGCCCTCGCGAGCCATGGCCCCAACAATCCTCTTTCCCCGCCCCCTACCCTTCCTACTACCTCGACGCCGACTACGAAACCCTTAATGCCGAGAAACCAGAAATCCCCGCCCAGACACGCGTAGACATGGACATTGACGCCGGCGAAGGCGCCTCTGGCGGTGCAGACATGGATGTAAAAGACGCCTTTGAATCATCAATGGACAAAGCTTTCCAACGCTTTGCAGACCGCATGTCCCAGAACCCCGAGCAAATCCTGCGCTACGAGTTCGCCGGGTCTCCTCTGCTGTACAGCAAGACTGACGCCGTGGGAAAGCTTTTGGCGCCGCATCAAGATTCTGGAGCGAATGCGAATGCTAAAGTCAAGACTGTTGCTGCGGCTGCCAAGTCGGGTATGCCCAAGTGCACAAACTGTGGCGGAGACAGACTGTTTGAGTTGCAGCTGACGCCTTATGCTATTGTGGAGCTTGAGGCTGAGGAGTTGGGCTTGGAGGGCATGGAGTGGGGTACCATCATCCTAGGTGTGTGCTCCAAGGATTGCGTGCAGCGTGGTCAGAAGGAAGGAGAGGTTGGCTATGTTGAGGAGTGGGTTGGTGTTCAATGGGAGGAATTGAGCAGCAAGAAGTAAGAACACGGAGGCCATGATGGATTCAGCTTTTGAGACATGCATGCACAGCATCAGAAGGATATTTTGAAAGGTTTGTTTGACAGTCATGTCCTTCTTGTTCCTCTAATGTTTTGCCTTTTGGAGAAGAAAGCGCATATGAAACAACATTATGTGCGTTTTATGTCATCCATTCTCTCTCTACTGCCACGAGATACGAAACGGTCATTGTAGTGAATGCAACTTTTCGTGTCCCCTTTCCACTCAATACATGCCTCGTGCTTTTTGCCGTGCATCAAGGCTCCCCTTTTTGTCTTGAGAAATTTCCGTAGAACGCCGCCGTGCTTTCGTGTCAGGTAAAGTACTATGCCTCCGCATTGTTGATCTAGGCGGGCTGCTCGTATGCTCTCTTGATCATTCTCGAGAATTCTGTACAAAGTCAAGTCAGTCCTTTGTGTTTCTTGATTTCCATTTATCTCCAGGGTGATGGAACTTACGATCAAACTTGACGTTCTCACGCACAACAGTGCCCCTAGCCTCATTCTCCTTGTTGAGAGGAATAGTGACACTGCTGCCCTCAACACTCCACCCGCAGACCTCCTTGACAAACTTCTCAAACGCCTCGCCGTTCAAGTTCAACCATGACTCGAGCACGCCGCGCTCAACACTCTGCATAGTCTGGCTGATGACCACAGCCTGGCGCTCGCGCATCAGCTCCTCGAAACCCTGCACGTCGGCAGTGAGATCGGAGTAAAGGTCATCGCCGTCGAGTGTGGACCAGAATTGGTCGTAGGAGGCGCCGATGAGTTGGCTGTGCAGGGTGTTGAGCTTTTGTACGGCTTCGGCGAGGGAGTTGGCCGAGGGGTTGGGGGTGAGGACGTGAGGGGGGAGGAGAGCCAGGCACAGGCTGAAGTCGGGGGAGGGGAAGACGGTGAGCGACTTGACCAGGATGTTGGTGATGGTCTCTTCGCGGCCGAGGTGGGGGTTGAATTGGTAGCTGGAGCAAGTCAGTAAAGATGGTCGCTAGAAGGCCAACAATGCGCATATGTAGGGTGCGCAGTCGCTGCAGAAGAGAGCAGGCACGCACAGCTTGAGCAGAGCCAGGTTGGCGTAGCAGTCGTAGGTCTGGTTTTCGCATTGCGACACGACGTAGTCCTGGAAAACAGTCGTGGTCTCGGGGTTGTAGCGGTCGAGTCCGTTCAGGATGGCATCAATGTGCTCTGGCCTCTCGGGCGCGTAGTCGAAGGGGACACCCATGTTGTGTATAGGTATGATTGTGAGTTTTGGTGATATGTGGATCTCGACGGCGTAAAGATTCTGTGCGTGCTGTTGACGACTGACGGCCGGCCAGCCAAATCTTCTCCGTCTTTCTCGGCCTTGGCGTGTCTGTCGTCTACTTCCAAACTCATATAATATAAACAGCACATTCACATTCTACATCATTACAATACATCTGAGGCGACATGTATGTGGTGACATGCCGTTAAAGATACTGAGCAAATGAAACCATGTGATCCGTATGCAGGCAGTCGCTATCAATGCCTGTTGGGCGGCTCAAGACTCCGTACAATACTCCAAAACCAGCATATCATGCCTTGACACCATTCAAACCAAAAATAGGCACAGAAAATTGAACTGCCACCAGTGCTCGTCACAAAACAAGCTATATGTTCGTCAATCATCGTAGCGGCGTCTTGCCTTGCTTCCGTCTCATGCCATCCAACTTCTTCATCAACGTCTCGTGCAGCTTCTTGTTGCCCGACCACGCTTCCTGCATCTTGCGCATGCGTACGGTAGCCATGATCATGTATGCCACCGACTTTAGACTAGGTTTGTGTTCCTTGGTCTTGGTCTTTGGTGTTACTCCCATCTCCTCCAGTAGCTTGAGATCTGCTTTGTTGCTGTAGAAGAAGTCAGTACATATTCTACTAGTCAGTTGAAGCGTGAGGGCTGAACTTACCATGCACCATACATCTCCACCTGCATCAAAAACCAGCGTTTGCTAAACACCAAATCCTTGCGGAATGCTTCCTCGCGCTCGCACTTGGCCCGCATGTATTGGATCTGTTTGGCAAGTCCCTTGAGCTCGCTTGCATGCGTCTTCTCCTTGGTCTCTATCAGACTGCGAACTTCCCGTTGGTTGATCGTGCGTGTATCATCAGCTTCGCCACGAACGTTCTTGAGCTTGGAGCGCAACTCGTTCTCGCGGCTGAGAGATGATTGCAAACGACTTTCTCTCTCCTCGAGTTGCTTGTACAGGTTCTCGCACTCGTCCTCCACATCCTGCAACTGCGCGCGAAGATCTTGCTCAAGAAAGTGCGTGTCGTCCGATGTTGTGCGGCTCTTCTTGATTTTGCTGCGGAGATCCTGTTCTTTGAGGGACAGTGCTTCTATACGCTCTTCCTTCTCCGAGAGCTGGACTTGCAGGTCTTCGATCTCGATCTTGGAATCGCGAAGTTGGACACGGAGCTCTGCCTCGCGTCTTGCATGTCCAGAACTGCTACCCTTGCGCTCACCAAGCTGAAGTTCTAGTTCCTGGAGTTGGACCTTGGCCTCTCTCAGTTCTTGAATTTGCGTGCGAAGTTCTTTTTCCTTGGCCATGTAACCTGAGATCCTGGTATCACGTTCTGAGATTTCCGATTGAAGTTGTTCCGTCTCCGAACGTGCCTCGTCGAGGTGGATCTTGGCCTCGCTCTCCTTCTTTGACAGAGCGGCAATCTTCTTGTCGCGATCTGAAATCTGTAGCTGTAGGTCTTCGGCTTCAATCTTGGCTTCCTTGAGAGACTCATGTAGGTCCATGCGCTCATCGGCCATCGTCTTGTCAGCTTGGGCGGATTCCAAGTCAAACTCGAGAGACTGGATGCGGTTTTGAAGCTTGGAGATCTCGGTTTGCGACTCTCTTAGCTTCGATCGTAGCTCATTACGCTCACGTACGGGTGTGCCATTCTCCTTGGCTTGCCAGGCTGCATCAAGCTCGCGCTCGAGATCTTGTATCTGACTCTTCAGGTTCTGTCGTTCCATGTCGGCGTTTCTCAGCTTCAAACGCAGCTCGTTGCGTTCGCGTACTGGTGTGCCGTTCTGCTTCGATGCCACAAGATCTCTTTCTAGAAGTTGGATTTTTTGCTGCAAAGCTGATCTCTCGCTTTGCGCTTCTTCAACATTCGACTCCAGAACAATGATCTCGTCTTCGAGAGCTTCCAAAGCCTCTTCGTGGTCGTGACTGAGCTGTTGCTTCTCCTGTTCAGCCTCTTGCTTGGCCTGGCGGAGACGCGATTCGAAGGTGATCACCTCAGACTCCCTCTCTTGCAAGGCTTTGCGAAGCTTCGTCTGCAGGTCCAACAGCTGGTCTTCTTGCTGCTCGATAGTCTTTTGCTTCTTTTGCATATCTTCGTCCATGTGGCCGGCGAAAGATTGGTCCTTTTCTGCTGATCTGAGACGTTCTTGCAGTTGTTGAATTCTCTTGGTATGAGCGTCCAGTTCAGTCTCGGCGGACTGCAAATGCTTTTCAAGCTCATTCAACTCAGCATCCTTTTCGCCAGACAAAGCGCGAAGAGCTTGCTGGAGGTTACGAATCTGTTCTGCTTGTTGACTAAGCATAGAGTTCTTCTTTGTCGGTGACTCCGTGCCAGCCACGCGATCCTTGAGAGCACGCAACTCAGTGTTTAGTTGCAGGGCCTGCTGGTTCTTCAGATGTATGTCCTTCTCGAGCTGTTCGATGTGTTCCGTCTTCAGTCGAATTTCATTGCTCTCGTCTCCTTCTTGGCTACGAAGTCTCGATTGCAGGTTGCGGATCTCGCGGTCCTTCGAGGCGATGATGTCTGATTTTTCATCCCGCTCGGCACCTGCACTGGTTTCGGTTGATCGTAAGCGTTCCTGGAGCTGTCGAATCTGCTCGTTTTGCTGCCTATATTGTTGAGCCTGTGCGCTGGTGTCGTTCTCGATGGATTTGAGACTCTGCTTTAGGTCCGAGATCTCGCGGTTCCGCTCATCGATCATGCGTGTAGCTTCACGGAGATGCGATTCTTTTTCGTAGACGATTTGATCCTTCTCTTGCAAACGGGCGTCAGTCTGCATCGCCTCGGCGTCCCAGCTACCTCTTGCTGTCTGTAAACGATCCTGCAAGGCCCTGATCTCACCGTCCTTCTGCTCGATCGAGTAATCCTTCTCTTGTAGTTCGCTCTCGACCTCGCGCACTTCGGCGGTATGGGCAGCTTCTGAACTCTGGAGTCGCTTTTCCAACGCACGCAGCTCATTGTGCTTCTGATCGATGACTTGGTCTTTGTCTCTGAGCTGGTTCTCCAATTCTTCCAGACTACCTCGTAGCTTTTTCGTGGAACGGTCCGTATTTTGTGCGCTTCTTGCTTGTTGTTTGAGTTCCTCAATTTCTTCTCGGTGCTCCAGCAGCTCGCGTTCTCGGGTTTCGAGATCGGCTTCAAGGGCGGCGACGTCTTCGCGCAGACCATTGAGCTCCTCGTCGTCGGTTTGAATTTCTTTGAGTTTCTGTTTCAAGGCTTCGATTTGTTCGTCCTTCGAGTCAAGCTCCTCCTCTTTGGCACGTACGTCGGCTTCGAGATCGGCAATGTCGTCGCGCAGACCGTTGACTTCACCATCATCAGATTGTGCCTCCTTCAACTTCTGTTGCAGCTTTTCAATCTGCTCGTCCTTTGTGTCTAGGTCGATCTCCTTTGCACGGATCTCCGCTTCGAGGTCGGCAACATCATCTTCAAGATCCTTGACCTTCTCGTTCGAGGAGCTTCCAGCATTGTTGAGTCTGTGTTGTAGTTCATTGATCTGCTCCTCTCGCTCGTCCGCCAAGTTTTGATTCTTTTCGGCCTGTTGACGCAAGCGCTCCATCTCTTCCTTGACTATGTCATCCGTGTGCTTCCTCTTGACCTTCTCAGCATAATCGCGAAGTTGTTGACGGTATTGCTCTAGTTCAATCTCGGCACGCTCGATGACTTTTCGCTGCTTCTTCAGCTCGTGGGAGAGTTGGGTGTTGTCGGTTTTCAGCTCGGTGTTCTGCTTGATGACCTCTTGTTGGTATTCGGTTCCAGTACGCTTCAGGTTCTCGTCGAGGAAATGGATCTTGAGCTTCAGGTTGAAGTTCTCTTTCGTTACGGCGTCGAGTTTCTAGATGACCGAAGGTCAGTACCTGTCGCAGGCCGATTTCACGTAGACATTGGACATACAGCTTCTTGCTCTCGTAGCGTGAGAACGTTTCCCTGGTCGACCAAGCCTCCGTCTCTGTGTGGCAGCATTGGCATGGGCGTAGACATGATACTACTACTTGCGATAGCGGGTGGAACTGGTGTGCCTTCGCCTTGCGAACTACCAGTGTGATCGTGATCCATGATACTGCTGTTGACAGGCAGTCCCGGAGTGTGCGACTCGACCCAGCCCGGCTTGAGGTAAGCAGGCGTGGCAGGGGCGCGACCACTCAGAACGCTGTTGAGCAAGTCGTTGTGATTTTCCTTGTTTTCTCTTGAGCGGAAGCGGTTGTGTGCGGCACTCTTTAGTAAAGGAGTGAACTCGTTCTTCGACGGCCCGTTCCTGGCATTAACCAGGTTGTTGCGTGCGCGCGGAGTTTTGATAGACTGTGCGGCGCCTTGCCGAGCTTTCATTTGGCGTACGAGGTCATTCTTTGGATCCTTGGAGGGCGAAGGGAAGGGCTGCTCCATGGAGAAGGACAGAGCATCGGCATCGAATCGCGTCAAGTCGGCCATGTCGGTGCGCGGAGTGTCGACAAAGTTGTAAGCCATGGTGGGCTAGTCGGCGCTGGGCTCAGACGCGATCACTCGGATGCGACTCGAACAAAATATGGATCGGTGGAAAAATGCAAAGCGATATACAGCTATGGACACACAGACGCGAAAGTCGACATGGAGCTTTGTTTTCTAAACAACCCGTTCGGGAAAGGCTCCCGTCGGCCATCCGTGACATGTGACATGTGACATAGTCCCGTCCTCTAAATCTCCAATCGACGGCTCTGCATCTATATATACTCAGCCGGTTCATCCTACAATGTCAAGCAAACAATGGTGTAGATGGAATTCTCACCTTGCGCCTGCCAATCACCCTGGTCGAGGTACACTTCTCACAAACCGGCATGGCCTACCCGTATCTCCTGCTTTGCAACCAAGAAATCAGAAACCTGCTCGTGAGCAACAGTCGCTGGAATCTCTGACGCCCTTCCGCAAAGCAGTAGCCGCCAACCCTTATGCAAATGCATTAGCTACACCAGTTCGTCAGTGCAACTACACGGGCGCCAGACTACCTTCACACCATTTGCTTCCTTTTGCTACCATCTTCCGGCGGAATGAGAACGACAAGCTCGTTCCACATCTCGCTCCTGTCGACGAATCTCGAAAGACTTCACGCGCTTATGCTGTCAATTCTCGTGAACTACTGATCCGTCTTGGCCAAAAGAAGAACTGGCACCGCTTACTGGGCCAAGATCTCAAGTTCGGTTTGAAGCATCGAAACGATTATCAGTGGCCTAGCCAGGTAGATCAGATTATCCTCTCTCGACTACGCTTCAATGTGGTTCGTAAGCTGGCCTGGGTCCTCGGAAAACCCAAATCAGATCTGGTCAAACCATTCGGTCTCGCCGATGAATGTCCTTCATCGAAGACCATCTTGCATTTGCGCGAAGGCACGTCGTCAGGCTCTTCATCAAACTCCGTCACAGAATACCATCTCACGTACCTTCTGGGCTCAGAACTTGACGGGCTCCTCAAGGGGACTTCATTTGCCGAGACCGATGCTATACTCCTTACACAGTCATACATGACTGTATCTGCGCACATTGCTCTCGCAAGATTGGCACTTTTTCTGTCTGGCCCGGAAAATCTGACGAAACCCTCAAAAGTACGATGATCAAATACTGTCTGTACAAACGCCTAAAGATACGGCCATGGCCCCAACACCCATAAAGTTCGTCTACTTGATCATGACAGGAGCGACTTTCTTCGCCTTCTCTGCTGCGTACTCTGCAACCTTCTGTAGCTTCTCTGCTCTGAGCTTGCGCACGTATCTGAAAAGAAGAACGAACATGAGTTCCAATCTCTCTTTTGTCATCATCAGAAGTCCCTGTACCAGCAGACCTTTCAGGATCTGAGGGCCAATGCCCTTGAAGAGTCCCAAGGGACCTTCGTTGTCGATAATGTACTTCATCACTTCGAGGAAAGAACCAAAGGGCTTGCCCATTCTGGCGGGCGGCGGTCTGGATTGCAGACCAACCTTTGCAACAATGAGCGGCTGGGTAACGATGGTTGCTAGTGACTTGGACATTGCGCCGAGCACTACGTATGTTAGTGTCCTGCTGGTTGGTAGCGACGCACCAGTCTCGACTTACAAAATGCCTCGTGAGGTCTGAGGCTGGCTTTGCCTGGGTAGATAACATCCTTGAGTCTTTGGTATGCACCGTATGTAATGGCCGGGTTCACAACGAGGACCAAGCTCGCCTTCATGCCTCTCCACAAGCCTGTCCACCCATCTTCACTGTTGATGACCTCTCTTGCTGTTTCCAACATGCCCTTCTTGTCTCCCTTGGGCTGTGTCTGTTGTCTCGTGGTAACAACTGCAATCGGGATGGTGAACAGCTGTGCCAATGCTCCAGCGACTGCACCTAAGCTGAGCTCGATAGCTGTGGATGGCGGTCCGGGAACGGCGCGTCGTGAGATATACAGAGTTCGGACAACAGAGTACCAGTAGAAGTAGGCGAAATTGGCGCTTGCAACTCCAAGGAGCGAACCGAACATGCCAGAGTAGAGACCGGCCAGGCCCTCATCCTCAATGATACAGCCGATTGCATGCAGGGCGCCGTCGTAATGTCGATCGTTGGTAGTTGTTGCTACTTCCTCGGGCTTCCTCTTCACTTGGACTTGAAGACGCGTCTTGACTCTGCCGGCTGGTTAGCGTTCAAGGCATCTCTGATGAGAGACCAGGCTTCGTACATGTCCAGCGGATATACCAGAGCGTTCGCGAGAACGGCACCACTTGCACCAGCAACTGCCAGCCCCCATGGCGGGATCACTTCCTTGGATTGGACTCCCATCACTCGATCGAACGGGTTCGTGAGGTTGGCTGATCGATAAGACAGACAAAGACGCAGCAGCGAGAGTTTCGGTACGCGTGAGGGGACTGGTGGATTCCTCGAAGACTGGTTCCTCCAACTCGGTCCCTGGAATCAATTGCAGTAGTCTTCTGATCTGAAAGCACAGGTCTGTCGGCAAAGCAGAAAGCGTAATGATATACATGGCGAGCTCGGCGTGATAACCTGCTTGATGTCACCCGCCAAAATCAATGTTTTTGCCGAGGTCTTTCGGCTACTCTTTCACATGTTGCGGACATCGTTGCGAACTGACGCAAAGATGACTTCCGCCTTCTTCCTCGGTTCGAGAAGACAGTGGTCTCGTTCCGGAACTAGGACACTGTGACCGAGATGTCAACTTGTACAGAAGGCATCTTCTAGAAACGAAGAGAGCAACAAGATGAATGTTTTTTCACAAAGAAAGCGGTTCACTCAAGGTCGCCGCGACTCGCGAGTTCATTCTTGAAATCTGGGGGGCGCGGCATTTCCAAGCTTAAAGCCGCGCGATTCAATAACCAAAAACGCCCCCACCTTGCGTCAACATCACATGCACCAATCAAGTTGAAATCAACACATCGGTGCGGTTCAAGATCTTATGTCGCCGATGGGTTCCGAACATGACTTCCTCTGAAGAAATCTCGACCTTGAAGGCGAAGATTCAGGTAAGTCTCCAGGTATTGAATTCGCCTAACAATGCTGACATGGTGATAGACACTCGAGAATGGGATCCCATCTGCAACCACCCGAGATGATGCACTTAACATGGCGATCGAAGCCGCTCAGCTCGCCATGGGTGGTATGGGGCTATCAACAACTCCAGAGGTTCAGAGGTTCATGAGGAAGAAGAGTGACTTCTTCCTTGACGAAGCACAACGTATCAAAGCTGTTAGCGAATGGAAACCCCAACTCGAGAGCAATGGCCATAAGATCTCCGTGCTCGTCGAACCGAAGTCAGATCGCAAACTGCCCACATCGGAACAAATCCTACTCCTGAAAGCCTCTCAACTCAATGGTTTCAAATTCCCTCCATGGACCAAAGCACCACAAGATTCGGACTTCCACCTCCTGGATGGTCAAGAGCGTTTCACGTGAGCCTAGCTGGTATAATTACGTGAAAAGCAATACTGATCGTTGCCCAGTGACAAGCCGGAACTGCGCCTCTCTGCTGCACAGCTCAAAGTCTTTGATGGTTGGAAGCGTGCAGCCGAGGCTCTCCCACCACCAGCATGGTATCCACCTCAGGAAAGACGAGCAGGACCCACGATGAGCTCTTCGCGTACCATTGACCTGGTCCAAGATGCTGCCACCGATTGTTCGGTGGTTGCAAGTTTATGTGCTCTGGTTGCTCGTGGTGAAAGAAATCATGCGAAGGTATATATCCTTGTTGAGGATATGACATAAAACATGTAGTTGACGCCTCCTCAGATTCTAGGCTCCATAATGTCCCCGTACGACGTCAACGAGGGACAGCCCAAGATGTCTCCGAACGGCAAGTACGTTTTCAAGCTAAACTTCAACGGAACCCACAGAAGGGTCGAGATCGACGAACGTCTGCCCGTATCGAAATCTCCGAGGGTGCTGCATGTCATCGACCGTCACAACCCGAGTCTTCTATGGCCTGCTTTGATAGAGAAGGCATATCTCAAAGTTAGAGGCAGCTACGACTTTCCTGGCAGCAACTCGGGAACCGATCTCTGGATTCTCAGTGGATGGATTCCAGAGCAAATTTTCTTACAAAGGTAGGTTACCATCATTCTAATGGGAAATCTGCCTACTAACGTAATCTAGTGATGACACCATCGCAAACAATATTTGGAGGCGCATCTTCAAGTCACACCAGTATGGCGACGTCTTGATAACTATGGGTACTGGCAAGATTTCTAGCCGCACCGAGCGTGCGATTGGTCTTGCGGGTGAGCACGATTATGCTGTGTTGGATATGCGAGAAGTTGACGGCCAGAAATTGATGCTCGTCAAGAACCCCTGGTGTGAAGGAATGTCATGGCGCGGAAGCATCCCTAGATCCGCCATCGACAACGAAGATGACGAAGACGAAGAAATTCTTCCATCGTCACGAGATCTGCTCAACCAAGACGATAAGCTGACTCCTGGGACTTTTTGGATGGACCTCAACAGTGTGATGCAGTACTTTGAGTCCATCTACCTGAACTGGAACCCAGGGCTGTTCAAATATCGCCAGGACATCCATTTTGCCTGGGACCTCTCCGCATTGTCATCAAGCAACAAGTACCAGAGTTTCAGCAACAACCAGCAATTCCGAGTCTCCGTGTCGGCTTCAGGTGTTGTGTGGCTTCTACTCAGTCATCACTTCAAAGATGGAAAAGAGGATGCCCATCCGTCTGAATACATCAGCTTGTATGTCTTCGACAACAACGGCGCAAAGGTTTACTTGAGTGACGGCGCTGTTCAACGCGGACCCTTTGTCGACTCCCCACAAACTCTCCTGCGACTGGATAAGTTGGAAGCAAACAAGAAATACACAGTCGTCCCTGTTGAGCAAGACCTTACACCGACCACCCATACATTCACCCTCTCAGTGTTCGCCAATGCACGTATCGCCATTGACGAGGCACCCAGCAAATATGCCTGTCACAAGTCAATCTCTGCAGCGTGGACGGAAGAGACTGCAGGTGGTAATGCCCATTCGCCGACATACTCACAGAATCCGCAGTTCAGAATTGTGGTTCCTACGAAGACGTCAATTGCGCTCCTTCTCGAAACATCAGTGGAGCAATTGCATGTCCACGTAAAATTGGTACACGGCCGAGGCGCTCGAGTCCAAGCTGTGCGATCGAAGGACATTGTGTTCGACTCGAAAGACTATCGCCGTGGATGTGCTCTGGCAGAATATGCAGAGCTCGACGCGGGTGCCTATACGATAATTTGCTCTACATTTGAAGCTGGTCAGAGGGGAAACTTCAAGCTGCGAGTTGATAGTATGGTGGCTACACAACTTTCGCTACTGCCGCGGCAAGGTGCAGGACGACTGAGACACGCTTGGGCCAAAGCGACCTTCCAAGGGCAGCAACGCGCGTTAGCAGCGCCAATCGCACCCAGACGTCTCACCAAGTTCGATGTTTTCGTTAAGCAAGTGCAGCAGACTGGCCAACAGCAGACTACAAAGGCCGGTCAAAGTCGAGAAAGAAGCATGGTTCGGGTCACACTGGAGATTGGTACAGGCCCTGAGAGACGCATCTTGATCGCCAGCTCCAACGGTGAGTATAGCGATTCTTCTGCTGGAGTGCGAACAGGTGAGATTGATCTGGCTCCACAAGAGATGGGTAACATATGGCTTGTCATTGAACGCATGTTCACGCCCATGGATTCCGAAAGGGAGTTGTTTGAGGTTGAGACATTCACAGACGCACTTGATACGGTCGACATTGGAGTCTGGAGAAGATGGGATGTAGATGCGTTGGATCAATAGAGTATTCGTAGTGAGGTGGTGGTGACACGAGTCTCTCAAGGTTTGTAGCAAACAAGCACCCGAGCCGAGCCGTTTGGTCCCCGCACAATTGTCCGTGCGCAGGCCACCTTAATGAGCGTCCAAGGGTCTGTGTTGGTCTCTTTCACATGTGGATTGGTGTTTTGGTTGTGTACCACAATATTCCTGGCCTGCGGTGCGCCCCATTGCTCTAGACACGAGCACAGAAACCCTAGAGTGGTGTTTTGGCATGCGCCCTTCATAAGATAAGCCCATGGCAGCCTCTCCGAACCACCAAAGTGGACGCCCGCATGTTGCGACTATGACCAACCATGCGCCTTCTTTGCTCGGTCAGGATGTCGATGGCGTTGTCACTGCAGACTCCGACAAGGCGACACGGCCCAGGCAACTGCTTGATCTGCCTGTAGAGATCCTGAATGCCATCTTGAAAGAGGCATGTCGTTTCACAGCAGTATTGGTGCTTGTCAACTGACTTGTTGCAATAGCTAAACCACACGAACGACCTGACTTCTCTTGCTCTCTGCCACTCGACACTTCATACTCTGGCCATCCCTCTTATCTACAGCAGATTCGATATCGTTTGGCCTGACAATGCCTCCGGTCCGGAGCCGCGAGCCGGTGTCGATGCTCTCACCTATGGCCTCTCGACTCTGGTAATGGCCGAGGAGATCTTCGGCAGCCGTCGTAACCAGTCTATGGAGCAGAGGGTCAAACGACGTCGTGGCAACCACTTCGCTTCCTTCACCAAGAAGTTCTCGCTAGGCAATGGACCGCCGGATTGGTGCTCAGACTGTAAGTTTACTTCCTATGCTTTCGGTGATCTATTGTCAATCAACTCTTTCGACCCTGGGTCAAGTCAATGTGTGCTACTGTGCGAATCCTCAAGCTCAAGCTGTAATGTCTCCATAAGCATGCTAACATCGTCTTTTACAGACCTCATCACCAGAGAGGCTGGCAAAATGCTCGGTACGCTCGTCGCGCTAGCTATCGCTCGGATGCGAAGTCTCGAGTCTTTCACATGGGACATGCCCACAGGCGTACTAAGTGCCGTCTGGGATTCCCTCTCTTCGTTAGATGACCACGAGGACAACAGACCATGCCGCCTAGAGCGAGTCGCGGTTCGCTGGCACGACAACTATGCTGATCCTCATAGCCCTCCCGTTCATACTCGAGATCGAGCAGGCAACCTGAATCCCCCCTTGAGTGCTATAAACCATGTCGAGAATCCATCATTCTCCATCTTGCCCGCACTAAAGAGCCTCAGCGTGCTTGACATCGATGAGGTTCAGTACCTTGACGAGCTAAGTGTCCTGATCCATCGCTCAGTCGACAAATTGCGTGAGTTGCGCATCGGAATTGCAAGCCTTGCCAAACACAAAGAGTTCAACTTTGTTTGGGAAGGTGATAATTTTGAGCAGGTCGATCAAGCCAACCCGGTCATGTCTTGCATAACGATCGGCGAAAAGCGCCTCGGTGGTATTCTTGGTACACTGACAGGCATGATCTACGATTTGCGATCCGCTGATCCCCAGACCGGACGACGAAATCGGCTCAGACGAAGGTCTAACGCGACAATCGGCACTTCACAAGTAAATAGTGATCTCAATGGTATATCGAGCTCGTCGGATACATCATCAGCTGCAGCTGCCAATATTGGTTCTCCAGACTCCGAAACAGTGGCACCAAGCACGACGAGCACAGCATCCTCAGAAGACGATGTGGACGACGAAACGAGTACCATTGTTGAGCATGTACAAGCCACTCCCAAAGCTTCGTCGCCCGACTCAACTCCTCCAGGAAACTTGAGTCCTGCCACGGAGCACACACAAACTATGTTACCGATTCGCGTCAGAGATGCTGCAGACACACATGGCAAGTCTTCTATTGAAGAAGGAAAGCAAACCTCACCATCGCGAAAACTCTCGTTGGAGACGTTCGAGCTCGAAGATGTGCAGTTGTCAGTTCCGATCATGCTCAACGTGATTGATTGGAGTGTCTTGACCACTCTCACATTGCTCCGCTGCCTAAATCATGAACATTTGTGGAAAGCTTTGCGTCGCCAGTTCCCATCTGATCCGTCTCCTACCAAGCAAAGATATGTTTCTGGAACAACAGGACAAATCTTGCAACCTACGCGCAAACTCTCAAGCTCGGACAAGACATTCAAGCTGAATCTGAAGCACATACACACAGACACAGTATCGCATTCTTTGATTTCTTTCATCAAGGAAACACTTCGTCCAAACAGCTTGGAGTCAGTTTTCTTTTTACACAGCTCATCTGATCCTACGAGTGTTTCACTGGATGCCATCTTCAACGGTGTGATACGTAGACATCGGATTAGCCTGAGGAAGCTGTTGGTTGACAGCGGTGAGAGAGGAAGCGAAAGCTTACCAGGAGCTAGCGTGATCTGGCGACAATGGATGTTCAATCGTGAGACGATCAAGTTCTTGGGCAAGATGCCTTGTCTAAAAGAGCTCGGAGCCGCACTGGATTCGCGTGACTGGGTATGTTTGATCAAGACGAGTTTCTACGCAATCAACACTAACTGTTTTGTCAGCACTTCTTCTTACAGCACCTTCCGAGTCTGGCAAAGCTCCGATCGCTCTACATACCTTACCTCGTCAACTACAGCCAAGGATTTGATGCCCGAGAATACGCCCTTCAGGTCGTGGATATCGTGGCCCTTCGCCCAGAACTGGAGATTTGCTACGTCGGTATCATGAAGAAGTGCTTCGAAGTCCTCGAACAAAAGCCAGGCTCTGGAAACACAAATCGCGATGGACGTGGCATCGGAGATGACTCTGCGAGCGAGGAAGAAGACGATGACGAGGGCTCAGCAGATGAAGATGGCTCAGATGCCGACAACGATGACGATGATGACAGCGAGGGTACGGACTCAGACATGAGCGACTCGTACGAGGATAGCGACCTCGACTCTTCTGCGGATGAAAAGGAGTTACCAGCATTGAGACTGCGGGAGATTCTCTATTATGATGACAAGGTGTCTATCTTCAAAGCCAGACATGGAAGACTCTGAGAGGCGTTGTGGCACTGGTTGCATGGGTTCATGGGATGCTATAGGATTTGGCTCAGGCCTGGTTGCTTTCGACTTTGCAGTCTAGTTTGATATTGCTTCATTCTTTTTCGGTAGTTGGACGACTATCGTTTCAGCTTAATGTTTGACCACTAATCGAGTTTGATATCTACAATGGTCAATCCATGTGCTGAAGTTTGTAACTCTTAGTCTCCCACACTCATCTCTCTCACGAAGCTATAGGGCGCAATACTCGCTGGAAAAAGACACAGTGATTTCGAGATCAGAGATGTATCCAAAGAGAGCGTGAGAACACTCTATCTCGACAGTCACGATCCAGTTCTCGAAAACATTGCCGTATATTTGAAAGCTATTGTGTTACCAACTTCTAGCACACGAGAGGAGGTTCTACTATTTGCCAACAGCCTCGCCAAAGTCGCCCAAGAATCTCCATCTCGATTTTGCATCCAAATCCTTTCCTCGCCAATTATTCAACGAGTCTGGGAAAAAGTCAAGAGTCCCCAACAAACTTGCATCATGCGCTATAATAACGAGAACATCGTCTGAAGCGTCAAACTCCGACATACCCTCGACGGTAGAGTGGCACTGCTTCATATCGTGGCAGAATGCCTCTGTGACTTGGTAGAAAGGCTCGTTGGCGCTCTTGTTGCAGTGTACGTCCTGCAGAAGGTGACCGGGACAAATCGGCTGAGGCAGTGACTCTGGCGAGGGATTGATCTCTGTGGGCAAAGGCTGGTATGCCGACGGTCTGAATTCTCCAGCATGATGGCAAGCATCACCCCCCATCAGAACAAAAGTGGCTGCTGTATCCGAGGGTGCAGAAGTCCGAGCCAAACCACACATGTGTCCAACCGCGTGACCGGGGGTATCCAAGAGGTAAAACGAGCCGTCTCCAAAGTAATCATAAGCATTGAAGCGTCCGATCCTCAGGCCCGCTCCCTCGTGTGCAATATCGACTTCCCGAACCTCACGGCCCTCGAAATCGCTCTGCAGATTGGGCGATTCTTGGTTGATGGGATACGCTGGAAGATGAGCTTTTTTGAAACCAGGACCAACGATAAGCTGGGTAGATGCTGGGAAAGTCGTCATATCTCCGACGTGATCAAAGTGATGATGACTGTAGATTACGCTGTCAATGGCACCGTCTTGAACATCGAAGCCGGCTTCTTGCAGGATATCGGCCGTGTTCTTCTTGGCCCCTACAGTCCAGCCTTTCGACTTGATGGAGTGGACAATCGATGGCGCCATATTGTCAGCATCCTTGCGGATTCCTAGGTCAAACAAGATGCGCTTGCCAGAGTCGTGTTCAATGAGGAAAGAGAAGGTTGGTCCGGCTAATGAATCGTGGCCCTTATAAGTAGGCTTTAGGAACAGTCCAATTGGCAGATCGACATAGGATGTGCTGGTACCGCGTCAGATTGTGATTCAAAAGCGACCTCTTCATGTGCAATGATACGTCGCGCGAGCAGCTATAGAAATGCACAGTGTTCTGAGTGAAGAGGAAGCATCCATTGAGAGTCATGATATCATCGGCTCTCTGCGGACGCGTCTACCATATGGAAAGAATTGTGCATTGTAATAGCTACTCGTGACATAATTTCGCACACATGAGGGTATTGGTGATTGTGTTCATACCTGTCAATGATCGACACCTTGACGAACTTGTCAGATTGCGGTATGGCAAGCTCGGGAGCTGGTTTGGGAGCAGCTAGAAACTTTTTGGACATGGTGCAGCAAGATGAACAAGTGATGCGCGTGAGTAGGTTTATTTAGAGGAGGAATACTCAGATGTAAGAAGAACAGATGTTGAACAATTCAGTAGCTATTATATCCTAGTGATTCGACCAGTCACTGATGAACGAGCGTCATGGTCCCACCTATTCAGTGGAAGAACGTCGGTAGTCTGAGCAGTCCCGAAGATTTTGCAAAAGCGCTCGCTTATTGTTTGCGCTTCGGATCTTTGCTCTTCGATATCAGCGTCGCGACTTTCTCGAAACCTCGCGCGTATCGAGACGGAGAGACACTTGAACTGCTTGCCAATCATAAGAATGCGGTTGCGCGACCAGCCAAGGTTAAGTATACGTGTTTTCTCCTCCTCTTGTAGGCTCGCTATGCAGCAGTTTAGCAACAGCTAGCTGCAACTGTGTATCTCTCGTCAGAGAAATAGATTCGCGGTATCTGCAAAGGCGAAGAGTAAAGGTGTCTTTTTGATGCCGTCGTTCGCAAATAAGCCGGAGCGCACTCTTGAGCGCCGATTCGAAAGGGTCGGTGTGGGTGGAGTGGGCTTGACTTGGTTGGACTGACATGCAATACACGTATGTCGCTGCCTCTGAAGCTCATAGCTGGGCCTTGATATAGAAGAATAGAAGCTGTGCCATGATGTAGACGAATGGAAATCGTGTCTCTTGCAAATGTTCCAATCACTTTAGGATTGTGTGTGCGCCTCTTGCAGCCAGATATTCCTGGACCTGGGTGGTGCTCAATGTTTTGATGAGCGAGTAGACCTCGATGTTGTGGTAGCGCAGGCCGGTCTTGGGGTCGCTGTATGGGGCGGGCAGGCCGGTGATGTCGCAGTACTTCTGCTTGGGCTTGAAGGACGGCGCGGCCTGAATGGACGTGTACGTGTAGGTCGGGGTGACGATGGGTTGCGCAGGCAGCGGATCAGGGGCAGCAGCTTCTGGTTGAGGAGTGGCGGCAGCACTGTTGTTGCGCGTGGGCTGGACCGACTGCTGCAGCAGTTGGTGTTCCTTGCGCTGAGCTTCGGAAACAATCTGCTTGACCGTCTTGTTGCGGCGCTGAGCAGGCTTCCATCGTGGGTTGCGGAACGGCTTGTGGATCTTTTGCATGTCAAGCTTGTCGAGGAGCGCCATGTGATTGCTCTCGTCTGATGCCGTCGTGATGGGTGCCATGATGGTTGTAGGGGCGCTGGGTCAATACGCGACCGAGCCGGTTCTGAGAACGTGGGTTGGTTGGAATGAGATGTAGAGGGCTGGTCGCGATCGAGTGTAGATTGGTCGATGATTACCGCAGCGGTTTGGATGAGCAGGCGAGTTGAGTTCGCGATTGACATGTGAGCTCCTGTCATGGGGAGCCCTCGGCAATCCGCTGACACATCTCTGGGGAACCCTGACACCTCCTTTTGCCTATCACTACATTTCACTTTACTGTTTACTAAAACATAGCGCGAGGAAACGAAACAACAAGCATGATCGTGGCCCCATCATCTTTCCGCTGTCATAGTCCCTAGACCTTCCTAGAAGGAGAGGATATGAAGACCTTAGCACTTGGCCATAGAGCTCTCTCCATATGCAATAGTCTGTAACACACGTAGCTGTAACGATGCGCAGCACTTTTGACAAACAAGAGAGTGTCCAGCGCTCTCGATTCACAAACTACTGTGCATTCCTACAGGGAGCACTGCCCTCTGTGCTTTTGTGAGAGGTTGGATTGGAAAAGAGGTCCAATGAAAAGGCGTAATTGATGGGCGCTCAACAGACGTGGGGCCTTGGCCTTCGCCCCGCCATCGGACCCAGTCGCAATCGCAACCCGCACAATATTTAAACAGTCACCGCCCGCTTTGTGCTTTCGAGTGCAATTGGCCTTCACTGTCCAGTTCCGTTCAATACCAATTGGACGAATTCAATCACACAGCAAACGTCATGTCTACAACCGTAGTACTCGGCTCGCAGTTCGGCGACGAGGGTATGTTTGTGACTCAGACCGCGCCGCGCTCAACCAGAGCTCCTCTGACCAACGTCTAGGCAAGGGCAAGCTCGTCGACCTCCTGTCTGAGAAGTTCAAGATCACCGCTCGCTCTGCCGGTGGCCACAATGCTGGCCACACCATCGTCGTCAATGGTGTCACTTACGACTTCCACATCCTCCCCTCCGGTCTGGTCAACCCCGAGACTGTCAACCTTGTTGGCTCCGGAACTGTCGTCAGCGTCCCTCAGTTCTTCCACGAGCTCGAGCAGCTCGAAAAGCACAACCTCGAATACAAGGACCGCATCTTCATCAGTGATCGTGCCCACGCCCTTTTCAAGCTTCACTCGCTCGTCGATGGCCTCGAGGAGATTGAGCTCGGCAGAGGCGCCGTCGGCACCACCAAGAAGGGCATCGGCCCGTGCTACCAGACCAAGGCCGCTCGCTCTGGTATCAGAATCGGCGAGATCTTCGACAAGGAGCTCATGGACAAGAAGCTGAGAACCATGGCTGCCGCCTTCCAGAAGCGCTACGGCGATCTGTTGAAGTACGACGTCGAGGCTGAGATCAAGGAATACGACGAATGGCGCCCTAAGCTTGCCGAGTATGTCATTGATCAGGTTCCCATGATCCAGCAGGCCGAGGCCACAAACACCCCCATGCTCGTTGAGGGAGCAAACGCTCTGCTCCTCGACATTGATTGGGGCACCTACCCCATGGTCACCTCCTCAAACACTGGTATCGGCGGTGTCTTCACCGGTCTTGCCCTCTCTCCCTTCAAGCTGAAGGAGGTCATTGGTGTCGTCAAGGCTTACCAGACCAGAGTCGGTGGTGGTCCTTTCCCCACCGAGCAGATCAACGAGATCGGTGACAAGCTCCAGACTATCGGCCGTGAGGTCGGTGTCACCACTGGCCGCCGTCGTCGTTGCGGATGGCTCGACCTTGTTCTCCTCAAGTACTCGGCCGCCATCAACCACTACACCTCGTTCAACCTGACCAAGCTGGATATCCTCGACGACTTTGACGAGATCAAGGTTGCCGTTGGTTACAAGGTCGACGGCAAGGAGCTTCCCTCTTTCCCCGGCACCATCGATGCTCTGTCCAAGGTTGAGCCCATCTACGAGACCCTGCCTGGTTGGAAGACCAACAGCACAAACATCAACTCATACGAAGCTCTCCCCGAGAACGCCAGAAAATACATCGAGTTCATCGAGAAGTTCACCGGTGTCGGCGTCAAGTGGATCGGTACTGGTCCTGCCAGAGAGGCGATGATCTTCCGATAGAGGAAAATATGCCGAAATGCGCTCCTCTCTTTTAGTACAGTCGCGGGCAGGATGTTTCTTTGCCCAGGATTCTTGGGGTGGCTTTTCGCGATCTGGTATCAGTGGAATGAGAAATGCTTAAGAAAGTCAATTATAGACACAAATCAATCAAAAGAACCTCCTACACAAGAGTGCTCTCTAACATCAATGAGAATATTCTTTACGCTTGTTAGTTGTGTGCCGCACTAGATTCTGACGTGATTGTGGAAATAGATTGAATGTGGCAGGGCGTTTGAAATCCCACGTCGTACGACTTCGCATCTTGACATCCCATTCAACTTGCATCGACTTGTACCTACAGCCCTTGGACTCGTTTCAAAGAGTCGATACACCATGAAGTCTTTTATTGGTCGTACGCTCGCTTTGCTGCAAGCACCTCTCAGCCCAGCAAGTCTTCAACCCACTTCGAATCGATGTTCCGTGACGACTCTCGCGAAACCCGACATCTTCGGAGCTAAGATCATTGATGTTTCTGCTCGCGAGGTCAATCTCTATTCAAGCAGTGATGAACAAACGTTGGGAAAGAGCGAATCGGGCGATTTGAACTTTTGCAACGTCACCGTTACTTACACTCATCCCGGACAACACGATACGATACATGTCACGGTTTGGCTTCCGCTCGAAGAATGGAATGGCAGGTTCATGGCTGTTGGAGGCGGAGGCTGGATCACTGGTCACCCATATTTGAGCCCTCAGATCAAATTGGGCTATGCTGCTGCCAGTACCGATGGTGGTCATGGATTGGAACGCTCTGCGGCGTCTTGGGCTTTAACAAGTCCTGGTAATGTGAACTGGAATCTACTGCAAGACTTTGCATACCGAGCGCTTGACGACATGGTTCTCATTGGCAAAGCCGTCACGACATCTTTCTATGATACTGCACCAAAGTATTCCTACTGGAATGGATGCTCGACGGGAGGTAGACAGGGTCTCATGCTTGCACAGCGTTCCCCTAGTTTGCTCGATGGCATTCTAGCAGCTGCTCCTGCTGTTGACTGGCCTACCTTTGTCACCTCTGCTTTTTGGGCCCAGCAACGCATGAACCAGATAAAGGTGTACCCATCGACTTGCGAACTCATGGCCTTTAGAGCCGCCGCCGTCGAGGCTTGCGATGACCTTGATGGACTGGCCGACGGCATCATCGGAGCACCCGGTCTGTGCCAATTCGATCCACACTCTGTTGTTGGCAAGAAAATCGACTGCGACAACGTCAAGGAACTCACCTCTGCAGGCGCTACCATAGCTCACGCAGCATGGAGCGGGCCCGTTGATGCCGATGGCAAAGCCTCTTGGTTTGGTGTCAACCACGATGCACTCCTTCGATCAGCCGAAGATACCTATGTAGTCGGCAACGGCAGCACAAGAGGCAAGACCATTCCCGAGGAATGGGTTAGTCTGTTTGTCAAGAAAGATCCAGCGTACGACACGACAAAGATGACAGACGCAGAGTTCTTCTCCGTCCTCAAGGCCTCACAGAGGGACTATGATTCGATTCTCGGCACACATTGGCCTGATCTATCCGAGTTCCGTGATGCAGGCGGCAAGATGATCACATGGCATGGTCTTGCCGACGACCGTATTCCACCTAACGGCACCTCACATTACTACGACCAAGTGCTTGCCGCCACCTCGAATGTCTCGGACTTCTACAGATATTTCGAAGCTCCGGGTGTCGCGCACTGCGCGGGAGGAGCTGGACCTGTGCCAGACGCTCATAAGGACTTGGTCAGGTGGGTTGAGGAGGGCATCGCTCCTGACACTCTGAGAGCCTTCGATCAGCATGGAAAGGGCACTGTCAGAGAGCTGTGTCAGTATCCGCTTGTTCAGCGTTTCGTTGGAGGTGATCCGAAGGTCGCATCTTCATTTGTATGCTCTACTGGATTCGTTTGAGGCTTCACTCCACGAGTGACTTGATGGCTATATCCTGTCCGTGTACTAAAGTCTATCATTCTCACACACTCTCACGAGTATACTCAGGCGGAAGTGAAGCTACGCAATGCTCAGTTCTTTCTACATGGTAGACGAATCCATAGAGAGACAATCATAGTATGAATCTCAGTGGTTAATTCGTATCCGCGCAAGGGAATTTTAAGCATTTTGGTGGCTACTTGCGTGTTATACCTCTGCATAGAGGGCGGGCAAAAGAGCATATGGCTCTCTTGGGCACATGTAGAATTAAAGCTCTGTATAGAAATGCATAGTAGCATCATAATTAGGGCTACGTCCAGAGAAAGCTGATGAATCAGGGGCTCTCTTTGGGTATGCACGTTACATTGTAGCTGTAGAAATGCGCAATGGTCTCGAGAACAGGATAGTGCCCATGGAGAAACAGTCCGCAGGTGTAACTCGAGCTCGGAAGTGGGTGGAGACCCGGCGGTGCAGGTGCAGCCCTCGGCATCGACTGCCGTGGACCACGCATGGCAATTCGCTTGTTACACCGTTTCACAAGACATCGTTCGACCTTAATGGTCTATACCATTGATCAATTATTTCGTTTCGATACTGATAACAGTCATGCTTTGATGGTCCAATCATGGCAGCCAAGCCAGCTGAGGAATGACGAATCGGCCGGTGCCAAAAGCAACGAGAAAACGTCCACATGATGGATCGTAAAGACGAGCTCCCAAGCTTCTCTGAATTGTAGAAACTCCATTTTGTCTTCTTGTCGAGTGCTTTGAAGCTCTCTAACCTGTCTGTATACACCTGTATCTTATTTGCACATATGACTACCTCACACCTTGCTTCTGATTCTCTGGTCAGCCTCCCCTCAGAGGTGCTATTGACCATCTTTGGAGCTCAAGACAGCTTCAGGGACATGTCTTCGTTGTTCAGAACATGCAAGAGTCTCTATGCTCTTTGGCAGACTCACACTTCATCCATGAGCAAGTCTCTGCTCATCCACCAGACCCCTTGCTACGAGGAGGTGGTACCCCTCACAGCGGCCTACGAAGCAACAAAGCTCACCACTAGACTTCGATACAAAATTGTGCTCGTGGATACACTTCAAGGGGAGAAGCTCGAACGAACATTAAACAGCATCTCTCTATGCCGACAAATCTCAGGGCAAGCAAGATATCTATGCGACATCATCGAAAGCCGCTATCTCCAACAAAAATACAACTGCCACGATGCGAGATGTCGAGCCCGTCCATCAAAACTCCCACAACAAGAACGAGACAATGTCACCCGAGCACACCATTTCATCAAGTTGTACACAATCACCCATGCGAATCAACGACTTGCAGGACTACATGAAGCCTGCAAGATCAAACTGGAAGCAATGAGTGATGCGAACAAGCACTTTTTGTTCCAGCTCTCGAGGATTATGCATGATTATGCTTTGCCTTGGGATAAGATGAGACTGGACCTGTGTTCGTACTCGCTGCCTCCTGTTGCCGTTGAGGACGACATCGGTTGTAAGGTTACTTGGGCGGACAAGTTTACGGCACTTCAGGAGGCTACACGTGTGCAAATTGAGACTTGTGGGGACTGTATTTATGATGATACAGCACGGTTTAGCAGGATTGGCCAGTAGGAGGGGATTTAAAGGGTTCGCTTGCGAAATCAGGTTCTTGTCTCGGCTTTTGCCACGGGTGCCTACCGGTTGTCAAGGTGCGCTGCGGTTGCTCAGGCTTTGACTGGCGTACTACTCTTGTTATCTGGCAATCAGATTGTCGTGATTGATAGATCAGCGTTTGCAGCAAGCCACAGTGGGCCACCTGCATTTGTTGCTGTTGTGAACTTGAATCTGCAGTGACTCAATTACGCTGCTACGCCACAGGTGCAACGAAATGACGAGAGATGAGAGCGTAGCATAGAAGCACCTGGCTACCCATAGCAGTCACTAGAGTGTGTAATAATAGAGCCGATGTATGAGAGATACAACTCGGGCGTAAGGTCCTAAGAATGATCAGGTGCGTAGGAGACGGTGCTGCTGCGCCACAGCTTTGGCAATCTCGCCCCGGATGTAAGGAGCAGCGTACTGCGTATACATGCTACGGAGACCCAGAGCTGACGGACTACGACTTAATCCTTCTGGTCCTCAAGTGACGAATGAGATCCTACGACATGCAGATAGAAGTGAATGTAGATGTGGCCAAGAAGTGAATGCTTGCTTGTTGAGTCTTGCATCCCGACACGTTAAAATGCTTGCTGTGAGAAAGTGCTACGGGCTTCCAGACCAAGCGCTCTCCACGATGTTGATCAAACGCTTGGCGTACGTGATTGCTGTGACTGTGGCCAAAGCCATATGCCTCCTTAACATTTTAACTGACACGCAAAGGGAGGCCTTTTTCGACAGCTTCAGCAGGAATTCTATCATCCATTGGATAGCATCAACATCTCATCGACAACCCCTAACACGCTCTGAAGCAGAGGGTGTTCTTAAGCACGAAAATGCGTAAGTTACAAGGTCTCGAACTGCGGCACGCGATGATGAGTCGCGATTGCTATGATCCATCCCCGGATCGGAAGCCGCGCGCCGGTGGCTGCTAGTGCCTTGGTATTCCTGAGTGAATGATGGTTATCTATGCCTTGCCAGCTGCCTAGCCACTCTCTCTGCTACTTTGCTTTCCTCCTTTACTTCACTTTCAATCATCCTTGTGGATTATACGCCGATGGGAGAACCTTCTGACCCTTCTTTATTAGACCGTATCCGTTCATGGGCGAAACACCACGCCTCTGACCGCTCCAAGCACCACAACAACAATACGCCACAGCGCAGTGACAACCCTACCCTACCTACCACGACCCGAGATCTGCCGGACGCGGAGAAGGCTGGACCCTCTACGAGCCCTACAAATGGTACCAACCATGTCAACAACTTCAACACAAGTCACCATGACAATACCACCTTCAACAATACCGCAGACAAGACATCGCCTGCTCTGCCTGGACCAGCCCCTCCTCCTGAACACGTCAAGTCGGAGTATGCATCATCGAACAAACCCACCCTAGGAGATGGAGACGGCACTGCCAATGTGCCCGCTCCTAAACCATCCATACCCAAGAGAGCCAAGGCTGGATCCGTCAGGTTCTTTCGCCATACCTACGATGCCCTCACCCACAGCTGGATCAATCTCCTCCTCGTCGCTGTCCCTGCTGGTATCATCGCCAAGGCTCTTAACGTCAACCCCTCGGTTGTCTTCGCTCTTAATGCCGTTGCCATTATCCCTCTGGCCGGCATGCTGGCCTACGCAACAGAAGTCGTTGCTTCACGCCTTGGTGATACGCTGGGCGCTTTGATGAACGTCTCATTCGGCAATGCTGTCGAGCTCATCATCTTCGTCATTGCATTGGTCAAGAATGAGATTCGTATTGTCCAGGCTTCGTTGGTCGGATCCATCCTCTCCAACCTCCTGCTCATCATGGGCATGGCCTTCCTACTCGGTGGTCTCAGATTCCAAGAGCAGATCTACAACAGCACCATCACTCAAATGAGTGCTTGTCTTCTCAGTTTGAGTGTCGTCAGTCTGGTCTTGCCTACGGCTTTCCACGCTTCCTTCTCGGACAGCGCCACTGCCGACGACAGAGTTTTGAAGGTCAGCAGAGGCACCAGTGTCATTCTGCTGATTATCTACGTTCTCTATCTTCTCTTCCAGTTGAAGTCGCATGCCTACCTGTACGAAAGTACTCCACAGCAGATCATCGATGAGGAGTCTCACCCTGGTATTCTGGCCGATATGCTCGGCTCGTCTAGCTCGTCGGACAGCTCGAGTTCGTCTAGCTCTTCCGACTCGGACTCTTCATCGCACACGACTTCAAAGCGCATCAGACGCGCCTTCAGACACCGCAGACGCCGCAAGTCGAGTGCCAGCACTACTACCACTCCCTCGGTCATTAGTGCTCCCTCTGTGGAGCGTGCTCCTTCATATCAATCCGACATCGTCCAGCCTCAGCGTCGTCTATCTGCTCTCGGTGCCATCAATAGTGGTGATGAGGCCGACACAGATGGTGACCTAGAGATGCGTGGTGCTCACCCTCTTGTGAGAGACTTCGTCGACGGGCCCTCCGACGAACATCAACAGCAGTTGCAGTTTCAGGACGCCAAGCCTGAACGCAAGCAGAAGAAGAAGCATAAGAAAAGACATCATTACAAACGTCACGGCAGCCATGACGAGAAGCAGTCCGTCGACGACAATTCCTCAGTTCGTAAACAGGGCAAGCGACCCGCAAAGGAGTCCTCCCCTAAGGTGGGCTTCTCTGACGATGTGCAATACGCTCCTGCTGCCGCCACCGACTCGCCTAGAAAGCCCTTCGGTATCCGTCAGCTGTCTTCTCGACAGGTATTCCCTCGTCCTACCCTCCCGAAGATGCTGTCCCAGAACGTCTTCGTCTCCCCACCTCCAACAACTGGCTCTCCTGTCCCTGGTGCACCCATGGTACCTCGTACTGGAGTGGGCGCTATACGTAGAACTAACTCTTTGCCTGACCGTCTCAACCGCCAGAATACTCCCACTTCAACTCAGCAGGAGAACCTGCCTCCATACCCGAGAACTCCTGATGGAGAGCCGGAGAACGAGGAAGAAGACGAGGAGAAGCATAGCCGTATGTCTCGTACTGCTGCCGTCGTTCTTTTGCTCATCGCCACCGCTCTGGTCGCTGTTTGTGCCGAGTTCATGGTCGATGCCATTCCTGAGATGATCGAGGCGACTCCTGTCAGTCAGGCCTTTATCGGTCTGATCATCTTGCCCATCGTTTCGAACGCTGCCGAGCACGTTACAGCCGTCACGGTAGCCGCCAAGAACAAGATGGATCTGTCCATTGGTGTCAGTGTCGGCAGCAGTATCCAAATTGCCTTGTTTGTCACTCCTCTAGTAGTCATTCTTGGCTGGATCATCGGCCGCGATATGTCTCTCTACTTCACTCTCTTTGAGACTATCAGTCTGTTCGTTACTGCTTTCGTCGTCAACTTCTTGGTTCTCGACGGCAGAAGCAACTACTTGGAGGGTGCTCTACTCATTGCAGCCTACGTGATCATTGCGTAAGTTACCTATTCTTGCATCAGCATATAATCAGTTGCTAACATTATTTCAGTGTCTCGGCTTTCTACTATCCTGACGGCGCCGATGCCAGCTCCCTTGCAGGATCGAACAACTAAAAGCTCTGGCAACGTGCCCATCATTAGTCAACACAGGGGAGAAAGGCGGAGGTTGATCACGACAACAAGTCAAGCTGAAGAAGATTGAGAAGTGTTTTCCTTAGGTGATTTGGCGTTACAGAGACAATGATCTGGACATGTTTTATACAGTCCTTACCCCTCCATCATCTCTTATTATACGACCAAATGATATTGTTTCTTTCCATCTGATCTTGTATTTGTTGTGTGAGCTATGCGAGTAGGATACTCTGGGCGCGACAATATATCACGCGGGGTGCTATATAACTGCACAATTCTTATAGAAGATAGGAAGCCATCCACCGAGAGTCCTCATGTCACCGTATCTCTATGGATGCTTCTAGTCGCACTGCAGGTGCTGTGCATTTTTACAGCACCAGTTGCGCCTTTGTGTTGACGTGAGAGCGGCCCGTGGGGTGGGAGTGACAATATTGGAGGCCAGCTCTTTTTTCTTCTTTTTATTGCTTTTTTCTTTGCTGAGGGCAGCACCCGGTCATAATCATTCCATATCTTTTGTTTCGAGTACCGATGCTAATATCGGTTCCTTTTTGGCCTGAAAGTAGTCTGAGTACGTTTAGAGTGTATAAGGGATTTGATCAAGTGGTATCAAGTGCGTTGTGCTGCTTCTGCGGTTTGTTGTTCTGTTTTTTGGGATTTATTGATGAGAGAAGCTTACAACTCGATATATTTGACCAGGCTATTTGACCATGGATGATTATTCACAGCAACGTCTTGGCTACGAAAAGGCGGAAGGGAATTCTTATTTCATATAGTTAACAAAGCGTTGTGCATGGCATTATTGAGTATCGCATCCTCCCCATGTGCTGGATTTTGTCACTACTACCTACTCTCACATCAACCACAAGGCGGAGTTGAAGCCATCACGATGCACAATTTTTTTTATAGACGATAACGACAGCCACTGAGAGCCCCCAGTAACATGGTTCCCTCGTGGGCTCTCTATGGATGCTTCTTTTCCACTAAGAGGATTGTGCATTTCTATGGTTGTCAGCGTGACGGAAGTTTGCATACGGGGAGGACGTAGAGTGCTGAGACAGAAACTGACCCCTGTACTGTGCTCGGTCGAGAGGAGACCTCGAAGAAACACCATCCGACATTTGATCGGCAATAAGGAGAGCTTTCCAGACGAAGATGCCGTGTGCAAATACCGAAGTGAACAAGAACATGCTAGGTCACCATCAGATAGATGGCCTGGTTTAAGCAGATTGAAGATTGACATCAAGGAAGTGATCGCACTCTCGCACGTGGAACGAGGCTCTTTCTGACGAAGGAGGCACCGACGCAGACGAGTGAGAGATTATGGTTGAGGCCTGTCAGGCCCCAGAAAACAAGGTGACAGGATCCACCAGCGTGGTTTTGTTTGCGGGAATCACCGCACTATGTATGCATCTCATGAACAAGGAAATGTCATGGCTCCTGCACGAAGATCGGACGTATTCTCCGGCCGGTGAGCGGCGGCGACACCTCGCAGTAGAGATCAGTTTCGACGATGTTCAAGGCAATTCGGAGCGCGTGGTTCGCATGATTTGCGCAGCCTGCGTAGTGCGTATGCTGCTCACCGCGGCAGGGAGACACCCGAACATGGAGGTGGGCAATGATGCAATGATCATGATACACGATCAGAATTGTACGCGGCTCTTTCCATCGGCATCATGTTCGGAAACATGATCGGCTCACGCCAGGTCCCATGTCTGCCAAGGTCTGAGGATCGCATGGGTAGCTTGTATTGTCGGATGTGACCCTAGCCGTGCCATCGACGCTCTTGGTCCAAACATGGACGCAAGTTCCAGCAAAGGGAGATACTGGCAAACTGGTGTCTCTGACTTTGGCATGCCAAAACATTGAATTCAACGAGGTCGTGCGGCCATGCACGCTCGTTTTTGGACGGATCAGGAACGCGGCTCCAAGCACCAATCTTCTCTGGGGTAAGCTCGCACTCTACGCAGACGAAGTGAGACACGGAGAGATATCCGTTATTGACATGACCGCTACTGTCGTCATAAGCAGAAAATATCGCTACACCAGGCCTCTCTTGTCGAGAACGAGCAAAGCAGGACTGTGTCACACAGCAATATTGTGATAGTCAACACAGTCATGCCGTGTGAAGTGCGCCCGGAGATGGGTTTCTTCTGGAGGCTCTAGATGGAGGTTAAGAAGCCGCATTGCAGAGAACCACTTCCTTCCGACGGCTCCAACGTGATATCGGTACCTAGATGTCAATCAGATAAGATCCTTGGTTTCGACACCTCCCCAACGTCACAGAGAAACTAGATGAGCGGAGACATTGCCGTAGGCTTGTGTATGCCAAACGTAAGACAAGATATCGAGGTTTGGTTGAAGTAAATTGCTGGTGCTGTTTCCACGACTCGCATGTCGATATATTTTGCATGGGAGCGCACGGCCTGACAGCGGAATCGCGATCATGATGGCATGACGTTGTGAAAATGAGGCTCTTTGAGACTTCTCAGCCGCATAAGCGCCACGCCGCAAAGTTTTGGTCCAAACCTCAATGGCATGTCACTTTTTCAAGACCACAGAGGCAATACGGAGAGGGCAATTGCCGTCGTAAACTTGACAAATGTAGGTACCAAGTACTCCGAAGCACGAGGAATGAGGAGACCGGCATGTTCCTTACTGGATGCGTCGAACGAATCGATCAGGCATCTGCTACGGAGCCTTGGATGGTGGGTGCGGCTCATCCTAGTCGCCAATCTTTATTGATGCACGCCCGGAAACTACCCCAATGGTTGCAACCGAGCGGGAATCCTCGATCGAAGCTCGCAGGGCAAACGGTGCGGCACCTGCCAGTCCCAGATCAGCACCGCCTTTGTCGAGAGTGTTGATGTCACGGTGCCGCCAGACATGACGCTGCATGGCGAAAATGTCGTTCCTGCAGAGACGCTACAGAATATATATATGTAGAGCCATGCTCGACTCTGCTTGCTCTTCCATCGACCATTGAACTCTCACACCATCGACAAGATGTTCTCCAAGTCAATTGTCGCCTCGGCCCTGCTTGCAGGAGCTGCCTACGCTGCCCCTGCCGCTCCTCAGGACGTCTACGCCTCCCAGGCCTCGTCCGAGTACGGTAGCCAGGTTCCTGCCTACACCGGTGCCGACGCTCCTTACAAGTCCGACTCGGCTTCTGTCGACCTCGACAACGTTGCCACCTCTTTCGGCACAAACTCTGCAGTCAACGCCATTGCTACTGCTGCTCCCAACGGCACTGCCTCTGGAGCTGGCTACCCTCTCCGTAGCAGCTTGGTTACTGGCTCGACCACCCACGGTCCCTATTCTGGCACCCCCACCACTGTCGGCGCTGTCACCACTGCCACCCTTGGCCTGACCGTTTCCACCCTTCCCCTCAACCCTACTGCCACCTACTACAACACCGATGGCAAGCTCACTCAGCCTGAGCCTGCTCCTTACACTCCCGCTGGTGGCCTTGGTACCAACGGCTCTCTTCCCCGCTACATGGTTGAGTCCGACTTTGATTACGAGTCCATCACCCTTGGTCTCTACCAGGAGTGGATCGAGCTCGACACCTTCAACAACGGTCTCGCTACCTTCTCCGAGGAGGACTTCATCGCTGCCGGTCTCACTGCTGAGGACCGCGAGCTGATCCGCTTCATGGCCCAGCAGGAGGAGGGCCACGCTACTCTCCTGACCAACATGCTCGGTCACACTGCTCCTCCTCAGTGCACCTACAACTACCCTTACACCACTGTTCGCGAGTTCCTCGACTTCAACCAGAAACTCACCCGCTACGGTGAGTCTGGTGTTTGGGGCTTCATCAACCACCTTGACAGCCGCGAGGTTGGTCAGCTCCTCGCTCAGTCCATTGCCACTGAGGCTCGCCAGCAGATGGCCTTCCGCCAGATGAGTGGTCTCTTCCCCATGCCCGTCTGGTTCGAGACCGGTATTCCTCAATCGTGGGCTTGGTCTTTCCTCGCTCCTTACATCTCGTCTTGCCCTGCCAACACCACCCGCCTCGCATGGCAGAACTTCCCCGCCCTCCACATCGTCAACCAGCCCAACATCAACCGCTGGTCTGCCAACGATACCGCTGACTACGAGGTCACCGGTAACCGCACTTCCGACCCCAGCATCTCCACCATCCCCGAGGAGGAGAGCTGCCAGCACTTGAACGTCACCGGCTACGGCTGTGGCCCTGCTATCTCCCGCAACCGCTCTGAGCCTCTTTCCTTCCCCGGCAAGCAGGTCAACTTCACCTGGGATGCTCCCGGTCTCGCTGTCGGCCCCAACAACAGCTACACCACCTCGGTCAACCCCGTCGCTGGTGAGCCTCAGTTCGTTGCCTGGGTTGCCCAGCTCAACTTGACCTACACTCCTCTCATCAAGACCTCCAACAACTCTGGTTACACTTACCAGCCCGCTGGTGAGGTCTACGGTGGCGGTGCTCCCGTTGTCAACGGTACCATGTTCGTTGCTCTTACCGACACCGACATGTTCCTGACCCCCTTCAACCTTACCATGATCAACCCCCACGTTGTCGCTCTCGGTCTCTACCAGAGTGGATAAACATCTTCTGATGCTTTTCATGAATATGTATGAGTTGAAAAAACGAAGTATCACTTCATGTTTTGCCTTTAGCGAGTGCTAGGCATGTGTACTCTTAGTAAAGATTAAACACTAATAATAATACTGTCTATACCCTTACATATTCTCATTTTGCTTTTCATACGCGTTCCTGCGACCATCGTACAACTCTAAAAGCTAAGATATGTCCTTCGGGATACTGGCATAGTAATATCGTAATCCCCTTTGCACAGGGTCGGTCGCGTGAGCAGCTGTAGAGGTGCACAGTGTCTTTATCAGACAGGCAGCATCCACTGAGAGTCGAGATCTTATCCGCTCTCTTCGGACTTTGCTACGGCCTAGAACGTGCTGTATATCTTGACATCTTCAACTTCGCCTATGCGGTGTCGTGAGAACAAGACAGATTTTTGTTACAAAGCACTTGTTTCCATCAACCGAGCATCTCGATGCAAGGCATGCCAAGAGGGAGACAAGTACGAGCTTTCTGAGGCTTTCTCCACAAAAGCGCCGGGATGCAGACAGAAATTGACGTCACCGATGAGGTAGTTTGTGAGCAAAGAGCTCGATCGACAACAACTCAGTTTGCAAGAACAAAAGGCACCAGACATCCTCTTCTCCTGCCAGACTTCTCCTCAAGCAAAACCATCAATCTCTCTTCAAAACCACCAACCCCCCAAACCACATATCAAACATGCCTCGCGACGGATCTGGAGCTGGTGACAACGCCATTGAGGCCGGTCACAACATCGTTCACGGTGATGCTGGCGGTGTAAGTCTCTGATGCTTTTTCATTTGCTACGTATCAAGAAGCTAACACAATTGGTCAGGCCGCATCCACCGGTGTCGACCGCAGCGACAAGGCTGCCCCCATGCCCGAGATCGAGAAGGGTGACAGCATCGAGGGCCTGAACGCCTCCGGCGGCGGTCTCTCTGGCGCCAAGCTCACCTCCACCGGCCAGGGTGGTAACAAGGAGCCCTTCGTCGAGAAGGAGGCCGAGAAGCACTCTTCCTAAGCTACTCGCTTGACCCCACTCAAACCAAATCACGACCTCGATACTTTTCCCACTCATCAATCGATGGCCTGGGCATAAATCATTTACGACCAATGCAATAGAGGAATCTTCTGCTATGGATCAAAAGGAGATGGCAAGAGCCATACTTCTTGAGGATGCAATGGCTGCTGTGAAAGTAGCCCTCCCTCATGTATATCGAGATACGACTTTAACGACGGAAATCAAACGTTTCAAACCACTGTACCGCTTCCTATCTTGCCCATTGACTTGTCATCGCCACCTCTTTGTCTAATCTACCTATGTCCCTTTGGGTTTACTTGTTCTCGACGTTCTTTGACATGTACACGACGCCTTTGTTCCATTCAGCATTGTTCCCAAACAAAGAGGTTGAATGCATTGTTCCTTGTATCTATATGAACACCCTCCGAGATGCCTTTGCAGAAGATCAGACTAGATCAACAACAATACACAGCAAGTAGAGACAGGTCTCGCTAACAAAGAAACAGTAACCCAATCCTTTACCCACATCAATATCGGCAATGTGTTGGGGTGTTCGAGAATATTGCGAAATCTGCCGCGAGGAGACTCAAGTCAACTGGCAAGGCTGCGAAAACGAGGTATGTGCAGTCGACTTTCCGATCTGCCCGGACCCGATCATCTCTAGTTTACCCTCAAGACACTATTGCCAAACCTGCCAGACCGAAGCAGATGATGGCGGTTACGCTGACGACGTCCATCCAGAGCCTTACACCCACCCTGGCTTTTCTGATATCAAGCCTGTCGTCGACGTCCAAAGAGTTCAATATCCCGAACCCGTCGCCTACGAATCATATTCCAATATCGAGAACCTCCCTGGTGCTGCCGACGAACTACCTAGTTATGAGGATGCCATGAATGAACTGGCACTTCACCTTCGTATAACCTGGTTGAACTGCGCGATGCAGACTACGACGGCACTTCCATCCCAGCCATCGCCTTCTATCGCGCAACCAGACGTCACCAACAACTCATGTCTACCGCCGTCACCTACCGCTGCCACATCAACTTGCACCTTTCCCAAAACCCCCCTCTTACTGCCATCAGAATCTTGGATCTCGCCACCGAAACCATTGAGACTTTCCTCTTTGAGCAAGAACAGTTGCTCTCTCGTATCAATCTACTCCAGAGACATCTTGATATCCTCAATGCTGAGATTGCGGCTTTGCCTGATCCTCACCCTGGATTGACACTGTTTGAGCAACAGCGTGGAAGTGTTATCAGGGAGTTGGAGGGTTATGTGGAGCAAATGAGTACTATGGAGACTGCTGCAGATTGGGGTGCGAGATTGGAGGATTTGTTGTGTCATGTAAGGCGCGAGAATCAAGCTGCTAGGATGGAGGATCTGAGAGACGCTTTTAACGGTTGTCGTTAATGGTTTTATGTGCCTTCTCGTACAGGTGAGTGCGTCTTTCTGCCTCTGGTAGGTGGAAATGATGACATGATTTGTCTTTACGTTTATCCATAATCACAATATCTTGTCTGTCTTGTCACAAAACTTATCCAACTTGTATCCTATCTACTCTACCCGTGAGACCTCCTATGAACCTGACGTTGAATACAATGACCCGGGATGTTAGTCGTCCTCTCGACGCACCAGAAAACGCGCAATATCATATGGTATTGATTGAGCACCAGCGATTGCGCCTGCGTCTAGCAGCAATTGCACCGCCCGTGTCTGCCCATTGGATGAGGCAGCCTGGATGGCACTACTGAATTTTCTGCTTCGAGCATTGATGTCGGCACCCTCATCGATCAATATCTGCATTATGTCCGTGTGTCCAAATCTAGCAGCAGCTTGAAGAGGACTGCCGTAATAACCACCCTTGTAATTCGCGTCGGCGCCTTCCCTAAGCAACAGCTGTACTACTGCTTTGTAACCCCCACAAGAAGCGACAGCGAGGGCATTATCATACGAGCCGCTCCTGGTGTTGACATTGGCTTCATGGTCCAGTAGCATCTGAACCACCTGCGCATGACCTTGGCTACAAGCAGTCTCAAGGGCACTGTCATACACGCCGCCTGTGGTGTTGGTATTGGCTCCATAGTCCAGTAGTGCTTGCACTATCTGCGTGTGACCTTCGAGACAAGCAGCCTCGAGGGCAAAACTTCTTGTACGATTGTATGTCGGGCTATTCGGATTGGCTCCGCTTTCGAGGAGCAGCTGGACAAACTCGACATGACCGAGATACGAGGCTTTGCGGAGGGCATTGGCAAAATCTACCTCGTCGTTCTTGGCTTGGCTTCCGTGGGCAAGTAGCAGCTTCAAGATCTCTGCAAAGCCTCCTCCCGAAGCAGCATACAATGCACTACCAGCGAAGCCCCCTCGAGAGTTTGTATAAGCGCCGTTTTCGAGGAGAAGTCGTACGGTTGTTGTATGTCCCCGTGCCGACGCAGCTTGAAGAGCACTGCCATATCTGCCGTTCAAAGACTTGACGTCAGCCCTGCTTTCCAGCAGCAGCCGCACCACCTCGTTGTGGCCCCCATACGAGGCAGCCTGAAGAGCACTACCAAATATTCCGCATTCTTCGTTGATATCAGCTCCGCTGTCGGCTCCAGTTTTAAGCAATATTCGCACAACTTCAATGTGTCCATTGAAAGCGGCAGCTTGCAGAGGATTACCAAAAGCACCGCCTCGCGAGTCGACAACCTCCCCACGCTCCAACAACCCTCTCACTAGCTTCCGGATTGAAGATGCGAAGCCAATTGTCTTTTGCGTTGTTCAGTAAGAGTAACGATACCTCGCGATTTGTGCCACCACTTGGCTGTAAAGCAGAATGGTAGAACCATGACTCAGCCGCATATTTCAAAAGAGGCCAAACTTCGAGATCCTGCTCTCTCGAGGTTTTCTCGGCATTCATAGCGAAATGTTGTAGATATATCAGGCAGCTCTGGGCGATAGTCACGTGCCCTATCGCACTTTCGAGATAGAAACCTCTTGCTTCGCTTTCGAGTATTCGCTCGGATTCCAGGTATTCCTTCACCGAGAAGTGGGCAAGCCTTACCTTGGTGTATGGAGATAACGCGGAACCACCAGACACGCTACTGTCAACCATGACCAGTCCGGAGAGAATGTTGAGTGCGTCACGCAAGCGGCCACGCTCGCTTGTGTCTATACTGTTCTCCTTGGCCGGATCGATAATCGCAGCATCGACAAGTTCGCCCAACGTTGGGGGTGATCGTGCATAAGCTAGCCAATGGAGAAGCGTGACTGCCTCCGTATGATACATCTTTTTGATTCTGGTAAGGATCCGTGTATACATATCATCCAAGGTTGGTGGAAGGCTCTCGAGGACGAATTTCACGTATTTGGGCTTGTAGGACTCAAGGTTCTTCAGCTCCTGCAGCTGACAGTACGCCCACCGGAACCTAACGCAGAAGTCCAAGTTCAGTATGGTAACAAGACTGGCAATCAATGAGTAGCATACTTACATGCCATCGGCCTTCGCCGCACGGGAATTCTCGATCAAAGTACGCATTTCTGGATTGAGCTCGCGAAGACTCGAATCACTCAACAACTGGTTCGACAAGTAGATCCGGATATCAGCATCCACATCACGCGTAGCCACCGAAACTGGTTTAAATGTCATCGCTTGCAACGCTTTTCGTATTCTGTCCTGTTCGCGGCTAGTTGCAAGGATTTTGAGGTTTGAAGAATCCTGTGCTAACTTCCCAATCCGTTGTAGTACACCTTGACGAGTCTCATCGTCTACGGGACACTCATCAAGTGCGTCTACGAGGAGGAAAACTGTCTTGCACGACCTTATAGAAGCCAGCAAAATCAATTCTAGCTCGGCTGGGCCCGGTGGGCTGCGTCTTGAGTCCTCGTACGCCTGCCGGAGCATAGAGAGACCTGGCTCCCTCCACCCTAGTTGGGCGACGAGCGAGCGAAGTAGATCGCCATCGGATTGTTTACGGTTGTCTGAGAAAGAAAAATAGAAGAATGCGTAGCAAGTGTCTGTGTCCTGTTCACAAGTATTTCGGATGTCCTCAATGGCTGTGGAGCAGAGAATGGTCTTGCCACAGCCAGCTTTGCCATAGAGCCATAGATGACTGACCGCACCAGTCTTCCAGCTCTGATACTGGGACGACTTAAGCAACCAGGTGCCTGTCTGACTCTCGTGACGTTGGCGAGCGGTAGCGTGGTTCGTCATGGGGTCGGGCGATCCGAGCCAAGCGATAATCTTTCGAAACTCATCGGATCCCTGGACGTCTAGTATGCGTTGGTTCTGCGCCGTAATCTGTGCCATGGAATTGGTCTGCGCCGTGGTCTGATCCAACAGCCTAAGCGCCATTTCGTACGATTCTGTGCCGATTTCCAGCTGTAGCACTTGGAGCGTCAGCTTAAGACGTTCTTGAACATTTGTGACATTGGTTTTCAGCGCCTCGAGAGTTTCCTTCCTGAAAGGGTACCAGGACCTCTGTAGTCCGGAGCGCACTGTTTGGCGAAACCCCTCGGGCGCGGTGAACTTCTGCAGACTGCGCCGTTTCTCATCGAGCTGGCGAAGGGCATCCTCGCAACCCTTCACGCATGTTCTCACTCGCTCAACTCTCTCTCCGTCCGCTTGTTGTTGGAGCGTGGTTTTGAGTACCGTAAGCGTCTTGCTCAAGTCGATGATTGCTTCATAGGTGCTGCTGATGTCGGGGTGGTATGATTTCCAGGCATCGTAATAGGACAGCAGGCCTTGGCAGACTTGAATTCCAAGGGAAGCGATACCGACCGCGGTGCCTGCCACGTCCATGATTCGATGTAAACGTTGTGGATAAACTCACTGGTGAAGCGCGAAGAGCAGCAGTGTTTGGGGACGATCTACAGAAACATGCCACGTTCGCGATTCTTGCCTTTATATGGTGTTGGGGCTGCGCATTGCCTCGCGCGGCTAAAACGCAGTGTTGACCTTGGGCGCTCAAAAGCGACGTGGCGCATATAGAAACTCACCAAACGGGAGGGACGGAGTGTCGATTTGGGCGATCCACGAGCGATGATGGCTTTAGTCTACCACCCCTAGTACCTCTCTGCATGCCAGTGAAGCCACAACAGCCACACTGTCTGGTGGGGTTTGAGCAAGCGGGAAGCTCAGCTGCGGTATAGTCGGAGGCTTGCAGCCTGCCCGAAGGATGTCTTCTTTATAATTTCAATGGAAGAATTGAGTTCCAGGGTCATAAACGCGACTGATTATAACCATTGCAACCATGACCCGTCAATGAGTCATGCTAATTGACGGAGGGCCTCCAAACGTGGCTCGTTGGATGGCAGCGACCATGTGTGGACACCAATCCTTGCTGCTCTCAACTTGAGGAATGGGGGGAAGTCTAACAACCCCGATTTAATCAACTGTGAACCTCAGCGTATCTGAGCAATGCGATGTTCTCGTTTCCTTGATGTTTGACAAAATAAAGAATGGACCCTCAGATGAGATTGGACACAGCCGACGAGTGACAGGTTCAATACAAACAAAGGCTCAACAGAATTTGGATCAAAGCTCTTAATCGTTTACTACAACTCTGACGTGACGAACGAAATAAGGTCTTGCATCTCATCTTCATCAAGGCTTAACCATTGCCATAGGCCCTGGAGACAAATACTAATCCATCATACGCAAAGCAAGAACACGCTGGTGGACGGGAGGAGGTATATCAACATCCATCCTCGAAGCCATGACTTCCTTGCAGCAATGACCAACAAGGCCAGCACTGCCACAGATACAAGCCCAGGTGGGCAAATCACTACTTTCACTACAACACAAGAAAAAGAAAAGACTTAGCAGAAGGACAAAACAAACGATTGATGAGATGACTTTTTGATTTTCGGGGGATAAGTATGTATCTCTGGGGCTGCTTCTCTGAAGACTTAAGGAAAAGGGGATTCTGCAGAACCGATGACTGCTTGATGGAAAACGTGAAAAGGAAAACTTGTTAAAAAGGCCGTTGATGCTCCATTTCCTGCAAAGACCTTTGGAAAAACATCTCGTGTTTGACCGATCTGCTTCTTGTGTGTGCTGTGCTGTGAACCATTCTGCTCGAATATGCGCCCAAGCTCCGTTCTATGACTGGATAGCAAGGGCGAAACGAAACAAAAACAGCAACAAGAAGAGGTGCAGGTGGAGTGTGGAGTTTGGGAGGTGTGTTGTGCTCAGGGCGTGACAGGGTGCGCTTACTTGAGCTTGTCGGTGATCTGCTTGACGAAGTCATCCGACTCATCATCATCCCAGGCAACGATCTCATCTTCCTCCTTGGTGGTCAGGCAACCCTTACCAAAGATGATGATGCTGAACGCGGCATCCTTGTTGCCGCCAGCGGTATTGACGAGAGTCTGGAGAAGGCGGTTGGCCTCGGTGAAGAAGGACTTAGCAGTCTTTTGGGGAGTGGAGTTGGCGCCAACACCGTTGAGGATGTTGATCTTGGTAAGGTTGCGACACTCTGCAAGCAAGTTCATACAGGGCATAGCAGTAGCCTTGACGTAGCTGGTGATGGTGATAGTAACCATTGCCTTGCGGGCCTCGTCTCCGATCATGCTGAGAAAGTTGAGGAGAGTGGTAGTGTTGTCGAAGCGCAGTCTGTAACCGTACAGGATCATACGGGCCCCACTGGCAAGCTAGATTATTGCGGTCAGTATGTGTGGTAAACAAGGACTGTGGACGGAATATGCTCACCTGCTTGTTGAGGGTAGCGATGGCAGTTCTGTGCTTGAACTCCTTGGCGTAATCCTTGGCCTTGGCTCCGCCACTCTTGCCCTCAGTAGTGATCTCGATCTTGCCCTTGTTGGTTGTAGGGTCCAAGATCATCTGGAAGATCTTGGTACGGACGATGCGAGGGAGCTTCAAGAATGGGAAGGGTGGGCTAGGTTTGATGATCACGGCCTGGAGACCATTCTCAAGCATGAACGAGCCGACAAGCTCGAATTGCTGAGGAGCAACGAGCTTGATGTTCTGACCAAAACCGGCGCCCTTGGCCAGAGCCTGTGTGTTGTCAGTCACAATTGCTACAGCATTGAACCTGAGCTCGTTTACCTTGCCATGGATGGTTTCGTTCTCGTAGCTGACATCAACGGGGCCGGCACCAAGAGTACTGGAGAGCTGGGTGAACTGTTTGGCGGGAGCTCTCTTTCTGGGTGTCTTCTTGGTCTCAGTGACGGGGGTGGGAGGAACCTCCTCATCAGACTCAGCCTTGGGAGTGGCAGGAACCACGGTCTTCTTCTGTGATGAACGCATAAGTAAGAGAGTATAGATGACAGATGATGAAAGGCAAATGTCGAAGTGTGCAAAGCAAAGTCAAAGAGTGGAGGGAATGGAGTGCGAAGTAGAAGACAAGAAGTAAGAAGTAAGAAGTAAGAAGTAAGAAGTAAGAAGTAAGAAGTAAGAAGTAAGAAGTAAGAAGTAAGAAGTAAGAAGTAAGGAGTAAGGAGTAAGAGGTGAGAGATGAGAGATAGGCAGTGAAGAGTGGATGATTAAAGGTAGAAGAAGTGAACGAAGAAGATCGAGGTTATCCCGGATCGACGGGAGCAGTAGAAAGATAGCATAGAAATGCAGAGGTGAAAGTCAAGCTCACAGGGACCCAGAGAGATCTCGTGTACCCGATGAGCAAGCTCACATGGGCCCGGGGTGTAAGCTCAGAGGAAAGGTATAGTGGAGGGGGAAGGGGAAGGGGCAAGGAAAGGCAGGGAGGGAAGGGAGATCTTGTGTGCCCGGTGCGCGACGACACATCGACCCGAGGCACGTGCTCAGGGAGGATCTGTAGGGGTAGGCAAAGAGTCGACTGAGAAAAGTGTAGAAGATGACTTACAGATCCCTTGGGAGGCATTTTGTGCGTGTTTGCTGAAGATGGTAGAGGTTGGTAGAGGTTGGTAGAGGTTGGAAGACTTGGAGAGTGCTGGGCTGTCTTGCCTTGGATGTGTTGATGTTCGGAAAAGAAGGATGGAGGAACAGAAGAGTGGAAAGGGAGCAAGTAGCAAAAGGAAGCACAGAAGTGAGAGAAGTCTGAGACCTTTGACTGCGTCGTTCGTGTTGTCAAGTGAAGAGGTGAGTCCAAGACAAGCCGAATGGTGCGGATGCTCACGGTCAGCCGCGGAATCAGGTCGTCGGGGTCAACGATGGTTCTGATAGGCCGAATCTTTGCAGCAGTCGAACGTAGGGTACTTGGCGCGTGGATTCGAATCTGTTACTGGTGTTCCTCTTTTTGCTGAGGGAGAATACAAAGCGTCTCTGCAGGTTGGGTAACGAGGTGACCGGACTGATACGATTTCCTTCCAAGGCACACTCGACGCAAAGAAACGCGTGCAATGCTCTGCGAGGTATGTCTTGTACTGGCTGGGGGTCAAGAATGTGGCTGACTTTCCGTCAAGGCATATCAAACATCCGCAACATGCTCTCTGGAAGGTGGCATTGATCTCATGAATAACGTAACTTTCTACGACCGCGCACATGCTGTGCACCGCATGAGAAGCGCAGCTCTGTGTCTTCATGATTGAAGTGACTCTGTGTACCAGATCAAAGCTGGACGGTACCTTCCTAAACCTTTCGACATCAGTTTTCACGACCTACTTTGGAGACACGAGCGATAGCTCGCCATTGAAGATGGCTATAGCATGTATCAAGCACACACACATGGCCGGCTGATGAGTTGAAAGTTGATGGAACGAGAAGAGAAGAACGCAGCCAGCCCTGGACGATGTCTATACCAATGCGGGTGGACCGTGCACGGACATGAGATCCGTGCGCTGGTGAAGCGACTCTACTGCTCTATCCAAGCATCAAGCATCTGCTCAGCTCTCGCAAACGACTCACGTTCAAGGACAAAACATCGACATGGCCGAACTACCCAATGGTATGGCTGTGCCATCGAACAACGATATCGAGATGAAGGAGGAGGTGGCAGAGGTAAGACTTGTTGATAGACAAGTTCGAATGCGCCGCTAACGAGCAACAGCCTTCTGTACACAGCATCCCTTCTGCTCCAGAACAAGTCGCAGGAGCCGCCCAGGGCGATGAAAGTCTGCCTATCAACCAGTCCTTTACCACCGAAGCCCCCAACCCCGAGTCTGGCTCGTCAAGCATGGAAGGCATCATCAACGGCCACTCGAACGATGCGCCAGCCAGTCAAGTCGCACCTCCACCAGTCGCACAAGCTCCTTCAGCATCGCCATTGCCCGCCACTGCCTCTGCGCCAATCCCACCACCCGCCGCTTCTCTGCCTGTGTTGGCACCATCCCCTTCGCCTGCGCCAACCAGACCATCCTCGATCCCTCCTGCAGTTTCGCTGCCACCTGAGAAGGCCCATCAACACGGTTCACCTACCAGAATCTACTTGAACGATGTCGCCATGTACTTCATGGAGGGCATGAAGTATCTCGCTGTCTACAGGCCCGAGAAGCCATTGAAGTGGATGGGCGAGTTTCTCTTGAAGCGCAGCGCCGAGCTTGAGGGTTAATCGTCATTACTTGGGCATGGGAAAGGAACATGGGACTTTATGGGTTATGCATAGCGAAGGAGTTCATAAGGTTCATTACAATTGTCGAGATGGAGTAGCACCATCACACCGAACGTGGTTACAGAAGACAGGACGAAGACAAAATGGCATCAGACACATGATTTGTTGGTGAAGGGTCCAAAACGTGGCTCCCTTATCGTTCATTTACTTTTTCATCCTTGTGCAACGAGCTAGTGAAAACCCTGGCGACCTTCCAAATACACATGCCCTTGTGAACGCCATGTGGTATCGATGCTTGTTCCTCCGTTTGACATTTTTCAGTCAAAAGCCGCTTATGCGACCATGGTGGAGGCGGTCGAGGACTCGTACTTCCAGGTGGGGGGAAGGACACCGACGGTCTTGTAGTAACGGGCCAGACGGTGGATACGGGACTCGATGAGAATCAGGCGGAACTTGGAGTCCTTGTCCTTGCGGTTGCGCTCGAGGTGCTTGCGGACGGCAACAGCCTGGGAGAATTGTGTCAGCCAGCCGGACGGAGATGTTGTGGCAAGAGTGCAAGACAAACCTTCTTGACGAGCATGTAGAGGTCCTCGGGGATCTCAGGGGCAAGGCCTATTGTAGTCACTCCGTCAGTCAAAGACCAAACAGAGGCAGAGTTGATGTGTTTCGAAAATGTGGTTCGTCGCAATTTCTTGCGGTTCTTCCATCTTTTTCTTCCTTTCACACGGGGTGGACCGTACCGCTGGACTTGAGGATTCTCAGAATCTTGTTACCTGCGTGCTGTGTTAGTCTCTGGCTGCACTTGACTCTCGATGCGACGGGCGGAACGTACCAGTGACAACCTTGACCTGGGCGACACCGTGGGAGTCACGGAGGACGACACCAATCTGCGAAGGGGTGGCACCCTTACGGGCGAGCTTGCAGATCTGGTCAACGACCTGCTCGGGAGTGGTCTTGAGCCATGCGGGAGGAGCGCGCGAGTAGGGGATGGCGCTGGAGGAGATACCCTTTCCCTTGGAATGAAGACGGCCCATTTTGAATGTCGGTGTGGAGTAGAAGTTGTCGGTTGAAGGGTCGTCGGATGCTCGTTCGTCGTTCTCGAAGTCTTCACCAGGTCTGCAAAGCTGAGATTCAATTTCGGCGTCGGAGAATGCCAAGACTTTTCCGTGGGCGGCTCATCCCGAGCTTCTTCCGTTGTCCCTCTAGCGAAAACTTCTGCGCTTCACTTGCTTTGCAGCGACCTTCTCTTTTCAACCAAACGCAACTGTTTTCATCACACTTTGTATACAAGCCACGACACCCTTCGGCAGTGCTTGATAGCTCGCTGAGCGTGCGAGCGCTCTAAATCAGAGTGCAAAGCCGCTCGTGTGCAGCTCCAGGCGCTGTCAGCATCTGAACTGGTAAGACTCAACTTTCCCTGACAATCCCTATCACCTTTCTTTATGATGAATTTTGTCAATTACTATTTTTCTGGTACCTCTTATGTCAGAGACTCTCACGAGTCTCGATGATCTTAGCGGACTTCTGATCTATCCAACTATGCCATGCATCTTGGTCGCTTCATTTTCCCAGACATCTGGCTGACGAACGACTTTTGCAGACAGAATGACCTAACAGTTGAACCTGCCTCGTGTATACAAGCCCTCGGCAGCGGTGTGGCTCAGTGTTGCACACGCTCATAGCCCCTTTACCCCTGCTAAGTCCTTGGCTTCTGGGTATGGCGCAGTATTTGTCTTTTAGATTTCCTTTTATCTTGGCTTGAGTTTTCTCTTGCATGGCATTCTTGGTTGTTATCAAACGCGTTCTGGCAATTTTAAATATTTTATTTCCACATTTAATATTCTCGCTACTTGACTTTTTTGCCATACCAACGCCCATGACCTGTGCTTACTATCTGTGCTATGCCGAGCGCCTATCTGAGCACGGCAGATGCGAACAAAGCCTTGTTAACTGGTCGTGCATATTTGTACCCACGGGGTCGAGTCGACGGTATGGCCGTTCGGAGAATATCCTGATTGGGGAACACAGCATCGGGTTGCTATCCGCGCCGTTGAGACTTGGATCTGAGTAACGTGAGGTGCTCTGACTCCTGACTCAGTGCCATGATCCATTCACCCATTCAGCCATTTTCTACTCCCGTCTTTCTCAAACCCACACCAATTCAACACTATTCGTGCGCATGGATCTGTCACATATGCACCATGGAGGTGCACATCGTTCTGAGAGATAAAACGAAACTCCTCCCAGGAAGAGCTAGGGCGACGAATTCACTATAAAAAGGCACAGTGGTTTCCAACACAGAGCGGTCTCCAAAGAGAGCCGCCCCAAGTATATGGTCTCTCGATCGATGCTATCCTATCTCCTGAAAGCTTTGTGCATTTCTATAGGTACCCACGTACATGCAACGCACGCGGAGAGAAAAGCTAGCCACATCTTGCACCTAGGTAGGCATCAACTGCCGTCGGATACAAGAATTATATCCGTGTCATGCTTTTGGAGGGCGGATGGCCATGTTTGCATTGGCGCGATAGTGGATATGAATTGATAATCTGAGATCTGCAGGAACCAAATCTCCAGATGCTTTGGATTTTGCGGGTGTCCCTGCAGCAGCCGAGACAGCAGCAACAGAAGGCTGTCATTCTCGCGACCACATATCCGCAAGCAAGCAGGCGACCGCTCGTCGAGGCATCTGATGTCAGGCTCGTATACCCAGTCAAAGCACAAGCGTTGGTAGTCTCTCGCCTGCTTCCTGAGTCTCGGGCGCGACAGACATGCAGGGTGGCGCACAGAGTCAGTTCCATGGTGAAACGTCGAGGACCTGCGGCGGCCGTGCATCTTCTTACACCTCGGACCAAGTTGGGGAATGGTCAGATCCTCCTCGATCAAGATGAAGCACGGTAACTGATTTGCCAATGATCGTCTTGTATAATGTACAGAGTGTAGATTGTGATGCGACAAGAATTAAGAGCACCCGCACCTCATTAAACACTACTTTGGCTTGGTCAAAGAACAATAGCGCTCGTTGTTCGCTGTCGCGCGACATATGTTTAGAGGAATAGAGCACAAGGGCAACCCATCAAGCCACATGCGTCCGCGCTAATGTTGGACGAAATTGTGACCCACCCTGCGACTCGACTGCAACGGCGCTTGTCAGGAAAGACGAACTCTAGGCGTGCCACGACCAGGACCCCCAACTTCCAAGCGCCTTGTTGGTTGCATTGTTCAATACTCCGGGTGTTCGATTTCGCCTTTAATTCAGGCCCCAGCCCCCCGAGCGGCCTCGAGGGCTTTCCATTCCTTTACTTCGTCATTCGCTGCAGTCATTCTTTCAAGTGTCCTAGTGACATTGCCACGATCTTTACCCAGTTTGCATTGAACACGCGTTTGATACCCCCTTGCTTTACTGCTATTTCGCCTCATATAATCGAGTGCGCATCTTTTACGCCAAACCAAGCAATCCACATATATCACAATGAAGAACATTATCGCTGCCAGCGCCATCCTGGCTGCCTCCGTCTCTGGAGTTGCTGCCGATCTCTGCAGCAAAGGTTCAGTCGACGACGGCGGCAACTGGTATTGCCAGGCCGTTGATGCCATCACCTACACTGGAATGTTGGGCAAGGGCTCCTACAACAAGATCACCTCTATGGACAGCAATTCTGGTGCTTGCTCTTCCACTCCTTATGGCTACTCTGGATCAATGTCTCCTCTCGATGAGGAAGTCTCCCTCCATTTCCGTGGTCCTCTGAAGATCAAGCAGTTCGCTTTCTTCTCACCCAGCACCGACTCCTCCGACTCTTCCAAGAAGGCCAAGCGCAGTGCCATGCACCGTCACAACCACGCTCACGAACACGTCCACAAGCACAAGCGTGACGAGAACGTTGAGAAGCGCGGTGTTGGCGACATGGTAACCGCAATCATCGATGGAGTCGCCGTGTCCTGGGTCAACGAGTGGTCTGGTGTTGCTTCCACTGCTGCTCCCGCCCCTGCAGCCACTACCTCGACCGCCGCTGCCCCTGCTGCTGCAAGCACCGAGTCTGCTTCTGCTGACTTTGCGCCCAAGCTCCTGAAGGTCAACGCCCCAGCCGCATACAGCTCCAAGGCTTCCAGCTCGAGCTCGAGTTCTTCGTCCAAATCGGCTCCTTCCTCTGCGTCTTCTGCTTCCTCTGGCAGCTCGGGATCCTGGGGTCGCAAGGCATACTACAACTCTGAGGCCGGCTCCGCAGACAACGTCGTTTTCCTCAACCACAACGGTGGTCAGGGCTCTGGTGTCTTCGATTACACTTTCGGCAACTCGCTCTCTTACTCTAACAGCAAGGGTGATGCTGGTGCATCTTCTCCTCAGGTCCTCGCCGACACCCAGCTCGCCTCCAACGACGAGGTCATCATCATGTCCGACAAGGAGTGCGATGGCGACTGTGGCTACGTTCGTGATGGTCAGGTTGCTTACCACGGTTTCGCTGGTGCTCAGAAGGCTTTCTTCTTCGAATTCGAGATGCCTCTTGATGGCAACACTGACGCTGCCACCAACGGCGACATGCCCGCCATCTGGATGCTCAACGCTCAGATCCCCCGCACCCTCCAGTACGGCAAGGCCGAGTGCTCTTGCTGGACCACCGGATGCGGTGAGTTCGATCTCTTCGAGGTTCTTGCCCCTGGTGATCTTCGTTGCAAGTCTACTCTCCACAGCAACATCAAGGGTGGCAACTCGGACTACTTCAAGCGTCCCGTGTCAGGCAGCATGAAGGCCATGGTTCTCCTCAACGGCGAGAACATGCACATCAAGGTCCTCGACAACGACTACCAACTCCCCACCAGCCTCGATGCTTCGTGGATCTCCAGCCAATGCGAAACTGGCTTGATCCAAAACACCTTGAACTCCCTCTTCGCTCTTGTTGCATAGATGGGGTGGCAAAGCAGTTCTCTTTGTCATTGTTATAACATTCTTGACGAGGTCATGTTTCCATTACTGTTTAATTTTTCTTTCCAGCTTGTTTTTGAGGAGAAATCGCACAGAAAGGCATTGGATTGTTCATACGCGCTGGGCGTGGGAAGATGGGTGTTGTTGGCGGATCTTGCACAAATTAGTGATTAGCATGCGACAACTGTACTTAGCGAAAATTCCAGAAGAATGACATTGCATCAAACATCAGTATTTTCTTGCCTCTTTGCTTGGTAGGTGGCTGGGTGGAATGGAATGTAAGTTGTGGACCCTTGTTTCGCACGAAGGCCTAGAGCGACGTCCTCGTTGTAAAGATACACAAGGGTGTCTAGGCCACAGATGTGCTCTGAGAGAGCCAGTAGTAAATGGTTGGTCGATAGATTCCATACTGTTTCTTGAGCCATTGGGTGTTGTTGTAGCTACACAAGCGGAGGACGTTTGGAACGGGTCAAACTAGACCCTGGAAAATGCGGTTATCCCTCGGCAATGTCCAAGGATGGAGATCCAGTCCGAAACAGCAATAGCGAGCAAGACACATGGCAGACCGGAGAAGTAGGTATTGATTATAACAAGAGGCTTCATCAAGGCTATCGGCCTTTAGAGGGCACGTTCACGAAGGCAACGAGAAATCATAATACAAAGACGTCCTGTGCCCACTCACGTGCGTGAACGAGGGAAGGATCTCGGCGGCGGCGGCGGCGGCGGCAAGCGGGCGATAAACAGCCTCGGCATGCTGTGAGAACGACGACATTCGTCACATTCGACCTTCTCATCAAAACTCCGGGGTTCACAAAAGCGCAGGCCTGGCTTATCGAACCCGTACACCAGACATAACTCTCTGGTGAAAAGATGGCGACGCCATCACCGCCAAAGCCGTGGGAAAGAGGACGCGCCGCTTCGTCGTCGGGTACGTTTTATGCCATCGCCCTGCCCTGCCCAGCGCCGCCCGCACTTCCAAACTGACAAGCCATGACACAGCCTTGACTTCCTCGCCCGCTATACCCACATCCGCCACCGCTGCTACCCCTACCCCTTCATCAGTAAACCCTACCGGTACTGCCGCGACACCTGCGCTACCATCGCGACCCGAGTCGCTCAACTCTGTCGTTGACCGCACCGCCTCCAACTTCGCCGGCGCCCAGCCTTATCAATCCTCGCCTTACGGCTACGGCGGTGGCACAATGTCGTCGCCCTACTCGCGCTACGGTTCTGGCTATGGTGGAGGTATGTACGGCGGCGGCATGTATGGAGGTGGAGGCATGTACGGCGGAAGTCCCTATGGCGGCATGGGAGGCATGGGCGGCATGTACGGCAATGGCTACGGTGGCATGGGCGGTCCCATGGGCGGACCCAATGGCCAGAGCTTGACGCAGACGTTTAGCCAGAGCACCCAGAATACCTTCCAGCTCATCGAGAGCATTGTTGGTGCTTTTGGTGGCTTTGCTCAGATGCTCGAGAGCACGTATATGGCTACCCACTCGAGTTTCTTTGGTACGTCCCGTGCTGCCATCTCTACTGCTATCTTGTACTAACAACTTCTCAGCAATGGTCTCTGTAGCAGAACAGTTCGGCAACCTACGGCAAACACTAGGCCAAGTCCTAGGCATCTTCACCATCATCCGCTGGATCCGCACCGCCATGGCCAAACTCACCGGCCGTCCCCTACCCGCAAGCAGCACCGACCTCACTCCCGCCAACTTCGCCTCCTTCAACGGCCGCCTGCCCGACGGCTCCCCCGCTCCTCCCCGCGCCAGCAAAAAGCCATTTGTCATGTTCATAGTCGCCGTCTTCGGCCTCCCCTACCTCATGGGCAAACTCATCCGCGCCCTCGCCCGCAGCCAGGAAGAAGAAGAGCAACGACGCATCGCAGCAGAGGGACCCCAGCAACCCTTGGACCCATCGAAACTAGATTTCTGCCGTGTGCTCTACGACTTTAACCCAGAAGCCAACGCCAACAGTGTCCAAGGCGTGGATCTTGCAGTCGCAAAAGGCGATTTGGTTGCCGTCCTCAGCAAAACCGACCCCTTGGGTAACCCCTCAGAATGGTGGCAATGCCGCGCCCGCGACGGCAGAAAAGGCTACCTCCCAGCCCCTTATTTGGAAACTATTCAACGACGCCCCGCTCAAGGGCAACTTACCAGTGGAGCAAGTCCTGTGGGCAGTCGCGCTCAGACCATGACGACGAACAGTGCAGATAGCAGATCGAACACCATGGTGGATAGGGAAAAGGAACTCGTCAAGGGGGCGCCTAGAGAGGTGCCTCTGCCTCCGAGTGTGCAAGGCAAAGCTGGAGATCTCAGTGTTGAGAGTTTCCAGAAGGGCCAGTTTTACTCATGAGAACACAATTCTGATTTTGTTGTATTAATGAAAGCGGGCGTTTTTTTTTTTACTTATTTTTTTCTTCTTTTCCATCATCTGTGTGTCTCTTTTTTTTTGATGGGGAAAAACGAGGGCAATTGGAAATAAAGGACGACTTTGCCAGCTTCTTGCTTCCCTGAGATGGGGGGTTTTCTTTGTTTTGTTTCTTCGTATATATCAATTCTCTATCTTTTTTTCCATCTCGAAATCCTTATTCTGTTACGAAAACTGAACCAACAAGTACAATCTTATAGAACACATGGTGATTTCTCAAACTAGAGTCGTTTTCAGAAAGAGGACGCTCTCTCCAAGTGAAAAATATTCATACAGTTGGATGGCTACACAAGTCTGGGTTTTTTTCACACGAGAAGTGGTGTTGTAGAAAGTTTTCATTTTTTTCATAAACCAAATCGAGTTAAGTATCTTCGCCGGCAAAACTACAGACTATCTGACCCTATCCCATATCGACGCAACAACAAACGCCGCTGTAAAGCAATTCCCATCTTCCTGTTCCCTGATGGTATCCTCTCTTACGTCTAGAAGATGGCCATCAACTCGAATCGATCAACAGCCTCGTCATCAAGGTTTGGGTAGTAAGGCACCATGGCATCAGCAGCATGTACATAGGCATCATTATAGAGCCTCCAGTATGGCGTTCTGACCTTGCGTGCAGGGTGGAAGAGACCAGCCCACACGTAATTCATCACGACACCGGTACCCACTGCCACACGAACGGCATCGATGGCCTCAATCATGCGATCGATAACGTGAGGTGAAGTCTCAAAGATGTTGGGGTAGAGTAGGTTGAGTAAGTGGAGCATTGCGTCTTCGCAGCCAAGGCCAACGACACCGAGGGCGACGTGCTTGACGACTGATGCAGCGGTCTGGCGATGCACTTGGTCGCGGTCGATGAGTGCGTCTTCGAGGAGTGGTGTTACGGCGTAGACGTAATCCTTGGCCATCTCTCCAATGTATTCGAAGAGGAAGGACAATGACTTCAACACACCGTTCTGCACATTGAGTTCAGGGACACGGTACTCGTTCATCAGAGCTGGCAGGACTGTGAAAGGTGCGCAAGTTTCCGCAACGATGCCAATAGCAACGGCGGTACAAACACGCGATTGACGTTCCTGGACGCGCAAGTTGTTCAGTAGTGTAGCCAGGACATCTTGTGGACCGATGGCTTTGGCAATGAAACCGAATGTGTTGTTGGCTGCTCGTCTGATACCCTTCTTGTGTGCCTTGAGCATGTCGAGAAGCTCGAAACAGATACGCATCCACTCGCGAGGGTTGACACTTTCTGGACCGCGGTCTGCAATACGACCGACCAAGTCGATTGTGTTCTCCTGCACCTTCTCGTGACGATTACGAAGGATAGGAGTCAGTCGTGGTAGAAGATCCTTGATGGGTGGTTGTACTTGATTGATTCCGATGACGGTGACGATCGAGCGCAATGCACCAAGTACTGAACCAAGAACCTCGGGATATTCTTCACCCAAGTTCTCGTACAGGTTGATGCTGATCGTGCCCAGAAGGTTCTCCTGTCCGCAGTGCTTCATGACAATAGCAATTCGTGATACCAGGTCTGCAGCTTGTTGTCTGACAGTGGCTGACTTGTTGCTGAGGCGGAAGAGAATAGTACTGGCGATTTGAGGCAGGTATGGTGTGCATCGAGTGTCGAGGGCGTTGACCACTGTTCCGAATCCGTTCAGAATGGTAACGTCTTCCACTGTTTGTTCTTGGAAGGCAGTCAAGATACCGTCAACCAAGCGCTCTTCGAGACGCTCGTTGATATCTGCGGCACCCAAGCTGGCAATGGACTTCTCGATAGTCTCCATTGTCATCTTTCGGTACGCTTCGCTCTCGTCCTTTAGGTTGTCAACAACTCTCTCCACAATCTCACCACAGCCGACCTTTCGACCCAGGTCGCCTGTGGTCTCAACGACCTGAACATAGTTTCGTCGGTCCAGTGCCATTCTTCGCACCCAGAAGCTCTTGAAGAAGTCGTCGAGAACAGTCTCCTTCAAGTAAGCAGCAGTGACACCATTGGTGTTGGCGCACTGTGACAGGACCTTCAAGACTACCTTCTTCATCTCCTCGTCTGGTGATGAGAACTCACGCAGCAGAATCTCCATGATCTGACTGACGTAGTAGTTGGCGAACTCTTCGTCCATCAGAGGCACAACGTAACCGACAGCCTTGAGGAACCCAGCAAGACCCTTGCCACGCTGCTTGCGAGCTCCAGTCCACAGAGGGTTGAGAATGTCATCGAAGCTCTCGATACCGTAAGGGTTGGCAGCTTCGGCAAGAGCAGCGATAGCCAATGCCGTAACGGTACGAACCTTGGTCTGCTCATCGTTCAAGTTGTCTCCTATGCAGTCAACGAGGCCCTTGAGATGAGGAAGCACAGCGCAGCCCATAAGGATAGGGATTTGTTGCACAATCTTAACACCAGTGTGTCTCGCTTGCCATGACTTCTTACTTTTGCATACAGCGCGCAAGAAGGGAAGGAGAGCAGGGATACCGAGAGCACTGGCAACGACTGCGAAGGCACGAGCAGTGGTGTTTCTGACGTACTCGTCTGCATGGTCAATATCGGGACGCATGGTAGAAATCATGTGTGCAAGACCAGCAGCCTTGGCCAAGTTGGAGATAATCTCACGACCTTCGACACGTGCGTAGTAATCTTGGTCGATCAGCAATGGCTCAATGACGACCAGAATCTTGTGGGTGTAAGGTCTGACCAAATCATCAAGCTTGTACAGGATACGGTCAATGACCTTGACGAGCAAATGACGTTCTTGGTCTTCGAGTGTCTTCTCCATGAGCAGAGGAAGGATTTGATCGAAAAGCGGGCCAGCACCGAACGATCGAGCGTTGTCAGTAAGTTGACGCAGCGCAGTTTTACGCATGGGAGGGGTTCCATTCTTGACCTTAATGAGAAGACGCATGATCTTGCGCTCCTTGAGCTCATCGACACTCATTTCGTTCTCGTCGGCACCATCGACAAGCTTTCCAAAGTATGCCATATCTTCTGGCTTTAGGCGAAGCTCGCCGACTCCAGGTAGCTCGCTCGGAAGATCCTTGCCAAGTGATCGAGGGTCGACCGGTTGCTGCATCATAAAGCCACCTTGTAGCGAAGCAGGAGTGCTGGGAACTCTGTGTGCGGGTACTCGTGTGGGTTCGTAGCCAGGGGGGAATGGTAGGACGCGGTAACCGTCCTTCTCGCCAGGAAGCATTATGTCGAGCTCCTCGTCTGAAAGAGGAGCATTTCTGCCAGAGATATCGGTACCGTAACCAGCTCCAGCGGCAGGGGTCTGAGAAGGGTGCATAGGAGTAGCAAGCCCTGTATTTCCACCAACAGGGGTGGCGGCGGTCAGCGAAGGGGCCATATCGAAACGGGAGCGCTTTCTGGGCTCGGCCTGAGCTGCCGGGGCAGGTGTAGAGTCCCAGCGGGAGCGCTTGCTTTCAGGAGCATCCTCGCTCTTAGCGACGGCATCCTTCTCAGCGTTGTCCTCGACCGAACTGTCCCATCGTTGCCTTCGCTTGCGGGGAACAACGACATCGGTCGATTCCACGTCGGCCTTTAGCGTAGGCTTGTGCTCGACAACGACATCCGTGGAATCCTCGCCCTTTGCCTGCTTCTCTTCGATGAGTTTGTGTACGCGCTCTTCCTCGCGCTCAATCTCACGCTGCTTCATAACCTCCTTGTAGCTTTGACCGTCGGGGCTGAGTTGGCGATTGAAACGACGCTTCTGGTAGTCCGACTCGCGACTGGCGATCTGGGCCTGCTTCTCGCGATCAACCAGAATGTCGCCTTCTCCGTTGGCGTATTCATTCATTTGCTCGGTGGTAGCGGTGTACTGGCCGACCAGTCTTCTGCTCTGGTCCTCGCCATCGGCATCGTCCATGTCGTCGTCGTTGACGGCGATGGACATGTTGTATCCGGCATATTTGTCGACAGTTCCATTCCCGTAAAGCTCGGTATCGGCATTATCAGTGAGCGACTGCTTGGTCGGGTTGGCTCTGGTGGAGGCGCGCTCCTGCTGCAGTCGGCGGATTTCAGCTATTGCCTCGTCAGTGTCGGCGCGGCGCGTTGTGGAAAGACTGCTGGGCTTACCGTCAGACATGGTGATGTCGCTTTGTGGACATTCAAGGGGTCATCAATACACAGTATTTGCAAACGACGAGGAGTTTGCGCGCAACGTTGGGTCCTTGGTAAGAGGGTAAGAGTGTGGTCAGAAGAAGATGGTGCTTCTTTCCCGTATGTGACGCTTCTCTCCAGAAAGTTGATGCCAAGACAACAGACTCGCTCTCGTCTCCGCCTTTCAGCCACTCCAGCCAACCTCATCCTCTCTGCTTTCCCTTGATGCGAGTGCTCAGGTTGACTTCGATGCGAGACCAAGAGATCGAGTTACACGGCCATGGCTCGACCTGACGGGGCACGCTCAAAAAGTGTCGAGCATTTCTCGTCGCATGTCATCACCTTCTGATACCATCGCCATGCACGGTTGTGTCCAGGTCAGAGACACGATCGCATGGAGCAGGTTAGAAAGTCTACAGATAAGTATGCTCGCCCAGGTGTTTTGCACGCTGGGAGGCATCGCTTTCGTGTCGTTCGTCCCGCGAGCACAATATCAAATCCATCATAACACTACACTTTCCAAAACTACACATCCTTTCTGCATATCCATATCTGCCCTCGACGACGTGATCGTCTCACAGCATGCGCTTTCAACATGTGTAAACATTCGCTCCCACGTGTACACATTACACTGTCTTTCCCTTTCGAGCTGCACCACATCAAAGCACTATACCTGAACCATCAATACAAAGAGTGCGCACGCAGATGCGAGAACTTGCTTACTCACAATCAGGTAACGTTTTGCCATCGCTGACCGTAACAGTCTACGTCGATAGCTTGATCTAACCTGCATTACAGGAAGAACCTGCGCATGCTATCTTCCTCAACCTCTATGCCGCACTGTCTCATGAAGGACTTGCCAGAACAATGCACGTTTACTCGGTGTGGAGGCTACCAAAGATAGCTGCAGCCGAGTCCGCCTACACCAGAGCAATGGACGTATGCTCAGAAGAAGAGCACCGCCTTGTGGAGAGCGCGACCTTTTCCATGCCAGGTCTCGCCATCGATCAGCCCATGGTTCAGCTTGCTGCGTCGAAACAAATTCGTGTGCGCAAGAGAAACAGCAAACCATCCCTTGTTCATCTCGGTCCTGGACTTGAGCGATCACACAGTAACTCCAGCAAGCGCGCCGAGCGCATCAACTTCAGCTGGCCGCGCACCTTCACGCCCCTCTCCTGCGCAACAGTCAAGGCCATCCAATACAATGTCTGTAAAGACATGGACACTCCGCTGGATGACCCATTCACAATCTCCCCTTCCGAACCATCAAGTACCGCAACATCAGCCCAGGGCACTCCCATCAAGACCAGCAATCTTAAGGCAAAGAACAGCACAGATTCGTTCGACTCACCTCATCCTCCATCCCCAACACCTTCCTGCAAATCCGTCCAACCTACTGCTGCATCACGCGCTCATGCAGCTTACTCGACTCACCTTACCGCCATCCACGCTCAACTAACCACTCATCTCCATCATCTGCTCGAGTTGAAGCATTCCACTATCACTGAACAAGAAGAGCGTGCTCGCCGTCAAAGCGGATCCACCAGCAACATGCAAAGCACCACAAAGTTGCCTCAGTCACGTAGCTTCTGGAGCTTCAAGGATGAAGAGGCAGAGATGAAAGAGAAGTTGAGCAAAATCGAGGAAGGTAGAGCTAGAGGCTGGAAGATTGCTAGGTTTGAGCCAAAGAGATATGTTGAGTTGGCTGAAGATGCACTTGCTGAGTTGGGAAGAGTGTAATGGTTTTGATCGAGCAAAAGTGATGGTGTTCATGCGAGGAAGGTATGGTCGTGAATTAATGTAATGCAGTCGTGCTACAAACTGTGATCGAACCCAATTGCCCAGCATGCTTTTTTGCAAAAGCACCCAATCAAATTGTCCCATGCTCTCTTTGTATTCAAAAACCTGCATATTGAGACACTACGAAGTTGGAGTCAGAGCAGGCAGTCTTTGGTTTACCAAATATCGAGTCACACGTTGGCAACCTTCAAGGAGGTGGCCCGGTTCACAGATGGAGAGAAAATGTTCTTTGAGTCATCAACTTTGTCAAGTTTTAGCATTCTAGTGACCATGCCTCAGGAACAACAGTCGATATCCTCAGCTAATTCCCTTCTTTCCTTCTCTGTGAGCGCTTTTTGTCTCAATCTCGGTCTCTCCTCAATGCTGGGTGTTTCTTTACGAGCCAGAATCGCAGTGGGGACACTGCTTAGATCAGAGCTTGTTGGTTGGTCGTTGAACGAAGCGAGATCATTTTGAGTCTGACAAATCAAGTTCTTGAGCAGGGCTTTTCTGTGTCTTGTCGTCGAGTACAGGTTCTGTTGCTCGAGTTGGGTCAGCTCAGTCGAGAGCTGTAAAAGACAGCATGGTACTCACGGCCATCCTGGAAGCGTACAGGTGTGTACTTCTTCGGCATCCAGGCTTTCTGCTCAGACTCTTCTTGTTTAACCGGTCTGGCCTTCTCAACTTCGAGGCCAAAAGCCTTGGCAAAGTCATACAATGATGGGATGAGGCGAGCTCCGGCGTGTCGATATGAATGTGATCAGATGTGACCCCTGGTTCATCACTTCCTGGTGACCTTCACTCTCGAGATTACTTTTCTTCACTTGTGTTTCGTTGCAAACTAGCAAGGCTCAGCACGGCTATAACATGACTAGTTTGAGAGTTTGATAACTCGAGGGGCTTTCGTTTCAATCTGTATTAGGTACAACCCTTTCATCGTGTGACTTGATGTCTTCCAGGTCAGGTCAAAGGCTACTTGTTTCGATTCTATCATGCCCTGCAAGACGTGATCGTGTAACTTGACGTAGCATAAATCAAGTACTGTTCACTCCGAATCAGACTCTCTCTTGACGACCTTGCGACGTTCCGATTTCTTGACGTAACCCTCATCGTCTTCTGTCATCAGCAAGACGTGCTGTTTAGCAGCACGAGCAATCTCTTTCATGTATGAGATGTCGTCAGTTTTCTCGTAGCTTTGGCTGTGTAGTCGTCAGTAGTTGTCTGCAGAGCTTCATAAGTAGTGACTCGTTATGGGGGTACTTACGCGAGATCAATTATCTCAGCTGAGATTGAGAGACGGTCTTCGACCTCGATCTCATCGAACTCATGCTTGATTCCGCTCTTTGCATCTTCGCTCTTATCGCATGCCTCTCTGACCTTTGCTCCCCAAGTATCCTTGCGTTTCTGGACAGATGTGGCATCGTCGTCCCTGAATTCCGGAAAGAAGAAGACTGAGTCTACGCTAGTCATGATTCCTGTGCATAGCTTGGTCTCTGGTCTTGTAAGACCAAAGCGTAGTAGACGGCAGTGCCTTCTCCGCGTGGGCAGACAGCTCGCATTGCCTTTGGATCCATCTCGATGGGCTTGATGTCGTTTATGCTGTTGACAGAATAGCCTCTGCTGCTCGCCATCTTGGTCTTCTCTTCTAGATCGGTACTTGATGGCAGCATTCCAACCCACACGACGGTGGTTGTGTCTTTGTCATTGGTATTGAGCTCCAGCTCCTCGTTCAAGGGAATGCGGCTGGGCAATGTCTCTGGATCTGCATTTTTTATGGCTGCGAGGCGGGCATCTGAAGTTGCCATCTTCTTGACGGATTCGACCGCAAAGACACGCTTGTCTGATCTGTCTCCGGTTTGGTCGTCATAAGCAGTGAGTGAGAGACTGAACGCATGAGATCGCGTGGCTTCAGCTTGAGTGGTCTCGCTTGCAGAAGATCCAGCACCTGCTGGGTTACTGATGTTCATCGAGTCACTCGTCATCGTGAATGCCTTGATATGTGCTGTATGTAGTTGTCAGTGGCATACTTTGATGAAGATCCTTTGTAAATACCTGCGAGAGAGAAAGAGTGGTTGGAGATCGGTCAAGAAGAAGAGCAAGCGGGAGAGCGGTTTGATACTGCAAGCGGAAGGAGCAAGTGAGTGATATGTGCTGAGATGCGAGTTCACTTGGAGCAAGCACGACCAAGCAATGCCCAGTCAATGTTGAGGATTAATTCTAACTGGCCCTATGCTTGTGTCAGAACATCCTAGTCTCAGTATGGTACTGCCATGCAGCGAACCACTGTCAAGAGAAGTGGAAGATGGTTATTGTACTTACCTTGGCTGCCGAGTTGTAGTGGTTTTCTCGATCGACTGGCGCCGGCGAGTTGTCTGCTACCAATTGTGTTGTTTGCTCTTTCCTCGAGATCAACTGGAGGTTCTGCTCCTTCCCTCGTTCGCCATCAACGAGTTAATAGCAGGACTTATAACCGACTTCACTGGATCGCTCACTTTCGAGCTCTGATACAAACAGACCCTATTGAGAAATATGAGGTGCCAGGGACGGAACAATGAAACAGTTGTGAGGACGTATCCATGTAGAATAAGGTGAAAAGTGATTAACTATTTTTTATGTATAAGAGGGTAGGGTAGAGTAGAGTTGATATGGAAAAATCAATCATGCGACAAAGGCAAAAACATGCTTGAACGAAAGACACCAAAACATAATGTAAAGAGTAAAAAATCATTAACAGAATGCTGTAATAAACACCCCATCTTCCCGAATATTGTAAAAAAAGAAGAAAAGAAGCAAGAACCAAGGGTATGTACATATACAAAGAAGGTGTCATCACCACCTCTATGCCGACGACAAAACCTTGAGAATCTCCTCCTTCTCGGCAACAGGAAGCATGCTCAACATCTGAGCGATACCCTTGAGACCGCCCTCCTTGTTGGCATGCAACATGGCGGCAACATCGTAAGCGATGGACTCCTGCTTGAGTCCCTCGATCTTGGAGTAGATGTCTGCGCGGTTCTCCTCGTACCACTGGGCGACCTTCTGGTCCTCGGTGGCAAACTGAGGAACACCTGACCACGACTCCAGAGTCTGGAGGTTCTTGGTGCGCGACACCAGCTCCTTGGACGACGACTGGGCCATGGCCTTGAGCACGTACTCCTCGTCGAGTCTGCGGCGCAGACGCCAGTAGAAGAAGCGACGAGCGTTTTGCCATTGCAGGGGCATGCGGATAGTGTCCTTTGCCTTCATGCGGCCGGCGCGGTCGTGCAGGTCGGCGTACTGCAGGGAGATTTGCATGTACACGGGCAACAACAGCTTCTCGCGTTCGGTCATCTTGGCCTTGACCTCGCGTGCCTCCTCGGCAGACAGCGACTTGTCAACCGATCTGGCCTTGAGCTCGCCGTATGTGGGGTCCAGACGGGCCATGGTCTCGAGCTGCTTCTCCTTGCGGAACTTGATGCCGACAATACCTTCGGGCTCGAGGACACCACCGCGAGATTCCTCGTCGGCGTACATCTCCATGTATTGAGGGTTGATCGTAGGGTCGACGACAACCTGTGATATTTATTAGCATTTTGTAGATATGAGGAGTGTGATTGTCAAAACTTACCCATGAACCACCACGAAGCTCTCCGAAGGGAGGAATGTAGACGAAGATGGGCTGCTCGTACTTGACGAGGGCATCGACAATGTATGAACCGTACTTGAGAACCTCGTTGTACATGTCTCTTTGACCACCAGAGAAACCTCTCCAGTTGGCGAGAATCATCAAAGGCAATTGCTCACCGTTGTTGAAGTCTCTGATAGCCTGGGCGGTCTTGAAGGCAGAGTTGGGATACCACACACCACCAGCCTCGTTGGTGACTTGCTCGATCGAGTCGGGATTGGCAGGGTCGGCGGGTGTGACGTTCTCGACGGAGCGAGTCTCAACACCAATGACACCGACAGGGATACCACCAAGGCGAGCACGACCGACAACGACAGTGCGAGCCCAGCCGCCAAGAGCCTCCTCGAAGGAGCCCTTGTCGAACAGACCGGAGGCAAAGCCATCGTCTTCCTGCTTACCGTGGATGAGCCATCTGACATCGTAAGGCTGCTTCTGGGGAGGGAAGAAGGTGACGTCACGGTCCCAAGAATCGGTCGAGGGTGAGATGGGGATGGGGTTGTTCTTCTTGTCAGGAATGAAGGACATCCACTTGACAATCTTGGAAACACCCTCGAAGTCATCACCAGCAGTCATGTGAGAAACACCGTTCTTGTACATGATCTGGGTACCACCAAGCTGCAAGTTGGAAGTGTAGACCTCGCGACCCAAAAGCTTGTTGATGGCGGGAGCACCAGTGAGGATGATGGGTTGGCCCTCAATCTGGATGGCACGCTGACCAAGACGGACGAGGTAAGCACCGATACCGACGGAACGGCAAGTAACGAGGGTAATGGTAAAAATGTCCTCGTAAGCTCTCGATGTCTCACCGGCGATGAGACCGGAGCCCTTCAAACACTCGACACCAAGACCGTCCTCAGCACCAACAATGGTGGTGATAACGTGCCTGACCTCGCCGTTGACGGTGGTCTCCTTGGTAATGACGTGCTTGAGCTCACCATCCTCGAAGCGGGCCTTCTTCTCAGGGGTCAGGTAGAGGTAGTCGAAACCAGCCTCAGGTCTTGATGCATCCTTCCATGCAACTGAGAAGTGGGGAATGAGCTCCTCGGCCATACCGATACGGGCACCGGAGTTGGCGGACAGGTAGATTCTGGGAATACCAAGCTTTCTGGCCAGCTCGGTACACTTGTGGAAGAATCTATCTTCGGCGGGACCGAATGAACCAATCTTGAAGGTGATATCGTTGGCGATGATGATGAAACGTCTGCCACGAGGGTACTCGGGAGTCTTGGCGGTGATGAGCCATGCAACCATACCGATGGTGTTGGTTCCGGGGTCACGGTTGACCTCGGCAAGGTTGTCGGTATCATCAAGAACAAGCTCGTTGTACTCGATGCACTCGCCTGAGATGGGCTGCTTGTCCTTGAGGCCAGGGTGGGCAGCAGTGACTACGTTCCAGCTGTTCTCGATGGCTTGTCTGAACAGCTCGGGGAAATCGTAGACGTACTGAGTGCCCATGATGTGAGCCTTGTAACGCTTGGGTTGCAGGGCACCCTTGGTGGTGTAAGGAGTGGACACAGGACGCAGGTGCATGGAACCAATCTTGGTGCTGCCACCGATGCTCTGGAAGTACCAGTCATTGCCCTTCTCGGACTTGCGCTCAGCGTACAGCTCAACCTGGATAATGTAACCAGAGGTGTTGTTGATCAACACGCGAACGGGGTAGGCCTCGCCAGTGTTGGGGTCAGTGCAGATGATGCGAACCTCAACACCAGTAACGCGGAGGCGCCAAGCACGACGACCGAATCTGTCAAGGAATCCAGCAAGAGCCTCCTCGACCTCCCCGGGGGTAAGAGGGAAGACGGGAGAGAAGTTGATGAAGATGTGGTTCAAATCGGAGTTGTTGTTGCCGATAATCTCCAGAGCATCAAGAATGTCGGTCATGAGTCTATCAGCTTCCGAGATCATGTACTCGACAGTCGAGATGTCGTCACGAACACGACCGGGACGGACAACAGCGCGGGTGAAGTAACGCTTGTCGTTCTCGACACCTTTACCAACGGCCTCGTAGATGTGAATGTTGCGGTTCTCGGTGAAGACGGGTGCAATGTTGAACTTGGACAAACGTCCGAGCTCAAGTTGGAAGGCAAGAGCAGGCTCAATGTGACGGATACTGGCGTCTTCCTCGTAGGCAGGACCACGGAAAGTGTAGTAGCCGGGGTAAGTGCCATCCTTGTGACCACAGATGAATGTCAAACGACGAACACGGCGTGCGAGAAGCTCGTCCTTGTATTCATTGACGATGGGAACGAGACGGGCAAGAATCTCGCGATCATCAAGGGACTCAGCATCCTTAACAGCAACGTTGCAGACAGCAGTGAGCTCATCAGTGGAGTCGATCTTAGGGGCAGCGGGCTTGCGCTGTCTGGACAGGTCGGCCATCAGAGCAGCGTTTGAACCACGCTGCTTGCCAGCGTGGCTGCCAGCAAGAGGGAAGACCTCGAGTGCCTTTGACAGGTACTCCTCAATCTCGTCAATGTACTGAACGGGAATGACTGCACCCTTGCGAGTGGGCTCGTCCTTGGTACGGGCGTTGAGGTAGCTCATGTCGCTGATAGAGTGCACACGGCTGAAAGCTCCGGGTCCAGCAGGGGTGCCAGGAGTGGAGGGGTGTGATGACTCGATAGGCAGACCGAACTCAGACTGACCAACCTTGCGGAGGGAGAAGTCCCAGGTCAAGACGTAAGGAGTGTCGTTCTCGGTGACATACTCGATGGTCTTGAGCTGGTAGGCGCGGTAAGCGCGGCGAGTGTAGACCTCGAGAGCGGCCAATGAGACCCAAGGATCGGGGTGGACGAAGAACTGAGAGAGCACATCGAAAACGGTGTACTTCGAGTCAACGACCTCCTTGATGATCTCGAAGCTGGGCTCACGGTGGTCCCAACCAGCCTCACCGTAGCGAGACTCGAGAACTGAGGAACGAAGAATGTGCTCCATCTGGGAAGTACGCTCCTCAAGCGAAGGCATAGCGCACTGGATGAGCAGCTCACGAGCCTTCAATGAGACCTTGGCGGTCTGTCTGGACTCGAGCTCGGCAAGCTGGCGGAGGGAAGAGCGCAAGTACTTGGCGACATTGCCGGCACCGGGCTTGTTGGGACGGTACAGGTCAAGGATGGCGATGATGAGGTTGTTCTTCGAGTTGACACGAGTGTGCGACAAGGCAGTGTGGACAACCTTGATCAAGTTATCCTTGTTCTGGTCTCTGAGGGCAAGGACAACTTCCTCGTCACGGTTCTGTCTGGCAGCGAAGAGGTGCTCGACGTCGTAGTACTGCTGGAAGAGAGAAGCCATGACAGCGAACTCGTGACCCTTGAGGCCGTCGGTGAACTTGTTCATAACATCAAGGATGGGGCCAAGTCCAGCGCGGAGGGTGTCAACGTCACTGGGAGCAACATTCTCCTCGAGGAAGCGAGCGAAGGTCTTCTGGAGCTGCTTGCTGGGGAACTCGGAGCCGCGGCTGTGAGCACGCTCAACAATCTGTTCCAGCTGAGCATCGAGCTTCTGGGGCATACGAGAGTGGAGGGCAGATGCCTGGGCATTCCACTCGCCGTATGGCAACTCAGGGTTGCGGAGAACATCAATAAGCTCCTGGAGGGTATCCTGCATGATGACCGAGTTGTCGAAACCTTGCATGATGCTCTGGAGGATGTTGTGAAGGAAGGCAAAGCGCTGAGGGGCCTTGTTACCCAAAACTTGGGGAGGACCCATCTCAGGGAGCTGGCCAAGGAAAGGCTGGGCCGACTTGACTCTGGAGGGATCGTCAAGAGACAGTATACCAAGGATATCACCAGCCTCGAGGGTGGCTCCGGGCTGCTTGATGAGGTTGACAATACCATCCTCTTGGGCAATCAGAGGCATGTACATCTTCATGACTTCGACTTCAGCGAAGGCCTGGCCCTTCTTGACGTGCTCGCCGTTCTGGATGGTGAACTTGACGAGCTTACCGGGCGAAGGAGTTCTGAGCTGAGTAGGGTCGTTCTCCTGCTCAAGCAGGCAGGTCTTGCCGTCGACACTGAGACGAGTGGCACCAACCTCCTCCTTCCAGTAGGCGTTGTGACTGCGGCCGTTAAGCAAAATGAGCAGACCGCCGTCGGAAAGAGGTCTCACGCCAACGGAACATCTCGAGCCGTTGATGAAAAGTGTGTAGCTGTCAAGGCCAGAGCGAGTGACAGTGAACTTGTAGCGCGAGCCATCGTAGATGAAGTCGATGGGGAAGACAGTCTTGAGGACATCCTTGGAGGGGACTTGACCCTTCTCCAAGCTGACACGGTACTCGGTTGTGCAGATGTCGCTGGCGATGTGAGCCTTGGTGACGGCACCAGAGATGACGGCGAGGATGGGGTCGGGACGCTCGGCGGTGAGCTTCTTGGAGATCAGCTCGTCGAGCCATCCAGTAGTAATGGTGTTGTCCTCGAAGGCGGGGGTCTCGAGCAGCTTGATGAGGTACTCAACAGTGGTTCTGAAGTCACCACGAATGCTCAATTCCTTGAGGGCGACGACCATCTGCTTACGCGAAGCCTGTCTGTTCTCGCCGTATGCGAAAATATGACCAAACTGCGAGTCAGAGAAACTGTGAATGGATGAAGCAGCACCGACCGAGAAGTAACCCCAGACGTTTGCGCTGGATCTGAAGTTCAACTCGTGCATGGTACCACTGGAAGGCTTGAAACCCTCACCGGGGTCCTCTGAGGTGATACGACAGGCAGTGGTGTGGCCCTTGGGCTGAGGTCTGCGCTGGTTGAGGGTGCTGCCCTCCTTGGAGAAATCGAAATCGATCTCGGTGGAGGTGTGGGGGTCAACACCGTAGAGAAGACGAATGTCGCGAACGCGGTGAAGAGGAAGACCCATAGCAATCTGCAGCTGGGCGGCGGGAAGGTTAACACCCGAAACCATCTCGGTGGTAGGATGTTCGACCTGGAGACGAGGGTTCAACTCGAGGAAGTAGAACTTGTCGTCGGAGTGCGAGTACAGGTACTCGACGGTACCTGCAGACACGTAACCGACCAGGCGACCCAGAGACACAGCAGCCTTCTCCATTTGCTGGAAAGTCTTTGAGCTGGCAATGGTGACGGGAGCCTCCTCGATAATCTTCTGGTGTCTACGCTGGACCGAGCAGTCACGACCGAACAGCGAGATGTTGTTGCCGTACTGATCGGCGAGCAGCTGGACTTCCAAATGTCTGGCGTTGCCGGCAAGCTTCATGATGAAGATGGGCGAACCAGGAATTTCGCTCGCAGCGGCCTTGTACATGGCAGCGAACTCCTCCTCGTTATCGACCTTGCGGATACCCTTACCACCACCACCCTCAGAGGCCTTGACCATGACGGGGAAACCAATCTTCTTGGCTGCGACGAGACCCTCCTCGGCGGAGTGGACGCAACCTTTGTCGTAGATCTCATCTCTGACGGTAACGATGTTGTTTGCGTCAACCTCGACCTCGGCGACACCCTCTCCTGACCAGGGGATACAGGGTACACCGGCGTGTTGTGCGACAATGGTCGAGGAAATCTTGTCACCGAGCGATCTCATGGCAGAGCCAGGAGGACCAATGAAGACAATCTTGTTTGGTGATGCGGCGAGCGACTCGGGCAGCTTGGGGTTTTCTGAGGCGTGACCCCTACGAATGTGTCAGCTTTGGCCTGAGGGGTAAAAATTGCTACAGCGAGACTCACCATCCAGCCCAGACAGCGTGAACGCCCATACGCTCAGCAACATCGACGATGAGCTCGACGTTGGCGTAGTTGTTGTTGTTGGTACCGCCAGGCACCTGTGAACCAATGTCAGTCCGCCACTCCGTAGGTCCGAATTCTCGAGTCTTGGAGTGTCACATACCTCGACGTACTTGTCTGCCATTCTGATGTAGTCGGCGTTGGCAGCCAAGTCCTCAGGGGTGGCCATGACGGTGAATTGGATGGCGCGCTCGTCGCCAAAGGTCTCGTATGCCCATCTTCGGACGGATCTGATCTCCTTGACGGCGGCGATACCGTTGTTTGCAATCAGGACCTACAAACAGCTCGTCAGTATGCTTGCAAGCTTGCATTGAGGCCTCTGGAGATCTCTGAGGGGCCCTGGAGACCCCTGGAGGCTCCTGGAGGAGTCTGTCACTTACATTGGTGATGACTGTGTGTCCGTCGTTTGCAGCGACAAAATCCTTAACCGATGAAGGAGGAGCCTGGCTAAGCTCGTTGCCGCCAATGAAGTGTGGAGCCAAGTTGAACTTGGAGGCGTAGGAACTCGATTGACCGTTCATGTTGCCATTTACCGCTGACGCTCCTCCCACTGCGTCCGCCATATTTGTGGTTAGAAGGCCCATTCACGGATCTGAACTGGGAACTTTGAAAAGAGGGCCGAGAGTGCGGAGAAAGAAGAAGCTAAGGCCGGCCCGCTACTGAGCTGGTCGGGACTCGGAGGCCAGTTGTTCTCGAGCAAGAGAACTCCGAACAAGAGACCGTGTGGGTATCAAGAAACAAAAAGAGCAAAAAAGAAGAAAGAGGTCGCGTGAGTGATGATCAGCGGCCTTGTGCTCTTCAAATACCTCGTCGGCGGCGTTGGTGCGTGGAGCGAGTGTTGGGGCTGGTATTAGCAATTGTCCGAGTCTATGCGTCTCTCATGGAACTGAAAAGAGGCTAGTCTGGAGCTGCTGGGAAATTGGTTCCACGGTAATTCGACCAGCGACGAGAAGGCGACGGAGGGACGGAGAGGGAAAGGAGAGGTTCGAGAGGTCGGTTCAATGGGACAGAGCGAGTGCTTCTTTACTTGTACATGGTGTGCTACCCTCACCACCTATCTATGCCCCTACGCCTTCGGCACGAGGGGGCGACCAGTTGAGCTGTGCCAACAAGCGCTAGCTCACCATCTTTGTCCGGAGCTCCATCACCCATGCTTGCTCCCGGTAACTCAAGAGTACGGGGCCGCCCGCACGCCTCTTGCTCTCAAAGAGGCATTCATTGATGACACGCAGACGGTGCATGTGTTGAGGTCTCGGACTGCATGCCTGGGGACAACATATTGTTGATCCTTAGCTGACCTGTCAAGAACTCAACCAACACACGCAGATAGCCTGCATCTCAATGTAATACGCGCGCAAGGCTTGGTCTGTTATCTCTCCAGCCATCAAAGTAGGCAGACGTTTCCCAACACCATCCTTCGTACGCACTCGACAGTATTCAAGACATTCTTTGCTTCAAAAATGATAGTAGCATGTCCACATAAGCCCCGACTACAAGCTCACAGTAGCGTCTCACATAGTGTGCGGGTCAGTAAATTTAGCACCAATTTACCGCAAGGCACGGAGAATTTTGGCTTGATCTCAGTCCCTTTCCCGACCGACGCTTATCGGGGTCCGAGAATCCCTCGTGGAGAGCCGAACATGCCATGAAAGATGTCTCTCTGAGTCGAGTTTTCTATTGTCTACTTCCTGCCTTCAAAGACGAGCCATTTGCCATGTTCTACTCCCGGTCCAGCCTTCCTATCCATGATACTGGGAAATCGCTCGTCTTGGATCGGCATTGCCGCTTGTGGGACCGTGGCTGCTCGTCCGTCGTCTAGATGCTGTCCCACGACCATCAAGCTTGGCAGGCTTCGGAGCTTTAACTCTATGATCACAACTCACTGGGAACGGACGGTAAATGGATATCTCGGGAATGCATGTTTCGGAGAATTTCCCACCACTGTCTGATGAAGAAAGTGGATGGGCGCATTAATTCGTGCAAGTTTCTAATTCGAAATGCGACCGCCATATCGACAGTGTGCAGCAGCGACACGTACAGAAATAAAATATTCAGCCTCCTCTGACACCAGCAACATCATGCGTGAAACGTAAAAGACCAACGTCGTAATATTATCATGACTAGAACGTTTCTCCCAAGTCGCTCAGCTTGCGAGATGACTTGTCTGACGCCGCGCCATCATACGATTGTTGCGATTGATGACTTGGCGCGAGGCTTGACCGGCGGCCAGAAACGCTGTTCCCGAAGCCTGTTCCGCTCTGCCGTTTCAAGCCTGGTGTTGGAATCCCACTTCCACCGGTCGTGGTGACTACTGTTCTCTTGATCGTAGGAGTGACTACTTCCTCAGCCTCTCTCATCTCGGACACGCTGTTAGACTGTCGGTGCACACGATTGCGCTGTGATGAGGCGAATGTTCCTCCCATCGAAGTGCGAGGCCTTGAAGGGAGGACTGAGCTTTGCGACTGACCGTATGGCGCATTGCCCGAGCGCGAGGGTGGTCTAGCGAACGATCCTGTCTCCCCCACGTTGTTGGCCCGGCTGCTTGGTCGGCTAGACTCTCTAGTGGCTGTGGACATGGATGCGATGGATGTGCTTGCTCTTTCCAGTGGATGTGGTCGTTGACCTCCAAATGATAGGTGTTTAACGTGTCCACTTGCGCTCGTCGATCTCGGCGTGGGAGGTGGCAGGTGGCTGTCTTCTTGCCTCGTAGATGAGCTCGTGCTGTTGCTTGTGTGCTTGCTCCTGTTTCTAACAGTAATGCTATTGGCCATGAACGAGCCACCAGTGAGCGCGCCGATTCGTGGTGACCCCTTTGGTGTGTTCGCTGCTCTCGGAGTGTTTGCGTTTGGTGGTGGCAGCTTCGAACGTACTGATTGCACTCTCTCTTCAATTTTTTGCATTCTGCCAATTAAGCCCTTGATCTGATATAATGAGCCCGATCTCGGTACACCTTCCGAGCCGACGCTAGGTCGTGATTGGAGAGTGGTGCGTCGTTTCGTTGAGGGGGTTGTAGTAGTCGCATAGGATGGACCGCGTGAATGGCGTGCAGGCCTAATGGTGTTCGGGTTGAGAGAGGCGCGAGGAGTCGAAGTCGGCTCTGGTACCAGCGGGTTTTTCTTTGGTGGTGGAAGCATTCTGGACATGGGATTGCCAGACGCATCGGAGAGGGGCGGAGATGGAGGTGTGGGGGTGTCTGAGAGTGTGGACATCTCGGATCTGACAGGTGGAGGGGTGGAGACAGTGGGCGAGGACGCAGCAGTGCGTGATGAAGTGGGCGAGCGGGCGTGCAGTGCAGACGGGCGTCGTACGGGGGTCAGATCGCGGTAGCGGCGAGAACCTGATTCGGACAGGCGCAGTTTCTCGCGAGTGATGTCTGCCTCGATGCGAAGGTCAGACAACTCGTCGCGGAGTCGTTGTGTCTGGATGCGCAAGTCTTCTCGCTCTTGTTCACCAGCGCGCATCTCCTCTTCCATCAGGACGCCTCTCTCGATTGCGACATTGTATTTTGATTCGAGTTCCTCCAGCGATGATGTTGTGTTGCGGGCCTGGCGCTCGTAATCGTCGTTGTCGACTTCGATATCTCGGAGTTTCAGCTGTAGCGTCCGGGTGGTTTCGCGCATGGTTGTGATCTCTTTCTGCAGTTTGGTTTGCGCCGCATTCGCCTCAGCCTTTGATTGTTTGTACTTGGTCTATACCGGCCAGTCAGCAAAGGCATACAGAGAGGGCACAAGGCCAGCAATCGCACCTTCCATTCGTCGACCTCGAAGCCTAGACTCTCGACGCGCTCCTTCAATTTCCGCTCTCTCTTTTCGGACGCCTCGACATCTTTCTCGAGCTCGGCCTCGAGCTCTCTACTAGATTGCTGGAACTCCTGTAACTCGACTTCCAGCTGTTCATATTGTGCCTTGTAGTAGGCTAGTTCTTGATCGACCGTAGTGCCGTGGCGGAATGGTGACGAAGGCGGGTTGCTCATATCGTTGACGCTTGTGTTGCGGGCAGATCAAGATGTCATATCCGGGTGTGCGGTGTTGAGGGGCAACGATTGCGCTGTCGAGACTTTGCGCAACCAGGCTTGTTGAGAGGCGGGGCAGCAGTGAGGATATTGGTGAGATGTAAGGGGCGTTGTAAGAATGCTCTGGCAAGAATCGCGACGCCGTCTCTCTCGGGTCGCTCTGAATCGATCGCTGGGTGTCGCCGAGGGGTCGCTGGGTGTTGACGGGGATGAGATCAGGTTGCAGTTGTTTGGGTGCGGTGTTTACTGCAAGATGCACGCGCAGCCCTAGCGTCGTTGTCTGGGGACGCTTTGGCCGAGGACAAAAGAAAGACCTGATCCGAAGAAAAAGCACTTTCGGTCTGGTTCGCAGCTGCCTAATAAGACACGAACTGACTGTTGGACACGGGGTAGAACTGTCTGTTGTATCGTGAGACAGGATGTACGCCGATATCTTGCCATCTGATACTGTTTCTCATTGTCGCATCTCTCGTCCTATTGTTATCATACCCTGCGGCCGGCTTAACGGTCCGATGTCATTCCCATCTCTCAGCCTCCAACCTGCAGCCGTCACATTGAGGGGCCACTTCATAAGTGCTGATAGCACAAGTTATCTATACAGTATGTGATAGGCTATTAACTTCGAGATTAGACCAAGAAAGGAGGAGGCCCTCTCGACTTGGTCTGAACATAACGACCGATCACCACCTTTTGGTCAACCTTGGGTTTTGGTATGTGCTTCTTGAAAATACATCACTCTTGCGTTTCTCACAGCAACCACCTCAAAAACAGATCATGTGTATACTTGCCCAGCTCAGGTCATGAGTCTGTGCCCTGAAGACAATTTGTATGGCCTAATGTTCACTCTTGCTCCGGTTTACGTGGTTTATCGAGAACCAATTAGAATGACAGGGTCGCCACAGAAGCATGAATCCATCTCGGTCCGACTAGACGCCCTTGACTACTTAAGTACCTCCAAGGGTACCTAGGCATTTCACGTACTCGAGTAGTGTGATTCATGCCATGACAAGCAGTGAGTAACGAATCAAGATGATAACTCAGAAATCTCCCTAACCTTTTTGTCCACATCTCGGAACAGCGTGAATATACATCACTCAGAATGAAAACGCCAATGCTATGCGCGCGAAACCCGTCAAAATAAACACCCAACCCTTTCTTTTTACAGACCCATGAACGCCTAATCCTCGAAGCTAGCACTCAGACTACCTCATCAAGTCGTTGAGATTTCTCTTGAAGCGCTCACACTTGATCTTGAGTGCGCGAACAGACTCCAGAAAGACCTCGTCACTGTCGATCTGACCAGTGCTTTCAACACTGAAGATGAAGTGATCACGGATACGGCCGAGCTGCACCTTGTCCTTGAACTCATCATGACGGAGGCACTCTCGCGACACAGTGTCCTTCATTGGGTTCGCAACAACAGCCTTCTTTTCACCCGAGGCGGCGTCGTCCTCCAGGGCGATAACACCGCGAGGGAAGCAGCGGGCAAATTTCTTTGCGTCTGCTCCGAGAATGGGCTCCTTGATGTTGATGGATGGCAGGAGACGGTACGAAGCAGTGGCGACAGGAGAGAATTTGGCGTGGTCGGCTCCAATACCCTTGATGCAGTGACATTGCAGGTGGATAGTTTGACCAGGTCTCAGCTTTGCGATCAGGATATCGGGGTTGACTGGGCGAATGGCCTCGTCGCCGGTAAAGTACTCGGATTGCTGGCCCTGAGGATGGAACTGGAACTGGTGTGCGTAGACGGAGCTGTTGATGTAGAGCTTGTTGGGATCGCGCTCGCCCTGTCTTGCGAGTCCCTTGCCTTCTTGACGCCATTCGCAAGTGACGTTCAGCTCGAGAACGATGGTGTTGTTGTCGCGAGGAACGGAAGCGTTGGGATCGATGACTTCGCCAGACTGCTGGAAAATGTGCTGTTGGGCGGGATCGTCCTTGGGAGGACCCTTCTTGAACCATTGCATCCAGCGGAGACCTTCACGAGAACCAGTGAAGGGAATCAGACCGATACGGTGACAGAGAACCTCGTCCTGGATGATGGAAGTGTTGTCGTAGACGAAGACGTCTTCTATGGCCAGAGTGGGGATTTCGGAGAGCATGATACGGCGGTATGCATTTGCGACAGAGGCGTCGATGCCGACGAGCGAGAAGACCGAGTCGTATTGGTCATTCTTGTGGAAGTTCACTTGAAGTTTCTTGAGAAAAGGTCAGAAAGGAATGCGATCGGACTCGGAGGAGGCAGGGCGTACCTGTTTGAAGGCGTCGAGGTTCCACGAGTTGTCCTCACCGGGATAGTGGCCAGGAAAATCGGTAGAGACGACATTTGAGACGGTTTCGGGGTTGATACCCACGAGCTATAAAGATGTTAGCGGGTAGTTGTATGTATTGTGTGAATCGCGTACTCTGCGTTTCTCGACCTCCTCTTGCGAGGGCTGCTTGAATGATCTGGCCGACATGTCTGGTTGACTTGGACTTTTTCTCCAAAGCAGCGTCAGTCAAGCTCGAAGAAATTCTGGAAGCTCGGCCCGGGAAAAGGCTGCCAAGCACCAGAGCGGCGGAGCGGAGTGGCTGGAAGCTGGCGGAGTGGAGCGGACGAGTGATGACCAAAGGAAAGTCTGTCGATGCGTCGTTGATTGCCCGCAGCTCTCAGAGTCGACGAGCACACGCCTGCACCCTTCGCGTCCGCCCTCAATCCTCTCCACTCCCCGTCCGCCTCTCTCTACGAGCCACAATGTCAGCTTCATTTGCTCGTATCGCGTCCAGGCGACTGTACCAGCGCCCGGCTCTGCCTCGCCCCTCGACCACCTTCCGCTCGCTGTCGACCTCTCTCCCCCGTCACTTCGCCGCCCCCGTCGACAACCCCAATGCCACTCGCCTCATCCCCGTAGACCCCAACTTCGTTCCTGGCTCCCAGAATGCCGACAACTCGAACGTCAACCTGGCCAACGATGCCGACGAGGACCCGAACCAGCGCAAGATCCGCCACTACACTGTCAACTTCGGTCCCCAGCATCCCGCCGCCCACGGGGTGTTGCGTTTGATTCTCGAGCTCAATGGCGAAGAGATTGTCCGCGCAGACCCCCACGTCGGTCTGTTGCACCGTGGTACCGAGAAGTTGATCGAGTACAAGACATACCTCCAAGCCCTGCCCTACTTTGATCGTCTCGACTACGTTTCCATGATGACCAACGAGCAATGTTTCTCTCTCGCTGTCGAGAAGCTGCTCAACATTGAGGTTCCCGAGCGTGCCAAGTGGATCCGCACCATGTTCGGTGAAATCACCCGCATCTTGAACCACCTCATGTCTATCCTCTCCCACGCCATGGATGTTGGTGCTCTTACTCCCTTCCTGTGGGGTTTCGAGGAGCGTGAGAAGCTCATGGTACGTTCGAGTGCTTAGTTTGATTTGATAGATTTACTCACACTTTGTCACAGGAGTTCTACGAGCGTGTATCTGGTGCCCGTCTCCACGCTGCTTACGTCCGCCCCGGTGGTGTCTCCCAGGATCTTCCCGTCGGTATCCTTGACGACATCTACCAGTGGGCCACCCAGTTCGGTGACCGCATTGACGAGACCGAGGAGCTTCTGACCGACAACCGCATCTGGAAGGGCCGTACCCAGGGTGTTGGTGTTGTTTCCGCTGCTGACGCTCTCAACTACTCTTTCACTGGTGTCATGCTTCGTGGTTCTGGTGTGCCATGGGATGTCCGCAAGTCCCAGCCTTACGATGCCTATGACCAGGTCGAGTTCGACGTGCCCGTCGGTGTCAATGGTGACTGCTATGACCGTTACCTCTGCCGTATGGAGGAGTTCCGCCAGTCGCTGCGCATCATCTTCCAGTGCCTGAACAAGATCACCCCTGGACCCATCAAGGTCGAGGACTACAAGATCGCTCCTCCTCCCCGTGCTGCCATGAAGGAGAACATGGAGGCTCTCATTCACCACTTCTTGCTTTACAGCAAGGGTTACACCGTCCCTCCTGGTGAGACCTACTCCGCCATCGAGGCCCCCAAGGGCGAGATGGGTGTCTTTGTCGTCTCGGACGGTTCCGAGAGACCCTACAGATGCAAGATCCGTGCTCCCGGCTTCGCTCACTTGGGATGCTTCGACCAAATTTCAAGAGGTCACTTGTTGGCTGACGCCGTCGCCATCATCGGCACCATGGACCTAGTATTTGGTGAGGTAGACAGGTAGTTATTAGTCAAGAAAGAGTATCCACGAGATGTAGAGAGCGTGGAGTGTTTGGTGGTGTAAATATGGGCGTTGTTCTATCAATTTTCTTCCGTTGGAACGGTTTTCACGGCATTATGTACCTTTACTTAGACAAGTAAACCCGATCCTTTTCTTTTGTGTATTCTGCTACACTCAGCTGCTATACATCCATCTATAAGCTGATCTGATTGATGGTGGTTGCTCTTGAGGAGGTTGTATATCTGGTTCGGCTTCCGAGGATTCCCCGTCCCCTGCTTTGAACCACCTCTCCTAACAGAATACAGGGCGATATGTCAGCTATCAAAATGCACAGAGATAGCCAGACAATGGCAGATATCCATTGAAAGGCTTGCACCACCTGTTTCTCACTGGAAGCATCCCCGTCCTTGAAGTCACTGTGCCATTTTATTGGTCTCTCTATTGCCTTGTGTCCTGTTGGGAGGATCACAAGCAGACAAGTACACAATGCAGACAACAAGCATCAGCTCTCTGGTACACATCAGGCCTTGCTCACAACTACAAAACTGCACCATGATCTCGAGAAGCCGCAAGGATTCCATCGAAAGTTGTAAATCAGTCCAATCTTAGAGTTCACGAGACTACCTGTTTGCACTGTCTTGGTTTCTTTCTATATCGACTATTCTACAGGATATGTGGAGATACCAGCTTGGGACAAAGCCGTCGCTTCTGTTAATGTCTGCTTGGTGGTCCCTTCTTTCTCATAGACACGTCTCAATATCGACTTCTGGTACCATATCAACTTCACTCTGCCCTCTCATACATAAAATATAGTCAATCAAATTTTTACAAACCAGTTCTGGTAGCACCTACTCTATGTTAGCCCAATCGCTCCCTCTCCTTCAGCGTTGGACTTCTCGATAGTGTTTGCAAATCGTCTCCTCTGTTGACACATATCCTATCAACAGTTGTCTTTGATTTTCCTCCAAACATCAATTCCATCACAACAAACCACTTCTTTGATCATGGAATCCTTCGTTTTGCTTCCAGAAACAGTACTTCATCAGTCTCAGACCTTTAGTTGTTCGAAGGTTACTCCGTGTGTGAGACACAATGGCCACGCACGTTGTTGATTATTCAAGATGACATGGATGATCTCTTGGGAAGCTCAAACAAAGAAATATGGATGTCAAACAAGGGTCCAAACGACACCTTTGATACTGACACAAACAACGGTACTGCTTGGACTCTGTCTATATATTGGATGCTTGTCAACACTTGCTCTCTCAACATTGCCCCGTACGCATCTAACCGGCCAACTATCCAACAGCATATCATCTCATCCACAAAATGGTTGCGGAAAAGGCTTTACAAATGCTTCTCAAAGGCTTGGCCAAGTGAGACCTCTTTGACTACAAGGACTGGAATGGGAACACCGCTGACACACCGTATAGTCTCGAGGATCGTGGTGATCACAGCGACCTCATGATCATCTGCGGTTCTGACGCCTACGAAGTCCACAAAGCCATCGTTTGCTCCCAGTCTGAGTTCTTCAAACTCGCATGTCGCAAACATACAGACGACGGAGGCGACTTCAAGGAAGCTCAGTCTGGTATTGTTGAGATTCCTAGTTACAAGACTGACGCCAATACCACTGAGCCCGAAGACTTCAAGTGGGATGCGGATGAAGATGATCCCAAGTGCGTCAAACTCATGATCCACTACTTCTACCACCTAGACTATCTTGAGGTCGAGACCGCCAAGGTCAAGGAGAAGAAGCGTACAGAAGAGAACTATGACGAGGCTCATGTACTCAAAGAAGGTCTTCTGATCGACCACGCCAAGATGTATGCTATGGGACAAATACGGTATCCCTGGCCTCAAGGATCTTGCTCTGAGCAAGTATCAAGAAGCCTACGAACACACCAGTGCCGGCTTTGCCAACTCGATGATGGTCATCTACACCAGTACCATCGACAACGACATGGACCTTCGCAACGTCATCATCAAGATTCTGAAAAACGACATTACCAATCTCATGAAGAAGCCCAAGATCGATCAGACTGTCAAAGACCTTCCTCTGCTCTCGCACGCCCTCCTACGCAAGAGCTTGAATCTTCCGTAGACTATAGAGCTATTGCTCTCCAGTCTGGCAGCCTATCTTCATCGTCTGAAACACTCCACAGTCGCGTGCGCCACCTCTGAGCGGCTCACTAGTGTTTCTGTGAGCTGAAGCGAAACTTCAATCACACGAAGCCAAGAACATGAAGAAGCAGAAAGAAGATGCGGATTCGAGGAAATGGAGGAAGGCACGACCGGCGGGAGGGATACAAAGGGATATTCAAAATACTTAACAAACACATCGTCAACGGGAAGGAGGCATCGAAGTAAACAGAGAAGGAACGACCTTGCATTTTCCAACAATGAGTCTCAGTACGAGTAAAAATGCAAAGATTGAAACGATCAGTGGAAAGCGTATTGCGAATCGTCAAAAAGTGGTATCATTTGGCTGAAGAACGAAGACATGAAATAGAATCACCTAGTGCTTGCCGCGAGAAGAACCGCTGATGAGCTTCTTCTTAAGATGCTTGGGCATCTTGTCCTTTCTCTTCTCGCGCTTCTCCTCCTTGACTGCCTTTTTATGTTCCTTTTTAGTATCCTTGTCTTCGAAGCGCTTGCCACGAGGCCTCTCGCCCTCATTGCGCTTTCTACGCGGCCTATCGGGATCTTCTGAGTCATACTCGTCGCTTTCTGATCCTGAGGCTTCACTGCCGTCCTCAGCCTCGTCGTCATTGGTGTTGGCGGTTTTGTTTGCGAGAAGGGCTTTGTAGACTAGATCGTCGCCTTCGCCCTTTTGTACTCGTGCGGCATCACGCTCGACATCATAGACTTGCTCGAGGGTCTGGGGGATGTATTGTTGTCTGAAGACTTGGTTGTCGACTTCCTCATCATCTTGGTTTCCCTGTTGTTCTCTAGTCTCGTACATTTTTTGAATCAGGTTTTCCATTTGAGAAGTTTCGACGCCTCCTTGTTCGGAAGTGATGAAGCCAAAGATGGCACGCTCAGGCAAACAATCAATGCCCTTGCGAGCGAAGAAATCGGAAATGTTTTTGATGTCCATACGCAAGAATTCGAGGGAGCGTGGGTGGTCGTGCTCGACGGACTGACTGACGTCGATGACGAAGATGCGGTTTTGGTGGTACATGAGGTTGTATTCGCTCAAATCGCCGTGGACGAGGCGACAGGTCTGGTACATGATGCGCATGTAGCCGAGCAATTGGATGTACATTTCTCTCCACTTTGCAGCATTTTCCTCTTCGGTGGGGAGTTGGAAATCGACGTCTCTCAGGCGAGGAGCAGGCCACCCCTTCTTGTTGCCCAAGAAACTCATGACCATGACGTGTTGGCGAAGATAGAGAGGGTCGGGACAGGGAATGCCAGCGGCGTGCAAGATACGCAAGTTTCTGAATTCCTTCTCTGCCCAGACCTTGACCATGGCGCGGTTGTCGCTCTTGTTGTAACCACCGCGGAATCTGAAGTCACCGGTGACATACTTGTCGCGGTCCTTGAAAACCAGAATACTCGTCTTGTAGACCTTGATGGCTCTGTGGAGGGGAGCAGCAGGGCCCTCGGAGTCGTCGTGGGACTCGGGGACGGTTGCAGCGTGGTAGACGTTGGCTTCCTTGCCGGTGGAAAGAACACCGTTGATCTCGGAAACGACGTTCTTGTTCAGCAGTTGCAAGAGAATCATGCGAGTTCTGGGATCCAGGACTTGTTCACTGGTGGCGCGATCGCTCTTGTCCTTGCCGCCGCCTCCTCTTTCTTGCTTGCCGCCACCGTCGAGGTTGTTGAGACGTAGCTTGGACGCATGCTGAGCCAAACTCTGAACTTGATCGTCGACGCTAGAGCGAGTGTTTGCAGTGGGTTTGTGGCCAGCGGGGTTGGTCTTTGGTTTTTGAGATGAAGGGACTTGGTTGTCGTTTAATTGTCGTTGGCGGTTGTATGATTTGGTAAAGTCGGCAGGATTGGACGAGGTGATTTCCGAGTCGTTGACCTCATCGGCGCTATCCTCGAACAAGTCGTCGTAGTAGTCGTCCTCTTCATCATGGTTGTTTCCTTCGTCTAGCAAGACGCCACCAGATTGTTCTTGGTCGTTGTTGACATATTCGTATCCTTGGTTTGGCGCAAAGGTGTGAGCGGGCTCCAGAGCTGCTGCTGGCGACTCGTTTGACGACATGATCGATGTTGTTATGTACAAGGCAAAAGAATGTCGCGAGCAGTCGCAGAGAAAAGATATTGGGCTGAAAGTTGCGTCAATTCTACTCGCGTACGCGGAGCTAACGGCCTTTCCTGATTCATGGACGCTAGGTATCTTATGCAACCATCGCAGGTCGCTTTTGTGCATGAGAGCAGCTCGTTGACAACAGTTAGATCTCGCTGTGGTGTTGTCAACTCCATGGGAAAACGTGCTCGTAGAGAACAACGTGCTAGAGAACACCGCGTCCGGCTTCAGCCTCCCCACGTTACACAAGTTCCGTGCCTCATACCGACTTCATCCATATATGTTGACTGCATCTTCTTCGACTTCAGCATGGCGACTGTCTTGTACAGCTCGGAAAGACCGCGCCATGATTCTGTCTACGAAGATATCTACTCGCTTTGCTCCTATTCTTAGCCTCCGCCGCTGCTCTCGCCCCCACGCCACTTGCCTTCAACCTACTGTTGATCGTGCCGAACTTGACTCGATCCAGCACCAGCTCGATCTGAAATCTCCTGTCGACACTCTGGCATGTCTTCTCATAAATGATTCTCGCCCGCTGTATCGACAGGCGCACCTATCTTCACTAGTCAAGAATGCTCTGAGAATTGACTTTCCCATCAACGGCCAAATGCTCGATAGCGATCAGTTTCGAAAGTATGTGTCCGAACACCCCAGGCTCGTGTTTTTTCTGTTGTTGCCTGAGTTGGTGTAGTAAGTATCATGAGCTTTGGCTGACTTGCTTAGACATATGGCTGTCAAGTGGAACGATAAGTATCGCCGAAGACTCATGAGGGAGCAATTCCTGAGATGTCAAACTGTTCAACATGTCATGCGCGTTCTCGCTGTAGCTTTGCAGCATAAAGAGACCACCCGTGAGTTGGCCTCCATGGAAACTTGCATCGTGAGAGCTCTTTATCGTGCCCGAGACACCACAACCGACCACAAAATTTTCGGTGCCATAACAACAATCATTTGTCGTTTCCGAAAAGTCAACATACCAATTGGCCGCCACCTCTTGGCCGTCGGTATCAAATTTGCTGCCCGTACACGCAGCCTGCCTGGTATGAAAAGATACCTGAAGCTGCATGTCGAACTGGACTTCCCCATCGCCAAAACTTTGTTCAGGGCCATCATCGCCAAGTTTAGTGTCGGAAGTAATGGGTATGGTGAGATACGAAATGGTAGATGGTCACGTCGCGATCTGCTGCAAGTCCTTCTTGGCTTCGAAGACACTGCTCCAGAGGACCAACATCACCTAGGTCTATTTCTCGATCGAAGTGAATGGTCTGGGTTGTATGGATGGCTTGTGGTGTTGTCTCGCTGCAGAGCATCCGACGAGATTTGGAAAGAGTGGATATTGTGGCAGGGCAATCCCATGCGTCTGAGCACCGGCAAGGTGGTATCTTCACTCAGCGAATGTGAAGCTAAACTCAGAGGCGACTACTCATTTATCGAGATGATGGCCGACTCGGGAGACACCCGCCGAGCTTGGGAGATGCTTCGCGACAGTGGCATATCGTTCGGGGATTGTCGGCGTCGACTGAGGCATAAACTTCTGCGAGACATACAGTATGCAACCCTGTGGGACTCTCATATTTCTACCGACTTGCTTGAGCAGTACGATTTAGAGCTGAAGAAGGTGGAAAATGCATTAGGCGTGGAATGGATTGATCTGGGTGCCGACCAAGGGTACCACAGACCTACCAATAACATGCAACAATCCCTCGAGTTTCTCTCGTCGCCTTTCTTCAAGCCAGAACCAGACTTTGGGTACCCCCTGGATCTCAGCGCAGAAGGTATGTTGCATTGTCTGTCACTGTTGTAGGACTCTTACTGATTGGTATTCCAGAGATCAAACAACAGCATCAGCTGATGAAAGAATACGCCGAGGACATGCCAATATATACTCCAAAAACCTCTCGCAAACCTACAACACATGATCACAACTCAACGCCCTAACGACACAGCATTTTATAGCATAGCATAGCATGATAGCATATTTTAATCCTTCAATCAGTCCTATTCGCTGTCCAATCCTATTTACCGATGATCGATTTATGGTGACCTCGTCAGCTGTTTCATTAATCGGATAAGTGTCACTGGTCAAGACCGATTCTATGGGCAGTCCCGTATCCGAGCCGCTGGTGATGCTGTTGCTACCCACGCATCCCGCAATCCCTCATCAACGATCCATCGTAAACATTGACTGCTATCGCTCAAACCTCTCTCCCCACTCACATCGAAGCGGAGAGTCTCCATGGGGCATAGTGGGGGGCACGCGAGATGATAGCATGATCCTGGCTTACCAGACAGCGATGCCGCACGCACTGGTGTCAGACCTGCAGTAGTGGCATTGTATTCGGTCCGGCATCATCGCGGCGCTTTAAGCTTCTACCAAGACTTCTAACGGTTTGCGGGTTCGTGTCATTGATCTTGTAAGGAGGCGTCTGAAGGCTTGCGCAAGGCTTGCTTCTTGCGGCCGAAAGTCACGGACCGAGATGGCAAGCCAACTACACCTCAAGGTTGGACAGGCTTCACTATAGCCACACTTTCTCATGCAGGATGCATGCTCGTTCGAACGAGACAGATGGCAGGACTTTTGAGTCTGGAATCCTTCACCTACATGGGGTATCGTTGGACTGATGGCGAAGATCTTTCTGGGGTGACACATGGAGATGAGATGGCCACGCGTATGCAACAATGTGCTCAGTGCGAAGTGGACTCGCGAGACCCATGCGAGTTTCTAGCCTGGCACTAGAAAGAACGATCGTCAGGCGATTGCAAGATCTTGGGTTGGCTCTCTTCGCATCTCGCTCTTCCTTCTGCCACACAAGACTGTGCTTGGCTTGTACCTCATCAACACAGTTGAGGGGTACACAGTCGTACAAATCAGTACACTATTTCCACCATTCAACATGTCTGCCGCCAGAAGATGAATCCTTCGGGGAGGCTTTTGTGCTCGGCGCGACTCGTGCAGAGAACCGCCGAGCTGTGGCTGGAACCCTACTAGTCCTCCTCAGAGCACGCGACCCCAGACCGTGCAAGGCTTGGTTATGAGCTTGGAAGCGTTCGTCCATGCTTGTGTGTTCTATTCTTTGCTTCGGGAGTTCGAAGTCTCGCTCTTTTCACATACGGTCCTATTATGAAGTGAGATACGAGTCGCCATGTGATGTCTAGACTGTCTAAATACAGGTCAAAGATGATCATGAGCTGAATTCGGGCCGGGCATATTCCCGTCATCAAGCAGCAGCTTCCGTGTCCGAGGTACGTACCAACGTGTTCATGTATCGGGTCGCGAAACGGCAAGTCAGAAGTACCTTAGCGGCATGCCGAAGCTCAACCCTCCTTACCAACCCCTACCTAGCTCCCCACGCCTCGACTTTCCTTGCCGTATCCGGATCGTCCAAGATGCCGGTCTCCACAATCCAGAGCCTGGAGAGCATGCACGGAGGAGTCGAGCCCATGGGGTGAGCTGGTAGTTCCTACCTTCTGTTCCTGCTATATAAACACCAATGCCCATCTATCGTTCATCTCTCTCCATCATTGTCAATCACTTCTTCTTTCCAACTCCCACTACTTTCATCTACACAGGGCTCTTGACCCGATTCACACACCACAATGCCTTTCGCTGTTAGAAGGCCTGAAGGCGAGGTCGGTGCCGTTTGGCCCGCCATCGCTGTCGGTGCATTCGTTGCTTTCGGTGGTGTTCTCTATGGTTACGATACGGTATGGACAGATGATGCCTCCTGAAGATGTAATAGATCTGACAGTCAACGCAGGGTACCATCTCTGACATCCTTGCCATGCCGTACTGGTTGAGGTTGTTCGCTACCCACACCGATGCTGCTGGCAAGCCCTACATCACTGCAGGCCAGCAGTCTGAGATCGTCTCGTTGCTTTCTGTTGGTACTTTTTTTGGTGCTCTCATGGCTGCTCCTACTGGTGATTTTCTCGGTCGCAAGTTGGGTCTGATGGCCTGGTTGGTTGTGTTCACCGTTGGTGTCATTCTCCAGACTGCATCGACTTCTATTCCACTTTTCGTCGCTGGCCGTACCATTGCTGGTCTCGGTGTTGGTGGTATTTCGGCTCTGATTCCTCTCTACCAATCCGAAACTGCACCTAAGTGGATCAGAGGTACTATCGTGTAAGTACCAATAACCACGATCCACTGTACATGCGACTGACTCGTTGAATAGCGGTGCTTATCAACTCGCGATCACTATCGGTTTATTGCTTGCCTCTATCGTTGGCAATGCTACCAAGGGCCGTCTTGACACCGGATGCTACCGCATTCCTCTTGCTGTTCAGTTCGCCTGGGCAATCATCCTGTTCAGTGGTCTACTCATTCTTCCCGAGACTCCTAGATTCTACATCAAGAAGGGCAAGCACGAACAAGCCGCTTGCTCGCTTGCCAGACTAAGACGTCTTGACGTCGATCACCCTGCGATCGAGGCCGAGTTGGCTGAGATCACCGCCAACCATGAATACGAATTGTCCCTCGGCGAGGCCACCTACGTCGACTGCTTCAAGGGTAACCTTGGCAAGCGTCTCGCCACCGGTTGCGGTCTACAGGCTCTCCAGCAACTGACCGGTGTCAACTTCATTTTCTACTACGGAACTCCCTTCTTCCAGAACTCTGGTATCGCCAACGGTTTCACCATCAGTTTGATCACCTCTTGCATCAACGTCGCCTCCACTTTCCCTGGTCTGTACTTGGTCGATAGATGGGGCAGAAGAAAGCTCCTGCTCTTCGGAGCCATTGGTATGGCTGTCTGCCAACTCATCGTTGCTGGAGTCGGTCTCGAGCCAGTCGCCAACCAATCCGCCCAGAAGGCTCTCGTCGCCTTCGTGTGTTTGTACATTTTTTTCTTTGCATGTGAGTTCCCAGAGTTTGTCCAGCATCAGTCTAATCAAATCACGCTGACATACCTCCGTTTTAGGCAGCTGGGGTCCCTGTGCCTGGGTCGTGACCGGCGAAATTTTCCCCCTCAAAGTCAGAGCCAAGTCCCTTTCGATGACTACCGCCTCCAACTGGTTGCTTAACTGGGCGATCGCGTACTCGACCCCCTACATGGTATCCGGAATGCACACCAATGTCTTCTGGGTATGGGCAGGCTTTTGCGTGTGCTGTTGCTTCTTTGTGTATTTCTTCATCTACGAGACCAAGGGGCTCTCCCTGGAGCAGGTCGACGAGCTCTACGGCAAGGTATCCAAGGCCTGGCAGTCAGAAGGCTTCGTACCCACTGTCTCCTTCCAGGAGGTGCAAGATATCACCGGTGGCGCCTCTCGCAACCAGTCACTTGCCGACATTGAGAACACTGCCATGCGCAAGAAGAGTGTTACTCATCAGGAGAGCACCATGGGCGAGAAGTACTAAACTCGTGCTCTTACTCTCGTTTTTGCTTTCTCTATCCCATAAGGATATCCTCACTCACGATTCATGTAATATAAGACACTTGGTTCATAAAAACAGGACATGATGCGACGGCAATCTTTACAGTACAATGGCCTGATAGCTCGGTTTCTTCATGCTGTACCACATGTACGATATTCCAAATCAGTGCTATTGAGCTCGTTCTGACTTCCACCACTACATTATCCATCACACTGATCCTTCATTTTCACGGCTGCTTGAACAAGCACCCCTTGTACATTACTGTACATCACATCCGCCATCCGGGGGCGAGTTTGGAGCGCACTGGCCTGACTCTACCGATAAGTAACATTTGAGTATATTGACCCCGAGATTGAATTGGCCACTGTTTCCAGTGACAAACAGTTGATGGTTGACTAAGATTTCGCTCAGTTAGCAGGTGCATATTGGGGGAATCATGTCCTCAGATGATAACAAATCTTGTCAAGCACACTTACTGTAGTGAACCTTGAAATCATCACAGCCAGAGTCGCCATATGGACGGAAGCTTATAGTGGATTCCGCACCAGTGTTGAGATCATTGCAGGAACCAATAAAGGCAGCAGAGCTATAGTCCGGGCACGCATCGCCGGCTCCAAACAAGGTGATTTCACAGTTTGGAATGCAAACTGTAGAGCTACTTCCGCCGCTAGTGGGTGTGCCAATGTCTTTGAGGGTGATGCTTTGACCGAGCTACAATTCACTGGTCAACGATGCTCAGAGGAAGGGATCGTACTGCAGAGATGATACCACAAGACTAGTCAAGGTCGCAGCTAGGAGAAGTCTGACGGCGTAAGTCATCGTGCAAGAAGAGGTGAAGAAGAACTTGTTGGTAGATGTCTTTGGAGAAACTTGGGATGAAGCAAGAAGGGGTGGTCTCCTTCGATCTATTTATGCCGTTCCGACAGTACAATACAGCATCGTCATCAGTGGCCTGACGTCCCCGTCCTCAAGCGATCGCTGTCAATTTTGCGCTATTGGTGACAATGATCCTGTTTCGAGATTCTTGGTTGGACCTATGACAGTCCGTTCTTTTTCCACGATCAGCGGACTGGCGCTCCTTCTCTTCTGGAGGCTTGGTGAAGCTTATTCCGTAGATTTTGCGATAGTCTGTCTCGTCCGTTAGTCTTTCTGTTAGCATGGTCTCGCTTGGGTCACTCTGTTTACTTTCAGAGCTTGGTCCACTGTTTGCAATTGCTCTATCCCAGACATGTAGTCGAGCAACTCTTACGACTAAAAAACAGTTCCAGCACATATCTCGAGCACCGACCAGTGTCTGTACCACCATGCCATCCGTGGAACTCTGAGCTTTCTTGCTTTTCTGTAGGAACGGCGAAGCTGTCTCCCTCGACGGAGGACGTCGTTATCTGATCAGCATTGCGGGCTGTAGGTTACCATTCCTTCAAGGAGCAGGTGATGTAGTACGCACGACACATATGGCGTCGACTACATGTATTGTTATAAACTCCAAAGCAAAATATAGGGCTTGCTGGACACATACAGACTCGAATCTCATCAGGTAGCCAGCAGGAGAGCCCACTTTCATGCATCTCAAGGGTACCTATTTGGCCACCTAAGATGCTTACCCGGAACAGTACAACCAGTTTCCAACACTGGTACTAGCCTTTGAATACGGTCGCGATCTGTAGCCTCGGGCAAGAATGATGAAGGGCCGTCAAAGGAGGCACTGTCTAGGTGAGGATCAGGAAAAGATGTTCGCGCAGTACGGATGGCGTTAAGCCACAATCCGCAGGTCTCGATGGCTACCGCTATTGCTACAAGATGATCCCCCTCTATTCCAGCAGATGGGTTCGAAGAATCCTTCACGTATCGAGAGGGGTTGACTACGGCCGTATGGAATGTAGTGATAGGTAGTGAGACGGTCATCCATGTTTCTTGTAATGCTTCCTCCGATGAGCGAGATGGTTTCCTAGGACTTCAGAGCATGAGAAATAGGCATATCTTTGCGGATTATGCGGAATTGGTTCTATGTCTTGAGATGTTCATTGGAAAAGGAATAATGTTGTTGTTGCATGATCTCTCCGAACTTTTCCCGATGTAGAAACTGGACGTCATGCTCCTTCCCTCCTCCCCGCTCCTCAATGTCTGCCCTGACCTAAATAGTCTGTGGCTGCATGGATCACCAACCTCAAAAATCGTAGTGATCCATCACTACGGCGTCACACAGGCACCACTAATTACCCAACACAGACATCATCTTGCCGGACACAGAAGACATATGTTCACTGATAAGACAATGATAGCCATACAATTGGAAGACCACGCAGTATAATAGCTTGGTCATGGTACGTTGATCGAAGGTGAGATATGTTCAATAAAAAAATGGCCAGAATCTTACATCCAAGTAAGATATGTTTCCGGAGCATAGATTGCACACACCATAATCCAGGATTATCTGATATTATTACGAGCTCTTCTCTCGCATTCGGCAGATCTGTCGCTCTCGATGACTACGGCCTTGTGATAAGATCGTTTTGGCACTGAGACACCCGTTGTTATTCGAAATCACGATTCGACAATTTCACTAGGTCAGGAACAAGGGCCTTTGACAAGCACTTTTCGGTTTACCTGAAGTTATCTAGAGAGTGTTTCGGTCTGCTGTCTCCGCAGCCTCAAAGCAACTGGCATGACCCGCTGCTAGACATCAGAATGTGGCCTTTGATTCACAGGTCTCGCTAGAAGCAAGAATTGGAAACCTCCAGGAGTCTGATTCGTAAGTGAAGTACACGACACAGAGTCCAATGTTCACTGATACTCACATTCACTGCAGTCTTGACACTCACTGATATCCTTTGCAACAACACCCACCTCCCTCAATTCTTTTTCGCCAACATGATCAATCTTTCTTCTCTCATCTACACACTATCAACCATGGCTTCCACAACTTCCATCATCGACTTTGGTGCACGCACCAGACTCATCGTCACCCTCTTCGACGAAAACAGATTCGAAGACTGCAAGAGAGAAATCGCAACCATCCTGGGCTATCAAGAATTACCGCGCTACTACCGCATCAAATGCCATATCGTTCTCGCAGAATGTGAAGATGACTGGTACGCCGCCGAAGTAAGTTTTCACTTGAATACAGGTAAGTGTCATGTCTAACATATAGAAAGAGGGAGTTCCAGATCGCAGAAAACATGTGGTGGAATGCCCGTATTATGTGGCCCGTCGGAACAGCAAATGAAAGTACAAATTGGCTGCTGAACAAACTGCGCGGGATGCTCGACAGTCTCAGAGCACACCTGGAGGAGCATCGACCTTTGGAGCATGTGGAGAATGAAGAGGAGTCAGAAGAAAATGCAATGCAGTCTGCAGAGGACGATGAAGAGATGTTTGCAGGAACTGCAGAGTCTGAATTGGTCGAAGAGGAGCAAAGTCAAGACAAGGAAGAGTCCGAGTAGGATGAGCGCAAGTCAGAGGAGGATATCGTTAGGAAGTCAAATCGATTACTGCCTTGTGACTAGCCAGAAATCAACCAGAGCCACCTTAAGCAGTACAAAAAACAGATTCACTCCTCCAAGAGAAAGCGAGACTCATATAGATAAATGAGAGAAAAGCACGTAATGCAAGCATAGAACAGATGATACATTACATATTAGGTTCACTCATCAGAAGGCCCTCCACGAGTGCCATAATCGGCACCGACGCGCTTCACACCAGTAGCACGACCGGTGATATCAGACCAAGTGGCGCCGAAACGACGACCAGTGCTGGCAAGGAGGCCTTCTTCTTCCTCTTCGGCAAGGTCATCGTCGAGTTGCTCCTCATCAAGACGGGGAGTGCGGAACAGCATGACGACAAACACAATGAAGAAGATGCCAAGGAAAGCAAATTGAGCCCAGAAATCGACAAGTCCGAAGAAGGGGAAGTTGATGGTGATGCGGTTCAAAAAGGAACTGACTACCGAGGGCGTGCAGACCATACGAGCGACCGGGTTGTCAGCAGCCTCGCGACAAGAGCGAATAGCGCTGTGGTGGTTGCTACAGTCTGGCTGCGCATCGGGGTGGTGGGTAGGTCTGTCGCAGTAGGTCTGAGGGCCGAAGGTGGCATATTGAGGAGCGACCATCATCGCGACAGCGTAGTTGATGGCGAATACGATCAAGGTGAGCATGACAGTTCCCATAAGAAGGGCTTGCGGAGCAGTGTGACCCTTGCGAATCTTGAACAAACTGACCCACAAGAAGCGGATACCGATCGTGGCAATACCGACAACTGATCCGGCAAAGAATAGAAGGGTCAAAAGAAGGAAAATGACATAGTCGATGGGGAAGACCTTTGAGGTGACGACGAAGAGCCAGTTGATGGGCTGGAAGATCTTGTTGTGACCAAGCAGATATCCACAACCAGTCTTGCACACAGAGTTTTTGATCTTGTCAACGCCGGTGACCAGCATGCTGGCCCAGACGATGAGGATGATCACGATGAGCAGAAGACCACCGAGGAGTTTCAGGGGTCTGAAGATGGCTTCGGTCTTGAGCCACACACGGATGAACCAGTTTGAGCCTTCACCCATGTCTTCAGCAGCGAGACGTTCACGGCGAACGAGCGTGCGTTCCTCGCGAATGAGAGCTTCGAGTTCACGACGATCGCGAGTGTCGAGACCGCTGTCACGGCCCTCGTTGCGGTTCTCGAGCTGTCTCTGGCGCTCGCGGTTCTGTGTTAGCTGAGATGAAGTGTTGGCAGCCAATGTAGGGGCAGAGATGCGAGGAGCTGTCTTGATGAGGGTCAAGGGAAGGAGGGCCAAGCCAGGAGCCGTATAGATGCAGTACAAAAGCGTTCCGAGGGTCAAGAGAAGACCAACGCAGAAAGTCAAGGCACGTTCTCCATCTGTGGCGAGTTAGTGGGAAACTCAGAGTTATTGAATACGGAAGACTTACGATTCTCGGCCAAGAGATCCTTGAAGAAGTCGAGGTCAAGATGCTTCTGAGGCCTGTTCTTGGCAACAGGTACGAAGAAGCCTACGAGGAAGATGATGACAACAAACAGAATGAAGGCGATTGTGTACTTGAAAGCACCCCAAAGACGGGCGGCAGCAGTCTGGGTGCCCTCCTCGGCAGCTACCTCATCACGTTCTTCGTACCAGAAGTAGGTAAAGGGAACGACGATCAAGCAAAGGACAGCGTCAAGGCTGTAAAGAGTGTAGTAGACGATCTTGAGCTGGAACAGGATGTTGTCGACAGCGTCAGGAGTAGCCCAGTCTTTCTTCTTTCCGAGCTTAGATGAAGTAGTCGAAGATACTAAAGCTACATCGACGGGCAGCAGGAGGACGGTAGCCAGTAGAGAGAGCACGGTGATGATGCAGACGATGGAGACGACGGCAGAGCGTTCGCGAGGGGCCTGGTAGAGGTAGACGAAGATGGATGCTACGACCAGCAGGATTGCAAGTGCGACAGCATATGCGACCCAGATAAGGGAAGTCTGGATGAGTGCCATGGCTGGTTAGGCAGGAGCTATACGAAAGCTTCCTCTGGCGACACAGGGATTATTGTGAAGAAGAGGCACCTCTACACACGGTGCATTACAGGCTGTTGAGGTGAAGGAGGTCGAGAGAGCTTCAGACTTCACACGGCAACTTCTCAAGTCCAAGGTTCCTTCCTTGATTGCTCTCTCCAAGCCCCCTCCACGATTGGAAGGCACACGTCATCTTGGCGTTCGGCGTCTCGATCTCCCTCCAGCTCGGCCGTCCGTGCGCTGATATAGGCAGGAAATACTTCGGCAACTGCAGCTCCGCGTGGTCTCAGGCGCGAGCTTGCTCCAGCTAAACAATACCGTCCTTGAGATTGCATGCAATGCGCGACGATACATAATGCAATGTTATACCGAACTCGTGGCGCCGACCGCTGTGTCGAACGCCGTCGCTCTGCCATTCACCGCTCCCGGCGCGACTAACTTGATTGTCGCGAAGACCTCGTTGCTCCAAGTCTTCACTCTCAAGACCATCATATCCCAAGCCAAACCACCATCTTTGGCGCCCAATGGCGACACGGCTGCGCTCGAGGGCTCTGAGAGCATTCATCGCGTCGAGCACACTGCCAAGCTGGTCCTCTTGGGCGAGTATCCCGTGTCTGGAACCATCACTTCTCTACAGCGAGTCAAGGCATTGAACACAAAAACCGGCGCCGAAGCCTTACTGGTGTCTACCCAGGACGCGAAGATCAGTCTGATCGAATGGGATCCTCTCAACTACCGCATCTCGACCTTGTCTATCCATTACTACGAGCGCGAAACAACAAACACACTGCCGTTCGGGCCATCCCTTGCCGATACACCCAGCTACCTTAGCGTCGACCCAAGCAGCAGATGCGCTGCCCTCAAATTTGGCACCAAACACCTCGCAATCATCCCATTCCGTCAATCGCAAGACGACCTGGCTGGAGAAGATGACCTCGACACGCCCCCACCTACAAAAGCTCCTGCTACTGGTGCCGACGCCCAAGCTGAGACTCCCTACTCGGCCTCGTTCGTCTTGCCCTTGACCGCTCTCGATCCCGCTCTCACGCATCCTGTGCATCTCGCTTTCTTGCACGAGTACAGAGAACCCACTTTTGGCATTGTCTCGTCCAACAAAGCTCCTAGCCACGGTTTACTCGAAGAGCGCAAGGACATCTTGAATTACACCGTCTTCACTCTAGATTTGGATCAGCGCGCCTCCACAACTTTGCTCTCCGTTACAGGCTTGCCTTTCGACATCTTCCGTGTCGTCCCACTTCCCTTGCCCGTCGGCGGCGCACTTCTCGTTGGCGCAAACGAGCTGGTACATGTTGATCAATCTGGAAAAACAAATGCTGTTGCTGTGAACGAATTCGCCAAGCTAAGCTCCAACTTCGCTATGGCTGATCAATCCGACCTGGGTCTTCGCCTGGAGGACTGCGTGGTCGAGGCTTTGGATCACACTAACGGCAACATGCTGATCGTTCTAAACACCGGCCGTCTGGCAGTGTTGTCATTCCGTATCGATGGTCGCTCAGTATCTGGTCTGTCCGTTCATTTGGTAGACTCCGCTCACGGCGGCCATCACTTAAGGACCGCTGCAAACTGCGCTGCCTCTCTGGGACGTGGTAGGTTGTTCCTGGGCAGTGAGGACGGCGATTCCACTCTGATTGGCTGGTCCAAGAAGACTGCGCAGACACGGAAACGTAGTCATGCCCAGATGATCGCCGAAGACGCCGAACTCTCACTGGACGAGGAAGACCTTGATGATGATGCAGACGACGACCTGTACGCCGACGAAGCTCCAGTGGTAAAGCAAGCGGCCTCACAGGCTGCCGACTCTAGTGGTCCCGACAGCTACTCTTTCAGAGTGCACGATAACCTCTTCAGTCTGGGGCCCATCAAGGATGTTTGTCTGGGCAAATATGCCAATGCGAATGAGCTTTCTGACACCGATGTACAGCCTCAACTCTCGCTCCTCGCAAGCGTCGGTCGGGAGCGAGCGTCGAAGCTTGCATTCATCAACCGTGAACTAACCCCGAGTCCGGTTCGTGCAGTGGATATATCTCATGCTCAAGCCGTCTGGACCGCTTGTGTGGAGGCAGCAGCCCCTCGTGGCCAAACAAAGTCTACAGACGACGTCCAGAATTCTGAGGCTCAGCTTGCATCTGACATGCAATACGATCAGTATTTGATCAGCTGTCACGCTGATGAAGACGGTGTCGAAAGCTCAAAGGTATTCAAGATTGATAACGAGATTGCCGACACAAAACAAGGTGATCAAAGTACGATTTACGCCGAGGTGACTGGAACCGAATTCGAGGTTGAAGGTGAGACCCTGGATGTCGGAATCCTAGCTTCTGGCACAAGAATCGTCCAGGTGAGGAAGCATGAAGTCAGAAGTTACGACGCAGGTAAGTCTCAAAATTATCTTCCCAACCACAAACCACATTGCCCATATTCAAGCATTCTTCCTGTCCATCTACCATTCAACACGGCTTCAGGGCATTTCATCTGGAAGCAGCGACTTCATGGAGTATCTCAGATGCGCAGTCGTTCATGGACGTCAACACTAAGGATGTCTTATATGTCACCAAGTGTACTATAGCCTTTCCAATACAAATCTGTCATCTTCACTTTGCTTGCCGCTTGCCACTACATCCGTCTGTCTAAATTCGTGTACTGACCATTGTGTTCATAGATCTTGGACTCTCACAAATTTTCCCAATTATCGATGAGGAGACCGATGCAGAGCTCACAGTCGTACACTCGTCATTCTGCGACCCCTACCTTCTATTGCTCAGGGAAGACTCGAGCCTGCAGATTCTGCAAGTCGACAAGAGTGGTGACCTAGACGAACTAGAGCGTGGTGATGCTGCTTTGGCCTCGAAATGGTTGTCTGGTAGTATCTACAAATCAGAGAAGACTGGCGATAAGACATTAGCTTTCTTACTCAATGCAGAAGGTGGTCTCGCAGTAAGTGTCGGCTTGTGTCAACGAATATACATCATTAATCCATGTTACAGGTCTTCGAGCTTCCCAACCTTGATCGACCAGTTTATGAAGCTCCTAGTCTTTCGGTCTTGTCGCCAGTGGTCTCAAACGAGAGCGCGCCTCGCCGTAACGTTGGCAAGGAGACTCTGGCCGAGCTTATCTTCGCAGACTTGGGCGATGAAACAGCCAAATCGCCATATTTAATCGTAAGGTCTTTCTCTGGAACTCGAGAATCAAGCGCTCATAAACATATCTAGCTACGCTCATCGGCGGACGACCTTATCATTTACGAGCCTTTCCATCATCCTGCGGCTCCTTCCACATCTCCTTCACCATTCACCACAAATCTACGATTCCGCAAAGTACCTGGACTGCACATGCCTAAGTTCAACGAAGACTCTTCTCTCCAGAAGCCTGCTGCTATGAAGTTGTTACCGAATGTTGGAGGGTATTCGGCCGTCTTCATGGCAGGTGGTTCGCCAAGCTTTGTGATCAAAGATGCTTCGAGCCTGCCGCGGATTGTCAGTCTGCGAGGTGAGGGCGTCCGAAGACTCTCTGGACTCAACAGCCGCAAGTGCGAAGCTGGATTTGCATGGGTCGATACTACTGTACGTCGAAGAACTCTCGAGTCTCTTGACATTACTAACCATAGCACTAGGGTACACTACGTGAAGGGCAAATCCCAACCAACACGAGATTTGCTTCCAATGGATGGTCTGTTCGCAAATTTTCACCCTTCTCAGAGCACATCGAGGTCCAGAAGATTGCTTACCATTCAGAGCGCGACGTCTATGTTATTACGACGCAGGAGGAGGTTGACTTCTATCCCCCTGAAGACGATCCGAGGCACCCGGCCGCGGACGAAGGTATGTTTGCTGAGACATTCTAGTAGAAGCAGCACTGACATGTCTTGTTAGAAATTACACTTCGGCCCAAAGCACTGCAGTTCCGTGTACATCTGTATGACGCGAAAGCAGATCGACTCATTGACACATATGACATACCCTCGTACGAATTGATCACTTCGATGGAGGTCATGCCTCTCGAAGTCTCAGAGATCACGCATCAGCATAGGTTGCTGGTCGCCCTGGGTACCATTTCACAGCGAGCAGAAAACTACGCTGCCAAGGGTTGCATCTACACACTTGAGATCATCGACGTTGTGCCAGAGCCTGGCCAACCAGAGACAGGCAAGAAGTTCCGTGTCTTTGGCAGAGAAGAAACTAAGAGTGGCATCACGGCATTGATGGGCATAGCCGGTCTTGTCGGCACTGCTCAAGGACAGAAACTCATGATTCGTGGTCTGAGAGAAGATGGCTCGTGTTTACCTGTTGCCTTCCTCGATGCGCAATGTTACATCTCATCACTGAAGACGCTGGCAAGCAGCAAACTCTGGATCGCTGCGGATGCTTGGAAGGGTCTTTGGTTTGGTGGATTCGGAGTAAGATATCATGAAGATAACATCGCAAAAAGTATCACTAACACATCTATAGGAGGAGCCTTACAAGCTTTCGTTGTTTGGAAAATCACGCTCTCAGATGGAAGTCGTGTCGGCTGAGTTCCTGCCGTTCGAAGGCCAGCTGTACATCCTTATCATTGACGCAGACCTTGACATCCATGTGCTGCAGTACGATCCTGAGCGTACGTATCTCCCGGTGTTCCTCAATGTGCCATTGTGCTGACTTTTATAGATCCCAAATCATTGTCTGGTCAGCGTCTGCTGCACAGAAGCACCTTTCACCTTGGACACATGCCCACCTCGATGACACTGCTCCCTTCCACCCTATCACCCTTCACCGAGCAGAACCCGGATGAAGACATGGCAGATAACGACAGCGAACCATCCAAGACATCCGCTCTCAACCACATCCTCATCACAACACAAACCGGCAGTATTGCACTGCTTACACCCCTTGACGAAGCAACCTACCGTCGTTTATCAGCCCTGCAGACAACACTATCCAGCATCCTCGAACACTCGGCTGGACTCAACCCGCGAGCCTACCGTGCGGTTGAAAGCGAAGGACTTGGTGCCAGAGGCATTGTTGACGGAGATCTCATCACCCGAATCTATGAGTTGGGTGCTGGTAAGAGGCTTGAAGTGCTCGGCAGAGCTGGTGCTGAGGTTTGGAGTACAAGGAGTGATTTGGAGATCATTGCTGGTGAAGGATTGGGATATCTATAAAGTCGCCAATGGCAAAGATTGCACCAACCATCGCTACAATGTTGTTCGGATCGAACTCATCAACCCTCCCTGTGTGCTCAAGTTTGTCGTGCGTACAGCTGTAGAAGTTCACAATAGTTCCGGTCAACCGAATAGTGTTCATCCTGAGACTGTGTGCTCTAGGCTTCCTTCGGTATCGTCTCTAGTCCAGAAACTCTTGTGCCTTATTATAGTGAACGCCGTTCTCTCTACCTTCGCGGGAGAAGTTTGAAGAGAATGTGAGAGCCATAAACTTCGGCATAAGGAAGGATATATATTGTCGAGGTCGTATTTGTTGAACATGCTCTGTTCGGGTGCGTCGAAGTTCCAAAGTATCGGTTAAACGGCTATCAAACACTCATACCACTCGCGGCTGACCTCCTCAATCTATAACTCTTCATCAAACAATACTGCGTGGATTACAGTGGTGTACATTAGCATGCTTTCATCGATCAATAGAGATGCATGATTGAGCGTTCGGTAACACGGCTCTTTTTCAACGACCAATGGTAAGCATGCACTCTGAGTCATACATCACTCCTTCCTTCAATATATCATATCAGTCGTGTAAGCACTTTCCATGCATATCAAACACAAAGCATCAAGTCCATGACCGAACTGAAGGTTCATGTTCTTATCCAAGCTCGTTACCGAATTTTTGACGCAACAGGCGAACATCCCTTTACTATCGATATCGGACTCTGTCGCCGCTCACCAGACGATACCGATCCCAGGAGCTTGATCATCGATGTTTCTGGCTCGGCTTTAGATGTCCCTTATGCTCTTGCTAATGAGCTGCTGATCTCACATGGCGTCAACACACTTCAAAGAGACAAGGAGAGATTGAAGCATATGAACTTATGTTCTGCAGTCGAAGAAGGGAACCGCTACATTACACTGCCTTCGCCAGTGGGCAGAACGAGACATTACAAAGATTGCTTTACAGTTTTCGAACATCCTGTCGACAAAGGCAGTGAGCTTGCCTCTCTGTTTCTGCCAGGCAAGGAGTATTGTATCAATCTTGCCAGCGAGGATCTCGGTATCAAATGGTATACCTACCTTGATGATCCTTCAGTTCCTATCGATGAAGATCTACTATCGAGACCTTCCGAGACCGCAAAGATAGTCAACAGTAGACCTTCAGCCGGCCATGCTGGCTTTAGAGTCGTAGAATCTCTCCCTTGGCCACCAGAAGTCTCTACACGCCTACATCTCGTCCAAGCAACGGAAACTGCACCAGCCTGCCTTCAAATTAGCATAACAAACATGAGCACACAGTCTCTGAGTATAGAACCACGTGGTCGTCCACAACTATACCTCCAACCCAGAGATCTGCTCGGCGATCGCACAACTACTCGACCCCATTTGCACCGTACCCTAACACCAGACTTACCACTCTCGTCCTTTGGTTTCTCGATCACGAATGCGACGACCAGAGAGGAAATTGCAGACAACCTGCCCCGCCCAGGCTGCATGGGTCTCACCCGAGGAAACCTAGACCCGCGGCCCAGTGCTAAAAACCTGCTTACCTTGGAGCCTGGGCAAGCGATACTCAGATATGTGGATATTGGTACTGTACTTTGTAAATACGGGGATGGAGTGTTTACTATACGATTGAGGGAACAGTGTAAATGGTGGTGTGTAGGTAACCTGGAAGATATTTGTGAGGAAGAGGAGGGAAGTTTTGGAAGGGTCAAGAGAGAGCTATTTTGTAGGGATATACCACCTTTAGTGCTGAACTCGGATGATACTGTTAAGGTGAAGAAAGTTGAAGGAGAGATAGTTAGGAATTGATCAACTCAGGAGCCTTTGGGAGAGTTGCGGCACCTCGACGTCTGGAGTCTAGTACTCTTAGCCACAGAAATGCATAATGCTGTTCAGGATAGATTGGCGTCAATAGAGAGGCCATATCAAGGTGTCTCCATGACTACAGCTACCTTGGTAAGTATACTGTGCATTTGTATAGCATAGACACCCACTATTTGTTGTCGATACAGGGTGGGCTATTATCGCAGGCCTAGAGCTGAACATTCGCTCTGTTTTATCATTAAGATCGGAGGTCGATACAGCTATCTATTTGTGGAACCAAGTTGTCTTCTATTGCTCCATAACTATGCTTGCGGCTCACCCGATGGACCACACAGCACCTCACCCTCAGCAATCGGAGCCCCAAGAATAGGGAATCCATCAGCTTCGAAGTCAATCTTCTTCGCATTCGAATACCTGTCTCCACAGCTGCCAGCAGGGTTAGGCGACGAATGATACGCCATCCAAGTCTCCGTGCCATCGGGGCTGCTAAAGAAGCTATTGTGACCAGTACTGTACATGCCATTTGCTTGGCTAAAGTGAGGGCCAGTCTTGACCCAACTGCTTTGCTCCAAGGGGTCTCCACCGACATATTCGAGTAGACCTAGCGAGTATGAGGGATCCCAGCAGAATGAGCCTGAGTAAGATAGGAAAGTGCGGTTTTGGTTGTAGAGGGCAAAGGGACCTTCGTTGACTGGCATTTGTCCATTGCGTTCCCAGGCTTCGGTGGGAGAGGCAAGGAGGTGTTCTTCCCCGATGGTCAGGATGTCTGAGTTTCTTCCAATGCAAAGAGATTGTAGGTTTTCGCCGGTGTCGTCGCGGAAACAGGAGTAGACAAAGTAGTTTTGGCCATTGATCGTCAGGGGCGTGCCATCGATCGACCATGCGGGTGCATTGATGGTACCGTGGAAGTCGAAGGCGTCCCATGGAGAGGTTCCGCCTTGCAGGACTTGAGATTGTTGGATTGAATCGGTCTCGCAGCCGCCTGCGCTGAAGAAGATGACCCATTTGCCGTCTACGAGGTGCAGTTCGGGTGCCCAGATGTTGCATTGGCGAGATGGGAACTCGGCAGAAGGTGCCCACACAGTCTTTGGCAGAGCAGTCTTGAGTCCTTCGAGGGTTGTTGCACGTCGAACGCTGATATCGCGGTAATTGGTTGCGGTGAAGTACCAGTATCCATCGTGCCAGACGATGGAAGGGTCGCCACCGTCCTTAGGCTCCAGTGGGTTGGAGTAGTTGGCACCAAGAACCGCAGATGCACTGCTGAGGACAAAGAGGCCTAGTTTTGAGAAGAACATGATGACGGAAGTGGATGAGGAGCTAGGATGTGTCGAGAGATGGAGTGTACAGTTTAGGCAGTGTGCTTGATGAGTTTGTCTATGCTATGGGTCTTACCTCTCTTTATACAGTCAACACAGACCGTTCTTCTATACAATAAGCAGCATCATGCTCGGGTGAAGTTTTGCTTGGTAGTCATCCGCAGCAGAGTATGCATCAGGGCTCGTAGATGCCAAGTCGAAGATCTTTCGTGTGAACATGAGTGTCCGGTGGGAAACTTTACCCTTCGCACCTTCCGACCTCGGTTTGTTCGTACCAACTCCACAAAAACTCCACTCCGTTGCCCCACGGGGTCGTTGGATGGAGAAAATGTGACCGATATGATCTGCATGATAATCCGTACTCATGCGGAATTCGCCCATTTGCCAAGGAGCACATTAGCCATCAAGGCGTGGTTCGGCTGATTGTGGCCCGGAAGAGTGGCTGGGAAGCTGATGTCGACGACATTCTTTCTCAGGAGAAGATACGTCTGGAAGGACATGTGAACTGACCGAGATGTCACCTTGTTCTGTTCGTAGTAACATGAGGATGCGATAATGGTATGGAATGAGGTTGGTTAATATCAGGTTGAATATATTCTTGGCAAATGCACGCGAGCTTGGCACGTTTCATCTCTACCGACCTCATCTCTTGACTCTCAAGTCATACCATTATTGCTTCACCACCAAGGGCTACCCCATCCCCAGCCATGCCCGTAGCCACCGCTGTTGTGATTGCAAGCAGGGAAACCTTGAGCTCCAGGGCCATGACCAGCAGGTCCCGGCACAATGAAGTCACCAACAGTGAATTCGGTCATGTTCGATCCGTACATGCCACCATTGTAGACTTGTACAGTCTTTCCGCCGTTTCCAGGCAAGACTCTCAAAGAGCGAGTGTATCCAACGCCATGACCTTGGCTACTGACGTTCTTCCAAGCGCCGGGATCGCCATTCTGTGTGTTGAGGAAAAATTGATCGTATGTAGAGTCACTCACAACGATCGTACCTGAGGGGCCACCAGCAGGAGTCCAGACAGTGTAAGGTCCAGCACTGGAGATGCCTTCAGGAGTCTTCAACTCGTTGTCGCCAACAGAGCCAAACTCAAGAGGTGAGTCTGCGATCTTGTAGTGGGTAGCGTAAGGTGCGGATTCGTCTGGCCAGAGACCGACTTCGTAGGAACACATCCACTTTCCATTGCCGATTTGAGCCATGGTGATCATGCCGGGGCGCTGGGTGTAGTTTGCATAGGCGACGTCGTTGACTACATCACCCCAGGATGTCAAGTCCCCACTGGACTGATGGGCGAGCTTTTGGCCATATGCGGGATCGCGCTGGTCCGAGTAGAACACATTTACCTGGTTATCGTATGCAAGAATAAAAGGCTCCCATACACAAGGCTATACAATCAAGTTAGCATGTTTCTTGGGTGCCAGATGGTACACTGCCACAGAGTGACCAGAACCTCAAACTTACTGCGCCGTTGTCTGTGTTGGGTGGACCACCGTAGGCTACCGTCGAGACGTACTCCCAGGATACACTGCACATGTCAGGCTGGAAACACGACTCTGTGCATAGAAAACATACCCCTTATCCGTACTGGCATACAACTGAATGTTGGTGCTCGAAAAGTCCCCAGGTATACGGTTACCAGACAATAGAATGGTTCCAGGTTGGTACTTTCCAAACGGCTGGCTTAGTTCGTAAAGGAATGGTTGCAGAATAATGCCCCCTGTGACGCTGGCATTGCCATTGAAGTATGCCTTGGAGAGATCCGACCAGGTGGCTCCGTAATCGGTGCTCTTATGGATCAAAAAGTATTGACCATCAGGAGCGTTGTAGGCAGCAGTGGCCAAGATGGTGGGTGTACCTTGCTCACAGTCCTGATTGAGCATGACAGAGCGAGCATAGCTTCCTCCCTTGTCTGGCCAGTTTGCTGGTGGTACGAAGACGGTCGTGTTCTGAACGAAAGAGGCAGGAACTGCGCTTGGCCATGCCAAAGCAGTGGACGCCAGCAGTGCTGAGGAGAACAGAGACAAGGTAGAGAGCATGTTGACCAGTTGCCCGCTGGAAAGTGATCGGGTCAAACGTCTTGTTTCCCTACAGCAAGAGCTTCTCTTTATATTCTCTTGACCAGCTCTAGACCTGTTGTCGACCCCTCATTTTCTTCCTGACCAGCCTCGTGATATTCTGCATGGTCTCGTTTGACCCGGAGTACCTTTGGTTTTTGCCTGTATGCTGCTTTGTCAACGGACTCCGGATATTCGTTGTGCCTTATACATAAATGGTAGCATTCTCGGATCAGTACGGACGAGTATACAGGCCTTCCCCCGCAACCACCCCGCAACCATGTCCACACTGACTGATCGTCCACGGACCCACGGCACGGTATGCATGGTGTCTATCGATTTGGTGCTTTTAGGTGCATGCTGCGAGTAAGATGATGTCCATAGCAGATCTTTCTCAATCATTTAGCCTAAAGTTTTGTTGTTGAGTTCTTGAGCATAACAGCTTGTACGAGCACATCATCTAAGTTGGCTGGGGTTGAATCTAGACGATAGCCTGATCTGTCGTGAGGAGATCGCTCGAGGCTCAAGCATTGCGGGTGGCTTTGGATCTCTTCAAGCCCATTGACAAGCATTCCAACCAAGACGACCTTGGCGATCAGCAGGAACCATGCAGACTAGGCTACATAGTTGTGTTTACATCACGGCAAGCCTCTGGCCGACAGCGGCACAAGTCAATCACTCACACTTTGGCAGAATATATGTTTTGCTGAGGGGACAGTTGCTCTCCGGTGGAGTTATGGTTAAATGTGATTTGCTTGTATCCAAACGCTGGTTGGTTCCTGTTGATCGTCGGCAGCATTCCCTCAATGGTCATCTTCTTCAGATTCGACGTCCATAAACTCGTCATCTCCAGAGTCAGCATCGCTCTCTTGTGCATCAATCTCATCCTCCGAGCTGTCATCTTCTTCGACGGAGACTGGTACGAGCAAACGACGAACATCCTCGATCGGAGCATCAAGAGGCATGTCAGCGTTTCGCATATAACTGGTGTGAATGCTTGGTGTCGGATCGTCCAGCTGTGGATATCCGATGGCATCCAGATTCGGACACTGTCGACTTTCAGCTACATGAGCAGCGGGAGCGGCCTCTTCGTCGTTGTTTGATCTATTGGGTCTCCATGTAACAGTAGAGACGTAGTAATCGAGTTTGTTTGGGCCAGTCTCATCACGGAGCCAACGTTGGTGTCCCCATGTTGCACTTCCGCTCCATCTCATGATCTCAGGCTTGCAATTCTTGGCCGACAGTTCAGTATCGTCTTTACGGCGGAAGACCCAGCCCTCCATGGCTTGCTTGACTACATCATCAATCTGGTCTTTCTTCCGCTCGAGACTCTCAAAGGCCATGCGCAGCTCTGTCAGACTATTTGGAAATCTGCAAAAGTCGACCCATCTAGCATCGAGGTGGAGATTATTATCGCGCTCCCAAAACCACCAGTCGGTATGTCTGATGGTAATCGTGATGACTTTTGGGTAGAAGAACTTCAGGTCGAGGATTTCCTGAAGTCTACGTCCATTCTCCAACATGTACAGCTGAGGAAAGACACGCACATGCTGTATGATTGGCATGGTCTGCGTTTTCGAGATGGCGAGTAGAGTCTTCTGCATAGCAGCCGGAGTGGTCGTGCGTGCGGGTCTTCGGTCCGAGGAGGTAAGGTAGAAGACTTGCTCAGCATTGGTCCATGGTAGAAACCATGCTTCCTGATAGATGCGCTTACATGTTTGCAGCAACACTGTTTCGATCTTACTGGGTGCGAAGTACTCTGGTCGCTTGTAACATGTGGCGTCGTCGTACAACTGAGTCTCGTCTTGGTACTCGGCAAGAGCGTAATTCCAGATGTGGTTTCGAATCTCGCCAGGCAGGATCGAAAAGAGAGCAGACTGGGATTGTTCAAGTGCCGAATTGGTGTCGATCACGATATCGCTCTCAATGCTGGCCATTGTAAACTAGTTGACGATAGCTCTGAGCATGGTAGCTGGTTGAGAGGTGAGGTCTGGCTCCTGTTTTATGGTTGGTTGACGCGAGCCGTGGGGGGCTGCGCTGTTGCCTGATTGACCTGTCACGACATGCGGGAGCCTCACTTTGATATCAACAAGCTAATTTTGAGTCTCGTACGAGTCCATCGCGATGCAGTGGCTCTGACACGAGCGCGCAGCGTGTCTCGAGATTTCTGGAGGCTGAGTGTTCAGATAGAGAGTCGGAGGAAGGTTGGCAACAAAGCGGGGCTGACAAGCTTCAAAGCAAGGAGTTGTTCGGGCGACACAATATCGATTCTCGCTACATGGTTTCATAGCGATACACCTAGAAAACCAACATCTACTGTCGAGCCAAGTTCTATCAATTTACGACTTCATCTTATTGTTGAGTGTCACTTGTCTTTATAGCTGCGAAAGGCGGTCGACTTTGAGTGGTGTTGACATTGTCAGCTGTGTGAGCGGTTGATGACATAGAAAAAGAGACATCACATCCGTAGATGACACAACAAAGCAGGTCTTTTAGTATCTTGTGCATCCTAGAGGCCAAAAAAAGATATGAGGAGCAGGACACAGCTATCGAGGCAGAGGCCGAGTAGAAATGGCAGATATGTGTCTCGAAGCACTTGTTATAGGGACGACCCTGTTTTGAGGCTGCCAAGTCCGAGATGCGGGCTGGATTGGGAGGGTCTCGGAAGAGTCGAGAAAGATTGTCGCCGACTCGCCGCTCTTGTCACGACCATCTTCCCTACCATTCACTAAACCCAATACACAGTAATAATGGTGCGTATCCCTGTCGCGCATATCCATAGCAGTCGCTGACATCTTCTCTCTCATAGGCGCACCGCATAGTAACCCAAGTCTTCATAACTGGCACCCGCGTCTTCGGCCGCGCCGTCTCGGAAGCCTGGCGCCACGCCTCTGCCTCACAAAAATACCAAGCCGCAACCGGAATCAAGGGAAGCACCGGCGGAGCAGGCCTGACACTGGATGAAGCCTGCAAGATCCTCAATGTCGGCCCTCCCAAGGGCGGCAAGGCAAACATGGAACAAGTGACGGAGCGCTTCAAGAAACTCTTCGACCAAAACGATCCCAAGAAGGGAGGCAGTTTCTACCTGCAGAGCAAGGTGCTAAGAGCAAGAGAAAGAATTGAGATGGAAGTGCGAGAGGCGGCGAGGGCGGCGGAGAGGGAAGCAGAGTTGGCGGAAGGATGGAAGCCAAAGGTTTACAAAGGCCGATGATTTCTCCAGTTGGACCTTTTTGCTGAAACCATGGCAGCAATGAGCGTGGCCTCGTCCACCCTCTCGACCCACATACACTGCATATTACGTCGCCTAAAACAGCCTTCCGCCAGGTTACCCCCATCTTCGCCCTCGATCTTTCATACCTCGACCCCTCCGAGGCTACTGTACTATTTCGGCATATCTTCAAAGCAGCGCGGCGTTCATTCGAGATTCCCATTCCTTCCTCCTCAGCACCTTGTACAGATCTCGACATTTTGCACCCTTTGCGCAGCGCAACCTCTGGGCTTTCCACCCTTTCTCTCCCCTCTGTGATATATTGAAAACACGGCGTTGGGAAAACAAAAAAGAAGCAGCACTGAAAGACGAAGGAAGTTTCATGTACATTATTACGATAGCACACACTCTGCTGGATAGCGAGATGTGGAGCAAAATATTTCTGTTCTCTTCATCTGCGGCTCCATACCAACAGTACGTAACAGTGCCTCTCTCCCTCCCTGTTTGCTAGATATCTAGCACGTACGGCTGGAAAGATGTACTAGAGCTTTGAGGAGCAGGCTAGTATCAATCGAGAAGCGACATACTTACGGCTGTCTTTGGTCACATCTCTGGCTTAAAGACCACTGTGCCTTCCTATAGCGGGGAGAGCGCTCTCAGCCTTCGAAGGGGGAGGAACATCTTCCGGCTCGTCAAACCTCCCTAGGTAGTCACTGAACTGACCGTTCTGAAGTAAATGTTCATTTCTATAGTTGATTGTGACCCGCCCTCGCTGCTTCAAGCATTGACGTGGACTTGAACCCTCTGCTGATCGCTGTTTGGTAGTCAGATGTATGGTCAGCGCCTATGAAACTTGCTTGTCCGGGTTTTGTGCAGGAGTCGGGCGCGACTCCATATTATGGGATACAGCGTTGTCTGCTCGTCAGATGATGCCCGATGATACCATCCGTTGACTCAATTCGTGCCCCGACCATTGAAGATCATAATACGAGAGACGTGGACTGAACAGGGTATGATAGATATGGTCCCGTTAATCTCGGATGACAACATGTGATGTGCTCTATCAATGTTTTGATGCGATAAAGCGCTTCGTACGTAGGCGTGGTCAAACAGTTTAACCCACTTTGTCAAAAGAAAGCGAATGGCCGGCAATCCGAGGGTCCAGATTTGACAAACGTGTCATGGTCAAAGTCAAAGTGTCTGGCAAATAAAGCCGATGTTGGACCTCGAAGACTCGGATAGGAACCGACGTCTCCATACCATGGTCACGAGACGGTCAGGCCAGAAGTTGTAAACGAAAACGTTTTCTCGCATGGACCCGCAGGTTGCAGACAGGAAGACGCGAAACGCTTCGACAGTCAGGTGAAGATATAGGATGGACTCACATTGACCATGTCCAGGGGGGACAGACGAGCGAATACGCCGTCGAGCGGGCTGTCCGATACAAGGCGATGCATCGCCAGACATCGAGGCATGCATCTATCTAAAGTGGGGCGGTGATGATTTGTTTGTCGAGCAGGCCAATTTTTATCTGGGGTAGATGGAAAAGAAAATCTTCTGGGTTCAGGGAACAGAGTGCACAGACTGCTGTGTGGTGGTGAGGGGCGTTTGACGAATGACAGCATGGGCATTAAGGTATGCGCTAAGGGCGGTAGTCGGCGATTGGTCAAGTAAAGCAAGGCCCGTTTGGGCGGAGGCCTCCGTATAGCGACGACCCGGACAGGATGACTCTTCACTCAAGGCAGCAATAAGGATGAGAAGAAGAAAGCGTAGAAGACGGGCGAATAGGCACAAGGCACATCAAAGACACGGGACAGCAAAAAGTTGTTGTAGTGCAATAGATTGAGCTCGCGTGGAGAGAAGTTCTTGCTGTCAAAGTTCGGCAGGGCTCTAGCGTCTGCGCCAAGGACGACTGACGGAGACGGACGACTGCCTCTCTAAACATCTTTCTCTTGCTTCCTTCTTTTCCTGTCAATAACTGCTTTCATACAAGACGAAGACGTCGCCCATCACTACCACCCAATCTCAACCACCATTCACATATTACTCGTCTATCACAATGTCACCGGCCGCCGCTGCTCACTAAATCACCCGCTAGGGGGCGCCTGTTCGTTCGGCGCCCTCTAGTCACCGGTCCTTCTCAAGAGCTCTATACCGAGATTTGTATACAAAAAGACAAGACACCACCTACCACGAGTAGTCCAAGCATACGCTTGTCTCTACTCCATTAACCCCTACCAACAACTCACCCCGCGACATTTCTGAAAAGGAAACGGCTCCAAGATTAACAGCCGTTGAGACATACAACGACGAGTCCAAACCGAACGAGGCCACCCCACCTGAGTCCAGTTCGAGTCCATCATCATTACAACATACCCAATACGATATTGATTCAACTCAACAATATACAATGGCCGCTTCAATCAACCTGAACACCATGCAGGCTACACCTATGCCACCCCCAACGAATACCCACAACGAGGCTGCTAGCCAGGGCAGCCCTCGGAAAGCAACAAAAAGCTGTCTGAAAACTCAGACGTCAACAGACGGAGTCGACGAAGAGGCAGATGGCGACAAGAGCGGTCCTAAGGAAGACGCAGACACAAACGCACCTGCTATGAACACACATGTGAACATGTCAGGTGCTCTTCAACGCAAAATGTCGGAGCTCCAAGCTAGTGGCTGGAGACCGCCGGAAGAGTCGTTCGATAGTGACGACGACTACGACGGTGTTGACATGATCAGCAACAGCGATGATGAAGAAAAGAGCATGAGAAAAGCCGAAGAGAAGCTCATGGCTCAGGACGAGGATGACGACGACGAGCACAATGCAGCTCTGGCACGAAGACTTAGTTTGTCCAGCCAGAACAGCAACCAGGCCGAGCTGGCCTATCTCGAGTTCAACGATGACTACCTCCTACGTGACGACCCCTTCTCGCAGCCTTGGCTCGACGCCGACGAGATCATGGCGGCACCCGAATTCTTCCGTGAGGCTACCCCCCTCACGAGGACCGAGAGCGAACAGACTGTGCCTCCACAACGCCGTGTACGCTTCGAAGAGAGAGCCGACATGTCTGATGAAACAGACTCGGACAACGACAGCGACTTCTTCCCCGACCTCTTCATCCAACAAGACCACCTCGACCCCCGCTTCAGACGCTTGATAGAGAAGGATGACGACCACGAGTTGTACCAGGACGACAGTAGCAATGCCGGTTCTGAATGGGACTTTGAGGCCGACGAGATGAGAATGCTACTCATGGAAGAAGAAGAGGAGGAATCGGACTCGTCGGCCGGCTCTAGCGGCTACGAATGTATGTCCTGGCCGCTGACACAAGACTTGACCACATCCAAGCTGACACTTAGTTTCCCAAAGCCGATGACGGCGACACAACTGACGAAGAACCCATGCCTCCCCCGCCAAAGAGAGCCTCTACCGCACCTACAAGCCCAAGCAGTACCCTCGCCACTCCTCGCCCTTCTACTGCAAGCTCCACTCGCATCAAGCTAGCTCTCCGCAAGAACAAGAACAAGCGCACCCCTACACAACCCAAGATGGGGACGTTCATCATAGACCCTCACCGCCCTGTTCTCACCATCGATGGTGTCGGTGTATCGCAAAAGAGCACCTTGTGGCCTGCAAAGATCCAATCTGCTGCCGACAAGCAGTTGTGGGAACGTATGCACATGCTGAGCAACACAAACAGCCGTGCTACTAGTCGTACCACCAGCCCCCGCCAATCAGTTCAGCTTACGCCTTCCGGCGAGAGCGATGCCATGAGCATAGGTGAAGAGAATGACTTCTTCGACTCATTCGGTGCTCTTCGTACCGACCAAGTCATTGGTCCTCCAGAAGCCTTTACTCCGTTTGTTGATGTCACTGCTTCTGGTGCCATCATCCACGACGAGGATGCTGCCATACCTGGTGCTGATGATGAACAAGACCCTATGTGCTTCTTGAACTTTGACGACGACGACGACGACGACGACGACGTGGATGAAGACATGAACGATGAGTCTGATCACGCCGCCTCTCCCACTACTCAATCGTTCTCATCTCAAGTCACCAACACCACATCATCTCAACCTGGTGGCTTTGATCTGCTTGCTCATCTCGACCGCCACGGCGTTGTCGGCTCCTTCCGCCGCAACCAACAGTTCGCCAAACACGTAGGATCTCTGCCTTCTCACCCTGCCCTCAGAGCATCCCTGTCCGAGACGAACGCCATGCAGACCGGTCGTCGCGCTGCAGCCAACACACCCATCACACCTCTCAGAAAGAAGAAGGCAAAGGGTGTTGGAGCACGTAACTCTCCCATGACCACTACAAGTCCTCTCACAAAGAGTCCCCCTCTCAAGAAGAAGGGTCCCGTCAGAGGCGGTTTCAGCCGTCGCTGATCACAATCCACGCAACATGATCAACCCATGTCAGCATGACTTATGAAGCAAACGGCAGGTATTATACCATGGAGTATTGGTGTCATTCTAGCGCGTCACGCGCCTCAAAAGCGACAATTCAAGCCCACAAGCAACAAAACAATCGTCCTATACACTCTGCTTTGACGCCATAGACTTGCTTATAGCAGGCGTTTTGCATGCTTTGCGTGTTTCGAGTATGTTGTTTTTTGAGTTTCGTCCTTTCGCTTTATCTTTTCCTCCGTTGCTGCCTGCCTTTTTTCGTTCTTTTGTTTTGGCGCCGGGTTTGGCCTTTTTTTAAACTCACAGATACCTCAAACAGCAATTTGTTTTTTTGTGTCGATGCATTCGGTACTCGACCTGTTTTTCTCGTCTTCATGTTTTCACCAACCAATCTTTAGCATCTTGTTGCTCTTTTCTTTCTTGGTCTTCCAGATGGATTATTGCACACATGGGCTATTTTGTGTTGTTCTTTTGCGCTTCAAAAAACATTTTTCCCTTGGATGGACTATTTCGTCCAGAATGGAAGAATTTAAAAACATATATGCCTTCCAAGTGCGATGTGATATGCCGGACTATATGATCTTATATACCCTAGCCAAGAGTCTTTTTGACAAAGCTCTTGGTGTAATCGACTGCAGTCTGGTTGCGCCAGTTCGACCAGTCGTGGTTCAGGAGACCCCAAGACTCATCTTTGTCCTCGCCGCCCTCACGAATGTAATAGCTTCCTGACACCACCCACTGCATCCAACCGCCAGGACCACCGGGCAGAGTAGTCAAGTAATCTTCAATGCACTGCGCATAAACACTCTGGCTTCCAGTATTCTGATCGAAACCGAATTCGGTCAACAAAACTGGAGCTTTATTGACGGCAGCCGAGTCGCCTTCCATGGCATTGTATCCTTGGTTTCTCAAGCTTCCCTTGATATCGTTGCAGTTGGTAGCGCTGTTTTGATAGTTGTGCAGTTCCCAGATGATTTTGTTTGCGTAGGAGTGAGAGGATTTGGAAAAGTGAGTGCCGTTGCCAATGTCGTTGCCATTGACGATAGTAGCAAGTTGCGTATCGTAGCTCAAGCCCGAAAAAAAGATTAGGGGTGAAGTATTCGCTTTGTGGATGCCATCGGCTGCAGGGATCATATTCGCATACCAGGAAACCCAGTTATCGCCAGTGCCGTCTGCAGTGGTGCGTAATTCATTGCGCAAAGACATTGAGGTGAAGGCTGGCCATGAGGCGGCGTGGGAGGCCATGTAGGCCAGTCCGCGTTTCCAGTTGGCCACGTTGAAGTAGGTGTCGCCGAACCAGGCGTTGCCGTCTGTGTGGCTGCAGCACCATTCTCCCTTTGAGACGTGGTTATCGAGGTGGATGTAGATGTTTTGGGTGGCTGCTTCTGCGGCTATGGCATCGAAGACCTGTGGAGATACAACAGTTAGATAATGCAGGTGTACAATATAATGTCTCGAGGATCGTATACCTGCAGACGAGTAGTCTTTTCAGTAAAAGATGGATTGGCAGCCAAGACCTGCTTCAAAACTTTTGTTCCGTTCGTTTGTCCCAGTGCTTGGATGAAAGCGGTCTTGAGACTGCTGTCCACATTTCCATAGATATCGTCGATCATCTCAATAGCATAAGTCAATCTGATCACATTCATGCCGAGGGACTTGATCTTGGACATGATGGTCTTGACGGATTGGTATTGTAGACCCTCAGGGATCATGACATCGGCTGCACCGGGCCAGTTGACGCCGGCGTAGTTGACAGTTTGACCAAGGCTGTTCTTGATGTCTCGGCCTGAGGTGGTGAAGGGTGCGTAGGGCCATGATGAGGCTTGCGAGGTGATGGGGTTGGCTTGGGCCAGGGCTCCCAAGATGGGAAGGAGGAAGAGAGGGAGTTTCATTGTGAGAGCAGTAGTATAACACTGGAAGATCGAGAGTATGATAGAGGGGAGAGATGCGTTTATAGATCAGCAGCAAGTGTGCACCAGACCTACTATTACTCCATTGTACGTGCCCTTCTCGTACGTATGTATGCATCTCGCATACTCTCGACGATCATTCTCGTTTCAGACCTATGCAAGAAAGACATGAACGAGTGACCGCCTTCTGTAAGTGGATGGCAATGGAAAGTTACCCCTCTTGATGGACATACAACTCCGGTGTGAATTTTCCCGTATAGAGGAAAGCAAGGCAAATACCAAAGAACGGATAAATAGAGGACAATTTAGAGTATGCGTTGTAGGATGCCAGTGAAAGATCGTCGCCGCTGCATACGAAGGAGAATGTAACCTCGCGAAAGGCGGGGGAGCAACAGGGCGTGAGGTCAGTTAGGCCTCTTCGGTCTTTGTACAGCCGAGTCGAGTTTGAAACCATGTTGGATATTCTATACCTCGGTCAGACCGAACGGGCGACTGATGACCACTTTTACATCCATGCAGGCTTGCATTGTCGCTTGCGACAATGCGAACAGTCTCGCCGCCAGAAAGCGCAGCTTTCACATCTTCCGTGGCGCAATTGGCCAGTGCGTTCGACTGTTATAAGGCTATGGCAGTGAGAAGAGGACCAGAAGACGAAAAACCACACAACAAAAGGTCGAGACAGCATACATACATCCTCGATGAACGTCGAAAGGGCAAGGAACAAACCAAAAATAAGCTCTCCCGGACAGGCTTGAACTGTCAACCTCTCGATAGCTGAGATGCCAGAGGCAAATCTAACAGTCGAACGCGCTAGCCAATTGCGCCACGGAAGATGTGAAAGCTGCGCTTTCTGTGGCTGTTGGATGGCAGGTTGCAAAATTTTGGAGAATACAATGTCTTCTGCGTAACGGGACAATCTCGGCGGGAGTATTTATTATTCAACATTCTGCCACCTCGACCCTCGTTCCAAGGAGGCTTTCTCTCTTCCCTCTTACTATCGATTATCAAATGTCCAGAACACAACGCCCGAATGTGCCACAGTAGTGCAAGCTATCAGGCACATGGATCTCCTGAAGATTAACGACCGAGATCACCATATTCAGTCGACTTCTGCCACATTATGTGCACACTACATGATTGATAGCACTGGTAACAAGGACTGGATTGATTATTCTTTCCAGCTGAGCAGAACCAGATTGACTTTTGCTTTCTCGCTCGGTGGACTTCGATGGATATATCTGGAGAGAAGAGACCATGATCGATGCAAAGTTGTGCCATGGTTCCTCCCCAAATCGGCTTCTGACCGGTCTCTACCCAATGTTCTTCCCCAGCATTTGACTCTGGCTCACTCCAACCTCCATTCTCATCTGATATCTGCTGCGAGAGTCGTCGTCAAGATGCTAAGTAGTTCCTCCAGGGGTGTGTGGTGATCAACCGTGTCTGATCTCCAAAATCTCGACCTCTTGTTCGTCTCCTTCATGATCGAACTCATCTTCGTCGCCACGTTCACCACAGCTGTCCTCGGATTCATTGCTGAGGCCGTTGTCGAATCCCTCGCCAGGTCCTTCATCACCGTCAGAGCTGTCGTTATCCCCATCTGACCCTTGCTGGATCTCTGTCTCGGCCTCTTCCTGTGAACCCTTGAGCTCGTCGGGCATCTCGTTGACCATCATCACAGCGATCTGGTCCAGAAAGCCACGGTTGATCTGCAGAGTTCTGTCAAACTCGTCGTCGACACCCCGTGCGAGGAGTCTACGACTCAGTCGCCAAAGCATCTCGGCCTGTATCTGGTAGTTCTATATCATGATCAGACTTGTTACACCCAGCACTGGACTCGGTTCCCATTCCTGGGTTCGGGAAGATGCACTTACCTTGGCCTCGAGCCAACCATCTTCCGAGTGCGCAAGCAGCGCAAGTGCATGAATGCGCCAAAATAAAGAGAGTCGTGGCTGGAGAAGGAGTGTTTGTAGTGTGGAGATGCAAGCCTCATCGTTGCCCTGTTCAAGCTCGCCGACTGCGAGGCGAATTTGCTCCATTGCAGATGCCATGTTGGTTAAGCATAGGGCGTCTCCTTTGTGAATCGGCAGTGATATGTCGCGGCGACTAATCGTCCGTGCGCTGGTATAACAAACTGATACAAACACAGTCACGGAGAACTACGCTCACTTACCTTCACAAGGGATGAGCCGAAGTCGTGCCAGTCAGAGTAGGTCATAGTAGATTCAGAGACACTTACCAGTGGTGGACTTTTGGCCTTGTCTACCTGACGGTTCTATACTACACTTGACTCCATATCAGACCCCTGAGTGGAGACTGGGTCGTCATGTCGGTGTCTCCAGAGGCACACGGGGATACCCAACACTTCGATTTGCTGCACAACGATGTATGAGCAGAGCAATATCTCTCTGAGATCATACAGACATGTTGTCTCTGGTAGCGTGCCTCAACACAAAGCAAAATGGTAACCAAGGATCTGTAGCCGTTGCTTGGAAGAGATGTGCTTCGAAAAGGCACTTTGAAAACGGTTCGTTGTTGTGCATCTTCCCAGAGGGTGAGTAGTTTCGGGTTTATGCTTCCTGAACGGGTGTGGTTGATACAGCAATGGTAAGATAGGTAGTTTTCATTCTTCTTCGTACACATGCTTTTTGCATGTAGCAAACAGCCTTTCCTATCCACTATGTCTCTGCCTTTCCACACGAAAGAGTCACGGCCATCAATTCTGCCTGTTCACCATCCCCTTTGAATTTGTTTCGTTCGCATCCCCTGAGTTTAGTTGATCTAGTGAGCCAAGTGAGTCTTGTTCACAGCAATATATACACACAACCCGCACCTTCCCAGCCGTTTTCAAATCCAGGGCCTCTTCGGGCTCTATATATATGAACATCGACGTGGAGGCTCTATCTTCCAGCTTCTTCCCCAAGGATGTATCTTGCTCAAGCCGAGAACACGGCCTGGTCTTCCCTGACCACTCACAAAGCTCGCTTGATGTTTTATCGACTTCCTATAACCTGGAAAGTTCTCTTCGGAGAATTGGTCGTCTGGTTGCTGGGTCACCCCGTTACGCCGAGGATGGCAATATATTAACAACAAAGCTGAACACGTCTCTCAGGTTTTTTCTTCCACATCCATCACAACAAACTGGTTTCACGCGACCCTCAGTCACAGACGGCCCTTCACCCATCACCAAAAGCTTCCATCACATCGGCGTGAGGCAGCAAAGAATTGTTAAACTCGCCGATCTCACTCCACCTCCTGAGGAGGCAACCAGCAAAAATGCCAACCTCATCCTCACCTCGAAGTGTAAGTCACTGTTCACACTTCATGAACTATCGTCCTAACAACTTACTCAGCGCATTCCTATCCGCGCATCCAGCTGCCCCACATCTCCCAAACCACGACACTTGCGTCTCTTGCACTCGGGCTTGATCACGATTCCAGAGGGATCGAGACAGAGCAGCGCAGATGTTGTTCTCACTAGAATGCCCAGAGTCCAACTACCAGAGAAGCTGCAAAAGCTCACTACAGACAAAGTGCTGCCGCTGCTACCTCAATCGTCCCAACCAGAGATTGTTTACGACATCACCCCTGAGAGCCCCACTACCCCGACCATCAGAAAGGTATCCAACGACTCGATCGCACAGGAAGAGACTGTAGCAAGCACCGTCCAAGTCAGACCTCCAGTACCTACAGAGACCATGCCCTTCGAAGACCTCACATGGCAAGAAGTCTATATTGAAGACCAAAAGCTCACCAAATGGACCCTGTCTGTCAATCTCAGAACTGCAATGGACCAAACAGAAACCCATCTCGCCGCCATCAGCACCTCACGTGTCAGATACAACTGTCTGATCTCACTCTGTAAGGGTATCTCAGAAAGCAACAACCGACTCAAAGCTCAGTGCTTGCGCGCCATCGACCAGCACCAAGCCCTGGCTCAGAAAGAGACCCAGCTCATCAACGCCAGCAACTTTGTCCTCGAGCACAATGATGTCTTGATCAGCAAATCTCGCGTCTTCTCCACCGACACCACAAACTCCTTCCACAAGCTGCAAGCCGCGTACGAAAACACCCTAACTCACGCAAAAGAAAGCAGCATTGGCCAGCAAGGCAAACGTATTTCCAAGCCTGATGACTTTGGCAAGGAACTCGAGTCTTTGGTCGCTTTCAACAAAGATGTCAGCACTGTGATTGAGAACATCGCCTCGATCAACGGGCTGTTGTGCAGTCACAACAAGAACATTCAGGCTCAGATCGTTGGTCTCGAGGCTGAGATTGTCAAGTCGGCTTCGAAGAGGGGAGCTGGCGGTTTGCGCAAAATGTTGTGTTTTCGATAGAGGGTTGAGAGGTGCAGAGCTGTGCCGTAAAGATTGACGGCCCTTGATGTTACTGATGGATTTTGATCGTTTTACTGTCTTCTCTTTTGAGTTTTTCTTTTTTTTTTTTTTGGGGCTGTCCAATTGTGTTCGAAGAGATTATTGCTGGGGTAGGTGTCAAGTGGTGATGGATGGGAAGTGCTGAGCACACAGACCACAACCAGCAACTGGAGAGTCGCAACTGCTTTTTATTTCGTCCTTTCTTGTTTTTTTTCTACCCTCGCAGTTGATTCTTTTCGCTTCTCCGCTCTTGCCTTTTTTGGTTTCTCCTCGTATCAATTCAAAAAATGCTGTCCATATCACGCTCAAGCCAAAAGAAAGAAGAGAGGCACTCAGGCACAGGAACAAACACTTGAATACTTGCTAGGGGTCGGCATATCCTATCCCATCGTACAAAACCTGGAACACTTTCGTCCCGTCCTCACTCCCTGATCCTACAGATCCTCCATCTGCGATACAACCTCCTTCTGCCAAGTTTAAATCTCATACTCGGCATTAAAAAGATTCCATAGCCCCTTTTTATTCTTCTTCGCCTTGTCACTCATACCATTCTCTTCACGATCCTCTTGCGCTGCATCATCGACGATGTTCTTTCTCGGCGATGAGATGTCAACTCTGCTCTTAGCTGGCGAACCTTTAGTCGGTGAAATAGACATGGAGGGACCTTGAGGGTGTTGGGCCAGCGAACGAATACTTTTCGATGGACTCAGTGAGCGAGCATGGGATGTCGAGGGTGCGGCGGTGGGTGGAAGGGGTATGGCTATGCGGTTGGAAGGAGAGATGAAGAGGGACTTTTCGCACACAGCAATGTTAGCATATAGAGCGCGAGACGGACAACGAAGATGCGGAAGGAGGAAAGCAAAAAAAGCAATAGTGTAGTGAAATGAATTGTGCATACAGCGAATGTAAGCCTCAAGGACCCCAAAGCAAATCTTTGCGCACCTGAGATTGTTGCTGTTGCTCTTGCTCCAGCTGTGGCGAAGTGGCAGCAGTAGCAGCAGTAGAAGACTCAATACCCAACCCCCTCTCACTGGCCTTTCTTCTCAACGACTCATCCGCAACACCATTCCCACTTTCCCCTCTTCTCACGGATTCACCAAGGAAGCCTGCCGTGAGTCCCTTTTTGGAGTTTGAGCTGCTGCGCCGGCTGTCCAGACTCTTGTTAAGTGTCTTTGCTGCTTCGCTGAGATCGCTCGGTTTCTTCATGCGTATGCTGCCTCTAGCATCAACGGATGAACTGGCGACGGTGCTCTTGCCTAGACCAGGTGTGCTGGGAGCACCGGGCTTGTCTTCGGAAGCATGTACTAGATACCATGTCAGTCCGTCAGAGAGGTCGAAAGGGTTGTCGTTCATCTCATCCAGGGAAGCGGCGTCAACGCTGGTTGAACCAATACTGCGTCCATCGAACGATGCGGCTGGTTTCGATAAGTCAACGACACGCTCTTCGATTTTTGATATGCGAGCGACGAGCCATTCACGACGGTTGAGAACCATGCCTTCACGTTCACGCAGGAAGTGATGTGGAGCATTGATGTTGAATGCGGCCCACGCGCCGGTGCGCTGACCTTTGGTTGGCAAGAACAAGGCAAGGTCTCCTTCCTTAAAGTCTCTAACCGCAATCTTGGCAGCTGATTCGGCCTGCAAGCGCGTATTCTTCTCCTTGTATCCACGTGCCTCCTTCTGCCATTTGCGAGCCGTGTACTCGAAATCGCGGAGGCGTTTACCAATGGCCTCGCTGAAAATATCGGTGCTGAAGAGTGATATGTGATTTATGTAGTCAGCATACTGCGACTCTTCCTCAGCTGCATTGCTAGCCTCGGTCCAGTGCAGGAAGGCGAGCGACGAAGCATCATCAGAAGCCGCAGACGTCTTACGTGTCGGAGGTGGTGATGACATCGATATCGCGCGAGTGAGACTTGAAGTCGGGTCGAAAGTGGTGCTGGCGGTGACCTTCGAAGCCCGCTCGATGATCATGTTGCCATCTTTGTGGGCAACGACAAAGCCTAGAGCTTCAAGTAGACGCAGAAGACGTGCATTTTGAGCATACAGGCGTTGCGCGATCTCCTTTGCCCGAGTACCACGCTGTTTGAGTTGTTCTTCCACAGAGGCTGCTGTGGATCTCGCATCATTGAACTGCTTCTGTACCCTCATGATCTCCACATCGAGACCGGCGGCATGGGTCTGAGCATCCGAGAGCTGTTCCGAGAGTTGAATGACTCTACCTTCTTCCTCTGAGACACGCTGGCGAAGTACATCTGCGCCAGTCTCTCCGTCGGCGAACTTTGAGCGAAGCTTGCGCAACTGCTCGCGTTCGTCTTCGAGGCACTTTGCTAGCGACTCGGCATGCGCTTTTTCTGCCTCCATCTCGTCTTGTAAGCGAATGAGCTCGGTTTCGTTGACAGCCTGCTTTGCTTTGGCAGTCTTGAGTTCAATTCTTTGAGTGTTGCCTTGTGACCGGAGCGAATCTGATTCGGACCTTGCGAGTGCGATGGCGTCACTCAACTCTCTAGCATGATCCGTTGACTTCTGTGCGAGGCCTTCTAAAGCAGTAACCAGATCTACAAATTTCTCGGGAGGCGAAGATTCTGGTGAAAGATGCTTGTGAGTGTTTTTGAGAACTCGGACGTTTTCCGATTCGTACTGCTGTTGCTCTTCATGGTTCTTCTCGAGAGCTTGAAGTTGCTCCTTCAATCTTTGGTTCTCTTCCTGCTGTTTCTTCAAAGAGGATTTGGTATCTTCGAGATCGGCGTGATGCCTCGACTGAGCTTCCTCCGCCGTTTGCTTGATCTTCTCAATTTCGGCTTCCAGCGTTTTGGCCCTAGCATCGATACCAGAAACCTCTTGATCACGACTACCCAACAATCTGTCGATCTCGTCCTCGAGCTCTTCGATCCTGTGGCGTGCTTGGTCAAGGTCTTGCTCTAAGACCCTGCGTTCATCCGCAAACTCTCTTTGCTGAGCTTCCATGTTCTGCATGATATCCTTTTTGGTCGAGACAGCTTCTTCAATCTCGCGCTGGCCATCGGCATCCTTCTGCTTTCTGGTTTCGGCGTCTTTTGCGAGATTCGAGTTTTGCTCCTTGGCAGCGTGAAGTTCGGCTTCGAGCGACACTATGCGTTTTGCAAGTCTACCTTCTTCTGCGGCCAGACTCGAGGACGGACGTCTCGAGCTAGTAGTCTGCCTGACTGTTCCCTCCGAGGGTCTGGGTGAAGGCGGAGTTGGGCTGACCATGTCGGAAATCAGTTCGATCGACGGTTTGAAACTATCGCCCGTCGTGACGCGGTTCATGTGGGCGTGGCGGTGAAGGATGTCTTCCAGCTTTCGCACTCGGCTTTTCTGTCCTCTGATCTCTTCTTCTAGCTTGCTGTTTGCTTCTCTGAGGACCTTGTACTCGTCCTCACCACGAAGCATGAGAGATGTAGTCCCAAAAGCAGCTTCGTGCATGCTTCCATTCTTGAATGTTTTGGCGTGCTTGATCTGCTTCTTGGTAGGACGATCGAGATCCTTCAGTGCAGTTGAAAGGGTCTGTACGGTAGAGCTGGGAAACTCAAGGTCAGTCAATATCTGAATGTAGTCTTGCAAAGACTGTCTCTCGACGACAGGCCACTCGAGGTCATCTGCCTGGAGATTGACTTCGACACTCAGAGGTTTTCCTTCGAAAGCTTCAGTTTTGACGACATCATCAACGGACTTCAGCCATTTAGTCCGACGACGCTCTTCCTCTTCCTGATAAGTAGCCATCTCTTCGGCGAGTGTAGCGGAGTCGGACTTCATCTTGTCAGCCCATTCGCGACGACGCACAGCTTCGATCATGAGAGAGCCATAGACGAATGGGAGCTTAGACAGGACGTTGAGTGTGTCAAAGACATGCTCGTCACTCTGCGATATACTCAGAGTCTTGAGGTTCGAATGAACTTGAGCCAAGCGAGACTCGATGTTGGAGAGAGTCTGCATGTGATGTAGGAAGTTTCGAGCAGCGCCGTTACGTTGCTGGACTGTCTGACGAACCAATGAATTGAGTTCGAGGCATAAACCATCTAGACTAGGCAGATAGTTTCTAGTATGCAGCAGAGCCATTTTGGAAGCCCTGGCAGCACTCTGGGCGTTGTTCGGCAAGGATCTTACATGTTCCAAGTCGTTGGACATTTTGTTTACAATGATATCGACCTCTTCGAGGAGCTTAGATGGCTCATCTGTATTGTCGATGCGACTAAGATGAACGGTCTGAACAGCTTCAAGGAGAGCATCGCCATCTTTCGCCGTTGTGTCAAGAGACTGCTGGATGTTGTGGACTCTTTGTGCAAAGTTGGTCATGATATTCTGGGCCGATGAGGCGGCCTGTTTGACGTGTTCGACTTGAACGAAGTGTTGCAGAGTGACAGTAGACTCGTATCCGAACTGGTGCAAGGGTACAACAGTCTGAGATTGGATGTATCGAGCAAAGTCTTGGTTGGCTGGGATGTGGTGTAGAATTTCAAGGTCTCTTTCCCAGCTGTCGACGTGTGCTTCCTGCTGCTTAAGCAATCTATCAAGCCACTCTTCCTCCTGGTGGTATTTCTGCTCTGTAGAACGAACGTGGAGCTGCAGGCTCGTGACGGCGACGTTGACACTCTGCTCGATGATGGCTTGCTCTTGATGATGTCGCTGTGTGCTGTCGACTGAGTCGGCATACTGATCGCGCAGAGTTCTTGCCCAGTCGAGACGGCGACGGAACAGATCGTGCCATGACGGGAGCTGGTCGTGATTGGCGATCGAGTCGGGAGCCGTGTCAGGGTTCAGAGGAGACGGGTCCGGGATGAGCGAGAGGTTTGTGTTGGTGGGAGAGAAGGAACTGGAGTCGAAGACGTAGAGCTCGGACTCGGTGAGCAGTGTCTGAGGTCTCACGGCCTTGCCCTTTGCGGTCAGCAAGACCTGTTTGTTTACGGGGATGTGAGCGGTGTGGTGGACCCAGGCGCGGAGAGCGTCGAGGTTGTTGATCTTAGTCGGCTCGGCGACGATTTTGTTGCCCGAGTGCGCGACATAGATTATTAATGACATGCCCGCCAGAAACTCTTCTTCCCCTCGCTGTCTCTAGGCATGCGATAAGAATGTTGGCCGATGACACTGAGCAGCTTCAGGAAGACGCGACTGACAACTGACTGACGTCCAAGGGTCCATGTCTTGCCAAAAAGTCTGGGGTCACGCCAAACATGTCCCGTGCTGTCATCATGCACCAACATTGTGACCTCAAGTTCACTTGGCCATACCGACATATGTTATCATGTGTTGTAGCACATTTCGGTTGAGAACAACATCATTGCGAGAACACTTTCCGTGTATCATGTCTATAAAGCCCCAGCCATTAGAGTTATCCTCTACCGATGCAAACCCCCAATAACCAATCTATGCATGAATTTTTATCCTAGGTACATCGCCTACCTAGTTCAATCCCCTCCCTCTTCGGAAATAATCATAACTCGTGTCTTCCTGGTCGCTTTCGCCAGGCGTGTGAATCTCTCCCAGACGCAGAGGTCCGTATCCTCCAGGTGTCGGGGCTGGCACTCCCTCTCTCGACATAGGTGCTGCTCTCGACAAGAGATGTTCGTGATCAGCATGGCGACCGGCATTACCGATGTCCATCGAGCGTACACTACTAGCCGGGCTTTGATCACGAAGTGCTCCAGGTGTCTTGTGGTAGCCTTGAGGGTAGGTCGTGCCCATCTCGTCACCTGTTCGAGTGGCTGCAGAGTCACCCGATCCTCTGCGACTGTCATAACCCGTCATGACCGTGCCATCTTGTGTCATCAGTGTTCCGTGCGATCCTCTGCGCACTAAATCTTGAGGTTTGCCGTAGAGCTCTCCCTCTCCTCCGGCCACATCCCTGAACTCTGGGCGGTTCTTATAGAACTCAAAGTCCATCTGGTTCTCGGACACAAACTCGAATGGTGCCGGTGCCTCGCCTCTTGCTGTCTTACCAGGCTCGTCGTGCGACATCGAATCCATATACATGTCCGAGTAGCCAGCCATGGGGATATCGACCTCTGCCGTACGGCCAGAATAGATGGTCGGCAGCAGATGTCTCGATTTTGCCGAGACCATGGGGGTGATGAGGGGCTTGTAAAGTACGGGGTGTCCAAAGCGAACGCCGACACGGTCTGTACGCTTGCTCTTCAACTCGGCTGCGTTCTCAGTGTCCGCTGCAGTCACTCCAGTCGTGTAGAAGGTCAGCTTGTTATCAAAGTGGCTTGCGCACCACCACTTGAAAGCCAACATGAGAACGGGTAGAGGTGCAATAGCACAGACCTTGGGCAGCCACTCGGTGTAGCCAAAAGTGGTGTTACCAACGCAGACCAAAGCCACCAGAGCATCAGACAGGATGGTGAGGAAAATGTATCGATTGAACAGGACCTTCCAGAATTGACCCCCAGACTCCGTCTTGGTGATGAAGACGTACAGAAGCAGATACTTCTTCAAGTACGAATCGACCCAGAAGTAGAAAGCCGCAACAGGTAGCACCAAGGGCTGAATGTAGGCGAAACATAAAGCGACCGTCGAGTAGAACAAAAAGTAGTTGTAGTATCCAGCGTAATCGAACTTTGGCGGCGCACTTAGTTCGATCAGCTCTCGGGGAGTAGGGTGTAAGAAGTGACGAGAGAACGATCCCCAGGCAAGGTTGACAAATTGAGCAAGATCGACAGCGGCACCGAGATTGCGTTGGAGAAGCCAGGTAATCCAGTAGGTCGAGACACCGTTGAGCGCTGTCATACCCTTTTGCAGCAGTTGGCCATCTTTGATAGCAGACCATGCGTCCTCTTGTTCACTGCTTTTAACGACGGCAAAGATAAAACTCGAAATGGCAGCGAAGAGCGAGAACAGGAACAAGTTGTTAAACACGAAGAAAGTGTAGAGCTTGTGCATGACGTGACGTTCTCTGCTGGTCTTGGACAAGTCACCCGCATTGTTGCTCAATCTTCGGAAGATGACGGGCAGGAAGTAGTAGAAAAGAGACGTCAAGGCGGGTGCCAACACACCCTGAACGACAGCCCACGTCTTGGGATTGCGTTTCAACTCGGTTCCAAAGGCATCCCAGAATCTGCCCAGATTGGCCAAGTTGGATAGGAAGATGGCGATGAAGGCGTTAGGGACAACCCAAACAACAGTCAAAACAGCAACCCAGATGTTGTTGACGAAGGTATGCCAGTTTCTTTGTTTGCTTGTCATTGGCAAGTTCTTCCAGATGAGATCATGAGGCCTAGGGGCGAGACGAATCGAAGTCTTTTGAGGACCCTTCTTGCGTGTCTTGTATGCGACGGTATGAGCATCGGCAATGGACTCATAACTAGCGAATCCATAGGACATGGCGTTTCTCTTGTCAATAGATTCTCTGACCTCCTTGATCTGCATTTCGAGCTCCTTGATGCGGGCAGTCAAGTATTCGATAGCATCGACTTTCTGGCCCTTGCGATAGGTCTGGTCGGCCTTGTTCACGGAGCATGTGGGTCGTTTTGCTGGTAGTTTATTAGGATTGGACAGATACTTGGCAAGCACCGACTCGAGATTTCTGACGGTCTCATTGTGCTCGTCGATGAGTTCTGGCAGATCCTTAACGTTGCGTGCAATGGCTGTACGCGGGTTTGAGCCGGTGTCCTTGGCTTCTGTAACAATCTTGACAAGTCCCTCGTCGGTTCTCAGACCTCTAGGAATCTCGGTGATGAGAAGGGTACGAGAGTGTAGACTCTTCTGGTACTCGGGACTGTCAAAGTAAGCTCTGCGCAGGCGAGCAACGCTCTTGTAGTTGCGCCAGAGGAAAAAGGCGATGGTGAAATTGGCGAACCAGGCGAGCAGGACGTAGCCCCACAGATAACGGCCTTGAACGCCCTGGGACGTCAACTGGATGAAGAAGTTCTGCGTGTCGGTGGAGCCGATGGAGCTGCGGTGTTCGTACAGATTGATGGGGACAAGGATGGCCAGGCCGACGATAGTGATGCAGGTAAAAATGTTTCGACACATGTTTGCGAAGCGTAGGAATATGGTGGCGTCGAGTCCGACCTTGTCGACCAATTCCAACTCTTTTGTCTTTATCACGGGTGCGATCCAATCGAGGACACCCTTCCCGACCGGCGGTGGGGCGTGTTTGGAATCCGCATGTCGTGAGCGGGGAGCGTAGACGACACTGTTGTACGGGCGAGCGAAACAGAACAGGCAGGCGATCAAGGCAGAGCCACCGATTGAAGTGCCCAAGGCAGACCAGAAGGCCGTTTTCTCGATCTGCAGAGGAGACAGTCAGCCACACACGAACCCTAGCCATACATGTGAGCGAGCACTTGCCGACTGAGCAAAGGGATCCAACAGCAGATCAACAAAGTCATCAAGCTTGTCGCGGGCGAGCAGATTGGCTGCTCTTGCCGGCAGGTCCATGGCGACCGGTCGCGCTTAGCGGTATAAGGCTGAGATATAGATGTGCACTGCTGGCCAAACGCAGGTGGCTTGCAGCATCAAAACAGCAGCGAGTGTGTGCAGGAGAAAAATGGACCCGTAGTCGAGAGGCGGGCGTATGCTGCTTAAGGCCGCCGCGAGTCTGAAACGATTGAAGACAGTGCTGCGACGAGTAGGACAAAGAAGTTCAGACACTCAACACTTTGTGATGTGCGCGTGTGACAGCGGAGAGTTTGGTACAAAAAGACAAGTCAGAACCAGGAACAGGAAACAGAAAACACAATCCCAAGGCACCAGGGCTGCCAGCGAGGTCATCACTCGTTCCAGATCTTCAAGACCCTTCCCTTCACTCCACGGTCCATGACGAACCCCAAAAATGTTGCTGCCCACCATTCATCATTTCATCTGACGCGCGGTTCTCTAGCGGCCCGTGTTATCAGCCACTCCCGCTTCGTTATCCGACACGCGCCGTATAACATCTGTCCTTGACTTTGCTGCTGCAACATGCTTTTGTGAAAACGTGTACCTGGAAACCCTGCGGCTTAATTTCCACTGCAACTAGGTTAGGCTGTGTCTCATGCTCATTCGCTCGCTCATGAACCATGTGTACCATGACAGCCATACACTTCAACAGATCGTATAGATACTCATCTGTTCGATAGCAACATCACATTTGTTTTGTATCTACATCCATACCCCCAGCTTCCCAAGACTTCATCGGCTTCTATAAAAAGAAACACTCCCCAACATCCAGCAACCGTACAACGAAACAAGAGCTCTTCGGCCAAACCATGCGTCTCTTTCAGGTCTTTCTAGCCGTCGGGGCGTCCCCATGAGTTCCGCATGGCTTGAAGCCTGTTGAAAAGTCTCGAGAAAGGGATCCTCCTTCCTTCTTTGTCTATCCTTTTGTCGCTTTTCAGCCCTTGGCGTGCATATAGGCGTTTTCGTGCTTGCCGATTGGCTCGGAGCAAAAGATTTCTTTCTTGTTGTCAAAGAAGAAAAGAACACCACACGCGACCGACGCATGCGAGCAGTTCAAATCAGCCGTTTCTTTTGCATGCAAGGCACCAGGGGAATTCACAACATCACTGCATTTCTTCTTTTCCTTGACTCATCTCTTTGTTGACATTTCTGCGTCAATTGTCTTCATTGCTGCTGGGCACGAGCGCTTGACACTTTGAAAAGATCGCTCATGCGTGTCATCGTGCATGCCTGCACCCAAACGGTGCTGTGTGGCTGTGTCGGGAAGAAAGAAGAAGAAAGATCGGTGCGTTCATCGACAGGAACAGCCGGATACTTGACCATCCGTGCTTGAAGATCACTTCAGCTTGCCATGACAGCATCAAAAGTAGCTATAAAAGTGCACAATGTAGTTGACATATCAACACTGTCCAGAGAGAGATCGTAAAGTCTTGGAATCTCGTCAAAATCATTGAGTCAAATTGTCTGAATACCCATGGTCCTATCTCCTCGAGACCCGATAGCTTCATCGTTCGGGACCTGAGTGTCGATGCGACCTGTGTATACCTCGTGCTTCTCTCATATCTGCGACGTGAGATGATCCAATTGCTCGTGCTATCAATCATCATCATCATCATCATCATCATCATCATCGTCCTCAGCATTATCAGCATCATCCTCCGAATCCTGCTCGGGAGTGTCCTCCCAAGGATGCTCGACCTGATACAACCATATGTAATTGGCGAGCTCGGTGTCAGACTTGACGACTCTACTGAAGAGCAAAGGTTCCTCCTCGAGAATCTCTTGCAGACGAGCAGCGATGTTCAGTTTCAACATCTGGCGCATTTGCTCATCAATCTCGATTTCTTTGGGCGAGTTCCAGAAGACCATGCGAGTCAGCTTGAGTAGCGAGTTGGTGGCCAAAGGAGACTGCACCTCGGTTTTGCGGTAGATGAGTTGCTGGAGATTGGTAAGATCGAATTTGTGAGCGATGTTCCAGAGCATGCTTGCTGTTTCTGCAGCTTCGTCGAACTGGGCAGCACTCTTGACGTTTTCGAGGTAAGGGTAGGCGCCTTGGACCAAACGAGGAGTGTAATCGGCTGTTGTAAGCCATGATACAAAAGACTCAAATGCTGCTGGATTGAGTTTCTTGAAGATCTCGTTACGGATCTCGAAGCCATTGTTGTTGTCGCCGGTGATGTACTTCATGATCAAAGGATACTTCTGAATAACGGCTCGATCCAGGATGAAGAGTTTGTTCTCGTCGCCAACGTAGACGTTGACCTTCAGAGGGCTGCGAACGGGTCAGTAAGGGGGCCATGATAGTGAATTAAGGGGACTCACTCTTTGACAGGCTCTACAACTTTCAATTCCTCAGGGGATGGTTCGCCGTTGCCCTTCTTCGTCATAACCAGTTGGAGCTGCTTTTTTGTGACATAGTCTTCTGGAATCTTGTGCTTCTTCCCGCTCGGCTTCCATGGAGTGGCAGCCGGTTTAGAAGCTGATTTAGAAACTGGCTTTCTGGTGGGAGTGAAGGTTGATGGATGAGGAAGATCGACGTCGCTGTCGTCGTCTTCACCGAAGGGAAGGGAGAAACCAACTTTGGATGATGCTTTGATTTTCTTGGCGGGTGTTGAGCTGGGAGTGGGTAGACCAGGACGTTTGAATGCTGAGGAGTACGGGCGTTTCTTAGTGATCGGAGTGACGAGGTCGTTACCGTAGCCATTATGCTTGTGTGGCTTGACATCGCTGTCATCGTCGTCACTCAAAACGATAGGCTCATCTTCGGACGCCAGATTCATGGCTGCTTGCTTGCTCCAGACCAACTTGTGGTAATAGTCCAGGTTCCTGTACTCAAGAGCCTCTTGGAAGGCCTTTCTGCGCTCGCCGCCGAATATCTCAGGTTCGCAGGGATCGAAGCCAGCCAGTTCGTCGCGATTGCGCCATACGAACTCGTGTCGTCTGAGAATCAGTACGGGTAGAGCTTGCTTGCTTGGCCTGGGCTCAATCAAGCCGTCAGGTACAGAGTGATCGGGGAAGACGAAGCATGGCCATTCGTGACCTTCGAACTTGGTAGTGCGAGTGCTCTCGATGACCTCGTCAAAAGGTGCCATGGCTGTGTATAGTAGTGGTAGAAGGTAGGAGTAGACAGCAATTACAGATGAAGACGGAGTGGTGAGTAGAGGGGAGAGAGAGGATGATTGCGCGAGGACTCATATACTACCTGATTGACTGAGTAAGATGAATCAAGAGGCAGGTGAAGCCAAATCCAGGTGAACTCATTGGAGTGAGGAGTAATTGGAAGGTGAACGGACTTGACCTTGAAGCGAGGAGGGTTTGAATGTTCACTGCAAAGGAAAAGCGACTTGATCTCTCTGGACTCTGCATGAAGACTGATTACATTGTGCATTTCGATGGTATAGATGGGCAGGAAGCGTCGATGGGGAGTGGCTCGGTCGAAGTTGACGGTCACGTAGCCGAACGCGAAGCAGCGAGACTGACGGCCAGGGATAGTGACAGATGGTTTACGAAGCGACACTTCCAATACAGCAAGGCAAGACTTGAAGTCAGTTGTGCGTTCCGACCGGAGCACTCAAGCAGAGAATTGGTGAAGAAGGGAGAAGAAGAAGAAGGAGCGGTGGGTTTCAGCAAAGTTGGAGACGGCACGGGCTCCGGCGAGACAAGCAGCGGTGACGGAGCAGTCGAGGCTCCCGAATAGCTGAATAGACAGCAACAAACAAACAACCTCTGTTGCGACTTTTCTTTCTGCGACGAACATCCTCAGTTCCGATAGACTTGACCCACACCAACCACGCAGACATGGCCCACAACTTCGCACCCTACCAAAGCAGTCCTCCCGAGTCAACACGCGCTCTCTCACCACCCCTCCGCACATCGACCTCGTCACCTCGTCCTCAACAAGTCAGCCGCGCCCAATCAAGCATCGAAGATCCATGGGCTGCGTCCCGTGTCTCTCAACTACCCTCGCCCTCGGCCTACGATGACCTCGAAGCCGCCGACACAACCCAATCCTCACGCTTACGAGGAGATGGCTACTATGTCTTTGAAACGAGCTTGGGGATTCGCATGGACATAGAGGCTTGTCTGCCATATTTACTGCTACCACCTGCTGGAGGTGTCGCCATGTTGATCTTTGAGAGGAAGAGCGATTACGTACGGTATGCACATGCCCACGCTACGACAGGTGGAATTGGAGCTTGAGAGCAGTGTGCTGATACATACCCTTAGATTCCACGCCTGGCAGTCGAGTCTGGTCTTTGCTGCCTTGTTCGTCTTGCATCTGCTGCTTTCCTGGTCGCGTTTCTTGTCCTGGTTGCTTTTCATCGGCGACCTTGGCTTGATTGTGCTCCTTGTCTTCAGAGCATATAGGGATGGTGAGATGGCCTACACTGCTTACTACTATCTCTTGTGCTGATCCTTACAACTAGCCGAGACTCTTGACCGATTCGAGCTTCCCTTCTTCGGCCGTCTGGCTAGCACCTACGTCGACCGCGAATAGCCTGCCTCCACCCCAGACCGACTCTTTCCATGAACATATCCTCCTCTACAGCTTGTTATGAACGATACCCCGACTTCTGCATACGCCGCATCCTCTTCTTTTCTTGTCTACTCTCCAGCTTCGTACAAATGAGCCCTACCGTCATTTAATGCCATACTTTTCTTGCAATCCTTAGCTTCGAAATTACCCGAGCTACATCACCTTACACTTGTCTGGATTCACATCCTGATATCCTCACGGCGAGAACTCGGCCAGACAGACATGGACTAAAGACGCTGCTTTGCGTCTTATACTCAACCCCGATCATTATTCAACCGAGGCGAAGAAAGCCTCTTCGCGGCACTCACAATCAAGTAGAAGTGTCAACGTAAGCAAAACTGGACGTGTAGACAGACTCATGTAGACAAACACACATTTGGGAACAAATGCACTCTTGTGTGTATTACTCTGTACGAATCTTGCTGTATACCTACCCTTGCACCACTCAAAAGAAACACGACCCTCTCAACCCTGCTTTTGTATTTCATCTCGTCTCTCTACCTCATCCTCTGCAATCACACTTGTTTTCTCTACATACCATGCCCAATGGTAGCAGTACGATGTCTCTCATCCATATCCCCCACAATCTCTTGTCCATCCTTGACAACCACATTACCCTCTTGAGGCGCACGACCGCCAAGATGCAACGTGAGACTCTCTTCTTGTCCAGTGGGGCTTCGAATGGTGATGTCTTGCTGGCCGGTTTGCACGCTGGTATCTGTCATTTGGGGTTTGGCTCGAGACGCTTCGTGCTGAGCAGCAGTATCTTGGTGAGTAGAGGCGGTGGTGCCTTGGACGGTTTCCGAGACAGTCTCAGAGACGTAGTTGACGGCATTGTTGACGGATTGGCTGAGTTTGGAGACGATGCTGTCGTCGGGCTGTTCGGTGCTGCTAGATTTGGGGGCTGTAGATGTGTTTTCAAATTCCTCGACGTCGCGCTTGAGTCCTGTTGGTTCCCTGGTATCTTGAGTGGCGGTTTGACCTGGAATAGGCACTTCGGACGAGCGTTCAGCCATCGCAGGAACAACGTCCGTCTCGCCGTCGGCAGGTTGCTCGCCGTGCTTTACCGAGTCGGCTAGCGCTGCTTCGAAGTCAGGTTGAATGGCTGTTGCACGCTCCATGGTCGCTTGTGACAGCTTGGGATCAGGTGTGTCGCCGATGTGACCAATGGCTTGAGCGGGAAGACCAGAGAGCATGGTCTTCTCGTCGTCAACGGCTGAAGATGAAGAGGCAGGGGCAGCACCCTCGGTGTTTGCTGCAGCCACCTTCTCCATCTCCTGGGCGCCCTCGGCAAGCGAAGGAGGAAGTTTGTCGGTGGGTACTGACAAGTCTCCGTGATCGTTGATCTGGAAGATGGTAAATGTAGTACCGATGGACAGACTTGATACCCCTGACGGAGCAGCAGGAACGGCGGCAGACTCAGCAGCAGGTTTTCTTCTTGCAGGACCTCTAGCACGGCCCTTGCGAGCATCAGCGAGAGGGGCCTTTTCCTCAACAGGTGCCTCGGCAGGCTCTTCGTGCTTGGGAGGAGCTTGAGGGCCAGAACCTAGACGTGCGTTCAAGTTCTCAAGGAAGCCAGCCTTGAGTGCGGCGAACTTGTTGTTTGCTGGTCTTGCAGGAACTGCAGGCTTGGCTTTGACGGCTGGAGGCGACATGCCCCTGTCGGTCGACGCACCATCTTGTGTTTGAGCGCTCTCCGTCTTTGCAGGTCTGGCTGGGACCTGAGGCTTGGGTCGCTCGGGAATCACAGGAGCTTGGTTACCGGCTGGTCTTGCGGCAACCTGTGGCTTAGCACTCTCCTCCGGTTCGGGGGTTGACACCTCAGAGAGCTTCGAAGAGCGGATGGGACGCTGAGGAATAACAGGTGACTTGATTTCAGCAGGACTTGACACATCCTCGTCTTCCATCTGTGGCGTTTCAACAGTGGTCTCAAGCTGCAGACTGTCAGGTGAGTCTTCCCAGATATCTCTGCTGGGGAAACGGTTCTTGTAAGCAGGGCGGCTCATATCGTCGGCAACACCAGGCTTGAAACCGGTCTTGGCCATCCTTTTAGCTTCTGCCGATAGGAAGTCGGCACGATCTTCAGGGTTATTACCCTCCTTTCGTGCCTGTTCCTTCTGCGGAGGCTCGAAAGTAGCAGAACTTGTGAGATCTTCGGGCTCCTGGGGACCAGAGACCTCAGTCTGGTACTGCAGACTCTCGGGAGTATCCTCCCAGATATCTTGGCTAGGGAAGTGGTGACGAGCCAGATCGGGACGCTTGAGCTTGTCGGCGACAGTCAGAGGCGGCTGGGGCTTGTCGTCGTCTTCAGGGAAGAGAGGCTCATATTCCTCAATCTCTTCGAGTGGCGTGCCAGTACCAGAAGGATGAGCCTCACGAGACTTGAATCTTGCCAATTCACCTCCACTGCTAGTTCTGAGCTTCTCACCGCTGCGTCTGCGGGTTGGACCAGTGGCTGAGGAATCCGAGGCATATGCATCGTAGTAATCGTTGCCCTTTCTCTCCTTGGAAGGCGAGACAGCGGGCTGCCAGTAGACGGCTTCAGGGTTGTTCTTGGCGACTTCATCAGAGGCCAAGATGGGAATGCCGTCACCATCTTCGACGACCCAACCACCACGCTCAGCGGTATTCCCTCCCTCTGGGCCAAGATCCACAGTGGGAGGATCGTAACCGCCACCGTGAATCTTGCTGTGACGATGGGCTGGGGGGTCAATGTGAATGACCTCGTCCTCGGCCTCGCTTTCTAGAGCATTGTCGTTCTGCGCAAGCTCTTTCTGAGTGAATGACTCTTTTCTCAGGGGAGACTCAACTGCGGGTGGGGCACCACTCGAAGGGCGCTTGCTCAGACTTGACAATGGCTTGGGTGAGTTCATACGGGAGGTGTAAGCTTCGGAAGCCATGAAGCCAATTGACTCGTCTGGGGTGCCAATGGCAGCAGGAGAGGAGCCTGTACATGACTAAGTCAGCTTGACCAGTCACTCAGACTCAGTAAAAGGATAGCTTACCCATGCCAAGGCCGCGACCAGAGTTCTGGTGGACCAGCTTGTTGAGGTCGTCACTGCTCAGAGCCCAGTCGCCGGGAGCGTGACCAGGATCATAAGGACGATGTTCCTTGACGAGCTCTTCGGGGTGTTTGGCATACCACGCCTTCTCGAATTGATCCGTGGGATCCACGCGATGGCCGTGCATACCGTAGCTACCGGGGGGACCATGGAAGTCCTGGCGCGAACTACGCTTGCGATGGTGGTTACGAGGTGCGGCATCATTGAAGGCAATACTCGGTGTACCAGCCTTTGACGGAGTCGGAGTAGGGGCCTGAACGTCACCAGCGTACTTCAACATGGGCACCTGGAGACCAATCTCGGGAATGCCGTGTTCGTCCTCCTCGGTTGGCTCATGAGACAAGGACAGGTTGGAGCGGCTGAAACTCGCCTTTGCCCTCAAAGGATGTACGGCGTCCCCAGGCGAACCAATTCCATGGGATGCAGCCTGACTAGAGTCGGTACGGGTCACAGTCTGGATTCTAGATTTGGCAGTCGATTGGGGCACAGATGCCGTAGGAGCATGCATAGGCAAGTCCGGAGAAATGTTTCTGTGCTGTGCAGCAGCAGCTTGTTCTTCCTCCTGGAGGTTGGCATATTCACTGCCTTCCTGGCCGATCGAGGGAAGGCTGACACTTGGGGGACGAGGAGGGAGGTCCTGGGCCGAAAGATTCTTCTGATTGTACATCTTGCCAATGGCGTTGGGACTCGGAGCAGGCATGTCGTTCAGAGGGGAACGGGTGTACTCTCCTCTCATGGGAGAGACAGATCTGTCGTTACGACGCTGAGGACGAGGAGGAATTACTGGAGCATTCATGGTCGGATCCGGAGCTCTCTCCTGGGTGCGAGCTGGACGCGGAGGCACCTTTGGTTGTTCGGCGCTCATATTGGGATCAGGTGAGACGATAAGAAAATGTTGGACGCAAGGAGAAACTGCAATAACTCATCAGTCCTGCTGGCCTTGCGACCCGAGTCTCTGTGCTAAAGGGGGTGTGGGCATAGATAGATAGGTACTACAAAAAGATGCACACGTCTCATTGGCCCACTGAACAGTGCCCTTCTCAGCAGCAGCAGATGCTCGCCAATGAGACTGTCTGCCACGCTGTATCCGGCCATGTGCGATAAGCCAATGCATGCATGCAAACTTACCACGCTGGAATCAGTAGGCCCGAGTATGGTCGCTATCGACTTCTCAAGACCGAGGTACGGGGTATGGGTATGGGATAAAACGTGTGTGCTGTTGCTGTCACAGAGCAGGAACAATTGGGATGACTCGGAAAGAACACAAAGACTAGTGAGACGAGGACAGTAGGAGAAAACAGGTCCAAGTTGGTGACGAAAGTCTGAAGAGACAACCTGAACTGGCCCCCGATCGGAATCGACGCTAAAGGCGTGACGAAGGCCCATTAGCTACACCCGCCATGTCATTGGCCGCCCGCATGGTCACGGTACAGAGGCATGCCTGAGATAATTCCACTTGCAAATATCCCTCATCGTCTCTACAAAGCCCATGCCGTCTTATCTCTGGCTTACAAGCATACAAACACCTGCTTGACAACACGTTGCCAGGCAGGCAGCCCGACATGGAAACGCTCAGATGCCGTTCTGGCTCAGGCTGGCTGGCTGGTTGCTCATGATGCGCTTCCTCGGAACATCCAAGCCACAGTGCCACACCTGCCGTCCCCGCGGTCACAATACAATTCGAGAAGACGGGACCTTGGAAGTTGGAGCCCCTCCATTCAGGTACATGTTCGCTAAACAGGTTCCTGGTGTCATGCTTATAAACTTGCCCTTTCGACCGTCACTTGGTGCCTAACATGTCACGGCATCATCTGAGTTCATGACAGTCTGAGAAACTCTCGTATGCCCATCTTCGATCGCTGGGTGGTATGACCGTGGAACCATGACCTTTTCCCCCATCTGCAATGCGCCACGCACTGCTGTCGTAAGCACTCTTCTCATGCTGTTACTTGGCAGCTACTTGACTGTATCACTTGATGTCCTTAGCGCTTGTGCATACCACCTGCAATTTGTACATGTTGACGATCTCAGCCAAGCAGACCTGCTATCACCACAGATGCAGTGAGCACTCCCATGTTAATTAGATATCTTCGTTAAAGGCAGTCTTCGTATAAATACACCTGATCTCTCTGTCGAGGCGATCTTTTGCTGCATGCTCGACACATCTCTTCCAGGTGCATAGCAGCACCAGTGCTGTTTTGCGACCGATTTTCTTGGGTGGCTGTGCCATCTCCGATTCCCATCTTTACGTATTCGCAAAATGATGCTAGTCTGTAAAGAGACACACTAGACAATCATTTGAGCGACACCATGACCACCCAAAGTCTTGCTTCCAACGAAACCTTGGCCCTTAACACCAGCCAATGCGTAGAAGAGTGCTGTGATAAGCAGGACGATGGCGGCGACGATGAGACTGGTGGTTTTGACGGCGAGCGAGATCCATTGGATGACACTCATGGCAAGGTAGATTGCGGCGCGCATGTAGTTGGTCTCGAATCGGCGGATGAATGTATCAAAAGTGGACGAGGTCGGGCAGACGCGCAGGAGGAGAGGCACTTCGACAAAGAGGATGATGAACGAGCAGATACTAGGCATCATGTCAGCGCGGGTGAGCATCACACGTCTGGCTGCTACTCACAGGCATATCACGGCGAACAGGATGACCCAGTGGAAGAGGAAGATGTTGCCAATGCCGAGACCGAAGCACAGCACCATGCTGATAATACCAGCCCTGTTGTATTTGATTAGTGAATGCGATCGCTGTTCATGCTGCGTGGTGGATGCTACCATTGACCGTATATACCTATTCGCGAGTCAGCGCGTCTGTCTGGCGGTGTGATTTATGTATACGACTCACTGAAGTTACGCGACCGGAGCTCTTCTGCGATAGTCATCTTGTCAGTCTAGCAAATGCTGAAGCTGGCGGGCTTTGTATTGTCGCGACGGCGGAATTTGTATTGCAAAGCTGATAGTGAAGCTGTCTTGTTCGGAATAGGTGCTGAATGGCTCGGACCAGGCTAGTAGCGTTTGGACGGTGACGAGAGTCTTGTAAGTTTGATTTGGGTGTCGTGCAGCGTCAAGTTCACAGAGATAGGGTCAAGGACCTGATGGATGGAGGAAGAAGGTCTTGTATTGAGGAGAGCGAAATGCAGTTGCCTACGAAGAATGAGAGCAGGGCGGTTGTGATGCGCGTCGCGCAACAGCAGGAACGACCGGCGTCAAGACCGACAGCTTTCCCCGACCGACCTGCTGCCAAAAACAGACCACTTTCAGGGTCCCGCTAAAGTCTGATCTTCGTGTCTCATGTTTGAAAGTGCACTGCCATCTATACCACAAAACACCAAAGACACTGCACTGCTCATTTCGCTACCGAGTTCCACAGGGTCGGCATGTGCCCTGTTGGTCTCAGCGCAGAATGTATTGTCACGTAGATGGTGCTACGGTCTCATCAGTGGACGCGATATCTTGAAAGGTCGAGAGTCGTAGAGATCGTTGGCCTGATATTTTATAACTATCGGCTCATCAATTGGAGTTCCCTCCTTCGCCCGTCGGCCACATGGCCTGCTGTGCATAAAGAAGATCGGGGTTATTACATGACACAGGTGCATCTTCTCGCTCCTCCTGTTTCTCCCATCATACTGGCTAAACCGCTTATGCGGCAGCGTAGACGAGTCTGAAGATGTCGTTGAAGACGTAGTAGCTGCCGGCACCGTCGGGCAGGAGCTGGAACGACTGGGTGTAGCTCATGGGTCTCTGCTCCTCGTCGACCTACGAAGTGGGGTGGTCAGTCTTTGCGAGTGTGTAATCGCAGCCTGCGGTCAACGTACAAGGAGTCTTCCGGCAACAAGGACCAAGATACCACCAGCGTCGTTGGAGGGCTGAGCGTCCAAGCTGGAGACCTCGTGCTGGACCTTCTCGAAAGGCAGGTTCTGTGTGATTGCTCAGTCTCTCTCTTCTGTATGCTCAAGGACCAGGATTTGCGACACATACGACGAGCTTCTCGGTGATGCCAGCGGCGCCTTGAACTGGCGAGTTCTCGAAGGTGAGCATGGAGTGGTCCTTCTGTGTGTTCCAAATATATCAGGACATGCTCTTCTCTCTTGGAAATCATAGTTGGTGGTGGTTCCGTACGTAGAGGGCACCGAGTGCGGGGCGGTTCTCATCGAAAGTCTTGTAGTAGAACTGAGTGAACTGCTCTGTAGGTCGCATTAGACTCGAGGCGGCGCAACACAAAGCTCAGGGTCGGTAATACCAGCGATGTTCTGGAAGTCTGTTCAAGGTCTGCGTCAGCCATAGTCTTTGTTGCGCGTGTAGGCCCAAGGCGCTTAGGAGCAGGAGGAGGGGGAGGCTCGCTGTCCGAGAACACTCGAGAATAGCGCAGACTTACCGGACATGTTGGCGGATTGTGATGTGAGGTGTATAGCAAAGGATGAGAGTAACAAGAAATAAAAGTATGCGGCTTGTGGAAGCTTTCGACCTGTAGCAGAGCGTCGTCGACTCTTGTGTTGTTGGTGGGGCTGTCAGAGCCTCGGCGAATTCCGTCACCCTATATAAGGCCCAACCAGCTTTTCCCTTTTTCATTTCTTCACGACTGCGCCAAACATCAACAATCGCTGCTGTCATCGGTTACAGGCACCGTGACAGCAGCTGTATCGACGCTGTAAGTCTGCTTCTCTCATCACGTCCCGCACATGCTCTCTATGATGAACACCACAAACGATAACTTATGACTTTCCATGGGCCCTCCTTCGGGACGCAAACCCATGGAGCCTCAAGACCAATGGACTTCAAACACCCACTTGAGGTTTCGTGATTGTCAACAAAGCTCAACAGCCTGATTCACAGCACAACATTCGCCTCTTCAATCATTGTTACTTGAATTTCACAACATCGACTAACATTGTAAAGTGTACAGGCATCATCATTGCAATCATAGGGATATAAATCTAGCTAGCCTTTTAATCATAATGCAAGCTCATTGCTGCCTTCCCATGTTTATGCACCAACCGACTGGAAAGACTTGACTGTGTCCTTGATGGAGTCGTGAAGTGACTTGAACTGAATGCCGAGGACCTCCTTGGTTCTGCTGTTGTCGTAGCTGTAGACGCCATCCTTGGGGTAGTCACCACCAGGAGTGCTGTCGGAAGGCAAGTCCTTGGTCTGAGGGTACTCTTTCTTGATGATTTGGGCAATCTCCTTGTTGGAGAAATAGCCAGCAGTTACGAAGAAGCGTTTGTTCTTGGCTGCGTCGACCTCAATCGCCTTGACGTGAGAGAGTGCAAGATCGCGGACGTCAACCCACAAGAAAGTGCCAGTCTCAGGGATCTCATCCTTGGCCTTGCCCTGGTAGATGTCTCTGATGCGCTGGTTGCTGGTGTTCAACGACTCGAGCGAGTTCAGGTAGTGGACGATGGGACCAAGGACAAGAGGAGGGTTGATGGTTGAGAGGGTGAAGTTGGGCTTCTCCTTCTCAACAAAGTCCCAGGACGCCTTTTCGGCAAATGTCTTGCTAGCACGGTATCCTGCAGGAGGGCTCTGAAGAGCTTCTTCGTGGGTAATGGGGTTCCAGTCGGCCTCGGTGTACTTATGGCCAGGCCAGTTGCCCTTGCTGGGGTTGACGATGGAGGCAAAGCTGGAAGTGATGACAACATGCTTGACCGATGGTGCACTCTTTTTGATCGACTTCAGGATACCGGTGGTTCCGATAACAGCAGGGTCGAGAAGTTCCTGGAACGCAGTTAGTAAACCGCACGAAAGCGTTTCACATCGGTACAGGACCATGGCCGTTGCAGCTAGAGGGTAGCATGCATTGACACGCATATGGTCCTTGTGACCGAGTTCGAAGGGGAGAAAGATGTGACTGACCTTTTGAATGTCTGTAACATTGAAGTGGAAGGGAGAAGCGGTGTGGATGACGGCCTCGAAGGGAGGGTCCGAGATGACGGCCTTGTCGAAAGCGCCGTCTTGTGCAATATCCTCGACAATGGCGAACGAAAGCTGCTTCTCAGAAGCATCAGGGTGGGCCTCCTTGATCTTGTTGGCCTTCTCCTGCGAGCGGACAGTCGTCACAACCGAGTGGCCATGCTCAAGCAGGATGTCCAGAACATGGGCGGCGATGAAGCCGGAGCCTCCAGTCAAAAGTACGCGGGTCATTGTGGTTTTGCTGTATGTGTGTAGGTGTTCAGACTTGGGAAAGATGACGGTTGAGGGAGGGGCAATGTTGAATTAAATACCAGCCGTCGATGATAGCATATTACCTCTTACCTTAGCCTGATGGCATCGTCTGCTTATTGCCTATCTCCGCTATAACTCCAGAAGCTTTCCATCACATCATCGGTCACTACAAGATCTTGTAGACTCCAGTCGGAGCCCAATGGCACTTTATGGTTCGAGTATTTGTCAGGAAGAGTGATACTCCCGTCCTGACAGGCTGATGGGATGCTCAGCTCCAACGATATATCGTGTTCGTAGAGAGACAAGGGTGAGGGGAGTGGGGCAAGATACCCCGAGGTCGCGGCTGCCCCAATTCGAATGACATCAGGGTCGCCAAGCATGGGATTCTTCTCGCCGAAGACGCAGAGTCTCCGATTCTACCATACAACGATCCGAACAATCTTATCGTAACTCTACGACCATGCCTGATGATCGCTATCATTCCTCAAGACAGAGATCACGCTCGCCGGATCGCTCGAGACGAGTCCGTGACCATAATCAGAAGCGACGACGGAGTCGCTCCCCTGCCCCAATCCAGCTGCCACTGAACGCGCGTGCCCTTGTCAAACATGACTTGAAGGGTTTCAAGAGACTATTCGCTCTCTATCTTGACATTCAGAAGCAGATCGACATAGATGAATTGGACGAGACCGAGATCAAAGGTAGGTGGAAGTCGTTCTTGGGCAAGTGGTAAGTGGTTCAACCTATCCATTGTACCAACAATGCAGTCTTTTGACACCCAACAGGAACCGCGCAGAACTAGCAGAAGGTTGGTATGACCCTGTGACCAAGGAGAAGGCAGATCGTGCTACCTCTGGGGCCAAAACGTCACGCCACAGTCCACCATCAGCCGTACAACCAAAACAAGACCATCACCAGCACGAGCACGAGCACGAGCAAGTAGTGGCTGCTGGCCAGCCATTCGCAGACCATGACGACAGTGAAGACGAGTATGCGCCGTCGCTGCCGACTAACCTAAGCCGCGTTGGACCTACAGTACCATCCATCCAAGATCTGCAATACAGGAACGGTACGCTCACGCCTTGACCATGTGCACATATGCCACTTAGGGCTTACACTCTATAGAACTTGCCGAGGAAGACGAAACTGCACGCCGACAAGACTTGCGCTTCGACCGGAAGATGGATCGGAAACTGCAAAAAGAGCGCTTAGAAGAACTCAACCCACGCGCTGAGCCAGGCTCTCGGGAACGCCAACTCGAAAAGAAGCGTGAGAAGGCTGGTGCGAATCGTGCTTTTCGCGAAGAAAAGTCTCCTGGAGCTGAAGAAGTTGGCGAGAGCCAGCTGATCGGTGGCGAGGACGGCATCAAGGCTCATCTTCAAGCCACCCAGCGCAAAAAGTCGGAACGTGAATTGAGAAAGGAGGAAATCCTTCGCGCTCGTGAGGCCGAACGTGAGGAGCGACTTGCACACCACAGAGCCAAAGAAGACAAGACCATGGAAATGCTAAAGAGTCTTGCCAGACAACGTTACGGCTAACGTTTTCCCACTGTCCTAGGAGAACCCACTTGACCCAACTGCAGTCTGATGTCTGATCGCTATCTCTACAATCACACTCTCATCCGCTAATCAAAGCACTCCTCTTTGTGGAAACTCTGAGAAGCTCCAGAACGTTGAATCGCTGAGAAAATTATGTCCCGCTACAGGGTTGTACGCAAGCAATGGCAAGTAAAACCAACAGCCATGTGATGGGCCAAGAGCATAAAGTGTAGATCCTTTGCCGCTCTGCATATTGATGCAACATCTCGACCAATTAATCGTCTTCTCTAAGCGCTTCGCGCTTGTCGATGCACCCTTATCTGTGTCTGAACTTGCTACGGAAATGAGAACTATCGATTGTGATGCGGCAAAGAATTGATCACGTTCCAGGCTCTGTTGAAGAGAGGTTGTGTCGCACGAATCCCTGATTGACTCTGGAGCGGACCTTGTGAGCATCGACATGCTCTCCACCACTGGATTTGCAACAACCACCCTGGGTTGGTAGAAGTCCTCGTGGTATATTATACAGCCTACACTCGGCCCGCCGTCGGTCGGCTCGGAAGCACAAAATATAAGATGACCTGCCTGGTCTTATGTACAGATGCACTCCATCATTAAATCTGCACGGCATCACATCGAGTACTTCATACCACCAGCGTACCTGCAGAGCGATGAGTGTGTTGCTTGACGTTGCGGACAATCATGAGTTCTGGTCACAGACGAACTTTACTCAAAATCCAGACTTTCCTTCGGATACAGAGTATATCGGACCTCAATCTATCGAACCTCAGATCGACGACTTCGTTGAGATCGCGGAGTGGGATGTGCAAGACACAGCCGCTAGTGAGGATTCCCCTGGGTCATCTCCAATCTACAATGGTCCACGCTTGTTACCAAAGATCAGGGAGCAAGATCGCTTTCTTGCACCAATGCCGTCTTCGAAGCACGAAGCCAACGGAGGTCATCAGTCGTCTAATTCACCACTAGCTCGATATACGGATCCCAGCAAGACCATTGCATCGTTTTGTTCGGCCACCGATGGACTGTATGACTCTTTCACCCAACAGGTGTTTACTCAAGAACAGTTCCGGGATGTCACCCTTCCTCTCAATTCTTCCGAGCTTGCCCCATCGAACCCTTTGCCGCATACGCCCGAAGACCACAGCAACTATGTTCCCTTGATCTATGGGTCAAGTGTCGGCCTGCTTCACGATCAACTTGATAATTCTTACTTAAGCTATGATGGACAAGATTTGCCCTCCTTTGCATCCTACAAAGATTTTCGAGACTCACCTCTTGCAAACAAGTCTCGCACGACTATGCCGCTCGTGGAAACAAGTCGTCCCAGCATGTATCCCTCTGCGCGCCCGAGGGCCATGCATGCCTTGGCTCAAACCGCTTTGCCAAGCTTATCCCAGATAACAACATCAATTAACACGGGTCCGAGTCAGTATTCGTATACCATATCAACCAAGAAGACAACTCTACTACGATACCTGGGTCTGCTCAATCCTGCCCCGAACAAAATGAAGCGGATTGGGGACCTACCCAGCAATAAGATCTGGTTCTTTGACGTGCGTAATGTACGCTGTTGGTCTAGTTTCAAACTAGAAACAATGCTGGGTGTACCAGAGTTACGATCTTTGCTTCTTCGAGAAGTACTATGTGATGAGCTCCCAACACCTCCTCCCGTCACCTACAAGCCGGCCACAGAGCAGCATTTGCGTCTCGCATATCGTGACTATTATGGAGTCAAGTTGAATGCGGCCTTGAAGTCATCAATGACTCAACCGGCCCTGCAAATGTACAGTCGTCACGGAGGTGCCTCTCTGACGACTCCAGATTTTACATCTTGCACTAGTCATGAGCTCAGTCCTGCTGGGAACAATCGTGTTGTCGGATTGATACTGCCTAATTTACAGTGGAAGACCGAGATGCGAGTTGGCGATTCGAACGAGAGAATAAAGTATTTACACGGTTTAGCACGCCTGCAGCACTTGCTGCGTGAGAACAACTGCCGCTATGGCTTCATCATCACAGAGATTGAACTGGTGTGCGTACGATACGGTGGCAACGATACAATCTACGACGCCGAGCGCGAACAAGCCCAGACAAAGTTCTCTTCTTCCCACGTTACATCCTCACATCACATCCCCATATTCGGATTTTTCGAAGTCACGGACAGCATACCTTTGAGGGACAACAATACAAACCCTTATGGCCCTCTGACCATGACAGCTGGATTGGCACTCTGGTATCTGCACATGCAAGCTCAAGATCAAGCGCTTCCAGGACATGAGCACTGGCAAATACAAGTCGGGACTTCTGCTGCCATGACGAGGCACAAATACGTGCCCACGGACCCGTGGGTGCCGAAACATAGCAAGGTACAAGGACGAGTGACGACGAGATTGAGAGGCTGGGTGATGGCTGAAGATAAAGTCTGTCAAAGGTTGGAGGCTCGGTAGAAAAGACGCACGTTTACGGACAGGATGAAATCTAAAGTTGTATAGGGACTTTTGCTCTCAATGAGTGCTGCCGGTGATTGACGAGGGGATTGTACATGGAGATTCTATCTTTCGTATAGTATTCAATCTTGAACTAACAACATGTCTGCTTCTCTCAAATCACTTCTTCCTGATCGTAGCAGTCACTTTTCTGCTTGTTCTTCATCGTACTTGCGATTTGATGGATGAAAATCTCATTGCGTGGTGCTATCATTATGAAAACATTTACTACTTGAGCTTTGCAAGGAGAGACCGAGAGCTGACAAGGGAAAAAACAAGACTATCTTGTGACTTGAAGGAAGAATGGAAAGAAATCGGGCTGTCAAGCGAAACAAAAGCAACCCAGCACCAGCAGAAGCAAACAAAAGCGATACAACAATATGCAGCGAAGCACACGGATTACCTTCAACCCCTGCGACGACGAGAGAACATACGACGCAAACGCGACAAAGAACCTGCTGCCTGTGTATCAGTCGCGGGAATAGAAGTAAGTAGTGATGAAGGGCCTCGCCATGGGCCAGAGAATGGGCGGCCCAGGCGACGCAGAAGACCGGGTAGGATGGCGGGTCCAGCATCTTTACGCTCGGAGGGTGTGAATGAGCGCTGCAGACGACCACGAGGAGGTACACTGTCAGTATCCGGAGTAGTTGAAGGAGCAACATCTGAACAACCGTCATTGCGAAAACCGTCAGGAACCGGGGAGTGATGTGGTGCGACAGGAGAAACAGGCGAACGAATACGAGGGAAAGAGGGCGGTGACGATGATAAATGGAGAGGTGACTTCAAGGGAGCTTCGAGCTGAATAGCAGTACGACGGCGACGACGGTCACGAGCAAAGTGCGCACTGTTGGTCATGAGAGCGCGCTCCTCTGGTGATATGACCCACTGGTCTGGCGAGAACTGATTTGCACCGTCGCCAACCACAGAGGGAGGAACAGATGAAGTGTTGCGAGCGGAAGCGGTACTGCAACCAGCATACGTGGTGCGAGGAGACATGGACTGTACTGAGGTAGAGCTATGATCGCTGTTGTTGCTGGAGAATGATCCGCCTTCAATCTCGTGCTGCGATTTGAGATTTGTCATGCTGGAGTTCGACAGGGATAGAGAGCGACGGTGGCTATTAGAGGGAGCAATGTTGTCGCGATTAGAGTATGCGGTCGACAGAAGGGATGGATCTTGTTTCATGGTGAACAACAAACCCAACTGATAAGAAGCAGATGAAGAAGGTGGGCACTGATCTCGACCAGCGAGAGGTGCTTGATAGGAGGAGAAGCGGACAAGAACGAGATGGATTTGAAGACAGTGAGGGAAAGTAGAGAAGGCAGGTGACTATATCGTTGTTGAGGCCGAGAAGTACTTCCTCGCATGAGGAGAAGCAGAGTAACAAGATCAACGAGTTGCTTTACACAAAATCGAACAGCAACCCAATGCTCAGCACTATTGGCATCGGAAGCCATAACAAGTCATGAGAACATGGACAAAGAAGGCCCAAAGAAGCAGAAAGACATAGCTTTGACACATCTTCCGGAGAACAAAGCAATTGTTCAATGGCATTGTGCATTGTTGATGTTGCTAGTTGGTGGAAAGAGTGAGACTGTTTTATGCTGACGCGAGAGCTTAGACGAAGACGAGACCTACATGCAAGCCATTGTGGTAGGCAAGTAGATGAACAGTACCAAGACCAGGGGTGTTGTTGTCGCCCAAACGTCACCAGATGTCTGTCAAAGGAGGTGAGAATGCTCAAGCAACACGAATCGCCAGAGATGCGGTTGCGCTGTAAACCGCCAGGGCTGTAAGACACAGCATGCCGAGACTTGTCGAGCGTGGACCGCATGTAGAAACTTCAGCGCTGCGTCCTGCGAACTGATTGCTTCCAATCACCAATACAAAACGCGAGGACAAGAGAAGTAAGCGTGCAAAACGCGATGGAAGAAGACAAGGTGATGTCCACGACGACGCCTCGGAGGATGCTGATGCCGCGAGTGCCGCAAACTGCGCGAGTCATGAAGAAGCCCGTGCTGCCAGCTCGAGTCAGTTTCGCGTTTAGTCGAGAAGAAACAGGCCCTCCACCTTCACCATCACCATCGACATTTACCACCGCGACAAAGAGACCAATCATGTCGCTGTTTGGTAACATCGGTGGCAACAACAAGCCTGCCGGCACTGGTGGTCTCTTCGGAGGTGCAGGATCCACGCCTGCGACAGGCCAACCATCGACACCATCATTGTTTGGCACGCCGCAAGGTGGAGCTACTGGCGCTGCACCTTCATCTGGAGGTCTGTTTGGCTCCCAGCAACAGCAAAACAACAAGCCTACACTCTCGCTCTTCGGCAACAATGCTAACACTGGGACCTCGAACCCTACCGCTCAACCCGCCAACACTGGCTCCACCCTCTTCGCCGGCGCATCCAACCCTACTCAGCAGCCCGCAACCACTGCCCCGAGTCTTTTCGGTGGAGCAAACACTTCTGGAGGTGGTCTGTTCGGTTCGACCAACAATCCCTCAGCTCCAGCCAACAACCAGCAGTCTGCCTTTGGCGCCAACAACCAAGCCAGCTCCGCACCCGCCCAACAGCAAGAGCAGAACGCCAGACCCGTCTACTTTGACAACCTGATCGAGCGCAGCATCAAGAGACAGGGAGCCGACGCTACCGCAACCGCACGCATGGGCGCATTCGGAGAGCTACCTACACTGCAACTGGGCTTGGGCGACATCCAAAAGAAGGTGCGCGGATTGGGCCAACAGTACACACCCGACAGCAAGGCCCACTACCTGCTCGCTGCCTCCGGCGTCAACACAGGCGCTGCTCTGCGCGACCTCGGCCTCTTCACAAACAGCTCTGTCGCAAAGGCTCCTGCCCCCATCGCCGCCAACGACCCCCTGTACGGTGATCTCGATACCTATGTCGAGAGTCTCTACCAAAAGGAAAAGAAGGATCTGTTTGATGAGTTCATGGAGGACTCCAAGAGGGACTTTGACCGTTTCATCGAGGACAATCTGCAATGCAACTGGGAGCAGAAGCGCAAGGAAATCTACGAGCATTTTGGCATCACAAAAAAGTCGGACAAGGCAGAGGCCAGCTTCGAGGGCACAACCACCGATGGCGCACGCGGCGCATTTGGCCGTTCCAGCCGCAGAGCTCCCTTTGGTGCTTCAGCTGGCGCCTCAAGGATGGGCTCCAAGTCTGTGCTTGGTGCTACTGGCAGACAGACTTCTAGAGCCAGCCAGTTCACCGACGTGGCTGAGAAGGTCCCTGCTGGCCTGCAAAACGTCAGCGACAATCGCATGCTCAGAGACAAGCAGGACAAGTACTCCAACAAGGTCAAGGAGCTCAACATTGCTCGCATCGAGGGTCGTCTATACCCGCTCCTGCACAACTTTGTCGACGTCGAGTCTCAGCCCTCGGCTGAAGATACCTCAAAGCTTGTCGATGCTTACAAGGCTCTCGCCGACATTGTTGGTGAAAGCCCTGATTACCAAACCTCATCAGACCCCCGCGCCATCAAGGAGCGCCAATTCGCACAGGACTACCTCGACGAGGCGCCCAACTCGCGCAACGCCTTCGACCTCCGCAAACGTATTATCGATGGCTCCAGACGTTTCCTCGAGAAGCAGTTCCTCGGCCAGCTCGAGACGGCCATCCTCAAGAACGCCAAGGAGGCTGCTCTGGGAGGTGTCCCTTCGGTCATCAACAAGGTTCGTGCTTATGTTCGCCTACGTGCTGCTCGCAAGGAGCTCGGTCCCGACACCAGCGAGCTACAAATGATCAATGACGACTACCCCTGGGTCCTCATCTTCTACCTTCTGCGTGCCGGTCTCGTCAACGAGGCTGCCGAGTATGTCGCCGACAATGAACGTGCTATCAAGGCTTGCGATCGCAACTTCCCCTTGTTCCTTGCCAGCTATGCTCGCAGCACCGACCGCCGTCTGCCTCAGGAGTTACAAATCAGAATCAACAACACTTACTCTCAACGTGCACAATTCGCTCCCGAAAACAGTGTCGACCCTTACCGCATGGCCTGCTTCAAGATCATCGGTCGTTGCGAGCTCGGTAGACGCACTCTTGATGGCATCAACCAAAACATGGAAGATTGGGTCTGGCTACAGTTCGCTCTTGCCCGCGAAGTCAACCGTGTCGAAGAGACTGCTTCTGAGGTCTTCGGCCTCGAGGATGTCAGAAATGTCATTCACGAAGTCGGTCAGAGGCATTTCGTCCAAGGTGCCGAGGGTGCCGCCGGATATGGCACCTACTTCTTCCTTCAGATTTTGGCCGGTCAGTTTGAGAGCGCTATTGCCTGGTTGTACCCCAACAACTACCTCAGTGCCGTACACTTCGCCATTGCTCTCAACTACTACGGCCTCTTGCGTGTCAACGACTACAGCAATTCCGAGGACCTCTTGTCATACACTACAAGTCAACGTCCGCAAATCAGCTTTGCTCACCTGGTTGGCTACTACACCAAGGACTTCCGCGCTCAGTCGCCGACTACTGCTGCTGACTACATCGCTTTGATATGCTTGAACGGAGACCTGGGTGGAGAGATCGGACAACGTCAAGTTGCACTCTGCCACGATGGCCTTCGCGAGCTTGTGCTCGAGACCCGCGAGTTCGCCCAGTTGCTCGGAGACATTCGTTCTGATGGTCAGCGCATCCCTGGCTCTATTGAGCAGCGTCTGAAGATCATCCGCATCGCTGACGAAAAGTCCTTCTTGCGTTACATCACAATCAGCGCCGCTCAGATCGCCGACGACAACGGTCGTGTCACTGATGCCGTTCTGCTTTACCACCTGGCCGAGGAGTACGACAACGTCATCACCATTTGCAACAAGGCTCTGTCGGAAGCAATCAGCGTGGAGTTGGGCGATGCACCACTGCGTCTCACTCCCCTCAAACCCCGCGATCCCACCTCCGTCGAGACATCTGCATCTCTCAGTTTGACTGCTGTCGAGGATCCTTACACCTTGACTCGCAACATGCGCGCACTGTACGAGAGCAACCAACTCCACGCCGCCAAGATCAAGCAGGTCAACCGCGAATCCTGCACCCTCCTCCTTGGCATGGCAGAGGCCAAATCCCTCGTCGCCGAAGGCCGCTGGGCCCTCGCTCTCGACGCTCTCAACAGCCTGAACTGCCTCCCCATCTCTGCAGGCGGCAATATGAGTCTCATCCGCGCCTCTGCCAATGCCTTCAGCAATCTTCCTCCTCCTGTTGCTCGCAACATCGGTAATTTGCTCATCTGGACCATCACTTGCTGTGGTCAACAGCGCGAGTACCTCCGCTCATCACCCTCGGGCTTCGAAGAGCGCGGTCGCGAAAAGGTGGCTGAGGATATCTTGCAGGTTGCCAAGGACACTATGGTGTTTGCCGGCTTGATCCAGTACAAGTTGCAGCCCAGAGTTTTCGAGGTGCTCACTCGTGTTGGTGGTGACGTTGGTGCCTACTAAGAGCGAGATGTTCTTGTTCATCAGCACATGGAGTTTGGTGGCGTTGGTTGTATAAAGCGCTGGCTGGGATGAATATGTGCAAAAGCACTGGCGATGATGACAGAGAAGGGAAATGGGGGCTTGTTCACAGAGGCTGAACAACGGCTTGTAGTCTAGATACATACTTTGTGCCACAGGTATAGATTCGCCGGCTCTACTAGAGAGTGCAGAAACCTCCTTTTTTCCAGATATAATCTTTCCACTTGCTCTCATGACTTATTGCATTTGATGATCATGATGCCTTGAGCAGACTCTTATGAGCAGACCCCTCTCCGGTGATGTGAACACAAAAGAGGCGAGGTTCGCTCGAAGATAAGCTTTGGCAATTACATCTCATGTCTGGCGGCAAGTCTGCACGAAATGCAGTTCGGGTAAGCTGTTGACTGCTCGTGGCATCGAACTCAGTATCTAGCATCCATGTCTTCAAGATCCAACTCTTCCTCTTCGTCATCATCGTCGAAATTCGTGACCTCCTTTTCCGACTCCTCGTCACTCTGCACCTCATACTGATAGCTATCACGCCCGGCATCCAACTGATCCTTTTGCAGGCGGTCACGCAGATTAGGCGTCTTGTTGCCGTTCATGACTTGCTGTACCGATTCATCGATACCGAGTAGTTTCATCTGCTCGGCTGACAGCTCGACGATAGTTGGCGCATACTCGCCAGCTTCATCGTCTTCGTCAAAGGCTGTATTGTCCATTTCAACCTCTTCACCGTCTTCGAGATGCAACATTCCTGTTCGCGCGAAAGAGCCTTGTTGAATTTGCCAGCCTAGAGTTTCTTGGGTGTAGGCAAGGAGGTCGTCGAGTTCGTCTACCACATCCTCGTGTGCGTTTCCTGGAAGTCGATCTAAGACTTTCTTGAAACGTAGCAGAAGAGACTTCAGGAATGTGGCGCCGTCGTCACTGAGATCGAAAAGACCGGTTTCAACATCTTGACCGTGTTGGAGTTGAAGTTTTATCGTTGCAAGGGCGCGGACGAAGAAGTTTGGATGTTTTGTCACTGCACTCACGCAGGTGAGGATGAGATCGAGGATTCTGCGCCATTGTTCCAGACATGAATAGTTGTTCAATGTCAATACCATGGCGAAGCAGAATTGTAGCTCGCCAATGATTTGGTCCATGTCGTTGTTGCAGAAGCGTTCGCTGAGGTCCGCGAGTGCCCATGAGCGATCTTGGGCGGCTTCGGTGCGTTCACGTCCGGTGGCTCCTGCTCGCCATGTTTGCTTGAGGTCGACGGGTAGAACACGCAACTCACGCTCGTTGCCAGTGAGATCGGAGGCGGAGAGCCCTGGGATGTCGTCGAAGTCTTGTTTGGCGCTTGAGGATGACGTGAGTGTCCAAGTCTGGGGATCTGTATCCAACACACGCGCCAGAAGTGCTTCAGATATACAGTCTGTTAGTTGCACCCATTTATTCGTCTCTTCTGAAGCTACAGAGTCCTGAGAAGCGCTTTGTCGATACGGCGTCAAGTTATCTCTCCAGATCCTGCCTAGGTTGGCTCGTTGTTGTAAGATTGTGGCGACATTGGTCTCTGCTAATAGTTCTTCGCTGCCGGTATCCCACTTGCGGATGAACAAATCTGGAGGTCCGGAAGATTGTGCTGTCACCTTGATCCAGATGCCATGTCGTACAGAGAGTGTGCTGGTTGAACCAACAAAGACAAAATGCAATCCAGGAGGTATGTTTTTGATGCCTTGGAATTTGGGGGTTGTGGTGAAGGAGAGTAGGTCCATGCCGCCCAGAGCCGAGGGTGGCAGATTTAGAAGTAGCACTGCTGGTGTGATGGCGTCCATGTCTAGAGCCCTCTTGAAGATCCTTCAAGACAGTGTGTAAGATGATACAAACTGATCAGATGTTGGATTCACACTACAGAGCGATGGCAAAGTACGTGGAAAAGTCCAGTCTAACAGTGATGAAGTCCAGTTGAAAATGATGATGCAGGTTGAGAACATCCAGCGTCTTTGGCGTGGTTCACAGAGTTTTGATGCGAGCGCGAGGAGATCGTCACTTGTGATTCCGGCCTTGCATACGTGATGTTTTCCAGAAAGTCTCGCTCAACACAATATTTGAAAGGACGGTGCTAGAAGTGAGGAAGAGCAAGTTGTGCCGCGAGTCATGCCAGTTCTCGCTGACTCACGCGCGCGCGAGTGATGCAAACCACCAATCTTGGCATCACATTCCCGTTGTTTTGGCAAGCATCCTCATCTCTGTGACCTCAAAGGCTTCAAGTAGTGATAATCACTTTCATTTCTCGTGCCGCAAATCGGGCGACTACCGCGTCTGGAAAATTGTCAATACTATCAATCCCCCCTCAAACGACACATGGTGCAGGATTGTGTGGATACCATCGACTTGGTTCTGTCCGGCGATTCAATATCCAGCATGTGGATGTTCCGAAAAGACGTTCTGGGACGATTAGTTTCCAGACAATTCTCAAGAACGAATGGGCTCAACACCAGGGCTCATCTGAGCAGAGCGCGAGGATTGACTCCGTCGAATCTATGAGAGCCGTGGAAGAGTGGCGAGCGAATTTGATCCTACCAACCCATGCGTACTGGCACAAATGGACAAAGGCACTCAGAGACTCTGATCCTGGCGGTCTTCTCACAGCTCGCAAGTTCGTTGAGCGTTGGTGCGACTGTCAGCCCGGGACGGCCTTTGAGGTGAAAGAACAGACGAATGGCAGGATAAAAGTATTCGAATGTATTTCCGAGGTCCATGTTCCTCTATTGGGACTGCGGAAGGTAGTCTCCTATGGCTGTAATCGGGCAAGTCTGAGCCAGGTGTGCTCTCGAGTTTGTCGAGACTGATATATCACAGCCAGAGGCCATCAGCAACTCGAATATCGCACTGGTCTCGAGGCTCTACCAGGATGGCAAACTTGACAGCATCTACAAAGGCACGATCGCGTCAAGAAAGTTTATGGCGGTTGGTGATGATCCATACCAAAGTTTGCACAAATACTAAGCCGACATACAGATTTACGAGGAGGCTGCACGGTATGGCCTACATCCGAGATTCAAGTTGAGCATGTTGGACGATCGACCTGGCGCTTCATTCTATATTAGGCTGGACGTACCTGAGTGGAAGCTCTTTGCCTCTGCGTCTGCCCGAACATATATCAGCGCTTTGGCTAGAGTGGTCGACACTTACGAGTCGAAAGCTAAGATAGCCAGGGTCAAGACTTGTTTCTCACCACAAGCTTCAAAGAACACACTAGATCTCTTAACCTACACAACTGCACACCGGGCCTTGAAGTTCCTTTTGCAGAGACTGCAGTTGGACAAAGTATATGAAGCGCGCAGGCTCGATGATCCTCAGGGACCACAGTGGACATACAACATCTACGTTCAGGGATTCAAGCCGCTGGAAGTTCCGACAATACGTCAATGCGACGCACGATACGTTGGGATCACGACGACGGTGGTGCGATTGCTGCAGCGGTTTGGCTTTGATAAAATGCACGGATTCAAAAGGTATCTCGAAGTAGGCAGAAACATGAGGAGCGAGTCAGCATGCTCGGGCGAAAAGGAAAAGACTGAGAGGGCTGTTCGGTCTCAGACAAGTTCGCCTGAGTATCGGAGACTTGACCCAAACCAAGACATCTTGAGCCTGCCCGACGCCAGTTCCAGATACTCCCGAGGTCGACGCAGCTCAGACATGACGAGTTGATGAGGCTAAAAGAATGTTGAGACCGAATTGATTTTGGTATACATTCAAGGTATCTAGAGTAACGAGCCCGCACCGAGCGCGGATGAGGAAATAATCATGTCATAAACATTCCTCCGCCATGGTGCATGCGCAGAATTTTGGCGGGATCGAATTCGTGAAAGGCGCGAGGATTTAGTTGACAGTCTTGGAGGTCTTGTCCTTGGCGGCCTGGTCGAGGGGGCCGGTGGGGTTGCTCTCAAGGCCAGCCAGCTGGTCCTTGGAGGCCTGCTGGGAACCCTGCTGGGGCTCGGCGCCCTGCTGGTTGGGGTTGCCGGCAGTGGGGGCGGACTGCTGCTTGGAGCTCTGGTTCTCAGGCTCGGGGGACTGGCGACCGGCGTTGGGGGCAGACATTGCTGTAAGGTTGTGTTAGGATCGCGGTATGGAGAAATGCGTTGAGGAGGGCGGGATTGGCGTACTGAAGGTGTTTTGGGTTGCTGACAGAGTGGTTAGTGTCTTGTGTGGTATCTTGAAGAAGTGGTATGAACTTACTGTGGGGTTGAGAAAGGGGAAAGGGTTATATTATTCGAGTGGGATGATTGTTGTTAGGAGAGAAAAAGAGCAGAAGAGGTTGTTCAGGCAGATGTAGCTCTCCCAGCCCGCCGATGATGTTGTCCAGTGTGGGGCATCCGATGGGTTGACGTCACAAGCTCGCTGTTTCCTTCAGCCTGATTTGACTTTCCCCCTTCGGCCTTTGCTTTGCTCTCTTGTCGTGTTGACATGTTTCCTCCTAAATTGCCGATCCGCTTCTTCTGCTGTTCTCGTTCACTGTCATATCGTCTCGTGAACATCTTGTGGCTTGCTCTGACGGGCACGGAAACTGTTCAGCCCAATTCCCGATCGTCCGACAAACCCCCACCATCACGGCGACATCACGCCGCGGTCTTTCCGAATTGTTGAAAATGCTATGAACTTCGGCTTCTTCGAGTTCGCCTTTCAGGCAACCTGACTTGGATCCTCTCGAGAATAATTGCACCATCCGGTGTACAAACAGACTGAAGCGTAGACCTCATCGTCAGTCCATCACGGCAGCACTCTACAGCTCTGATGCCTGCCTGGGTTAAGTAACACAACATTACAGCTGGGACTCGACCTATCATGCTTAATCGGCTCGCCAGACGCTGTGCTTCTACGGTGTCTTGCTATCCTCGCTATCTTCTATTCTGTCTTATGTCTTTGTGATCCAACTCGCTCCGTGTCGTGGTAGGTACATGCAACACCACCTTTGTTCTGTCTTGGAACCACCTAGAAAGAGACAGCTTCACCATTGCGTGGACCAAAGACCTGTGTTGCAAGCTATGTTTTCATCACAAGTGTGAATGCCAACACATGTCACGCACACCTGGAATAAGCTGATAACCATCGCATTCTCCTGCTCTGCTTTCTCCTCTCCTCTGCAGACCACCACCCGAGCGATTCAGTCCTCCTGTGCCTCATCAATGCTAACAAAAATGGCCCACGATCGTGGTCTCGAAAGCGATGAACCTCCAAGTCCTTCTCTGAACAGACCAGTCACACCTCAAGAGGTTCGTTCACATAAACAGCTTCCGTCATATCTTGCCCACCCTGACGCGTGCTTCCAGGAACCCAGCAAACCTGAGATGCCTTCCTTCCTTACCCTGCCAGCCGAGCTATTGCACAAGATTCACAAAGATTCTGGACTACGCCAGGATGACCGCGCCAAACTCCGCCTCGTCTGCAAAGAGTTCCTACCATACGCCACTGAAGCGCTCGCCGAACTGTCAATGAGGAACGGTTTTCTCTGCCTCAACCCTTCCGCCAACGATTTTGAGCGTCTCGCAGCCCTCTGCTCCTCGCAACTTGGTCCTTACCTCACGTCTGTACATTTCCTGCACTATCCCTCATTCCGAAGCACGAAAATGGAAGAAGCTGTGTATCCAAGGTACTCGGCAATTCAGAACGTCAAATTCGGGACTCGTCTTTACAGAGACTCGACCTTTGTTCTAAAAAGGTTGCTGCTGTTGACCAACCATCTCAAAAGATTCGAGTTCAACCCAGCAGCGGAGCACGAAGACGATACCTGGTCTGCGCACTCCTACAATTTCCTTGAGCCCGAGCCCGCTCAACAGCTAACTGTTGGTAAAGACGAAGAGCGCGAAAGGGCCAGCACGATCCTCTCAAGTATCAAATCTGACTGTCTCTCCGAGGTGATCCTTACAGGCACCATTCTGTCTTACAAGCCTCTGCTTGGCCTTCTTACAAGATATGGCAGTACCATTCGCAAGCTATCCTTCCACTCCTGCAGACTGGTCAGCGGCACCTATGTCGATCTGCTTCAGTGGATGTCTACTGAGCTGCCTGCTCTCGAACACCTGGATCTACAATACTTGCATGAATTGAAGTGGAGACGCAGTCTCAGTAGATACGACTTCTCGAAAACCATGTGGGAGGCCCCTGTTACGCTCGATGGAAAGAAGGATATCGACACTTACATTGCATCTCTGCAAAGGGGTGAAACATCTGTTTGAAACCACAACTTTCAGCAATTCAACCCTGATTGAACGCCACCACGACTTGCCGGAAGCAATGAAAGAGGATTCTGTGGCGCCTGGAAATGAAGGTGCACGGTGATATTGAGAACACCCGGGATAAGAGGTATCTGAATTCTAAAACATCGGAGTTGGTCATAGGATTTCTGAGGGACTTTTTGTTCGCAGCGGCGAGAGGCTCTGAACAAAGTATTCATAGGAAAGATTGTACATTCGGGAAGACGGTCGTCCATATACGCTCTGCATTGCTACGGCAGACTGAATATAAATCTATTCTGGCACCAAATTTATACACGATGCTTGATACACGATGAATACATCACCTCCATCAATACTAACCCACTGATCCCTCTACTCCGCCCTCAATGCACTGCACCTTGACCTCTCTTCTCATCAAGCTTCCTGCCATGTCTCCACCCTTCTTCACATCAACATCTTTGTACCCATGCTTGCGATACAGAAAGTTGCCTGTGGGAGACGCCTCTACCCATGAAGGTAGGAACAAATGATCTGCGAGATCGCAACCCCATTGTAGCATCATGGACCCAATGCCTCTGCGCTGATACTCTGGATCTGTAAAGCAAATGTGCAATTCTGCGATCGTATTAGTAAAGACGCCCTCCAGTCAATCATTCAAATACGATCACCACCAGCACAGTACGCATCAGATTATGAGGAAGAAAAGATCCCAACTTACGACAATAAGGCTCCGTAAACAACTTCCTCCTCGTCTCCGCAATGCCCCCAATCACCTCTTTAACCTTTTTCGTTTTCTCCTCATCACCCTCCAACCACTCCCAGCCTAAATCTTCCTCTTCATGCTCAGGCACTGCTCCCATATGCACTCTCCAATTACTCGCACCCACTATCTTTCCAGTTGCCTTTTCTGTAACTTTTATCCATACATCTGCTGGGTTGGTGTGGAGAATTGACTGATAGTAGGATGCAAGGCGAGCTTGATTAGTGGGTGTGTCAGGCCCCATGAAGATGTCGCGGATGAAAGGGTCGGTGAAGGTGCGGAATTCGCAGGCGATAATGGCGGTGAAGTCTGAGGGCGTTGTTGCGCGGGTGAGGACAAAGGGGCCGTCGCTGGTAAGGGTTGTCGTCGCCATGATTTCTCGTATGGACACGTTTTGGAGACGATGATCTTATGGTTTTTATTTTTTATTTTCCCAGATCGCAGAAGTTGCAAAGATGAGGGGAAGCGCTGGTATTATATCTGCCGTTCTTTATCAGTTCATGCAGCTGTCCTCGTGGAGTTCCCGAAGGATGTGGCACAGTATGGTCGATCATTGACTTCAGTTCTATATGCGCACTATAGCCAGGAAGTAGACGAAAGGCCTGATATCAGGGATCTCTCGAGTATTACTACAGGTGTTGATGACCTCGCTATCTATTCGCAATAGTAAGTGGGAAAGAGGGCCACGTAAAGTAGGTGAAGCTCAATCGGCAGCACCTTCCTTCTCGGGACGTTTTGAAAACCGCCGAAAAATTGATTGACAGCACGTAGGGGTTCCTCACCAAAAATTGGACAATGTCTGCGTAACCACCCCGGTGCAGCCAAATTACATCTCGTCCTGACCTAGATCACCGTATCTCAACGTGAGCATATTCAAGAAATCCTTCCAGGACTCTTCTAGCAACTGCACGACGTTGTTGTAAATGATGTCAGTCACATCGAATTGTGTTATCCAGCGCCATTTGAAGGTATTCTCTGGTTCATGTTGATTGCGACACAGGCATAGGTAGGTACCACCTTGATCACCTTCGAGATCTCCCGTCTGAACACCTGTTGCAATCTCATACCCCTTCAGGTTGATCTTCTCTGCAAATTCCTCCAGATTCCGACAGCCACCATACATTGGCTCGCCAAAGATGCCACACAGATACTGCAATGAAGCAAACGGCTGTGGGACATCGGCAGTGTTCGATCGTGGAAGTCCCGGTCCAGTAAGTGAGTTCGTAAGGCCACAGAGAGCCTTGAAATCCGCTGGAAGTTGTACAGGACGAAGTTCCGGGTCTACCCAGCTGTTCATGTTGTCCTCGACATCCTTAAATAGCTCATCTCTTTCATGGACCGATAACGGTGATGATGTGCCATCAGATAGGACGAGATATATGTCATTCGGAACGTGGAATGATTGGTCGAACTCTTCACCATCTAACCATTCCTTTGCGATGAACCGTTGCATGTCGGCAGTGCTATCACTGTTTGGCTCGATTTGCAAGTTCTGGAGCAGTCTTTCGAGCATTTTACAGTTCAATGCGTAGATGCGCGATCGGTATCGTGAAAGCGCTGAAGACAGCGAGTCTTCTTGAACAGCAGACTGTGTATCCTCGGGAGACGTCATGTCGAATGAGTGAAGTGATTGGATCTCTTGTGCTTTCTCCGTACAGCATGTGTCGGGACTGTAGGACTCTGGAACGAGGAGATCCGAGACTTTAGTACCGTATCCATATCCGAACCGCAAAATTGTTTGAGTGGTATAACGTCCAGTAGTGCCAAGGCCAACATCCACGTTCCAGCCATCTGGGTGTCGATCAACGAAGGATTGGTCGAGCTTAATTTTATCTATTAAGAACAGCTAATAGGTAGTCAAGACTATTTAATGCCTTAGCACTTAGTATAGTTGCGATTGTAGATATACTCCTTATGTGCTAAGCCTTCGGAGCGAGACACTTCTCAACACTCAAACCTAGAACCGAAATACGATTGGATATATCCTCTTCGTCGGCACCTATTCACCCGAAGGACCATTGAGAGTCGCACCAAGCTTGACTGCCTTACCAAAGTTAGGGCTGCCATCAGCGTTCCAGTCGACTCTCTGGGCCTCAGTATATCTGTTGCCACCACAAGCACCTGCCGAGTTTGCAGTAGCGTGGTAAACGTTCCAGACTTCCTTGTTGTCGGGGCTGTTGAAGAATCTATGGAGTTTGTCAGTCACGAATACATCAAAGTCTGTAGTTGGTTGTACACATACCCATTGTGACCGGTACCGTAGTTTCCGTTGGCAGAGCTGAAGACAGGACCACTCTTGGTCCAACTAGCAGCGTTGGTGGGGTCACCACTCTTGTACGTCAAGAGACCGAGCTGGTAAGAGCTGGTCCAGCAGTAACTCGCAGAGTAGGTCAAGAATGTTTTTCCACCATGATAGAGTGCAGCCGGGCCTTCGTTGACGGGGAATTCGCCAATCTTCTCCCATGGCAAGGTAGGCTGTGAAAGTGTCTTTGCAGTTCCGGCCGAGGTGGGTGAATTCATGGGGGCAATGCAAAGGGATTGGAGACCGGTGCGTTGGCAGGAGTAGACGAAGTAGTTCTTGTCTGGAAAGCGAAGGACAGTGCCGTCGATGCTCCACTCGTTGAAGAGTTGACCGGCATAGGTGTACTTATCGAAGATGTTGGCTCCGCCTGTGTAGATGGTCATCTCTGGCAATCTGACAGCGCCATTGGGGAGTTCTTACCCTTCAGAACGTGGATACGCTGGGTACCGAGGTCATCTTTGTTAGATGCACTGTAGTAGATATACCATGCATCATTTATCCACTGAACCTCAGGTGCCCATACTGTCATGGGTCAGCGCACTTGGCCTCCAACCACGTTATCATACGAGTGACATACCATTGCAACAGCGAGAGGCAGTACTGTCTTGCCAGACGACTTTGGTCTCACCAGTCTTGAGTCCACCGAGAGTCTTAGACCTGGTTACCTGGATGTTAGTCCATTCAGTCGTCAACAGATAGTAGTATCCATCGCCAGAGTAGACGACAAAGGGGTCGGATCCATCCTTTGGTCGCAAAGGGTTGGTGAACGAAGCAGCAAGTGCAGTTGAAACAGCACTGAGTGCCAGAAGGACAGCCGAGGCAAACTTCATGCTTTATGCGAGGAAATAGCACAATTGTTGGATGAGAGTTGCAAGAGAGATGCCTAGGATTTATCACATCCTTGTAGTTCTCCCCTCACGGCTGTCTCCAATCAATTTGGCTTTAGGTTCAACCATGATGCGAGGTTCTGGAAAGACATTATCCGTCAATGAGCTGGAAGTATGTAGCTAAAGGAGGCTGCCTTGGTACAGATGTATAGGGCTGCCGAGCATACTTCACAGCTGGCGGTGTCACATCTGCGGGTGTCGCATGCATATTCTTCCATCCCACCGGGCCAAAAAAGCCTTTGCTGTGGAAAAAAACGGCATGTGATCTTGGTATAGGAGGACTAGAGATGCCTCGGTGTTTGAAGTATAATTAGTGAGGCTAGGTTGTACTAAACATGGAGCTGCAAAGGATGATATAGAAGACACGATATGGGAAATGTGCAGCTGCAGAGAAGCACCTCAGTGAGCCCTGAAACAAAGAAGGGGAAAGAGCGACCATCGGTCCATTTGTGTCGTTTAGCGTACCTTGGCAAGTTTCAAGTTGAGGTATCGCGGCTGATTGCGATTATATTCGAGGAGAAATCTTCTTCAAAGATGGCCAACTTCTAAAGCGAGCAAGAACACACGATCCGCGTACCCAAACATACCCTTGAACATCCACGCGACGCTGGAACTACACCTCCCTAACCACGATAGATATCAAGAACTGGACCTTTGTACACATGCCTTCCTCTGACAAGGTAATACACAATCGATATGATGGCCACTCCACCGAACATGACGCAACCGTAGTTCATCATCTTGACGGTGACGCTGGCGAACATGGGGAAGAAGCTGATGATGGCTTGCTGAATCATGTACAAGACAGCAAACATGTTGATAGGAATGCCCGACCTGCCGAGGGAGAATCTTCCCTGAGGCAAAGGTCTCTTGCAAATCTTCCTCCAGAGTACACATGCGATACTGATAGAGTAAGAGAATCCTCCAGAGCCTGCAAGCAAGCCAACAATCGAGTTGAAAGCAGTCGTCGAGCCGAGATTGATGAGTGCCAGCACCACAGTAATCGATAGGGAGAAGAGGATGGCGTTGAGCGGAATCGGCGTGCCAATGGTCACAATCTTGGGTTGTCAGTATCTTGATCTGGCCATTGTGTTCGGTGCAAAACCCACTTGTCTAAACCATCCGGAGAAGGGCATCCCTTTGTCACGAGCAAAGGAGAAGATTTGACGTGACCCAGCGGCGACAACGCTTAATGCTGCGAAGAAGTTGAGAAGGATGAAGAGTGTGGTCATGAGCGTGGCGCCGACATCCGAGCCGATAGCTTGCTGGAAAATCGAGATGTATGGATATACCGCCATGTTGTTTGCGACCATCGACTCGTAGTCAGTGATACATAGGACGAACGTGATGATCGAGACGAGGCCCATTGCACCGTTCAGCATGACAGTGGCAACCATGACTCTAGGAACCACATAACTCGCGTTTGCAACTTCCTCGGCAAGGTGGGCTGGAGCATCAGATCCTTCACCATGTTAGCAATATTTACGTAGCGAGCAATACTTCTGCCTACCTCCAAGAGACCCAACAGCCGTGAGTTGCCCTATCACGACCGCAGCTCCGATACTACTCCATCCACCTGTATTGGAGAACGAGGTGAATGCTTCTTTGGCCGAAATCTTAGGGGCAATTACCCACAGTGGGATAAGAACTGCAAAGAAACCAAATACGTGCAAAAATAGAATGGTCGCTTCGAGTAGAGGCAGACGCTTTGCGCCAAGAGTGTTGACCATTACGGCCAACACTGCCATCAATATTGTCATAAGAGTACCATGCCAAAGAGCCGGTGTATACGCAGGGTGCATCGTAGAAGCGAGCTCAAGGGTGACGTTCCCGGCCGCGAAGGACGTGAGAGCAATCGATGCTTGCCATCCCAATGCCGATAACCAGCCAACAAAGTAGCTGAGAGACTTTTGACAGCTTGCTGGAGCGAATTCGCTCGTCCCTTGAACACACCCAAAGATTAGCGGGATTTGTAAAACACATGTACTTCGACCATTTCTCACAATGATATTGGCCCCCTGACGTTGGCGCCATCGAAGACATTTCAGCTAGAGAGAGTGTGACAGTGATGGTACAGATCCAGGTTGCGATATAGGACCATATGGAACCGGCAAGACCGCCATTGATCAGACTGAAACTCGCGGATCCTATCAATGCTTGCCATGTTGCCATGCTTAGGCTGGGTCAGCATCGCTTCATCTCATGGTCTGGCGTGAACTTGGGCATACAGAACACTGGACAGACCAAGCATTGAGAAGGCATGGAAGTTTCTCTTAAACTCTTGCTTCTTGCCTAGACGCATCATATCGGCGGCATCTTGAGCAGTTCCAGATTTAATTCCATGTATAGGTTTCGTATCGTCCCCCATCTCGCTGACAGGCGTTCGAAGCTCGTAGGCTTCGTCTTTGTGGTTGTGCATGTCGGTCTTGGTTGCTGGACAAGAGAGAGTGATGATGTGTCTCAGATAGTGGAAAATATGCTCATCATATAAATGAGTCCACTAGACTTGCGGTCGACTATCGATAGGTCTTTTTTCTCTTCTCACTCCTGCAAGTAGATCCTGATCAGTCAAGATTCAGTCGCTCGAACGGCTGAGCGGCACTTGCAGTTTGCTGCACATTGCCGTAAGTTTTGGCTGGCACGGGTCCGTTCAGCGACCGGGTCCTGCTGTAGCTTGTCAAGTCCGTTGCACAGGAAGCACATCGTGTGGTGTGAGCAGCGATTTTGTGGTAATACGGTCTGCTTATAATCGTGCATGGGCGTGTGCAACGTGAACTGTCGCCGTGACCATCCGCAAACGATCGCTCCGGGGAACGGGCTTAGTCCGAAAAACGATGTCAGAAGTGGGAGTGGTGATGGGGGTAGGACAAAATCATCGCTTGCATTGCGCAACCCGGAAACTGCGCTTTGACCTTGAGAGACGAGTTCTTTACTTACGACTAACGATCCTCACCCGAAGTGGCGATATCGCATATCGTGATTTGGGATGGCACCTACGAGGAGAACGCGCGCTGCAATCTTTGACGCATTTCATTCCACCTGTCAGACCTAAGCGCGCGCACAAAAGCACAGCAGAGTAGCGTGGTGTAACCAATGTCCTGACACTCTGCCCGTACGCCTGTTCTCTGTATGTAGGACGTAGAGGGGCCGTTTCCGGTAAGGCTGTGAACAGGGATGCCACGTGTGGTGATGTACGGGGATCACGTCGCTACCTTTCGGAGGACACGCGAGCTGTCGCACAGAGGCCAAATGGTCGACAGCAAGTTGTGGATTCCAGAAGAGCGTAATTCGTCGTTCGCAGTCTTGAGCTTACGAAAGCTCTATCAAAACCAGGTAAGGCTACCCTCCAGTGGCGCAATCGGGTTGCAGCCACCCTTGACAGCTGCTTCAGGGCGAATTTCATCTAGCGTTGGGAGCACTGCCTGTGTGCAAGCACCCGTTGAGACGCGCTCACGAGAGATTAGGGCAGACATCAATCTTGACAAAGGATTCTGTGCTCTCGAGTCGTACTTCCAAGAAGCTTGTCCAACAATATCCTCTAGAAGTACAAATCACACAAGAAAGCCATGTACTGCTCTGTAAGAATGAAGTTTGACTGAATGACTCTGACCTCGGTTTCTGCTGCCCCATGTGAAGAACACTCGAGATGGTACTCAGTGTTACTGTCATGTTGTGTTCGGATCTGTTCTCCTTGAACAAAGGCGACGCATGCATCTGAATTTCGCTTCCTCACTCTGATGGTCGTCTCCGCCAGACTTTACGTGCTGAAATGGAGGTAGTGAATTCGAAAACTCGCCCTACGATCACGACTACAGACCATTCAGCATTCATCTTCATTGCCGCAGCGTTATGTCTTGTGTGCATGACGCTGTTCCTGAGCGCAAGACTGGTCGTTCGGTGGCCATGGTCTCGATCTCTTGGACCTGACGATTGGACGACGCTCTCAGCCTCGGTTGGTCAACTAGCCCAGGGCAAATGTGATCGAACTGACTTTTTAGATATGCGCATTATTCCAGAGTATCCTTTTGCTATCAAGTGCAAAAGCTGGACTTGGAGTAGCTGAATCGGAGCTTTCGACCTACAAATTAAGAACAGCACTCAAAGCAAGGCTCCTGTCTTGTATTCGAGATTGACCTGAACTGACAGTGCCAGCTTCTCTATGTCAGCGACCTTCTTTACATACCAGCAATGTTTGTCGCACAACTCGCGGTCAGCCTCTTCTTCTTGAGGTTGTCTGGTCCTGAACGAAGTTTCTTCCACCGGCTCGCTCGGTTCATTGGAGTAGCATCAATACTTTTCGCGGTAGTGTGTTTTCTCATGGTTGCCCTCAGGGTAGAAGATGGTCTACGGGTGTGGGAGATTGTGGTCGTAGGTCACGAGTCAATAGTGAGTTTCCATCAACTTCTTGTTCTGCAAAATAGAGGCCTGATTACAAAACAGCTTTATCGTTGGATCGCAACAGGCGTTCTAAGCATCCTTGTCGAGATACTCTTAATCATCTGTCCTGCATGGCTCCTCTGGACTTTGCACATGCCTCTGAAGAAGAAGTTGGGCTGTGCGATTTATTTCAGTCTCCGTTTCCCGTAAGTTCATTAGCCACCCCCAGTTGGAGATGTTTACTGATTGACCAGGACGGTGATGGTGACGATATTTCGGCTACTAGCGCTCGTCAAAGCAAACAGAGGAGTGGATCGTACTCTCGACATGACACTGCCATCAGTTCTGACACAGCTCGAGATGCATTTTACGGTACTGGCTGCGACGATTCCAATCCTGCGGAACCCCCTTACCAAGCTCAATTCAGGATATCTGAACACGACATTGGAGCGGATGGACCCAGTGGCAAGCGCAGCGTATGTATCGTCTAGGTCAGGCAGCAGCGGTAAAGGGGCATCGTTTGCCCTGTCGCATGTAACAGGAAGCAAACGTCAGGTGGATGTGATGGCAGAGCCGAGGGAAGGAGAAGGGATTGAGACGATTGCCGAGGGAGGGTCGGACGCGGTGGGAGAGGGCCAGAGTGTGTTGTCTGAAGGATCTGATCAAATCATGATCAAGCGAACAGTCATGATAGACTATGCATGATGGCGGCAGTGGTCATTATTGTCATGGGGGAAGTCGGAGGAGAGACTTCGCAAGGAGGCGGAGATAAGCCGACGCGATCCGCGCGTGGCTGGGAGGTTCCTACCTACGTAGTTGGCTCATGCGCCCGCCTTGTATCCTACTACGAGCAAAGCATTGCAACTTTTCCCAGAGCATGATCGACTCGAGCTGTAGATCGGTAGAAAGAGAAGAGAAACTGGCAGCTATCTACAACCGTCTCATCACGGCTGTATATAAATACTGAACGTAGAGAGAATGGTCAACGGTCGTCAGGAGAGTGGATGGTACGGAGTAGAGCGGGTGGATTCGCAGCTACCCCACTCCCAGCGGCGGGAAGATGGAGGCAGCGGTCAGCGGTATCGGCGAGAGCAATCCAGACGCTGCGCTTGGCATGCAGGTCGCACGCCGTGCTAACAATGAGAGGAATATTTTCGAGTCATCCCAAAGTCAAAGCCGACAAGGAATCCCTCGAAACAGAGGCGTTTCTCCCAGACCACCACTTGTTTCCTCTCACACGCATATCCCTTGACTGCGACACATCGATCAAGATGCTCTCGTCACAAGCCCCGAACCGCGCTCTCCGCTTGTCGCTCCGCGCTCGCCACTTTTCCACAGGTCGTGCCCTCGCCGCCGTCTCGCCATACAGATCGCCGAATCCCTCCACAAACCCCTCCAAGAAGGTCGAGAAGAGAGAACAAAGCACAGCTGCCGCCGCCGCCGCACAAGCAGCCCAATCCTCACCAGCACGCGCTGTTCCTAGCCCGGCCTTCAACCGCTCTGTCAAGGAAGATGTCCAGCCCCTCCAGGCTTTCAGACAGCCCGAGATGGACCACTCGTTCGTCGGCATGAACGGTGGTCAAATCTTCCACGAGATGATGTTGAGACACGACGTCAAGCACGTCTGTGAGTAGCTAGAACTGCTTCTCAAGTACTCCGGACTCGCAACTAACAAGCTCGTCCAGTCGGTTACCCCGGAGGTGCCATCTTGCCCGTCTTTGATGCCATCTACAACTCGGAAGCCTTCGATTTCATTCTTCCCCGTCACGAGCAAGGAGCTGGCCACATGGCAGAGGGTTACGCCCGCGCTTGCGGCAAGCCTGGTGTCGTCCTCGTCACATCTGGTCCTGGAGCCACCAACGTTATCACCCCTATGCAAGATGCTTTGATGGACGGAACCCCCATGGTCGTCTTCTGCGGTCAGGTCCCCACTACCGCAATTGGCTCGGATGCTTTCCAGGAGGCCGATGTTATTGGTATCTCAAGAGCCTGCACAAAGTGGAACGTCATGGTTAAGAACATTGCCGAACTGCCCCGCAGAATCAACGAGGCCTTTGAGATCGCTACCTCTGGCAGACCTGGTCCCGTCTTGGTCGACCTGCCCAAGGATGTCACTGGCGCCATGCTCAACCGCCCCATCCCCATGAGCAGCACTCTCCCTACCCACCCTAGCGCCGCCTCTCTTGCTGCAAAGGACTTGAGCAGAAAGCAGCTCGACTCTGTCATTTCCCGCACCGCCGACCTCATCAACATGGCCAAGAAGCCCGTCATCTACTGCGGTGCCGGTATTCTCGGTCACGAAGACGGTCCCAAGCTCTTGAAGGAGCTGTCCGAGAAGGCCCAGATCCCCGTCACTACCACTCTCCAGGGCCTCGGTGCTTTCGATGAGCTTGACCCCAAGGCTCTCCATATGCTCGGTATGCACGGTTCCGCCTTTGCCAACATGGCCATGCAAGAAGCAGATCTCATCCTCGCTCTCGGTGCTCGTTTCGACGACCGCATCACTGGTCACGTCCCTCGCTTCGCTCCTCAAGCCCGTAAAGCCGCTGCTGAGGGTCGCGGTGGTATCGTTCACTTCGACATCATGCCCAAGAACATCAACAAGGTCATCCAATGCACAGAGGCCGTCGAAGGCGACGTCACCGACAACCTACGTCACCTTCTTCCTCACGTCAAGAACACCGCCGAGAGCGAGCGCAAGGAATGGTTCGGCCAGATCGCCGACTGGAAGAAGCGTTTCCCCTGGGCCTACGAGAAGGAGTCTGGCCCTGACTCGCTCATCAAGCCTCAGACTGTCATCAGCATGCTCTCTGACATGACAAATCACATCAAGGACAAGACCGTCATCACCACTGGTGTCGGCCAACATCAGATGTGGACCGCTCAGCACTTCCGCTGGCGCCACCCTCGGACCATGATCACTTCCGGTGGTCTCGGTACGATGGGCTACGGTCTCCCTGCTGCCATCGGTGCCAAGGTTGCCTGTCCTGAGAAGCTTGTCATTGACATTGACGGTGACAGCTCATTCTCCATGACCTTGACTGAGCTCTCTACTGCTGCTGAGTTCAACATTGGCTGCAAAGTTCTCATCTTGAACAACGAGGAGCAGGGTATGGTCACACAATGGCAATCCCTCTTCTACAACGACCGCTTCGCCCACACTCACCAGCGTAACGCCGATTTCGTCAAGCTTGGTGATGCCATGGGTGTCCCCGCTCGTCGCTGCACCAAGATTGATGACCTCAAGGACAGCCTCCAATGGCTCATCGAGGGCTCTGGTGAGGGCCCGGCTCTTCTCGAGGTCGTCACCGACCAGAAGATTCCCGTCTTGCCTATGGTTCCTGGTGGTGCCGCCCTCCACGAGTTCCTTGTCTACGATGAAGCCAAGGAGAAGGAGCGCCGTCAACAGACAAGAGATCGCAGCGGAAGATAAACTCGCCTTCTGATGCGATGACATGTCCTTCTTACCTTTCTCTCTTTGTGTAAATTCCTTCGGCCCCTTAGCCCTTTTATCATGACTTTCTGTGGTGTTTTTCGAGCATATTTGGCAGCGGAAAAAGAATGTGGTTTACCCGCGGGCGTTTTATATCTATAGTCATTTCCTGTTTTGCTTTTTTCACTCGGAAGAGGTGGATGAGAATGCAACAGCTGGATATCCGGTCTTTCTGGTGAATAAAAGTGCTATTTACTGTTATCATTCGGTGTCGTCTACTGCGCGAGCGCTGGCGAGACGAGAGAATGCACAAATGAAAGCGTCTTCTCAACCTATGCTCTATCCTACTTTGCAGGTGATCATTGTCTACCATTCTCCTGGATGTATAGTCGCTGTCTTGGTGATGTTTCTGGAAGTCAAATAATTCGAGCAGGCCTGAGGCACGGATCCCGCGCTGCACAACCAGCTTCGGTAAAGTTGGCAACCCATGTTTGCAACGTCCACACTCATGGCTGATCTTGTCTGCGCCGAGCTTGCAATTCCTCACCAAGGCATAAATGTGATCTATGACATGAGACAGGAGGTACGCCCAGTGAAGGGTAGTTGCATCTCTAAAACATTGGCGGGGCAACGAGACAGGCACCAAGCAAGCAGTTCTTGGAAGCAGGCACCAGCATAACCACCAACGCTTCATATACAAACGTAGGTACTTACCATCACCTTGACTGATCAAAGCTATACCCATCAACGATGGATTTGTTCTACCTGAAAAACGCAGCTCTCTATCAGTCTTATGTCGACAAAGTGGATCCAACAGAACCTCAAGCACACTTCTCGAATGTGCCGCTCCAGGCGACAGAAGAGAAAGACAACGACAACCCAAACATGACCATCAGCGTCCGAATTCGCCCAATGCTAGAAGACGATATCGCTTCCGGCTTTCCTCGCGCAGTATATCCTCGTCCTCACGACTCAACTGCAAAACATCAAACCATCGATCTCCATGATCTCTACAACCATCCTCGAAGACCCCGTCCCATCCTCAGATCTTCTACGCACAAGCTTCAAAAGGTATTTGATGCTGGTGCAAGCACAGCACAGGTTTACGATGAGGTTGTACGCGATCTGGTGCTATCTGCTGTGAAAGGCAAGCTGGGTACTTTGTTCGCATATGGGCAGACCAGCTCCGGCAAGACCTTCACCGTCACGGAACTACAGAAACTCGCTGTTTCGGAGCTGGTTGATCGCCAGGCTGAGTTGTACATCACCGTTGTCGAGCTTTCTGGCAATGTCGCCTTCGACCTTCTCAAACAACGCGAGCGGATTGCTGTACGGGAAGACGCATCCGGAACCACGCGACTTGTTGGAGCCCTCGACCAGCGAGTCAGCGGTAAAGAGCAAGCAGTTGAGTTGCTGGAAAAAGCCATGTCCTTCCGCCGTGCTGCACCTACTTTAAAGAACCCGGCCTCCTCACGTTCACATTGCATCTGTCGCATCAGAGTTGTACAACCTACCTCCCCCGAGCAAGGCTACCTGTACATGATCGATCTCGCTGGTTCAGAGGCAGCACGTGATGTGGCAGAACATGGACCCGAGACGATGCGTGAGACACGCGACAACAACGTCAGTCTCTCAGTACTCAAAGACTGTATTCGGCAGAGAGCGCTGGCGGCTTCGAGCAAGAAAAAGGTGCATGTGCCTGTACGAGGGAGCACGTTGACGAAGGTCTTGAAGCATGTCTTTGATCCAAAGGTTAGTCAGGAGTGCAAGACAGTTGTGATTGCTTGCGTGAATCCGAGTCTTGGGGATGTTTCGTCGTCGAAGAACACGCTGAGGTATGCGGAGTTGCTGGGCAAGATGGATTGAGTGTTTCTTGTCGCACACTGATTGAGTGAGTGTTGAGCCTCCGAATTCGTCGTGTGCTGGTGTAAGGATTTGGGGTCCTCATAGTTCGTAACTAAGGCCTTTAACGAGCAAGATGGACATGTCGACATAATAGACTCACTCAGTCACTTGACTTGCACGGCGGCAGGCCGGTCAATCTTTCGAAACTTAGCTGCATGAGATGCGAACTGACCGTTGCTCATCACATTCTTTTGTTAGACGTAATTCTGTCTGTTTGATAAGGGTGAGAAATTGCTTGCACCGCTACAGGTCGTTACACTGACTGTAGCTTCATCTCGGAACGGGACCAGGACCAATGCCAGTGTTCCAGACAGAACGGAATCGAGAAGAGGCTGCCGGTTGTGACTTGCAAAACAGAGGCAAAGCGTTTACGACGCCGTCGGCATATGGAAGTGCAAGGCCTCGGGTCGCACGCATGACTATCTCGAAGCTCCAGAAGACACGGTTGAACAGGACAGCCGGAAGATGGCGCTTTCATGTACTCTGAAGATTTATGATTTCAACGATACATAATTCTTAATCAGCCAGATTTTGCTTCTGAAAGAGTTCTAAACGTACCTGAGATGTGGACAGACTGGTAGTCTGTGTGCAGGAAGCTCGAGTGTACAGCTTGCGAGGCACCTTTCCACAGACCTCTCGGGTCTACAGCTAGAGAAAAAATAGTCCGGCCACGAACTGTACCCACCGTGTCCACCATCTGAAGACAAACTACCCAGACTGTCACTGGCATCCCGAGGTCATGCTCGCTTTCGAATTCTCTGTATTTTCAAGCTGACAACTTGCGTTGAGCCAACAACAGTCGGGCCAAACACCTCTGTAGTCCTCACTTCAATCAGTGCTTGTGTCGAGCTGACTTGACTAGCGTTTTGGCTGGGTAGCGCTACAGCACGACGAAGGATGATTAATGGTCATTCTGTGTATGCAAATGTATCCCACTTCTTCTAGGTCAGCGCCTGGCATATCTTGTTCCTTTGGTGAAGCAATCTGATCTGTTCCATTGTCTTCTCTTGCTCTGCGTCGAATCTTTCCAAAACCTCTTGACCTAATCCTCCATCTCTTGCAATCGTAGTCATCTTGCCGCTCGAGCGCAATGCGATTTGATACTGTGATTGGAATGTTGACGAGAGAGATTCGGGCAAGAGCGATCGGGCATGTCGTGGGATGTGAGAGAGCGATACATCATCCTCTACGGCGCAAAATGGCGGTTTCAGCAAGACATCGGATTGTTGAGTTTGTGGCCAAAACAAAAGACAAAACGTACAGCAGCAGGGATTCCCACGTGGTCACCCACCGTAGTACTAATCTGCCGTTCAACTGCTTATGTATGGCAGAGCGGACGGGATGCCCAGTTTTCAGCTGACTGTGGCCGTACGTGCTAAGATCGCAAAGATTAGCCAATATGTTCATTCTACTTGCCTCTTGAGAGGGCTGATGCAATGCTTGGAGCGTAGCAAGCTCCAGTGTCCAGCTTCGCGAGACTGGCGCCCACAAATCTTCCGAATCTCGCGACTGCGTGACAACCACAAACAGATCAAGACTTGAGCTTTCGCGACCTGGGTATGGCCTTATCTACAATCTGCAGACAATCACCAGACTTCCACTTGTGCTTCAAGGCTTCTTTCGACTGATGTGGCAGTACGATGGACTTATCTCAAGCTCAGCCGTCCGAGGCTCGCATCTTTTGACTGCGTCTGGCGGACAAGATTTCATCCAGGTATTTCCCAAGAAGGGTCTCTGAATGTCAAGATTTGGTCATATCGCGCCAAGAAGACCATCCGTTAGTCGCGATAGTTTGGTGGTCTCATCGCTTCCCCACGGTCTATGGTCCTGTTTCCCCTTTTAGGAATGAACACCAGCCCCGCGTCGATCTCGCCTGGCAGACACAACCCTTAGAGAAGTCACGGCATCCAGGACAGAGGTAAAGGTGATTGGAGATGATGTTTACTATATCTACAGCATCTTCCCACGGTGGAGGTGAACGCATTCATATGTTTCCTGATTTATTCCTAATCCTCACACATCATTACTGCTCAAGACCTCGTCATCGTCTTTTGCTAGGATCCAGGATTTATCCTTTCGACAACTAGAGCTTCATTGACGAAACTCAGAGGGACAGCTCCCGATCATCCACAACAATGCTCTCCAAGATGTACTCGCCACGCGTGGTCATCATCGGCGCCGGTATCGTCGGCACTAACGTTGCTGACGAGCTGGTTGCACGAGGATGGACCAACATCACAGTGGTCGACCAAGGTCCCCTGGATATGCCTGGAGGTTCCACATCACACGCCCCTGGTCTTGTTTTCCAAACAAATGTCTGCAAGACCATGACCCTGTTCGCACGCTACACAGTTGAGAAGTTCATGGCTCTGGAAGAAGATGGCGAGAACTGCTTCAACCAGGTTGGAGGTCTGGAGATTGCTACAGATGCCGCACGCATGGCAGAGTTGAAGCGCAAGCATGGTTACGCACAGTCTTGGGGCATCGAAGCTCATCTCATCACCCCCGACGAATGCCTCGAAAAGTACCCGCTGCTCAACAAGGAGCAAGTTCATGGTGGTCTCCACATCCCCACCGATGGTCTCGCCAAGGCAGCTCGCGCAGTCCAGCTTCTTATCAACCGTACTCGCAAAGCTGGTGTTCAATACATTGACAAGACTCCGGTCACTGGTATCGCAAAGGCTGACGGTCACGTCACTGGTGTTGAGACGCCAAACGGCACTATCCCCGCCGACATTGTCATCTCATGTGCCGGCTTCTGGGGCGTAGAAATTGGAGCCATGATTGGCCTACCTATCCCTCTGCTTCCTCTGGCTCATCAATATGTCAAGACTACTTCGGTACCCGCTCTCGCGAAGCGCAACAACCCTGAGGGCGGTGCATCGTTGCCCATTCTGCGTTACCAAGACAGAGATCTTTACTACCGCGAACACGGTGACCAGTATGGTATTGGATACTATGGTCACAAGCCTATGCCTATCGTGGCCTCAACTCTTGGCGTCACTCCTGAGAAGGTCGATCACAAGAACATGCCCTCTCGCCTTGAGTTCACTCGCGAAGACTTCGAGCCTGCCTGGGAGCTCTCCAAGCAGTTCTTGCCTTGCATGGATGAGGTCGAGATTGAGGATGGCTTTAACGGCATCTTCTCCTTCACACCCGATGGTGGCTCGCTGGTCGGGTGGGCACCAAACCTCGAAGGCTTCTTCGTCGCCGAAGCGGTCTGGGTCACACACTCTGCCGGTATCGCCCGTGCAGTTGCCGAGGTGCTGACAACTGGAAAGAGTGAAATCGACCTTGGAGCTGTCGAGCTCAACCGCTTTGAAGAGGTTCAACTGTCTAGCTCCTACGTCAAGGAGACCTCGTCGCAAAATTTTGTCGAGATCTACGATATCATGCACCCGCTACAACCTCGCGACTCACCTCGCAACCTTCGTGTCAGCCCCTTCCACGCTCGTCAGAAGGAGCTTGGTGCTTACTTCCTGGAGGGCGGTGCCTGGGAACGTCCTTACTGGTTCCAGGTGAATGAAAAGTTGGTCAAGGATCTGCCAGATGAGTGGAAGCCCAAGGACCGTGATGCGTGGTCGTCAAGATACTACAGCCCCATCGCTGCAGCAGAAGCGTGGAAGACCAGAACGGCAGCAGCAATGTACGACATGACACCGCTGCGTCGTTTGGAAGTCTACGGACCCGGCGCTGTCCATCTGCTCCAGCGCGTGAGCACTGGTGATGTTGGCAAGAAGCCTGGCGCTGTCACGTACACACTTTGGCTCGATGACAGAGGTGGTATCAAGAGTGATGTGACTGTTGCCAGACTCGAGGACCAGTTGTTCCAAGTCGGCTGCAACGGACCTGTCGATCTTGTCTACCTCAACAAGGAGGCCGCAAAGCAGATGCAGCAAGATCCCACGAAGTGGTGCACAATTCGCGACGTCACTGCCGGAACCTGCTGTATTGGTCTCTGGGGACCCAAGGTCAGAGAGATTATCAGCAAGGTCAGCCAAGATGACTTCTCGAGCACAGCCAAGGGTCTGCGTTACTTCCGCACAAAGCGCGCATACATCAGCGGCATCCCTGTGACCATCATGCGTCTCTCGTATGTAGGAGAGCTCGGCTGGGAGATCTACACCACAGCCGACCGCGGTCAAGCGCTCTGGGATGCACTCTGGGAGGCAGGACAGGAGCAGGGCATCATTGCGGCTGGCCGTACTGCCTTCAACGCCCTCAGACTGGAGAAGGGCTACAGATCCTGGGGATCTGACATGAACACCGAGCACGATCCTTACGAGGCTGGCGTTGGCTTCGCTGTCAAGGCAGGCAAGCTAGACTATTACGGTCAAGCCGCCCTCGAGGGACGTTCAGTCGAGACTGCAAAGAAGCGTATGCGCTGCCTGGTCATCGACGACGGTTCCTCGGTGGTGCTTGGCAGAGAGCCTGTGTTCGTTGGCGGTAAGCCCAGTGGATACGTCACTAGCTCTGCATTTGCATACACCATCGGCAAACCTATTGCGTACGCATGGCTGCCAAGTTCGATCAACGAGGAGGACAAGGTGGAGATCGAGTACTTTGGCAAGAGGATCGAGGCTACGGTGACTGCCGAGCCATTGTTCGATCCTTCTATGTCACGTCTGCGTGGTTGATCGGAGCTTCTAGAAGTAATGATGGGTTTATTTATAGCATAGACTGGCGCACTTTAATGATCAAGGCATATTTTAATGTTATTCCGACCGTTTTCTGTCAAGCTGTAAGCTTCTGTATGTGCCGGGTGTTCTAAAGGTGTTTGAGAATCTGTTCCCGGATGCGCGATCGCATCTCACGTGTGTTCAGTGTTAAGCATAGAGATCGTACTTCTCACGCGCGTGTATTCGGCTTGAAGGTTGCATTCCAGAGCTCACATATGGTAGTCATTGAAATTCTGCTTGGGTACACTGTGAACTTTGCATGACCAGCGATCTCATTACGGAAGTCCTCATACACGTACTATCAGTATGAAAACCATTTCTCAGACACTTGCCAATACCACCTAGCTCGAATTTACAGTCTACATGCGACACACAAGGATGTGTTCATGTTTATTTTCGATAAATGTCGAAGCCAGGGTCATTCCATCGACATGTTCAAGGTTGCACGTGGAGAAATATGTGGCTGGCGTCGGGATCGAAAGCTTCTCTCGGTGGCAGGCTGCGTTGCAGAACCCTGTATAGGTCATCTCATTCTTGGTTCCCTATCTTTCCTGTTGATGTGTAGGAGAGTTGCATGCACCGATTCGGGCAGCATTCTCGTGTGCTCGCGGGGTAGCGGTGGGGCACGATGCTGCAGACACGTGAGAATCCCACTACATCTGCACATGAGAACATTGTCCATCCCCAGAAAGATGGATGAGATTTCCGCAATCGGAAGTGGATATGATGACCATGTTGAGCATGCACGCTGGACTGACGACGTCGGCCACAAGGGTTGTCTTATAATTAAAGACAACCGGCAGCATGTAGTCGTTGCTCGTCATAAGCTTCTTTTTACAATCCATCTCTATACCCCAACCATGGCCGACAAGTCGTACCTGATCATCGGCGCTGGCGTTTTCGGCGTCTCGACTGCTTACCACCTCATCAAGAAGTACCCCAACGCAGACATCACCATTGTCGACCGTGATGCCTTCGACCAAGACACCCGCGTGGCCGCCTCTTGGGACTGGAACAAGGTAGTCCGCGCCGACTACGACGACATCGTATACTGCAAGATGGCCATTGAGTCACAAGACATGTTCAAGACGGACAACCTGTGGAAGCCCTACTTCTACCAGACCGGCATCTATTGGATGTGTCGCAGCGACTATGCTCAGGACGTCGTCAACAACTACAAGAAGCTGGGCAGAGCCGCCGACCTCAAGGCCGTGCCAATCGATGAAGCACGCAAGCTGTACGGTGGCCTGTTCGAGGACGCCGACTACTCCGATGTCAAGGAGGTGCTCGTCAACAAGAGCAGTGGCTGGGCCACTGCTGGCGAGTGTCTGATCGGCATTACCCGTGAAGCCTTGAGACTGGGTGTCAAGTACAAGCAGGCCGAGGTTGCTTCGCTGCTCCTTGACAATGGCCGCTGCAACGGCATCAAGACGGCCGACGGTGAAACCTTGACCGCCAAACACACTCTTCTATGTACTGGCGCATACACACCGAAGCTGCTTGAATACTGCGCCCAGGCCAGCGGCAACAACGACCTCTGTGCTGGCGAGAGAATCGTTGCTGGTGGTATCACCACTGGCATGACCAGGTTGGACGAGGACTCATACCGCAGATTTGCGTCCATGCCAGTTGGCGTTCAGGGATACACTGCCGAGACTGGTAAGATATTGCTCCCCTTTCTTTCCTGAGTATTACAACTGACAATAATGATAGGACCTTTTATCGGAAGTCTGCCGCCAACAAGAGACAGAGAACTCAAGTGGTGGGGCCAGAAGATCTTCAAGAACGACACAGAAGTCTTACCTGGACGCGTTGTGTCCGCACCTCCGGCGAAACGTGACTACGGACAGTGGGATGTTTCAAACAGACTCAAGGAGGACATTCAATACGCCAACCACGTCTTCTACGGAAAGAAATCTGCACACTGGACCATGGAGAAACACCGCATCTGCTGGTGAGTGCTCCAATCACGCAAAACCTATCCCATGTACTGACCTTGTGTAGGGACGCTTTCACATCCAGTTCAGACTTCATCATCTCGCCACACACCGCCGCCAAGGGCTTGTATGTTGCAACATGTGGCAACTTCCACGGCTGGAAGTTCTTCCCTGTGCTAGGCAAGTACATCATCTCCATGCTGGAGGGCACATTGGAACCCGAGTTGTGTGAAAAATGGGGCTGGGACAGAGATCGTCCTGACCCCAAGTACTTTGCCGACTGGCCAAGACACGATATGAAGGATATGTTGGACCCCGTCAGAACCGCCAGGCTATAATACACTACATCGACAGCTTGATATACATGAGGAAACGCTTTTTAACTTCTGATATCGCTTCGGCAAGAGATAGCACGTTGGTGACCGACATCTGAGTGAAGCAAGAGCGCCCTTTCATCCATTGCAACAAAGTCTCCGAAGCAACACGAACAACCGAACGATTACGTCCAAATGTGTTATCCAAGCGACCACACAGCATACGCGACCAGAGCAGCTGGAGCAAATGACGAATCGACTAGACTGAAGCGAAGTTCAATGCATACGCAATACACAGCCAAAGCTTGGAACTTAGTGGTGGCTGTCAGATCTGGTTTGACAACATGCCCGACTTGCATGCGATAGCCAACATTGACTAGCATGATGAATGTCTTATCACGGTGTGCATGCAGATACTCGACCAATCGAACAAAAGATAGGTTTGCTTCAAATCTTTCACGGCCACCGGTAACCACGATCGGAAATCAGACAGCATCCAACAAGCATCACTACGCGTAAATCGCGTCTTTGAGCAGCTATACAACAGGACTGCTTGATCCCGAGCATGCGACCGCTGGACAGTGTTACTCGAAAGAAGTTATCTTTTGCTGGCCCATCGCGATGCCTGGCGGATATTCTTGATACCGAAAAGTCTCACCGCAAGTCTGCGATCCCGATGATAAGCACACTACTTTGTGGTTGCATAAACTCTGAGCGGTTACATTGTCGCCGAAGCGATCGAAATCAAGGCAGCGCATTGAAGTCGTAATCAGACGACCTGGGTGCGAAACCAGCAACAGGGAAGTTGAAGTCTTTGCTACATGAGGAACAATGAAGCGGCCATCCAACATGGAAACCTCTGCCATCCACGATTCTCAGAGAGAGATGACATGATACTCCACAGATTTTGCTCAAACAGGATCTTTGCCCCGTACGAAGCGCTGGCGTATGGCTAGTAGAAGGCAACGGTTCTCTCGAAATATAGTTGTATCGAGTCAAAGTGCTTCGAGAAATGTGCTCCTTACGGAATAGACAAGGAGTCCATGTGCGTTTCGACAGCCCATATGCGAGATACCGCTCTCGTACGAGAGCTGAGGAAAAAGGTTGTTGGCTTCTAGAATGCATTCCTCTGCTTAGGACTCCAGCCCACCTTGGCGAGTTGCTGTCGAGATAAGCTTACAGAAGCCACTGTCCCAATTTGGTTGCGACTTCCCCAAACTCAGATTGTGGTATCTTCTATCTTTTGTTTGAGCTAGTCTTGTGATCTGCCTGATACCCGGACTTACAACTTCCCCAGGAACGGTGGACTAAAACTGGTCAGCTCACTCGCATTTGCATAATGACTGGATCATCATGAATCGTGTGTCATGATAAGGTCACTATGCAGGGATAATGAAACAAGATGGTAACGGATTCGCAAAACCTGACCTCGTACGGTAACTCACGACACATGAGGCTGTTCACTCCTCGATGTATCTCCCCGCACGCGTGCGTGCCCGACACGGTAAAAGCAACCATTGTACCTTGATATCAACAAGAAAGGATCTCCATCAAAACCAAATCGGGTACTCTTCTACAAAGAGTGACAGCATATTATTGATCTATCCTTCCTCCCAAGTCATCATCTCCGGGTTTCAAAACAGGCCTTGACTTACCTTACATACCAACACGCCACGGTAATGTACGCAGAAGCCCCACAGCAACCCAAGCCTTGGGCATGGACGCCTTTGATCGAGAGCAGACCGCTCTCAGAAGCAGCAGGATGGTTTGTCTCCCACTTCTCATCGGTCCCCTACCCTTATCTCTCTCCTTTCTTGCACGATCAAACTCTATCAATGCTTGAAAACGATTTCTAAATCGCAGAAGTAGAGTCTTCCTGAAACTCGACAACCTACAGCCATCCGGCTCGTTCAAGTCCCGTGGTGTAGGCAACTACGTTCTCCAGCGTGCCGCCGAACGCATCTCCACATCTGGAGTTCCCAACTCGACACACTTCTATGCAGCTTCTGGTGGAAACGCAGGCATTGCCTGCGTTCACGCTGCCAGGACACTCGGCTACCCTGCCACTGTCGTTGTTCCCAAGAGTGCTAAGCCAGTCATGATTGCAAAGATCTGGGCCATGGTATGCATGTCCACAGCCCACCGCATTTGCATTTTGACTGATCAATCAAACAGGGGGTCAAGCAGGTCATTCAACACGGTTCTACGATTGCGGAAGCACAGGAGTACATTATCAACACTCTTCTGCCTGCAGACCCTACCGGAGTATTCGTTCCTCCCTTCGACCACCAGGACATCTGGGATGGCAACGCAACTGTCATGCAAGAAATTGCATCACAACTCGGAGACAAGCCTGACGTTGTTGTCTGTAGTGTCGGCGGCGGAGGCCTCCTCAACGGTATCATGCAGGAACTGGACCACAAGAAGTGGAACAACGATGTGCAGGTCCTCGCTATGGAGACCAAGGGAGCAGACTCGTTGAGCCAGAGTCTCATTGCAGGTCAAATCGTCACTCTCCCAAGAATCACATCACAGGCCACCAGTCTTGGAGTTGTCAGAGTCGCAAAGAAGACTTTTGAATATGCTCAGAGGCCTAACGTCACGAGTGTCGTGCTCACTGACGAAGAGGCTGCCAAGGGCTGTTGCTTGTTGGCCGAACACGAAAGGATGATGGTCGAGTTGACTGTCGGCGTCAATGTACCAGTCTGCTTCGACGGCTTCCTGCAGAGCTTGTTGGCTAACAAGAAGACGATTACCAAGGACAGCAAGGTGGTCCTGGTGGTTTGTGGTGGAAACGACATCTCACTCGACATGCTCATGGCCTGGCGTATGGCTATGGTCGGCAGTGAGACTGTCCAGGAGAACACCACATCGATGACCGCAAGAGTCGGAGCCACTGGAGTTACAGCTTGAGCGATGAAGCTTGATTCACGAACGATTTGGATATTATCCACACAGATTAATGGGACATGGATGTTTTTGGTTTTGGGTCTATATACGCTACGTTATCAAATTGATTTTATACTGCAATCTGCACCACATTCACTTACATACCTCTGGCTATCGGACATAAACAGCGAGCATAGCACGTGAATCATGCCAGAGCCTCAATCCGGCATGATGATAAAACTGCATCCAAGCTTATCACATCAACTTCGGTCCTTTTTCTCTACCACTTATCACTCTGACTGTGGGCATTGATCACTTATCGCAGGTCACCAGACTGAGTTGGGATTGAATTTCCCACCGCATGTCGTCGTTGCCAAGATGGTCAGCCATCGTTTAGAGTTGGCTGCGCTCAAGAGGGTCCAGCTGGGACGACCCCAGATGGATTCGACTACCCTTTTGGGACAGTATGCACATTCCTCGCCACGATCGAGATTGCGATAGCGCTGCACAAGCTCAATGTGAATCCCTGAGGGTTTCCCAAAGCGCGACTAATCTTGGGTATCGAATCCTGCTGCCATCAGCTAATGATTACGCAAATCGACAGGTTGTCTCTGAATGCGCTGGCTGGCACTGGCAAAAAGAATGCCTGATGCGTAGGCCAACCCCACGGGGCTCAATGCACCGTCCTGACGAGTCGTCGCTCTTGTCCATATAATTAACCAAAGGTCGAACTTCAGCTGTGTCCCTTCCTCCTTCCATTCTCAACCTTGGATATTCATATCAAGTCTCCACTCTCCTCTTATCGAATATTGCCTTACTCCATTGCAATATCTACAGACATCTTTGAATCACAATGGCATCCTTTCTCAGTTACTTCAACCGCAGAGATAGCGGAAATGCATCAACGAAACCTGCAATGGACAAGCCGGCACCCGTGAGAGCACTCCCTGCATCATGGTACACTTCTGCCGACATGTATGAACTTGAGCGTCGTGCCATCTTCTCCAGACGCTGGCTCCTCATCACACACAAGCTACGCCTCACTAAGCCTGGTGACTTCCTCCGCTACGATGTAGCTGGCTTCCAATTCGTCCTTGCCAAGGACCGTCAGGGCAACATCAACGGCTTCCACAACATTTGCCGTCACAGAGCGTACCCCGTTGTCGAGAAGACAGAAGGCACAGCACGCATCTTCGCTTGCAGATACCACGGTTGGTCGTACGGCTTGAACGGAAAGCTCGCAAAGGCACCAGACTACCAGGAACTCGAAGGGTTCGACAAGGAAGCCAACGGACTTTTGCCCATTCACGTCCACGTCGACAAGAACGGTTTCGTTTGGGTCAACATGGACGCGAAAGCAGAACCCGAGATTGCCTGGGAAGACAACTTTGATGGCGTCGACGTGCAAACACGTTACCAGCAATTCGACTTTGAGAACTACGAGTTTGACCACAAGTGGGAGATGGATGGTCCCTACAACTGGAAGATCCTGGCAGATAACTACAACGAGTGTTATCACTGCCCGACAACACACCCCGACATCCCAGCTCTGGCCGATCTAGAAGCATATTATGTCAACACAACCGCAAACCACATTCAGCACGAGGTCGCAAGCAAACCTGAGCAGGTTGCTTCTGGCATGACCGTGGTCCCAACCTACTACTTCCCCAACGCCTCCGTCAACGCAACGTAAGTTTTAGCCTATCATCATCTTCTCAAACTCTTGCTAACATGCAACCTCTCAGACCAAACTTCTTCTTCATGCAGCGATTCGTTCCTCACGCAGCCGGCAAGGCAACCATGAGCTACGAAGTCTACCGCAACAAGAACGCCACAGACGAGGACTTTGAAAAGATCAACCAGATGTACAAGCGCATCATGTCGGAAGACAAGGTCTTGTGCGATGCCGCGCAAAAGAACGTCAACGCTGGCGTCTTCGTCAGCGGCCTCATGCACCCCAGAATGGAGAAGGGGCCACTTTACTTCCAGAAGTTGTGCAGAGAGGCAGTAACAGAACATCACGACAAGGAAAAGGCTGCTGGCGGCAAGATCCACCCGGCCAGACAGCAGATGTCACAGGCTGAGATTCAGAGCGAGAAAGATATTGACTTCTGCTCTGGACTGGCGTGTGGTGAGGAGCAGCAGGAGGCATTGGCCTGGTGAGCTTTTGGATTCATGAGTTTTCCTTTTGCTCTATTGAAGAATGATACACATGCATAGCGTAACGACTTTTCGGTCTGGTTTAGATATATCGCGATTTCGACCTAATTGAGACTGATTATTGACTTCTTGATTCTTGGAATTTGGCTCTTCCATTCCTTGGTTTGTGATTGCAACAGGTTTGACTGTTTACTTCTTGCCTGTGTGCTAGAGCCCGTGTCTCAAAAGCTTCTTCCACGAAGGTCGAAAGCGGTGGGCTCGCCACAGAAAGTCACGATGGTTTCCGAGCTAATGATGTTTTCGAAGAGAGTCCAATACGTGTCAAAGGACCATTGACCTGGTGTGTCAATTGACTCGTCGTGGCTGTCTTCGCGTGCCTCTCTCTCGGCCAGTTCAAGAGGTCCACTTCAGCAAACTGGCCGCTCTGCTCGTAGCGGTAGCCCAGGGGTGCCTCCAGTCGAGACACTCGCTTTGGTTTCGGAATAGCCCTTTGGCAAAGGCACGTCAATTTATGCATGGTCTGCGATATCACAAATCAGCCTTGCTCGACGCACGTAAAAGCGATCATGAATCAAGTTTCTTTCCCGAGGTAGAGAGGGATTGATGAGATGTCTGAGATTTATGCATGGTGCTAGCAGCAAAGAGAGATTATGCTACGTTGCTACCATCCAGTTTCTCGCAAACATTGTGTAGTTCTATGGCTTTATATACGCCTGACATAGCTTTGTATATGAAGCGAGGGATATAAATGTGATCAACTTCTGCTTGAGCAACACGCTATACAGACTCACGAGTCGCACCTGCCCGAGCAGCATCCTCAGTACTTTCCGTCTGAGCTCCGAGAAGAGCACTTTCCTCATCAATGACTTCCTTCTTGGGTGCAGCACCCTGAGAAACATTCTTCGACTTCTGTAGTGCAGACCAGAGCGTGCTAGCAATGACAACAGCACCTCCAATACACGACCACAAGCCAGGAAAAACACCCCAGATGGCCCAGTCAAAAGCAAGAGCAAACAGAATGCCTGTATACAACATACTAGTAGCCTTGCTGGTTCTATCGAGTTGAAGTCCAGCAGTGAGCAAGAACTGCAAAACGAAGCCGAGGACACCGAGGAGGGATAGAAGTAGCCACTCGCGTGCTCCACGAGGCATGACAAAGCCCATACCAGGGAGCACGAGCAAAGCACCAGCAGACCCAAAAGTGCTGATCAGAGCAAAGTAGTTTACCGAGATGAGTGCGTGAGCGCGAGATCCAATCACGCGGATCAAAGTGTATGCAGCAGAAGCACCAAGGACTCCAATGACAGAAACAAAGATGGCAAGGAGACGCTGTCCAGCAGAGACTTCGTCGATCTTGTTTGGCTGGTGGTGAGGAAGTTCGATGTCGTCGTCTACTCTGCCGAATATGGCGGCTGGATGGGCGATGATGACTACACCCATCAAAGCGATGACTCCGGCTAGAAACTCGGTTCTACTGAAGATCTGTCCGAGGAAGATGGAACAGGCCCATGCTGTGATGATTGGTACTAGGAAGCGGAAGACCGTTGCTTCGGCAAGAGGGAGATAATGAACAGAATCTATCATCACCTACATGAGTCTTCTGAGAGCAGGTCTGGGGAGACATGGCATTGCTTACAGTATAAACAGAACAATCCAAAGAATCCAGCGAGAGCTCGCAAAATCAACCACCCCCTGACAGCCGGTGCTCCAAGCGGAAAATCGGGTACTTTTGTGTACCACATATACAAAGTACTAAGCAAGGCCGTGATGCTCATACGAGCAAAGATGACCTGGAAAGGATGCATTCCATGTCCTCCCTGCTGCAAAAATCGGACAATGGCATCCATAGTCGATCCAGTCGCTTGAGCCAGCAAAATCAGAAAGACGCCCTTGTTGTTGCGCCAGATTTGTTCCAAGGCATTTAGCTTGGTCTCGGAGACATTGCTCGACGGTCTCGAGAGATCTTCTCCATTGTCGACTCCGTTTCCAGTCATCTTTGTATATACAATGCCGTCGCAGAAAAGATCATGTTTTGTCGGTGAGAGTTGAGTTTTATATGCGTGCACGGACACGAAGCAATTTTCCCAAAGGGGAAGGCTGAACCGGCATATTCGTGGTGAAAAGATGGAGACAGCAATGAATGCACCTCACTCTTGCACATTGCAAGATCAGCGTGAGCGTGTGTGCAAGAAGGTTGTGAGTGGTGAAGTTGACACATATCGAACGACAAAAAGGTCAATTCCTCAACAAACGATTTTCATGGGATATGAAACTCGATTGCAGTTGCCATAAACACTTATGTACACTTTTTGATGCCGGAGAACAATTCGTCTAGTACAACCCAAAGTCTCTCTTGACCTCACGGCCCTCTGCTTGCAACGTGACCTTGTACAACTTGTACTCGTTGAAGATGTACATGCCACCAGGTACGAAAGCAAAGTTGGCGTTTCCATTGGCAACTGCAAAGACGCCAAGCAAAACACCTTCAGGATTCCAGCTGTGAGATTCCAGGTCAATCATCTTGCATACGAAGACCGGTTCAAAAGAGGGGACTTACACATGCACACCATCTCCAGTTCCAGCATACACGTTGCCATTTGTGTCGCAGTGTAGTCCGTCTGGTAAGCCGATATCTGAATAAGCAAACAATTGCTTGTTCTGCAATCTCTTGCCATCGGGAGTAACATCGTAGCGGTAAATTGTCGAAGGCATTGTCAAGTTGTCCTTGTTGGGGAACGTGTGCACAGCCGTATCGGTGATGTAAACATGCTTGAAATCAGGGGAGAACTCAATGCCATTAGGAGCAATGGCATCATCGGCGACTGCCTGTACCACACCAGTCTTGGGCTCGAAGCGATAGGCTTGGTTCTTGATGACAGGAGCCGGACGGAAGTATTGCCAGTAGCCGTACGGTACGTCTGTGAACCAGAGGTCACCGGTTACAGGGTGCTGTCTGACATCGTTGATAGAGGTAAAGTTGCGACCAAGGAAGTTGTTGATCAAGACTTGGCTCTTGTTGGTCGCTGGGTCTACGAGAACAAGCTGTGCAGGGTTCGTCAAGTCGCCTTCATCGCAGAAGACGATTTGCTGACCTTCGCTACTGTTTCTAGGAGAGCCAACAGGGTACCAGGCAGTGGCTCCATTGGCTTCAGCCAGATGCTCGTAGTGGTATGATTGGATGCTATGGTTGCCGTTGATGTCGATACCAGTGACATTGATCGGGTTGCCGAAACTACCGTTCCAGTTGCTGGTGGCATAGAGCTTGCCGGTCTTGATGTTATACACGCCTGCTTCATGGAAAGCCTGGTAGTCTTGGTCGCTGACCAATTGCTGTGAAACATTGGGTCCTAGGATGTCGGTGACAAAGGTGTCATCTGTTCAAGTACAACTGTCAGCAACGCAGACTTTCTTAGGCTTCAAGCGATACATCACACTACTCACTATAGGACAAGAACGATATGTGATCCGTCGAAGCATTGGCAATGCCATACAGCTCATTGGCATAAGGAATGCTCGCCGCCAGAGTCAACAAATTGACGTGTGTAATGTTGACCATTTTGAAAGCTCAAGACAGCAAGTAACAGTTGAATCACCGAAGGAATTCATGTTGCAGCAAGACCTTCTTATATTTGTTTCACAGTCTCAATTGAGTGGCTGAGAAACAAAAAGATCGACCTTGGTTGTTCGGTTCCCCTCCTGGGCATGACGCTGCTGTATGAGCTTTGGCATTAGCCTAAAACCCTAAATGGCATAGATGCGCTTTCCTGAATAGCCGATGAATAGATGATCACCACACGGCAGTCAGACAAGTCAGGAATCAAGATGTCGATTGAGGAGAGAAGACCGATGCAAGCGGCATGCGTGAGGTTGAAATTTGAAAGTGTAGTGTATAATATTTTTCATCGTGAAATCTGAGAATCTAAAAACAACGCCAAAAGAACAATCCAGTATCCCTCACTCCGCCATAAACGAGCACCATTGGTATTTATAAAGTGGGCGCAGTATTGCAGCACCTTCGAACATGTTGAAAGCGTTTTTACAGAGGACGGCCACCAATGAAGTCAGCCCAGGGGCGAACCTCAGAGGGAATGCCCTCGGGCTTGGGCAGCTTCTCGCTCATGCACTGAGCGAAGAGGACAGCAGTCTTGGTCTCCATAAAGAGAGGGACACCAAAGTCGACAGCGTTACGGCGCATAACGTAGTCCTCGTCAACAAGACTGCTAGCACGGACCTTGGCCAAGTTGAAGACACCACGAATGTCGTACTTCTCGAAGACCTCACGGAGGGCACGCTTGTCCTCCTTGGGGAACTCGATGACCTCGACCTTGACACTACCATCCTTGGAGTTGCTCTCGAGGTGGTTCTTGACAGACTCATTGGCAGCGAAGAGCTTGAAACCAAGAGGGTTGACGTAGTCGACAATCTTGGCGAGATCAGGGTTGTTGATGTCTCCACCGAAGAGGAGACCCTCACCAGGCTGAGGGCAGCGGAAGTTCATCATAGATTGAGCCGCAGCCCAGTAGGCCTCAACGAGGTCCTTACCGAAGCAAGCCATTTCACCAGTAGAAGACATCTCAACACCGAGGTAGGGATCGGCACCGGCAAGACGAGTCCAAGAGAATTGAGGAACCTTGACAGCGAGGTAGTCACGCTTCTCGGCCAGGAGGTCGACGGGCTCGGGAACGTTGGTGCTGGTAAGAGCGCGAGTGGCAACATCAATGAAGTTGGTGCCGAGGACCTTGGAAACGAAGGGGAATGAACGGGAAGCGCGGAGGTTGCACTCAATGACCTTGAGAGAAGATTCACCGCCGTTGGGGTTGTCGGCATCGATGATTTGCATGTTGAAGGGACCAGTAATCTTCCAGGCCTTGGCAACCTTGTCGGCAATGACCTTGACACGCTTGATGGTATCCTCAGAGAGCTTGGCAGGGGGCAGAACAAGAGAAGCATCACCAGAGTGGACACCGGCGTTTTCGATGTGCTCACTGACAGCGTGGACAAGGACCTTGCCATCGTGAGCGACAGCGTCAACATCGATCTCGCGGGCACCTTCGATGAACTGAGTAATAACGACGGGGTGATCGGGGCTGACTTCGGCAGCGGCGTTGAGCTTCTCCTCGAGTTCGGCCTCGGAGCGAATGACAGTCATAGCAGCACCGGACAGGACGTAAGAGGGTCTGACGAGAACAGGGTAACCGACTTTGTTGGCGAATTGTTGAGCTTCGGCGTAGGAGGTGAGTTCGCTCCAAGCAGGCTGGTCAACACCAATAGAGTCGAGGATGGAAGAGAATTGCTGACGGTCCTCGGCCTTGTCAATGTCCTTAGGGTCGGTACCAAGAACCTTGGCCTTGCCGCTTTCCTGGAGCTTGAGGGCGATGTTCTGGGGGAGCTGACCACCGACAGAGACGACGACACCAGAGGCAGTTTCAAGTTCGTAGATATCCATGACACGTTCGTAAGAAAGCTCCTCGAAGTAGAGCTTGTCGGCGACATCGAAGTCAGTAGAGTAAGTCTCTGTACGCAAAAGTCAGCGGTCTGTTCGGCACACTGAGACGGCTTTGCTTCATACCAGGGTTGTAGTTGATCATGACAGTCTTCTTGCCCTGGTCCCTGAGAGACATAGTAGCGTTGACAGCGCACCAATCGAACTCGACGGAAGATCCGATTCTGTAGCAGCCGCTTCCTAACACGATAATACCATGGTCGTCAAATGTGATATCATTCTCGGAAGCATTATAGGTCGTCTGGTGTCTAAGTTAGTCACGGCTACAGTAGGAAAAAGAAAACAAGTGAAGTTAGTTGAACAAGTCATGTTAGTTAGTTATGTAGCAGGTCCGAAGCCAAGGTAAAGTCTGCCACGTAATCATGCTCAAGCTCAGTAGAGAAACATCAGGTCCCGTAAAGAAACTCATCAAGTCCATAGAAAAGCTTCGTCAAGTCCATCAAGTGCGATAAAGAAACTCCATCAAAGCCATCAAGTCCTTCAATTCCATCACGTTCGAAACGAACAGCGGAGTGCTACCGTTTGGAGTCACTCGGAAGATAAAGATGTTGAGGTCGAGATGTCCATGGACAAAGAGGAGAAGCGACGGTGACCAGGAACGATTTGGTGGTCATGACCAGATGACGATTTGCTTCAATCAAGGTACAACTCGAACTCCATGACATCCATGTCGTCGGCCTCAAGGTTGCCGTCGAACTCGGCCTCGGCCAATTCGTAGGCCTCGAGCTCGAGAGCATCGTAGGCTTCGGCAGCCTGCTGAGCTTCGAACTTGATCACATTGTTGCGGTGAAGGTCCGACACGAGGTGAGAGTACTTGAGCACGTTCTCTGACGCACAAAGCATGAAACAGAAACCACACCACAACGGACTGGTGCGATCGGCATTGACAGTCTTCTTGTGTGTAGGAGTGTTGAGGTGGTTGGAGTAGTGGTCAGCGTCGCGACAAGCCAGGTTGCAATCAGTGCAGAAGAAGTTCTTGTTCGCGCGATTCTCTGCGTACATCTCGGTTTTGCGACGAGCCCAAGCCTTGGTCTCTTCTACGAGCTTCTCAGGGTGGGCGGCATAACGCACAGTACGTTCGTTGAGCTTCCTGGCCAGATACCCATCGTGATTGGTCTCCATCTGCTTGTGGTGATACTTGGCGCCGTTCGCTGCGGTCCAAGCACGGTAACCGTCAGGATCACGCTGCTTGAAAGCGACGTTCCAGTTGTGGGTGAGGATGGCCGCCTTTTCCCTGTGATTCCTGCCGACCAAGATCGCAATTTCTTCCAGCTGCTCGTCGCTGAGGTCGAAGTTTCTACGCACGCCCTCATACAAGCAACAGTGGCTGCAGAGTCCGTCATACTCAAGGTCGGATCTAGGCCACAGGCACATGTGACCCATACCATAGTCTCTCTTGTAGGCACGCATAGCCCAGAAATTGAAGGAGAAGGTACCTTCGAGAGCCATGAAGAGCAGACGAGTCATCGGAACGAGACCCGCGCGAGGGAGAGTAGTTGTCCATGCAAGTAGGCCTTTGTGAACGATGGCATAACCTTCAGCGAGGGCTTGCTTGACCAGCGAGGGCAATGCGGTCAGCTTGTCGTAAGATTCAAGACGATGCTTGCCGCCGTACTTTTCGTCGGTTCCTGAACCAATGTAGATCTTGGGGCGACAACCTCTCTTGGTGAGAACCAGAACGTAGACGATGAAGCCTGGGCAGTAGAAGGATGGAAGACTTTTGAACCACTCGATGGTTGGAGCAGTGCCGGACTTGAGCTTGTCTCCAAGGTCAGAAGGAAACATCAGCTCGATGTCAGAGGCGAGCTGTTGAAGGTCGGTGTATTTTTTGATCTTGGTCGAGTAGAGCGCATTCTTCATGCGTCTAGGAGTGTCGCTGAGACACTCAAAGGTGAGCGAAAATACGAAGTCCTCAGTGTCAACATCGTCGGGACCGAGAACGAGAAGTTCATTGAGATCCTCGGAGTCGAAGGTTGAAGACATGATGAGGCTTGGGAGTCACTCCAGAGGTCAGCTGGTAATTCAAGTCGAACATGTTCGAACTTGGCTTACCAAAGCTGAAGAGCAGGCAAAGAAACCAGTCGAGTTTGTCGATGGACAAAGAGCTCAAGACTTGATGCTGGGGTCTAGGAGAAACGAACGTGTTCGAGGATCGAAGGACAGTGGTCGAGTCTTCAGAGCTTGAGAGTCACTCCCAAGGTCAGCTGAGAACTCAAGCTGGACGCCGTCCGAACTTGACTTATGAAGACCTGTCGGTCAAGCCGAGCGAGCAACTTGATGGAATCGAACAAAGCTGATTGCGAGATGGCTGGGACTTGGTGCGAAGGTCGAGATTGTCGATGGACAAATCCACAGACTTGAAGGTCGACGGAGTGCACGCAAAACGAGATGCCGGTCGTGATGGTTGACAATGAATGTCAACCTCGAGGCTGAGGCAGGAGTTCAGGTGGCAGGCAGCAACGAGGAAACGCGTGTGACCGCGAGTCGCGCAGACATGTTGGTCGAGGCAAGTGGGGGTGGTGGTCGCTCCTTCCTCAACTTGTGGAAGGCAACCAAGAAAAAAAAGCTGGGGAACGGCTGCTGGCCTCAGCCCCGCCCACAATCTGCTGGAGTGAGATGTAGTGGAGAGGGTTTGAAATGAAGAAAAGGCAGCTTATATAGGTGAATTTCAGAAGCCTCTCTCCGAGATCAAATCAGGGGCTCACAAGATTGATGCGCTGCAACTCGCTAAATGCGTGAAAGAAATTTCCACTGAGAGAGGCATCTCACCCACACTCCCCCTGGCAGGCTCGAGCTTTGAACAAGACTGTGCATCTTGATGGGCATCCGGACGACAGCAGGTCCCACTGAGAGAGGCGGAGGTGCAAGCGAGGTTGACATTGAATGTCAACCTTCAGGCTCTAACTGATGGCATATTGATGTGCTACAATATGATGGAAGACAGCAAGGTTGACAATCAATGTCAACCTTGAGGCTTGGACTTGATGGGGGACAGCAAGATTGACATTCAATGTCAACTCTCGTACCCTCACTGGCCAAGCCCAAGTCTGGAGGACGAAGTCTGATAAAGATCAAGGACTTGGTGACTCCATTGAGAGACCATGATCTTCGGGCTCTCGATGGTCAAGTTCAGACTTGGAAGATGACTATGCATTTCGATGGCACATGATAGCGACAAGTCCCATTCCCCCCTCCAAAACATAGCAATAAGTTCTGAGACCCTCCACCCACTCAAGTTTGAGTGGCGGCCATGTACTTGATTGAACTTGGCAGTTGAGGATGATGCGATCATGTAATGCCGAGACTCACTCGGAACATGACTGAGCAAAACTTGGCAGGCGTGTTGAGAATCTTCTCCGTGTGCTAGTCATCCGAAGTTGAACATGATGGCTTTGGACAAGCAGTCCTGAAGTCAACCCGATTTGAGCGGCGGTCAATGAGTGAAGGGATTTGACGGTATTGAGGAAGTAACCACCGAGGCCAACCAGACTTGGTTGGTGAGCAATAGTGGCCACCCCAAGTCCGCAAGCGGACTTGATAAACATGATCAAGTACTGCCTCTGGCCGTTCAAATTTGAGTGGCGGGCAAAGGAGCAATCATCCGAAGTGGACTTGGTGGCCTCGAAGAAGCGGTCTCCCCAACCGACTAGATTGATTTGGTAGACATGACGAAGACCAGGTCATGACAGACTTGTGTTGATCAAACCAGTCTGACAAACTTGATGGGCCTTATGAAGTAGACAGGTCTCATGATTGGCTGATAAATCAAGTTGAGAGCCACTCTCATGCCAGCCCTGAACTCCGAACGGTCGGAGAAACACATCCGGTCAAGGTTTGATCTTGACGGAGGACCAGTATCTCGGACATGACCGCCAAGTGCAGACGTGATCCAGACTTGGAGAGGTCTACCGAGATGGACTTGGTCCTGACCGTCAAGCCCGTCATGGTCTGCTTCCATTGGGAACAGTTCACAAGACAAGCTTGAGCATAGTGCTGTCTTGGTGGAGTGTATACGGACAGGTTCAAGTTCCACCCTCAAGGGAAGCTGCGAAGACTAGGCTTTGCTTCACAACTCGATCGTATCTCGAGAGTGGGCTTGAGGGACCTGGAGCCGTGGGATTATCTGCAAGCAGACTTGATCACATAGCTAAAGGTCAGGGTCACATGACCCATGACCGTAGCAGCGGCAGTGTCCAGAATCCAGGTTCCAGTATCCAGACATCCGTGGCAGCCAAGGCGGTATGGCCGCGACGAATGGTGTGCACGAACCAAGTCACGTGCTTGGCATATGGAAAGAAAGAAGAAAAAAGGAAATAAAAACTTACATAGAGGTAATTCTGACAACCTGTTAGCAACTGAGGGAGACGATAAGACGCGGGATACTCACAGTCGATGCCGGGAACTCCGCCGCGAGCGTATCGATTCTCTTGACGAAAGGTGTAATGCCAAAGTTCTTGCGGCGGGCACGGACCTCGTCCTCGGTGCTGTTCACAGCCTTGGCGATCTGCTTATCGGAGAAACCTTGCTTCTTGGCCGTGTGCATGAGCTCCTTCTTGACGCCGTAAAGGCTGCCAATGGCTTCGAGAGCGTGGGTGGTGTCAACAATGTTCTGAATCTTGTAGAGGAACCATTTGTCAATCTTGGAGAGTTCGTGGACGCGGTCGACAGAGTAGCCTTCGTGGAGCATGGCCTGGCCAACAGCCAACCATCTACGGTCGGTGGGGTTTGCCAAAACATCATCGAGATCCTCGAACTTGTCACCTTGGACACCGTGGTACTTGGGATCAACCTGACGGATAGCCTTTTGGAACGATTCTTCGAAAGTACGACCGATAGCCATGACTTCACCGACAGACTTCATAGCACTGCCAATATCACGCTTGACGTTTTGGAACTTGCTCAAGTCCCAGCGAGGCATCTTGGTGACAATGTAATCCAGAGAGGGTTCGAAGTTGGCAGTGGTAGTCTTGGTAACAGCGTTGGGCAGCTCAGGAAGAGTGTGGCCGAGACCAATCTTAGCAGCAGTGTAGGCAAGAGGGTAACCGGTAGCCTTGGAGGCAAGAGCAGACGAACGAGAGAGACGGGCGTTAACCTCAATGACTCTGTAATCGAGACCATCGGGCTGGAGGGCGTACTGGACGTTACATTCACCAACGACACCGAGATGGCGGACAATCTTGATGGCGGCGGTACGGAGCATGTGGTACTCCTCATCGCTGAAGGTTTGACTGGGCGAGACGACGATACTGTCACCGGTGTGGACACCGAGAGGGTCGAAGTTCTCCATGTTGCAGACGGTGATACAGTTGTCGGAAGCGTCACGAACGACCTCGTACTCGGCCTCCTTCCAGCCCTTGAGCGATTTCTCGACCAAGATTTGGGGAGACAGAGTAAGAGAACGGGCAGACAGGTTACGGAGCTCTTCGCGGTTGTTGGCGAAACCAGAACCAAGACCACCGAGGGCGTAGGCAGCACGGACGATGATGGGGTAGCCGACCTTCTCGGCGGCATCGAGAGCCTCATCAATGGTGCTGACAGCGATACTCTCAGCAATGGGGATGTCGATCTCCTTGAGAGCCTGAGCGAACAGGTCTCTGTCTTCACTAGTCTTCAGGGTCTGAATGCTGGTACCCAAGACTCTGACGTTGTAGCGATCGAAGATGCCCATCTCGTCCATCTTGACACCCAAGTTGAGGGCGGTCTGACCACCGAAAGAGAGGAAGATACCATCAGGGCGCTCCTTCTCAATGACGTAGGTAACGTATTCGGGGGTGACGGGAAGGTAGTAGATCTCGTCAGCAAGAGCGTGCGAGGTCTGGATGGTAGCAATGTTGGGGTTGATGAGAACAGATTGGATGCCCGCCTCTCTCAGAGCCTTGAGTGCTTGAGATCCTATTGCCTTGTCAGCATTTGTCTTTTCTCGTAGCTCCAGACTTGGACATACCAGAGTAATCGAACTCTCCGGCTTGTCCAATGGCAAGACCACCACTGCCGATAACCAGGACCTTCTTGACATCAATCAGGTTCTGGCCTCCAGCAATGGCTCCGCTCTCAATGTAAGCCTTGGAGCTAGGAGCAACCTGGGCGTTGCTGGTTGCATTGCGGACTTGAATGAAGCGGTTGGTGGATCTCTTGAGTGCGCGTACAGCGCGGGGGTTGGCAGAAGCAAAGCTCGACTGGGTCGTCAGAGTACGAGCAGCCAGTCTGGCAGACATGGGCTGTTGATTCTGGCGAAGCAGGTTCGAGGCTGTCTGGCGGACCAGACGCCTGGAGAAAGCCATGGCTAGGGTTGGTGTAGGGTAAAAGTAGGTGGTTTATAGGAATAACAGGCCGAGTTCAGTTGACGTTGGCCTTCCACAGGTGGTCGCTAATGTAGTCTGGAAGTCTTGTCAATTCCTCTTCACCAGTCCAGCCTCGGAGCACCGACTTGCAAACGCTCGTGCAGAGCTTCGAGGTGGGAGCAAGAAGATGGCGTACCTTGGGTTGTGGTGGTGGAGGGCGCAGTCCGCATAAGGGCGAATCGCGTGCCAATGGCAGATGGGTGAGTTGAGGCTGATTGCTCAAGATACGAGAGTGTGACAAGAGAGGAACGGTCAGAGAGCAGCGACGTCGAGTTATTTTTCACATCGGCCATGCACGGCTCTCGCGACCAAGAGATAAGGAGCACATCTTATCGCACCAGGAGCTCAAAATGCTGATTTGCAATATTCCCGGCTCGCTGCAACATCTCCCATACTTTGACCCACCACCGATGGCCGCCGACCCAACAATTTTGCAATTCGCGTGTATCGGTACCTTGAACTCTGTCATCCAGAGAAGCTCTATCCACCTGCTTTATTCATACCTCATGGCATTCTTCACCAGGAGAGCAACTCTTTCATCGTCTATTTAATCCGTCGCCGTGCCTGCTGTGCATTCTAATCGAATTGTGATCGTTGCTCGATCCACATCCAATGCCAATAAACGCATTGTTACGGCTTATGCGCAAGCTCAAGCTTATCCCTGCCACTTCTTTTTGCTGGGGAGCATCCCCGAGACCGGCGGCGCGGATCCTCACTTTGACTCATCGCAAAACTCGTCCACGTTTTGCATCGTGACTCAACTTCAATGACTGCCATGACTGCCAAGAAGAGTGGTATGCCGATCTGTGGGAATATCATATGTCATATAAACCTATCAACGGTGTAACAAAAGTGGTATACAAAATCTTAAATGTCCAGACCAACCCCAATCCCTTATGCAATAGAAGCAAATGCACGCTTTTTAGTACCCCTCTCTAGCTTCTCCTCCTGTTCTTCTGGCTCGTCGTCCATGCCGTGCACCTGTGCTTCCTTGATCTCTCTGCCCATGAGACCCAGAGCGGCCATGTTGAAGCCTAGCATGTTCTTCTCTTCCTTGACAAACTGTCCGTAGGCTTCAAGCACTTCGCTCAAGACGTCCTTGAGCTGCTTGCTAGCCACAATCTGTGAGTTGTGCGTTTGTAGCAAGAAGTAGAAGACACGCCATGCTAGTTGCGGTTGCATGCGGCGTTGTATGAACACTGAAACAAACATGAAAAGCACAGGAAGGGATGAGAATGGCACAACCATGAGGGCATCGTTGAGAGATGCATTCGGGATTCTGCGAATGGTCTGCAAAACGTGTTGCTCAGCACTCAGGTTGCCGTAGGTGAATACGGGGTTTCGTTGCGGCGGAGCAAGGTTTGGTTTTGTTGCCTTTTCGGCCTCCCATGCCTGAACAACTTGGTAGTCTGCGTAACCGAGCTCGAGAGCTTCCAATATACGTTCACCGTATGTCAAGGTGGCTATCGTTTGCTTGGACGCAGCAGCAACATCGTCTTCGGCACCCTCGTCGTCATCGGCGTGATCTTTATCGAGTTGAGTGGCCAGTGTTGACTCGTACATTTGTTCGAGCTCCTTTTCTCTCTCTTCTTCGAGGAAGATGAGATCATCCGTAACATCCCAGACGCGAATACTCTTGTCGTGACTCGCTGTGATGACCTTCTCACCAGTCCTGCTGACAACCATGGCCCACACCTCTCCGTGATGACCCTCCAACTTCTGGATTTGCTCAAACTTGTCACCGTCCCAAGTCTTGACGACTGAGTCCTTACTGGCACTGAAGAAGAGATGTTGCTCCTCCTTCTCGACAGGGTGAGGGATGAACAAGACTTGCATGACACTGTCCTGATGGGCGAAGAAAGCTTTGTGGCAGTCACCAAAGTCCAGACCCCAGATACGAACGTTCTTGTCCGCACTGCAAGTGGCGATGAGTTTGCTATCTGACGAGATGGAAATGTTGAGGACGGGGAGCTTGTGACCGTAAAGAGTGAGGAAGAGTTTAAGGGTGTCGACGAAGAAGACCTTGACGGTATTATCGAGAGTTGAGAGGGCGAGAAGGCGGGAATCAGGAGAGAAGCATACACTCAGAACATCGTCTGCAACCTTGAGTATGCGGGTCTGAGTAAGCTTGAGTTTGGGTGTGGTTCTACGAGTACCGGGAATCTCTTCCTGGACAATGTCGAACTTCCAGAACTTGGCAGCCTTGTCGGCACCTCCAGTCACGACCGAGGTTCCATCGGGATGAACCTGGAGAGTCCACACAGCACCGTCGTGTGCCTGGAATTTGTCAATCAGAGCAGAAGAGGCAATGTCGTACAGCTCGAGCTCTCCAGTCTTTGTTCCTACCAAGACAATCTTGTCACCAGGCAAGAACGTGCAACAAAGTGATTGACCACACTCAAGAGTTCGGAGACAGCTCTGTGTCTTGACATTCCAGATTTTGAGGAGTCCAGCGGATGCAGATGCGAGCATGCGGTCGTCAGAGCTCAGAGCCAGAGCGCGAATGTCGGTTCTGTGTCCAGGCATGTCAACAGCCAAAGCGCGGTTGTAGTCAGGAGCCTCGGCGGTAGCCTTCTTGGCCTTTTCCCTGCTGGTAATCGTGTAGGCTTCGATCTGGTTGTTGGTAGTCGAGCAAACCAATTCCACGTTCTTGGAAGATCTGCTGGCAGCCCAAGCGGCCGAACGAACCTTTCCGCCAGTGCGGACGATGACATACGAGACAAAGACCTCGGAGACGTCGGGGGTTGTGTTTTCCTCCTCTTTCTCGGCTTCAGCAACCGAAGCGCCTGCAGCAGCGACCTTTTCTCTTCTTCTCTTTCTCTTTCTAGCCAAGCTCTTTTGCACTTCCTCGTCGGATCTGATGCGCCAAATCTCAACAGCCTTCTCGGAACCGTGAACAGCAATGTATTCGCCCTTGGGATGGAATGCGACGCTCAGAGTGCGGTCCTTACTCTGGCGCAAGAGGATGCCCTGAGCAGTGAGAGAGTTTGACTGCTTTGCTTCGGCGATATTTGCACCAAATTCGGCCAGACTGTCGAGATCGAGCGACCAGACCTTGAGTTCACCGTCGTTGCCAGCAGTGATGCAGCCCATACCATCGGGAGAGACACCAAGAGCCCAGCACTCGCCGTTTGTCTGGGCGACATGTGTTTCGATACAGTGGGGAGTTGAGAGGTCCCAGATCTTGATCAGAGCATCCTTGCTGGTGGTGAGCAGGTATTTCTCCTCGAACTCTTCGGGCTCGCCTGAGGTGACATCGACAGCCTCGTCTGTGTGAGGGGACTGACGACCGGAGGGTCTTGTGCGAATAAAGTGCAGGCCAGTGATTTGATCCTTGTGTCCTCGGAGACGGAATTCGGCGGACTCGGAGAGCAGGTTCCAGATGATAATGTCCGTGTCCTTGGAGCCACTAGCAAGTCTTGCACCTTCGGAGTCGAACACAAGGTGGGTGATGGCGGAGCGGTGGCCATTGAAGCTCATGATGGGGTTGTTGGACAAAGCATCCCAGACTCTGATACTTCCATCCTGGTATCCGACGGCGAACAGATCGGGCTGAGCAGAGCACTGAGCAATGGCTGAGACCTGAGACTTGCAGTCGACATCGTGCCAGCGACTCAGCAGCTCGCCCTTCTTGACATCCCATGCCAGGACATGCTCGTTAGCGCCGACGTAGGCTCTTCCAGCACCAGTGTTTCGCGAGGACGATGAGACGAGATTATCGGGTGTCCAGACAAGGTTGGAAAGGACAGTGTTGACAAGACCAAAGGTGGCCGACTGCTCGTACTTGCGATAGGATTTGACCATGTTGCCGACGACGGCAGCAAGAGAGGCTTGTCAAGGCAAAAAGTTCTTGAATCTCGAAAAAGTTGGCTGGTCCAAGCGTGAGCGTGCTGCGGCCAAGAAAGTGTGGGGAAGAGGCCTCGCATGACGATCCCGTAGGGCTGCGCGGCCGCCAGTCGACGCTCGCCAAAGCCACTTGCAGTGCACCCTGCTGCTGTCTATACCCTTCTGCTACACCGCCCCTCGTCTCTGTTCTTTCCTGCACTATCGAGTCGTCTCCAACATGCTGTTGCTCGACTACCAAAATGTCCTGATTGAGTCGCTACTCAAGGACCGCTTCTCTGGGTAGCTACCCCTCGTCTCCATCCTGCTCCCACGCGTCCCAGACCTGCCGACTGATGCCTTGTCTCTACAGCGCGACTCCCACTTCAATTGACCAGATCGTCTCCGACTTCGACGGCGTCACCTTCCACATCTCCACCCCCACGTCAAAGACAAAGATCCTCATCTCCATCAACATCAAGTGCTACAAGGAGCTCGTCCAATATGGTGCCGAGCAGGTTCTCGAACGCGAATACCAGGGCTACATTGTCTCGCCCGAGACCGGCTACGACTTCTCCGTAGAAATCGATCTTGAGAACCTCCCCGCCGACCAAGAAGCCCGCACCGACCTCATCTCCCGCCTCAGTTTGCTAAAGCGCAATGCCATGGCTGCCCCCTTCGAGCAGGCCTTTGACGAATACCAGGCACTGCACGAAGAGGCCTCCAAGTACACTTCCGAATCTGCCCCCCAGGGTGTCCTTGAGGGTGGCCAGGTCAGAGCCATTCACTACCGCGAGGAAGAGGCCATCTACGTAAAGGCCAGTCACGACCGTGTCACCGTTATCTTCAGCACAATCTTCCGCGAGGAAACGGATCGCATCTTTGGCAAGGTCTTCTTGCAAGAGTTTGTCGACGCCCGTCGCAGAGCTATTCAGAACGCCCCGCAAGTTCTCTTCCGTAACGACCCGCCTCTGGAACTGCAGGGCATGTCTGGTCTGCCTCCCTCAGGCACCGCTGACGTCGGCTACGTCACCTTTGTTCTGTTCCCTCGCCATCTTCAACCCGCCAGAAGATACGAGGTCATCTCGCACATTCAGACTTTCCGCGATTATTTCCACTACCACATCAAGGCCTCAAAAGCCTACATCCACTCGAGAATGCGCAGACGAACTGCCGACTTCCTTCAAGGTGGGATAGCCGCTCATACCATTCGCGCCACTGTGCTAATTTCCAAACAGTCCTTCGTCGTGCAAGACCAGAGGCCGAGGAGAAGGAGCGCAAGACCGCCAGTGGCAGGACCTTCAGGGTCCAGGCGTAGATATATACCCTGTCCATACAGCAGAAACGATACACTTCAATGACCTCTTGATTTTGTCTATGTTGTTCTCAGAGCACATGTGAGATATGGGTAGTTTCAATTACTGGCTCTTCCATAAAATGCATTAATTTATGCTTCCAAGATCAGCCTCGCTGTGGGGATGACCCTGTCTCTGTCATATCGTACCATGCCAAATGCTCTGCATCGGCGAGACGCGAGGAAAATATACCACTAGCCTGCCCAGTGAACTCTTGTATCTGCTAGAGTAAGCTCTTGGTGTCTTAGTTTGCATATACCGTGTTGCTGTCTGTTGATGGTAGATTTTCTGTTTTCCTGACTTTCTCAATCAAGTTTCACATATTCTGGAGTGTATCCTAGCAAAAATCATTCCGAGCAAAGGCAAGGTGCCCAAAAGTACAGCAGAGTCATCAATACGGTGACGGAGCTCTCCTCTAGTTAGACATTGATCTATCTTCTGACAGTGATGTTTTGTTTCGTCGGAGCATCTTTTCCAGTTGGTTGTGCCGCAGCTGCTAGAAACATAGAGCAGGGAAAGTGAAAGCTTGGCGTACGTGATGAAGAGGCTCGTGTTTCATGCTTTCACTCTGCCTGAACTGCAAGCATGGAACTCGATTAAACCTACGACCAGAAACTGATCTCGAGTCTCTTAGCTTCACATCTACACTCACTTCTTCTACCTGCACGACCTTGGTACCTACAGCTCTTGTTTCACATCGCAGACTCACCAACGTCTTCCAGAGCTTAACTGATTACCCCGCCTGTTCGCACGCATCGTTGCATCCACGATGCCACCACGCTACTTCAAGAATGATGAGGCTCTCAGCAGCAGAGATCCACACAAACAGCTAATAGCCTCACTCACTCGTCTGGTCGTCCAGTATCCACCTGCTGAGGTGCGCGCTGGCGGCGGCATTTACAACGGGCCTACCAGCGTCGCTTACCTTTTCCTGATTCTACAGCAGTTCTACTCGGACCTCATCATCGAAGGCATTCAGCTCGGTACCTGGTCTGCCGCCTACCTCAAACAGTCACAAGACCACATCAAATCGTTCCCTGGTCCTCGTGTTGGCAAATGTGGCATCGCTGACGACATTCTGGCGCTCTTGGCCATCGGAGCCGCTAGCTCCAAAGATGCAGACATGGCAACAGAACTCTGCGATTATGCTGCCGAAGTCCTCGACGATGACAGCGAAAATGAGTGGCTCTATGGGAGAGCAGGCTATCTCTACTACCTTCGTCTGGTCAAGGCTGCCTTCGTCGATGATGCCAAAGTATCGCAGATGATCACAGACACTCAGGACGATGTTGTAGAGGCCATCCTGAGGTCACCAAGACCGTGGAAGTGGCACGGCAAGAGCTACGTGGGCGCTGTCCATGGCCTTGTCGGCATCATCACTCAAGTCACCCTTACCGATCCCGAGCGCTACGCCAGAGCTGTCGAGGCCGACCTCTCCGTTCTACTGACCTACCAATACGATACTGGCAACTGGCCTAGCAGCCTTCCACCAGGAAAGGACAAGCTTGTTCAAGTGTGCCATGGAGCCCCCGGAGTGATCAACTCTCTTCTCTCGATCAAGAGCCATTTCCCAAAACTTGAAAGCAGGATTGACAGCGCAATTCGCAAGGGTAGAGAATGCATCCTGGAACGCGGCCTCCTCACCAAGGAGCCATGCTTGTGTCACGGCATCTCTGGCAATGCACTTGCGCTGGACAACGAACAATGCCAACACTTTCTGACCTATACGACCGGCCACGAGATGAAGGGGCTGGAAAAGGATGGCTTGGTCGAAAAGTCGGACAATCCGGAGGGGCTGTGGTGCGGTGAGGCAGGTCGTGCATGGGCGTGGGCTGTCATGGACAAGGGGCTGCCAAAGAGGCTGCTTGGCTACAATGACATCTGAGAGATTGTGATGGACAATCAGCAAGCTCGAAGCCATTTCGGAGGAAAGGCTGGGAATGAGTGTAACAACGGTAGCGGGCAATTGCACGCAAACGCCTTGACCTCAAGACGCAAGCATAACGCACGAGATGCAGGGCTGCAGGGGGCCTTGACTAGTGGTTTACGACATAACGAATGATGCATGACAGAGGCAGGGAGATGGCTGGAGCTTGAGCAACGCATCCCGGGATGAACTCGAAGATCAAACAGAGAGTGTTGATCGCCAAGTATCATAGCATAGCGCAAGACATAACTGATGACGAAAGTTGAGCTTTAATTATCCGACGTGTTTACACCCGTGGCCAGCGTTAATATAACGCACGGGCACTTTTCATCGTCTCGCAGTGAAGTGTTTGCGTGAAGTTTGATGTTGGCTGGGGAGCAGCGTCTTTCGACATCTTCATTACGAGAGGATCGTTTCTGCATTGTGTGGATGTAATTCTGATTTATTTCCCGTGTGCAAAAGTATGAACCGCATGTAGCTATAGAAATGCACAATAGTCTCGACGGGATAGTATTCATCGAGATGCGACATTACGGTACATACACATCCTCCGTAACTCTCACGCTCTCTCCCAGGAACATATAAAGCGTGGTGCAACTATGAAAGGGCATAAAGGCCTCGAGAAACAGGATAGTATCCATTGAGATGCGAAATCACGGTAGAACTCCATCTCATGCAACTCTCAGGCTCTCTTCCACGAAAGTCTAGCGGCGTGCAGCTATAAAAATGCACAAAGGCTTCGAGAATCTGGATAGTGTCCATCGAGATGCGATGTTCTGCCAGCTCTCCTTGGATGTAACTCTAATCTGGAGACCATTATGCCTTTCTATAGCGAGGGTGACGCTCTAGTTTTGCGTGGGAGACAGCGTGAGAGATACTCAACCGAAAAACTCCACTGAGCGTTTTGCTCCAGTCTTCTCAACTGCATCGATGAAATCTTTGGCCATGGCCCCCCCGCTAAGTTCGTCGCTGGCCTCTAGATATACATTTTTGAAAGCTTTCCAAAGGGCCTTGTCGTTCGGCCTTGGGTAGTAAGGGTCGTTCCACCAAAAACTATCGACCAGCTGTTCCAACCCCTGCGAGTTATGCTCGAATTCTTTGCATTGGTTGAAATCGAGGAGCCAGATGGAGAGTGATTGAGCAGTCGGATCGTTAGCTGGCGAGCTACCCAAGACAAACTCAACGTCATTGGCATCTATGCCAGCTGTCCAGTGCATGACGGCGAGTGCGCGAGCCATTGTAACAGCGTACATCTCGGTATCGAGCTTGAGATATTCCATCTCGTTGACGTGCAGAGGGAAATTTCGGAGGCGTACATTCTCGGTTTTGCTGTTGTCGTTTCTGCGTCCGAGATATAGACGTACGAGGCAGTCCTTGTTTTGTGGTCGCTTCAAGAATGCCTCCTTCTGCTTTCTAATCGACTTGGAGCAGAGTGCATCGACTATTGCTGCGCGGATTGATAGGGGTAAAGGGAGGATTCGCTCGGATATTAGGCCGTAGCTTGGGACCTTGATATCCGTGTCTGTAGCGAAATGTTGAGAGAAGTTGTTCCAGAAGATATTGGACTCGGAAGAGACCCATTCGTAGTAGATAGGCACATAAATATCTTGACGAAGGCCATGCGGAGTTTTGCGAAATGCTTCTCGAACTTTTTTGTGCACAGTGGCGTCTTGCCATAGTTGTTGGTGTTTTGCAGGTTTGGGGATCTTGATGACTTGATTGTCTTTGAGCGGAAATATCATTCCGCACTGACCTTCGCCAATCGAGACGAGGAATCGACTACTGTCATCCTCGACCACACGCGATATGCTACCGTATGCCTTCGTCGACAGCATACGGTTGAGAAGGACTTCAGGCGAGGCCTTACGCTCTTCTTCGGATGTAAAAGTATACATTTCTGTGGGTGAGTTCGAAGCGGAAGTGTAGTTTGGAGGGGAGAGTCGTCTTCTTCTGATCTTACCTTTCTGTGTATTTTAGGTGATGAAGGTGAGTCAGTCAGTATCTGCAGTGATGACCGGAAGACATTGCTCAAGAAAACTCGACATGACAGGCACCAGACGTCGGAGCGCAAACTTGCTCAATCTCCTCCCAAAAGTGTGTAACGCGTATAGCTGTAAAAATGCACAAGACTTTCAAGAAAGAGGATAGTGTCCATCGAGACACGACATACTCAAGGCTCTCCTTGGACAAACCTTCAATCCAGAAATTGTTGTGCCTCTATACAGTGAGGACGTTATTCTAGACGTTCGTGAGAGGAGTGGAGGAGTTCTTAGCATACGGCGAGGCAGTGCTGCATAGAGCTTCAAGTCGATGCGGACGAACTCGAATAGCGCAATATACGACACCCACCTACTATACGGATTTTCGACTTCCAAAGTCGCTGTGTCGGTCTCAGTCAAGTCGAAAGACGAGCGAGTGTGCAACCTCAGGGCGCTCTTTCAGGGCACCGGGTCAGAGTAGACAAACGAGCTGGGAGAAGATAGCAAAAGATGCAATTGTGCAACGAGGGGACCTTGACTAGCGGGTTGCAACAGGATCAATGATGCATGACAGAGGCAGGAAGAAGGCTGGAGCTCAAAGCAGGCTGGGCAAGGCATGCCGGGACGAGTTTGAGGATCAAACAGACAGCGGCGACGACGCTGAGGGTAGGTATATAGCACAAAGCAAGACAGCAGGATGACGAGGACGATCTCTATTTGGACGTGTTTATAGCAGGGCAGGCGTTGTGTTTGCGAAACATCATTTCCCGGACCAACGAGATTTGGCGCCGCACAGACCGCATTTCGTATCGGACGGAGTCCCTGAGCGAAGGTTTGTGTGCAGTTGCAGTTTGGCGTCCGGTTGGGGGGCAGCGGCAGCGCATTCCACGCTCGACCACCAGCTTTGTCTCAGTTCTCTCTCCCTGACGACGAGCCCCCGACACCGACGACCACAAGTCCACGGGCGCCCGCCATACTCAGCACCACAGTTTCCAACTGCAGTCATTCTTTCACCTCTTTCCTTAACACCCCTGTCGCTATCTGTGTAACCACTCGCCCATTGAACCTTCAAGCCACCGACGAGATCGACAAAACGTGACTCGCACCTGCATTCTCGACCACGCCCGCCGCATACCGACCATCGACGACTTCCCTCACTCGACCACCCATTCTTCGACACCGGCCATCAATCCCCATTATTTCGCCAGTTCGCGCCTGCTCATCCGCCGTCGACGTCTTCGACCCTGCGACGGAGAGCTGCGCACAAGATGAAATCGTCACCATGCTTGTCGCACCCTCTCGCCCTTGGCTCAACCTTCGCTATTCTTTTCTCTTCCGCCTTCGCCCGTAATTTCTCTTCCGCCCCGTCACCCAACATTGATCTCTCTGGTCTCGGCCGTGTCGCTCTGGCTGGCGATTTCGACTCAATATCTCTTTACACATACCAAGGACAAACCCAAAATGCAAACTTCGCCAATGGCAGCCAATATCTCTTCTCACAATACCCAGATGGCTCCTTTCAAAGTCTGGCCCTCGCCGATGCTTACATCACTACCATGTGCCCATTCGTCAGCGAAGGTGCTCTGCAAGGCATAGTCGTAGGAGGAAACTTCACCAGTCTCGGCGGTGTCCCTGCTCAAGGCATCGCTCTATGGAACCCAAACACCACCACTATCACTCCTTTGAACGGCCTTTCGGGTTCCGTGTCAGCCGTATACTGTGATGACGAGTCTTCAAGGGTTTACGTTGGAGGCAGCTTCACTGGAGGCAACTCAACAAACGCTATTGCCTGGTCTTCTGGATGGACTAACCTCCCTTTTGCTGGATTCAACGGCCCCGTCACATCAATCACCAAGAGCTCCAACGGTTCCATCATCTTTGGCGGATCTTTCGATGGTCTAGGCAACACAACCACTCCCACGAACAAGGACGCTCAGGTCATCAACCTCTCCGCTGGAAACATTACATCTGGCGCCGCGACCTCAACCTCTGGCTTCAGTGATCCTCGTAATATCATTTGCCAGACTGGTGATGATAGCGCTGGTAACGCCTGGCTCCTCGAAGACAACACTCCTGGCTTCTGGAGGGGCTCATTCGGCTTTGGCTTCATACCGACCAAATTGCGCTTGTACAATACCAACCAGGATGGTCGTGGAACCAAGACTTGGCGCTTCACTGCTTTCCCTATCAACGGAATCATGAACTTTACTTATACGGACGAGAGCGGCAAATTTGCCTCTTGCACTGCCGACTGCCCTCTGCCTCAAGGCAACACTTCATACCAAGATTTCCACTTCGTCAACTCTGTCGGTATGAATGATTTCCGTATCGACATTTCTGCTTGGTATGGTGCTGGAGGTGGCTTAAGCGGTATTGAATTGTTCCAGGACGACATTTACGCCTTCGCAATCTCCGACTTCAATGAGCCTCGTTGCGACAGTGTTAGCACCACCGGCGCCAACTCGACCGCCACTGGTCCTTGGGTGCAGACTCCCTCTGGACTCAGCACGTCTGATTATCTTACTGCCACATTGAACGGCAGTGTCACCACCGAGTCTGCACAAGTCGTCTTCAAGCCCGATATTAAGCAATCTGGAAACTACTCAATCACTCTTTATACTCCGGGCTGTCTACAGGACGATACTTGCTCCAGTCGTGGAATCGTCAATATCACTGGATCTATGACCACCGAGAAGGGTGCCATCACTACTACTTTGTACCAGACCAACTACTACGACAAGTACGATCAGATTTACTACGGCTACGTAGATGCTGCGTCTGATTCTTTCCGTCCCGAGGTCACTTTGACACCTGTCGCTGGCCAGAACACGCCCTTGACTGTTGTTGCACAACGAGTTCGCTTCGAATTGGTTACCTCGACTGGTGGTCTGAACGGCCTCTATGACTACGACCCGAATGTCGCAACTGTCAACACCGACTTTTCCGCTTCCAAGATTGACTCTGCTGCCATGTCCCTGGACACCGGTGCTAAGATCAACGCTCTTGCCGTTTACAAGGACGTGACCTACGTCGCTGGCAATTTCTCAAACGGCGACATCCACAACATCTTCAGCATTGGCGGCGAGAATGCCACTTCGCTTCCCGGAGGTGGGCTCAACTCTGTGGTGCGTACAATGTATCAAAATGAATCTACCATTTATGTCGGCGGCAACTTCACAGACACCGTGACTGCTCGAACCCCTGGCCTCAGTGGTATTGCCGCTTTCTCGGTTGATGATAACTCATGGAGAGCTCTTGGTGCTGGTGTTAATGGTCCCGTGTGGGCAATCGTTCCTCTCCAGCTGAACATCACTGGTGCGGACCAAGAGATAGTCCTCGCTGTGAGTGGTGACTTTACCAGCGTCAACGCTGTCGGTAGCAATGCCACTTACTCTGCTGATGGCTTCGCCGCTTGGGTGCCCTCCCGCGGCAACTGGCTCCACAACTTGGCCAACGCAACTGTCGCTTTGAGCGGTGGCCTACTGGCACAGACTATGGTAGCCGATTACGGTCAACTTCTAGCTGGATCACTCGTTGCGTCGCAAATCGGTATGAGTGATGCGGTCGCCCTCAGTGGCTCTGGTAGACCTTCCCTCTCGCCGCTTGGCATCTCCATCTCTGCTTCGCAAGAGTCTTCTACCAGGCGCAAGAGAGCTACTACCAGCCAAAACGTCACTGGCGTTGCCACCGGCTACTTCTATCTGGACAATGGTAAGAACATGACCATCCTTGGAGGTCATTTCACTGCCAACTCTTCAACTGGTTCCACCATTAACAATCTTCTCATCATTGACAACACCAACAATGGCCAGAGTGTTACCGGTCTCCCTAATACTATCGATGCGGACTCGACAGTCCTTGCTCTCGAAGTTCGCGATACCAGTCTCTTTGCTGGTGGCTCAATCACCGGAACAGCAAATGGTGATGACATTAACGGTTTGCTCGTCTGGGATCTTGCTACAAACGCTCTCGCTACCAGCCAGCCCGCAGCACTCGCCGGAAACTCTGTCACCGTCAATACTATTGCAGCCCAGCCTGGTTCTTCTAATGTCTTCGTGGGAGGCAGTTTCGAGAACGCAGGTTCTATGTCTTGCCCATCGTTCTGCATGTACGACACCGCACTGGGCCAGTGGATGCCCCCTGCCTCCGGACTTAGCGGTACCATCAACACCATGACCTGGAGATCCAACAACCAATTGATTGTTGGTGGAGATTTCACCACTGCTGGCAACCACACCAAACTGGCTCTATATGATTCCAAGAAGCAGACTTTCACCGATCTGGGCGCTTCGGCCAACCTGCCCGGTGCCGTTACCGCCATGTCTCCCGCTAATCCCAACTACGATGCTTGGTGGGTCGCAGGTACTGCGAGCAATGGATCTTCGTTCTTGCAAAAGTTTGATGGTACCAACTGGCACTCTGTCACTGGCCTTGGCTCTGCGACCGCCATCAGAGGCCTTCAGGTTATGTCTCTTACCGAAAAGCATCAGCTTACTGACCTCGTTCCCTCGAACGAGGTCTTGCTGATCACCGGTTCGATCGAGCTTCCTGACCATGGCAACGCCAGCGCTGTGCTATTCAATGGAACCACTTTCCAGCCTTTCATCCTTACTACCACTGCAAACGGCGGACAGGGTACACTCAGTGGAATGTTCGTCCAGAACCCTAGCAACTTCTTGAGCTCAAAGTGTAAGTGACTACCAAAAGGTTTTACTTGTGCGTATGCTGACAGTCCTTAGCCCACCATCTTGCCCTTGGGCTCGTAGTCTTGATCGGCCTTGCAATCGCTTGCGGCCTGACCTTCCTGCTGGTTGTCATCGGTATCTTGGTCGAACGTCACCGTCGTCGCAGACAGGGTTACGTGCCAATGCCTCAGCTGAGAGCCGACCAACATGCCAACCTGGACAGAATTCCTCCGGAGAGTCTGTTCAGCACGTTGGAAAAGCGTGACACCGCGCCTCGGGTGTGAGGCCGAGTGCCGACAAATCTGGAAAGTTGACTTTCGAAATGCAGCGTGGAGTTTGGGTGCTTTCTTTATTCATTTCACGACCAATTCCTCAAGAAGGAATTCGCATCAGCCAGTGGCTCGCGCGACTGGCTGGTGCAAACACAAAACTGTTCATACATTGAGGATGTCGATCACTATGGGCTGGAGCGCTTCTTTTCTTTTTCGCATCTCGCGAGTTGACTCGTTCTTGCTATTCCTTCACTTCTGTATTATACCTCCCATCACACGATGGCTTTGGATTTTTTTTTAGATGAGGATATTCCTGTTTCTTTCCTTTCCTTGTCTTGTCATTTTTCCCGTATTTCCTGCGAACGGTTAGCCGTTTACTCCTGTTCATTGTGGTCGAGCCCTCTTTCTTTTTCTTTTGCTGCAGATTAATGTATAGCGAGCAACGGCTTTGCTCTAGGGGATTGATTCTATTTTCGTCACCGAGGAGCAACTAATGATAAATGTCTACTTGTCTCACCATGTATCGAGTTCCTTTTGATGCACTGTCTCAATACCTCTTCTTGCCATCACTTCTTCTCGAGTTTGTCATTCCTCGCCAGTGAAATGGTTGGTGTTCGACCAGCAATGCCCTGATGCCAAGCCATTGTTGCGCTGCACGCAAACCCACACGACCGTTTGTGTTCCATCCCTATTCGTAAGCGAATTTCAAGTCGACGAACATCTTAGGGGCGTCTGAGGCAGACTACGGGTCAACATCCTAAGAACACAGTGGTTCGCATGAGAGCTGTTGTGCCGCGCCCAGAAAATCCGAGTCAACGCGCTGTGGTGGTGGTCGCCAAAAAGCGCGCGTTCAATTGCAAAGGAATGTTCAAGTTACCAAGAAAAGTCACCTTCGTAGAATACAAGCCAGGTAGATCAATCTCATTCTTCCCATTCCAGTTTCTCCTGCCATTTTCCACTTCTCTGAAGACTCTTTTCCTTCCGAAAGCAATTGGCATCATTACGACTTCCCATGTCCGACGCTGCGCTATGTTGTTGCGGGTGGGGAGGATAGTATATCTCTGCATTTTTGCATTGATCGTTATTGTGTGGACCGAGGGTCACAATGATGGCACTAAAGATATGGTTCATAAAGGGTGGAATATGACTGGCCATACATTCGGTCAAGGGTCCTCTTTCGCAATTGACGATGCAGTGGTGTCTGACGGCGAGAAGGCACGACCGCATGTGGACAAGAGCTTGGGTATAGCGCAGAAACAGAGAGTGATCACCTTGAAGGTATGAATGACAGGAGCGAATGAGATCAGTACATGCCAAAAACTACGTGACATACATGAGTTGACGACGAACGACAGGCACGACCTTCTCCATACGCCTACGTTTTCTACGCCACTCAAGACACCTACGCCTGTTCCGTACTCGTAAACATCCGCCAGCTCCAAGGCATACACAAAACACCCCACCGCATCTTCGTCCTGATCACCAAAGATATCTCTGCCAACTATGTCTCCGCACTCTCATCCACCGGCGCAATGTTATCTCTGCAGATCCCTCCACCACTAAGAGAGGGCACCGAAGGCGGTGTATACTACAGAGACTGCCTCCTGAAACTTTTTGGATTCAAAATGCACCGCATTGACCCCTCCCTTAAAAAAGTTATCGTGCTGGATTCCGACCAATTGATCCTTAAACCTCTTGATCATCTCTTCTACATGGATGCTCTCAATGCCGATCTAGCAGCACCAAGAGCCTACTGGATAGACAAACAAACATTTAGCACTGCGTTCATGGTCATCTCGCTGTCTGATCGCACATGGCGGAAAGTTGAAACGGCGTTGCAGAATGTCAAGATTGATCAATATGACATGGACATAGCTAACGAGGTGTTTGGAGATGAAGTGTTGATGTTGACAGGGAGTTTCGTGGCACTGAACAGTCATTGGGAAGATTGGAATCTCCCGCGTTGGTTTCATGCACCTGATGTTATTGTTACTGAGGTCAGCAATGGCACTGACACGCCAGAGATTACAAAGTCTGTGGTCAACAATAGCGCTGGCATGCGAGAAATCGAGATCAAGGATTTGAATAAGCGGCAAGAGGAGGTCCAGATATCTGAATCTAGGTCCGAAGCTTCTGATCAAGAGCCGGAGTCTATCGTGTCGGAAGGAAGGGAAGACTTTACTTCGACATCAGTGAAATGGAACACAGTGTCACAGCCAGTTCTACCGTCGATATCAACGAAAGCCGACGATAAGTCATTGGCTACAGACCACTCACACCCCTCGAGTGGTCGACTTCCCGATACCATTCCAGGCATCATCAATGCTCCCAAAGACAAAAAGCATGACCGACCGTTCACCCCAGACCGAGATCCAACAATCACCGAACACACCGACCTCAAAAGCCGCTACCTCTACAATCAATTATTCGACCTCTACAATCAAGTGTCCGTATTGCATTACACGGCCATGACAAAGCCTTGGGGCACAAACGCGATGATGATCGACCAAGGGCGACCAGACGCTCACCCGTTATTGAGAGAGCAATTCATGGCTTAGAGAAAAGTAGCCAAGGATGTCTGCCCTTCGGGTCTCGTTGGTGAACTATAACGTCAAATGCTTATTGCGATTACCACATTACGACTACGTGGTCACTACTATACTGTTTCCCAATCAAGATCAACCTTGCTTCTTCTTGAGTCCATCATCAATGACCATGGGAGGAGCAGGAATTTCGACATCCTCCACATGCCACTCCATACCAATGTATCCATCACTCACAACCTTGACCGACACCATTCTTTCGCCATCAGCAGGAGGCAATCTGATCTTACTTCTTGAAGTCGGCTTGGGGTTGGCCTGTGAGGCCTGTTTGCCGTGAGTAGCCACATGCCATGAGATACGCTTCAGAGCAAGCACTTCGTCGGTCTTGGTGTCGGCAACGACGAGGAAGAAGCCTTCAGATTGAGGCTTGGGGAAGCGTGGTGCGTACATGTGGAACTCGCGGCTGAGTGCGGGATTAAGACGAGCGACTGAAACGCTCAGGCCCAGTGCTGTAATATCCGATACGTTGACACGCAGCTGAGGCAGAGCAGACAAGGCCTTGAAAGCGCGTGGCTGTTGAGGAGGTGCCAGCGAGAGCTGCTTGTGCAATACTATCTCCATCTCCTTACGTGGCGTAGTGGTAGCCTCAACCAAGTTCTTGGGCTTGGGGCTTTTCGAAGATGAAAGACGTTGGCGCTCTCTCGGTGGCTCGACACCAGGGAGCATAGCCAAAGGTCCATCCTCAGGCCAACGAGCAGATTTGACGCACTGGAGCAAGGTTATCATCATTCCGCAACTCGAGTTGAAACCAAGCTCCGTGAGAACATCGATTGATGCTTGTAAGATACGAATCGCCTGGTCAAGAACCGAAGTTTGATCACCAACATAATCCGAAATCGGGAGGTCGATGCGCGAGAAGTGCGCTTGTAAAAGAAGGAACGCCTTGACATGAGGATCCCACATGGGCAGTCCCGGCATAGCATCCTCGGCTTTCAAGGGCAAAGCCGCAGAGAGCTCGGCATTGATCAAATCCTCGTTATGGCGCACAGGCAATTCGTCGTATTCTGTTGCACTGCACATCCACGCCAGAGCTTCTGCAAATGTGGCATTCGGCTTAGCGTGCTTGATTAAATGGCGGATAGTCTTGTGAGCAAGATAGTAGTAACTCATGATCTTGCCCAAGGGAGTTGGATCAACGTCTCCATTGTTGTGCATAGTGACACAACCAGACTCAGCAAGTTCCGCGAGCGACTTGTCAACCATCTCAACCATGTACTCGTTAGCGAGTTGCTGAGCGGCCATTGTATTGTGCTCCTCTGATGAGATCTCAAGACCGTAGTATGAAGGGTTCTTGTGAAGTCTTCTGAAGAAGAATGTCCATGTGAGATAATCAAGAGCGTCCTGCTTAGTAGCAATTGTCTCTGCGGACACCTCGGCGCCCAAATGGTTGTCCAACACATTGTGAAGAGATGACTCGACTGGGAAACCAGTGTGCAAGAAGTGCTTGTAGAAGGCCTTTTTCGCATCTTGAGTGAAAATGCGGGCAACTCCTGAAGTGTCGAATCCAGGTCTTCCGGCACGACCAAGCATTTGCAGAACATCTGTCAAATCCATGTCTTTGTATGCTTCTGTCTTTGCGTCAAAGAACTGTGTGCCCTTGACAACAACGAGATGGGCAGGCAAGTTGACACCCCAAGCTAGAGTACTGGTAGCAACGAGGACCTGAATCTTGTTGTTTGCAAACAGCTCTTCCGCCAGCTGCCTGTCAGATTCGACGAGACCTGCGTGATGCAGACCGATACCGAAACTCAGCGACTCGCGCAGGGCTTCATCCTTCACTCTTGCAAGGTTCACAGCAAGATCATCCTCTGACATGCGTACAAAACGACGAGGGTTTTCCTCCATACCACAGAAGTTGATAAGGTCACGGGCTGTCAGTCTTGTCTGGCGACGAGAAGCAACAAAAACAATGACCGGCTTATCTGGTGAGTGAGACTTGATCGCCAGGAATGTTGGTCTGTTCATGGATTGCATGAGCGGGCAGAAGCCCTTCTGCTCAGGGAAGCCATCAATGTAGATCTCTAAAGGAACAGGTCGCACCGAGTGTCGGAAGTTGAACAGGCCTTCCTTGACACCAAGCCAATTACCCAAGTCAGTGGCGTTGGCGCACGCGGTGGACATGCCGACGATTCTGACAGATCCCTTCTTCTGCGAAGCGATGTAATTCATTCTGGAAACGATGATCTCCAGGATAGGACCTCTGTCTCCACCAAGCAGATGGATCTCATCAATGATCACCAAACTGACTTGGCGTACATAGTCTCTGGTCTGCCAACTACGACTGATACCATCCCACTTCTCAGGAGTGGTGATGATAATGTCAGCGTCGCGTATTGTGCGAGTATCCGGAGTGTTGTCACCAGTCAACTCAACAAGCTTCAATCCCATCTGCTTCGTCAAGCGTTTGCCCCAATCTTGGACTCTCTCGCGAACCAAGGCTTTCATGGGTGCAATGTATACGACCTTGGAGCCCGGCTTCTCGCGGAAAGCCCACCACATTGCAAGCTCACAAGCAATTGTCTTGCCACTACCGGTAGGTGATCCCAGCAACACATTGGCTGGTGTGTGGTACATGCAGTGGAACAGCTGTGTTTGCATGGGGTTGAAGAATTGGAAACGCTGACTGTAGATCTCCTCCAGGAGAGGATTCTTGAGCGCAGCAACAGGCAAGGGCTGCAAGTTGAGAAGATCAGTGTATACGCTCTCCGTGTCAGGTCGAATTAGATGCTGAAATGAGACTGGAGTTACAGTCTCAGCTCCAAGCCAACGGTCGGAGACAGCGCGGACGTATATTTGTGACGGAAGTGGATCCGTGAGCGGGATGGTGAAGCTTAGCTCATGCTCATCGTAAAGCTTCCTTCTTGAGAGGATGAAGTATTCGTGATGGTAGATCTCAGAAGTTTCAGAATTCTCTACCCAAATCCAGTATGACTCAGACTTGCCGTGGTGCTTCTCATTCCATCTGAAGTCAGGTGTGATGTACAGGTGGATACGCAGCACATCTCTGTTCAAGGGCGCAATCTCGGCTTCGACGGTGAGTGTAGGGAAGTTGTCGAGCAGCTTGGTGATTGTGTATCCCATCTTGTTGTTGTGAACGAGCGCTCCAATCTCCGCCGGCTCCATATCTCTCAGAGACTCGATCGAAGCGCTTGAACCTTTCTCGTCCAGATTGCGCATGACTGCTTGGGGAATGTCGAACTGGTGGAAAGGATGTTGGTATGCCCAAACTCGCTTCTCGATGGACTTGCACATAGACAGCAGAACAAGGCACTGGTAACCCCAGCGTCTGTTCAGAGCAATCATGAACAGGGCTCGACAGATACGAGCGGCGTTTTGCGCAACGTAAGATGAGTCCGATACCAGAGTGAAGTCCTCGAGACGCGCCCTAGAGATATAGGATTGTAGAAGGACATTGGTCTTGCCGGACTGTGAGCCAATACCACCTTCGATGTCGCATGGGGCAGCTTCGTCTTGAAGGCGCAACAGCTCTTTCTCTTCCGGCTCCTTGGACTGGATGTTGTCGAACTCACCACTCATACTGATCATCTTCAGGACATCTGCCTCTGTAGCCTGAGGTCGCATCATGGTGTTGAAAATCTCAACGCTTGTCTGCAGGACGTAATACTGACTCGCAATGCGACCTACATCCTTCGCGCGGAGCTCCTCAGTTGTCTCATTAAAGATGATCATTTGGCTCTGTTGCAAGACTCTAGCAGCCTTGATGATCAACTCGCGACGCCTCTGCACAAGTTGGGGATCGTCACGAATCTCAGCCCAGTCGATACCGTATGCCATGGGGTTCCGTTGCATGCGGACAAAGAGGTATGAATATCCAAGCCATTGAACAGCCTCTGATACTGAAGTTACCGTGCCCAGGGAAATTTCAGCATTGAGATTATCAACCATCTTCTTTGAGAAGTTGGACTCAATCGGCTGTTGTTGAGTGACTGCTGTGAGGTAGTGTTGAACCTTGTCCTGAGTAGTACAAATGAAGCCGATACCAGTGTCCTGGAACTGAGGACGACCGGCACGTCCGAAAATCTGAAGAACATCAAGAATGCCAAGATCGACGAACTTACCTGCCTCTGCACTATAGAGTTGGGTGCCTTTGATAACGACCGCTGCAGCTGGCAAGTTGACACCCCAAGCCAGGGTGGCAGTACAGCACAAGACCTTCAGCACTCCATCGGCGAACAGACGCTCCATAAGATTCCTGTCCGAACGGGGCATACCAGCGTGATGGGTACCGAAACCTTTGGGCACAAGTTCTCTAAGCTCGCGACCCTTGGAGGTCTTCAAATCGCGCAAGGCCTGTTGATAGTTCTCATGGAAGGAGGGATCGAAGAGATCGGTGCATCCCTCGTCGGTAGCCATCTCGTACATGGTTTTGGCAGTCTTCCAGGTGTCTTTGCGAGAATGCACAAAGACCATGACTTGATGTCCTCTCTCCAACATATCGCGCACTTTCTCGAATGCGACGATCTCCAGATTTTCTCGAGAAGTCTTGCTGCCAGCTTTGCCCTTGACACCAAGGAAATGCTGTTCGAGAGGTACTGGTCTGAATGACCCGTCGAAATAGAACAGTCCAGCCATTCGATTGACCTTGAGGAAATCGGCGACATCGACGTAGTTGGGGAGTGTGGCGGACAGACCAACAATACGGATGAGAGATTGTGTACTCTCAACCTGTCTCTCTGTACGCGCGACAAGCGACTCGAGAACGGCACCTCTCTCGTCGTGAAGCATGTGCACCTCATCAATGATCAAGAGACGGACTTTTTGGACAAGCTCAGTATCTCCAGTGCTCTTTCTCGTAACAACATCCCACTTCTCGGGAGTGGTTACAATAATTTGAGTAGCAACAATTTCAGCCTTAGTAAGGTGCATGTCTCCGGTAAGCTCACGGCATTGGACGCCCAACCAAGCGAGTCTCTTGCCCAATTTCTCTGTGATTTCGGCAGCCAAAGCCTTCATAGGGGCAACATAGACAATTTTGAAATCATCAAGGGCGACTTTGAGGTCCGTAGCATCTGGGTCCTCGGACGGACTTGGAGTCGTGTTTTTGGCGATGGTGTTGAGGATAGTCAGCATTGCAGCGTCAGTTTTACCAGCACCAGTAGGTGCACAAATCAGCATGTTCTCGCTAGTTCTGTAGGCGACAGGATAGACGAGACTTTGCATGCGATTCAACGCCTTGTATCCTTTGAAGGTTCCTCGGCAGAGTGTATCCATATCTTTGATCTCGACCAGCGATTGACCGATACCTAGAGTACCAACCTTGGCAGGAGGAATAGAATACTCTTCGTACTTTTCGTGCTCAGTCCTCTCACTTCCCAGTGGCAGCATGTACTTGCGACCGTGGGAGGAGAGCATGTTTCCTGCATCGTGTGCTCGATAGACGTGGGGATATTGAGTGGCAGAACGGTCTTGGGCGGCAGCCAGAGAGGTTGTCTTGTGCTGGAAGTCCTGTTGCCGAAGAGCTTCTTCTCTTTCACGGCGAGTAAGGATCCGACCACCAGGTTCACTCTTGACAGGTGCTTGCGAGGCTGTGGCGATTTCTTTGCGGTGAGCGATGAAGTCAGCTACCAGATCTAGTTCATCGAAACCTAGAGTATCAGCAAGAAGCATTTGAAGCTCGTCGTCTATTATACGTCAGTGTTGTCCATATTCAGGTAGAGGTGGCCATGTCGAACGCACCACTGCTATCCGAGCCGAGTATGGCAACGATGTGGTCCTGAAGTTCGTCCACACTCATACTGGACGAGACGTATCCGAGTCTCTCGCGTAGCCAGGCAGCACTATATGCGGGAGTTGATGTCTCCTCGTGCTCATGGTACGAGGGCATAGGGTAGGACGAGTCGCTGAGAGACGCTTGGTCTTCATCATCGTCGTCGACAAGGTCCCAAAGGTCATCATCACCACTTGTCGGCTCTGAAGAGTCTTCTTCGTCTGTCCAGACATCCTGGCCATAGGTCGGCGCGTTTTCTGTTTCGGTGGGCAGTTTGAGCTCGGCGATGGCGGCTCGCATGGCACTGAGCTGAGCAAGCCATTGAGTCTCTGCACTGTTCAAACTGGCTGACATGATGAAGCCGTGGAAGAATAAATTGCTTCGTAGTTAGTAGAAGTCACCAGCGAGAGGTTTTGGTCTGAAAGCGCGACCGCGTAGTCGTCGTTCGCCTGGTGGAATACCGGCCACTTTTTGGGCGGATAAGAGAAGGATGACGCAGTCGATCGCGGTTGCTATTCTGGGACTAGTGCCCGCACCTGCCGCCAACACCGCTGGTCGGGCAAGACGGGTCCGAGGTTTGTTGGCTTCGTCTGTTAAACGTAAACACAGATCCACCAGTCGATCAACATGGTATGTTTCGTGCGCGCAAACTACCGATCTTGCTGACAGTACGCAGGAAAGTCCTCACGAACATCAGCAGAACGTTCTGCTCTCCCGAATAATTACCAATGTGGTACGTTGTGGTATGCGATCATACGATTCACCATTGTTTACATATTCTAGGAGAAACTGAACGAGGCCGTCATGATGTTGAACAAGAGCCTGCAGGTGAGTTGCCTGATCTTGCTGTCTGACCTGAGATCCTGACTAAACATCGAGCAGGAAATCAATATTAACAATATGGATGTCGAGCTTGTCGCCCAAATGTTCAAAAACTACCAGTCGAATGTGCTCTTCCATTTGGAAGGTGAGTTGAAAACAATTGTGAATTTCTGACAGACGGATACTGACCAGGTTAGCAACGGACAATCTCCGTGAGGCATCCTGAGAGCAGCTCAACTCGAGGCATGCTCCCTCTTCCAGATGCTTGAAGCAGACGACAATCTTTATGAACGTTTTACTAAGGCCAAGAACTCATGCCCCTCTGGCAGTCTTCCGAAAGGCCATTCGATACCCTTAGCAAGGATTGCATCCAATGCGGTATCAGGCTCCGCATGGTCGACAAAAAAGTCGGTATCAGCGCATGACACGGTACCATCAGATGCTTTGTCGTCAAACAGCGAGCCATGGAGTTTGGCGGCTCGGACATACCCGACGGGAGAAGTGTTCATGATGTTGCTGGCGAGAGTCCTTGCTATAGCCAAGTCCACTCTCTCAAGACCGTGTCCAAAGGCACGAAGGGTAGCCATGATTGCGAAAGGATGAGAGCTCAAGATACCGAAAGCATGATCGTTTTCGTTTTCGCGAAGCTTGACCAGAAGCTATGCAAATAAGTTAGCTCCATTTCACAGCAGAAGCGGATCAGAACGTGAGCTATGAGAATGCACAGTGGTGCCCGGTTGAAAGGCGTATCTGAGGAGATGTACTGATATAATGGTCTCAACATAGAGTGTTGTGCTTGTATCAAGATATTGTGGATTGGCTTACATTTGTTGCCAGTCCTTGGTGTCTATACTTGGCACTAACGCAGAGCTGTGTGATCCAGCACACGTTGCAGCCTTCGTAGGTCCAGCGAGTGGCAAAGACATTGCCGGCGAGCTCGTCGTTGACTCTGGCTTGAACGTAAGTGGTACGTGCGGATGTTGGGATGCACTGGTCCTTGAGTCTTTGAGGGCTCATGCGAACGCGTCGGCCTTGTTTCGCGAAGGCTCCCATGTTTTGTTCAGCAAAAGGGTCCCATATGCCGTAGTTCTCAGAAAAGAGTTTGGCTGCATCTTGAAGCATGTCGTCGGTCACGCACTTGATTTCGTACATGAAGAAGGCGGCCATCCTTGCTGTAAACGTAGTATTGATAGCTCACGGGGTGAAACTAAAGTAGGAGAGAAGACAGCGTAAATGGAACATCATGTTCTTTTCATTCTACGATAGTCTTTCCTGGAAGCAATTGGTGATTCTATTTATTCGCTCAAACTGACTTTGCTCGCGTGTTATGGTAGAGGAAGGTGCTGGGGCAGGAGCGGACAGGGTTGCGGGGAAGCATGGAGCGCGAGCAAGTCGTCGGTTCAGCAGCGCGTAACCGTCCCACCATCATGCAACAGACAGCAGAGCAGCATGGTCTATCGCATTTATGATATAAAGTCAGAGACGCAGAGCGGTCGCAATACGCCGCCTGCCAAACCAGCCCAGGCATACCGCGTCAGTGAGCCTCCGTACGAGGGCTACCATGCTGTCGAGCAGAGTGCATACCGCAGCAGCGCTCCCGACAGCGCCATAGTCATCGACAATGGTACTCTCCAATCTCGTGCATCCCACAGCTCTGCCAGCTACTGATGCTCTTATCGCTTAGGTTCATACAACATCCGCGCCGGATGGCAAGCCGATCGCAGCCCACGCCTGTCCCTGCCGCCGCTCATGGCCCGATACACTGACCGCAAGCTGAATCGCAAGCTCAACTTCATCGGCTCAGAAATCTACTTCGACGGCACCGCCCGAGGTCAGGCCAAAAACTTGTATGAACCAGGAAGCAACATCATCAACAACTGGGACGTCTTGGAGGGTGCTCTGGACTACCTCTTTATCAAACTAGGCGTCGATGGCTCCAAGGGCCACGTCGACCGTCCCGTCGTCATAACTGAGCCTTTGGCCAATCTGCAGTACTCCAAGCGCACCATGTCTGAAGTCCTTTTCGAGCTGTACGGCGTCCCCGCTGCTGCATACGGCGTCGACTCCCTCTTCTCTTACGCATACAACGGCGGCCGGACCGGTCTCGTCGTCTCATCTGCATACACCTCGACTCACCTGGTCCCTGTCGTCGACTCGAAGCCGCTCCTTGCGCAAGCTACCCGCTTAGACTGGGGTCGTTCGCAATGCGCCGACTACCTCAACAAGCTTCTACGCGCAAAGTATCCTGCCCTACCCGGCAAGATCAACGACACTCAAATTGAAGATTTGGTTCGTCAACACTGCTACATCTCTCAAGACTACAACGGCGAGATGGCGAACTATCTGGACTGGACTGGTCTAGAAGACCGTGACGTACTTGTCCAACTGCCATTCACAGAGAAAGAGATAGTTCAGAAAACAGAGGAAGAACTTGCAAGAGCAGCCGAAAAACGCAAAGAGAGCGGTCGAAGACTACAAGAGCAGGCTGCAAAGATGCGTCTTGAGAAACTCATTAGGAAGGAACAAGAGCTGGAGTACTACAAGGATCTTCAACAAAAGCTTGCCCTTGCCACGAAAAAGGATGCACGCACTATGCTCGAAGCCGAGGACTTCAACGACGAATCTCAACTGGAACGAAAGATCAAGGACATGGAACGCTCAATCAGAAAACAGAGAAACAAGGATGTTGGCGATATCGACGAGCCCGAGGAAGTGCCAACTTATCCTTTACTCGAAATCCCGGATGAGGACCTAGACGAGGAAGGATTGAAACAGAAACGTCAGCAACGCCTGATGAAGTCCAACCATGATGCTCGCGCTCGTGCAAAGGCAGAAAAAGAACGCGAGAAGGCCAGAGTCGCTGAAGAGGAACGTCAAGACAACGAGCGTCGCGAGAACGACACCGAAGGCTGGCTGCAAGAGAGGAGAGTTGCTCGCCAGAACATGGTTCAGCGCATCAAAGAACGCGACCGCCTCAAGGCGGATCTCGGAAATCGCAAGTCACTTGCGAGTCAGATCCGCATGAAGAACATTGCCAACTTGGCATCTGACAATCCCAAGAAGCGTCGCCGGGGTGGGGACGATGACACTTTCGGCGCCGACGACGCCGACTGGGGTATCTATCGTCAGATTGCCACTGGCGATCAGAGCGACGATGAAGAAGAGGAAGACCTCGGCGCCAGTCTGAAGAATATTGAGGCTCAGCTTCTGCAGTATGACCCCGCGTTCACAGAACAAAGTACACAAGAAGCACAGCAAGACTGGACTAAAAGTGTACTTCACTCATTCCTGCGCGGACCCAGGCCCTTTGATCCCGAGAGCCAGAGAGAACTCAATCAGATACATCTAAACGTCGAGCGCATCCGGGTGCCCGAAGTCATATTCCAGCCCGGTATCGCAGGCATTGACCAGGCAGGCATTGTCGAGATCGCCGAAGACATCATCACACAACGTCTATCAGGCTCCTCGAGGCGTGACGATATGCTCAAGGATATATTCCTGACGGGTGGCTACACACACTTCCAAGGTTTCGAGGAACGCCTACGTAACGAGTTGCGCGCCGTGTTACCAGCAGACATTTCCCTCGGCGTGCGCAAAGCCAAAGACCCCATCCTCGATGCCTGGAGAGGTGCTGCTCGGTGGGCCGCTAGTCCGATATCAAGACAATCGTTCGTGTCACGGGCGGAATATCACGAAAAGGGAGCAGACTACATCAAGGAGCATAACCAGGGAAATGCAGCCTTTTGATAGTCGATGCAGGTGCGAGCAGTAGTTTTAATCTAGGCGGGCTCGGCACAGTGGCGTTTTTCCAATACGAAGTGGCATGGTGATACCCGTTTTTTTCTAGCCCCAGACGACTCATGGCGCACCAACTTTTAGTTCTATTCTCGTTATTGCAGCAATATGCAGGCAACCACCAAAACTCCAAAGCCCTACTTGGCTCTTTAATGAATCCAACAGAATCCCAATCAGATCGACTGAAGTTAGTGCCCAGACCGCCAGTCGTGATTTTGGTGTCAAAAGCCATCACAATTTCATTGCCGAGAATCTGAAACGCCACGAAACCACTCGTGATCTCTTTCGACAGGCAATTCGCCAGCACCCTGCGACGTGTCTGAGACGGCGCGCCTTCGAAGGAGATCGTCAGGGCCTCTCAAATGACGGCGCAGACCAGGTCGTCCCTGTGGACGTACTAACATGCGCCCCGTGCAAATCGCCAGACACGAGTAAGCACAGATGGGGCGAGCCATAAATTCGACGCAGGTACCAATGCACCTTGATACCGCGTGGGTCTGGTAGGATGCCGATGGCGAACAGCGGTAAGCGTAGCTTCTCTGTCGTGAACCTGCTTCTTCTTCTCGTCTTCTCCAGAAACAATCGTGAGACGCTTCAGACGTCGTTCCTTCCCTCAGCCTCACAGACTACCCACTCACCTTCGCCCAGTCAAAGCAACCTGCTGTCATTTCAATCAACTACTCCCTCTTTCCTCAATCGTCTCCTTCTCGTCTTTCCTTGGCGGGTGTGAAGCGATACTTCCTGGCAGGTCCAATCCCGGAAACCCTGGTGGTCTTTGTCTTTCCAACCCGAGTTCTCCTACCGCAGGTCGCCTGTCACAGCAATGGGCTTCTTGGAGAGATCAAGGTCCTTACGGCGCAAGGAGACGCCATTCATGCGCAAGAAGAACGATGAGACGACTACCACACAACAAACTAAAGATACTGATGTTGAGAAAGACATGCAGCGTGCTGTCAAGAGCGCTCATGGTCACAAAGATTCGACTCCAAGAGGAACACAGACATCACCTTCAGATCTGTCAAGGCCTCGTACTGCAAGCAGAATGATAGCTCAGGAAACATACCCTGAAGTGTCGATGCCTAATTCTGCGCGAAACTTTGCAGAATCACTTGCTTTCAAGCTCCCCAGCGGACCTTCTAGGAGAATGTCCATGACCCCGTCGCCACGCACAACCACAACCAGACTGACTCTCCACGCCAATCACTCGACGCCTGGTGTGGTGTCTGAGGCCCCGAGAAACCCTAAGCGATCCATGACTACTCCCATCGAGCCTCTTTCGACTGTGATCAAGAAGGAGGAGAAGCTTATCGAAACAATAGCCCCACTCAAGACTGAAGTGCCCTCGGCTGCTCCACGTAAGGAGCCCCATCTGCGCAAATCAAAATCTGGTACCTGGAGGTCGTTCTTTTCGAGGAAACAATCAAAACCACCGCTCCCAGACTTTAATCCAGCAGATGTTGCACAACCACCGGCACTCCCAAAAATCTCTTCTAAGAGCTCCGTGCCGGCAATACCTGCCAAGGATGGGAAGAGACTCGATCGCAACTCAATCTCTGTAGACAAGACAAGAGGCATGCAAGATGGTCCGCGAGCTCAGTCTACCAAGAGCATAGGTGACACATCCGCGCTACCGCAGCTAAAGGCAGCCAATCTTTCGGCTTTGCAACCTCCACCACGATCAACCGCACGAAGCCCTAGCGCAGGATCAGCCATGTCACAATATTTCGATGCTTCATCGCATACTAGCGGTTCTCTGCCGGTGACACCTCGAGAGGAGTTTGGTCAACGCAGACTCAACGTCAATATTCCTGCCGTAGAGATGGAGCGCTACAGCGTCATGTTTGAGAAGCTGCTCAAACCTCAGACCTCACTAATGGACAGACGTCAGACAATGGTGAGACAGCTGAACCTATCAGAGCAGCCACCAGGAAGGGTAAGTTACAGAAATGCGAGATACACGCCCCTTGCAAGACGTACGACTAAGAATGTACACAGCTCGCTCCCGAATCTCCTGCGTTGCAGCGCCGTGCAACATCACCAAATCTTAGTTGCCGTACCCCAATGACTGCTAAGATGAACGGAGATGGCTCTCAAGTTGCTACTCCGGTTCCTGTGCATCGCACAGAAGACGCACCGCGCCTTCTGCGCTCACAGACTGCGCCACCGGGAGCACTTGCGTCGTCGCGTAATGGCCGCGAACAGCAGAGCCGTGCGCCTAGCACCACCAACAACTCTTCAGCATGCTCCACCAACTCACTCATGTGGAGCGATGCATCTCGCCCGCAAACTCCAGCTTCGGATGCGGAATCCTTTGTCAGTTTTGATGTCAACGATGTCGAAAACGACAGCAGTGATGAAGATGACGATCACGACGATACTGGCGTCTACATCCACGATGCTGTAGCGATGCAAGCGACTTCTCTGTTCAAGGATCCTCATTGGAGGAACGACACGCCCGTCGTGTCTGCTCCGCCAATCCCAGCCAAAGCACTAGGACGCCAAAGTCCTCCTGCCTTCGAAGTGGAACGACAAGCGACCACAATCGACCGTCCGCACCCACCACGCACAAGCTCACTCGACGACACTGCCGCGAAACGCAAGACCATTGGTCCTACCATCGGGATTGCCAGAAAAATCTCCGTTGTGCGTAGAGCTCCTCCTGGTGGGCTTAGTGTGCCTTCGCCTGCAAAGGCAAAGACTCCCGCAGCTCTGAATCCAACTACGCCTATGCCAGTTTTCAGCAAGCAGCCGCTACGCCCGAAGCTTGTAGATGTGCGCAACCGCAAGAGTACTCTGGTCGTGCTTGACGAAGCCTAGAGGGTTTCATTCTTGTTCTTTAGCGCGATCACATCGCCAATTGCATGTTCTACGCTCGGTGCTGGACCTTTGACTTTTTTCTACTCTGCATCTCCTACCGACTTTATAATGGCAGTGCCTTGGTTTTCTCTTTTTTTTTTCTCTTCCTTTTGTTGCATCATATGGGCCAACACCAATGTCTTGAGGACTGGAAGGCCGTTTTCGATTCTTATACCCTTCGTTTTATTTTTTGCCAAGTTCTGTTATTTTTCTTCCTTCTAGATCTCTGTTCTCTCCTGGCCGAGACCGAGACGTTACTTGTATGACTCATCTGAAATACGTATATAGAGATGATCCGTACTCCCAACTCGAATGCATCAAACGTGGCTTCAAGGCCATCTATGAAATACTATTTGTCTCAATCATAGAATCATCAAGCGATTAACGTGCCTACTCCCACGTGCCTACTCCCAGACTCTCTTCTTCTTGATTTCTGGTTGATACGTCTCGTCAACCTCATGCGGGCCATTCACACACCCTTCCTCGTTTCCAGCCTCGTTGCAGCAATCCCATTTGAAGCCTCCGGGGTACTCGTCGAAGAGATCATTATCGATGGTGCCGTGGCATCTTTGGTCCCAATCGACCCAGGTGTCGCTATCCCAATCAACTTCGAGCTCGCCTGGATCTCGTCAGCATCCTTGTCGCTTCTACATGCTAAGGAACAAACACACCGTCGTGATATTGACAACTTTCCTCATCATTTTCGAGGACATCAAACTCTTCTTTGCAATGCTCGCACATGGCATAGCGTTGTCTTTTCACGCCAGTGTACGTGGTGGGTGTATGCTCGTGCTCGTCTGTGAGATCGATGACGGTAGTCGGTGTGGCCAGAAGCTGTCCTTCGACGAGAACACGCGCTTCTTGCGACGCGTCGCATACTGATTTCAGCAGACTCTGCAATCGCGATAGCGTGGTGTGGTCAATTGCATATTTCAATTCTGGAGAAGTCATGTTTGGGGGGTTGGTTGGTTTTTTTGATCGTGACTGTTGGTTTGGGTTGAGTTGAGTTGTGGGAGGGGTCAAATAAGAAAGATGCGGAGGTGTGGTGCGGCTCCGCGGTGGTTGGGGGCAGGGCTTGGGCTTCGGCATATTGTAGTTAGTGGTCGAAACGATATCGAATCCAGTCTACTGGATATTTGCACATTGCACGTGCCTGATGACACTCGGACTGTTGGAGAGGCGCAAGTAGATGGGGACGGACAACTATTAGGATGCAAAAGGGAAGGAAAAGGAAAAAAACACATGGGTATCATTAGGTATGCTACATGAGGATGCAGCAAGAGTTCTGTTTCTTGGCCTAGAAGAGAGTGAAGAGTCAGTAAATCAAAGTCGCGTGACAAGCGGTTTGTATAAGCGACAAGGCATACCTGGGTGTAGAACATCTTGCTCTGAGCGCTGAGGCCATCGCTCTTTGCGACGAGATTGTCAATCTTCTCTCCACGCTCCAAGACACTCTCGATGGTCTTGTGCAGGACAATCTTTGTCTCGTCCAACTCCTTCTGGATCTTCATGATGCTGTCGGCGGCGTGGGGGTCCTGGTACTTTGTGATGTAGTCCTTGAGTTGGGGGAAGGGCAGCTCGGCGTTGGAGTTGGCAAAGGCAGAGCGAGGGTAGCGAGACAGGAACTCGTCCAGGATCTTGGAGAGCAGCTGGTGGGCGACGAGGGCGGGGTATTCCTGGTCGGAGATGATGATGGCGGCGACGCCCTCGCTGCGGCCATAGGCGTGGAAGGTGTAGGACTGCTCCTCGACGTCCTGTCGTTGGCCGGGCTTTGTGCGCTCGGCGACCGTCTTTGTAAACAGCGACATGAACTCGCCGACACTAGAGCGTGTGAAGCGCGAGTAGCTGCTCAAGTCGCGTTCGGCGCACAGCTCGACGGCCGGCTTCTCTTCATTCTTCAGGATCTGCGCTCGCGTTAGATCCTGGTCATAGTATCCATGGCGCTCAGCGTACACCGATATAGAGGATCTTCATGTCGACGTCGGGGATGGTGTCTAGGTTGGACGATGCCTAAGGGGGCTTGCATGTCCACCGTCCTGCCAAGCCCAGCCGAGTCATGAACATGTCATCACAACTCTCTCAATCTCCTCAGCTCTCACATGCTCAACTTCACGCCTTGCTTTTGAAACACTCATCTAACCACAGACAGAATGCCACTGAATCTGAAACGGGTATAATGACACATATCTCTCTCATCTAGAGTACCTTCTCGTCCCATCGCCATTGCTGGCACCTGCTCTGCACATCTAAGCACCCTCGCTACCAAACTCTGCCGTCCACTCGGCATTGTGCTTGAGGTCCTCTTGACTGACTGTAGGTCTCGAAGCCTTGATTGCCTTGACAAAGTCCTTGACCATGAGTGGCGGCTCCAGGAGCTGATCCGTTTCGACGTCCATCCACGTCATCTCTGTCGCCCCCTGGTCGCCCGGTGAGCACGGCGTGAGCTTTTCTTGCCCGCCAACTGTAACCTAGTAGACCGTGTTAGTATATGCACATGCCCCAAGTTGCACACAGTAACGAACCTTCTTGTAGTGAGTTGCCGTCTGGATCTTCCGCACAGGCTGCATCAAAGCATCTTGTACCGCAATCGTGATATCACTTCCAGAGTAGCCTTCGCTGAGTTGCGCCAGAGTTCGGAAATCTTCTGCCTTCATCTCGCATGGTGTTGATCCTACTGCAAGCTCGAACATGCGTGTTCTAGCCGGGACATCGGGCAAGCTGATGTGCACTCTGCGTTGGAATCGTCTTCGGATGGCAGAGTCGAGTTGCCATGGGATGTTGGTTGCGCCGAGGATGAGGACGCCCTTGGAATCACGCCCAACACCATCCATTTGCACCAAAAGTTCCGTCTTGATACGTCTCGAGGCTTCTGATTCACCTTCACCTCTGGGTCCACAAAGTGCATCAATCTCGTCAATGAAGATGATTGATGGTTTGTTTTCTCGTGCCATGCCGAACAGTTGCTTTACGAGACTTTGACGCGTTAGTTTCCATGGTAAATGCTTGTCGCATAACAACAGACGTACCGTTCACTCTCACCCATCCACTTGCTGACCAGATCACTACTGCTCACACTGAAGAAAGTGCTGTTGGCCTCGGTGGCAACGGCTTTGGCAAGGTACGATTTACCCGTTCCGGGGGGTCCGTAGAGCAGGATACCCTTCCAAGGCTGACGCTTGCCGGTGAACAGGTGAGGAAACTTGATGGGCAGGATGACGGCCTCTTTTAGGGCTTCCTTGGCTTGCTCTAGACCGGCGACATCCTCCCACTTGATGTTGGGCTTGTCGGTCAGAATAGCACCGGCGAGGGCACCTCGCAGCTTCTTGGACTCGGGGTCTTGGTCGTCTCCCTCGTCTTCCCTGTTGGCATGTGATCAGCGCATGCGAGCAAGTGTCGGTATGGGCGAAAGCACGTACTTTCCCTTGGCGGCACCATTCGAAGTCTTTCCGTTGGAGCCTATAGCACTGGGTTTCTTCCGATCCGTGTCTTGCTCGGCCAGATGGTTCTTAAGTTTCTCAGCTCTTTCCATGTATTCGGCGGCCTTTGCGCGGATCATCTCCTTGGACTTTGCGTTCTTCTCCCCTGTACTAGGTCAGTGGCATGCGGCGACGAAGGTGGCAAACAAGGCGTACATTTCAGGGCGAGCATGAACAGTTCGACTAGACCAGAGTTAGTGGTATTCAGGTGATGTGGGCGGAGGTGGGCTGCGTACGGGATTGGTAGTAGAGTTGGTAGGCCTTCTCGTACTCGCCCGCCGTGTCCTGCTCAATGGCCTTCTTGACCACATCGATGGCACGGCCCAAGAAGTCGGTATTGCTCATGTTGAGAGTGTTGCGAGAGAGGTGTGCAGCGATATGGGGAACGTGTAGTGACGTGTGGCACTGTGGATGCTCAGGTTGCGCGGGGCGGATCCAGAGGCGCCTTGCCTGTACGGGTCGCAGAGGTCGTTCCTAGAGGTTGTCGAATGAAGCGACGCAGAGGGCAGACAATACGATTGTAGGCAGCTCGTCGTCAGTAGATATGCAATTGGAAGACGCGGAAGAGAGCGAGAAAGGCCATCCAAGTCGAGACGTTCCCCGCTGGTGCCCGTTGCTTCTTTCCCCACATCAACACGCTTGCCAATCTTGCCCGCCGACACGAAATCCAAGAAGGGCCATCCATTGCTGTCTGCATACACTAGAATACTAGTGACCCAACATCCTTTCACAATGGCTACGCCCGAACAACAAAAACAATTACAAGCTTTGTCTGACGAGTACACTGCTCTGCAAACTGGTACACTTATCGACTCCGCCACTTTTTGACTCTCGAACATCTACTAATTGCCGTATATAGATTTGCAAACCACTGTTGCAGCCAGACAAAAGCTCGAATCTCAACAACAAGAAAACAAGGGCGTCAAGAGCGTATGTTTTGTTAATGAACTCGCGTGATTCGATCCTCGCTGACTTGGTTGACAGGAGTTTGCGAACCTCGACGATGATGCCAACATCTACAAGCTCGTTGGCCCCATCCTGCTAAAGCAAGACGCATCCGAGGCAAAGAGCACTGTTGATGGCCGTCTAGAGTTTATCGACAAGGAAATGTATCTTGCCACACTGCTGTCCATTCCCAATGTCCCACACTAATCAGTCACAGCAACCGTATCGAAAAGCAGATTTCTGACATCCAAGCAAAGAGCGAGGAGAAGAAGATGGCTGTAAGCTCTTATCCTTGCTAAATCCTATCCTTCCGAGACTGATTTTCTCCAGGTCTTCCAACTGCAAACAGATATTCAGCAGAGCGGTCAAGCCCCAGCATGAGAATCTAGCATTCTTCCTTTTACCAAGAGTGCTCACTGAGGCACGTTCCGGCACTCTTAATCGAGTTGAGCTCCCAGATCTCGCTGGTGTCAAGCAGGTCTGGTTAGCACTAGAAGCAGATCTGAACTGTGCCACGCAATGTTCATGCTGATATCACCAACATACGGTTTGGTTATGTCCTTGACAACGCGTCATACGCATCCGCAAACATTGTGACGCTGTCACATAAGAGACTACATGCAAGTCCTGTCGATTGACCTTAGATTACAGCAAAAGTTCAAGTCAAATCAAAGTCATCATGTGTATTTCTATTTGTGCCAACAATTTTGGTTTGGTGGAAGATATCATTTGTTATTAGACTTTTCTCCCAAACACGCCGGCATGGCATCTTAGACAATACGCTCATACGGCCAGCGCGGCTATCGTTATCACCCTTGACCGTTTCTCAAACCCGGAGTCAACACTTCTTTCCGCAAAAAGGTTCACCTCTAACCAAAGAAGGCGCGAACTGCATGCTGGACCTCTGGCGACATCTCGGCTAGAAGCTGGTTGGCGTCCAAGGATGCCATGGTGACAAGAGTCTTTGCTGACTGCACAACTTGTTGTGCGGTTCTACCTTGCAAGGTTTCGGCCTCCAGAGCCAGCGCAACAAAGTGGAAACAACGAGCTGCTTGCTGGATGACTGCTGGGTTTTGTCTAGAATTATCGTCAGAGACAGAGATTACACCTACACATGTTTCGAGACTTACTGGTCGATAAGCTGTGCCAAGAAAGCGTAGGCAAAGGGAGCGGCCTCTTCGTCGTTGACAACAGGCAGTGTTCCTATCCAAGCCTCGACAACTTGTTGACTGTTGGTGACCTTGGTGCTGTTGAAGTGGAGAATCTTGGCGATACTGGCGCAAGCATTCTCGGTTGCAAACACATGGTCGCCAGTACGGGCATCCGGTCTTTGGGTTGCCTGGAAGAGAAGCGGCAAGCTAGCATTAGCAAAGTCTGACCATGGTGCACCGCCCTTGTGTGCGGCGACACCAGCTCCGTATGTTGCAGCTTGTCTGTTAGCAGGCACGTCGTCTTGCATACCGTCCACCAAGGGTTGCACAATGTGGCTCTCGAATGCCCATGAATCGGGACCGCAGAACTCCAGAACGTCATCCATGATGCACAGTGCCCATTGTCTTTGTGTGGGATCCTGGTTCACGAGTGCTTGGTCGAGGTAGGGCATCAGCTTTTGCCAGAAGGGTAGGAAAGTAGTGCCGTGATGCTTGAAGAGGGTGTGGAAGGCTTTATTCATATCGGAGAGCAGGGTTTGGTCGTCCTCGATGGCGAAGAGAGTCTCTTCACTGGCCTCCTCGCCATCCTCACGCTCGTTGGCTTCCTCGAGTCGTTCGTTGACACGAGTTTGGTAGTCCTTCAGCACGCCCTCCGCCGAGTTGATGAAGACTGCCATATGGTCTGGGCTCAAACAGCCGTTGCCGCAGACCTCGACTGACTCGTAGAAGCATTGGTACATTTCAGCCAGAGTCTCGATAGCTGGCTCGGTCTCGAGGACCTCAAGAACCTTGGCGATGGTGGTTGTCCAGAGTTGACGGAATTGTGGTGATTGGAGCCCGTGGGCGAGCTTGTAGCAGTTAAGGAGTTGAGGCACACATTTCGCAGCGGCCTGGCGGACGGGATCGTGGAAGAAGAAGGCAAGACCAGGGATGGCAATGTTCTCCATGATATCAAGGACGTAGTTTTCGAAACTAGCGGCCAAGTGCTGAGCATAGACGACGATGAGCTCAATAGCCATGTGCTTGTCATCGAGGGTACTAGTCTTGATGCCAATATACTTGCCCTTGAGAGGTACAAGCTCCCATCCTTCTTCCTGCTCGAGGTTGTCTTCGTCATCAAGCAGCTGGATGTCGGCCTTAGCCTTGGCCAGCTCCAATAGCGGAGGCATAACGGCAGGCAGGTACGGAAGGAAGTCTGAGCCCAAGATACGGCACATACGGCCCCAACAGTGCAGCAGATATGAAGCTTGAGGGTCATCGGAATCAGTGATACTTTGCTGAATGCTACCAAGAATCTGGACAAGCTGGAGCGCATCATTGCCCATACGCTCCTTGCCGACTGCGAGTGCGATCAGAGTGGCGCACTCCATAGCCTTGGCTCTGAGCAAGCGATTCTCCTTGGACTGGTCGGTCTGCAAGACGTTGAAAAGAAGAGGCATCAGGTCGCTGTAGTATTTGGCAAATGCAGCTTCGGCGGAATCGGCAACAGTGGCGATGGTTGACAAAGCTTGTTCCTGGACGTAGCGAGTCTTGGTGTTGCGCAGGAGGTTGAATAGGTTTGTGAAAAGGCCGTCCAGGTAGGGTGTTAGGATCTCACGCTCGGCTTCCTCGCAGAAGTTGACAAGCGCAGCGGCAGCGTGGGATGCGACGCGAGGCTGATCGGATTTGAGGGACTCGACCAGGGCAGGGAGAACGATTTGGTGAAAGTTGGTCTGCATGATACCCTTGAAATCGGTGCTCATCTGGCCCAATGCGTTGCAGGCAGCCCATCTGACACGAGGGTGGGGGTCGCTGAGTCTGGGAAGGACAAGATCGAGAACCTGCTGGAGTTCGCTCTCCATGAGTTCCTGGCAGCCTTCGGAGATGGCCGAGATTGCCATGAGAGCAGCATGGCGGTCTCTCCACGAACCCGACTCAATCATACGGGGCAGCCACTGGAAGGTGGGAGGAAGGATGGCTTGACCTCCCAACTTGTTGGCCAGACGATCCATGGTCTGCTCACCCGCGACGTGGTTCATGTCAGCCTCGTCCAGGTCCAAATCCTCTGTGGTGCACCAGTCCTCGGCATCGTCATCGTCGACGCCAACATCAGTCATAAGGGACAGGCACTGGGTGACCATGTCGGGGGTGTAATTGGGATCCTTGCGGCACATCTGAGGGCTGTAGTCGGCGAAAGTGGCCATGAGCTCCAAAGCGTTCTGTCTAGCCTTGTCATCAAGGTCCTTGTCCTGGATAACGGTGATACTGAACTTGACGAGCTCATTGAATAACGGCTTGAACATCTTAGGGGCGGCTTCGGCGAGGTCGATCATGGCAACCAAAGCTTTGGTAAGATCATCCGAGTTGGAAGAATCCTTGAGCGGAGGGAGGATGTTGAGGATCTCAGAAATCAAGGGGTAGTACTTGACTTGAGATTTCTTGTTGATGGAATGGAAAAAAGATGCGAATGCGTCCATGGCAGCCAGTCGGACCTGCAGATGGGCAAGGTATACGTCAGTTGGTGATGGTGGGAAGAGTGCAGTTATAGCAACTTACGGCGACATCATCGTCTTTGAAGCCCTTGGTGAAAGAGCTCAAGACGACTTCCTCGTGCTGCTTCTCGATGATTCCAGGGGTAGTAGCGAAGATTCTGAAAGCCGTCTCGCGCTGACCAGCATCAGGAGATTGGCTGGCCTGGAACAAAGCGGCTAAGAGGTCGGACCATGTGTCTTTGGTGCCGTCATCGTTGTAGACGTCCTCGTCGGTGTATTGTCTAGCGATCTCGGCCACAGCATCACCGACCTTGTTACGAAGCGAAGGTTGGGCGACGACTGAAGGTGCGGCCATGCCTTGTAGCAAGAGAGTACGGATAGCATCTCGCTGGGGCTTTTGTAGGGTGAGGAACATCTCGCGCGAGGAGCCAGCAGAGTCCTTGGAAGTGCGCGATGACATGCGACGGAACAGGACGGCGGCAAAGGATTGGGCCTATGCTTGTCAGTCAGAGAAGTCATCGGCGGTGAGGAGTAGACGGCTCATACGGTAGGGGAGTCGGCCATTTGAATCTGCTCAACCAGGCCCATGAGCAGCACGTCAGGCTTCGATTGAGCCCATTCTGTCGAAAGGCGCTCCTCAGCCTGGCTTCTGATATTGTTATCGGCTGCTTGAAGACCCTGCAGCAGCTGGCTCAGTGCGCTGTGCGTGTCTGCCGGGAGGATCGACATGGTGTTTGTTTCGTAGAAGGAGGTGGGGGGTTCAGGCGCCGCCGCGAGAGCGCCGCGTTAATCGAATCGCTGGTGGATGACGAGAAGGCCGTGCCAGGAGCAAAAGAAGCGTTGTGTGCCTAGATGAATCGCTGTATGCAACGAGCACCAGAAAAAGCCGGGGTGGTAACGGGAGCGAAAGACGGTGTTGTGGAAGGAGCTTGGTTTGATGCCCCGAATGTTTTTTTTGGTTATCTAGGGAGAAAGCCTGCCAGGGTCTGAGCCAAGAACTCTGACCTCTCTGAATCTCCTCTCCACATTTTCTAGTCTGGTCCAACCACCCGATTCTACAACCTTGATGTTCACCCATCTGCTGTAGTGTTGCAATACTGCTAGACGTCCCGCAGTGCCGTATCACACCGCAAGTCGCCGCCAATTGGCGCTTCTACTTGACTTGTTTAGGAGTCCTGCCACAACGATCAAGGAATGTTCAATTAAACTAAACTATAGTCATGAGTGGTATCGCTGCCAAAAGAAATGTAATCCTGCCGCCGCTCAGGAATGCGTGTCGCGCCCATTTTATTTGCTCGACATCCTCGAGATGGCAAACACTCCCACAATGGCCACAGCTAGCGTCACTATCGCTCCAGGCAGAAGGAGATCATTGGGAACGCCTGCAATCAGTTGTTCCTGTCCCGCTGCTGGTGCTGCTTGACGCTCCTTTCTACGAGGTTTGGTCTCGATTTCTTCCTCATCTGACTCGCTCTGCGTCACCCTTCTTTCGCGGACCTGACTCTCGGGTGGTGTTGCCGTCACCAAAGAGGGCTGTGGTGCCAGCGTTGCTGGAAGCGGTGCCTTCTCGGGATCGTGTACGAACAGATCAACCTTGTCTTGGTGAGTCAATTGTGCCAGTGAGACAGCGTCCAGTAGATCGCGGTCTGTTGTTATCGAGACTGTATCACCTTCGTTATCGAGATAACTCAGTGCGAATCCGGTGCGGCTGAGTTTACCATCCTCGAAGGTTGGCACTCCACCGATACCTTCAGCTTCGCCGCCCAATTTCTCTGCGACCACACTGACCAGCTCGCTCATGCCAGCCGAAGGCACAATCTGCAGTCTGTGTACGCGACCACTTGGTGCCTTGAACTTGAAGGGGAAAACAACATCTTCGTACGAGGCGGCCGCTCCAGTGAATGCAGATGGATCGGGCGAATCGCGACCGCCGGTGTGGGATGCTGAGTCGGTGGGCATGACACTATCAAGCCGATCAACTCCTGGCCTCGACATCTCAGGTGACATAAGGGATCTTCCATCATCTGTTTGTGGGTGACGGCTGCCACCTTCGCCAGACATCATGGACTCGGTCTCGTTGTCGAATGACATCCAGAACTTGTTCCAGGCAGGTCCTTCGCTGTCTCCAGTCGACATGCTGTTGATCTAAGACGAGTTAGTTGGTGGATAATAAAGCGTTTCGAAAGGTAGAAACGTACCTGGTCCAGCGTAGCGTAGGTAAGCTTAAGAACATCAACCATACCGACGATCTCGCCTTCGGCACTCATGACCGGCAAGTTCAAGTAATGTCCATCTGTTGTTCGTTAGCGATGTGTCGATATGCCAATTGCAGATCCGATTCCTTACCATGCATCTTGCGGAGTGCAGATTGGATGCTCATGTCGAGGGGTGCAAAGTCCGGGTGAGGGGTCATAACACGGACAACACTGCAGGTGCTGGGATCGAGACCAGCAGCAATGACTCGCAGGACGACATCCTTGCTGGTGAAGATTCCGGTAATAGATCCCTGATCTGTCACCAGAACAGCGGTTGTGTGGTTAGCCTTCATCAATGCAGCCGCCTCCTTGACGGAGGTACGGACAGACACGGTTACAGGCGGCATGCCGTTCAGAACAGACTCGAGAGTTGGGCCTGACATCTTGTGACGAATGGCCTCGACGTACTGGATGATCTGCTGGGGCTGGCTGGAACCCAGCTCGGCTTGAACGCCCTCGAGGGCATCGTAGAGCTTCCTCGAGGAGCTGTATGCGCGTTCCAACTTCTCCATGGCATCGTAGAAACACTTTGTAATGTCGAGGATACCAGAGATATCGTGGTTCTCATCCATGACAGGCAAGTGGCGGAAGCCTTTGCGGACCATAAGATCGAGAGCATCGGTGGCGCTGGTGTCGGTTTTGGCGCACAAGGGGTTCTTGGTCATGATTTCGGCGATGGTAATGCTGTTGGCCTTGATGCCCTGTCCGACCACGCGGAATGCAAGATCCTTTGCGGTGAAGATACCTGCGATGCGATCATCATCATCGGTGACAAGGACGCAGTCTTCACGCTTAGCGGCCATGAGCTGGGCAGCTTCTGCAACGGTGGTGTTCGGCTTGATCTGAAGAGCCTGGCTGGGTCTGAGAGCCATGACTGAACCAGGAGCTGCCTTTCGGGTCTGGCGGGCGCGAGTAGGGTTGGCTCTCTTCTTGCTCAGGTCGGTCTCGATCTTGCGACGGATGGCCTGGGAGCGTAGGGTTAGGTTTGACAGACACTATGCGATGCTTCGAAGCAACACACCTCATCCCTCTTGGACTGTTTAGCCCTGCTGGCACTGAGAGTCGACATGTCGCTGGGCGCGTTGCTGGCGACTGATTCTAGCTTTGGTCTGGGGATGCCCGAGGGGCTTTCGAGAGCTTGAAAAGGATTTTGGGCTTTGGTCTTGTCCTTTGGAGTTCCACGATATGTGCCAGCTGCGGACATAGTGGTTCGTGCGATTCAGAAGTCGGTGCGAGGGCGGTGAAGGGGGGCCAGAGCTAACTATTTACGTTCTTCTAGAGCTTCTCACCCTAAGCCCGCAATTGTAAACAGTCAGGGGAACCTTTTGGCTAGCCAAGCATACCCCTGTTCCGTGCACAACTTTATGTCATGCTCTGTGAGCCACTTGTGCATTGAGCATGCCTTGTCGTGCTCGGGTCTCATTTGATTGTTAGATATATATGCCACGGACAGCTGGTGTATCGCGACATGGAAGTGCTGGAAGTCTGCGTGGACGCTGCTGCTGCTTGCCTCTGGCCCTCTGCTCTCATGATGGTTCATCACAACATGCTCCTGCAATTCGCGGCCTAGTGATCATTGGATATTTCGACCTTGTACGAGGGAAACAGAATGTAGCCGTCTGACCAATATACGAAATTTCCTTTAGAAATCTATCATGCTGTAGTCTTGTACCTTGCATACTGCGATTAATCACATACTACTCAGTATATTGTAGTGACCGAGTGCAGCACAGCATATTTTTGAGAGTCGGCATAGCAAGTCGGAAAAGGATCAGATTGGGTGTTTGTCAAGTTGCTTTACGAACGTTCCAATCTAAGCGACAGCGGCAGTAGTGGTCAGCACAACTCACAAGACTGACTCCCATGTTGTATCAACCAACAGGATGTCTAGCAGGTACGGGAATGAGTGGTGGATCAAAGTCGGAGGGTGGAGTGCTGGGTGCTTGCCTGGTCTGTGCGTTCGGCAAGCCACGCCCCTCGCACACACTCTCGCGAATTCCGAATCAACTACTTGGTGAACTCACACAATTTCTGTCCGTCTTCCATACAACGTCAAAATGGTCAAGAAGAGAGCCTCCAAGTACGATTTGCCTGGCCAGAGATAACCACTGGATGTCGCGCTGACAGTATTTGTACAGCGGTCGCAACAAGAAGGGTCGTGGCCACGTCAAGCCCGTCCGCTGCTCCAACTGCTCGCGATGCGTTCCCAAGGACAAGGCCGTCAAGAGATTCACCATCCGCAACATGGTCGAGTCCGCTGCTATCCGTACGTCGATCCCGCCAGACATCAACTCCCTACGAACACTTCCTGCGTCTTCTCGCTCCGCCACTCCGCCTCTGGTCTATATCGAATTTGACGACTGATAAAACTCCTGCAGGTGATATCTCGGATGCCTCCGTCTTCGCCGAGTACGCCGTCCCCAAGATGTACCTGAAGCTCCAGTACTGCATCTCGTGCGCCATCCACGGCAAGATCGTTCGGTATGCCTCTCCCTGGAAACACCACCCTACCTGGGCGCAATCCACAACCCTTCGCTCGACGCGCACACGGAATACTAACACAGTGCAGTGTCCGTTCCCGTGAGGGCCGCCGCAACCGCGCTCCTCCCCCGCGTGTTCGCTTCAACAAGGACGGCAAGAAGATCAACCCCCAGCAGGCCGCTAAGGTCGCCGCCGGTGCCCAGGCATAAATGATGAGTTTTTTCGGGATTTGACAAGGCGTCTGTCTTCCGGTATCACTTGGCAGGCACGAGGTTGCATTCATGGCTTCACAAAGAAAAAAAATGGAGAACAGGTCGGGATGCCTTCTTCAATGGAGATTATCAGCGGCAGCATGAAGCTACCTTTACGGGCACTGTTATTTCTCCTGCACAGCGGCTAGGTAGACTTCAAATGCACGCAAAAGCGGTCGTGGCTGCTACGATTGTTGAACTTCCCAAAAAGAAACTGGACATTCCGCTCGTCTCTCACAAGTGTCTCATCATTCGAACATGAACTATCGATTGTCTAATCGGACCGCTTTTCGGCGATGCTTCCTTCTTGACCCGCCTTGGTGGTGGGCGTGCTCTCAGGCATCTGGTCATCGTCCCAATCGTCGGCATTCTCATCCCAGTTGTCCAACTCTTCCGTGACGTTTGGTAGTTCGGAGCTAGACATGACGCCAGTCTCCTGGTCGGTAGCGCTTTCGCCCAGTTCAATGTCTTGGTCCTCGCCGGGCACCATTTGGTAGTTTCTTGCTGCGCGGCGTCGTTCCAGCATACGCTTGTGATACCAGCTGCAGGCCAGCAAGGCAAGTAACGAGCCAACCACGTTGGCAAGGATATCGTAGGGATCAAACTCACGGCCATTCTGAATGAACGTGTTAGCGTGATGCAGAAGCCAAAGTTGGGGAGCAACGTGCCGGTAGCAGTCCTTGGACGATCTCGGACCCGATGCTCAGAGCGACAGTGCAAGCCACGAGAGTAAAGTGAATAACGCGGCGACGATTGGTCTCGATGATCCAGTAGAAGCAAAGCTAGCAGCGGCAGAGCATTAGTGAGAGCCGATGCAGACGTGACAAAACAACGCACGGTGATCAAGAAGAAGGTCACAAAGTGTAAGACCTTGTCGCTCTGCTTGTATTGGGGTAGGCGGTTCGGGGCAAGGCCTAACGAGGCTGCTATGAACAGCAATACCACAAAGGCAGCTTTGTGAAGGAGTCAGTCGCATGACATTTGACAGTGCTGGAGCAGAACGGGCATACCAGCAAAGGGCTTTCGTATTCTCATGGTTCGGGCTACTATCTTGTTTGACCAAGTGTGCTATATGGAACGACTGGTAGCAGGAGCTGGTAGGTACAGTACTCTTGGAGCGGCAGCCTCTGGGTCATGGGGGTTCGTGATGAGCGGCGTTGTTACCCGATGCTCCTTCCTCGTCGGTCTCGGTCTGTTCTTGGGCAATTTCACATGGATATTTTAGACGCAGATAGCTGGGTAGTGTTCAGAAAGATGCAAGTCTGCAGATAGACAGATGAAGACTTCCCAACATGGGTCAGCGGTGGTTTGCGACAGGAATTGCTGTGGACAGCAACAGAAGCGTGTCGTCTGGGCGTCTGCATAACGGCGCTCTACCGACCAGCGCGAGTCGGCCTCCGTCCTCAAACCCCCATCAGTGCATCCATCATCCACGCGAGAACCAGCGACTTTCCATCGGATTTCCTGTTACTGCCGCGTCCTGCCCATCACCAGCCTACGGTGCCATCAGATGATTGATACTCCTCTGCCAGATCAGAGGTTTGCGTGAATGCGCAGCATCAGCACTCGTTCCCGGCTTGGCCATGAACAATAAGGAGCGCTCGAGACCTGCCTCGGCCAGCAACTCTTTGACACGACAGAAGTCTACCAATGGCCTAAGCCCTGCGCCGCCGCAGAGAGACGCTTCAATTGCGCGAACCTCCAGAGCCGACTCCAACCCGACCGACGACCTCGACCATGACCCCGACCATGACCGCGATCCCGATGACGACGATCCTCTTCACAATTCCCTCAAGGCTCGTTACCACCTCTCACAGGCCAAAATCGCCAATCTCTTCTCTCGCCATGCCAATCCGCCGTCAACCTCCGAGTCAACCTCAAATCGTCCTGCTCGCCATCAATCACCCTTGACCGAATCCACCCCACCCCCACCTCCTCCGCCAAAGAGACCTGCGCGCACCATTGACGAAGACGACTATGGCGACGACGATGACGACGATGAAGAAGAGGAGGTCGACCCACAAACCCAGCAATCCCATCCTGCTGCCGAGTCTCCTTCGCGCTCAAAACAACCCGCCTCGCCCTCCTTGTCACTTAAGCCAACCATTACCCGCACTAGTACCTCGTCTGCTTCCTCAGATCATGCAAAATCTTCCGAGGATGTGCGCAAAAAACTCGAGCAGGACAAAAAGGCCGCCGAAGACGCAGCGCGAAAGAGTTTCCATATCATGTTCTATACCCTCGAGGCAGACCGGGATGCTATGATGGAGCAGCAGAAACTCGACGATCTGGACAGACAAGTCGAGAACGAAATGTCAGGCGTTGCCAATCCTGCCCCGACCTCTGATCCCTCGGGCATCCAACAAGGATCTCTCAGCAATGCGGACCTCGGTGCATCAAGCTTGACTTTGAAGAACCTCATTGCTCGCATTGACGCCAAACGAACCATGGTCAACGCAAACGATACCCAACTACGTACTCTTATTAGTGAAGTACGGAAAGGGCGCAGCAAATGGGCCAGCGAGGAGAAAGTCGGTCAGGAAGAGTTGTACGAGGCTGCCGAGAAGGTTCTGATGGAACTAAAAGCAATGACCGAGTACTCGACGCCTTTCTTGCAGAGGGTAAACAAAAGAGATGCTCCCGACTATTTTCACATCATCAAACAGCCTATGGATATTGGTACCATGATCAAAAAGCTCAAGAGCTTCTCGTACAGATCGAAGAAAGAATTCGTTGGGGATCTGAATCTCATCTGGGCCAACTGTCTTACCTACAACGCCGATCCCGCCCATCCCTTGCGGAAGAAGGCCCTGTATATGCGCAAAGAAACCGACAAACTAGTGCCATTGATCCCCGACATTGTGGTGAGAGATAGAGCAGAAGTTGAAGCAGAGGAGAGACGTCTACAAAACCTGGATGTTGATCTTGAGGGAGGGGAAGACAGTGATGATGGTACCAAAACATATACTAATGCGACTATTGATTTCCTGCTGACTTTCCACAGACCAGCCCATAATGGCATCTCGTGGCCGCAAAGCACCGGGCAAAAGCAAGAAGGGACAATCGAATACCACTCGACAAACAACTCCAGGCGCACCCGAAGGCACTCCAGCTGCCGAGTCCAAACCCGCGATCCACGCTTCTGCATCTAGTTTGCGCAACGAGTTCCTTCGTGCCGACTCAGACGCTCCTGCTGAAGCCAGTTCTAATGGATTCACCACACCCCCTCCACCTGGAACGGCCACTCCGCTTGGAATCAACGGTCTGAGTCAAACTGACTTGATGGAAGTTGACGGAGTCGGGAACTCGATCGCTATCGGCTCTCAGACAGAGGAACTCGACGAGGACGACGCCGAGTTCAAGACCTGGAAGCAAGTCACCAAGAAGGATAGGGCGATGGCCGCTGCGGAGAGGAACCGTCTGTTTCGTGGGGATCATCTGAACCCAGACGAACCAGCTTTGTTGCGCACGAAAGCAGGGATGCGCAGATGGCTTCGTCAGCAGAAGCAGACCATGGTAGAGCCGACCAGTGCACTCTCAAGATCTGATGGCGACGACCCGGAACCCGACACGAGTACTACAGGTGAAACCCTCGCCGAGATTCAGAGAGATCAGGATCGGACACTCCCAGACTACTATGATGTTTTGGCAGCGATTCCGGATTTAAATGAACAACTAAAATGGACGGAAGACTCGGAGGGCAAAGTGATACCCCAGGTCGAGGAGTATCTACGTGTTTTCCCGAAAGAAGAGTTCACGTCGTCAGAGAGCGGCCTCACGAAACGGATGGAAGCCAACATGAGACAGATGCAAGAGACTCGAAAGATCTGCGCAAAGATTGGCATTGTCAAGCAAATGCAGATTCAGGCTCAGGTACACGACTCTGTTGTACAACGCAAAGAGTGAATTGTGCTAACATCATCTTCTAGACCTATCAGAATCAGTTCCAGAAGTACGACCCTCAGCCGTTTGTGGAACAAGACATTGGTGCTGTCGCTGTATCCGAAGATGGCCCTATTATGTCGCCGTGGGTCTGTCGCGCCGCTTTCCAAAGAGCGGTAGGCAAGATCTTCTACCATGCCGGTTTCGAAGATTTTCAGCCATCTGCACTTGATGCTGTCACGGACGTCGCCAGCGATTTCTTTGGCAAGCTCATCCGTACTTTTACCTTGTACAATGAAGCACCCAAAGATGATTTGGAAGCTCACAGTTTCAGTGCCGAAGAACAGGTGCTTCATTGCCTCCACAAGAATGGTCTAGATTTAGAGTCGCTCGAGACTTATGTCAAGGACGACGTCGAGAGATTAGGATCGAAGCTGGGCGTGGTCCATGAGCGTATGAAGGCACATCTTGCTGACCTGCTGGTGAGTACCAACCGAAATTTTAATGACAAAGATGCTAATTCGTGTAGCGACCTGCTCTGGGCGACAGTGTTGGCGCAGATGGTGTTGGTGCATTCAATGATGGCAGTGATCAGTTTACCAGCGGTGACTTTGCCGCCGATGTTGATGAAGATTTCTTCGGCTTCAAAGAACTTGGTCTAGCCGACGAGTTTGGGTTGGAGAGTCTCAGCGTCCCGTTGCATTTGCTACAGAACCGCATGCACAGCGCCTACCAGGCTAACCATACCAGCTTGATCACTTCATCTGGTATTGTGTTCCCTGTACCTGCTCCTTACGACCCGATTTCGACAGATAATCTGCCCTCTCAGATTGGATTGGTCCAAGACTTTTTTGCAACCAAACTTGCCGCTAACCAAGGACGACCCCTGGTTGATGACGAAGATCTACCGACTAAGCAGCGCTTCCCTCGACCTCGTCTACCGCCTACCGGAAAGATCAGCAGTCCAAGGAAGCGGCCCATCCGGGAGCAACAACAAGCCGCGAAGAAACGCAGGAAGCTCGAGGAAAACAAGGACGACAGTAAACTAGTGAAACCTATTGGACCACTCAAATTGGCGTTGCCAGGAGTCAAGGATAAGGACCCAGAACCCGAGAAAGACCACGAAGGAAAGAATGCCATGATGAGTCCGCCTGAGAGCATTACTGCGAGTTAGGCATCCATTTAGGTCTGCACATAACACAGAGAGCGAAGCCAATGGTTTGGTGTTTTGAATCTTTTTTTCTTCTCTCTTGAAATTACTGGCGTTAAAGGCTCTTACCACTGTTTATACCCCGGCCGTCTCTGCGATTTTTTCTGGCAACGGGATTTGTGATGGATGCTATTGGTTGCGATGATCATCTCTGCTGCTAGGAGAGATCGAGCGAACACGAGAGATGGGGTTCATTAACAGGCTGGCTGTATATAACACGAGCTGTGCAAGCATAGAATGGAACGAATGCGCGAACTTGTATACGCTTAACACCTCCGTGTATGCTCAAGACTGTCAAAGCTTCGAGATCGAAGGCGCACAATCGTTTCCGCAACAGAAGTACTGCAGTAGAGGCATCCTGAGGGTTAACCTGGTTCAATTCTACTCTTGCTTGGAGATTTACTGTGTTTGTATAGCCAGAATGTAACAGTGTTCGATGAACGGAAGTGGCATTAGGACATGACAGTAAGGCACAGTCATAATGTTCACACGGAGTAAGACGTATAGTGGTTGTCATTAAACTGTTATAGCTTCATATCGTCATATGCATTGCACTGTGGCCCTTCTCGTAGCCGAAGCGAACAGTATCTAGTTGGAGACCTTGTCGGGGACGTTCTTGCCTAAGGTGGTGGTTAGATTCCAATCCATGCTGACATCGGCATTGAATCTTACCAGTGGCCTTCTCGAACATGCCGCGGGCAGTGTCGGTGACCTTCTCGTTGACGGAGCGGAGCTTGTTGGGGTCCTGGCCCTCCTTCTTCTCGAGAGAGTCGATGCCCTGTCTGGCTGTGAGTACGGTGGTATGCATTGCGAATGTGGTATGCTGACCTTGTCCAGGTAGTCCTCCTTGCCGCCAGCAGCAACGTTATCTTGGGGTGCAGACATGATGGTGTTTGGTTTTGAAGTGTTGTTTGTGGTTTGGTGTGTTGTTTAGCAAAGAAGCAGCTTGCGTCTTCCCCTCTGTTTATAAAGGATGCTTCGTGGTCAGAAACCGGTTCCAGCCCCGCGGACGTCATATATCTGGGGTTCGAAACTCGCAACCTTGATGATGCTTGATGATGGCTGGAGGACTTCCTTACGTCGGTTCGATCCACAATTTCTCGAAAGGTAACCGGCAGCCATCGATTTCACTCTGATCAACAAATTCCGTAGATGTGCTCGTTCCTGCTCATGAATATTGGCATAAACATCTACCTGACAGGGCCACTCGCGTGGAACTCGGAGACGAATCCCGCTGCTGAACTTGGATAAGCTTTTTAGTAAGAAGCTTGCGTGCCCACTCTCATTCTTCGAGTCTTCTAGATAATCACATCCATTGAGCATGCGTGCCAGGTCATCCTTAGGGTGTCCTTTGTGTGGAAGTATAAGCTTGCTTCTATTACAGCAGATATACAGTATCTCCAGTATCATTGTTCCAAGTCACGCATATCACTGAAGTATGTATGCATCTTGCCGTTTGGCACTGTTGATTTATCTCAATATCTAACCCGTACTCACCACCGGCCACGATTTATCTCGAGCACACTTTATTCACGATATCTCGTACCTAGAGCACCATATCTGGTTGGCTATCGTATTACATCTTATCCCTGGTGACGCTGCGGACACCCAGATTGACCATCATGGCGCAGGCTTGGGATAGTCAGGGTGGCACCCTCTGCAACATGCAAAGAGAGCCGATTGCGCCCTCACCGATCACACTCTGTCTGCGATCCACGGAACGACAGGTAGGGTCATAGTTGCTGTTACCAATTTTGATACATGAGAGAGAGTTGACGTGACCAAGTGTCTCAGTGAAAATTATTCCAACACTCGGAAGGAAACATCCATGTTGCCTACAGATTCAAGAATACGCTCATGTTGCCTTCAAGCCCAGAGCAATTGACATCAACGCCTTCGTTCGAGACAATCATGATCTACCACCACAGCTTGTTGCGAACAATGATCTAGAGCGGTCTTCTTCCCGGAGTTCTAAACCTTGTTTGGACCCTATCTACGCCCCACGTGTTGCTACTGCATATCTCTAGCTGCGTCCTCAATCGTTACGATCAGATCTTTGCTCTAGCAGCGCGCTCGACTGTTGTCATCTGGTCTCGCGGTTAAGTTATTTCCAAGATTTAGACAGCGATCCTCGTTTTTCGTTGCCTACACTGCCCTATTCTTGGACCGAGTGTGCTAGGTCTTGATTCAAACGTTTCAAATTTCTGGTAATTGCAGAACAGCGCCCTTGCATTTGACGACAGTATGCATACGCCAACGTTAGCAAGCGAGAGCTCGCTGGCCTCACCAGGTTTTACGGAGGTTCGAAAACGCTCATTACCCCCTCACATCATCGAGTCGCAAAAGAAGGAAGCCCTTGCCATGGTCACCGAGAAGGACTCCGAGGACGATCAGTCACAACAAGCACAATTGTCCTTCTTTGAACGCTATTTTTGCAAAACAACCTCACGGCCTGGTTCTGGAACTGGTGACGAGAATGATGCAGCACCAACACGGAAATTTTCCGTTCTATCTCGAGGATTCGTTACAGTATCAGCACTTCTTTGCCTAATTATAGTAGTCACATTATGTGCGGTTCTGGCCACAGTTTTTGTTCGAAACCAGAAACAAGAGCAAGCGATTCGTCGGGCTCCTGTTCATGAGGCAATATTTGCCAATTTCGCGGATCCAGTGGTGGTTAAGCACGAGGGCTTGTTCTACGCATTTGCAACGACCAACGCAGCAGGTACGCGTAACTTAACAACAGTCTAGCGAGACAACAATAGGTTGACATCTCTAGGAATTCTCTCACAAACGAATGACACGGCCATCATCGCCCTTGGCAAAAGCAACGTACAAATAGCGACAAGCCCGGACTTTAGAGACTGGACTCTGCTGGACCACTCGCACGATGCCCTTCCAAAAATGGGTGACTGGGTCAGAAAGGGGCTCAACGAGAACCAGAACCCAAGAGCGGCAGTCTGGGCTCCGGCGGTCATGAAAAGACCCAGTGATGGCAAGTACATCATGTATTATTCCGCCGCGGTCGAGAACACAACGTACGTAGCCTTTTCGTCTCATTGCATCGGAGCCGCAATCTCGGAGACATCGTCGCCAGCCGGCCCATATCTTCCGTTGAACACGACTATATCTTGCCCCGTCGCAGAGGGCGGCGCTATCGACCCGACCCCCTTCATCGATACAGATGGATCCATCTATCTTGCATGGAAGATTGATGGTAACAACATCGGGCACGGCGGAGTTTGCAAGAACTCGGAACATCCACTCGTACCAACGCCTATCAAGCTGCAGAAAATGATGGCAGACGGAGTGACACCAGATGGTCAGGATGTCACCATCCTTGACCGCACGGATGAAGATGGCCCCCTCGTAGAAGCACCAGTCATTGTCAGAAGCACAGAAGGCATCTACTTCCTGTTCTTTTCTTCTGGATGCACGCGAGATCCTTCTTACGATGTAAAATATGCCTGGGCGAATGACGTCCGCGGTCCCTACACTCGTGCGAAGAAGCCTTTGCTCAGGACAGGTGACTTCAACCTGACTGCGCCGGGGTCGATCGGCCTGACGGACATGGAGGAGGACGGGACCCATGGAATGGTCTTTCACGCTCGGGTCCAGGCACCGTACGGTAAAGTAAGAGCGATGTATACCTCGAGCATCCGGTTCAACGGCACCGAAGTCCTGTTGGTTAAGAAGAAAGTCTAGTCAGTGCCTAGCTCAAATACTTTCATGTCTATAATTATATCCAAGAATGTTCGTTTTACCATCCTCTCACAAGCGGATATGTACACTCTGATATTGTAATGATTCCACTGGGAGTGTCTCTGACAGATATGATATCCTGTGTTCCTGTTGTCTCCATCCCTGAAACACGTCTACCTTCCCTCCCCACATGCTAAGTTTTGTGACTCTTATACTTCTCCTCCACTCCTCCCACGAGGCTTTATAGCGCGGTCTTTATTATAGAACTGCATAGTTGCTTCCGAGGTAGAGGCGTGTCCAAAGAGATCCGATGTGAAGTCACTCTTTCGATGGAGACTATCTGTTTCTCGAAACCATTGTGCATTTTGATAGTAGCACGCGTTATTCTAAGTATGAAAAGCACAGAACCGACTGCGTACCGTAGCAGATTCATTACGGAATACCATGTAAACAGACAGTCGCCGTCTGATCTAGTCTGCTGCTCCAGATATGATGGAACAAAAAGTCCATACAAGATTTGAATGTACACTGCTGCTTGCACCCACGTTGTAGTCAGACTACAAAGCAAAGGGCCATTCGTCGTAAATGCAGAGCAACCAGTTAATGATTCAATCATTCCAGAGCTCTTCCCCTCCGACAATAATTTGTAGTAAATCCTTGGTGATACTGGCTCTTTTGGGTCGGTTCACAAAGCGACACGTGATGGGAAAGACGCGCTAACCGTATGAGAGCAGTCAAGTCAAAGCTACTCGCAGTTCTCGTTCCCGTCGTATGAGTTGCATTCGATCCAGATGATTGATATCAAGAAGAATATCATGGTATGCCGAATATGCTCAGCACGCGCAAGTCTAGACAGCTGCAGAGGGACGGACGTATGTCAATAGGCATGATTCGTCACTTTGATTCGCTCCTTCGCGATAGTGACAGCAGTGGAAATCGAGCTGGTCCAACCTATCGGTCTATTGCATTGGGAGTGGTGTCGCGAGGGATGTCGGAGATGGCTCAGCGTCAGCGACGAGACCTGGGCATGTTCTGGATAGTTGATCGTGGAACAAGTATATATATTCATTTCGTTAGCTGCAAGACAAGCACGAACGCCCAGAACGCCCCCGCATGCGCAATTCCAAGAAAGATCTGGTCTAATAGGGATATGTAGATGGGTATTGATCTTATGCACCAGTCTCCTTGCTCTCCTCGAGATTGTAGTCGCCATTCTGAAGGCCGATGAGGACCTTCCTACCCTCGTCAGTGAGCTCAGGGATGCCAGCGGGAGTGGTGGCGCCAGTGAAGAAGCGAGGCGACCATTCGACATTTCTGGCCTTCCTATCAGCCGCTTTTTGACGTTGACGCTCTTCAAGCTCCTGTTTCTCGGTCGTGGCTTTGGAATATTGCCTGCTGAGAATGGCCTCAGTGACACTGTTCCAGAATTTACGCGACTCGTTGGGCAGCTGCTGCTCGGGAGGAGGGACGATCTTCTGTACAGGGAATAGCGGGTTGACGTCGATGAGGAGAGTCTTGTCGGGGTTCTTTGCAGCCGGCGCGGACCCCCGGGTGAAGTAGACCTTGTCGTGCCAGGCACCTTCGATACGACCGATGATGGCTTTTTCTGGAACGTCCTTGATCCTGGTTGTGTTGTCGTTGTCAACGTCACATTTGTAGACAACACCTTCAACCTTATTCTGAGTCTTGCCTAGCCATCCTTCTTCGACGTAATGAAGGATAACTTTGATACCTGTCTTCTTGCATGTTACGAAGCAAGTATCGGCGACGCTGACATTAAGGTTGCCTAGCAGAGCGTCAGTGAGTGTTGCTTGGTGACCGAGGGTTGACAAGGATACCTCGCAAGAAGCCACCCAGATAAGCAGCAGGATGGGTAAGGTGATATGTTTCGTCACCCCAGTTGTGTAGAGTAACATAGATGCCTTCGTTGTAAATGCCGGGGGTGACGCGAATGCTGGTACCGGTGAACTTTGCGCTGATCTGATCGAAGCCACGTGCAGAAATGGCCTTTTGCGGGCAGTCGACGTAGTAGGCCGAGACGGGAGGATGATGCGAGGTTTGTTCGGTGAGGTAAGAAACCTTGACCTTGTTGCCGGCAGTATCGGACTTGACCTTGTTGCCTTGGAGGACGGGGACGTTGTCGTCGGTCTCCCATTGACACTGAACAGACATCAGAGACAGGACACGATATAACGCACAGGTACACGACGTACCCTGAAGAACTCTCCAAGAGTCGAGTTGTATGGCTTGCAAGGCTTTCCCTTGACGTACTTCAGGTCCTTGGTGAACCAGAAGCGCAAGCAGGCAAGTAAACGGCCAAGCTCATCGTCCGAGTCGCCAATGCTGGCAAAGATGTCGGGTCTGTCCAGGTAGTGCCAGTACTCTGGGCAGGCACATGGTTAGAGAGGCGGTCGTTCACGATATGTATCTGGGTGAGGGCGTACCGAGGTTGGGAATAGGCTCGAGCAGCTGGGCAGGCAGGGAGAAGCGGACGGCGGCAATGTCGGAGACACCGATGAACCTGAGGGCGCGTGTCAGTGAATGGCTCGCAAGGTAGAGAGAGGCCAGCAGCATCTCACTTCTTCAGGATGCCAACAAAGGTTTTGAGTTTACTGCTGTCGTCGGGCATCTTCTCGCCCATGGCAGCGCCGGGGCCGGGGGTCGAGGCTCTGGACGACTGCTCGGACGCCGGGGCGGAGAGACCTGAGGATGACGAAGCCATGATTTGGTGCAATGTTTGGGGACACAAGGCCGGAGAGAGGGATACAAGTGTTTTGGTACGCGTGTGTCGGTCAAGGATGTCTGAACCCCAATCTCAACTATCGCGGGGCCTGAAGACGTGCACGGCCTCGATCACTCGATGACGTGCACTACAAAGCCACAGCCTGACCAAATCACTCTTTGCTGTGATCCAACTCGACAAGTCATACTCTGCTTCTCGAGCCTGCTGTAGCCATTCATGATTCCGTGCTGGTTCCGCTGTCTTGCTCTCTGCTCTACCTATGCAGCAACCCAGATGCCCACCTGCCTGTGCCCGTCTGACCTGCGAACGTCTTGCAGTAGTGCCGTGTCGTGTCTCATGTGCCTGTGGCTACCAATCAACCTTGCACGCCCTCTCCGCCAAGTCACCGACGTGCTTGACCAACATCATGCGCTGCCGGCTCCTTGCTTGCCGTCCTTCGACCTGCACTTCGTCAAGATTGATGGGATAATATGCTAGCTTTGAACAAGCCTCGCTGTGTATTGTCTCCCGTATTAGCCAGACCATCCCCGGATATGTATAGTGAGTGTCCTCAAAGCAAAACAACCAGCCAGCGACACGCGTAGCAACAGTGTGAAAACTCCCCGTTCCTGACTCCCGTTCCTGACTCCCGTTCCTGACTCCCGCTCCCTTGTTAACTCCGTAATGCAATCACGACCCTCCCTTGGCCAACTCTGTCACCATGTGTTCAAATGCCCTTGATGGCAACTGTTCTCTCCTTCTCGAGACGCTCGCGGTTTCGCTGCTTCTCCTCCTCCTTGCATGTTTCGAGTCCACTGCATGCGTGGCTCTCGAGCATACGGTGCTTGCCACAAAAGTGCCCATTGCAGAAGCCGCAGTCTCCGACAATGCGTTGGGCCGGGTCCTTGCAGTCTTTGAATTGGCAGCGGATCTTCTTGGGCGCTCCGCCTCGCAACGGAAGTGCCAGATGCAGTGTGCTTTCTCGTCCGATTTTGTAGTCGGACAATGTGTTTGATGACAGGTCAAGATGTCTGCCGGCGTATACAAGGCGCATGTCTTGAGCGGGGAGATTCGTACGGATGGCGAGCAGCGATGAGAGCGTCGCTATCGACGTGGACTCTGGTACTTCGAGGGCAAAGGCTGTAGATGGTAAGCACGCGAGCCGAAACAATGACATGCATGGTACTTACTATTGCCGGCAATGTTCTTGATGAAGATTTGCATGGTCGACTCGGGCTCTGCTGACGAGCAGCGCGAGGAGAGAGACGAAATGGAGGAGATGCTGTTGGATCGCATCATGACCATATTGCTGTGATGACGATGAGATGACTGGATGGGGTTGGAAATGCGAGAGAACACCGAGGGTATGATTGAGATGCAGTGTGGGCAGATTGCTGGCGGCGATGAGGAGGGTACACAAGTGAGTAGGTCGAGTCGAAGGGCGAGTTGGATGAAGATGCGAAGATAGGAGGACGAGAACGAAGAGGCAACGCAACGGAGTGACGCGATCAGGCGCACAGGTCGGCGTTTAGTGAGATTGGCCCGAGGCTCCGACAGTCTCGCCTCCGAAAGCAACCTCCGCCCGGCTCTACTCTACTCCTATCTCAAATCCCCTGTCTAAGCTAAATCTGTAAGCGTGACTCTTACTGACATGGAAACATTGGACTGCTGGAGCCGGCTACTTGGCATGGATGCTCTCCTCTTTGAGCATTTGGCCTTAATCTGAATCTCCAAGAACAGTTGCAGTCATGTCTATCATGGGCTTGGAGAAGAGATGCGTCAAAGCTCAGCACATGCCTAGAGAGGCAATGCACAGCACTTTGACAGCCACAGCGCGTCCAGCGACTAATCACCTGCGAGATCGTCGTCCCCAATCTGCGACTTGGAACACGCTCGAGGTATTGAGCTTATCACCGCCATCGGTCTTTGACGGTACTGGAGGCTGGCCATCGTCTCGAAGCAAGCATTTTCGATCTGATTGTTTATTGTAACTTGCATTTTCAACCACCCGTGCACATCCGGTTCGTTGTTCTATGTAGTTGCTGAAAATACTTCGTAGGGATGGCTGGTTGGTTTGGTCAATGGCTGGGTGTTATAGTCATTTCCTCTCCCTGTCACGGCAGCACATAGGCGGGATTGGAGCCGTCATAATGCACAGTTCCCTTAGATGTTTGACAGGGTGGACGATACTATGGTCGATGGATGTTATGTATCACCAAGGGAACTGTCTACACACAAACATGCCTTTGTATACGAATAGGACCATGACGGTGGTTGAGCTGCCTCGTAGGTCTTTGGCTTGAGACCCTGTGGTGTCATTACTCAACTCTATACACAGCCACCCGCCGGCTGAACGTCTGATGCCTTATCTTGCATGAGTCCGTGGCCCTCTCTGACTCTTCGACGTCTGCTTGTTTCTTTATCGTTCAACCGGTGGCATTGGCGTCTTGGAACCTGTGTACGCCCGTAACGACGACATGCCAATATTCGATCAACATTCATCTAACATCGAGGCGTCTTTGCCATGGCGGCACTCGAATCATATAAAAAACCTAAAGTGGCGAGCCCAGTGTCTGCCCAGCAGATACGCCCAAATTCAAGCAGGCTGCACGGCACTTGGATTTGGTCAAGAGGGAACACAAAGCTTTTCTGCACACTTACTTGCTCACATCTCAAAATTTTGCACCACTCAGCGACAAGCCTGCAATGCACGCTGAATCTTTGCAAGTATGATGCATTACCAAGCGTCATGCACATGTGTTTATCCCATCCCAACTCCGCGTCCGCAGCAATTGCAAATGCTCAACCACCGGCTGCCAAGCCTCTCACAAACACTCAGCCCCTCCAATTCCGTACTCCAGACCCACTTCTCTCTTCCCCAGATGGAGAATGATGTTCTTTGATATCTTTCTGTGGAGGGCTTGTCTCATAACGACGCACCACCGGACTAGTCAACTCTCTGACAGCACTCCGCCCAATCTGACTGAGGCATGCTCTACGCTCCTGTCGTGGTTGGATGCTCCCCTGTGCCTATGCCTATCCACATTCCGATGAAAGCACACCATAAAAGCCAAGGCTTGACATTGCAGATAGGGTTGCTTTTCCAGCGTTTTTACCTGAGCGGTCTGTAACTTTTGTCCCCTGCTTGGCGGTCGTCGGATGTCTTTCATATGATAACGGAGCCTCTCGATCTTGGACCGACTGGTTCTTCTTGATGCTTGTCGGCGGGATGGCTTTCTCTTGGCTGTTACATCGGAGGCCTTGGCCCGCATAAGAGATATGGACGATCACAATCGTCTTGCTGGTCCTGACGCGTCCTGATGTGCGAACAAACGTGCCCTTGAAACTGGCAGTGCATGGGCGTGGGCTCCGGCGGGTCGTGAAGTGTATAAAGAAGGCCATGTCTCTCGAAGGATTTCGATATCATCCAGCAGTTCACTTGACCATCTCGGATAGTCTTTTCTTGACAAGATCTGAGCAACCTTCTTCATTTCATTCATCTTCTGCTTGTGTCATCAAGACTCCTTGTTTGTTGGGAATATGGCACACTCAACCGAAAATGCCCATCGCAATGGACAAAGGATCGGTTCCGATTCATCTGAGAAACAGCTGTGCCAGTATCCGACTTCGGGTTCAGTCTTATCTCAATCTCCCACAGCTGTCGAGGATCGGGAACAGGACTGGCCCTCAGGATGGCGTCCATACACAGCTTTGTTTGTAAGTCACTGTAGTTTGGAGTGGTCAGCAACCGCATCTTAATAACTATCTCCAGGGATGTTTCTTACTCATGTTCCTCAGTTGGGGCTTGATCAATTGCTAGTAGGTTTTAATCGTCCATTTGTAACCTTAGTATCGTTCTGACATCCATAGTGGCACGTTTCTGTCCTACTATTCCGAGTCGCTCTTCCGTGGCGACGATCTGATGTTGAGCAATTTGATCGGGTCGACACAAAGCTTTGTCGTCCTCTTCTTCTCTTTCATCACTGGCCGGCTACTCGATGCAAACCATAGCCGTGAGCTGTTGCTGGCTGGTTCGATCATCATCACCATAGGCATGTTTATGCTGAGCATTAGCAACGGCAACGGTGGCCTCAACCAAGGCAACTATGGCTTGACATGGTTGACACAGGGTCTAGTGACTGGACTGGGTATGGCTTGCTTCTTTGTATCGAGGTAAGTTATGTCCAAGATGACAGATGATCGAGAGTGCTGACAGTCTATATCAGTTCTCAAAGTATGTTTGGACAACGCTCACCTGCCAGAACACATGACTAACATCCTAAAGTAATAGCGACATGGTTCCACAAGAGAAAGGGATTTGCCATTGGCGTTGTAGCCTCTGGTGCAAGTATCTGTAAGTCGTTGTATCCGTACTCGTCCGACAGCAAGCAATGCTCACTATTGTTTAGCTGGACTTACCATGCCGGTAATGCTTCGCTTCCTCATCGAGTCCGAAGGATTCAACAACGCAGTACGATATGTCGCCACTGTCGTATGTGTTCTCAGCGTCGTTGCGGTGCTGCTGGCTCGGCCAAATCCTGCACACCCCTTCAGGAAGCCCGAGAAGTGGATGTCAAAGAGAACGTGGGTCGACACGTCGGCTTTCCGTGATGCAGCATTTTGCTCGTTCACAGCGTCGATCTGTGCTCTGTTCCTCGGGTTCTACTGCGTGTTCTTCAGTCTCGAAGAGTGGGCAGCAACCAATGGTATCGCCCACAAAGGTACACCGCCCCCAGGAAGCAAGGTGACTTTGTCGACATACTGGTTGCTGTGTATCATGAACGGGTGCAGTACCTTTGGCCGACTCAGCTCCGCCTGGCTTTGTGACAAGTTCGGAGCGTTGAAGGTCCACATGATGGTGACAGTTGTGTCGAGCATGCTTTGCTTGTTCCTGTGGACATTTGCCGACACGCTCGCGCCTGCATTGGTCTTTGCCATTCTGTTTGGAGCCTTCTCGGGCAGTGTGATCGGGCTACCTCCGGCGTCCATGGCGGCGATCCTAGGACCCGAACCAGACAGACAGGCCAGACTTGGACAATGGACAGGTATGATGTACACAGCGGCAGCACCATTCGCACTGGTTGGACCTGTGATCACCGGCCACTTGGTCACGAAATACGAGACATATCTCGGAGTACAGATCTGGAGCGGGGCGTGCCTGCTTGTATCTGCGATGTTCATGGCCCTGGCGAAGTTCTTCAAAGACAGGAAGGGAACAAGCGGTGGCAGTAACGAGAAGGTGTAATAAACTTGATTGGGCAGGCTGTTGCTGTCAGTGGCTGCGATGGACGGAGTGCAGTGTGCACAGCTCATCAGAACAAGACACTTCTTTCGGCACTGGCGTTTTGGAGGGTCAGAACACATTTAGATACGATTAACGAATATGACGAATCAAACTGGTCAAAGAAGTTCAAGCTACAGTGAAAAGGATTATGGAAGCGAGATGTAGAGCTTAGCAATGAAGATTGGACAGACGTGATTAAACTGCGTGGTAAAGGAAAAAGAAGAAAGCGAATGTAGGACGAGATGGAGAAAAGGTGAAAAGGAAGGAAGAAGAACGGCGGAAGAAGACGTAGAGCAGGAAGGATGGCGGGCGGGAAGGATGACCAGAAGGGATCGCGGAGGAGCAGGGCGGGCATGGCGGGCATCGGGCGGCGGCCTCTGCTGGCGTCGGCCAGTGGCCACAAGCTTGGGCATCGAGTGTCGATTCCGCGAGACAGCGCCCGCCTCGGTAGCAGCGTGATGAGTCTTGGATAGCCGCTTGGTTGCTTCTGCTGGGCGATTGGAGACCAGCTGGAACATGGGACCCGCCGACCACGACCAAGATGACGGCTCTTTCTGGCACCGCCTGCATACGCTCCTCGACACGCAATGCTCGACGCACGAGCAGATTGACGACTGTCTGCGCGACTTCCTCGATGCCTCGACTGACGGCTTCCTCGACACCGAGTACGACATTGCCCGCTGCTGCTACCGCCTGATCGACTCGCCGCTCTGGGTCCAGAACAAGGACTACGTGCGCCGCCAATTCGTCTACTGCCTGCTGCAGGACGAACATGCCCCGGTCCTGCACATTGTCACGGCCGTCCTGCTCTACGACGGCCGCAGCGATGAAGCCGTCTTTGACATGATGCAGTCCGAGGCCGCCTTTCCCCGTCTGCTCGACCTGATCAAGGGCAACAAGGACGACAGCTCCGGCCTGCACCGCCTGCTGCTCGAGCTGCTCTGCGACATGTCGAGGATCCAGCGCTTGTCGCTCGACGACCTGGGTGAGTCCCGCTGCTTGCCGTCCGCTCCCTCTCGTTCCACCCTGACCCGTCCTGCTACAGCCACTGTCGACGACGCCTTTGTCATCTACCTGTTCGAGCTCATCGAGGAGCTGTCCAGCGACGCCAACGACCCCTATCACTATCCCACCATCCGCGTCTTGCTTATCCTCAACGAGCAATACATGTGCTACGCCGTCTCGCCCGAATCACATCCCACTTTGACCAACCGCATCATCAAAGTCCTCTCTAATCACGGCCCTGCCTACCGCACCTTTGGCGAGAATCTCATATTGCTCTTGAATCGCGAGTCTGCCCTCGGTCCCCAGCTATTGATCCTCAAACTTCTCTATCTCTTATTCACCACCCCCTCCACCTTTGAATATTTTTACACAAACGACTTGCACGTCCTCGTCGACGTCATCATTCGCAACCTTCTCGACCTCGACCCTGGCTCCGACGACGACGACCATGACTCTGATTTGCCTCCTCGAGACGGTGGTGGCCAACGTGCTCTTCGACACACATACCTGCGCGTTTTGTGCCCGCTTCTGAAGAACACCCAGTTGGCCCACGATAATGCTCATTACAAACGCGAAGAACTGCGTAAACTTTTCTACTTGCTGGTCAATAGATCCTCCTTCCACTTTGCTCCTGTCGATGAGACTGTTGTACGCCTGGTCTCGCGCTGCAAGCAGGTTGCCTGGATAAGAGACGAGTCCGACCCCGAGGACCCAACAAGCCCTCTGACTGATGCTCATGTAGCCAAGCGTTTGCTGGGCATGAATCTAGCCGAGGCGCAAGAAAGCAGTCTGAGTGTCCTTGAGGTCACTGCGAAAGTCGAGAAGGAAAAGCCAATGGTACCCGCACCACGGAGGCGCAAGAAGCTGCAACAGCAGCCATCAAAGGAGACTGTCCTGTTGCGAGTTTCGCCCGCCGATGCTCAGAATGGCGATAGAAGCCCCTTTGATGACGATAATGATGAAGAGTGAAGCCGGCTTCCCTGTACATAACCACAGATGTAATTATTTCTGCAGCAAGCCAGACCTTGCACATTCCCTTTGCAGCTCAAACCGTTTTGTTGAACAAAGGAGACCCGTCACTCTGCCTCCATGATCAAACCGACTTGACCTGCCTTCTGTACAGGTTCACACAGCTGGCAAATAACACCTGCATCCTCATGCATGCAGCCGATTGTTGTTCCTGCGTCAAGCACTCCCTTGTGTAACCCCAGTATACGATCTTCACCCCCCTTCCTGCCACTCCTGCTTTCCCGCGTCACACCACGTCTTCAACCCAACCCAAATATGCATGACAATGGTTTGTTCGGCCAACCCTATGGTGTTCCAGCAAGGATCCGACGCCGTCGGCCTGGACGTCCCTGACATGACACAGCAAACAACCATCAGCACAGGTTGAATGCAGGCCGGAAAATCTGGACCACCTTCAAGGAAGGAAATTTGTCTCGACCGCAAAGGTTTCCCACACCACACGTCCTTCATCGATGCCTCCAGAGACATCTGCAGGCAAGGAAGCAAGCCAACGGGAATATGTATCGTCACTGTCTGCCTTGCCGTCTACACCCTCCTGAGAATGCTCTGATGTATAAGTAGGCCGTCATCCGTTGTGAGTGATTGTCCATTACCAGCAGTCCTTCGTTCATCTTCTTCGTTCAAAATGTTCAGAACACTCTCTTTCCTCCCTTGTGTGATTGCGGTCGCTTTGGCCAACCCAGCACCATCCTCGGACTGTGGGTATGAATCGTTCCCCTATGGAAATTTTCCTACCGGTTTTCCTCGCCCAACAGGATGGCCTACTACAGCATCAGTCCCTGCTCCATTCCCAGGATTGTCCTATGGAGCACCCTTCCCAACCTTCAACACAAGCTCTGTAGCCGTCGGCCCTACTGGCACTGGCGCATCATCTACTTTCGTCCCCTCTTCGTCTGACGAAGGTAGAAGTGGTACGCTCTCGCCTTCAAGCGGCACTACATTTGTTCCCTCTTCGTCCGATGAAGGGGGAAGCGGTACCGCCTCTCCTACTTTCTCTATCTCCACCTCAGCCTTCTTCCCCAACACCACAGCTACCTCTGCGGAATCGGTCACCACGATTTACTCTGCTACAACGGCCGTCACAACCGTGGTCACCACTGTCTATCTGCCTTACCCCAGCTCGGAGTCGTCCTCCTCTAACGTGACTTCTGTGACTTCTGTCGCTTCCTCTTCGGTCTCTCCAAGCGCCAATGCAACCACCATTTCTTCTTTCGTGACGGTGCCTGTCACTTTGACGACCACTTTGACGCCTTCTTCCTCTCCAGACTCACCCGTGACCGCTGTCAACAGCACTTTGCCACCTGGCACTGCAACTTCCTTCTCTACCGGTACTGGTGGATTTATCACACCTGTCAACAGAACATCCTCAGCTGCTTCCTTCACTTGGTCACCGTACGTTCCATTCATCCCTGGTACAGGAGTCTACGGAGGATTCACCCCATCGAGCTCGCCCGATTCGCCAATCACAGCTTCCGTTTTCAACTCGAGTTCGGCTCATGCTACCACACACGTTACTATCCACCTCAACTCCTCGCTCACTCTGACGTTGGTTACAACTCAGACGATTCCATTGACCACTGGACCTGCCTCGACTCTCAACATCAGCTCAACTGCCTCGAGCACATTCTCTCCCTCGATCACTGAGGGTGGCCGTAACGGTACTCTTTCCTCTTGCGCCGGTACAGCTGTTTCGAGCCTGCCTCTCTCCTCTTCGTCCGACAGCGCTGTTTCAGCCACGAACTCTACCGGGTTCTCCGCCTCATCTACTGGTGGCGACCGTAGCGGTAGTCGCAGTCCTTCTAGAAGTGTACCCTTCCAAACCACTGGACCTCACTCGCAGCTGTCTTCCTTCGTGACCAGCACTATCAGTTCCAGCGTGGGAAGCTCAGAGGCTGGCGCCATTACTGGCTCGGCTTCTTCTACTCCTCCCACCTTACCTTCTGCTCCCTTCTACGGCTCCTGGGGCTACGGCTACGGCGGTGGCAACGGAGGATACCGCGGTGATACAAGAGAGCTGGCAAGGCTTAGATGATGGCTAATCCAAATGCGTATTTGGAGTGATCGGTCGATCGATCATACTTGACCCTGATGGGATAGTGAGGTGGCGGAAGGGATTTCTCTTTCTTTTGTCATTGTGTGTGGTGCCTTGACTTTTGCTTTTCGATTCTTGATCGCCACAGTCGTGTGGTGATTCTCCTTTACGGTGATCTTCTTCTGTTTGCAGCCATTTGTTTCTTAATGTCAACATATATAGAATTATCAACTATGCGTTTCTTTGCCGATTGGTATCCTCTGTTCAGTTGTCATTCGTGAACCACTGTGATCTTATGCAGTAGAAATGCTCGAGCCAGCTGCTTGTACAACATGCAAGACTGGACAGGAAATTCTGTGTCATGCCGACCGTGATTTCAATGGCCTTCTCACTTCTTGACTGCGTAATTGCTGCCGTTGGCAATCACCTTGCCTTGCTCTTCCAAGCCAGAGAGCAACCATCGTGTTTCATCCTCACCAAAGGTGTAACCGCCAGGCACAACCATCTTCATCATCATCGTGATACGTGCAGCATCCATTGCTCCTCCGTTGGTCAGCATGCCCAACATGAACATCTCGTACATGAGCTTGTTGTCCTGGAGTACGGCATCTTGAGACTTGACTGCCGAGATTATAGCATCAGCCTGCATCGGTGCATGACCCGAAGGTCCCGTGGTTTGGTTCTGATCAGCAGACGGCAGCTGTTCAAGGACAGTGAAGACACCCGGCTCATTTTCGACCAGTACTCGATGACCAACCCAGAATGCAAGCGCGTTGCGGACGAGCACTTCCTCCATTTGAAGCGAATCTTCCAACTGCTCGACTGTTCTTGATGCTGGAGTAACAATTGAAGCGTCCTGGCTGTCATCTTGGAATGCATAGATGACACTCGCCTGCCACGTCTGGACTCCTTCGAGCTTCACAGTGCGATCCTCAAGTTCAAGCTCAACCGTAGCCTTTCCAAGTGCAGACAGCCAGTGGAGTTTGCGTAGATTCTTGATCCGTTCAAAGTCTTGCTCAAAGTTCTTCTGTAGATACGAGATAGGTGCTGGAACAGCGAACTCGTCTTCTCGGAGACTCGGCCAGAAGAACGAAGACAGAATTTGAGTATGGAAAGCTGCAGACAATTCGGCATCGACGCCAGACTCAAACATAGGTTGGTCAGGCGACGGATAAAGTACGTCTGAGCCTGTCTCCGCGATGGCCACAGATTTGATTAGAGCAATGAATTTCTGACCAGCCGAGTCGGTACGTGGTACACGTGTGTTGAACTTGCCAATGAGTGCCTGACTCTTGATGCCAGATTCGGGAATAGCAGCATGAACTTCTTGAGCTGTTGGGAAATTGTCCTTCGGACGAAGGGTATTGTTGATGCGTCTGGAGTCTTGTATGTCGCGAAGCATAACCTCGCATGACTGCAAACGATCTGCACCGAACCGAGATTTGAAGAGCTCTACGAGACGAATCTGCGAACAGAGTAAGTACATGATCAGGCTTCGAAGCATTGTCAGCAAGTACTCACCTCCTTCTCAAGCTCGGTATCGTCGAAGCCCACAGTCAACAAGCGTTCTCCCAAAAGTGACTGTACTTCCTTGATGAAATCGGCTTGCTCGAACAGAGTCAGCATGAATGACATGACATCCTCGCTTTTTGATTTCTTGTAATCTGTAGACGAGATGGTTAGCACGATGGCATGTTCAAGAAGAGGAAACTCACCCGGCCCTGCATCGATGGGATCAGGCATCCATTCCATATCATCCCAATCGAGTCCTTTGTGTTCTATATGCAGAGCCTGACCTTCCGAAAGGTTGATCTCTTTGGCAAGGTCGATGCATATCTCTTCGGACAAAACGTCGGTGTGGTCGTCATCGCCGTCAACATCCGCGAGAAAACTGGCTGCGATGATTCTGACAGTGTCTTCGCGGTGTCTTAGATATGCACGTAATGGCATGGCCACTTTGTCCAAAAGCACACCACGCGAGTCCAAAGTTTTGAACGCCCTAATAATATTGATGTAAATGCTGAGTAGTTCCGATGTTGTCACACCAGCATGCAACAAGCGGCGACTTAGCTGGCGCGTAAACGAGGTTGCAATCAAGACCTTCACTTCTGACGAGTGCATACATTCCCTCAGGTCCAGTATTGCTCCGGTAGAATGAGGCCATGCCTTGACGTAATCGAGAAGATGCCTTATCCTTTGCTTTGCAAGACGCTCAAGAGCTGTACTCTCCCAGTCGATCGTTTCGCTTGGTGTTGAGAGACCGACCGCCGGGACAAATCGATGTCGGATCCATTGGCGTAGTCGATCAACAACGCTCTGACGCTGCGTCCAGTCCACTTTCATAGCAGCACTCTGAACGAAAGCATCCAGGGCGGCATACATGCCTTGCGCCATCGCACGTTGAACATAGTAGTCCATTATGGGCTCTCGATGAGTGCTGCCCAGGTTTTGCTAGCATTGTGCATTTTTGACAACTAAACAAGACGCCGAACGACTGTTGATGAGAACAACAAGGGAAACACTTGGCACTGTTCGAACGCCGCTTTCTCCCCACCTCCCTTACACACAAGGTACCTATACTCCTACGAGCCCAGAGAATATCGAATCTTGAAGGACACGATCCAGTGCTCGAGAACGTTGTGCATTTTTGTAGCTGAACATGTCACAAACCTTTGCACATGGGGAGGGTAGAAGTGCAGTTTAAAGCTACTGTACGACTACACACAGAGCTCATCAATCTGGGCGCATATACCAGGTCGCTCGATTTCCGTTCTATCCCTCAATTGGTTTCCATCGCACCACCCCATCTATTGACGATGTTACGTGTAACATAGAAGCTCAGGAATGAGGTGGGACTTTAGTGGCTTTCTCGGTCACACCCTTCATCTTGACATTGAAATGTCTTTTAGTAGTTCACAAGTTACTCTATGCTGCTATGGGAGGGAGGTTGAAAATTACATGGTTCAGCACATATGGAGGAAGCATTTCCGAGCACTTTTAGCGCTCTTTTCAACCCTTGCAAAGCTATATTAACATTTCATGAACTAGAGATAGCTGCATCTCACAGCGAGTCCCTACATGGTTCTGCCAGAGTTCTGACTTTCCCAGGAATTTACCATCAACTTGGCAATATTCTTTCCCATCAGACTGCTTGTCTCCATCGTGCTTATGAAGCTCTCGATACCTGAGGTGTACCATAATCCCTCATCCAACTGCAGTTCTTCAAACGTCACTCTCGGATACTCGTATGGATAACTGTTCCACACCTTTCGGTACATCCAGCTGACATCGTCTCTGCTGATTGCCTCGGGTTCAGGCAGCCCAAGTATGTTGGCCATGAATGTCGCGTTGAGAGGACTAGGCGAAAAGATCTTGTACAAATATTCAAGCTCGTCTTTGCCTCCACGTGTGTCCATGCTAGGACGCAAAAGCGAAATGCTGAAGAATCCGGGCGATCCCACTCCTTTTGGGTTACTGCCATAATGTTCGCCTTCAGGCAGAGTGGTTAGAACCACTTGAGGGACCAGATCATCTGGCGAAAGGTTGAAGGCTAGTGGCGAGAGCTTGTGCTTTGATGTGAACAGTGTGACATGCAACTGTACATACGGAATTGGGTCTGGCACATGACGAGGCTTCGGATCAAAATTGATGTCCGAGTATTGATATGGTCCTGCCAGGACGACCTCATCGAACTTCTGATGGTAAAGTGTTGCAGACGAACCTGTTTGTTTCGTCGATAGGATGAATGCACCGTCCCGGAGTTTCTCGACCTTATCAACAGTGCGGTTGAGATGGACGGTCGCATAAGACGCCTCGAGCATATTCGAGAATATTTGCCAGTTGCCTCCTTCGATTGCTTGTGCCCCGTCAGTCGCCATGCAGACCATTGCTTCCAGTCCGTGTACCAAAGGCAGGTTTTGAGCATAGTTCACTCTTGTGCTCGCTTGTATGATATCCTGGGCGAACAGCTTGCCGATTCCATTTTGATCCAGAAACTGTTCACCAGTGGAGGCAGTAGCAGTAGTAAGGCCAAGATCATAGGCTACTTGTGACAGCGACTCCCAGGGGAAATATGGCTCTTCGTACATCTTGAGGAACTTTCCGACGGTAGCTTTCATCAGTCTCACGGTTTTGACGGGCGCGAGGCCGTACTTCCAGAAGAGTCTTGCGGTATCCCACCAGCTCCCTCCAGAAGACTGTGTATAAACAAACTCTCTTCCGTTCCATATGCCCAATACTGGACCTTCTGCGCTAAGCTCGCGAATGCCGGAGGTCGAGAGGTTGAACTCTTTAGCAGCATCGACTAGATTGTGATTTACCTCGACAAAGATAGATGCACCGAGCTCGACAGGGTTTTGATCATCTCCATATACACCGACAGTTGTTGAACGACCACCAATATGGCCATCACGCTCGTAAACGGTAATATTCAAGGGGATACCTCGCTCTTGACTGTATCGCTGCAGGAAATAGGCAGTAGATGAGCCTGCACTTCCAGCGCCTGACGACAGTGTTAGGAGGAACTCAAGAAATACTAGTCGGTAGACTCGCCAATGATAGCGACATTCTTTGGCACTTGCAAGGAGGCGACCGTATCCTCGAGAACGACCTGGTCGTGGAAGGCTTGTGCTGACGGCGCGTACACAAGACAGCCTGTAGTCACGAGGATGCGTTGGAATTTCATGGTGTGCCGCACACAACAAGATTGTTGGCTGACGTTAATCCAAAGACGATGCGGAGTTGGGAGGTGTTGGCGGCTTAGGTTGTTGTTATTCAAGCAGGCGACTTTAGTATGCACATGATGACGCCAAGCATTTGTCTTAGGAATGGATGCAAAAAGTTAGCATTGTTGAACCAGAACAATACCACAGTCTCGGTCGAACTCAAAGGGGGAGTTTGGTCTGAAAGCTGCTTAAGCTTCTGTAAACAATTTTGAATGGACAGTATTGCGAGTTTGTGGCTGTCTGTTGGCACAGACAGACGTGGAGATCACGTATCGAAGGTGCAGGAGTGACAGTGAGGGGTCGGGCCGAGTCACAGTCGAGGGCCGCTGGCCGATTGTTTGTTTGCTCAGTTTGGCTTTGGTAGTGGAAGCAACAATAATGCCAAAGCCGTCACTCTGCGACACCAACATTGACAACAAGACAACATGTCGGCCACATCACCACGACAGAGCCGGCGGACCGCCGCCTCGAGACGCAGGGTCGTCGATTCCGACGACGACATGGACATGGATGTGGACATGACCGACGGCGTAGCTCACAATGACACTGCACATGGAAACGACCAAGACCAAGACGAAGAAGAGTACACACCGGCCCCGGCCCGCTCCACTCGACACAACAACTCTGTGCCGCCTACACCGCAGACGGCCTCGCGCACTCGCCGCAATCCTGGCGGCGACGACGACATGGTCCAAGATGCGACATCTCCTACAAAGCCCAAGCGCCGTACTGCCAAAACCGCCCGTACTGCTCGCAAGAGTCGCGTGTCTACATCTCTGACATCCGACGCCGATGCTTCCGTCATCGCCACTCCACAGCAATCGACTTCGCCGTCTATGCAGCAGCTCAAGCAATCTACGCCGCTTGCCGATATCACAGAATCCTCGGTGAACGACCAGACTCCACGTGCTCGGAGCAAACCTCCACCCTCCAGCCAAGTTCACAAGGTCGATACGAATACAACGCTGCTGGAGAAGCCAATGGATATTGTCGTGCGAACAAGAGCTGCCGCTACTATGCCCGTTTCGCAAACTCCCGACAAGCCGAGATCGCGTACTGTCATTACCCACCTGGTTCTGAAGAACTTCAAGAGTTATGCCGGCCGTCAGGAAGTCGGCCCCTTCCATGCTTCCTTCTCATCTGTCGTTGGTCCCAACGGCTCAGGCAAATCAAATGTCATCGACTCTTTGCTCTTCGTCTTTGGTTTTCGAGCCAGCAAAATGCGCCAGGGCAAGATCTCTGCCCTGATCCACAACTCGGCCGCCTATCCCGATCTGGACCACTGCGAGGTCGAAGTTCACTTCCAACAGGTTATGGATCTGCCGGCTGGTGGCCACACTGTTGTCGCCGATTCCCAGCTGGTCATTTCAAGACGCGCCTTCAAAAACAATGCCAGCAAATACTACATCAACGGCCGAGAGTCCAACTTCACCGCTGTCACAACTCTGCTACGCGAGCGCGGTGTTGATCTTGACCACAAGCGTTTCCTGATCTTGCAAGGCGAGGTCGAGTCAATTGCCCAAATGAAGCCAAAAGCCGCCAGCGAACACGACGACGGTCTGCTGGAATACCTCGAAGATATTATCGGCACTTCCAAATACAAGACACCCATTGACGAAGCTGCCACCGAGACGGAGGCTCTGAACGAAGTATGTGCCGAGAAGAATACAAGAGTGCAGCATGTTGAGAAGGAGAGGAACGCTCTCGAGGACAAAAAGGACAAAGCGCTGGCCTTCATCCGCGATGAAAATGAGCTGGCCACAAAACAGTCTGCTCTCTATCAAATCTACATCAATGAGTGCTCCGACAACGTCACCGTAACCGACGAGGCCGTTCAGCAACTCCAACAGCAGCTCGATGACGAGCTGGAAAAGCACAAAGGCAATCAAGAGGGGATTAAGCGCCTGCAAAAACAACACAGCGCAACATCCAAGGAGTACGAGCGTATGGCTGAAGGCACTCAATCCGTTCTCAAAGAGATGGCAAAGCTCGATAAGGAAACCGTCAAGCACGCAGAGAAGAAGAAATTTCTCGCCAACAAGGCTAAGAAGCTTGAAAAAACGGCAGAAGACAGCAGATTCGCCATCTCTGGAGCTACCACACAATCCACTCAAGCCGAGGACGACATCAACAGGAATGCACAATCGATAGCTGAGTTAGAAGCAGAGATGCAGCAAGAGGAGGCGCGATTGACTCAAATCCGTGAAAGTCTCAAAGGCAAAACTCAAGGCATCTCAGACGAAATCGCAGCCAAGCAAAAGACTCTGGAGCCCTGGCAAGCCAAGGTCAACGAGAAGCAGTCTTCTATCTCGGTCGCAAAGAGCGAGCTCGATATTCTCCGCGAGCGAGGAAATGCCGGAGCAAATGCTATTCAGGATATTGAATCAAAGATCACGACACTCTTTGAGACCCGTGAAGCTAAAGCAGTCGAGTACAATGAATGCAAACGAGAAAGAAGAGCGGTGGAGGAGTCTGTGCAAGAAGCGCAGACTGATATTGATAATCTCGCTTCGAAAGAGCCCGCCTTGCGTTCGAATCTCTCAGATGCCAGACAAAAAGCCGATGAGGCAAGAGCAAGCTTAGCTGCCACACAGACCCAAGGAAACGTCCTCACTGGTCTCATGCGCCTAAAGGAGTCGGGCAGAATCGATGGATTTCATGGACGCCTGGGTAATCTTGGTGCTATTGACGCGAGATTTGATGTCGCAATCTCTACTGCGTGCCCTTCCCTCGACAATCTGGTTGTCGACTCTGTTGAGGTCGGTCAACAGTGTATCGAGTACCTTCGCAAGAACGACTTGGGCCGTGCCAACTTCATTTTGCTTGATCGCTTGCCGCAGCGAGATCTGTCGATGATACAAACACCAGAGAATGTGCCTCGACTCTACGATCTTGTCAAGCCAAAGCACGATCGGTACAGACCCGCTTTCTACAGTGTACTCCAAAACACACTGGTTGCCAAGGATCTTGAGCAGGCGAACCGCATCGCTTATGGCGCAAAGCGTTGGAGAGTTGTCACTCTTGACGGCCAACTGATCGACAAGTCAGGCACCATGAGCGGTGGTGGTACGAGGGTCGCCAGGGGTGCTATGTCTTCCAAGGTCGTGGCAGATGTGACTAAGGATCAGGTCGCCAAATTGGAGGTCAATCGTGACACACTGGAGGAAACCTTTGGACAATTCCAGAAGAGAGTTCAGCAACTAGAGGCTCATCTCAAGCAACTGCAAGACCGAGTACCACAACTCGATACTCAAGCTCGGAAGTTGAAAATGGAGGTTGAGAGCTTAGATCGTAACATTGCCGACGCCGAAAAACGACTTGAAGAGCTCCAGTCAGAGAGTGAACCCTCGCAGTCAGACAGCAAGCGCATCTCTGAGCTCGAGAAGACTATCAAGACTCTAGAGAAGGAGACCGAGAAGCTACAATCGGAGACCGCTGGCATTGAGGAGGAGATCAAAGCACTCCAAGACAAGATTATGGAAGTCGGAGGCGTGCAGCTTCGCACACAGAAGGCCAAAGTCGACGGGCTCAAGGAACAGATAGATCATCGCACCGAGGAGATGTCCAATGCGGAAATCAACAAGGCCAAAGCTGACAAGCAGAAGACGAAACACGAAAAGACTTTCAACGATGCGCAATCTGAACTGGAGAAGGTAACAGCTGATGCGGAGAAAGTCGAGGACGAAATCAAAGAGCAGACTAGAAACACTGCAGAATTCCGCAAAGAGGCAGAGGAAGCCCAAGAGGTAGCGTTTGGAAGTTGAACTTGTCAGAAGACAGAATGCTGACCAGACACAGGCCTTGGACACCAAGAAAGAAGAGCTCGAGACACTCAAGAGCGAGCTCGATGCCCAAACAGCCATCTTGAACGAAACGCGAGGAATCGAGATTGAAATGCGCAACAAACTCGAAGAGAATCAGAAGATCATGGCCGAAAACCAGAAGCGCCTCCGATACTGGCAGGAGAAGCTGAACAAGCTCACTGTCCAGAACATTGGGTAATGTGTCTAAGTCTCTTGTTGAGAGTTACTACTAATCTCTTCATAGGGACGATGGCGAGGAGCTTGAGCCTCTGCCTATGGCACAATATACCAAGGATGAACTCGAGGATATGTCCAAGGATGAACTCAAAGCTTCGATAGCGCTTCTCGAAGAGTCAACGTCCCAAGCAGTTGAGCTTTCCGTTTTGGCCGAATACCGTCGACGTGTATCTGAACATACATCACGCATGTCTGATCTCAACGAAGCCCTGGGTGGCCGCGACTCGGCAAAGAAACGCTTGGACGACCTCAGACGTATGCGTCTCGAAGGTTTCATGGAAGGCTTCTCCACTATCTCCATGCGACTCAAGGAGATGTATCAGATGATCACCATGGGCGGTAACGCAGAGCTCGAACTCGTTGACAGTCTTGATCCTTTCAGCGAGGGTATCCTCTTCAGTGTCATGCCGCCGAAGAAGAGTTGGAAGAACATCAGCAACTTGTCTGGTGGAGAGAAGACGCTCAGCTCGCTAGCACTCGTGTTTGCTCTGCATCACTACAAGCCGACTCCCCTCTACGTCATGGACGAGATTGACGCCGCTCTCGACTTCCGCAACGTTTCGATTGTTGCCAGTTACATCAAGGAGAGAACCAAAAACGCCCAGTTCATTGTCATCTCTCTGAGAAACAACATGTTTGAGTTGGCTGCTAGATTGGTTGGTGTTTACAAGGTGAACCATATGGTAAGTCCAATCCTCATCCTACTAGTATCAGGTGCATTACTGACCGTGAATAGACGAAGAGTGTTACCATTGAAAACAAAGACTACATTCAAGCGGCAGCAGCATGATTGTCCTGTCGGATACTGGTTTGGATGTCTGGAGGGTTGTATATTCGACGTTATGGTTGTGGCGTTTTGGATTATGTTATGTTATGATACCACGGCTGATTGTAGTAGGAGCTATGGAATATGGACGAGCATGTGCTTTGTGGCTTTTGCTTCTCTCGTGGTGTACAACACGATGATGCTCATCAACCGGTCTGACTACGTAAACAGACAACTTGTTGTGCCCCTCGAGCGACTGGTCTCTCTTCTCGGTCTTCTCTATTTTGGATGAGCAGAGGAGCCATTTCCCATGTAGACTGCTTCCATGGGCGTACTGCTGCTAATCATAGATCTGGGAAGGCGGGCAGTGTCTTACGCTTGTTCCGTGCTGGTGCAGAGTACTGTGATACGAAAATCTTGACCTGGAAAGAACGAGACACGGTATTTGTGATCGTAGAGAGTATAACCCGAGGTTGTGCTACTGATCGATGGTATCGTGTTATTTACGTCCTTTGTCAAGCCATCCTTCTAGTTGATGATCGGTGCTCGAAGATCATTTGTATGCGGACGTCGAAAGTGGTTAGACACGGTATCACAGAAGCACTGCCTGCAGCAGGGTACAAGTTTGGAATATCACTGTTACATGGACAGATGGCACGTCCAGATGAAGATGTGATGAAACAGAATCAGGGTAAGTGTTTTTGGTTAAGGCTACTGATGCCTGAACAATGAATTGGACCGCTTTTCGTCGACTCTTGTCAATATAACATCTCCTTCCTCCAATGTTGCTCCAAGGCAAAAAGTCCCAATGACCGTGGTGATTTCCTGGACCCCAAGACACACCGTCGATCAACCCAAGTGAGAGAGAGACATGACTACAGAATCACCATCAAGCGAAGTTGCCCAGAGCAGCAGCAGCAGCAGCAGCAGCAATGGCCATGATGCAGGTCATGCCAACCATGCCAGTAGTTGTGGCGTCGTTGGAAGAGACCGAAGTAGAAGTGGCGATGGCAGATGTAGCACTGCTGTGGAAAGCAGGGCTGCTCTTGGAAGCAGAAGCGAGGCTGCTCTCGGAGGCAAAAGCCGACTCCAAGGAAGTGCTGAACGCAGTCGAAGCAGTGGCGGGCGAGACCTCGTTGGATGAGATGACGATGGAAGTGAGCATGCCGGTTTCGATGGAGGTGATGGCGACAGGGTTGGTGATAGTGGAAGTGGCACTCTCGATGACAACGCTGATGGTAGCGGAAGACGTAGGCTCGGAGTCGGAGCGGAAGGAAGTGGAAAAGCCGCTCTCAAAGACGGGCCCAACAGGGGTGGGAGCGATGCTCTCGGTGGCAGAGGTGATGATGTCCGAAACAGAGAGGGTTCTGATGGAGGTGCTGACGCCGGCAACAGAGCTGTCGCAGTTTGTCACTGTGACGGTGACAGTGGCAGTGGCAACCTCCTGTGAGGTAGCAATAGCGCCCATGACAGCTGAATGCGCGTTAGTGAGACTTCAGTACAATCGAGATGGAAGAGGTTACTCACCGGCGGCGACAAAGGCCATGGTAGTAAGGATGAACTTCATTTTGATGATGGAAGATTGATAACGGCGATGGGAAGATTCTGGTTGATGAATGCTTTGGTGATGTTTGAGATGGAGAGGAGAGAGAAAAGACGCGTGCGCAGTGGAAGAAGTAAAGCAATCAGTGTTTGATGCGTTTGTTGATGAGCAGTGTTCCGGAAGGTGCTACCTATGTGAAGCCGGTTCTCCTGTCCCACACATTCACTTGCATTCGAGCCACACCTGCCGCTGTGAAACAACTCTTGACATGCACAAAGCCGCCTAGAGACAGCACGCTGCCGGTCATATACATCTTACATAGAACTGATCTGTCTTCTGCAAGCAACATGTTGTTGTACAGATAACGTGTGATATTTCCACTTCTTCTGCCATTCCTGGTACAGTCACTTGTGACTTGATGCCATGCCTTCAGACAACCAAATTGTGACAGCTTCTTGAACAGAACCGGCCGTCACTTCTATTCAAGAGGGTCTTGGGGCAGGATTCATCCAGTTCGCGACAGCGGTAAGCCCGAGTGTTAGCCATCTCGTGTAGAGAGATGTGGAATCTTTGCGCGTGCACACTGTGTCTTGGAGGCCGGCCATGAGACGCTGATGATAGGAAACAGCGAAAGTTGAGAGCTTCGACAGCAGATCGCTGGGTCGATGCGCTCTTCCATCTCAGTTTAGATTTACATGCGCCTGCTGCCAGGCCACTATACACTCCCCACTGGATACGAAAACTCTTTGAGCCACCAGAATGCATAGACTTCCCAAGCCTCATGAAGAACTCAAGCTGTCTTGTGGGGAGCTTGTGTGTATCGCGACAGCCTGCTGGCAGCGATGGTGGTGATGACGGCGACGAGGAAAAGAATGAGCAGCACCTACCTGTTGAGGGTCGTTGGGACTTCCTGTACAGCGCCTTCCACCTCACCTTCGCCACGGACCTTGCCGTTCCCACCTCTTTATAAACCTCTCCCAGACCTCGACCGACTTGTCCCCAAACATCCCACTCTCTTGTGCATTCACTCATTTACCATCATCTCACCATCAAGAAACCATCGCCACAATGCAGCTCTCCACTGTCTTTGCTGCCGCCATGGCTCTGATGATGCCCGCCGCGGTCTTTGGCCAGAACATCGGAGACCCAGTCACCACCAGCGTCCTGGTCGTCGAGTACGTTCCAGCCGTCTCGACCTCGACTGTGTACCAGACCACCCAGTTCACCGTCTGGAGCTGTGCACCCGACGTTCCCAACTGCCCAGCTCGTTCAGCCACGTCCCTCGCTCTGGTTACGGCTGTCGTCGGCATGTCCACCACCATCTGCCCAGTCACCTTCGTCAGCACTCGTGTCAGTTCCTACACTACACCTGCTACCACCAGCTACGCATCGTCCTCGCCTGGTGCCACTGTCAGCTCGGCCTCTGCCATCTCGACCACCTACTCGACTGGCAGCTCCACCGTGACCATCGGCTCGTCCTACTCTCAGAGCTGGAGCTACTGGTCAACCATCAGCTACAGTGCCTCATCCACCGAGTCCATTGTCACCACTCAGACCACGCTCTACTCTGGCGGTCCTTCTCTCCCAACTGGCTGGACCATCACCCCAACCTCATCCGGGTCTGCTGGCTCGGGTCTGGCATCGGCATCTGCATCGACTGGCTCATCTGCTTCGGCTTCGGCTTCAGCATCAGCATCATCCATTTCATCGGCTCCAGCATCAGCATCATCCACTTCGTCGGCTTCAGCATCAGCATCCGTCTTTAACTCAGCAGGAGCATCGTCGTCATCGTCGGCAGCCTCTTCGGCAGGCGTCATCACAGCTTCTGCCAGTGCCGTCATCACCACCAGCGTTGCTGCCAACGGTAGCTCGTACACCATCTCGTACTCGCCATTGGGCACCGGCAGCCTCAGCTCGGTCATCAGCGGTTCGGGATCCACCAACAACATCTCCGTTCCATCAGGCCCAGCTGGCTCCGGTCCATTGCCCACCTACACTGGTATGGCAGGTCGTGAGAATGTCATGACTGCCTTGTCTGCTCTTGCCTTGGGCATGGTGGCAGCTCTGGTCTTGGTTTGAAGTTGAGATGGATGATTGATGTCACTATGATTGGCGGTTGATGAGTGACGATGGTTGTAATGTTTGTAATGGGTGCTTGGGTTGAGGCTCGTCTGCCTTGTCGCGTTTGAGCTTTGTTCTTCCTTTTCCTTTGTTCACATGACTGAGCAGTGTTATATACCGATGACAGCATCAGGAGGATCCATCTCCAACTTAGAGACAGCAAGACATAGACAGCTTCTTACAATGATCAGACATACAGAAATTTGTGCTACTCTTCTCTCCCGATTTGCAGTGTACGTGGGTGTTGGGGTGCAGGGCAGAAGCCTCGAGCTTGGATGTGAGAAGGTGCACAGGTGTCGCGGTCTTGAGGCAGTGTCCTCGGTCAAGCCCACACGGCTGTTAGGTATTCCACGAAGGCTCAGCATCAAGAGACTGGGTTTGTTGTAGCAGGACGCTTTCCAGGAACCTGTCTCTTTATCGGAGAGCAGAGTCGTGACACAAGCGGCAGTCGCAAGAGGTGTAGAAGAGTTGGACAGAGGCTACCTAGGTCGGGCCCTGCTTGGCATGACGGGGGTGTGCAGCTCCTCCGCAGTGCCTACTCGGCACTCATACAAGTAGATTCCTCCGCAGCATCTCGCACCCGGCTCTGGAATCCCATGCCTGCGCTATGTCTGCTGCGCAAAAGGCGACTCACCACAATGAGCAATCCCCCGTAGCTACCGACCGTTCAAGCACGCCGCAGCCCATCGCCCAGCAACAACCACAACCACAACATGACACACGCGACGACGACAAGGCCAGCCATGTAGACTCGGACTCCAGTGGTGCCGAAGACGACGAAGAAGACGACGACGAGCCGCATCTCAAGTACGACAAGCTCACGGGCGCCTTGGGCACCGTGTACCGCAATGGCGATGCCACCAGCTCCCTGCTCGTCGCCGGTGACAAGATGATTCTCGGGACCCACAATGGAAACATCCACACGCTCGCCCTGCCCTCGCTACACTCGCTACGTCTCTACCATGCCCATTCGGCCTCCATCACCGCAATAGACGTCTCTCCTACCCCACAGCCCTTCTCCAACCCGCCTCGCCTGGACCGTCTGAATTCGAATGCCTGGCGAGCCCCACCGCTACCCATACCTTCGTCGCGCAACCCCAAGCAGCCCCCAAACCTGCCTCCGACCCCGTCGAATCTGATCCATATTGCTACCGCTTCCATCGATGGCCATGTCTGTGTCTCTTCGCTCGTCGATCCCAAGGATGTTACTCTCCGCAACTTCGCCCGCCCCATCAACGCTGTTGCTCTGTCGCCAGAGTACAAGACCGATCGCACATACCTCTCTGGAGGTCTCTCTGGAAACCTGATCATGACTACCGGCGCCAAATCTGGTGTGAGTGCCGACGCCAATACAAACAGCGCCGTGGCCGCTGCCTCGGGTTGGCTTGGATCTATAGGTCTGGGGCATAGTACCGGCAAGGACACCGTCTTGCACTCCGGCGAAGGTGCCATTAGCACAATCTCTTTCTCGAGTAGTGGTCGCTTCGTTGTCTGGGTCAACGAGCACGGCATCAAAATCATGCGCTCGCATCTCAAGCTCGAATCACACGAATCAGAGTCAGCTTGGAAACGCATTGCACATATCGATCGGCCCAATCGTAATGCTTGGCCAGACATGGCTTCTGTATGGAAGACTCGTGTGCAGTGGATCAACGACGACGCTCTTGAAGCAGACCTGGACGAACCAAGAGCTCCAAACGGCTCTGCTGCTCAAGACTCAACCAAGCCTTCCAAAAGAAGTCCGCCAGAGAAGTTGCTCGTTGGATGGGGGGATACTGCTTGGTTGATTCATGTATATGCATCGCGTCTTACTACCGGCAAGAACGGTGTACAGCGTCTTCCTGGACGTGCCGACATCCTCCACAAACTGACCTTTGAAGATTGTGTTGTTTCCGGATTGTCACTCTACACTCCTTCTTTACTCGCCGTTCTTGCTTATCGCACGCGCGACGACCAAGATAATCCCATCCCCTCTTCCGTACAAGACACGCCGAAGCGAGGCAGACATCACCGGCAAACTGGTTTACAACCCGAGCTTCGCTTAATCAACTTTGCGACCGGTGAGGAGGTCGACGTTGACACTCTCAACATTAATAGATTCGAGTCATTGTCTGCTGCTGATTATCAACTGACATCGCTTTATGTGCCCCCGCCACCACGTCTTGCCCCAGCACAGAAGGGTGCTCTGGAGAATTTTGGTGCCGGGTTATGGGATGCAGGTGCGAGTGCCACACGTCTTTTCAGTTCTGGTGCCAGCATCAAGAGTCCGCCCCCTAGCGAAGGCGGGAGGACCGCCGTCAAATCTCCAGCAGGATCCGTCGGTGGTTCTCAACTCGGTGCGCCGCCTCATTCGACTCCTGACGCAAACCCTTTCCTCGCGCGAACGGGTCTCAAGCTCTTCGTTCACAGCCCGTATGATTGTGTTCTGGCTATCAGGCGCGAACTTTCGGATCATCTCAGCTGGCTGCTAGAGCGCAAGCAGTACGGAAAAGCTTGGACTTTGATCGATGACCATCCTGGCATAGTCGGCATACCAAGTGACCGACAATCCATCCCCTCTTCGCCCAGTGGACCAACACGTGCCCAAAACAGCCTTGTTGATTTCTTTGCTGATGAGGATGTATCTCAGACTACCATGTCTCCCGAGAAGATCCAAAATTCCATCGCCATCAAGGAGAAACAACGGGTGGGAGATTTGTGGTTACAGCAGCTTGTCGCAAATGACGAATGGTCAACGGCAGGCAAAGTAGCTGGTCAGGTTCTTGGCACCTCTTCTAGGTGGGAGAAGTGGGTGTTGGCTTTTGCACAGGACGGCCATTTCGATGAGATCACGCCCTATATTCCTAGTACCGACATGAAGCCTGCGTTGCCTTCATTTGTGTATGAAGTCGTCTTAGGCCACTACATTGGTCACGATCGACCAAGATTCCGCGAGTTACTAGAACGTTGGGATCCCGAGTTGTTCGATATCACCAGCGTCAAAACGGCCATTCAGAACAAGCTTGAATCGAGCGACGTTAACGAGGAATCTGTTGAGGGCGGAGAGCGAGGGAGGGACTGGCGCATTCTGCTGGACGGACTGGCGAAGCTCCACCTCGCTGAAGGTAGCACAACAGATGCCTTGCGCTGTTACGTTCGATTGCAGAACGGCGATGCAGCCATGTCGTTGATTCGGGAATATCACTTAGCGGATGCTGTCTCTGATGATATACCCGGGCTGCTAATGCTCCGTGTCCCCAGAGAGCAGATGAAGGCTGCTTCCCTGGAAGAATTGGAGGAAGCGTCAGCCGAGGTCGTTGGCCTACTGATAGACGAAGCCTTCTCGGGCAACATCAGACCTGAAGTTGTTGTGTCGCAGCTCGACCAGCGTGGGTCAACCTATCAACCATTCCTGTTTTTCTATCTTCGTGCTCTCTGGACAGGACGAACGACAGACGAAGAAACACCAATGACCCGAGCTGAACGAATGAAACTTCAACAACAGATAGAAGAAGGCCGACTGCTGGTTGAACACTACGGCGATCTAGCAGTAGCACTCTTCGCACAATACGACCGCGAACTGCTGATGGACTTCCTGCGATCTTCGACCTCATATACATACGAAAAAGCATCGCATATATGTGAGGAAAAACACTACGTCCCAGAGCTTGTGTATCTCCTTAGCAAGACTGGACAGACAAAGAGGGCCTTGTTTTTGATCATTGAAGATCTTGGCGACGTCAGTCAAGCCATTTCGTTCACCAAGGAGAATCCTGATCTCTGGGATGACTTATTGGACTACAGCATGGACAAGCCAAAATTCATTCGTGCATTATTGGAAGAAGTCGGCACATCTATCAACCCCATCACGGTGGTCAGGCGAATACCGAACGGCCTCGAGGTCGAGGGCCTACGAGAGGGCATCGGTAAGATGATTCGCGAGTATGAGATTCAACACAGCATCAGCGATGGAGTTGCCAAAGTTCTAAGGGGTGAGGTGACGTCGGGCATGGATGTCCTCCGTGCAGGACAAAAGAAGGCAGTGAAGTTTGAGGTTACACACGAAAAGCTCGACGACCTTGAGGTGCATGCAGATGCGGTTCCGATCATCAATGGTAATGGCATGGAGGACGATAGCACTGATCACACGCCCAAACCGGGGTATTGCGTTGGTTGCAAAGACGTGTTCCATCAAGATGGTAAGATTGGCAATCACAAAGCAAGACCATTGTGCAACTTGATACTGACAAGCATACGACAGAGAAAGAAACGCTTATTGGATTTAATTGCGGCCATGTCTTCCACCTGTCTTGTCTCCTGGAGCTCGACACCAAAGCAGATCAGGCCGATGCGAGAAGGGGAGAAGGACAAAGGCTTTCGGAGGACGAGGAGCCCGTTGACACTGGCAGAAGTGTGCGAACCAAGGTCGAGCATGCACACCAGATCAAACGAGCAGTACAAGGTGGATGCCCGGTGTGCACACTGCCAGACGAGAGTGGTTAGCTCGGGCTCGAGCGTCACAGGAAGAGTACATTTGGGAACAGATGGCGGGTAAGGATAACCACCGCCTGGATGTGTATAATACCCTGTTGATGTAGGAATATGTGCAATGAATTGCCCTTGAAGGAAAGAGCACACGCTATGCACACTTGATTGAAGAGTCTTGTAATGAGTTGGCGGTCTTAATGTTGGATATATAATGTGAGTAATCCATGTTCAAAAAGGATCCGGGAATTGGTGCTTGTCCCAGTTAGGCCTCTTGTAGTAAGCGAGGTCTGTAGTATTGACAAGCTACACAAGTCCAGCGATTGGCGCTTGGACGAGAAGCAAAGGCGGATCAAGCGCAGGTGGCTATGACTGGAGTAGTCGTCTCGGCGGAATGACCATGTCTAGGCGTGGTAGTGGAGAATGCGAGGTAGCATGTACCTGGCAGTGGGAGAGTGGCTAGGCAGGACAACCGAGGGCTCTCAAGCAGCACCTTTGGGTGGGAAGGCACTCTCGTTGATCTTGCCAGACTTCTCGACTCTTACGTAGCTAAGAGGGCTCAGAGCAATCCACTCGCCCTTCCAGTTGCGTAGTTTTGTAAGGGTGGCCTCGTCGCGCATATCGGGTATCCAGAAGCCGGACTCGTACTCTTTCTGTTCCTGGTCCTGCTGCTGTTCTAGCAGGTTGTGCTTGGTGCTCTTGGGGCGTCCTGGGCGGCGTTCGGCCTTGAGAGCAGCTAGAGTCTCGTCCTCGCGGTGCAGGTATTTCTCGATGGCATGGTGGACCTCAGCGTCGGTCAGGGGACGCAGCGGGTCGGGGATTTCGTCCTGGAGAAAGAGGATGCGGTAGACTGAGTAGGAGGTTAGTCAAGGTCTGGGTGTTTGTCGAGGCACAACATACGGTATACATCATTCAACTTTTCACGCACGGCACCCAGACGTGCAACACGGTCGTCTCTTGCGACTGCGGCGCGCAGACGAAGAGCGTCACGACTGTTCTCGTGCAAAGCCAGAGCACCGCCCTTCTTCTTGGACACTTGCTTTTGGACTTTTGCGAATTTGGACGGCATGGCTTGTTTGGTGGAAAATGGGTGACGAGGGTTTGTTTTTTTTGTTTTGTTCGCTGCAAGCCCGCAAAAGTGACCGGGCACGATCGGGCAGGCAGCCAGGCCGAGGGCGAAGCCTCGGACCGGCCCGATCGATAACAGACAGAGCACGAGCACGCGTCTGAACGCGCCTGCCCTCTTGCTCGAGACGCCACTTGCAGTCCTTGACCTTGACCTTGACCTTGACTCTTGCTCAGCTCTTGCACATCCCGCTGACACGTCTTCTGTTGGCCGCTTGCAGAGCATGGAGAAGTAGTTCGTCACTCGCCATGGGCATCCAAGGTCTCCTCCCTCTGCTCAAGTCAATCCACAAGCCATGCCATCTCAAGCACTTTTCTGGTCAGACCCTGGCTGTTGATGCATATGGCTGGCTACACCGCGGCGCCATCGCATGTGCAATTGACCTCGCCCAGGCCAAACCCACCAGGAAATGGCTCGACTTTGTCATGCACCGAGTCCGCATGCTCCAACACTTCAATGTCACCCCATATCTTGTCTTTGATGGCGACTATCTGCCCAGCAAGTCCGCTACCGAAAAGGATCGCGCCACTCGTCGCAGAGAGAGCAGAACAAAAGGCCTCGAGTTCCTTCGTCTAGGCAAGTCCTCCTTGGCTCAGGCAGAGTTGCAGAAGAGCATTGACGTGACGCCCGAAATGGCTCGTCAGCTCATCGACGAACTCAAGAAACTCTGCCTTCCTTACATCGTTGCTCCTTACGAAGCCGACTCGCAGATGGTCTTTCTGGAACGATGTGGCTTGGTGAACGGTATCATCTCAGAGGACTCTGATCTTCTGGTGTTTGGCGCTCGCTGTCTGCTCACCAAGCTCGACCAATATGGAGAGTGCATTATGATCAACCGAGACGACTTCACTGCCTGTCGCGAAATCAGTCTAGTCGGCTGGTCCGACGCTGATTTCAGACTCATGGCCATCCTGAACGGTTGCGATTATCTTGCTGGTATTGAGAAAATGGGTCTCAAAACCGCCTACCGCTTGATTCGCAAGCACAAAACCCTTGATCGTATCATTCGATCCGTCCAGTTCGAAGGCAAGATCAAAGTTCCACCCGGTTATCTCGAATCCTTTGCGAGTGCCGAAGCCACCTTTCTATATCAATGGGTCTACTGTCCTCAGTCTCGCTGTCTCGTCAACTTCAGCGAACCTGCGCCTGACGTGGATCTCGCTCACTTCCCATGTATTGGCCATCACGTCGAGGCTAACATCGCTGCTGCCGTTGCTGTCGGTGATCTGCACCCTCATACCAAGCAACCCCTTTGTCCGCCCAAGATTTCTCGGAACACATTCCAACATGGTGCCCGCAATCGTGCCCAAGTCCTTCAAACGCCCGACTTGAAGAAGCACAAGTCCATAGACAGCTTCTTCAAGCCTCAGCGCACCCCACTGGCTGAGCTTGACCCAAATAGCTTCACACCTTCGCCTAGTCAACAGCGTCTCTTGCAGCGTGGTCCGGCTTCTTGGTCTGCAGATTCCGCCAGGCGACCTTCCCTTCTTTCGCGTGCAGTATCCAGCGCACATGCTCCGCAGCACCCACAGCGTCACTCGGCAGACAGATCTCGAAACAAGTCCAGTTCGCCGAAGCGTCAACGCTTGTGCTCTGATGGCTCTTATGTATCTACGCCATCAACACCGACGGAACGCGTGGAATCTGGGACAAGCAAATTCTTCAAGCATGCCACACTGTCCAAGGGCTCTGTGCTTGAGAAGATCGGCAATTCATCGAAAGACGAGTTCAATCTGTGGTCGGACGATTCGATCGAGCAGGCCATGAGCTTGTTGCCAGGCACAACAGAACAAGGAAGCTCGACAAGGTCAACGAATTGGCTTACTATCTATCACCACGTTGAAAGTCCCGGTGTGCTGGAAGAAGTTATCGACACAACAGCTGAGACACCTTTCACAGCTGGGTTGGCAGACGAGGTGCAGTCACTGCGAAGCAGATTCTCTTATCAGCATGCTGCGCCGGGCAACGTGACAGACACGCCTACTACGACCGAGTCAAAGCGAAAAAGAAGCGAAGTTGAAGTGGTGATTCCATGTTCATCACCAGTGATGGATCAGAAGAGCGAGGCGGCCTTGCAATGTGGGGATTCGACCGATGATATCAACGAGGCGGATTGGTTTTCTGCGGAGTCTCAGCCCTTGAGCCGGACGTCGGGTCAAAACACACAATCCAGTGGTGCTAGCAAGCCATACTTCTCGCAGGGCAGTGAGGATCTCTTGATACCAGACAGTGAAGAGGAACAAGAAGATGAGGAAGATCAGAATCTGCACCGCCGGCCGAGCTTTCCTCTGGATCTTGCGAGATTTGCATTCATGGGATGATGATTCCAATGTTTTCATGTTCTTTTGTTCTTCGAGTTCAGCGTGGAGCTTTCGGTGTTCTAGCGGTGGCTTTTGGTATAGCGTATGCATGGGTAGCATGTTTAGCATGGTTAGCATTCGAGTATGCATGAGTTCCGGAGTTTTTGATTTTCAAACAAAGGGCTTCTCTGTTCATTGATTTCCGTTTTCGAGTTCTGACGTGACTATTGTGCAAAATTGCAGATTGTTTATGTTTGTAGAACCACACATCCTCAAGCTACGACCAACGTTGCCTCTATTGTTGCCTGAATACCCATTGATGTTCCTCCAAATACTAGGGCCTCAACTAGCGTTGGAAGTCGGTGAAATTACTTCTTGCGGCAGAAAAGACTAGCAATGGCATTGATCAATATCAGTCGAGGGCAGTACAACCCTGGCCTTGAGCATCCGAGAAATCCAACCACCATGCAACTCTGAACAACCACATCACTTGATTCCAGATTCCGGAAACTTTTGTGCAATTATATGGTCAAATTGTGGCGGCATTTGGCCCGCCTGAAGAATGCTTCATGCGATCTTCGGTACCGCTGTAGAGCTCGTGCGACACACAAAACAAAACCAATGTATTTTCGTGACTCGTTTCGTACAATCGTGCCAGTATACTTTTCCGGTACACCCTTGGCAATGCCAAGCTCCAGTAGTTCATTTGCCAGACTCAAAGTAGAACTTTCCCAAATCACGTCCTGGACCACTAGAAGGATCGGGTGACTCGAGACCTCGCTGGCCACCTTCTGGGCCAAGGCGCTCGCGCATGATACGCTCAGCAGTCTCGGTTCCTGTATCGAGAGTTCTGCGATCAATCATTTGGACGTCTTGTTGTTCTGACTGAGCGTGGGAGCTGACCGGAGTCAAGCTGGAGTCTCTCTGGAAAGACTGTGACAGAGCCGAAGCGGTGGGAGTGGCCTTCGCTACACTGGGGCTTCCGACAGTGCTGTGACGGGCGGGCGTACGAGCACCCTCCCCGAAACCAACCAGACTGTTCGTTTCGGAAGCAGCGCCAACGCTAGAGGTATCCATGTCCATATCCTGACTCTCGCTCATCTTGTCGTGGTCAAAGACATCGCTCCCGCTGGCCCAAGTGGTAGTTCGGCCGCCGACACTACCAGTTGCCGAAGCGGAGCCAACGGTGCTGCGTTCACGTCCCAGAAGAGGAACACCTTGCGAGTCAAAGTAGCCAGCAGCAGGGCCCGAGTGGGGAGCAGCAGCGCCAGGAGTCAGGTTGGAGATGGGAGTGGGATTGCGAGCAGTCGTCACACGCTCGAGACCAGCAAGGCGTGAGATACGATCGGCACGCTCGGCGTCCAATGTGCCAGATGTGGGAGCTCGTGAGTGGTGCGAATGAGGTAGGTGGCCTCGATGGCCGTCCTTGATAGCAACACTACAGCACAGGTCAGCAGAGTTTCCTCGTTTGAGCTTCGTGGGTACTAACGTCGAGAGCTCAGACATGGAAGTCGTGGTGGAGTTGGGAGTGCCAGGAGCATCAGAGGGCGTCGCTGGGTCTGAAGGAGGCAGATTGATCAAGGTCGGAGGTGCTGCCGACATGTTGTAGCTTGTATGCAAGTGTTTGTACGGGTGCGTGCGACACGAAGATGTAGGCCAGAGATGCAGTGCTTGTAGAATAGAGTCTTGTCTTGTAGAGAGTCAGAGGTGACAGGTTGTCAAACAGGAACAAGAGACACAGCAGCATCAGATGGTTTGGCAACATTCACGGCAGGAGCCAACCAGTTCCCCATATTTCATGTGTTTCAGGGTTCCCCCACATAATTATTGATGTCATGCTTGTCACACTGCAGCATTTCTGTTTCCTGCTCCCGCAATCTTATCTGATAATAGTAGAATCGTCCAAGCAGGGCGAGCTCGATGCTTTCTTCCTGAAACACGCACAGCTCTCGGCCATGATACCTAGTACCCCAACCTCTGACCATTCTGACAGCACCATTTATGAGTGGAATTGCTGCTTTCATTAATGGCTTCTCGTTTCTTGCGGCATACCTACACCGTCTTTCCCATAAACATCTCCCTATCTCCATAATGTACAAATTGACCTCATTGAAGGTCGCTATTTTTCTCCTAGCCGGATTTACGAGACAAAGCTCTTCATGTCTGAAACTTTGTTAGCGTTTTTCTCGCAGATACATGCGCCGCGGTCAACTTACTGTTCAACCACCCAATGTACTCCTTCTGCTCCTTGAGGTCAATGTACTCGGGAATGAAGAGGGCCATCTGTGTGTTGATGCCTCTCTCCTCGAGGAAGCGCTCCAAAAGCATCTGAAGATCCTCGTCAAGCTGGCCGAACGGAGGGCCAGTGTAAAGGCTTCGTCTTGCCCAGTCCTTCTCGGCCGTCTTGGCCTCAGCCAGCTCGGCGTTGGGGAAGTGGTAGACATTCTCGATGCTGATCTCGCCGTCCTGAGCGAGACACTCGATGGCGAGTGCACCCTTGCCCTCACGGGTCACGGTGACCTGGACGCGAACAGGAAAGCTGGCCGAGTTGTCCTCCTCATCTTGTAGCTCGGGTCTATCGGCAGGGGTCACATCGTCCTCGGGAGCAACGCGCATGTTACCACCAGCGGTGCGACCCTGGTTCACGGCACCCTTGGTGTTGGCACCTCCAGACTGGCCATCCATGTCGAGAGCACCGTCCTCATCGCCGTACAAAGCAGGGTCTTCGGCGTCGGCCTCCTCGTCGTAGGTGTTGAAATCGGCAATGGAAAAGGTAACCTTGACGCTATAAACCGCATATTAGCAGGCTGGTGGCGTAATTGCAGGATTGGACAGTCGAACTTCTCGTCGCCGTATGATCTGGTGAGGTGAACCTCCTCTTGGCCAGGCTTGTCCTCAATCTTGAATTCGCTGTTATCAATGTATTCTTGGCAGTTGTAGCGGTAGCTGTCATCTGCTTGCTGCTCCTTCTCGAGGGCGATTTCCGAATTCAGCTTGGCAGCAAGTTCCTGGGTGGTGGCATCTGGTGAAAGGAACGATAAGCAAGGGCCAGGACAGGCAGCGGGGCGATAGAACACACCTTGGCGGCGGAGTAGCGAGGTTGAAAAGTGAGCAGCAGTTCTGGCGGCGGCGAAGGCGGGAGTGCGCAGCGGCTGACGAGCGGCGATCGGAGTCAGACGAGCAACACTGCGAGGCAGTTGACGAGAGATTTGGCGCAAAGACAGCATGTTGATGTGGATAGTCGAGTTTTGGGTGGTTCAAGCAGGACTGGATGGCGCGTCAAAAAAGGTCTTGGAGCTTCGGCGAGAGGCTCGAGCACGGACAAGGGCATTCCCGTCCGGCGGCCGCTGTCGCAATGACATAGCGATAGCGGTTGTGACATGCGGTGAATTGGCGACATGAATGTGTGCTTCCGTCTCAGAGACTCATTCCATCTCAACATAGGCCCCTCTGTCCACGAGGCCGCTCCTTCTGCACCATGAGCGCCGCCGCCGCGCCGCCCGTCGACAAGAAGAAGAAGCCGTCGGCTCTGCGTTCCATCATCGCCGGTTCCAGCGCTGGTGCTGTCGAAATCGCCATCACCTATCCCGCCGAATTCGCAAAGACTCGCTCCCAGCTCAATCGCCGTCTCGCTGAAGGCAAGAAGCTACCATGGCCGCCGTTCGGTAGTCAGTGGTATGCCGGCTGCACAACTCTCATCATCGGAAACTCCATCAAGGCTGGCGTCCGCTTTGTCGCTTTCGATGCATACAAGAACATGCTCTCAAATCCAGACGGCACCATCAGTGGTCCTGCCACTGTCATCGCAGGCTTCGGTGCCGGTGTCACCGAAAGTCTGCTGGCCGTCACTCCCTTCGAGAGCATCAAGACTCAATTGATCGACGACCGCAAGGCCGCTCAACCCAGGATGAATGGCTTTATTCACGGCACCAAACTCATTGCCCGCGAACAGGGCGTACGTGGTTTCTTCAAAGGCTTTGTTCCCACCACTGCAAGGCAGGCAGCAAACTCGGCTGTTAGATTTAGTAGTTACACCAGCTTGAGGCAGCTGGCCCAAAGCTACGTTGCTCCAGGAGAGAAGCTTGGTGCCTTGAGCACCTTTGGTATTGGCGGTGTGGCTGGCATCATTACAGTGTATGTGTTGTCTGTCAAGTCTCGAGCATGGCCTGCTAATTCCCCCACAGATATGTTACCATGCCCTTGGACACTGTCAAGACAAGAATGCAATCTATCGAAGCAAAGACCGAATACAAGAACAGCTTCAACTGCGCGGCGCGCGTTGTCAGGGAGGAAGGCTTCCTCACACTCTGGTCTGGTGCTGTACCTCGACTTGGTCGTCTCATCTTGAGCGGCGGCATAGTCTTCACCATGTATGTTTGTCATCATCTGTGTAATAACGTCTTACTGACGGTTTCTCTAGGTATGAAAAGACCATGGACTTGCTCGACAGGCTTGATCCCGACAAGAAATATCTATGAGCGAAATTATGCACAACTTACGAGCATGCATATGCTGCTCCCATACCTTGTAAAGCCGTGCATGTGTACAAGTAGAGAATAGCAGGTACTAGCTGAGAACAAGAACCTTCACGCAACGGCCGCCAGTCTACTTCTAGCAGTTCATTGTATTGCCGTTGTGCTCGTGCGGCCCAAGACCGACCGTCCTCGTTGCGGATCAACTGTTTTGTTAAACATGTCAGAGTGTCGAGCAACATTTTGTCGCTGCCAAGTCAAGTGTTCAGGCCCGAATACCTAGATGGAGGAGCGAGCCCAACGCTCGGTCGCATGTCTGCGGTGCGGGCCGTGGCAGCTGGATTAAGTTCAATAATGTGCACAAGAGACAGGTCTGTCATGCACCTGCATAGATATGAGTGGTGTAAAACGTGGTAAGTGGAGTCGGCACCATGAGCTAGAGAGACGGTGCGATGTGTTCAAGTCGTACCGAGAATGATGATCGAGTAAGCAGTAGTGTCGGGTCAGAGGAGAGGCCGCAGCGAAGATCTTGAAGGTAGAACATGCGCAGAGCACGCTCCATCGTGCAGAGAACGCACGCTGTCTGGACTGGGATCGACTTGAGCCCAAGCGATTATAGTTTGAAAAACAACGGCCGCCTTCCGTTTGTCACCTGACCCGAGCTAACTCTCTTGTTTCTTTCTCTCCTCTGCGCCGTCTATCAAGGGCCCTATAGTGTATGCTACCCGCGACTGGCAGACTTGGAATTCGGTATCTTGACATTCCTGCGTGTTCAAAAATCGAGTGGCGTTAAAGAATGGCCGATGCCATTTATAATCAACCTTCGAAAGCTCCTACGGCCGAAAGAACCCGCCAGCCAAAGAATAGGCCCGCCGACCTCCCTCAAGGACAGCAGAAGATCCGCCGCCGCAACAGGACCATCGCATCATGTAAGGGACTGATCCTTCGCGTCTTTGAATCACTTGACCTGACTCTCTGTCCTCTAGGCCTGAGTTGTCGCCAACGTAAATTGAAATGCGACAAACAAGTACCGTGTGGTAACTGTCAGCGCTTCCAGAGAGATTGTTTGTACATTGCTCCAGCTCTGGACACTGCTGCTCAGCAGAAGTTGGCTGAAATCAAGGATCGACTCGGTGACCTCGAAGAAACGCTTGAACGAGATGTTGCTCGTCGCGCTGCCGCCAAATCAGGATCCGATCGCTCTGCTGTAGTACCCAAGATTGAAGCCGAAGACGATGATTACGAGGGCTTGTCAGCCGACGATGAGCAAGATCCTGAGCCCTCTCCTCTCGGCATGTTTGATCAGGTCTATGATAACGATGCTGACGATGGACTTATGGATCTTGGTATTCAGCTCGGCAAGTTGCGAATGTCCGACAGGGTGGGCGGCCTAGGTATGTGATATTTCTCAATGTTTTGCCAAATCAGTGCTTACCATATTACAGTGCGACCAAAAATGTCTGACGAGGTATGATGAAACACTCCGACTGCTCATAGTATCCCAGTGCTGACCATACGCCCAGCTCAATGCAAAGCTGCGCAGTGCTAACCACAAGAGTCAAAACTTGTACTGTCAACGCCATGGCTACACTGATCCAAACGTGCCATGGCAACCCGGCGCCGTATCCCAAGAGGAGTTCCTCAATCCTGGACCAGATTTCATTGTTCCGTCTTCGAATTTGTTCTTCCCGGAGCCCATAACGGCGTACTTTCTCCCACCTCGCCACGTTGCGGATCAGCTCATCACGCAATATCTCAATGCCGTGCATCCTGTCGCTCGTCTCGTTCATCAGCCCACATTCGAAAGACAATATACTCTCTTTTGGAGTAATCTGAGTAATGGCACGATAACACCGGCTCCTATTCAGGCCATTCTCTTCGCAGCAATGTTCTCGGCGGCTGTCAGTTTGTCTGATGATTCAGCTGCATCGTTTTCCGAGATGCCTAAGCAATCGCTTGTGGAAAGGCTTCGTGAAATGGCCGAGTTCATGCTTTCAAGAGCAAATCTTCTGAGGACAACGAAAATAGACACCATGCAGGCCTTCATCATGTATTTGGTAAAAAGTTTCAAGTCCCGTCAAGCAACCAGTAAGCTGACCTTAGTAGCTTCCCCTATGTCGGACGGAGATCTCCCGAGCACACTCGGCTCTCGTAGGGACCGCAATTCGTCTTGCACAATGCATGGGACTCCATCGCGACGGAACCACGTTCGGTTTGAGTGCTGTTGATACTCACGTCCGAAGATTGATCTGGTACCAAATTTGTTTCTTGGACGTCCGGACCTGCGAAGCTACTGGACCTCGTCCCCAGATCCGTAAAGAAGAATACGACACCAAGCTGCCTCTTAATGTTAATGACACGGATCTTATGACAGCCTCACCGCCAAGCGATGATCTGCCCTACTGGACCGATATGACCTTGTCTAAGCTCAAGTTCGAGTGTTACGAACTCATACGCCAACTTTGGGTGGATATGCAGCGCATGGACCAAAAGAAACTGTCTTTGACCTCCGTTCTAAACAGAATCAAAAAGTTCCGAGCGACCACAGAAGCCAAATACTCACCTCTGGTTCAAGGAAACACACCGAAGCAGATTCTCGCAAAGCAATTATACCGTGCCTCCAGCAACAGAGCCTTGGTCGTCATCTTGCAGCGATATGCTGTGGGCACGAACTACCCTATGCCTGAGAGACTTCGCAATCTACTTATTGAGGCCTGTATGGGTACTGTCGAAGCTGGCGTAGCCATGGAGACCCGACAAGAGTTGGCAATGTGGGCATGGTATCGCGGAGCTATTCTACAATATCATGCCGCCGTGCTTCTGGTGTTCGAAGTCTATGCCAGACCCGAGATGCCCGAGGCCACACGGATCTGGAACAGTCTCGATTACATCTTCGAAACGCCACCTCAAGCTTCTCAGGTAGACAAGGCGGAGGGCATTATCATCACGCTCCGGGACCGCCTAGAGAAATACCACAGTGTACGGAAATTACGCGCGACAGCTGACGTCGAAAGTCAGTCCAGCCCAGGACCATCAACAACCTCACAGTTGAACACGCCTGTAACGGCGCCGCATATAACTCGCTCTGCTCAAACATTCACCACTCCAACAATGGTCTACTCACAACTACCTCATACCGAGCAAGGGCCTGCCTCTGATGCCAGTGGAAGTCACGCAGGCGTCAATCGTGATTCTTCGACTGATCCTGGGATGGAGGCTGTGGCCAATATGGATTGGGTAAGCAATCTCTCAATGAGCTCTCATCGAGACGAGCCGCCAGAATTCCCTTTGCTAACAAAGCTTGACTAGAACGAGTGGGACAAATACTTTGCTCCCAATGCAGAACTTGGTACGATTGGAACGATGGGCGATTTCAACCTCAGCAACTTCAACCCTCACCAAGCATATTTCTCGCTTCCAAGAGCTGATGCTCCACATCAACGATATGATCATAAGTAGTCAGACAATGTTATATGGATTGGCGCTAGATTGGAGAGAAAATCGTGTGGTGTATCTCTGAGCCTCGTGCGTCTTTCAGGAGCTCGACACCCTTCCTGAAAGCACAGGTTTCTTTAAAGGCCAGATGAGCGGATATCGATGACCATCCGATGGCTAGCAGGCAGGCTCTTCCTTTGACACCTGCACCGAGGCTCTCGTGCTGGACGTCCTCTAGAATCCAGGAATGAGCACAGCCCGAAGAAGCCCCTTCTGCGTGTTCGTCGACAATCTTTGCAAACGAGCTCAGATTCTCACCAAACGATTCTGTCTTTTCGAGGAGGAACACGGTTGCGATCTCGGTAACAGGAGCAGACACGGCTGCAGTGAGATTGCTGGGACTTTTGAGCTCGAAGTGGACGAGCTGTGGAGATCCGTCAAGAATTGGTTCCAGGCTCTTTAGCATCTCCTGATAGCGAGGAAGATCTTGAAACCTCTGGTGAGACTCGATTGTATCCCAGCCTGTTACGTACAGTATTTGTCAACCACACACTCTTTTCTGATGCCGATCATGTCCACTTCTCCAACGTACCTATGAACAACTGCGCCGTGTCCGGGCTCTCATGTTCGAGTCCGGCATGAATATACTGGCAGCCATCTTGTTGCGAGATTGTGGTGATCATGCCCTGCCAGATACGAGCTGCTTGGCTTCCTCGCTCCAGAACATTGGCTCTGAGCGGAATGGTCGCGACTTCGGTTACAGGCATGGAGGTTGAGGGGTGGTTATCCTGGGTGGTTAGGTTTCGTTCTCTGTGTTGATCTCGTACAGACTTGGAGTGTCGTACCGAGGCATGTCGTCTTACCAGCGGAACCATCGCGGACCGAAGTGATCGGCGTGGAGGGCTCGGTTGCGACCTTTGCAAGTCGGCTTTCGGTTTCGAGACGAGCTCTTCCAAGAGAAACGCTAGGCTATCAATTCCAATTTACCAACTCTCGCATCTCCGGAGATACAGATCACGAGCGAACATCAAGAGGCTGTAATTCGATGATCGTCACATCATCCCGTACACTTTCCTTCTCCTAAAAATAAGACCAAATAATGGTCGGTGATCCGCGGTTCGGCAAGGAACTCACTCCATGAGCAAGAATGCTCGCTGCATCAAATCTTTCGGATGCGCTAAGCGTACAACCAGCAATACAACTTCTCATGGCCAGAGTACCACTGGCAGGGCATCGTATCGTATGTGTCAAACAGAAGATGACGGTCACAGCGAAATATCTCTGTTTGAACATTGAATCTTGCACAGTCTTTCGAGCAAAGAAAACAGAAGTAGCGGACTATGGGTCGGTTTCATTTATCTGGGTAAGTGCTCTGCGATGTCAGGCCAATTCGTCGTTGGACACATGCTCTTTCGCATGGAAGCACAGAGAAACGGTAGACTGTCCATGCCCGCACGTGCAATGCCTAGCCCCTTTGAGTTAAGTCCTTGCCGAGCGAGAGCTCACGAGAGTCTACGAATTATCTTACAGAGTTGATCATCTCGGAATATGCAGAACAACACCACCATGGTTTTTGGTATGCTACTCCGAAGTATCTATAGCAGCAGCTTGGTCTGATGTCTGATCTATACGGCATGGTCTCTATACGGCATGGTCTAACTCAGCCCAATGATAGATATTCCTGAAGCCAGTGGCCGAGTTGGTTCCATGACTATTGCTCTGACAAGGTCCAACTTGGCCATTGCAGCATTGTTATTTGTATAATATAGAGCAAATGACAGTAGGCGTTGGTGAGTGACAGCATCATAGAGACCATCCGTAATCCGAGTCATGATTCACATTGTGGTACAGACATTTGTCCATGACTGTGTAGGGGAGTTAGTCACCCATTAGACGTATAGCACTCTTGCAGTGCGCCGGGCGATCCAGTAGTGTGGGACCAAGACCATTAAGATGGTTACGAGAAAGCGTGTAATTACAGGGTATCATAGAAGGGGATTTGAACTCCGCATTGCGGACGGGAGAGCACTGGCGTGGGGTAGGTGGACGGCAGTCGGGTGAGCATGATCGAATCCTCTAAAGGATGGAAGATTCATCAAGGCGATATTGGTGTGTTAGGACGACTCTTGTTGCACGGTTTGCTACCGGGCGTGTTAGTGATCATCCAAGACAGCAGGGTCTGGGGCAGCGAAGTGAGACTTACAACCATCCAATCCATACCCTCCGTAACACCTCTACCATCGATGGCACTGCAAGCGACGATGGTCCAATTCCTGTCCTTGAGCTCGCCCAAACGAAGCGCTTCACTGATATCTCCCGCACCCTTGGCGCCCGGTTGATCTTGCTTGTTTGCGAACACTAGCAGTGCAGCGTCACGCAATTCCTCCTCATTCAACATGGCAGAGAGCTCGTCGGCAGCGGTAGAAAGGCGATCGACATCGGTCGAGTCGATGACGAAGATGACAGCGGCGGTGTTGGCATAGTAGCATCTCCAGTAAGGGCGGATAGATGTTTGGCCTCCTAGATCCTGTTTAACGTGTCAGGGGATGAGACGTATGCGACAAAGATGGTCGCTCGTAGCGGCACATACCCAGACATTGAAGTTGAGGTTCTTGTAATTTACAGACTCGACATTGAAGCCTATCGTTGGAATGGTGGTGACGACTTCGCCAATCTGTCGGATGAAGGCGGTTAGGAGCTATCAAGGGCTCAGAGGCTAAGGCCAACATACCTTGAGCCTGTAGAGAAGGGTTGTCTTTCCAGCGTTGTCCTAGAGGCAAGACAGTCAGCTTCCTTGGACTGCCAGCGCTTGTCAACGGTACGACGAACCAAGCCCAATATCAATATCCTGATCTCTTTCTTTGCCCATACAAGTTTAGACAGAGATGACAGATAGCCTCCCATATTGTGCGCTTGTTGTGTATGCCTGTCGTTGTGGATATGTGTCGGCGGCGAGTTGCGCTTCGTGTACTCGTTTGTCGCCTATTTCTGCAGGATCACGCGCAGTCTTTTGAGTTCCTTGGAATCGGAGAGCGAGTCGGTTTGGTGTTTCACGATAAGGCGAGGATAGTCGATGCGAAGGGGGAGGTTGGCGAATGCTTTGTTGTTGTTACAGGTGGAAGATGCACCAACGTCTCCGCAGACCGAAACTAATCTGGCACTGACGTCGCTGCTTCTCAAACAAAACAAATCCTCTGTCCTTGGTAAGACTATCTTTGACCTTCAACATTTCTCAAGACTCAAGATTACCTACACAATTGACACTTGACATCCGTTTGCATACATTATTATCTACACCGACTCTCATTTAGGTCGCGTTTCTACTCCGGCGTACTCTCTACCTGCAATGTAGTCCAATGTCCGCTGGAAATGTCTTCTCGGGTTGTCTAAACTCGAGCTGTTTTCATTCGTATTGAGGTTCGAGTGGATCAGTTCGATCAACCCATTGAGATACTTGGTCGTCACCTGTCGCTTGGTCAGTATCAATCTGACCTGAGTACTAAGTCGACTTACAGCATCATTTTCCTGGTCAAAGTAGTAGACATAGCGGTTGAGGATCTCGACGAATAGCTCAACCGACACTGCTGTGTCCATGCAAGCGTCGGCCACACGGAGCGCGCGCTGCAGGCATTCGAGTACCCTCTTGCCATCGCGGTAGAGCTTTTGCAGCGTATTAGCTTCAGTCACGCTGTGTGCCCGTTCATAACATACCTCTTTGCCTTCTTTGCTCTCCTTGTTCTCTTCATTCTCTTCCGCATTCTTCTCCACTGACCACCACAGATGACTGGCAAGGTATACAGCTCGACACTGGTCGGGTTTCTTGAGCAGTTTGCTGCCGTGAAGCGCGCACTTTGTGATGAGAGTATCGTAGTTTTCGCGGCTGAAGTTGCGCGCGCCACTAAGACTTTGTGCGATGACGCAAATGGCCTGGAACTGCGCCCTCGAGTCGCTGATGCTCTCTTCATACACAGTGAATGCTTGCGCAAAGAATTCGTAGGCAACCTCCTCAAATCCACATTGATCGGCGACAGATCCGCAGGAAATGAAGAGCCTCAATGCAAGATCGGGGACGCCAGGCGTAGAAACTCTAGTATACAGCGTGGATATCAGTGTGTGGCAGAATTTATAGAGTGCAGAAGATTGGCTTGACCAATCATCTTGGAGGTGTTCGCGAGCCTTGTACCGGCGAGCGAGCTTGAGCGAGGCTGTGATCAATGCAGGCGTAGTGTACTTGATGCGCTCATTACCTTGAGCGTATGCATCACGGGCCAATTGGAGCAACTTGAACTGAGTGTTGCAATCCTCGCCACGGATAAGATGCACAATTCGTGCAAGCCATCCTTGTTCCTCGACAGTCTCATCGGTCTCTGCGGCTGCTCTTCGTACAGGTCCACCAGGGTAGCCAGAAGGCTGTTGCATTCCCTCCTTGATCAGAACCTTGAGAATCTCCAGCACTCCTTGTAGGTTTTCGGAAGTCGATATCCTGGTCTCGTTGCGTAACAAGCTTCGCGCAACTTCTCCAGCCACCGATCGACGAGTCGGATATGGCTGGGCATGGAGAAGAGGGATAAAACTTGGAATTGCAAGAGCTGTGAAGAGGGAAAGATAGGTCTTGACTGGCGCAAGAAGCAGATTCAAAAGGTTGGCCTGAGAAGCTTGCGAGTGCAGGTCAGCCGAGTTCGCAAATCTCGAGACCTCCTTGTTTGCGTATTGGAAGACCTGATCGACGTATTCTAGTCGATCAGGGTAGATGTTCAGAGCGAGGTTAATCAATGAGACAAGGAGCGCCGTGATATCCTGGATTGGCAATCTCTGCATACTGACGAGGTGAATGACTTGCTCGTGGAACACTTCGAAGAGGCGCACATTGTCGGGTATGCCTCTTTGCTTCTTTGCATCGCCATTGGTCTCGACTGAATCCGTCTTTGTCGCATCCTCGGTCGTGGTGTCAGCAGTGGCCTCGGCAGGAGCATCGTCTTCAGGTTTTGAGTCACCGTTCTGGTGAGTTGCTTCTTCGTCGGCGGGAGCTGAAGCAGACTCCGAGGCGATCTTCATCTTCTCGAGTAGTCTTGTAGTCGCTTCGGATTCGGCCTTCTCGCGATCTTCGGGGGCATCAGACTCGGATTCGCGAGCGGCGTAGGCAGACAAGCGATCCATGAGGCCAATGACAATAGCTTTGACGTTGACGTGAGGATTGAGACGTGCAGTGGCTGACAGGAACTGATCAAGGGTATGTAAATGGAATTCGTCAGGGAAGACCTGGGTGATGACTTCGAGCAGATATTCTTGAGCAAGCACATCGCGGCACTGGACGACCTGCTCGAGCAAGGGCTGGAGGATGGAGGATTTGTAGGCCTCAAGATCAACCAGTTGACTGAGACGGACGAGGTTGCTACCAACAAGCAGTTGCAACTCCTGACGTTCCTTTGTACGTTGCTCGCGCTCTCTCGAGTGGCCTTGATGCTGGAGTCTGACCCAGAGCTTGTTCATTTCGACAAAGTTGGTCAGGACAAAGTTGACAGAATCTTGAAGGTTGCCCTCGGGGCCTTGACCTTGACCAGTTGGCAGGTAGTCTCTAGCTTGACCGCTGAGGTAGTAGCGGAGGAAGAGACCACGAATAGGGTGTTGGACACCTCTGCTCATCTCCATCATGTCCTTCATAATCTCCTTTACGGGGGCATCCTCAATGCCCATGTAGACGGTTCCGACGGTGATCATGAGGTACAGCCGGGGGACAATGTTGCCGGCATACTGGACAAGCTCGTAGAGGTCGGCAAGGTGGTTGGTAGGGTGAGATTCGCGTAGGTAGACGGCCAGATGGCGCAAGGCATCGAAGACGGACATGTACAGCTCGTAGTACTGTTTGGGGCCGAGGCTAGAGGTGCGCAGCTCGGAGACGAGAGTGGAGCTGTAAGTGTGGTCAGCAGATGAGAATGAGGTGGGCAGCAGGATCCGGTACGCGCCTGCACTTGAGGGCATCCATGAGCTTGCCCGGCGTGTCCAGGCAGCGGCGCATCAGGAGCGTCTGCTGGCGCACGACGGTCAAGGCATCTTCCAGGAGTCGTGCCTGGTCCTCGACCAGCGGCGGAGATGCCATGTTCAGGCAGTGTTAGGTAGCGGAAGTGGTGTGAGGGTCGGCGCAATTGCTTCTACTCTGCTCGCATGACGATGGTACAGTATGGATGGACGCATGGCCGGGCGGGCCTTGGCTACCTCCGCGTCAGCCAGAGTCTCGCTCCGCCAATCGCCCCGGCCCGAGCTCCACGGCCGCTCCAGCCACTCTGCTCCACCGCTTTCTACAGTCCCCTCTCGTTATAACGATCGGACCGATCTACCACTTCAATATCGTTATAACGTAATTATCGTTCAATCGAGAGCCCTTGGCATTGTATACGCTATACGAAGTAGGAGGTTATCTGCGCTTGACGAAGGCTTCTATTCCTTCGATCTTATAGTACTACCTCGTGCTTGCTTAGCTGCTCAATAACTGGCGCTAAAGCCTCGCTCTGCTGCTCCTCGTACAGTCGAAGGATGCTCAGAGCTTCGATAGCTGAGCGGATTGATATAGGTGGTAGCTCTTCAAGCTCCTCCTCTGATTCATGGTCCGCTTGTACATCAAATTGAGCAGCTATCTCCTCCTCTATTCG